TTATAGTATTTGCCATCAAAATGTGTGAAAATGCAAAGACTATAGTTTTTGGCATGAAAATGTTTAAAAATGCAAAGACTATAGTCTTTGGCATAAAAATGTGTGAAAATGCAAAGATTATAGTCTTTGGCATGAAAATACCTAAGAATGCATGAGTTTTAGTTCATGTATTTTCACACATTTTCATGCCAAAGACTCTAGTTCATGCATTTTCACACAGTTTCATGGTAAAGACTATAGTTCATGCCATTTCACACATGCTCATGCCAAAGACTATAGTTGATGCATTTTCACACATTTTCATGACAAAGACTCTAGTTCATGCATTTTCAAGCATTTAAATGCGAAAGACTGCAGTTCATGCATTTTCACACATTTTCATGCCAAAGAGTATAGTTCAGGTATTGTCACACATTTTCATGCCAAAGACTGTAGTTCATACATTTTCACGCATTTTCATGCTAAAGACTATAGTTCGTGCATTTTGACGCATTTTCATGCCAAAGAAAATGCTTGACGCATTTTCCTGCCAAAGAGTATACTTCATACATTTTCACATATTTTCATGCCAAAGAGTATAGTTCATGCATTTTCAAGCATTTAAATGCGAAAGACTGTAGTTCATGCATTTTCACGCATTTTCATGCCAAAGACTATATTTCACATATTTTCATGACAAAGACTATACTTTATGATTTTCTTAGATTTTTATGCCAAAGACTATAGTTCATGCATTTTCACACATTTTCATGCCATAGTTCATGCATTTTCACATTTTCATGCCAAAGACTATAGTTTATGCATTTTGCAATGCCAAGACTATAGTTTATGTTTTCACGCATTTTCATACCAAAGACTATAGTTCATGCATTTTGACACCTTTTTATGCCAATGACTATAGTTAATGCATTTTCAAGCATTTTTATGCCAAAGTCTATAGTTCTTGCATTTTCACACATTTTCATGCCAAAGACTATAGTTTATGCATTTTCACGCATTTTCATGCCAAAGACTATAGTTTATGCGTTTTCACGCATTTTCATACCAAAGACTATAGTTCATGCATTTTGACACCTTTTTATGCCAATGACTATAGTTAATGCATTTTCAAGCATTTTTATGCCAAAGTCTATAGTTCTTGCATTTTCACACATTTTCATGCCAAAGTCTATAGTTTATGCTTTTTCACATACTTTCATGCCAAAGACTATAGTTCGTACATTTTTATACATTTTCAAGCCAAAGACTATAGTTCATGCATTTGCACACATTTTCATGCTAAAGACTATAGTTCATGCTTTGTCACACATTTTCATGCTAAAGACTCTAATTCATGCATTTGTACACATTTTCATGCCAAAGACTATAGTTCATAAATTTGTACACATTTTCAAGTCAAAGACTATAGTTCATTTATTTGCACACATTTTCATTTGAAAGACTATAATTTTTAGATGAATAAATATATATAAATATAGAATGACTAGAAATTAAATGTATCTATCTAAAAGCACATCTATCATTTTTAAAAGCGCGTCTAAGTTAAAGTTAATAAAAACGTATTTCCTTTTCGAGAAATTTTTGAAACTATACTATGTCAGGGCATTGGCTACGTTACAGAAAGAAATTTATGTTTTTGTTCAACGTCGCTCGAATTTTTATTAAATGTCCATGTGAATTTTTACAATTAGTGATGTTTATCTTAAAAGTAAATGTTTTGTGTTTCTGGTCCGTGGTAGTGCAAACGTGAGACGTTGAGGTATTATTGACTGGCATTATGATGTTCTTTGCAATAGTCATCTTTATAGTAAACTCAGTCAAGTGTGAAGTAACGTTAGGTTTGCCAAATTCGTTGTCTAGTTCATACGTTCATGATATTGTATGTAGAGGAAATGTTTGAGTGTCAATTGTGTATTGTCATCGTGAATTAGTTTGAAGTGGTATTATTGTCATTTGTGTTGCGAATAAGTTGTTGGTAAAATGCCTGTAATTGTTTTGTCCGGTTGAATAGGTTTTGTTTTAAGGGCATTTACATCTGTCAGGCTGGCTGGTACTCAAATTTGTTACCCACTGAACACAAACGAGTAAAGGCCATTTACTTCTGTTAGACTTGCTGATACTCAAATTTGTTACCCACTGAACACAAACGAGCAACAAAAAGTAACTTGCGAAATAGAACTATAGTAAGCATCGCCAGCAGACAAAACATAGCATTGACTGCTGACAATGACATACTTTAGAATTAGAAATTCAATTCATTTTCTAAAGAAATCAGTTGTACACTACAGCATGCACAACTGAATAAATGAATATATTCCTATTCCTCCCCTCTCTCCTTTCCCAATTAATTTTCTATTCCCCCCTCCCTTCTTTCCAAATTAATTTTCTAGCAATGGTTTGCAGTTTTTGAACAAAAATGACGTCTTTAACCACTTGAACTTTGCTCATACAAAATAAAAACTATTGAGTTGAATCAGATGTGCATGGCGTATACAACTGACAATACAACGAAGTTTGGTGTAATAATAACAACAATGATATTAGTATTGTTTTTATTATTAATATTAGAAGTAGTACTAATAATAAAAAATATATCACACTGGGCTTTCTGATGAAAAGTAAAATGTTTCATGAGTACATCATATGTTCATAAGTTATTTAAGCTGGTTGAATGCAGCTTAAATTAATATAAGAATTTTATTTCAACTTTTGACAGTCACACAAATGGCCATTTCCAAATTTTGGCAAACATTTTACCGAGTGAAACAGCCGTTCGCCATACTTCAATCCAGAACAAGTTAGCAGTGATTTAAAAGCATAAATGCACGACTATAAGCTCTTATTCGCAGCTATCCATAAACAAACTTCCCAGATGTTAACGCTGTTAAAATTAATAACTGTTGATCTTGTATTTTGACTAACGATGAAATTTTTATGGCAAAATATATACAACAATTTGGTATTTCTCCATTCTTTAATAATGTTTAATTTGATGTAGTGTTTCCTTCTTTCATGCAGCAAGTTAATTACGTTTAGATTGATTGATTATTTTTGCCTGCCCAGAATACAACGGTATCGTCAGCCTTTAATAATAATGGTTCACATGTCAATCACTAGTATCATAAAAAGTTATTTGTCAGCATTTTGTCAAGACTAAATTTCATGAACATAAAAAATGAACAGCACTGCCATTTAAGCTATGCTTTAGCACTGTCTTTTACAAACTTTCTTAATGGTTGACGTATCATATAATGCAAGAGAGAAAGCGTTGTATACATATTAAAAAAATAATTTACTAAACATTTACTCTGTTGCTCTAAAACAACTTTACTGAGAATGGCCACAGAGCCAAAACAAACAGCTGCAAGTACAATCAAAACAAATCTTGACTTTCCTTATAAAAAGAATTGCAACTTTTTGAAACAGAACCATTTGAGTACTAAAAGTTTGGTGACATTTCAACATTATGTCTTTTAAAATTGCTGTTGTCTTCGTGGTACTTTGTATCTTTGCAGTGTTATGCTCAACTGACAGAAAACAGAAAGTTAAAACAACACAGGTAAAATGGTAAATGTGTGTATAATATAATTAATTATTTCTACGAGACTATTAAAACAGGCATAAATCTCTATTAGAACACACAGCTATAGTAATCAAATTTCTGTGATTATGCAATAAATGAAGGCTCAAAATGAATAAATTTCCGAAGCTGGTCATTGTATCCAACGGAGATATGTTCGTTTTGATCTTCAGCTATCGAAACTCTTTAAATTCTCTCAATGTCTTCTTCAGCTTAAGAGGTCTTGAACTGCAGCAACTTTACACGCACAAAAATCGTCTGGCCTCAATAACAATCTTTCTGATTATATCCGAGAGATTTATTTCACGTAAAAATTGTGCAGATTCAAATTATTTGTCACGAAGCACCAACGATGAAATTGTATTCCTTGATTGATCATTATGTGAATGTTTAGCAAAATGAAAGAAGAGGAAGGAGCAAACGAGCGATTCCCTGGCAAAACTGGCTTTTAAGACCACCATATTGCATTCCATTTGGCAATTATTGTCCCCGTGGCGGTGCAAGAATGTGCTGTTCTTGGAGATGTTTCCCACAATTTGGTTACAAGAAACCGTAAGTACAATTATTGTCTTGGACATATATGAAAAACTGCTAAATTTATTATTTTGAAGAGAATAAAAGTAATAAAGAATAATAATGACAGAAAAGATTTCAAATGCTGATCATACAATACATGACATTGATGTAGCTATGGTAAACAACAATGATGACAGTGTAGTATAAAAGACAACAATGTAAAATGATGACTGCATTGATAAATTGTTTCAAATCAAATTATCATTTTCTTGCATGGAAAGCTATCACATGCAAGGGAAGGGGTAGTATACCTTTAAACTTACTGAGTAAAAACCACACACTTCAAGTTAGGGCTACTGTGCCAATTAAAATAGATCTTTTAAAGTCAGATAATGACAATCTTTGATTAGAAGACTTCAGTCAGCATTGTCTAACTATAACTCGCTTGTTTTTAACAGATGGCGTTGTGTGTAAGAAGCGATCCTGATTTAAAAGCTGTCTATCATCAAGGGTCCTCCACTTCACATGGATAAGAAAATTTTTTAATTGGTATAATCTTGGATAAATAGTTTTCTATAAATTACTGAAAGAAAGTCTTCATTAAAATTAATAATTGCATAACCTTGGCACAATCACGAGCACTCATTACCGCAACATTTGCAAGAACAATGACTGCTTGAATTTCTTCAACTATTATGTCAAATTTAAAATTTATGAGTAAAAGAAATTAATGGGTTTATAATGTAACTAGCTAATTGTGTAAAATAACAAGAAATGATAGAATTTTACACTTAAATAATTGAATGGTTTATGGTTAGTACTGTATTGGCGTTATGTTTTTTGAACTGTAAAATGATACAGTGCATGGTGTATAGAAAAAAGTCAGTAAGGTTTAAAACTTTACTTGACAATTATAAATTTATTACTGAAACTTATTTCACTATTTTATCATGCATATGTTGAAATGCAGTCGCAATATTACATTTAAGATTATACTCAACGAGCTTTACAATAAAAAGATTACTTTTCATTTCACATTAGGGCCAAAAATTACGACTTCGAAATTGTATTTTAGTAAAATAAACAACGATTGACATTACGTAAAATACGTGTCAATCGTTTCGTATGTCCCATTTCGTTACTGATAATCGGGAATTTGACACTCAACCACACAAACACGTAAATCTCAAAACATATGGCATATAATATTGTCTTGTCTTCAAATTTTCTTCACTGCCTTTTATGTAATTCAATACCTTGAAAAAAGATAATCAGCTCGCTCATATTTGAAGCCTCGTGAAATTATGTCTTATTTAATGTGAAGATACCTTCGGAAAAAGCAAAACGTCATTAGTAAAAAACCCTTTATACCACAAAGCATGAAACCTTTCCTCATCCATGGTCAACACAATCAACGATGCAATCTTCGTTAACCATCCTCAACCTCGAACATGCTACGCAGCAAACAGGTTCAAACAAAACTCAAAAGCTTCGCTTCTCAATTCTCACTTTCACCGGGTAACTGGCTTCAAAGTACGAGTACGAACCAGCACAAACCATTCCAAAAACAAACACGTCACAAACACGTGTTACTGTGACAAAAGTATCATATTGCAAAAGATACTAAAACGAACTGAAAAACTTTCTAAGCGTCTCTTGACTTAGTGACCCTGACATATAAAAAAGCCTTTTCTTTATAGCACGTTTGTTACTTGCCATTTAATCGGGAATATAGTGATATACCCTTGCGGAGTTGTTGCTGTCATTTATCAACAAAGAGCTCTGGTTAAACTCTGCATTATCCACTTCTTGTAGGCATAAATTGGAAAATATAGAGTCTATAATTTCTAGTACTACTACAGAGAGTGTAGCTTATATTAATCTCGATGTGTAAGTCCTACTTTTTAGGCGAATATCAATTAGTTACTCTCTTTACAGATGCGGTTGTATCACAGGTGTCCTTCACTCATATTAGCTTGAACTTTACCGTTAAAATTCATATATTTATGTTTTGCCTTATTACTTTCTTTTAAAATCAATTGTTTTTCACAAGCTGTGACTACAAATATATAAATATTTGCCTCCTCCCAATTATCGACTTTATGGCGTCCCTGATAAAAAGTATTCTCGCAAGGCACCTCACCAGTTAAATACATGACATTAATGTGAAAATAGTTACCAATAACATACATAGTTTATCAGAGCACAAAAATACATAACAACAAAAAGACACATTGCTGTCAATTTCGATATAAAGGACCCAAAAAATCATTTAAATAGTGTAAACAAACAATAACTCTCCCCATTACATCGTAACAGACCGTGCACCGCAAACTTTGCATTGTTGATTGTATCTATATTATATATTTACCTAAGGTAGGCAACTATCATCGCACTTACGAACACATGACTTTATATAAAGTAATAATTCGTAAAGAAAACAAACAAGAATTCAAAATGATAATTATATTACTAAAAATTAAGATAATTTTTCTACATGAATCCATACTTAGCTTTTGAAAAAGACGACAAAAATACCGTAAAATATGGTGAACTTTTTAACTTGTTTGTAAAATTTTTCTGTCTCCATGTTGGATGCCTCATTCTGGTGCATAAGCCATTATTTTCAAAAAGACTCTCAACTGCAATTGGCTGAAATTTAATTTTTTAACTTTTTATTGAGGTTTGCGCGCACTGTATGTTACAATGCAATGTGGAGAGTTATCGGTTGTTTAAACTATTTAAGTGATTTTTTGGGCCGCCGATGTGTGTACAGGACAAAATTAAAAGCCAAGCATTGCAAACCTTTGAAATATAGAAACAACAAAAACACGTTTAGGAAATTAAGTTAATGAAAAGAAGACAAAAAAACTATTCTTTTAATTCAACAGTATTCGTTTAACATCATGTTTGCCACCATTGTGATTGTAGTTGATTGATATCATGCAGACGATTTGACAGGTCACACGTTGGGATGAGAAGAAAATATAAATAAATTTGGTATAACTGACAATTTGAAAAATCTAGTTAGTGAAACTATGGTAAGTTTGAACACAAACCTTATATGTCTGGACTTGGAGGAGAGGTTATTGTCTTTTATTGAAAATTTAGAGATAAAGCAATTCATCTTTCATGGTGAAATTTGTTCATATTTTGTAGAAACTAGAATTATCTTATGATCTTGGAATAAACCTGTATTCATCCCTCCTGTTCGTGAAAGATCTCGAGCTGCTTTAGAAAATAGAACTAGAAAAATACGTGTTTTCATTGATGAGTTTAGACAAATGTGTGGTTTTAATTTTCATAGCAGTAAAGCGGATGGCATTGACAATGTGAAAGAATTGTAGCTCCTTTAGTTGTTTTGAAAAAATTAGAGAAAATTGAAAAGGACTGAATGAAAAAAAGTGGTAGAGCGATAGTAGGTCAGAAAACGTTTTGAATGAGTGCAATTGTGCAAGAAGATAAAGTCAAAGTTCATGAAGAATATTTTTATCTCTTCTTCCTGACGAATCTTCAAATATAAAATTACTATCATAGTTATAGCCCATCATTGAGGTGGAAGGAAACAAAATAATTGCTGCGTCCCGCTCACAAAGCGGCTGCCTTGCCTTTTTAGTTTATTAATATGGTTGACTGCACATAATTGAAGAGAAAAGACTTAAAGACTCTTTATTTAATTGTTATCGAAGCAGTTGCAATTAGTTTGTTCTTCGACAAAATCAACAGGTTTCAAAGCAAACAAGGTTGGTAAATTTAATATATTATACTTGTGATTTACTAACTCATTGACTGTGCTTCAGTATTTCATTCAAAACCATGGTTTATGTGTGTTTACGTACAAAGAATACGCTATAGTGGCTTGCTGGTTGACTGATCCGGTAGTTAAATTCTGCAAACACTGGGGAACGCTTTAATATTTGTATTTTATTCGGTTATGGACTTTTGTATTAATTCTTTGTTATAGTGGAAGAAGTTTATTACATGATATTATTATAAATAGTTCTGCTTCCAAAACTTAGTTTGATTACGACGCCGAGCTTTTGCTACTCATAATCTGCGTAACACGCAAAGCGTGACGTATAAGATGGATTTTAGTTTATTTATCATTTTTAAAAGATAACCATATGAAAGTTCCCTATTATTGGCAAATTAGCTGTCCGCAGCAGTAATTGCTCTAGCCACTGATAAGTTGTGTTTACCTATAACTTTATCGATTTGTGGGAAGCTATCGATCTATAGCCTATAAAATTTTACAAAGCAATATTTTTTTGATAACAATTAAAGTAACATTGTGAAGCGAAGGTCGTAATATGAAGCCCACATAAAACTATTATAACTGCAGTTTATTATAGTTAATATACAACGTTTGCTGATTTTCCCTTTTACTTTACTTATTCAAATGAACATATACAATAAAGTTCATACGTGGCTGAGTATTCGCCAACGGTATGCTCATGGTCACAGCCCAAAATAGATCGACTTTTAATGCACATGCGTCGTAACGTCAGATTGTTGGTAGAAAAATGTATAGCTAGCTACGAAACTGCATGGGATCATTACGGTGGCCGGTACGGGTCACCAGAAAAATAATTTAGAAAACATAACAAACAATAAGAAAACGTCACTCAAAATCATAATACACATTTCAAAATACTCACTACACATTTCAAAATACTCGCTACACATTTCAAAATACTCACTACACATTTGAAAATACTCACTACACATTACAAAATACTCACTACACATTTCAAAATACTCACTACACATTTCAAAATACTCACTACACATTTCAAAATACTCACTACACATTTCAAAATTCTCGCTACACATTTCAAAATTCTCGCTACACATTTCAAAATACTCGCTACACATTCGTCCCAGTCTTACCCTGGTCTGGCCTGCCGACGGTCATCATTAGTTTCCATCTACGAAACTGACATGACATCATAAAGTAAGCATATTAAATCTATAATTCCGCATTTCACAAGGCAAACAAAATGGGACATTGGGATAATAGCATGAAAATATTGGCTCAACTCTAATCAGAAATTCTTCCAGGGTTTTGCTGGACTTGGTCGGGCAACAACATTAGTAGACGATCTACATATCGCCAGCAAATGTATTTGCAGTGGCTTTCGACACATGTCCGTACTTTAATAGCAAAAATTTGAGTATATGAATTTGCATTCGCTATGTCGCGTACGTAGTTGTGTGATGCGTTACAAAAATAACAAGGAAACCAAAGAGGAAATTTACACATAGTGCTATAATTTGTTGCACAAGAAACGCCAAAGAAAATGAAAAGTTCGGTAATTTCGAGTAAACGCAATAAATTTAGAACTTCAATACCAGTCACGTCAATAAGTGCATTAGTTAAACTAATGATTGTCGAATATCACCAATACAAATACAATTACATGTAATCTGTAGATTGACCACTCATGTTGTGTTGTCTAAACAAGACCAAGAAATCCCTGGAAGAAATATTACTAATAGTTCATGTACGCGTATCGCATATTTTGATGCTATTGTGGCAATATGTTTGTCTATGTGCCGAATTTCACACAGACAACATATCGCCACAATAGCATCAAAATATCCTTACGCGAACTGAACTGTTAGTAATATCGGAAACGTATATTTATATTAGCTTTCTGCCATCACTTCAATTTCGTAGATGTAAACTAATGACGACCGTGGGCAGGCCAGACCAGGGTAAGACTGGGACGAATGTGTAGTGAGTATTTTGAAATGTGTAGCGAGAATTTTGAAATGTGTAGCGAGAATTTTGAAATGTGTAGTGAGTATTTTGAAATGTGTAGTGAGTATTTTGAAATGTGTAGTGAGTATTTTGAAATGTGTAGTGAGTATTTTGTAATGTGTAGCGAGTATTTTGAAATGTGTAGCGAGTATTTTGAAATGTGTAGTGAGTATTTTGAAATGTGTAGTATGATTTTGAGTGATGTTTTCTTATTGTTTGTTATGTTTTCTAAATTATTTTGTCGTGACCCGTACCGGCCACCGTAGATCATAGCACCAATTTAATAATCTAAACGTAAGTAACGTAACTATTTAAAATAGTTTGTCTTGAAAGGAGCAAATCAACCCTGTTATGGTGAACAATAAAGCCTATCGATAACAGAAAAATGCTTCTTACTCTAGGGAAGCATAAGAGCTTCAACTTCTTGAAAAACAATTTTAAATCAGAAAAATGAAATTTTAATACATAATAATGGACTTGTATAAATATGGAATTCACCGACTCCACATTTTGCAACGTACGGCTGACGCTACAGTTTACATTGATTACAGCAATCGTTTACAGAACACTTGATACATATTTTATCTCACTCTATTGATTTTTTTAGAAATAGTTTTAATATACCCTAATTTTGCATTTCTTAGACATGAAAGTCAATCAGTTAGAATCAATGTAATCTATTTTCGTAATCTATTTCTGACTGATGGTAATAAGTTGTTGTGAATGTTTATCTTCAGTGAGTGCTATTGTATATTGGTCTAAATATCAAGAAACTGATTCAAGTATACTGATATACTAATTTGTGATATAAAAATACCGAAACGCGTGGGTTCAATGATGTATAGTTAAGTTTGCATTAGCCTGTGCATACCAATCAGAGCTAATCAATTAAATTAATCAATGAGAATTTGCAAATCAAGCGTGAATACATGTTTCATTTGTTTTAAAATTTATCTGTTTCGCATTATAGTTGTTTCATGAAAATTTTTCCTGATCTGCTCTCGAGCTATCCCAAAGGTCTCCTCGGTTTGCAAAAGCCTGCTCAAACACAGCTTATACATCTTTTATTTCTTAAATAAAAAACACAAACAAAGAAAACATGGACTTTAAGAATATATAATGCACTGACTTAAAAACGCCAATTGAATTTAATAGTTTAAGGGTACCCTGTAATGACTAATTTTCATCACTTAGGAAAATAAGAAAAATTCAAATGCCATTGTGATGCTATTAACATGCGTTTGCTGTTTGTTGATTCATCCATTTGAAAACGTGCAAGCTTTTTAGAGTTAACTATTTTACTTCAAATGCATTTAGGTCTAATTTATAAGAAAAATTTTCAATTAATTGTTATATAGTTGAAGAAGTGAAAATGACTCTCTCGATTGATGAAGTATTTCAAGAAATTGGTGAATTTCATAAGTTCCAATGGTTGATGCTCACCATTATTGGTTACACCGTTTTTGCAACTGCTACATTTCCTGTGATGATTGTTACATTCATCACTGCAGAACCAAATTGGCAATGTGTGAAAGGATATAACAGTTCAATCTGTAATTTTAACGAATCTATTGGTTTGACCAGTAAATATTATAAAGACAGATGTGACATGCCAAGAGAGGCATGGACATATGTAGAAGGCTTTACATCTACTGTAACAGAGGTATAAGAGTGGCTTGAAGAAGTTTAACAATGACAATGGAGCATATCAAAGCATAATTCAATAGAAAACAACACAATTGCTTACTTGATCTCTACTCTTCTGCCTATTCCATAATTAGTGCTTTTTGAACATAGTAATGAAATTAAGAAAATTATTTTATAGTACGATCTAGTTTGTGATAAGTCCATACTTCAGTCAGTCGCTCAATCGTGTTACTGGATTGGAATGCTACTAGGTTTGCTGTTTGGTGGCTATCTCTCTGATAGATTTGGTCGAAAAAAAATATTTACAGCTGGAGTAATTGCCATAACAATTGTCACATGGATCATGATTTTCCCAAAATCGTTTGTCGTCTTTATTGTATGTCGCATTATCATTGGTGTTGGCTTAGGTAAAAAAACTGTTACAGCGAACGATATTTTTAATTTAAATATACGCAGCCATTCATTTTCTGTATTATTTAATTTAGGTTTTCGAAATGCAACAACTATCGTTCTTCTCACTGAATTTACCACACAGAAACATCGTGCAAAGATTGGAGCTAGTTCAGCTTTGTTCTGGGCAGCTGGATTGTTGGTACTTCCGTTGATTGGATATTTTGTTCCTGAATGGAGATATTTTCTCTTGGTGACAGCCTGCTTTGCTGTACCTTGTTTGTTCATGAGCTAGTAAGTAATTTTTAAAGAGAGAAAGAGTAATTAAAGCGCTTTGCATTGCGTATTTTTCACAATGATTATTTCATCAGTTCATTATTGTTAATCATCTATACCTTGGCCCATACTTATAAACATTCATACATTTGTCAGTTTTATCCTCGAAAGCGTCCGTTGGTTACAACTTCAAGGCAAAGATGACATTGCAAGGAAGGAATTAGAAAAAGTTGCCCGCATAAATAGGAAAGAAATGCCAAAAGATATGATTAAGGAGTTTAAAGAGACTTTCGAAAGTGGAAATTTTAAGCATCTCTTTTACAGTTTAAGGGTTGCAAAAGTAACGTTGATTAGCTGGAATATGTGGTAGGTTTGCAGTTTCTTTTTTAAACATTTTCATACGATGCATAACCTTGATCTTTGGACAAGTTTCATTAGCTTACATGACAATATTATCATTATATGGCTAGGTTTGCTACATCTTTAGTTTACTACGGAGTTTCGTATGGTTCCGTGGATCTTGGTGGAAACAGATATCTTAATTTTGCATTGTCAAGCATTGTCGAGCTACCGTCTAATGTCTTGTCCATTATCTCGGCTAACAGGTCAGCAATTTTAATACCACTTAAACTTTGGTGTTCAAACAGTGTTTAATAGCGTTTAAAACACAAAAAATTTATAATTATTTCATTATAGCTACGCAGTTTCTTGCTTTTTCTTTGGATCAATATTTCATCAATTATAATATTTATAAAAAAGCAAAATGTTCATGGATGAATATTTTCAAAATCAATTTATGAAAAATTCTTTATTTTAGATTCGGTCGGAAAAAAACTGTAATTGTTGGTCTTCTGCTTGCTTTTGTTGCTTCGATAATCTCTGTATTAATTCCAGGAAATCGTTCAGATGACGGTAAATATCTTATTGTTCAGTTTTTCGATTTTAACTAAGCTCTAAAAAAATTGGGCTGCTTTACTCGGACATTTCGTATTTATATGTTCAGGTTATACAGCTACAAGGATCATTATGTCAGTTCTTGCAAAGTTTTTCATAAACATGTCATTTTCTGGAATTTATATTTGGAGTACAGAACTCTTTCCGACTTTCATAAGGTAAGCTTAATGGTACTCAAGTAAAGATACTCAGTATTACCAGTATAACATTTGAGTTAAATTGATTTGTGTCACATAAGCCCGCCCTAACCTTCTTCAACAATATAGGTCAACTTATTAAGCACTTTTTATATACAAACCATAACTTATAACGATACACAATATTGATTTATAGAGGTATGGGTGTAAGTACATCATCAGCTGCAGCAAGACTTGGTTCATTTTCAGCAAGCTATATCGTTTGGCTGGTATGCTAATAAACTTACTTCAAGTATTGCAATAATAATGGTATATAGAGGAGAGGAATACTTTTTTTCGATTGGCGTTTTTACTGGTTAATTAATACCTGGTAGAGTATTACTTAACTACCAACTACTAATTAATACCATAGTAGTAGTAGGTTGAGAAACACTAAAGTTTATGGTGTATTTAGGTGAAGTAATTAAATCAATTGCTTTTGATTTTTAAAATGTGCCGAGGTCAAAGTTTTGAAAAATGACCCAAGGAAAACTTTTTCACCGAAACGAGCAAGAAAAAACCTATTTATGACGTTAATCTAATCTTTGTGAATCACGAATACTATAGAGGCGAGGTCAAATGGAGAATCATAAACAAACATATAAAAAATTTTTTTATAAAATAATTGGTGATCATATAGAGTTATATCACTGTCTTTGTCTATCGTGAATACACTTCATGACGTCAAAATCTTATTCAATGTTGCCATTCAATCGTTATTAATACGAAGTAAGCAATGTTGAACATCATTACAAGTTTTTTATTTGAAATTGCAAGTAAATGTTTCATGTGAGCCTTGAATATATTTGCTCTGCTCTTGCACTTTTCCGTCATCAGTGTTGTGTAGTTGTCTTAACAGGACTGTTCATTATTGTAGTCCTGAGTTTTTGTCCTTTGTGGTGGCACAGGGGTATAGCTGTATGTTGGCACTGGGGGTATAGCTGTGTGTTGTAATTAAAAAAAAACTACAAGAACGAGAGGATGCATCGTGTACATCAAATTGCAATAGTTTTCAGTAGTTTACATAAATATTAAGCTTGTATCGATGTTAACGAATTTTATCCACTAAATTTATTTATTAAATCAGATTGTAACTTTGACGTATGGTAAGTATGAATGTAATCAAATTGAAGTTTTTTTCATTATAGATTCGTGTTCATCCCATGCTGCCATATGGTATTATGGGTATGATTTGTCTCCAAGCAGCTATTACAGCAATGTTTCTTCCCGAGACAAAAGGAAAACCAACATTAGAAACGCTCGATGACATGGTACAAAGGGCTTCATCTACGGCTGTGAAGTTCACTGTCACGGATGAATTAGTGATTGCAAACAAAGCAACAGATTGCAGCATCGAATAAATTTACCGACATGATAAATTTTAGTTTTATTACTTAGAGCAGTAGTATTGATGATTTAAGATGTCACTGACTATAACTGACACTAGTGCCAGTCCCCATGAATCAAAAACAATATTGCATAATCTAGTACTTTCAAACTCTTTTCCCGAAACCACAGTATAGAGAATATACAGTAGGGACACTCCATTGAATTTTTTCGTGCCACGCATATCTTAAAACGCGTGTGATTACCATATTAGCAGCCAGTAAATTGCATTGTGTGACCAATAGGATTGACGATATGGCAAACGACAGCCAGTAAACTAATTAAATATACAGCAGCCAGTTGCACAGCAGTGGCCCTACTGTATATTCCTATACTGTGCCGAAACTATAAGAATCATTGCGATCTGGATATAACCGGGAACCACCGGTAATGGTACTTTACTTATATTCTGTTGTTTGGTTTGTTGTATGTTCATTTCTTATCTAATTCTAAGCATATTTTCTGTACGTATCTAGTTGACATCTGCTATCAATAATACCAAACGTTGCGTGCGAGTGCTTTTGTTAATTTTCGGTAGTAAACGATTCCCCTGATGTGCCCAGAACTTTTATACTGCGAGAGTTACATTGACAATCCTTATAGGTATGATGTAACGTTTTTGCGCAGTGTCGTTCAAACAAGAACAAAAATTCAATTGCTTATTTACGATTATTAAAGTGAGATAACAGATCCTCAAGAAAGGAATATTAATTACAGGATTATTTTCAACATGGCTTAACTGGAGCTTGTGAGATAAAGGCAGCGAGTCCTGCAATATATAATTTGTTCAAAAAAAGTCAGTTGTATAAGCTTTTAGCATATTAAAATTTGATTAAGTGTACCCACTGATTACGTAATGTTGTCTTTTTGCTGTTTGCATTTTTGATAGAAAAATCATTTCTTATAAATGAAAAATCATCAAAGAAGAGGTTTTAAAATTTATTTCAAAAATATTAAAAATTTCTAAAACACTGAATGCAGATGGCATTATATTTGAAACACTTTTAACTTTCAAATATATACAAGACCTGCACTAGAAAAATACAGAATAGTATAAAACTAAAATAAAATAAATTTATAAAATGTGAAATAAAATGAAAATATATCTTGAAATAAAACATATACATGCAAGAGCTCATGCAAGCTAGCTAACATGTTTTGTGATACACTGAGATACAAATCTTAAGTCTATCTTGTCCTCAGTTTACGGCACTATAGGCAATCGACATAGAGAGTATAGAGAGTATTTCTTGACTGAATCTAAATTTCTACTAACCATTTTGATACTTATCCGATAAATCTTAGAGATGAAAGCAAGAAATATTATGTAAGTATAATTTTATAGTAGTATATTCTGAAACTATAGTTAGTATGTTAGTAAACGATGGGGGAACAAAAGGAATCAGAGAGATTATAGTATTAGAATGGAATGTTGCAATAAATTTTCTCAATGATCAAACGAATGAAAAATAAAAAATAAGGCTTAATTAATACCTTCCACCTGAGAAATGATTAGAAATGATTAGCTAACATGATTAGAATTTCATCCCAATTCAAACAATAATTTTGAACTTTTTTCGAAACTTTGTCTATTTTTGCGATCGCTTAGCATGTTAAATAAAAACTTGACGATATAATTACCAGCATGCTATACGCGTAAAAATTAAAGAAATTTACTGATTAAAGGAAGGATTTCACATACACTATAGTAAAGAATTAAAACAGGATTTTTTTTCTACTTGATTTCGTTTTAATTACAGCAGAGTTGTAGTTTTGTTAAATTTATTAAATTCTCATGTTTCGCATATAAGTAATACTTATGAAATGGCAAAGTCAGCAATATTTTTATAGCCATGCTATGCAAATATTCTGTAAAAGCAACGAATTTATTGAAAAATAAGTTGGATATATCAGATAAGTATCAGGTTTACAACGACTTAAAATGAGTTTCAACTTCGTTTCTTACAAGTTTTGAAATTAAATGTTTTAAGACTTTCTAAACAATGCTGCTTTGTGGTTTGATGATTGCCGTGGACTGAGATGAAAACGCAACATTATATTTATTGTAACATTTATCAGATGACTTGGACAATGCCTATTCTCAGTCACATATTCCGATAATTCTTTGCAAAAGCTTGCAATAGCTTTTACACAGCATAAACAGGAAACTTTGCTGCCACTATATATATGTGGCTGTTGGAAAATAATTTGTGGCAGTTGAAAAATAATGTGAGGCTTTTTTTGCTTTTCCTGAAAATTTATCGTGTTCAAAATATATCAACGAACCATGCAAAACCATTTAATAGATTCAGCAAGTGACAGACATTGATTTTAGAAACTTCCAACAACAAATCAACAGCTTAAATTGTGAGTTTGTTTATCTAAAATTTTCACCAGATACTTTTCCTTGCTGAAATAATATTCAAAAGCGTCTCAATGACGCCATTTTAGCTAAGTCTTTGCTCCGGTACTGTACGTCTATGAAAGATGGATATATCCCATCTCTCGTCAATTAATGGTTGTAAATGACTGTTTGTAAAGCATGCATATTTTTAGATATTTTATCATGTGTATGAGGCAACAGCAAAAATGATGTGAATGCAATACACTTAAAATAAGCGTTATTAAAATTCAGCGCACCTATATTTACCGTTTTTTGTTGTCTGTTTGACGTCTTTGGGAAGTCTAAAGCGTGAGTATTTCAATTTTTTTACTTTTGTTCCTTCTGAGTTAATGCTCCTGTGATAAAAATAATAAAAAAATGTGAAATGAAATATAGTAGTATCATGTTTTGTCCTTTCATCACAAGCAATCAAGATGATTTAGCTATGATGAAGTTAGGACAATAAAACCTCTCATAGAAATGTAAAGTTAGGGATGTTAAAATCGTGATCTTTTATGTGTCGTAAATAACGATTGCAAGTCATAATGATGAACATAAATGAAGATGAGACATATTCACGTTGCATACTTTATAGCTACACCAGTTTGATTTGAGTGAAATGACAATCCATCCAGCAATAACAAATTAAAATTCACAGAAAATGTTCTACAAAAAAGAAAAGTTTAACATCCATAGTAAAGTAAATTATATCGTTAACAAGAAAACATTTTATCAATAACAAATGTTACATGATCAACTATACACACTGCATAAAAATGTATTAAGTTCATATACTCACCCGTTATTTTGCAAACTTTGGGATCTCATTCTTTATATTTAAACTTAAAAACGTAGAAATTGAACCATGTATATATCAATCAGTTTAGCGTATTTTTTTCAATGCACATATTCTATCCACTTGGAAACCCGTTAACGGTCTCCAAAAAGACAAACAAGTCATGCATGTGTGTAGTGAGTTCAATCTTGAATAAATTAATTTACGGTTATTTATTAAAGTTTGTCAATATAGTTACAGAGACAATGCCAGTAACCCTCAGAGAGCAATTAACTGTGCACATTTTAAGAATTCATTAGATCGACGGTTCAATCACTTTTGCTTCATTTTTACATATTCAATATACAGGGTGTTATTGGCCACGTTACAAATAGATATACATTCCTGATGAGTTCGTGGCACGTTATATGATTCAAGTCACCTAAGTTTCAATTTATTCGTATTTTTTGAATAACGCTGGACTGTTCATTGAAAAATAATGCATTTTTTTCAAAAGAAAAGCAGCTAGCCAGAATATTTCAAAATTGCATTGGCAAATGGTAATAAATTGTCTGATGATAGATAGATCAAGATGTTTTATAAATGTTACACGGCTGTTTTTCATCTGTAAAATTTATCTTTTAGCCATGTGTTATAAATATAGATTAATATAGATGTAGGTATTGCAATATTGGTATAAAAATAAATTATAGATTGATTCAAAATATCTTAAGCCACTAAAAAATAACTTTACTTTCTTATCCATGGATAATACAGTACATTCAATTATTTATGCATTTAAACCACTTCTCTACCTAAACTACCTTGAAAAAAGATAATCAGCTCGCTCATATTCAAAGCCTCGTGAAATTATGTCTTATTTAATGTGAAGATGTCTTCGGAAAAAGCAAAACGTCATTAGTAAAAAACCCTTTATACCACAAAGCATGAAACCTTTCCTCATCCATGGTCAACACAATCAACGATGCAATCTTCGTCAACTATCCTCAACCTCGAACATGCTACGCAGCAAACAGGTTCAAACAAAACTCAAAAGCTTCGCTTCTCAATTCTCACTTTCACCGGGTAACTGGCTTCAAAGTACGAGTACGAACCAGCACAAACCATTCCAAAAACAAACACGTCACAAACACGTGTTACTGTGACAAAAGTATCATATTACGAAGGATACTAAAACGAACTGAAAAACTTTCTAAGCGTCTCTTGACTTAGTGACCCTGACATATAAAAAAGCCTTTTCTTTATAGCACGTTTGTTACTTGCCATTTAATCGGGATATACGCTTGTGGAGTTGTTGCTGTCATATATCAACAAAGAGCTCTGGTTAAACTCTGCATTATCCACTTCTTGCAGGTATAAATTGGAAAATATAGAGTCTATAATTTCTAGTGCTACTAGAGAGAGTGTAGCTTATATTAATCTCGATGTTTAAGCCTACTTTTTAGGCGAATATCAATTAGTTACTCTCTTTACAGATGCGGTTGTATCACAGGTGTCCTTCACTCATATTAGCTTGAACTTTACCATTAAAAATGTCTGTTATACGTCATTCTTCAGTACACTGTAAATATTGGTTTTGTTTACATGCTGAAAGATATTTTATTAACAAATTCATCTGCTATGCAGAACAATCTTTGTAGTATTGTACATTTTCAAGCAAAGGAATTCTTGGTAAATAGCAAGGTTAGTTAAATGAATGAGTTTCTATTTTCAAATACATTTTCTGATCAAATAGTATCAAGGATGGTGAATTATTATGAAGGACGAGCTTTGAAATAATTTGTAATTCCAGCTGCTATTTAATACAAGTAATTTGTGAGTGGTAAATTATTTGAGTCTCTCTGAGTATACGCTCTTTTATATTCGTACATGTAGCCAAAATAAAAAAAATACCCAATACCCAATAAATGCACCTTGGATGTTACTCTTATTAAAAGGCTTTTACATAGCAGTGTATAGGAGCACGATTCTCTCTCTGGAAAGTGGAAATAAAGGTCTTTAGAAACAGCAATTTATCACGTTCTGAAGAGCAGAAATGACGTTATTCACCATTTTCGTTCTACGAATATTTCACAGTGGAATATTATTAATTCCCTTCATGAAATTTTGAATTCATTTACAAATTTCAAGTGTGGCAGTTGTATACAACTGAGCAGAGTAATAGTCGTGCATCATAGATACAGTTACTACAACATTCGTAGTATGAATGCTACAACATTCGCAAACTCAGTACAAGTACTCGCCCACAACAATATAATATCGTGTAACTTGATAATCAGTCGCTTCTTTAGCCAAGATCGAATGCCATTCCCTCCAACATAAAATAGCAGACAACTGAACAGTTGTTTTTTAGCATGAAACATGCAGACGTTACATTCAACCAGTAATTGGGGGTTTTTATGTGAAATACTATCATAAATCCATCCTTGTGAATTCGTCGAAATACGTTACACGAAGGGAATCGTGCATGCGTGGAAAAATTGAAATCTGTGATGTATAGTTTCACCAATAATGTGAACGAGCACGAATAATGCTCATTAACGAAAAATTAATTATTTCATGCGTGAATATATAAATTTTATAAAGGTGAAATGAAGAAAGAGCTCACAATCGACCAGGTGCTAGACAAAATCGGCGAGTTTGACAAGTTTCAATGGCTGATGCTTGCAATTTTTGGTTACGCTGAGTTTGCCCTGGGTGGCTTTTCCATAATGATTGTAACATTTATCACTGCAGAACCAAATTGGCAATGTGTGAAAGGATATAACAATTCAATCTGTAATTTTAACGAATCTATTGGCTTGACCAGTAAGCATTATAAAGACAGATGCGACATGCCAAGAGAGGCATGGACGTATGTTGAAGGCTTTACATCTACTGTGACAGAGGTATAAGAGTGGTTTGAAGAAGTTTAACAATGACAATGGAGCATATCAAAGCATAATTCAATAGAAAACAACACAATTGCTTACTTGATCTCTACTCTTCTGCCTATTCCATAATTAGTGCTTTTTGAACATAGTAATGAAATTAAGAAAATTATTTTATAGTACGATCTAGTTTGTGATAAGTCCATACTTCAGTCAGTCGCTCAATCGTGTTACTGGATTGGAATGCTACTAGGTTTGCTGTTTGGTGGCTATCTCTCTGATAGATTTGGTCGAAAAAAAATATTTATAGCTGGAGTAATTGCCATAACGATTGCTACATGGATCATGATTTTCCCAAAGTCGTTTATTGTCTTTATTGTATGTCGCATTATCATTGGTGTTGGCTTAGGTAAAAACTGTTACAGCGAACGACGTTTTTAATTTAAATATACGCAGCCATTCATTTTCTGTATTATTTAATTTAGGTTTTCGAAATGCAACAAGTTTCGTTCTTCTCACTGAATTTACCACACAGAAACATCGTGCGAAGATTGGAGCTGGTTCATTTTTGTTCTGGGCAGCTGGATTGTTGGTACTTCCGTTGATTGGATATTTTGTTCCTGAATGGAGATATTTTCTCTTGGTGACAGCCTGCTTTGCTGTACCTTGTTTGTTCATGAGCTAGTAAGTAATTTTAAAGAGAGAAAGAGTAATTAAAGCGCTTTGCATAGCGTATTTTTCACAAGGATTATTTCATCAGTTCATTATTGTTAATCATCTATACCATTGCCCATACTTATAAACATTCATATATTTGTCAGTTTTATCCTCGAAAGCGTCCGTTGGTTACAACTTCAAGGCAAAGATGACATTGCAAGGAAGGAATTAGAAAAAGTTGCTCGCATAAATAGGAAAGAAATGCCAAGAGATACTATTAAGGAGTTTAACGGGACTTTGGAAAGTGGAAATTTTAAGCATCTCTTTTACAGTTTAAGGGTTGCAAAAGTAACGTTGATTAGCTGGAATATGTGGTAGGTTTGCAGTTTCTTTTTTAAACATTTTCATAAGATGCATAACCTTGATCTTTGGACAAGTTTCATTAGCTTACATGACAATATTATCATTATATGGCTAGGTTTGCTACATCTTTAGTTTACTACGGAGTTTCGTATGGTTCCGTGGATCTTGGTGGAAACAGATATCTTAATTTTGCATTGTCAAGCATTGTCGAGCTACCGTCTAATGTCTTGTCCATTATCTCGGCTAACAGGTCAGCAATTTTAATACCACTTAAACCTTGGTGTTCAAACAGTGTTTAGTAGCGTTTGAAGCACAAAAAATTTAAAAATATTTCCTTATAGCTACGCAGTTTCTTGATTTTTCTTTGGATCAATATTTCATCAATTGTAATATTTATAAAAAAGCAAAATGTTCATGGATGAATATTTTCAAAATCAATTTATGAAAAACACTTTATTTTAGATTTGGTCGGAAAAAAAATGTAATTGTTGGTCTTCTGCTTGCTTTTGTTGCTTCGATAATCTCTGTATTAATTCCAGGAAATCGTTCAGATGACGGTAAATATCTTATTGTTCAGTTTTTCGATTTTAACTAAGCTCTAAAAAAATTGGGCTGCTTTACTCGGTCATTTCGTATTTATGTGTTCAGGTTATACAGTTACAAGGATCATTATGTCAGTTCTTGCAAAGTTTTTCATAAACATGTCATTTTCTGGAATTTATATTTGGAGTACAGAACTCTTTCCGACTTTCATAAGGTAAGCTTAATGGTACTCAAGTAAAGATACTCAGTATTACCAGTATAACATTTGAGTTAAATTGATTTGTGTCACATAAGCCCACCCTAATCTTCTTCAACAGTATAGGTCAACTTATTAAGCACTTTTTATATTCAAACCATAACTTATAACGATACACAATATTGATTTATAGAGGTATGGGTGTAAGTACATCATCAGCTGCAGCAAGACTTGGTTCATTTTCAGCAAGCTATATCGTTTGGCTGGTATGCTAATAAACTTACTTCAAGTATTGCAATAATAATGGTATATAGAGGACAGCTAGTACTTTTCTTCGATTGGCTTTTTTACTGGTTAATTAATACCTGATAGAGTATTAATTAACTACCAACTACTAATTAATACCATGGTAATAGTAGGTTGAGAAACACTAAAGTTTATGGTGTATTTAAAAAGGTGAAGTAATTAAATCAATTGCTTTTGATTTAAAAAATGTGCCGAGGTCAAAGTTTTGAAAAAGAACACAAGGAAAACGTTTTCACCGAAACGAACAAGAAAAAACCTTGTGAATCACGAATATTATAGAGACGAGGTCAAATGGAGAATCATAAACAAACATATAAAAAAATTTTTTATAAAATAATTGGTGATCATATAGAGTTATCACTGTCTTTGTCTATCGTGAATACACTTCATGACGTCAAAATCTTATTCAATGTTGCCATTCAATCGTAAATTTGTTAGTAAATGTTTGATGTGAGCCTTGAATATATTTGCTCTGCTCTTGCATTTTTCCGTCATCAGTGTTGTGTAGTTGTCTTAACAGGACTGTTCATTATTGTAGTCCCGAGTTTTTGTCCTTTGTGGTGGCACTGGGGGTATAGCTGTATGTTGGCACTGGGGGTATAGCTGTATGTTGTAATTAAAAAAACTACAAGAACGAGAGAATTTATCGTGTACATCAAATTGCAATAGTTTTCAGTAGTTTACATAAAATATTAAGCTTGCATCGATGTTAACGAACTTTATCCACTAGATTTATTTATTAAATCAGATTATAGCTTTGACGTGAGCATGGTAAGTATGAATGTAATCAAATTGAAGATTTTTTCATTATAGATTCGTGTTCATCCCATGCTGCCATATGGTATTATGGGTATGATTTGTCTCCAAGCAGCTATTACAGCAATGTTTCTTCCCGAGACAAAAGGAAAACCAACATTAGAAACGCTCGACGACATGGTACAAAGCGCTTCATCTACGCCTGTGAAGTTCATTGTCACGGATGAATTAGTGATTGCAAACAAAGCAACAGATTGCAGCATCGAATAAATTTACCGACATGATAAATTTTAGTTTTATTACTTGCAACAAAAGTATTTGATGATTTAAGATGAGTATTAGTGCCAATCCCCATGAATCAAAAACAATATTGCATAATCTAGTACTTTCTAACTCTTTTACCGAAACCACAGTATAAAGAACATACAGTAGGGACACTCCATTGAATTTTTTCGTGCCACGCATATCTTAAAACGCGTGTGATTACCATATTAGCAGCCAGTAAATTGCGTTGTGTGACCAATAGGATTGACGATATGGCAAACAGCAGCCAGTTGCACAGCAAAGTGGCCCTACTGTATATTCCTATACTGTGCCGAAACTATAAGAATCATTGCGATCTGGATATAACCGGGAACAACCGGTAATGGTACTTTACTTATATTCTGTTGTTTGGTTTGTTGTATGTTCATTTCTTATCTAATTCTAAGCACATTTTCTGTACGTATCTAGTTGACATCTGCTATCAATAATACCAAACGTTGCGTGCGTGTGCTTTTGTTAATTTTCGGTAGTAAACGATTCCCCTGATGTGCCCAGAACTTTTATACTGCGAGAGTTACATTGACAATCCTTATAGGTATGATGTAACGTTTTTGCGCAGTGTCGTTCAAACAAGAAAAAAATTCAATTGCTTATTTACGATTATTAAAGTGAGATAACAGATCCTCGAGAAAGGAATATTAATTACAGGATTATTTTCAACATGGCTTAGGTGAAGCTCGTGAGATAAAGGCAGCGAGTCCTGCAATATGTAATTTGTTCAAAAAGTCAGTTGTATAAGCTTTTAGCATATTAAAACTTGATTAAGTGTACCCACTGATTACGTAATGTTGTCTTTTTTGCTGTTTGCGTTTTTGATAGAAAAATGTTTTCTATAAATGAGAAATCATCAAAGAAGAGGTTTTAAAATTTATTTCGAAAAGTATGAAAGATTTCTAAAAGCACTGAATTATAGAGTGAACTCTATCAAAGGCGACGAATTTCTAGGAAAACAATGATTTGCTTCGTCAATGAGATGTATTGCTTATACCAGATTATTGGAGTTTTGAAACTCTTTTAACTTTCAAATTTATACAAGACCTGCACTAGAAAAATACAGAATAGTATAAAACTAAAATAAAATAAATTTATAAATGTGAAATAAAATGAAAATATATCTTGTTGCTAAAGTCATGGACGACGCAAGAGGTCATGCATACTAGCTAACTTGTTTTGTGATACACTGAGATACAAATCTTAAGTCTATCTTGTCCTCAGTTTACGGCACTATAGGCAATCGACATAGAGAGTATAGAGAGTAATTCTCGACTGAATCTAAATTTCCACTAACCATTTTGATACTTATCGGATAAATCTTAGAGATGAAAGCAAGAAATATTATGTAAGTATAATTTTATAGTAGTATATTTTGAAATTATAGGTAGTATGTTAGTAAACGTTGGGGGAACAAAAGGAATCACAGCGAGATTATAGTATTAGAATGCAATGTTGCTATATATTTTCTCAATGATTAAAATAATGAAAAATAGAAAATAATGCTTAATTAATACCTTCCATGTGAGAAATTGCTTTCTTAGTTGGACTGCAGGCTAACATGATTAGAATTTCATCCCAATTCAAACAGTTTAGAGAAACTTTGTCTAATTCTGCGATCGCTTAGTAATGAGCATGGGAAATAAAAATTTGACGACATAATTACCAGCTGACTATGCGGGTAAAAATTAAGAAATTTACCGATTAAAGGAAGGCTTTCACATACTAGTAAAGAGAACGGAATTTTTTTAAATTCTTAAATTCTTAAATTCTTGTGTTTGGCATATAAAAACGTAATACCCAACAAATGGCACAGTCAGCAACATTTTCATAGCCATGCTATGCAAATATTCTGCAAAAACAACGGGTATTTAGAAAAGTAAGTTGGCTATATTTTGGTTGTAAATGACTGTTTGTAAAGCTAGCATATTTTAGATATTTTACCATGTGTATGAGGCAATAGCAAAAATGATATGAAATCAATAAATACACTTAAAATAAGCGTTAAAATTCAGTTCACTAAATTTACCGTTTTTTGTTGTCTGTTTGACGTCTTTGGGAAGTCGAAAGCGTGAGTATTTCAAGGTTTTTACTTTTGTTTCTTCTGAGTTAATGCTCCTGTGATAAAAATAATAAAAAAATGTGAAATGAAATATATTAGTATCATGTTTTGTCAAGTTAGGACAATAAAACCTCTCATAGAAATGTAAAGTTAGGGATGTTAAAATCGTGATCTTTTATGTGTCGTAAATAATGATTGCAAGTCATAATGATGAACATAAATGAAGATGAGACATATTCATGTTGCATACTTTATAGCTACACCAGTTTGATTTGAGTGAAATGACAATCCATCCAGCAATAACAAATTAAAATTCTGAGAAAATGTTTTACAAAAAGAAAAGTTTAACATCCATAGTAAAGTAAATTATATCGTTAACAAGAAAACATTTTATCAATAACAAATGTTACATGATCAACTATACACACTGCATAAAAATGTATTAAGTTCATATACTCACCCGTTATTTTGCAAACTTTGGATCTCATTCTTTATACTTAAATTTAAAAACGTAGAAATTGAACCATGTATATATATTAATCAATTTTAGCGTATTTTGTTCAAACACATATTCTATCCACTTGTAAACCCGTTAACGGTCTCCAAAAGACAAACAAGTCATGCATGTGTGTAGTGAGTTCAATCATGAATAAATAATTTACGGTTATTTATTAAAGTTTGTCAATATAGTTACAGAGACAATGCCAGTAACCCTCAGAGAGCAATTAACTGTGCACATTTTAAGAATTCATTAGATCGACGGTTCAATCACTTTTGCTTCATTTTTACATATTCAATATACAGGGTGTTATTGGCCACGTTACAAATAGATATACATTCCTGATGAGTTCGTGGCAAGTTTATATGATTCAAGTCACCCAAGTTTCAATTTATTCGTATTATTTGAATAACGCTGGAATGTTCATTGAAAAATAATGCACTTTTTCTCAAAAGAAAAGCTGCTAGCCAGAATATTTCAAAATTGCATTGGCAAATGGTAGTAAATTGTCTGATGATAGATAGATCAAGATGTGTTATCAATGTTACACGGCTGTTTTTCATCTGTAAAATTTATCTTTTAGCCATGTGTTATAAATATAGATTAATATAGATGTAGCTATTGTAATATTGGTATAAATATAGATTATAGATTGATTCAAAATATCTTCAGCCACTAAAAAATAACTTTACTTTCTTTGTATGATTGTATCCATGGTTAATACAGTACATTCAATACTTTATGCATTTAAACCACTTCTCTATTTTCTTAACCTCTTTTTGAGTTCTTTATCACTAGCTGTAGAAAGGATGACGGACGAATTCTATTTGTTTGTTGCATCTTAGACTAAAAATTTATGTTATTGAATATCAGTTTCAATAACAGCGACCAGCTGCAAGCTGAACTTCTTTAGTAGAAATTCACAGATCAAATCTTTCAATCTTACAATTGTTGTCAAAACGTAAAAAAAGTATAAAGTTAGCACAAAAATTAATAAGATCTTTTTAACAGCAATTATATTTAGGTACTGTTTTGAATGAAATTAAACAAGGATTCTAATAGACCTGAACCAATTCTTGAACAAAAATGACGTTTTAATAACCACCTCTACTTTGCTCGTACAAAATAAGAACTAAAGAGTTTATTCAGATGTGAAAGTGATAATTATATAGATAATACTATAAACTTCGAGGTAATGTTGCTATCAGCAGCAGTATTAAAAATGACAACTATCTTTATACTGCTTATTCTCATTTAGTAATCAATACTTTAAATAGCCCAAAAAAACTGAGAACTGAGAAGGAATGGATAGTACTAGATATTGACTGACTCTACATTGTTGATACTGTCTTAAAGTGATAGGAGCTTACTGCTTATAATCCAAGACAACACAAAAAAAACTTAACAGATGTTAACATGGTTAATATCAATAACTATTTTGACTGACGATAAAATTTTAGGACAAAACATAATAAGCAATTTGGCTCTAAGATTGATTTGATGCTGTGTTCTCTTCATTCAGTAAGCAATGACGACGTTTTAGATTGTTCAAAACGAACCCTTCAATAACCTCTATTACCGAGTGTTGTCAAAATCTTATGTGCACATTATAAACCATAGAGTGCATGCTTTTATACAAGTAATTTGGAAGGTATTCAACTGAATATTTTACTATGGATATCGCAATATCGGAGATTATATTTATTAAACAATTAAGCAAGCTGATTATCATTAGATGGATCAATATACTGGTCAGCTAGCAAATAACGTATGTCCTTCAGTCTTATGGAGCCATCATTTCAAAACTGCTGTTCATGAACGTATAAGATGCAGCAACTATACTCCAAGACCATCTTTCATAATCCTTGCTAATGATTGATGCATAATGTACGGTCATGTGTAGAGGTATCATACAAAAGTATGTCTCAATATGAAACAAAAACAATTTTATAGTAAATGGCGACAAAAACAAAACAAAGTCAACAAACAGCTGTGACTTCAACCATAATAAACATTCACGATCCTATAAAAAGAAATGAAATTTTACCCAGCCATGTAGAATCATTTGAGTACCAAGCGCTTGATGACATTTCAATTAACATTATGTCTTTTAAAATTGCTGTAGTCTTCGTTGTACTTTGTATCTTTGGAGTGTTATGCTCAACCAAAAGAAATCAGAATGTTAAAATAACACAGGTAAATGTATATTATAACTTTGTTTCTAAGGCATTTGAAGACACAGTAATCACATGAAAACTTTGATCACTACTGATTCTAAAACCATAAGCAATGTAAAAATTGAGAAATGGCAGCGGTTTTTTATTTTATCTGTAATGCATGCAAATGGTGATATGATGTCAATCATTCTTTTTGACCTTCTCTCAAGTTGAAACTTTTTCAATAGCTTCACCTTCGGAGGTTAAAAACAGCAGTCACGACACGTTAGAATCCTCTCTAGTAAAAAAGTTTTCGAATGTATCCAAAAGACTTTACACTCTGGTAAAATTTGTGCATTTGTCACCAGACGCCAATGATAAAAATCATTATTTAGAAACAAAATCATATACTTGTATTCCACCGAGTAGAAGCAACATCGTTGAATATTTACTTAACTTATTTAAAAAATACTGCTGAAAGCAATTGTATATGTTCTTTATTTCTAACAAATAAATCTCGTCATGTTTTGTGTTGTTTTGCTGGTGATGATAACAAAGAACAACACACAAAAAACTCATGGAGTTGTCATTATGCTACAAACAAACAAAAATCAGTAGTTATTTTTGTCGTTGTATCACTTGTATGAGGAAAATCTGAATGTTTAGCAAAGTGAAAGACGAGGGAAGAGCAAGCGAGAGATAGCTTGGCAAAACTGGATTTTAAGACCACCATATTGCATCCCATACGGTAACACTTGTCCAATTGGCGGTGCAAGATTGTGCTGTTCATGGCGATGTTTCCCACGATTTGGTTACAACAAACCGTAAGTTTTGTTGAGTTATTATCATTGATTGATAGCTATAATAAATGACATTGAAGAAGATTGAAATAAAAACAGAAATTCTAAACTCAACAAATAACGATCATTAAGTAAAAAGGACTTTAGTCAGCATTGTCTAACTATAACTCGCTTGTTTTTAACAGATGGCGTTGTGTGTAAGACGCGATCCTGATTTAAAAGCTGTCCATCACCAAGAGTCCTCCACTTCACATGGATAAGAAGTCTTAATTTTTATAGTCTTGGATAATTGTATTTTATGAATTTACTGTGAACAACCCATCATTAGAAATAAAAATTGCATATAATTTTGGTACAACTTTTGCGTATCATTCACGCTACATTAGTTTGAATTTCTTCAACTTTGGTGTCAAATGTAAAATATTCGAGAAACAGAAACTGACGAGTTTAAACTAATGTAATTCTATAAAGTAAAAAAATATTATAAATAGTAATAATGGAACTTCGCAGTTAAATAAATGGATGGTTAATGCATTACTGGGGTTACGTTTTTGAGCAACAAAACTATCGTGTTTAACAGTTCACTTGACAATTCTTATATTCGTTACTGAATTCCTGAAGTCAAAATTATTTTGGTAATATTTTACTGTTCATGTGATTATTCTATGAATTTAGCAAAGTTATTTAGTTTAATTCATATTTCATCGTCCACCTTCAAAAGAGTTTGCAAAACTAACTGTAATATCATTCAAATACATAAGCATTCTCAAAAATAAAGGTCTATTTTTCTACAGTAAAACTCTCGATTCGAATTTTTCGTTTTAGTTTGATGGTCGTCAAGTTTTTGACCAGTTGATACTTATCCATTTATTTACACTTTCCTTTAAGACGGCGATAACGCGATCTGGTTCCTTGCTTCCAACAATAGCACTTCCTGAAACGATCATGTTTGCTCCAGCCTAAAATTTATGTGCATGTTAAAATAAATCATAAAATAAAAAATGTATAAAGCGTGCTCTGATTGGTCGATGCCTGCGGAAACATTAAGTAATCGTTTCGTATACCATTGAATAAAGTGTAGAATGTTTCATAACCATGAAAAATTGTGGAATACATTCGATCTCTTTCATTTTCTCAAAATAACTCACAAGCTTCTATTTTGGATAAAAATTGTCGTCAATCAATATTATTTACATGTAACAAATGCAAAAGCATACAACGTTTCATTATACGTTTTTATTCGTTCGGAACATTGCAAGTTTGATAAAGGCCATAATTTTCATTTGTTGTATTAAAATGAAATAAAATCAACTTACTTCTGCAGCAATATCAATTGTGCTTGGTCCAACACCACCATCGACCTCAATATCTAATGATTTATATTTTTTACGCAAAAGACTTACCTATAATGTGAAATAATATATATTTAGAACTTAGTTTAGTAATCATAGATTGTAGATTACATGTAGCAGAACTATATTGCTGACGTATGTAGCAGAATTATATTGCTGACGTATGTAGCAGAACTATATTGCTGACGTATGTAGCAGAACTATATTGCTGACGTATGTAGCAGAACTATATTGCTGACGTATGTAGCAGAACTATATTGCTGACGTATGTAGCAGAACTATATTGCTGACGCATGCATAGCACAGCTGGAGACATCGTGAGTAATCTAACATATATCGGAACAGGTGGGCAAAAAAAGCAACATCTAGACTTTATTACAAATTAGTTCTTTGTACTTAAACACGTAGAAATATGGCTGATCAAACTGCTTCATTTGAAAATGAACTAGTTAAGTACTTGGTAAAAGCATGAGAACACAAGGAAATTATAGCATTCTTTTTTTGTACAATGTATATTTTGAAATACAGTCACAATATTGCATTTTAGGTTATGCGCATCAAACTTTACAATATAAAAATTATATTTCATTACACATTTGGATCAAAAATTACCACTTCCAAATAGTATTTTAGCAAAAACACGAAACGATCGACACTCCGTAAAATGCACATAAACACATAAAACTCTCACGACATGGCATAAGTAGCCATGACTTCAAACAATCACTGTCTTTTTCACTTGCAAATCAAGGATAGTGCCTAAGGCCTCTCTTGTTGGCCCCGCACTGAAACAACCCCCCCCCCAACCCATTTCGGCGTTTTTTTTCAATTGGTATTTCAAGTATTTTATTGCGGATATTACATTGCACGCTTAAAGTAAGAATGCTTAATTTATAACATGTTTGTTACACTGTTATTAAAATTGTTATTTTTAAAAAAATTCACTGAGTTAGCTTCACATGGCTCACGCTTCACAGGTCCTTATGAGGTTGATGGTTTCTCAGGGTAAAATCCTTAAATATCCCTTGGTGAGAGCAATGTTAAAAAAACACAACCTTTTGACTTGTAATTTGTATCAACCACAAAACACTTCATGCGTTTCTTTCATTTCCCCCATCAATTTCTATTCCATCCCAATTCATGTATTATGAGCGTAAATCGACTGACTTCATGACCAATAAAAACATTTTTAATAAAACCTATCACACCTGACTCTTAAAATAGTCTGATGATTCTTCTCATAATAAATAATTGTTCTACATCATGACAATAGTGTAAATTAACTATTAGCTTATCAACTGTACACACTCATTGTAACTCGTGACGGTGAAAAACATCACAATTATCATAACATAAATTAGCAATTCTCTAACGTAACAATTATCTTAAATCTAGCACAAAAGATTGTTTAGTTGTGATTCTTTCATTTTATCTTAGAAATAAATTCATGCCAGTGCCGTATTTCTAATATACCAACGTGAGTACAAGCATTCTGCTATAAAATTTTCCTTGTTATAGAATTTTGCGTTTGTCGCAAATTGTTGACATTGTCGAGTTATAGAAGTATATTTTTACTTACAGCTTGCAAGTTGCAATACATTGCTAAGGCATGCTAAATGTGAATTTTTCATGTTAAATATTTATTCTTCAATCATGCATTGACAAAATGCAATTACATTAAATCAGGAAGAACATAAATTTCATTTTAAGAGGTTGCTACTCATACACAGTATAAAACTATACGCTACTTTGACCAAGTTTTGCCATTATATAAAAGATAATTCTTAAAATGTAAAATTCTTTGCTATTATTTAACTTACTTTCGGCATCATGCTAGTCATAAACTTTTGTCCACCAAAGCCAGGTTCAACGGTCATAATTAAAACTGTGTCGAGAAGATCGACAAAAGGCAACACACTTTCTACAGGCGTTCCAGGTTTAATTGCCATACCAACCTTTATAAAATGTAAAAAATACACAAATGACATATAAAATTTCCTTCAGTAACATCAACTCTTCACTTTTGTCAATCATTACGTAAATTTCAAGGTTCACTTATGTCGCAAGTTGTATATAATAAAAATAAAATCAAACCTTCATTCCGGCATCTTTAATAATTTGAATTAGTTCAAGAGGCTTTTCTATGGAGAATAAAAAGTAGAATAATCGGATCCAGAAACTTTTCAAAAGTGACAAGTATATTACGTTGAATAAAAATTTAATGAATTCAAATTTAAAATTGTAATAAAATCAAAACTAAACATAATAAAAAATAGGCGCGGATTTTCTGAGGAAAATTCTAAAATGGAAGTACGTAGCTACTGTAGACTATTATCGTAATGATACAATGAGCGAAAAGTGGAATTTTTCATTTCAAAGACAATTACATATTTTATACTATCACCATTTGCAATTGACTTCTACCATGCGTGTTTATATTGAAACATTAAAATCAAAATAAATTAATATATGCGCACTAAACTGTTACTTTGTGATGTCAACTTAGTTTGCACTTTATTTCTTGCCCCTGGTTTGTCTCGTGTGAGAGCAACTGCTTTAATCGTGTTTTACTCGGAGTTGGTAATATTTGGAGACATAATTTATAAAGTTTTAAGAAAGTAATGAACAGCTAAAAAACTACTCTAAGTAATAACACTTTTATTACTTAAGGCTCACTCATCTGTAAGCATAATATACAATTGCCGGAGGCCTTGGCAACAGGATAACTATTCCCCCGTTGGAAATTTGCACCCCTCCTGTCAAATGAGCATTAATCTGCCCTGCTGATTCAAAAGCAAGACGTTCGGAAATCTTTAAACTTAAGCCAGCACATATGTACGTAATATTTTTCCTGTTTAGAAGAAAAATAAAATTTTCTGAAATTCTTGCATTGCATATACTCATTGACATCTCTTTTACAAAAGAAAATCGAAATACATGAGAAGATTATTCAAGATAGTTAATCTTTTATATGAACAACAATACGCAAAAGTGCATGAAAACATAGAAAACATATAGAAACATACAGAATATACAAAATTACACTAAAACGCAGGAAAATATACTTACAAATAAACAGAAATTTACAATAACATAACAATAATGTAAGGATAAAACATCTGAACCCAAAAAATAGTTACACCTGTCGCTTCTACGTGAAATATGTATTGATTAGCTCCAGCGTCAGAAATATCTTTTATCCACTACCAAAAAAAAAATGAGAACACTATAAATATTTCACAAATTTTTTCTGGGAAAAGTACTAAACGGGGTCAAATTTTAACAACTAGAATTTACTCAAGCACAAAACAATTGACATTCCGTGGAAAGTAAACATTTACTCTAAATGTTTCGACAAGTATAACGCGTCGTTATCAGTGGATTATGTAAACTTTTCAAAAGTACAAATTATTAACCGTTCATTCACGTCATTTAAATTAAATAAATCAATGGAGGATTGATACTTTCAACATTAAGGACCAATTGCTACAACGATCAATAATTTTTCAGTTTTCAAAATTATATCAACTAACGTGTCGTACTGGAAGGGGGGACCAGGGTAGGGCATGCCCTGCCCAGCAGTCATTTTTTTGGGGTGGCGCAGAAATCAATAGTGCCAGGATTATGAAAATGTATGGGGTAAATGCATTTGGGTAAGAATGCAGTTTAGCGAACACCAGTAGCCATCTTGCAGTGACCATGAAGACTGTGGGCACATATTTTAGTAAATTTAAAGGGAAAATGGCAATCAAACAACAACACTCACGGCCGCTTAAGTCAAAACGTCGTTTCACTTATTAACGAGTGACAAAGCAAAAGCAACGTTATAAAAATTAGGGTCAGGATTATAGTTAGGGTGAGGGTCAGGCTTTCGAAATTTGAAATTGAATCTAAGCTATCAACTAAGTTGAACTCGCATGACTCTTATATGCATTTGCACTAACAATTTTCTGAGCCCGCTCCTCTTTTCTGTTGATCAGCGACGTTAGGTGTCTGCTAAACTGCATTTGATTAGCAGGAAATTTGTTGTATCAATTTATTGCAAATTGTTACTAACTATAAATGCACATCATATTAGCCGGAATAACTGCATTTTTCAAATGCAGGCCATAGGCGATAAATTGATATAACAAATCGATATAAAATACTTCCTTCTGTTTTGTAAGGCATGGCACTAGCTATCGCACATGAGATTCTTTTTTTTAATAAGATGATCGACAATAATATATCTTTAATTTTTTATAATAATCAACTTTTCTGACTGTAAGCATACGTGTCAAAAATACGAGATCAAATTACAAAATTCGGACAATCAAATGGTCGGACATTGTATTGTTTATGTAGAATAGTAGCAATAAAATAGAAAAAAGATATAAGAGTGAATAAAAACCATTTTCCGTCAAATCAAATGAAAGCTTGGATATGACATGCAATATATATGCAAATACAAAGTTATGGAGAAAAATAAAAACATATCTAACATTGTCACAGATATTACGAGTGGCACAACAAAGTCTTGATGAGTTTTATATGCATTTGTCAAAACAAGCTTAAGAAGACAAAGAGCATGCCAAAAATATATTATTGAAAATTTGCAACGCGCATATACAATCACCAATTTCAGAGCTCGCTCCGTCACAAACTTACTGAGAATCAATCTGAGCATGCGTAGTCAACAGTAATGTTTCAATTAACTTCTTCTGACACTGTGCCTTTTTCTGACACATATAATTTAAGACAACCTTAAACATGTTTCATACAATTTTTATTGGTTTATATCTTTCTGATTTAACTCTCTAATTTACTGTTTCTCATGTATCACGATCAAACCATACATGGGTTTCATGGCAAACAGGGATTATCTGGTTCCCTTAATAAACATAGTGTTCAACTATCTCGGGGTATCGGGAGGCATGGACCGAAAACGCGCTTTTTTGTTTTCAAAATTTGTCTTTTTTCTTTACAAGAATTCTTCTCATAAAAGAAACTAGAACGTCCAAGGATACTGCAAGGTTCAAGCAACTTCTGCCTTTCTGACTGATTATTTAAACCAACACTAAGCATGTTTATACGTTTTTTACTTGTTACCTTTTACAATGTAACTTTCTCATAACTCTCTCGTGATGAACGAGAGCCTCCTTATACAATATGACTCTTTCATCACGAACGAACGCATCCATGGGCTTCATGGAAAAGTGATTAAATACTTTTTTTAATAATAGTTTTTGCAAAGATAACATTTAATAAGCCAAGCCATTTGTATTGTCTACATTGAACCTTTATGTCATAAAATTTTAATTTAATTCATTTTGGATAGTAAATTTCTTTTTTCCTTACAATATTTTCATGATTCATTCTAGAGAGTAACTTCACTTCTCGAGTGATTTTGCGATTAAACAGTACACTTTTTGGCTTCAAAGGACTTCTTTTGATCGCATAAAGACAGCCGTCCAATTTATTACGTAAATGCATGTTATATGCATTTCGTTGTATTAAACCACCATACCAAAAAATATCCCGATTTGATTTTAGCTGCATCGAGCGAAGAAAATTGAAGAACTTTTTTGACATTTTTTTATGTTATTTATGATTCGATGTATCACGAGATTTCAGATGGGATTCATGACTGCCTTAGAATACAATTAACACGCACTCTTAATAAGACAATGTTTTATGTTTTCATTTAGCGTCATCGTAATTTTATACGTACATTTAAATAATCGTTCTGAATAACTAGAATCCGATTCATAAATGCCCCAAATTCAATGTCCTACCATTTGATGTCCCTATTCTACATAAACAATACAATGTCCGACCATTTGATTGTCCGAATTTTGTAATTTGACCTCTTTTTTTTGACACGTGCGTTAACCGTAGGAAGATGGATTGAATCTAACTACTTTAACTGCTTACTTGTTCTTTATGGTGAGAGCTTAGGTCTTCAGCCCTGTTTCCTAAATTTGATAATTAGGGCATATTTTTATTAATGGTCTCCTGAGATAAAACGTTCCCAGCATGCCACTGTCAACCAATCCAATAGATTAGCATGTTCAAAATTATGAATGTTATTGTAAATTTCTGATTTGTCAGATTTTGCATAAACATTATCTGTTTATTTATTTATTTGGTTTAAATGACATGAATGAACAGTTCATCAAGATCTCATTAATAATTTGAACTTTTTTAGAAAGTTCACATTTTCTACAGATGATGACATGTAATACTTGTCAAAACGTTTAGAATAAACTTTATTTTTTACAGTGTCAATTGTTTGTGCTTTACAATGAATTAAACATGCTGTTTTAGGTAACCATGTTATATTAGCTAAATAACAATTTGCTAAATTTCAAGGAATATGTACATGTTGCAACAAAATTGAATCAAACATGTACAAGCATTGCTTTCATTATGTAAGAAACTCACAAACATAAAAATTTGTTTCCAATCATTGAAAATTAATAAGCAATTAATGGATGATTAAGAATTTTCTTATAGTGGTGGTATTCTTGTTAAAATTAACTATAATGTTGTACTAAGATTCGATGGCATAATCAAATACTACAAAAAAAGTTTGGCTTTAGCATAATTGAGTTTATTTAGCTCCAGATCAAGGATTTCGTCAAGTTAAGGGTATATCATTCGGAAATATCACAATACATGTACAATAACATTTTCATCAACAAGTTATCATTTATCAACAAATTATTCAAGCTTAGAAGAGGGATCCAAGCACCTCAATCTGAATCCACCCTTGTTTAGGGTTGGAGTTGAGTTAGAAATAAAGGCAATAATCAGGAAAGAGTAAACATCTAAGTATAGTACCTTTTCAGGATTGGATACCATCATATGTACGTCTAAAACATAGTCAAACAATTAGCAATGAAAAGATATTGTCCGTATGCAATATGGTAATATCAGTCAAATGTATGGTTGTGAAATCATCAGTTGAAAACACATAATACTCAAATTTGATTGGCAAAATATCATTCTTTTGAAAGTAAAATAAAAATACAAAATATCAACTGAAAGAGTTTCAATAAATTTTGCCATTTAATAAATTCTAATGGTTAAAAAAAATCAATCATTCAGAAAGCAGAACTAAAAAAGAAGGCTGATTATGCTTCTGATTTCAAAAGCACAGACAACTAACTGGTCACCACGTCACCACATGAAAGTTACATAATTATGATAATCAAAGAAAAATTTTGTTCATACTAAAGAATGAAATTTCTTCTAGCATTTTCCATTATCAACGAAAAAAAACTCACCAAAAAATACATTTGGAATTTTTTGCGCAAACATTTGACCAAAGGAGCACCAAACGTCAAGTTTGGAACAAAATGACTATAAAACAGACATGTAAAAAGTGTTCAAATACTTTAACTATGAACTATTGATATACTTTAAGAAAGTGTTTGAATTGAAATCTCGTCTCTCAGTGTTTAATCCATTTACACATTTTTATACATTCTCCGCATTCGAATATTAAAATATTATTAAATATATATCAATGTTTTATTCACGACAGTCACACTGTTCGACATTTTGGTTTGATTAAAAAAAATATGATTCATGAGGCAAACATAACTTACCCATCCATAACATCTAAATGCAAATAGTCTGCACCATCTGCAAGAAGTTTTTGGGATTCTTCAGTTAAACGTGAAAGATCAGCATTAAGTATGGAAGGACCAATTTTACATTGAGGACGACACTTTTCTTCCATCTTAGCAATAATTTCGATGAAACTTAATGGTACTTGATGTTAAGTATGTTTTAAAGGCTCCATCGTCATAATAATCTTTGACCGTACTGCGCAAAAGCACTATTGATAATGCGCATGTTTCAACATCTCATGATGCCATCTTCAGTATTATGTATGTAATAAATATATATAGGAGTAATATTATACAGTGATACAATTTCTACAATTATGAGTTGATTATACATTTTTTTATCATTTGTGTAAAATTGTAATTATCGTTTCAACGTAAGCATTACTGCCATCTTTTTCATTTCGACACTTTATTACCAAGAAAAGACTGAAAATTCCCAAAACTCATTACAAGACTGCCATGACATGTGGCAATGTAACATCTAACTTTCGTCGTTTTGCAATAACGCAATAAGTTGTCTTACAAACTTTGCAATGAAAACCTTCGCTCTCTGTTCTCTAATGTATACGGTGCTTTAACCAATAACACATTGAAGCAGGGCTCTTGAGGGTCAAGAATTTCATTGGAATTCTCACATTCATAAAAGGTGAGATCAAAATATAGGTTGCTAAGATTGATAATGTCATTTGTCAAATACGGCATGACGAAGATTCATTTTGTTGTAGCGATTATCAGACTAAACATTGTCCTCATTTGAATCACCAATCGTTCGTCTTTACTAGATAGTAAATGTACAGGTCAAGAAGACTTTGGATAAATAGCAATTGTTTGGATCTTTATCTAAAAAAATTATAGGTACGTAAAACCATATTAATTTGCACATAATTTCTTTTTCATTTTCTAAATGGTGATCTATAAAACTATAAAAACCCTGTTTAAGTTGAATAATTACAATTAGCTAATCGTGATCTTGTTTAAATGCATGATAAAATGAAATGAAGCAGTCTCTTGCTCAGTCACTATCGTCTGTTTCATCATATATCGAATACCTGAAACGTAAAAAAGACATTCATACAGAATCCTCAATGTTATACGTACGGAAAACATTGAAAAAGTCCAATATTCTTTTAAATAAAAATCCAACGGTTGTACATATGCCAACAATTACATAACACATGGAAAGCAAGCAGGTTTATGGATTTGAAATGAAGGTTTTTTAAATTTGTTTTACTTTTGTAATGATCTGAACAATGCAACATTGACTGTTCATGTGCATGAGTTATTGGGTTTAGGTGGCGGGGCAGTGGAGGGATTAGAGTTAAGACTTGAGATACAATATCTCGCACTTCATCAATATGCAAAAATCAAAGGACAGCAATTAATCTATACGTGGTTAAAACATACATGTATGTACGTAGGATTGTATTAGAGGGTGTATGCAATCTTTAATATGAAACTATACTCCACATATAACTTTTAAACAAAAGCCAAAGTTTCATTTAAATTGAGGAGAATAAAGCGAATTCAACAACATGTACTTTAGAGAATTCATGAAAAAAAGTGAAAAATCTATCTTGAGGATATGGACTGCAACATCAAACACTTGAAACAGTTATGCTGGTCAAGGGCTGAAGTAATACGATCAATTAGTCATTTTTCTAGTTCTAATAGTCTCAAGTGCTAAAATCGAGTCTTCAACGAAATGAAATAAAATAAAACAAAAAAGACAATGTCAAATCAAGGATGTTTTTGTTGAAGATATTTACAAACAGTTCCTGGAGTTTATGGTGCTTCTACACTTTATTTCAAAAATATTTTTGATAAAATACTAAAACTTAATAAAGCATGTAGGTTAATTTTTGTTACAAATTAACTTACAATTTAAGTTCATGTTTTCCAGGAATGTATTACATTACATACCCTTAGTTTAAGCTCACAAACAATGGAACTTTCATGTCCAGAATCACGAAGTGGAAACGGCTGTTCTACCGACATATCAACGGCTTCAATCAAAATGTTTAGTGGTATCTCCAACACACCAATACATTTTTCCTTTTTACTGTCAATGACCTAAAGTATATGTAATATTTAACATGAGAATGTTATTCTCAGATTCTATTTTTAACACTTATCATCGATTCAAGACATTTTCTGTAGCATACCTCGATGTTCAACTCTTGATATTTAGCATTAAACACCAAGAAACGGTAAAATTGATCCCATACAGGATTTAATGTATCATCGATGACCTACAGTGAATACAAATTTTGCTACATCATGAAACAGCAAGAAAAAGTTTTAAAAATAAAGTCAGTATTATAATTTTTTTTGTACTAACCGGACTCTCGAACGTCTTGTTTCCTAAAGTCAACTTACAGAATGCACTGGTTGAACGTTTTACTTTATTGGCAATCTAAAGAAGAATAGTAAAGTACAACGATGTTTGCATGTTTTTAGAAGAAAGATTAAAAAACAAAATAGTTCTTTGTATTAAACTAAGAACTGGTAACATGAAATTGTTTGCAACGCTAGCTCTAAAATGACAAGTTCATTACTACTATAATAATAGAATAATGAAATAAAAGTTTTGAGTTTATTGCCTCAATTGGAACGCAGTTCAAATACAACATTGATCTACAGCTATACGAGTTTTTGTTACATTAGCACTATACATAATATACGATTGGAGAGCTCTAAAATAAACATTAAAACATTTGCTATCAACACAAAATAATCACAAGGAAAAACTTACAGGTAATTTCTTGGCACAGTCCAGCTTAACAAACAATGCAGAATTTGCAAACAAATTATTAGCTTGTTCACCATGAACCTAACAAATAAAATAATCAACACCAATACATTATCTTCACTGGCCAAAGACATACGTAGTTAGCTTTAATAACAATTAAGGAGAGGGAGTATTAACTTGTACATGTAACAGTGCATGTATACGTTTTAAAGAACAACTGGTTGACTGTAAAGGGTACGTATCTTAATTAAAGGAAAAAGAGAAACACGGTTTTAATGTATAAATTATTGTCACCGAATGGCAAATGACGTTTTCTGGAAATACAGATTACCTGATTGCTAATAACTAAATCGCTTGGATCGTTGGACAAGGTAAACCAAGTACATTTCACATGAATCTCTCCAGATTTTGTGTTTTCCAAAGGCAACCACTAGAGATAAAATGAACGAAAAAGTCTCTCGAATAAAATTTTGACAGCCATAATGAAAGTGCAATACGACAAATAATTGCTTCACACTTGCCACCTTTAATATTCAATTTACGTACCAAGTCAACTATTCCCTTGTCGGCAATGGTGGATATGTCCAAGTCGAGACTACAAAATAATTTTATGTTCTTTATTTTCTCACTGTTTAGTTGAATTATTTGTTGATTACTTACTATCCCATTGATTCATTGTCTGATACTTTGTCGTAGTCGTAAAGATGAAGTTTGATTTTTTGACCATTTGGATAATCGACAAAGAACTGCAACAAAATAATAAAGAACAGTTGCAAAGAAATATGAAATAGAAACTTTGTCGTTGAAAAATTTATGAAAATACCAATTACCGCGGTGAGTGGTCAAAATAATAACTTAATAATTCCTTAATATGTGGAGTTGTTTAACACAATTCTTTTAGGAACTATTACGTTATTATTTTTATCATTTCCCATGGTATTTTCTATTTTCAAAAGAAATACGAAACGTCAATAATTATGATGAAAAAAATATTTCTCGCAGTTCCACACAAGAACACAATTTATAATGTCAATATTGAACATTTTCAACCTCAAAAGTCTCATTCCACTCAGGAGTGAGTGTGCCCTTCTTCACATCAGTTTTAAATGTATCTGCTCCAACTAAAAAAGGGATATAAAAATTACACTAAAGTATCTGGATGCTGGATTCTTAATACAAAGGGAAAATCCAGTGTTTAAATTATATCAAAAAGATAAATTCCATTCTTACTTTTTACAATAACAAAAGGATCTGCTGTTCCTTCCTTAAACAATCCAATATCTTTCTTTTCCAAGTCACGAGCTTCGATTACTTCCAGTCTTATCACCCCCTAGAAACAATAAGTTACGAGTTATCGCACATGACTTATTTTGCGTTACCCAGAACGCACAAATAATTGGAAAAGATAGTATAATGTTAACTATTGTAAGCTTCTTTTGGTAGATCATTCACACGTGATTTCAAAAATGAATCTGTATTTGCAGTGCCATCTAGCTAGCCTCGATAATTGCGCGGGGGGGGGATATTGATATTTGCTAGGCAGTTTAATCCGCGGGAAAAAATGATTTTAGGAAGCTTAATACGACAGAATAAGAATATTGACCGCCCAAATTATCCAGCTAGTTACAGCCTTGTGTATATGGCAAATTGCAACTTACATGTAATCAGATAGCACTATATAATCACAAAGTCACTAACAAGGACGAAGCATATTCGTGGTGTAGAACTAAAAGTGGACAATGGAGTCTCAGAAATCCTTGAAAATCGAGGTGCATAAAGGAAATTTTGACACTCTTCATATACTTATTCGATCTTTTGTTTTTGTCGATTATAATTTCATATTACAATTGTCGTCAAAATTCTTATCAAAAACATCACACTCTTTTCAAAAACTCATAATTACTCGCAGTCACACTAAAACTTCAAATTAGCAGGTCCTTTTCTAAAAAGAGGTACTTTTAAACCTGTCTCCATTTCACCAGTTATATAGTTAGATCTAGACGCCCTCCCCCCCAGAAAAAACAATCTCCATTTAGTTCAATATAGGGCTTTCTTAAACCTCCAACTTTTATACACCAAACCTGCATTAAATACAAATGATAATGTATATAAACTCTTTATAAGAAAGGGTGATAAAATTTTATGTTTAAAAAATTTCTTCGCAACAATGACAATGCAATTATAAAATCAGCATCGCTCAATCAAGACAAAAAGCTATATTCAAACCTTTGGCATAGGATACTTAAGACCAACAATACTGTTCTCGTTAAGAAGTGGAATATTTATACGATTTGGAAGAACACAAAAAGAAGAAATGACGTCACCAATGGCGCCACGAAGAATTCCACTATGAAAAACAGTCAAAATATTTGGTAAAATTATTGTATAGGGTATTCAATTGATTTTGATTTTATCATATTTTCATACGTAATTACCTCAGTCCAGGCACATCAAGTACATTGAGAAGATTTGTGAGGTTAAAATCAAGTTCCTTCAAAAAAAAAACGAAATTTACAAGTTATTTTAGTTGATAAACTACTCTGCGAGTTACTACAACTACTCACAAAATATGAATGGGAACTTAGCTTTTTACGTGTAATAAGAAAGAAAGAAAGAATGAAAGGAGATTCCAATGAAAAGCAAACAGCAAAAAGTTTTATGTATCCATACAGATGCATGCATTTGTCTGTCATACTAAGAAAACCTAGAGTATCTGCTAAGTACAAACATCTACCAGCCATTTCTCTGGAAGATGTATCCAATAAAGTGAACGTTCGTATGTCTGTACTACAGGATCTCTACAGCTTATTGCAAGATAGGTACGTTGGTAATATCTCTGAATATTGAAGTGAAAATTTCTCACAACAAAATCAAATTGTGTTCAATGAATTTAATCTATATTTAATGTCATTTATTCTACATAGAAAGACGTTAAGGAAGGATAATGTTCAAAATCTTGTTCATTTCAGCTTTTATTTAGAACATTTCGTCAATGTTTCTGAGAAACACTTTCACAGCATAAAATGCAGTGCAATTTATTTATTACGTTTCATTATTGAGCACATACAGACAAACACAAAAACACAAATTCTTTTGGAAAAGTTACCAACCGGTTTATCCAGGAAAAACAAAGAAACACCAGCAACCAAAGGCGACGCTGCAACAAGAGGAGACATGATCACGCGCAAAGTACCTCGGAGCTGTAAAGAAAAGTAAGGTGAAAATGAAAATTATCACAAAAGCAGTGTGTGTACAATTTTTTCATTAAAAAAATGGATTTTTTGTACCCAACAATGCATGTCAGCAATTTTAATCTAATCAATCTACGTACCTGAATGTCTTCAATTCCTACGGAAATAAATTTGACAGATAATTGGAAGTCTGCATCACCAGAATATCTGTAAAGTAAATAAACAATTAATCAATTACGTATCAGTAAAACCATCTTTGACTGTTAGGCCATCAAATGTTTTTTAGCTTGTTTGATTTTTGGCTTTTGTTAAATTAGCATTTTCAATATTTAGTTGGGTTTTTTGGAAATGATCCAAATAGTCTCATTCTTAAAGTACTTTAATAATGAGGAACTAATTTTGTAGAACTGAGTTTTTCATCGAGTTGATTGCAATAAATAAAACTTCAGGATTCACTTCAACGAAAAATCATTAAATTAAAATGTGACCTTCAGACATTTATAATATGAAGATAAATCAAAACCAACACTCAGACTCATGGCTATAGATTTACAAAAATAAAGTTGAATTGACTTACATAACGTCAATGTCCATGATCACTTCTGATCTTTTAACATTTTCAGTGTAAACTTTTACTCCCCCAATACGAGGAGCCTAGAAATATGTACGAAATTAAAATATAGTCAATCCTGCTCTAGTTCTGTTATAATATTTTCCATTCAGGGTATGAGGGTAACTTCAAGGGACAACATATCACAACAGTCACAACCTATTAAATTTAACTTCAAGTTATCAATTTATATTAGTGCTGTGCCTCACGTGACTTTTATTCTTTGAACGACAAAAACAAAAGTAAAGCTTATGTAAAGAACATTATCAACTTCAGCCTGACATGAAAATTAAATTGTTTGATCTTAACACGCTGAAACTTTCAAGTTTGGTGCAGTTGGTAAACATCGTATACTCATACGCTGAAACTTTCAAGTTTGGTGCAGTTGGTAAACATCGTATACTCACACGCTGAAACTTTCAAGTTTGGTGCAGTTGGTAAACATCGTATACTCACACGCTGAAACTTTCAAGTTTGGTGCAGTTGGTAAACATCGTATACTCACACGCTGAAACTTTCAAGTTTGGTGCAGTTGGTAAACATCGTATACTCACACGCTGAAACTTTCAAGTTTGGTGCAGTTGGTAAACATCGTATACTCACACGCTGAAACTTTCAAGTTTGGTGCAGTTGGTAAACATCGTATACTCACACGCTGAAACTTTCAAGTTTGGTGCTGTTTATAAACATCGTATACTCACACGCTGAAACTTTCAAGTTTGGTGCTGTTTATAAACATCGTATACTCACACGCTGAAACTTTCAAGTTTGGTGCAGTTGGTAAACATCGTATACTCACGCTGAAACTTTCAAGTTTGGTGCAGTTGGTAAACATCGTATACTCATACGCTGAAACTTTCAAGTTTGGTGCTGTTTATAAACATCGTATACTCACGCTGAAACTTTCAAGTTTGGTGCTGTTTATAAACATCGTATACTCACACGCTGAAACTTTCAAGTTTGGTGCAGTTGGTAAACATCGTATACTCACGCTGAAACTTTCAAGTTTGGTGCAGTTGGTAAACATCGTATACACATACGCTGAAACTTTCAAGTTTGGTGCAGTTGGTAAACATCGTATACTCATACGCTGAAACTTTCAAGTTTGGTGCAGTTGGTAAACATCGTATACTCACGCTGAAACTTTCAAGTTTGGTGCAGTTGGTAAACATCGTATACTCACACGCTGAAACTTTCAAGTTTGGTGCAGTTGGTAAACATCGTATACTCACACGCTGAAACTTTCAAGTTTGGTGCAGTTGGTAAACATCGTATACTCACACGCTGAAACTTTCAAGTTTGGTGCAGTTGGTAAACATCGTATACTCATACGCTGAAACTTTCAAGTTTGGTGCTGGTTATAAACATCCTATACTCATACGCTGAAACTGTCAAGTTTGGTGCTGTTTATAAACATCGTATACTCATACGCTGAAACTGTCAAGTTTGGTGCTGTTTATAAACATCGTATACTCATACCCTGAAACTGTCAAGTTTGGTGCAGTTGGTAAACATCGTATACTCACACGCTGAAACTTTCAAGTTTGGTGCAGTTGGTAAACATCGTATACTCACACGCTGAAACTTTCAAGTTTGGTGCAGTTGGTAAACATAGTATACTCGTGTATTGACGAGAAGAAAACGCGTTTGATACGGAAATGATGCGTGCACTATGATACTAGAAAGCGATGCATATGATACGAAAACGATACGCGTATGATGCGAAAACGATACGCGTATGATACGAGAACGATACGCGTGTGATACGAGAACGATACGCGTGTGATACGCGTTTCATGCGCAAAAGTATGTTAACAAATACGCCAGCCGTACCTTGATTATGTTTAGACTGCAACTTCAGTTTCAATAACTTTTGCATATATTAATTTTGAATTGTGTTAAGCTATAATTCTGCATAGCTTACTATTAGATACTCAATGACTTTTTAATTCAATTAAAAAACCATTTACCCGATTTCCAAGACAGATCTCAGTAAAATGGATTGATTTCAACATTCCTGGAACAGAATTTTGAATTTGCGGTTCAACCTTCTCCTTAAGGATTTTAATCACCATTTCATTCACATAGGGCCAAAGTTGAGAGACAAACTATGAGTAGAAAAAAATTTAAGTAGATATTCTTAAATTTGTCATGAGCATATACATAGTCTAAACAAAAAATTTGATGCAGTAAAATAAGCAAACCTTATTGAGCCACTCTGCCCTTTCCCCATCAGGAAAAAAGACCTAAGGAAAGAAAATATGATGTTACATGAAATGTTGTCACTAAAACGTCAAGCTAAATTGACCAACAATGTTGCTACAACATATGAAAGAAACTATTATGCACAACAATGATTTATTAATGAAAAAAACCTGTGTTATGGATAGCCAATTTTTACATTGCTAGTATTATGTATTTCTATGCAATGCTCAGATAGAGACCTCTGTCAGCACACCTTCGATCCATTTAAAACTAAAAACTTTTTCAAATTCAAGGATGTGTTTTTTTGCAACGCAACCATATTAGATCAAATTACAAATCAGAATCAATGCAATTTTTAATGTTATGTTAGCTGCATCAAGAGTTAATGAATATGAAATAATATTGAATAATGAATAAGACTGGGGAATTTTGAGAAAACTAGGCTTTTAATTGAGAAAATTTTGAATCATGCTTGCATAGTAAAAGAACTTTTCATATAAACATGAAATAATTTGAATATGACTCACGTGGACATGCTTATTGAAATGAAAACTCAGGGATGGTGCCACAAAATTGAACCTGGCGAAGGCTATGACTTATATTTAACAAATTTCTATGTTTTATTTTGCTTCAAGTTAGGCTAAAATACATAAATGTTATACTATACAATACAATAGCATTTCCATTGTAATACTAGTCTATCATGAACCTGCTGTGAAATTAATAATCTCATACATTAATTTCATGTAATAAAGTCAATGGCTTCAACTAATATTGCAACGGTTAATGTAGTAAATACAATAGTAATAATGTGAATGCATTTGTAATAAAGCTCAGTGAAAAATAATGCCATTGAACACTTTATAATAATTACTTCATAGCCAACCTCTGTAAAAAGTGTAAATACTTTACGCGTTCGAAGTATTCCAGAATTATTCACATTTTACGCACTAGAACATTCTAATTAGCATTTACCAAAGCAACAACAAAAAATAATGCATAATTTTTAAATGTATTTTATCCATACAGCTCAAGCAATTCAATTCAAAGCATACGAAACAAACAGCCAGTCGAACTTTGAGTAAGGTCGTGGTTCTTTCCCAATAAGGTTGATAGAAGTAGACTCACACAGTGTGGCAAATCTTTGATGCGGTTTGTGTCGTTAGCATCAATTATTTCAGCTGGTTGCTCGATTCCTAATTTTTTATCCTTTTTATAACATTTATACAAAGTGTATATAACAATACCAGATAGTAACCAGCCGTAACTAAACTGCCAGTGACCAACAGACCAGACAAAGAAACCTCCACCAAAATATTTAGAAAATGAGATAACACCAGCATAGGCTCTTATCTTCGATGTTACTGATGCTCCAGAATTTCCCTTAATTTCAGAGTTTTTATGTTTTTGTTAAGAGGTTCTTTCGATCCGCTTTCAACGTCAGTCATGATAAAGTTCAATTGTCACTACAGTGTACCACAACTACTGAGACAATTAGCTTTTCATGCAGAGAGATGATTACATGTTTGTAAATGTAGATCGGCCAGGTTGTTATAGTCCTGAGAAGGACTGTTTTTGTTGTTGTTGACTGACGTTTCGACAACCTTTGCGGTAGTCATCTTTAGAGTCAAATGAGGAGTAAAAGTAGGTTAGCCGTATTTGTTATCTGGTTCTTACGTCATTGTATTGTGTGTACAGGAAATGTGTGGGTGTCAATTGTGTAGTGTCGTTGGGAATTAGTGTGAAGTGTAATGTTTTTAGTTGATCGTTTGATTGTATTGTGAATAAGTCGTTTGTAAGGTGGCGGTAATTGCTGTGATCTGTTCAGGGGGGTTTGTTCCAAGTTGGTATACCAACTTTCTAATGTAAGCCGTTGTCCATAGTCAGTACTGTATATAATGCATTTTGCCGAGTCCCAGTCAATGTTGTGCTTTGGGATTCGGTGATGTTCGGCAATGTGATTAGTTTTGTCTTGTTCTTAGTAGCTCGTTTGTGTTCAGTAAGTCTCATGTTTAAGTTCCTGCCAGTTTCCCCGATATAGGAGGCGTGGCAGTTTATTTTGTAAACTGCACCTTGTCGTTCGTTGGGTTGTTCTTTGTCCTTTAAGTTCGTTAATACTAGTCGTAACGTTGTGATTGGTTTATGTGCGACACGTATGTTGTATGGTCGTAAGATACTCGAGATAGTCTCAGACGTACCTTTGATGTAAGGTATCGTTGCTGTTGTCACTGAGTTGTTCGTTTCGTTGGGTTCGTTGGGTTTGTAAGTGTTGCGTTTAATAAAGTCAGAGTTATAGTAAATTGTGACTGGGACTCGGCAAAATGCATTACTCACAGTACTACGGTGGCCCATTAGTGACACGTTCATTCTATAGAAAATCGTGCTTTCATTTTGTAAATTAATTGATTCAATAATAAAAAGACAGTTTGCCTTACAAAAGTAGTCAACTTCAGCGAAACAACCGTATTCCACTAATAACAAAGAACAGTTTTCAATTTTAGTGACGCGTTCTGTACAAACTTGATTACTGTTCCGTAGAAAATGGTTGCATGTTCCGTAGAAAATTAAAAACATTGCGCGCATATAATTTATAATCTGTGATACATGAAGTTTCATGTCATTTGATCAACCATGGCGGCTTGTCGACTGTGCAATGTTAACCTTTAATGACTTTAATGACAAACAAAATTACTCCCTATAGGGCTTTTCCGTAACTATTTATAAAATTAAATACATATACATATTTGTCTTATAAATGAATGAAAAAATATTATTATTAAAAGGATTTTTAAAGATAAAAGTGACATTTCGAGATGGAACTACAAAAATCTTTTAAAGCTTTCTTAAAAGAATCAAGAGACTTGGAGCCATTCACATCTTTGTCTAAATTGTTCCACAATTTGCTCATGCATTTGGTACATCTCCATCAAACCAAAGAATTGAGAATTGGTGGTCATGTTTTAGAAAAACATGTTCAAGTTGGTGGGTTCAATTTTTCAAAGATCTTTGTGAGGAAAAGCAGTTAAATTTAAATGATGATTTCACTAAAGAATGTTTGTGGTTTTGTTTTAATGGTGTCTTGCAAAATTCATTTAATGATTGTCAGGTTAATCGGAATACTCACTATACTCGGCAATCTCTCCATGAAACTGTTGCTGGAGTTCCAAATGTTTTATATGCAATGCCCGAGGAGTATGGGGCTTTTGATTGCCAAGTGAGAGTTACTGAAGAGAAATTGCAAATAGCTGAGAGCAGTGGTTGCCATAATGAATTGTTGTATGATAATACTTTTCAAGATTATTTCCATTTCTTGGTTGAGTTGCAAAGATTACAATATCCGAAAACTATCAGGAAGCATCAGAATTATTTGCACTGCTAATGCAAAATAGTGTTTGTGTTATCTAACAAAAATTTTAAGTTGTCTTAACATTAAAAACGTTTTAAAAGAGAAATGTCTTTGAAATATATAATTGATACTGTATTCTTTAAATGAAGCCAAAACCAGAACTTTCTGCAAGTGTAGCATCCATTGTATCTTCAAATTACTTTGAATCATCAATATGAACTGGGAGTGTTAAGCTTGTAGCACAGGTAGAGGCTGTTGGTTTGCATCTTCAACCAGCTTTGCATCCATGCTTGAATTTCACAGTGGTGGTTTTTTCCATGCCAAGTGGGGTCACTGTTTCAACTCCAGTTAAAATTTGTACAATGCAGACAACAAATTTGTAGCTCCTTGAGAAACAATACGAAAAGTAAAATGAAGCAAATCATTGGATAAGTGAATAAGTTAACTCCTTTAAAATTATTCAGGAAAATTTTCCAGACTTAAAGAACTATTGGAACAATAAGAGCATCTAAAGATTGCACAATATATAAATGCCTTGATTACATTACTGAAAAATTACATTTTATATCCACTACTTGCAACCAACTTCAACGGCTTTAGCAATCGATATCCTCCTGGTATGTTCCTTGGTCCATGCAATGCTTATTAATCACTATGTATACCTGTTTTAGCTTCAAGAGCTTGAATGTAATTACAAAAAAAACCTGTGAATATTGATTTCTAATAACTTTTGGTTGCTCCCTTAGGACTGAATTCTGCCAAAATGTGATCTAAAGTATGATCAGCTGTCACTGAAAACTTTTGTGCTCCATCAATGGTAAATAATGTAATAGTTTTTAATGCTAGATTTTTGAGTTCAATTATACATCGGTTTCTTAGCATTGAGTCATTATAGAACTCAATGTTTCTTAGTATATATCGTGCGCGTGATATATCTCTCTATCTTTATTTGCTGTTGAAATGCTCCTCTTTTTTGTTTTAGCAATTGAGAATTTAGAGCACCTATCTTGTGCTTTTTGTTTTCGAAATTCATGAAAGGTCATTGGACGTAAGTCACGAGGCATATTGTCATTACAAATGACGGAAGTTGAGCCACTTGCTGGAGGGCTTTGATTGTTAGATGTGCCAGAGTTGTTATAAGACTGGATAATGTTATTACACTGCACAAGGGAATATAAAGTCAATAAAAGAGTTAATTTTACATGAATTCATTTCTTATTCTTTAATCTTTTTTGTAAAGTTGAAAAATTCTTTATTCCAAAGTCTATTCATTTTAATTTACAGAGACTGGGATATCAATTAATAGTTTTATAAAATATTTTCAATTAATTTACAAAATAGTCATTTTAAATTCAATATTATCTTGAATTACCTTTTTTTGTAACCGCATGGCCACAATTATGACAAAAACTTCCTCCTTGTAATATTTTAGTACCACAACTTCGGCAATACATTATACAAATACGAAATACATGTAAAATTCCTTTGCTACAAAAGAATAGAGAAATTGTCTGAGTGATATTTTCCTTCAAATTATACAATCAATCGTCGTCATACCTGTAACTCTACAGCCGCAATAAGGACAGAAGTTGCATGGCATAAAAGTTAACATTGCAGGGTCGACAAGCCGCCATGTTTGATAAAATGATATGAAACTTCATGTATCACAGATTATAAAGTATATGCGCGCGCAATGTTTTTAATTTTCTACGGAACATGCAACCATTTTCTACGGAACAGTAATCAAGTTTGTACAGAACGCGTCACTAAAATTGAAAACTGTTCTTTGTTATAAGTGGAATACGGTTGTTTCGCTGAAGTTGACTACTTTTGTAAGGCAAACTGTCTTTTTATTATTGAATCAATTAATTTACAAAATGAAAGCACGATTTTCTATAGAATGAACGTGTCACTAATGGGCCACCGTAGTACTGTGAGTAATGCATTTTGCCGAGTCCCAGTCACAATTTACTATAACTCTGACTTTATTAAACGCAACACTTACAAACCCAACGAACCCAACGAAACGAACAACTCAGTGACAACAGCAACCGATACCTTACATCAAAGGTATGTCTGAGACTATCTCGAGTATCTTACGACCATACAACATACGTGTCGCACATAAACCAATCACAACGTTACGACTAGTACTAACGAACTTAAAGGACAAAGAACAACCCAACGAACGACAAGGTGCAGTTTACAAAATAAACTGCCACGCCTCCTATATCGGGGAAACTGGCAGGAACTTAAACATGAGACTTACTGAACACAAACGAGCTACTAACAACAAGACAAAACTAATCACAATGCCGAACATCACCGAATCACAAAGCACAACATTGACTGGGACTCGGCAAAATGCATTACTTACAGTACTGACTATAGACAACGGCTTACATTAGAAAGTTGGTATACCAACTTGGAACAAACCCCCCTGAACAGATCACAGCAATTACCGGCACCTTACAAACGACTTATTCACAATACAAACAAACGATCAACTAAAAACATTACACTTCACACTAATTCACAATGACACTACACAATTGACACCCACACATTTCCTGTACACACAATACAATGACGTAAGAACCAGATAACAAATACGGCTGACCTGCTTTTACTCCTCATTTGACTCTAAAGATGATTACCGCTAAGGTTGTCGAAACGTCAGTCAACAACAACAAAAACAGCCCTTCTCAGGACTATACTAACCTGGACGATCTACATTTACAAACATGTAACGATACTCCCGGGTTCGAACCATTTACTTTATTCTTCTGCTAAGGTAAGCTAGGGATAATCTTTTGTAAATACTTATGGCTTCTTTGCATTTGGCGGAATACAAGTGCGAATTCCGGATCGAATCGACCTATTTATTTTGTCCATCGTTAAGAAATCGTAGCTGGATCTGTTATCAAACCGAAAAGAGGAAAAACTAATAGCAAAAGCAATCTCTTGTATCCTTAAACTTTTGTGTTGTACTCCTTGTTTGGCTATTTGTACTCCTTATTTTATTCTTTAAAGCAGGTTGCTCATCATTGTCGCCACTTTTCTTATTTTATATACTATTCCATCAATCAAAATGCGGCTGAGAATCAAGGACTAAATTTATTACCCTATCACAAATTATGTAAACACCGCGATTGATGTACATAACAGGATGTTTATGCGAGTATTTAGTAGTTAGGGTACGACAACTGTAGACAAGTTTCTAATTCCATAAATTAGAAGATTAACGATTCTAAGAATAAAATTTGGAAATATTCGCTTTCAAACTAAAAATTGGCAATTTGAAGTAGAGAAAATATAAAAAGCAACTAAGCATAAACCCCAGAAAAAAAATAATAACCTGAAGTCTAAAAACAAATACCGACAGAATAAAACACATTGCCCAGTTTATACTTCGTTTATTCACTCAATTCTCAATAGCGATGATAGTTGTTCGTTGAAACTAAATAAACACTTCATGCAAAAATACAATAATAAATAATTGTTTCCAATGAACAAAATATTAACAACGCACAACACGTTAGAGCTTTTTATTTCTGTTCGAACAGGAGGAAAATACAGCAAGCAAAACTTTGGGATACAACGTAAGCACAAGAACGCTACGATTTATGAATAAGTTTCTACAAAAAAGTGCCTTGTCCTGAGTCAACACGATGCTTAAATTTTTAAATCAACATGTTACTGGAAGAAGAAAGATACGAACAGAATAATACTCACCCATGACGGTAAATCTCTAAACGAGCACGGATAACCCCTTCTTCACTTTGTGTCAATGCTAGTCCAACTTTTTGCTTCCAATTCCTTTCCTCTTGTTTGACCTGCATAAGATAATAAACGAGAGCGACCAAAACAACCCACGAACACACAAAGCCAAGCCAGCCGAACAGCCATATGGCAAAAAACACGCCAAAGTATTTAAGAAAGGACAGAATCATTTTTACAATTCGCATATGGAGAAACGACCTGAATAAATCAAACACACGTTTAGTTTCATTTTCATTTATTCTTTCGCCAGCATTTGAGCTGTCTGCATTTTCTGCGTTAGTCATTCTTATTCCTGTTCAATTCACAACAAAGCGCAACTAATAGTTTTCAATTATATTTTCTTTGAAATGCGTAAAAGCATAAGATCTAAAAGTTTAGGTAGTGAACTCAGAAGTTCGCGTCGTTAAGGAAATCCAATCTTAATGACTTAATTTACAATGACACGCGGACGCATTCGCACCAGGCCATGCGCGCCAAGCTCGCGTCGTTGTAACGCGCGTCGTGAAATCTTAAGGTCTCAAATTGAACTCTCGACACAGCTGCCATTGTATACAACATTAACATAAAATTGAACAGTCATAATATCGGTAACACAACAAAATCATATTTTTCGAAGTTTTAAATTTTTGCACTAAATTATTCCTTACTTTTTTTTTCTAGTAAAACTATAATATAGCTACACAGCAATTTTTAGCTGCGGGTTTTACAATTACATTAGATAGTAAATTAAGCAGGTGGCAAAATTGCTATGAACAAAAAAACCCCAATTTAACAAGTCAAGTCAAGATGACTGTTCGATGAATCATATTTTGTACACATTTAAACAACTTTCAAATTGTATACTTCAGTCCATTTTTGCAATACTTCAAATTATTAATTGATACCAGAACTTTATCGATTCCACGTTGCTAACGGTAACGTCAGAAATGAAACTGATCTCATAAATAACATCGATTTCCAAGATATTCATAAGTATAATCACAAGGTTAAATAGTTGGAATGTTAATAAACAAAAAGAATGATGGCACATCGCTATAACCAACAACTACAAACAATAACAACCTTATCTAACAATATTTGAGAAATTAACCTTCCACTCCTCTTCGATTCATTCTTTTCCAGTGGAAAGCGGGGTGCTTTCACTGAAGGGCAATGATGTTTTGCCTTACATTAACACCGGATTATGTTACTGATATTTAATATGGAATTCGAGCTTTATCCATATGAGCTGTTTAACATGCTTCCAAACAAAAATGAGCAGGAATATTCAGTTGATTAATCTATGATAAACCTTTCACCTTTTAACTCTGCTATACCGGTAACAAGGCCGGGACTTGTAGCGTATAAGGCTCTCTGCTTTTGAGTAGACTTGTCTCGTTTACAAGGAAGAGAAGTGGAAGGTTAATTTCTCAAATGTTGTTAGATAAGGTCGTTATTGTTTGTAGTTGTTGGTTATAGCGTTGTGCTATCATTCTTTTTGTATATTCATACGTATATTTACATTTGCAATGGAACAACAGAGTAAAAATTGAATTTATAGCGATGTAAATCCACCAACGCATCAAACTAAAGTTCTTCCTTAAGTTTCTTTTTACTGGCCAATAGCAAGCTTTTGTTCTTCAAAAGAAAGCAAAATCGAGCAACAGTTAGATTGCTACGTTCTTCAAGATAAGTCCCTATCATATCATGTATTTATTATGTCTAATAAGGTTGTTGTATGTCGTACTGTTATGTCGGTACTGTTGTACGTCGTATTTTAACTTCCATAAACTGAACACGACTACGACGTACTACGATATGTTGCTCCTCATACATGAACTTAATCTAATGAATACAGAAAAATGTTATGTGAAACTCTGTACAACATTTTATCAGTTCAAAACCATCACAAGTCAAAATGTTCATGAAAAAGTAGAGATCCAATAACTTATGAGCGCAATTGTACGTTCTTTATGCAAAATTGTAATTATCGTTTCAACGTAAGCATTACTGTCATCTTTTTCATTTCGACACTTTATTACCAAGAAAAGACTGAAAAGTCACAAAACTCATTACGACAAGACTGCCATGACATGTGGCAATATAACATCTAACTTTCGTCTTTTTGCAAAACGCAATAAGTTGTCTGACAACCTTTGCAATGAAAACCTTCGCTCTCTGTTCTCTAATGTATACGGTGCTTAAACCAATAACACATTGAAGCAGGGCTCTTGAGGGTCAAGAATTTCATTGGAGTTCTCACATTCATAAAGGTGAGATCAAAATATAGGTTGCTAAGATTGATAATGTCATTTGTCAAATACGGCATGACGAAGATTCATTTTGTTGTAGCTATTATCAGACTAAACATTGTCCTCATTTGAATCACCAATCGTTCGTCTTACTAGATAGTAAATGTACAGGTCAAGAGGACTTTGGATGAACAACAATTGTTTGGATCTTTATCTAAAAAAATTATAGGTACGTAACAACACAACCATATTAATTTGCACATAATTTCTTTTTGATTTTCTAAATGGTGATCTATAAAACTATAAAAACCCTGTTTAAGTTGAATAATTACAATTAGCTAATCGTGATTTTGTTTTAATGCATGATAAAATGAAATGAAGCAGTCTCTTGCTCAGTCACTATCGTCTGTTTCATCATATATCGAATACCTGAAACGTAAAAAAGACATTTATACAGAATCCTCAAAATTATACGTACGAAAAACATTGAAAAAGTCCAATATTCTTTTAAATAAAAATCCAACGGTTGTACATATGCCAACAATTACATAACACATGGAAAGCAAGCAGGTTTATGGATTTGAAATCAAGGTTTTTTAAATTTGTTTTACTTTTGCAATGATCTGAACAATGCAACATTGACTGTTCATGTGCATGAGTTATTGGGTTTAGGTGGGGGCGGTGGAGGGATTAGAGTTAAGACTTGAGTTACAATATCTCGCACTTCATCAATATGCAAAAATCAAAGGACAGCAATTAATCTATACGTGGTTAAAACACATATGTACGTACGTACCATTGTGGATCAGCTTTTTCCAAATCCATGGAAGATAACGACACAATGGTCTGTCGAGGAAAAAAGAAAACCTCAAGCCTTGATCTAAAATCTTCTAAACGTCAGAACCACTCACTCACCCGTCCCATTGTTGTTTTTGATCTTGAAAAGAACGAAACATCATTCTTGACGATAATTTCCAAACTTCTCTTAGGCATTTCATTTCTGTCCACATTCCACTCAAAACTAAAAATCATAGCAAAAAGTTAATGAAACAAAAAAAAGGAATACATTACGGGATTGCATAAATTGAGGCAATAAAATACACCAATTAAAATTGTTTTATCGATCCAAATAGATATGCGCTGAATGCGAGTAATTCAAATTACAAATACACCATACTCAACTGTCAAAGTTATGTTCCAAAGGTTAAAACAACAAGATATCTTATACTATCACAATTGTGAATTTCTACATACTTCTGGCAACAAATCAACTCACGTTTGTTCAAATTTTGGTTCCAAAGAATCTTTAACAACATCTGTTTTTCGACGGGCTGATTTGGATTTATCAGGCAGAAGATAAATACGAACATATGGATCAGCCAAACCATCGGAATCGATTGGCTGCAAGCCCCTAAATAAAACAGATTAAAATTATAAGTATTTAAAGACATGACCAAAGGCGTTTTCTACAGCAAAAAAGAATAAGATTAACTTTTATGTTATTTAATGATATTTCGTACCTTGCGGAATGAACGACAACAAATAATTTGTTGTCTTTGTGTGAAATTGTGAGTTGAATTTCACCAGATTTTTCTCTACAAAGCAAATGAAAATCTTCACGAAAAAACGTCAAAGAATAATATTGTTTCAAGAACACAAGCCCATCTACCCTGCATCACAATTCAATAAATCAGATCAATAAGTGTTATATAATTATAGCTCCTCATTACCCAGGAGATGGCTTTGACTCGGAGTTCGCAGCTGGTTTGCTTTCTGATCCCTCAGATGACGTCACTGGTTTTCTTTGACGAACATTTGCTGGCTCCTCGCTGCTCAGAAAAATCTCAAAATTTCACATCCAAAACGGCTAAGTTGTAGGAAAACTGCGCCATAACACAGCGTAAACATATAAAATTATAATGTGAACAAGATTTATGTACCTTCCTACTTTCTCTGCAAGAGGTACTGGTTTAGCTGGTTCTTCTTCAAGTTCTGACTTTGTACCAACCGGCTTGGTTATATTTTCACCTGGCTGCCCATTATCGTTCACTGAAATGACTTCACCAAACGCATCATAGTTGACCTTTTCATTTACTAAAGCCTGTGAACAATTCAACATGGAGTAATGTCCTATCTTTCTTAACATGTCCAAAAAAGTGGTGTTTTTAGTCATTTCATACATGTATGTACGTAGGATTGTATTAGAGGGTGTATGCAATCTTTAATATGAAACTATACTCCACATATAACTTTTAAACAAAAGCCAAAGTTTCATTTAAATTGGGGCGAATAAAGCGAATTCAACAACATGTACTTTAGACAATTCATGAAAAAAAGTGGAAAATCTATCTTGAGGATATGGACTGCAACATCAAACACTTGAAACAGTTATGCTGGTCAAGGGCTGAAGTAATACGATCAATTAGTTATTTTTCTAGTTCTAATAGTCTCAAGTGCTAAAATCGAGTCTTCAACGAAATGAAATAAAATAAAACAAAAAAGACAATGTCAAATCAAGGATGTTTTTGTTGAAGATATTTACAAACAGTTCCTGTAGTTTATGGTGCTTCTATACTTTATTTCAAAAAATATTTTTCATAAAATACTAAAACTTAATAAAGTATGTAGGTTAATCTTTGTTACAAATTAACTTACAATTTAAGTTCATGTTTTCCAGGAATGTATTACATTACATACCCTTAGTTTAAGCTCACAAACAATGGAACTTTCATGTCCAGAATCGCGAAGTGGAAACGGCTGTTCTACCGACATATCAACGGCTTCAATCAAAATGTTTAGTGGGATCTCCAACACACCAATACATTTTTCCTTTTTATTGTCAATGACCTAAAGTATAATATGTAATATTTAACATGACAATGTTATTCTCAGATTCTATTTTTAACACTTATGATCGATTGATTCAGGACATTTTCTGACGCCTACCTCGATGTTCAACTCTTGATATTTAGCATTAAACACCAAGAAACGGTAAAATTGATCCCATACAGGATTTAATGTATCATCGATGACCTACAGTGAATACAAAAGTTTGCTACATCATGAAACAGCAAGAAAAAGTTTAAAAAATAAAGTCAGTATTATAATTTTTTTTGTACTAACCGGACTTTCGAACGTCTTGTTTCCTAAAGTCAACTTACAGAATGCACTGGTGGAACGTTTTACTTTATTGGCAATCTAAAGAAGAATAGTAAAGTACAACGATGTTTGCATGTTTTTAGAAGAAAGATTAAAAAACAAAATAGTTCTTTGTATTAAACTAAGAACTGGTAACATGAAATTGTTTGCAACGCTAGCTCTAAAATGACAAGTTCATTACTACTATAATAATAGAATTATGAAATAAAAGTTTTGAGTTTATTGCCTCAATTGGAACGCAGTTCAAATACAACATTGATCTACAGCTATACGAGTTTTTGTTACATTAGCACTCAGCATAAAATAATTAACAGGAAAAACTTACAGGTAATTTCTTGGCACAGTCCAGCTTAACAAACAATGCAGAATTTGCAAACAAATTATTAGCTTGTTCACCATGAACCTAACAAATAAAATAATCAACACCAATACATTATCTTCACCTTGCCAAAGACATACGCAGTTAGCCTTAACAACAATTAAGGAGAGGGAAGTATTAACTTGTACATGTAACAGTGCATGTATACGTTTTAAAGAACAACTGGTTGACTGTAAAGGGTACGTATCTTAATTAAAGGAAAAAGAGAAACACGGTTTTAATGTATAAATTATTGTCACCGAATGGCAAATCACGTTTTCTGGAAGTACACAGTACCTGCTTACTAATGACTAAATCGTTTGGATCATTGGACAAGGTAAACCAAGTACATTTCACATGAATCTCTCCTGATTTTGTATTTTCCAAAGGCAACCACTAGAGATGAAATGGACGCAAAAGTCTCACGAATAAAATTTTGACAGCCATAATGAAAGTGCAACACGAGAAATAATTGCTTCACACTAGCCACATTTAATATTCAATTTACGTACCAAGTCAACTATTCCTTTGTCGGCAATGGTGGATATGTCCAAGTCGAGACTACAAAATAATTTTATGTTCTATATTTTCTCACTGTTTAGTTGAATTATTTGTTGATTACTTACTATCCCATTGATTCATTGTCTGATGCTTTGTCGTAGTCGTAAAGATGAAGTTTGATTTTTTGACCATTTGGATAATCGACAAAGAACTGCAATAAAATAATAAAGAACAGTTGCAAAGAAATATGAAATAGAAACTTTGTCGTTGAAAACTTTATGAAAATACCAATTACCACGGTGAGTGGTCTAAATTATAACGTAATAATTCTTAAATATGTGGAGTTGTTTAACACAGTTCTTTTAGGAACTATTACGTTATTATTTTGATCATTTCCCATGGTATTTTCTATTTTCAAAAGAAATACGAAACGTCAATAATTATGATGAAAAACAATATTTCTCGCAGTTCCACACAAGAACACAATTTATAATGTCAATATTGAACATTTTCAACCTCAAAAGTCTCATTCCACTCAGGAGTGAGTGTGCCCTTCTTCACATCAGTTTTAAATGTATCTGCTCCAACTAAAAAAGGATATAAAAATTACACTTAAGTATCTGGATGCTGGATTCTTAATACAAAGGGAAAATCCAGTGTTTAAATTATATAAAAAAGATAAATTCCATTCTTACTTTTTACAATAACAAAAGGATCTGCTGTTCCTTTCTTAAACAATCCAATATCTTTCTTTTCCAAGTCACGAGCTTCGATTACTTCCAGTCTGATCACCCCCTAGAAACAATAAGTTACGAGTTATCGCACATGACTTATTTTGCGTTACCCAGAACGCACAAATAATTGGAAAAGAGAGTATAATGTTAACTATTGTAAGCTTCTTTTGGTAGATCATTCACACGTGATTTCAAAAATGAATCTGTATTTGCAGTGCCATCTAGCTAGCCTCGATAATTGCGCGGGGGGGGAGGGATATTCATATTTGCTAGGGAGTTTAATCCGCGGAAAAAATTATTTTAAGAAGCTTAATACGACAGAATATGAATATTGCCCGCCCAAATTATCGAGCTAGTTACAGCCTTGTGTATATGGCAAATTGCAACTTACATGTAATTAGATAGCACTATATAATCACAAAGTCACTAACAAGGACGAAGCATATTCGTGGTGTAGAACTAAAAGTGGACAATGGGGTCTTAGATATCCTTGAAAATCGAGGGGGGGTGCATAAAGGAAATTTTGACACTCTTCATATACTTATTCGATCTTTTGTTTTTGTCGATTATATTTTCATATTACAATTGTCGTCAAAATTCTTATCAAAAACATCACACTCTTTTCAAAAAACTCATAATTACTCGCAGTCATACTAAAACTTCAAATTAGGAGGTCCCTTTCTAAAATGAGGTACTTTTAAACCTGTCTCTATTTCACTAGTTATATAGTTAGATCTAGACGCCCCCCCCCAGAAAAAACAATTTCCATTTAATTCAATATAGGGCTTTCTTAAACCTCCAACTTTCATACACCAAACCTGCATTAAATACAAATGATAATGTAATTAAACTCTTTATAAGAAAGGGTGATCAAATTTTATGTTTAAAAAATTTCTTCGCAACAATGACAATGCAATTATAAAATCAGCATCGCTCCAAGCATTCAATCAAGACAAAAAGCTATATTCAAACCTTTGGCATAGGATACTTAAGACCAACAATACTGTTTTCGTTAAGAAGTGGAATATTTATACGATTTGGAAGAACACAAAAAGAAGAAATGACGTCACCAATGGCGCCACGAAGAATTCCACTATGAAAAACAGTCAAAATATTTGGTAAAATTATTGTATAGGGTATTCAATTGATTTTGACTTTATCCTATTTTCATACGTAATTACCTCAGTCCAGGCACATCAAGTACATTGAGAAGATTTGTGAGGTTAAAATCAAGTTCCTTCAAAAAAAAAACACGAAATTTACAAGTTATTTTAGTTGATAAATTACTCTGCGAGTTACTACAACTACTCACAAAATATGAATGGGAACTTAGCTTTTTATGTGTAATAAGAAAGAAAGAATGAATGAAAGGAGATTCCAATGAAAAGCAAACATCAAAAAGTTTTATGTATTCATACAGATGCATGCATTTGTCTGTCATACTAAGAAAACCTAGAGTATCTGCTAAGTACAAACATCTACCAGCCATTTCTCTGGAAGATGTATCCAATGAAGTGAACGTTCGTATGTCTGTACTACAGGATCTCTACAGCTTATTGCAAGATAGGTACGTTGGTAATATCTCTGAATATTGAAGTGAAAATTTCTCACAACAAAATTAAATTGCGTTCAATGAATTTAATCTATATTTAATGTCATTTATTCTACCTAGAAAGACGTTAAGGAAGGATAATGTTCAAAATCTTGTTCATTTCAGCTTTTATTTAGAACATTTCGTCAATGTTTCTGAGAAACACTTTCACAGCATAAAATGCAGTGCAATTCATTTATCACGTTTCATTATTGAGCACATACAGACAAACACAAAAACACAAATTCTTTGGAAAAGTTACCAACCGGTTTATCCAGGAAAAACAAAGAAACACCAGCAACCAAAGGCGACGCTGGAACAAGAGGAGACATGATCACGCGCAAAGTACCTCGAAGCTGTAAAGAAAAGTAAGGTGAAAATGAAAATTATCACAAAAGCAGTGTGTGTACAATTTTTTCATTAAAAAATGGATTTTTTGTACCCAACAATGCATGTCAGCAATTTTAATCTAATCAATCTACGTACCTGAAGGTCTTCAATTCCTACGGAAATAAATTTGACAGATAATTGGAAGTCTGCATCACCAGAATATCTGTAAAGTAGATAAACAATTAATCAATTACGTATCAGTAAAACCATCTTTGACTGTTAGGCCATCAAATGTTTTCTAGCTTGTTTGATTTTTGGTTTTTGTTAAATTAGCATTTTCAATATTTAGTTGGGTTTTTTGGAAATGATCAAATAGTCTCATTCTCAAAGTACTTTAACAATGAGGAACTAATTTTGTAGAACTGAGTTTTCATCGAGTTGATTGCAATAAATAAAACTTCAGGATTCACCTCAACGAAAAATCATTAAAATAAGATGTGACCTTCAGACATTTATGATATGAAGATAAATCAAAACTAACACTCGGACTCATGGCTACAGATTTACAAAAATAAAGTTGAATTGACTTACATAACGTCAATGTCCATGATCACTTCTGATCTTTTAACATTTTCAGTGTAAACTTTTACTCCCCAATACGAGGAGCCTAGAAATATGTACGAAATTAAAATATAGTCAATCCTGCTGCAGTTCTGTTATAATGTTTTCCATTCAGGGTACGAGGGTAACTTCAAGGGACAACATATCACAACAGTCACAACCTATTAAATTTAACTTCAAGTTACCAATTTATATTAGTGCTGTGCCTCACGTGACTTTTATTCTTTGAACGACAAAAACAAAAGTAAGCTTATGTAAGAACATTATCAATTTCAGTCTGACATGAAAATTAAATTGTTTGATCTTAACACGCTGAAACTTTCAAGTTTGGTGCAGTTGGTAAACATCGTATACTCACACGCTGAAACTTTCAAGTTTGGTGCAGTTGGTAAACATCGTATACTCATACGCTGAAACTGTCAAGTTTGGTGCAGTTGGTAAACATCGTATACTCACACGCTGAAACTTTCAAGTTTGGTGCAGTTGGTAAACATCGTATACTCACACGCTGAAACTTTCAAGTTTGGTGCTGTTTATAAACATCGTATACTCATACGCTGAAACTTTCAAGTTTGGTGCAGTTGGTAAACATCGTATACTCACACGCTGAAACTTTCAAGTTTGGTGCAGTAGGTAAACATCGTATACTCATACGCTGAAACTTTCAAGTTTGGTGCAGTTGGTAAACATCGTATACTCACACGCTGAAACTTTCAAGTTTGGTGCAGTTGGTAAACATCGTATACTCATACGCTGAAACTTTCAAGTTTGGTGCTGTTTATAAACATCGTATACTCATACGCTGAAACTGTCAAGTTTGGTGCAGTAGGTAAACATCGTATACTCACACGCTGAAACTTTCAAGTTTGGTGCAGTTGGTAAACATCGTATACTCGTGTATTGACGAGAAGAAAACGCGTTTGATACGGAAATGATGCGCGCACTATGATACTAGAAAGCGATGCATATGATACGAAAACGATACGCGTATGATGCGAAAACGATACGCGTATGATACGAGAACGATAAGCGTGTGATACGCGTTTCATGCGCAAAAGTATGTTAACAAATACGCCAGCTGTACCTTGATTATGTTTAGACCGCAACTTCAGTTTCAATAACTTTTGCATATAATAATTTTGAATTGTGTTAAGCTATAATTCTGCATAGCTTATTAGTTACTCAATGACTTTTTAATTCAATTAAAAAACCATTTACCCGATTTCCAAGACAGATCTCAGTAAAATGGATTGATTTCAACATTCCTGGAACAGAATTTTGAATTTGCGGTTCAACCTTCTCCTTAAGGATTTTAATCACCATTTCATTCACATAGGGCCAAAGTTGAGAGACAAACTATGAGTAGAAAAAAATTTAAGTTGATATTCTTAAATTTGTCATGAGCATATACATAGTCTCAAACAAAAAATTTGATGCACTAAAATAAGCAAACCTTATTGAGCCACTCTGCCCTTTCCACATCAGGAAAAAAGACCTAAGGAAAGAAAATATGATGTTACATGAAATGTTGTCACTAGAATGTCAAGCTAAATTGACCAACAATGTTGTTACAACATATGAAAGAGAAACTATTATGCACAACAATGGTTTATTAATAAAAAAACCTGTGTTATGGACAGCCAATTATTACATTGCTAGTATTATGTGTTTCTATGCAATGTTGTGATAGAGACCTCAGTCAGCACACCTTTGATCCATTTAAAACTAAAAACTTTTTCAAATTTAAGGATGTGTTTTTATGCAAAGCAACCATATTAGATCAAAACATAAATCAGAATCAATGCAATTTTCAATGTTATGTTAGCTGCATCAAGAGTTAATGAGTATGAAATAATATTAAATAATGAATAAGACTGGGAAATTTTGAGAAAACTAGGCTTTTAATTGAGAAAATTTTGAATCTTGTCTGCACAATAAAAGAACTTTTCATATAAACTTGAAATAATTTGAATATGACTCACATGGACATGCTTATTGAGATGATAACTCAGGGATGGTGCCACAAAATTGAACCTGGCGAAGGCTATGACTTATATTTAATAAATTTCTATGTTTTATTTTGCTTCAAGCTAGGTTAAAAAACATAAATGTTAGCAAAATCTTTATCTTGGGGGAAAAGTGGGGGTGGGGGGGCTGAACATACACAGTTCTATTATAAACCTTTCTCACAATGCATACTGTACACATACTTAAATGATATTTTTTATGATCACCAAGGAGGGTTGATAAATTTATACAATACAATAGCATTTCCATTGTAATACAAGTGTTATGATGAACCTGCTGTGAAATTAATGATCTGTATACATTAATTTCATGAAATAAAGTCAATGGCTTCAACTAATATTGCAACGATTAATGTAGTAAATACAATAGTAATAATGTGAATGCAATTTGTAATAAAGCTCAGTGAAAAATAATGCCATTGAACACTTTATAATAATCAATTCATAGCCAACCTCTGTAAAAAGTGTAAATACTTTACGCGTTCGAAGTATTCCAGAATTATTCACATTTTACGCACTAGAACATTCTAATTAGCATTTACCAAAGCAACAACAAAAATAATGCATAATTTTTAAATGTATTTTATCCATACAGCTCAAGCAATCTAATTCAAAGCATACGAAACAAACAGCCAGTCGAACTTTGACTAAGGTCGTGGTTCTTTCCCAATAAGGTTGATAGAAGTAGACTCACCCAGTGTGGCAAATCTTTGATGCGGTTTGTGTCGTTAGCATCAATTATTTCAGCTGGTTGCTCGATTCCTAATTTTTTATCCTTTTTATAACATTTATACAAAGTGTATATAACAATACCAGATAGTAACCAGCCGTAACTAAACTGCCAGTGACCAACAGACCAGACAAAGAAACCTCCACCAAAATATTTAGAAAATGAGATAACACCAGCATAGGCTCTTATTTTCGATGTTATGGATGCTCCACAATTTCCCTTTTTTTCAGAGTTTTTTGTGTTTTTGTCAAGAGGTTCTTTCGATCCGCTTTCAACGTCAGTCATGATAAAGTTCAATTGTCACTACAGTGTACCACAACTACTGACAATTAAATGATTATTGCTCTCTAGAATTTGGTAGATGCTTTAGAAGTTGTGTAATTTAAATTTGCATAAATTAATATCTAAATTAATTGCATAAATTGTATAAATTAAATCGACGGGGGTATAATTATATAAAGTATTTTCAGAAAACCTAAAGCAAAAATCTCCTAGCTGCACACTGCGCATGACTCTACAAAACTGAAACCATATTATTTTCATAGCCAATGCATATGCAATTTTTCCCCTGATGTTGAAATACATTGTACATAAAAATTGAAAAGGCCACTTAGAGTATTCTCCAAAGATTTCTCGAGAAAATGTGAATACAGTTCTGGCATCGATATGTCTCTGTATGTATTTGGTAGACTGCAGCAGCTTTCCAATTCAAGGTTAGTATATAAGGTTGTTGGAGACAATAATATTTCACTATTCTTCCGCTAAGGTAAGCTAGAGATAATCTTTAGTAAATACTTATGGCTTTTGCATTTGTCGGAACACAAGTGCGAATTCCGGATCGAATCGACCTATCCATTTTTCCATCGTTAAAAAATGGTTGCTGGATCTGTTATAAAACCGAGAAGAGGAAAAACTAATAGCAAAACAATCTCTTGTATCCTTAAAATTTTGTGTTGTACTCCTTGTTTGGCTATTTGGTTTATAGGTTGCTCATCATTGTCGCCACTTTTTTATCTTTTCTTATCTTATATACTATTCCATCAATCAACATGCGGTTGAGAATCAAGGACTAAATTTATTACCCTATCACAAATTATGTAAACACCGCGATTGATGTACATAACAGGATGTTTATGCGAGTATTTAGTAGTTAGGGTACGACAACTGTAGACAAGTTTCTAATTCCATAAAGTAGAAGATTAACGATTCTAAGAATAAAATTTGGAAACATTCGTTTTCAAACTAAAAATTGGCAATTTGAAGTGGAGAAAATATAAAAAGCAATAAAGCATAAACCCCAGAAAAAAATAAAACCTGAAGTCTAAAAACAAATACCGACAGAATAAAACACATTGTCCAGTTTATACTTCGTTTATTCACTTAATTCTCAATAGTGATGATAGTTGTTCGTTGAAACTAAATAAACACTTCATGCAAAAATACAATAATAAATAATTAATTGTTTCCAATGAACAAAATATTAACAACGCACAACACGTTAGAGCTTTTTGTTTCTGTTCGAACAGGAGGAAAATACAGCAAGCAAAACTTTGGGATAAAACGTAAGCACAAGAACGCTACGATTTATGAATAAGTTTCTACAAAAAAGTGCCTTGTCCTGAGTCAACACGATGTTTAAATTTTTAAATCAACATGTTACTGGAAGAAAGATACGAACAGAATAATACACTCACCCATGACGGTAAATCTCCTAAACGAGCACGGATAACCCCTTCTTCACTTTGTGTCAATGCTAGTCCAACTTTTTGCTTCCAATTCCTTTCCTCTTGTTTGACCTGCATAAGATAATAAACGAGAGCGACCAAAACAACCCACGAACACCCAAAGCCAAGCCAGCCGAACAGCCATATGGCAAAAAACACGCCAAAGTATTTAAGAAAGGAGAGAATCATTTTTACAATTCGCATATCGAGAAACGAACTGAGTGAATCATCCACACTTTTATTTTCATTTTCATTTTTTCTTTCGCCAGCATTTGAGCTGTCTGCATTTTCTGCGTTAGTCATTCTTATTCCTGTTCAATTCACAACAAAGCGCAATTAATAGTTTTCAACTATATTTTCTTTGAAATGCGTAAAGCTTAAGATCTAAAAGTTTGTTTATCCAATAACCGCTAGTCAATAGTGTAAATGGAATTTTTAGCCAATAGCGTATGGCCTGGTAGTGAACACAGCCGTTCACTGTCATCTCTTCCATATCAACTCTTGACACAGCTGCGATAGCATACATACATTATTAACATAAAATTGAACAGTCGTAATATCGGTAACACAACAAAATCATATTTTTTGAAGTTTTAAATTTGTGCACTAAAATTATTCCTTACTTTTTTTTCTAGTAAAACTATAATATAGCTACACAGCAATTTTAGCTGCGGGTTTTACAATTACATTAGATAGTAAATTAAGCAGGTGGCAAAATTGCTATGAACAAAAAAACCCAAATTTAACAAAGTCAAGTCAAGATGAATCATATTTTGTACACATTTAAACAACTTTCAAATTGCATACTTCAGTCCATTTTTGCAATACTTCAAATTATTAACTGATACCAGAAATTTATCGATGCCACGTTACTAACGGTAACGTCAGAAATGAAACCGATCTCGTAAATAACAACGATTTCCAAGACATTCATATGTATAATCACAAGGTTAAATAGTTGGAATGTTAATAAACAAAAAGAATGATGGCACATCGCTATAACCAACAACTACAAACAATAACGACCTTATCTAACAATATTTGAGAAATTTACCTTCCACTCCTCTTCGATTCATTCTTTTCCAGTGGAAAGCGGGGTGCTTTCACTGAAGGGCAATGATGTATTGTCCAACATTAACACCGGATTATGTTACTGATATTTAATATGGAATTCGAGCTTTATCCATATGAACTGTTTAACATGCTTCCAAACAAAAATGAGCAGGAATATTCAGTTGATTAATCTATGATAAACCTTTCACCTTTTAACTCTGCTATACCGGTCACAAGCCCGGGACTTGTAGCGTATAAGGCTCTCTGCTTTTGAGTAGACTTGTCTCGTTTACAAGGTTAATTTCTCAAATGTTGTTAGATAAGGTCGTTATTGTTTGTAGTTGTTGGTTATAGCGTTGTGCTATCATTCTTTTTGTATATTCATATGTATATTTACATTTGCAATGGAACAACAGAGTAAAATTGAATTTATAGCGATGTAAATTCGCCAACGTATCAAACTAAAGTTCTTCCTTAAGTTTCTTTTTACTGGATAAAACAGTTGATTTTTCTTCCAGGAACTTCACAAAATCGCTCAATTCTCGGGCACCGTCGTATTTTTCAGGAGAGGACTTGCTATCTTTTGGCGCAAAATATATAGTAGGAAATCCGCTGGCCTCATATTCCGCTGGAACGTCATTCGCAGTAGCATCCATCTTAGCGATGACAAGATTCGATTCGTCCTTGTATTTTTGTGCCAATTTTTTGTACGTAGGCTCCAAGGCTTTGCAATGTCCACACCAAGGGGCATAAAGCTCTATCAAAACGTCCTTCGTTTGATCCATAACAATTTCCTCAAAGTTACTACCGACTACAACCTGAACAGGTCCACTCTTTCCTTTAGGTACAGGCTGTGACTTTATAACAGGTTCAAGTTCATCTGTTCAAAAGAAATAAACAATAACGTAGTTAAAAATACGATTTGATCATGCATTTAAATTACATCAGACTAATCATATTAAATTCACACACATTTCTAAATTCCCAAATCCAAACATATAATTGTATTTTTCTTTAAATTTTTCTTAAATAAGATCCATAATAACAACATAAGATCGATAATAACAGCACAAGATCCACAGTAACAACAAAAGACAAAACAAAGATCCATATACAATAACATTTTACTCGGAATTTTTGCTCGGGAAACATAAATTGAGCCTTACTATTTTTATATGAGTCTAAAAAATCTCGCAGTGAGTCTTCACTAAATTCTTCTTCCATTTTGTACTTTTTATCCTTTTCACCAAACAAAGCAACGTTGACATCCTCGCCAGAATCATCAAGACCAAAATCTTTCAAACGATCAGCGTAATCTTCTTCATCAGCAATCACAAACGTAAAGTCACGATAATCATTAGCAACTTCAACCACTTTGCTTCGCCAGTATTGAGTACCTAGATAAGTTTATAAGAACACAACAACGAGCTAAAACCCCATCTATTAGATGCCTGACTCGTTTAAAAAACTATACTTACGAGTGAGGGAGCAGTCATCTTAAAAGGTGGAAAAACTGACGATTTACGAGGAAAATATGCCTCTTCAACGTTGATACGTATATGATACACAGTTGTAAAGGTGAAAGTCAAGGTTTGGCTTTCAAAATGTTTGATAAGATTGGGTTTTTTAGCTATTTTTGAAAGACAGTTTTATTTTTGTCATCTTTCCAACCAAAGGCATCCTTGCCTCATCTTTAAAAGATTATATAGTTGGACATCAAGGGGAATGGGTACTAAATTATTGGAGAGCACCATTGATATGTAAATTTCATTGATGGCATTATTTTAATCAGGGAATGTTAACCTTTGAAGCCAACTAATTAGATGCAGCACCTTATTGAGCAGTCTTACTGTTATGAGAAATTTTTTAAAAGGAAGTGATATTTACAACAGTAGCCACGAATTTTAGAATGCAATAAAAGAAAAAGCTTTCTCTTAAATCCCGTTAATCAATATTCAAACTGACATAGTCTGAAACGTGGGTATGTTAAATAGCACAGAAAATGTTTTCTACACTTATAACCAGGTGGAGTTAAAACGTAAAGTGGAACTGTTCAATATGTTGTCCTATTGTCTTATTTTGACATGCGCGATCCTTGAAATTTACATATCAATTGAGCACACACATCTGCCTGAAAATGACATTTTTAAAAAATTACACTACTCGACTTAGTACACCTTGAAGTCCAAAGTCAAAATTTTGCTTGTGTTAGTTCAGTAGTATTGTACATGGTATAGCAGACTAATCTACTTGCAAACAAAGTTTTTCTAAAAGATAAAAATAGCTCGTTGTCTATTCAATAACGATTACTAACCAGAAACAGAAAGAAAATGAATGGTCAACAATGACTGCTTTTGACGATTGTGTAGAGCGTCTAAATTCTAAAATGTTTTTTCTAGGATAATGCTACATAGTAGCTCATTATAGAAAATATATCACAGCCGTAATTTTGACTTAGAATATTTTTTACTAATGTAAACATATCACTCATGATCCAGATGTCCCCTTACATGTAGGGAGATATGCAAGATATGAAAGAGTAAAAAAAGTCAAAACACAACAAAAACTTAGATGGTAATCTGTACGTAAATTTATATATATTTACCTTCTCTGTGCTCAAAACTGAAGTCAACTCCGTAGAACACCATCACGAGCGGACGCTTTTTATAACGCTTTTCTTCATTCTGATTGGTCAATTGTCCAACCAATGGAACAACATTGTCATCATAAAACTTTTGAATGTTTTGTGACTTGGACGAATCTCCCTGCGTAAAGAAAAGATAAAGATATTAGACACTGCATTATTGCCTTCATATTCAACTAACATTACAATCCTATAGATTGGCAATTCGCAAAACTAATCTCGAGCCAGATTTTATTAAAAAATCATACTGTCACTATATACGAAAAACAGTACTTTAAAAATTGAATGTACTATTAGCTAACTTTAATCAACTCTGAACTCTTACAATTTATAAAAGCAGCGCATTGAAAGGGCAAGATTACTCCCATAGTTAGTAGTTATAATTTACCATCAACCATTGGCGATAATATTTAAGGATGACTACATAAAAATTCTGAAGAGAGTATTACAAAAATGACGGCAATAATTTTACTTTTACAAACCTTAAAGACAACATACTTTTCCTCGTATTTTGATCGGAAATTTTCAGGTTGAATCAGTGCAATTGTATTTTTGTTGAAGCCAAATGCTTTTCTAGCGTCGACATCAAATGTGTGTCCAAACCTGTATTCATCTCGAATGTCATTATTTGCTTCAAGATAATCAGTCAACATCTTGTCATCTTCATTATCAAAAAACCCCATGATTACTACATCATCCCATTCTTTAACAAAGGTCATAACAGCTTTCTTTGTTGGCAAAAGTTTTGAGCTCGGTCCCACTTGTCTTTGCATATAATCCGTGATGCCTTTGAAAAAATATGAAACCCATTGGTAAGATGTTAAATTTTAACGTTGTGGCGACTATAAAAAGTGCGCTCATAAGTAGCACCTTGTTAATCATGAATCGTGAGAGTTTTGCAATGATAACAACTACGTCTTTTAGTACAGAATTTCAAATGACATGTTTCTATATTGCTCGTATTACGTTCTGAAACAAAAATACACGAGATACATACATACAATAATCTTGTGTTTATTAATACAAATTACATAAAGGTGCGCGCTAATAAGTCTTGGTTACTGGATTTGTAGCTACGTATTTATTGTTAGGAGTTATGGTGAACAAAATCAACATTCCCTATGATGCCAAATTAGAATGGCAACTGTGGTATGGCAGAATGTATGACAAAATGTTGATGGATGGGCTGTACTTCCAGAGATTGAACAGTTTCAGTCATACCAAGTTTAACGATCCTACTATAGAACCCCAAATGAAAACTACAAGGTTGGTGGAAGACGGTTAAGAAACAAAGCCAAATAGCAAGCCTTTGTTCTTCAAAAGAAAGCAAAATCGAGCAACAGTTAGATTGCTACGTTCTTCAAGATCAGTCCCTATCATATCATGTATTTATTATGTCTAATAGGGTTGTTGTATGTCGTACTTGTATGTCGGTACTGTTGTATGTTGTATTTTAATTTCCATAAACTGAACACGACTACGACGGACTACGATATGTTGCTCTCATAAATGAACTTAATCCAATAAATACAGAAAAATGTTATGTGAAATTCTGTACAACATTTAGTAATTTTATCAGTTCAAAACCATCACAAGTCAAAATGTTCATGAAAAAGTAGAGATCTAATAACTTATGAGCGCAATTGTACGTTCTTTTGATTGAATGGATATGATTGAATCATAAGGAAAAAGACAAAATGCCTGAGTCAATCAAACTAAATTTAAAATCTAAAACTGTACCAATTTCATTGCGCTCTCCTTTATAATCAGATGGTTTGCCTTTACGGAATAATTTTAGCGTGGGATATCCCGTCACATCATACTTAGATGCAATATCAGACTCTACTGTGGCATCAACTTTAGCCAATGGTATTGGTGGATCATAATTCTTGAGAGATTTTGCAGCTTTTTCATATTCTGGAGCAAGTTTCTTGCAATGTCCACACCTTGAAAAATAATAAAGGGTAGACATAGTGACAACACATGGCAAAAAAATGTCATTTAGAGGCATGGCACGAAAATGACCAACTGGTTACAGTGATATTGACCAACTCTTGAACAATATTTAGATACAGAGAACTCAAAGCTCATTGTAATAAACAACTTTTGATTAACAGTGAAAACTTTTGAACAATGACAATAAAAAAAAATATTATTTTTATGACAATAATTTTAAATTATTCAACCAATTTCAACATAGAACTTTTCAACAATTTTGATCAAATACATTTTACAAATGGAAATTTCTGAAAGGATTCTTTAAACACCCACATACCCAGGTGCCACACCCTAGATGAACACATAGCCCACTGACCTTACATATATCCAGTTAAGAAAACAAGCACAAAACATGACAGTTAAATAGCTGGATAATTTCAGGTGAATTCATTTTCATTGACAAATCATAGTATTCAACATCTACATACCATGGTGCATAAAATTCAACAAGCATTAATGGTTCCTTGTTTACTATATCAGTAAAGTTGTCTTTGGTGAGAGTTAAAACAGCTTCAGGAGGTAATTTCCATTCTGGGTCAGCACGCTCTTTCATGTATTCAACAATGCCTGAAAAATTACAGAATACCGTAAAATTATTGACTTTTCAATATCTGTACCTTTCCAAGCTATTGATGGACCATGCACCAATGATGATTGAATTATAAAGCAACAAAATAAAACCATATCCAGATGACCAACAATTTTAAAAATTATACAAAGAAAAAGATTCTAAAGAAAATAGCCAACAGACGTAAAATTGAGTGGTAATATTGGACTTATGGAATACTAAAACTCAATTTTACATCACATAGTTGCTTTAGCATAATACAAATATTGAATTTCAAAATGGCTATATTCTCTGCTTCTTCTTATAATACAATAAGCTTTCCCATGTTCTATAAAAAAACTATAGAACATATTATTGTTTCTAATTTTGTAAAAGAACTTTGATTGACTCACCATCTTTGACACGTGGACCATCATAGTCAACTGCAACACCTTTCTTAAAAAACTTCAAAGTTGGATAGCCAGACACATCAAACCTTGATGCAAGATCACTTTCAACTGTGGCATCCACAGCACCTAACAGGACTGGTGGCTTGTTCTCCTTTAAAACTTTAGCTGCACTTTCATATTCAGGAGCAAGACTTTTACAGTGTCCACACCTAGAGAAAAAATCTTTGAGATTTAAAATATCTGATTATTATGCAATTACAGTGCCATATCATGTAACAGGAAGAGTTTCTTAGAAAATTAAGTTCTTAAGTATATGCTAATCATAAAAAATGAGAATATATTGTGTGCATGTTGTTGAAGATTTTGTAACTACGATTATTTTTTAACTAGCAGGAATTTTGTAAAAGACAAACAAATAACAACACATATTGTTTTATTTGTAACACACTGTTTTTGTATTAATGAGTGTTCTTTGGAAGCAAATTATTGATTTACATGAACTGATAGCAATAAAATGGAGGATATTTTGAATGTTGCAGCACACAATTAAAGTGCCTATGACACAAAATTTTATGTTTGCCATCACCAGAACTTTTAAAATGACAATGGACATTCTAAAACAGTTTATGCATATCACTTTTAATTCTTGAGATATCAAGGTTTTGCTTTGTCTGATATCTAACTTGTAATGTCAAATTGCATAATGAGTACTAGAAGTATTAGGTATATTTAATGATACTTTACTTCCACAAGGACAGCATTTCATTTGTTGTGACGTGGTTAATGGTATAAAATGCTGCCTATTAGTATTAACGTAGAGTTGTCAGGAAACTGAAGAGTATTTGAAACATTTTGAGAACTCATTATGCAATATGACATTACAAGTTAGATAAAATAGAAATAGCAAAAACTTCAATATCTCAAGAAGGAAAAGAAATATGCATTAACTGTTTTAGAATGTCCATTGTCATTTCAAATGTTCTGGTCATTGCAAACATAAAAATTTCGTGTCATAGGCACTTTAATAAAGATGCAGATTAAATGGTCACAGTGGCTTTGATGCATAAGCTCATTTATGTAGGTTTGTTGATTCTGCCATTAATACATGCAATTTTGCAAATGCACAAATGTAATATCCTAGGTCTACTGTGCTTTCACTGGTCTGCAGTCCCTGGTAGACTTGAGCATTTAAAGTCTGAGGAAAACAAGAAATAGCACCTTTACAACACAGTTAACGAAGAAGTGAGAGTGCACAATAAAAATTGCGCAAAGACTCATGCAAGGCACTTCTCAAAGCAAGAATCACCATAATGATAGATGATAATCATTTTTTATACGTACCATGGTGCAAAAAATTCAACAAGAACGATTTCATTGTCATTAATAAAACTTTCGAAATTATCTTTAGTCAAGGTAACGACATTTTTATCGTCTTCCTTCTTGCCGTTGTCTGCCTCATTTGAAGTTACAGTTGAATCAGTGTACTCCCCTGTAGCTGGCTCATCCGATTGCTCAGCAGATTCTACCTTCTTCGCGTCTTTGATATCATCTTCAACTGCATCATCTTGAACCTCTTCCGTTTTCATTATACAAATATTCACAAAAATTAGCAAAAGAAAAAAGAGTAGTTTTAGGTTTCTGAACATTTTGTCTTGGTAATAATTAATCTACACGAATTGCCTCGAATAGTGGATCTGATTTATGATACTAAAACTGATACAATATTTGTGCTGTTCACCCACGTTGACGACTTGAACTAAATGTGTGGCATAGGATAAGCCAATCAAATTTCGACAAGTTCGACACAATAAACCAATAGAATAGTTACTGGTGGCTAGCATTACCATCACATAGCAACGATACGTGTATTCGACAGGTAAGGCATCAGCATCAGGCTCTTTTGTCAGCAAAGGAACGTTTGCACAATTTAAGGCTTGGGTATGGGAAGAAAATTTGCTAGAGCATGCATGTAAAAGTAATATAAAAGCCCATGTAGTTAATGAGTACAATACAAATCCAAACTTCCGGAATGTGCGTGCTTTTATTGGCTTTTACGGAACATGTTGAGCTTCTTCGCATAAATAAAAATAGTTACGTTTATGCAGATATAAAGTTTGGAATCATAAATTCAAATTGTTGCAAGCAATTGAATAGTATTATCCATAACGATGCACAAGTATTCCAGTAGTCCGAACACCGAAAAACCTCCACGCAAAAAATACTAGAATTTCACCAAATTCCCTGTATTCTCATATGCAAATGTACAATGTTCTCATAAATTTCCTTTAACAAAATTGATGAACCACAAAGCCCATTCCAGTTTCATCATAACCAAGTCAGCTTTCATTTTGTAGCATATTTCTCCTTGCCCTTCTTGTTGATAACGCAGATATGCTACAAATTAAAATAAACAACAGAATAAGTCTTGGGACATAATTGAAAACACCAAAGATTAAAACTTACACTTAAATCTCTGAAGTACTCATTGTAATCCTAAATAAAGAAAAGCAAACACTATAGGATATTTCACAAAATTTTTCAAGTTAATCCAAACAAAACATCTGCTTTTTTGCTGTCAACATAATATTTTCAGAAAGACTTATATCGTATTTTTCAATAATGAGTGAAAATGGCACACAAGATTTGTACTATTCACAATAAAAACCTGGTGAATAGAGTACATTAAAATTCGTAGAGAAATGAATCATCACACCAAATAACATTTTAACCTACCAAAGCGTAGCCAACGAGAAAATTATTGGGTACCTCAAACCCAATATCTATAAACGAGAAATATTTGATGTAGGTTAGAACTATAAATTCATTTAAATTCTTAGAACAATGAGGCAAAGCCACTTCATGTTTGCAAAATAACAAAAAACTACAGACTCAAAAAGTGAATATGAAAAAAGAAAGTAAAACTTCAAAGTTTTGGAACAAAAATCTGACCAGATAATAAGGAATAAAATGCGCAAAAAATGTAAATTTTCGTCAGTGAGGTGTTTTGAAAATCTTCAAACTTAACAATGTAAATAACTTAACAACAGTTGGTTATTTTTTTATGTATTTTTGCTGATAGGAAACAGCGAATGAAAATTAAAACACTTACAGTCTGGCCTATAGCTGTCAATTTTCAATGGTGTTCGTTTAACCAGCAAACTAAATAAAATTGCGAATTTTTAGTTAGTGTATTACGCATGTAATTCATCCCATCAAATACTGGGACAGCTTTCTTTAGTTGTGGCTACATGCAACGAAATAATTTGAACACTCTTCCCAAACAAACAAATCCAAATTCACAAATTATCTTCTTTGTTTAGTAGTTGAAGTTTGACATACCTCACAACTTTAACTTGAGCTGGTTTATACTCGGCTATAATATTAAGCATTTTTTGCATGGTTTTGCCAGTATCAATAATATCCTAAAAAACAATGCACTTTTATTAAAACTGATCAGTATACACAGTAGAAATTTTGGGCGAACATGAGTGGGCCATGCTATAGTACATTAATGAACAAAAAGATCTCAGTTCTAACTTCTAACATTAAAACTTCAAGGGGTATCTTGTTGTTATCTAGATATCTGACAACGCCACAATTCTATAGTTACGTATGAGGCAAGCCGCCATGTTAAAAGGTGGCAAATCTGATGATATTTCAGGCTAATAGCTTAATATCTGCTTTTCCTGAGCTGATAGACAGTTGCAAAGTTGATAGTCTAGGTTTGATATTTATAAGATATGATAAGATTGGGTTTCAAGCTTTTTTTAGCTTATTTTTCATTTTGAGTTTTGCTTTTTGCCACCATTCAAGATGGCGTCCTTGCCTCACCTTGACACGGTAGTTAGACATCTAGATGACTGGGTTCTAAGTCATTGGTTCACAAGTTTATACGCTATATGGTATAGAAAATACAAAATGAAAACGCTGCGATGGTTTTGTATTGAGGAGCAATGGGCCTACTTCAACAACTTGAGGTTTTCTAATGCATGGTGAGACTATTTCAATAAGCTACATTCATAGATTATTTCAACTATTTACGGTTTTGCATTGAGAAGTGATGAGGTAATTTAACAAGTTACAATTTTCTAAAAATGTAAATCCAAAAGAACAAGCTATTTCTGAAAAAATTGTCTGTAGAAATTCGAAATCAATGGACTAGAACATGACTGGAAAAAAATTGACAACAGTCGACAAAATTAAGACACATACTTGAGCCAAATTCAAAAGCAACATCACATTGCAGAGAGGAAAAGTAATTATGTACAATCATATTTATGAAAAGAACGATATTATTTCACTTTAATTGACAGCTAACAAGGGCAACGATATTGCTTGTTTTCGTATTTGGCAAAGCACATAATGTACATCGGTACTGTAGCTTCCAGGAGATATCTTTTAACTTATTTTAACATTGGAGAAGAAGTCGAATGTATACCAAAGTCAAAATAAAAGTAAGAGAAATGTCATTGTCAAGTCAAACAAAAGAGTGGTTTACACCATTGAGATATGGTTTACGTGGTCAAGCCTGATTTGTGGGTCTGAAAGGCCTGTTTGGCAGGCAAACAATGAGCGCAAAGCAGGCTGCTCCTTTCCTCTTTTCACATTGTTTCTCCGTAAGAACAGAACTCGAAGCAACATTTGTGAGTCAAAAAATAATGATGTTTCCAATGTGATACTTCACAATGAAGGGTAATATCAAAGGTTTAAAAAAACTTTTGATTTGTCATATTGTTCTCCGTATGAATACCTTAAAATCTTTTTCAGTACATATCGTCTCATATATTTAAAATCCTGGCATAGCACTCAAAAACATACCTCAACAATTAAGACGTTCTATAAATATAAAAAAATGATAGTGTAAAAATGAATTTCAGTGAATTCATTTTTTTCGTGTTTATTAATTGCAGTACAATGCACATTAAATTGCATTGTATACCTTTCCAGTTACTGATGATAAATCATCGCCTCCAATAACTTTCACATCGCTTGTTGAAACATCATTCTTAAGAAAAAAGAAATAACGTTTTGCGTCAATGATATGTTAGTTATATATATATTACTACAACTTTCCTAACAACGAAACATTAAAGAAATGCACTTTAATCCAGCACCACTAATTTACACAGAAGTATATATGAAATATAACGTCACATACTTATACCTCGTAGCTTTTCAAACGAATAAAATCAATCGAAAATGGAAGAGACTGACCTGTAATAAAACAATATTTACATTCAAGATCTAATACAATTTAGGTATATGAAAGTTAACTGAAAAATAAAGAGAAACACTAATAGCATGAACAGGAAGTACCAAATATGTAAACAAAAACATGAGAAAATTTTGAGAATTATGATCGTCCACATGACTGGAAACAGCCATTTTAATTTTTATCCCAACTTCTCGCTGGCGTTTTTGTTCTAAATACAGATTATACTGAATTATACATACGAGCATAATTCTTACAGGGCAAAGAATTGTTTGTAACTATAACTAAAACTGAACGCATGTGTTTGCCATGAAAACACAGCAACTTCGCAATAAAAAATAACTTGTATACATTATTCCACATTCGTCGTAAATTTTTAGAGTGAACCCAGCCCTAAGCGTACAAAGACAACCCATGCACTCTAAGGAATTTGAATTGCATGTAACATCATACATATATAGTTAGCATAATTTTTGCACACATGGTCTCGACACAATAAAAATACAATATGAAGACTTTCATTAAAACATTAGCTAATGCATTACAAGATCGACCTTTTTGTCGTCATGGAAACATCTCAATAAATGAATTTCAACAACTGAAAATCAAATATATCGCATCGTCAGCATCGTTTCGCACGTTTAAGTTTATATCTACAGAGATACATGTACCTGAAGTTGCATTATGGTTGATGATAAATTCACTCAGATGAGAGAAAAACTGGTAACCACCTTTAAGACAACACAAGGCAACCAAAGGACCATGACTTAAATCACGACAAATATCTCGAGCTAACCGTTCAGTCCTAATACAGAGAAAACAAGTTAATTAAATTGCATTACATTACAACTTGTTTTGCATCCTAAACCACTTGTTTTGCTATTGCGTTCAAAATTTAAATTTTCAGAACAGATGACGAGAGCTATGATAAAATTACAAAGAGTTAGCAAACACAATTTCAAAATATGCCTTAGTTATATAGTAATTTGGTAAACAGTTTCTGTGATGAGTCCGTCCATGACATTTCCTGCAAAACCTAACGTTCAGTGGATTAAAGCAAGCACGTCTACGGTCTATTGTACAAACTTTCACAAAAATCCAGAATTTAACGAAACACAAAGATTTTCATTATACAGGGCGTAAATTGAAGATGGTTTTAACTCAACCCCAAAAAAATTCTTGTGGGTCAAGTTTTGTGAGGCAAAACGATTCACTTACGCTCACGTTTATGTTTAAAATTTAGAAGCTTAAAGTGTTTACAATACGAAATTTTATCACAAGTTTTTTGATTGTATAGGATAGAACATATAAATGACTTTACAACTTCTTCAGTAAAAAATAGATTCATTTAACTTTCCTAAAGTATTTTAATACAAGGTCAGGAGACAATTCTCATTGTTCCAACAATTTCACAACCTTTGAGAGCTGTATAAGGCTAATTCAAGAACAATGGGTGGTGTCCTTATCAGCCATGGCCTAATACCTTGAAAATTAGGAAACAGAATATTTTATAAGAAAATACGTAAAACCCAGAGCTATTTATTTTATGAGTTGGGACACATATTGTTCTCTGCATTTCACATTATGATTCAGATTGTGTAAATATGTATGGTCACATGGATATCTTGAGCCATTTTTGTTCCAAAAACATGTATTATAACTATTTTTACATAGTAGGAGACAAACCATAAAAAATTCTTCAAAATGATTTTATGTTGGGTGTTAATCAAAGCAATGGAGAAGCTCCTTTGCTTCAGGTGTCCAAACTCTTTTGTATGTAAATTAAGAATCAATGTGAGGATCAATCACTTTCTGCTATACCATAGCTCACCCAATATGCATTATTGCTGTATGGTTTTATATAGGAAAAAGAAATTAATTCCTCCATTTCCAAATCTGCTTTATAAGTGTCAATGTTTGAAGCTCACAATTAAAACCTAAAATTTTGTCCTCTTAAAGCTTCAATCCTTCATAATGAGGATTAATATTATGCATCATATTCTCTGATGATGTCTTTGGAATTAAAGCTTCAAACTGTCTTGATATATAGCTTGCACAAGCCTGTGTTTAACATTAACATTAAAAATTTACATAAAAAGAACAAATATGAAGGCAGTGTTAAAGCCAGCCTGCAAATTTGTTCTTTCTATGTAAATTTTTCAAATTATTCATTTCTTAAGCAATCTATTTCCAGTGAAGGAACACCAAAATAGTAATATAGAAAAAAACAAACTTCTTATTAGCCATTTATTTGTTAATATATTTAGCATGCTATTTTATAGCAAAAAAAAATAAAACTAACAATATGGATGGCAATGAGCAAAGGCAAGCAGAATAAACACACAATATTACAATATTTCTTTAGTATAAAATTGTTCCAAAGTATTGAACTCTGATTCTTGATTCAAACATGCCTAATAAAAATTTGTTGATTGTGTATTATATGACTTTTGGATGATTGATAAGGCCAAAGGACTGGAGATTCTCAGCTTTATTTAGTTATTGATCCATTATTCATCACATATTGTGACAAAGGTTTGTTTGATTGTTATCTTTTGGAAAACTAGTTCAGTAATATCCTAATTTCAGGAGCAAATATTGTATTTGAAAAATCCCAATGCTTTCCAAACAGATAATTAAATACTTCTATAGAAATCCAAAATGTAAAAAAAACAAGTATTTTTCAATAGCTCATGGATATCAATAGCAAACCTGTGTATTTTTTGACATGTGAAACTACAAAAATCATTTGGTTTTGAAGAAATATGTTTGCAAATATTCAAAATAACAACCTGTTCAAAATTAGACCTTTGGGTATCATCACAGATTCCACATATTCCTCATAATGTTGGGGAATGCAAAACATTTCCTTTGCAAAAGTTTGTCCATCTTCAATCTAAAGAAAATAATGAAACATAGTTTATTTGAGTAGATAAATCATTAGTCTATTAATGAGCAATGATTGTATTCAATATCCAATAGAAAAACGTTGCAAGATATTGACACCTACAGTTATCGAGACCTTCTAATTATCATAACAACACGTGAAAAACGTTATTTTATAAAGATGGTTTTGCATTGATCTAATTACGTAAATGCGAAGCGTCAAAAATTTAATACCATGGTAGCATAGTTCTCATTTCAAGAACTTTGTCTTCTAAAACTTGGATAAAAAAGTTAAACTGCAAGTATATTCCATGGCATCTACGTACCCAGACTACTACTTTACTGATTACTCTTAGATTTACCTCCAAGAAATACATAAAACTAAATGCCTCGCACCAGATTTGTATCAAATTCTCAATGATAAGTAGAACGTTGACTATAAATACCTATTTATAATACATTATGGAATAACGATATTGTTATCCGCCCTTCGGCAAACTGCAAGATCAGTGTTATTTTCATGTACTGTTTTGAAATAAGTACAGTTACAATTCGTTATATTACGAATAAATAATTATAGAATTCCGAAGTAATAATGACACATAAGAAAACACAAGCAAACAGCAAATTCATACCTTAATAAAATTGGCCATATTGTTATTGCTTCCTTGTGACCTTTGATCAGGAACTATGTGCTGTTGCTACGTTGTTGCTAAGCTTCTCTCACAAACGGCGGGAAATCTAGGTCTAAGGTGACCATTGAGGTTAGCTGGTTAAGATTACCAGGATAATAATTAATAAAATTACTAACTCTCTGTACAATCTCTACATAAGCAATTGATTTCTTGTGAAAAGAGTTTCTAAACATTGGGGCTGGCTACACTAATAAGTAGTAATTAATTACAAAATAGCCTGTTTTCTCTTGATCATATGACATGATTTGCAACAACTGCAACAACGATCGCCGGCTTTATACTCACTAACAGACAATAAAAACGGCACGAGAACATTAATATAATCGTCTAGACTCTAGAGGCGTCAAATTTCGTGCCAAAAGTATGAAGGCGCTTTTCATTATGCTTACTTCCATTTTCTACTAGTCAATTGAGTAAGATCTAAGGCCTGTTTGGCTGTTCCAAACGTCGAACTTTACATGCACGACAGCGTTAGAGACAAAAGAACATGAGATGAACGTCCTCATTATCTTTTGTTTTAAATGCGTTCGGCTCATGTAAAGTTCGACGTTAGAACTAGGCCTAGAACTTGGTCATTGCGCATCTGATTTATCTGAAGTCTGAACAGAGATTTCTCAAAGAGAAGTGACCTTTTTTCCAATCCATAAAATAGTAAAATGAAAACTGATATTTTCATTATCATTTTTGATATACTTAGTGTATTCATTCATTGACTATAGCAGAAGGTCCATTTTTCAAAAATAGTTCACTTTCATCAAATTCAAAGTTATCATGCAGTCCTAAAACATGTTTTAATTAAAGAAGTCATCATTCAAAAATATGATTCTTTTAAGTTTGAGCAAGAGAAAAATTGGCATTTTCGGGCAGTGATACTCCCAACACCACTCATATAATTTTTCTGATTGAGAAATTATTCTTTTTCTAAATAATAAATAAGGTAGATGGCAAATTGTATAATCCCAATCAATGTTCTAAAGGTTTTGTTCCACACCATACACATACTTTTACATATCACATACTGTTAAACTTATTTAGAATACAAAACTTGGTCAATCAGTTAGTTTTTTCAATGAAAGGAAAAACAAGGCTGCTGCCCCAATACCAATTCCCACTGCCCCCATTGCTATTGGATGTCTTTCTATTGCTTCGTGTAGAGTATTTGCCACCAATTTTATGGCATGTATCCCAAGAAATATTTTCTGTTGTCTGCGTTTTTCTTCCAAGCTCATGTCTTCTGGAAATGACACTTTCAAAATAATTGTGTGTCCATGTTTAACAACAACAAATGGTTTCCACTTTCCACTGTAGATACCATCAATATGGAACATTTTACTACCAGATGAAACTTCAAAAGGAAGTTCGATAGAGCCGCCTTCTTGTGCTATTGATAAAGGCACATCTATTTGATGATATGTCATAGATTCCTCTAAGAAGAATTCTGGTAAATCACCACCGTACATGAATTCGGAGAACACAGTAAACGCATCATCCATTGTGAAAGTATTCGCAGAGTATCGACTAAATGAACTGCCAAATGAGCTGGCAACATTTTCAAAACCTATATCGCTAAAGGGTGTTTTGCGCGTCAAATCATATCTCCGTCGTTTGGATGGATCCGAAAGAACTGAATAAGCTTCCCCAATATCTTGAAATTTCTTTGTGGCAAATTGACTTTTGTTTTTATCAGGATGGTACTTAAGTGCCATCTTTCGATAAGCTCGTTTTATATCATCCATCGAGGCGTCGCATGATACTTGTAGGATATCATAATAATCTTTTTTACCTGACATTTGTAACACACAATTTAATTGCGTACGTATCTAACTTTCGAAACTTCTTTTGGCCGGTTCAATGATTCCATAACTCTATTTACTTCCTTCCAGTGCTGCCACTCTCTGTATGCACATTTCACCAACCAAAACTTTATTTTCCCCCTACCTCCCCCTATGATGATTTTCCTTGTTTCCCCCTACTTTTCCCCAACACAGCAACATATCTCCCTATTATACACCTACGTCGGGTCGGACCATTGAATTCTTTAGTCTGTTTGTAAAAACTGCATACAAAAAAAGATTCATTGAAAACTAAGAACATCTAGACGACAAAGTTAGTAATTTGGCGTAGGAAGTAATGACATGCAGGCGGCGCAAATGACACACTGAGTTTATCTGAGTTGCTGATCTTCTATTGCCATATATGGTCACAAAATGTGCCAAAAGAAAGATTCTGTTACAATCACTTGCTAAATGGTGAGAATACAGGAAGAAAAGAGTATTTTGGACAAAACTGAGGCTCATTTTTATACAATTTTCTTTTCTCCCTACAATCCCCAACAATTTACAGTTTTCCCGGTTTGTTTCTCCTACCACCTACAAACCCCCTACTGTAGGGGTTTCCCCTACGAGTGGCAGCACTGCTTCCTTCTCACAAATCAAAATAAATTAATTAACATTTAATATAAACGACAAGTTTTTTGAAAATTAACATGTTTCGACATCTCATGATGCCATCTTCAGTATAAGTGAAATAATAGGTGATACAATGTTTATATAAAAGTAATATGATACATAAATTACAACAATAAAAGGAAATAAGATAAATTAATGGGGAGCGTCCGAGCGTATTATAAACTAAATATTGTATTGAATTTAAAAACTTGAACATTGAGGTCAGGGTTAGTTTTGTTAATGTGGAGTGCTTCTTTGATTTTAAGGGTGAATGAGGTGTCGGCAGTGTCGATGATTTTCAAGCAAGAGGGTGAATAGTTGGTTTTACATGAGTGAGATTTAAGGTGTCGGTAGATATGAGAGTTTTTGTCTGTTGTGGTATGTTCCCTGATTCTGGTGGATAAATGGCGAGAAGTTTCGCCAATGTATCGGGAATTACATCCCGCGCAATTGAATTCATATACCACCATAGATTTGATTGAATCAGGGATTGGCTCTTTGAATGAGAAAAGGTTTTTGATTTTGAATGATGTGAAAATTAGTCGAATGTCAATATTTGTACAGAAGCGTTTCATAATGTTTATAAGTCTGCGTTGTGTGTGTCGTGAGTAATGTCCGATGTATGGTAGTTTGAAGTATAGAGTTGTTATTTTGGAATTTTCGTTTGTGTTGGTTGTGATCGTCGTGTCAGGAGTTTCGGTGTCTAGTTTGAGGTTGTTGTTTTGTTTGTTGTCGAGATATCGTTTTACGGTTCTGTCAATAAAGTGTAGTGGGAAAGAATTTAGTAAAAGAGTGGTGTGATTTTTATGTCTCGTTGAAAGCCATTGTTCGTATTGTTAAGTTTGTATGCTCTGTCGATTAGTGTGCGTATAAGTCCGGTTTTGTATGAAAGTGGTGTGAAACTAAAATAGTTCGACAGAAGTCCTGTGTATGTTGGTTTGTGGTATATAGATGTTGTACAGCTGTCATGAGATTTTGTTAGTTAAATGTCAAGAAATGGCAGTTGATCTTGTTGTTCAGTTTCAAATGAAAATCTAATGTTTGCGTGCTGTGTGTTAATGTAATTATAAAACTTCATGGCCTCAGTTTCGTTAGTAAAAACACAAAAAACATCGTCAACGTATCTGCGGTAAAATAGTGGTTTAGTGTCGTTGTAGTTGTTTAGCCAGTTTCGTTCATGTGAGCCCATGAAAAAGTTAGTAAGTATGGGTGCTAAGGGAGAGCCCATCGCAACACCGTCCGTCTGGTCATAAAATTTCCATTAAATAAAAAATTAATTCCTTTGTATTTCATACCAATGATTTCATACCAATGATACCATCCATACACAGCCTCCCTCACCATCAGAAGTTATCAAATCCAAAAAATTTGCAAATTCCAAAAATTTTCAGTACCATTCGAAGACAAGACCTTAAAATGCTGAGTCAGCATCATGGTAAAAACATACGTCGATGCTTCATAAACGAGTAACTGAAAGTAGACGGTGTAATTTACTTTTTACTCATTTCATACTAGTCTATCGAATGGTACTCAGAATTTTTGGAACTGGCAAACTTTTGGTTTGATACTACTCATGACGTCATCGTGAATAAAACGTAAATTTCTGCTAGTTGTGCACACGTATCGCCTGGGCTTGAGGGCACACGATGATTACTTGCTTTTGCATTATTTTCTATAACATTGTGAAAGAAATCATTCGTAGTGAGAGGTGTGCAGCGAAAACTGTTTTTGAGCACATTTATACCGTCTGGTCCACAATCTATCTTTGATGTTCTTCTTCGTTGATAAACTAAGTACATGTAATAGTTTGCAATAAAAATGGAGAAACTGCAGCTTATTCTTTCTATTCCTTCACTTCGCTTTTGTAGTAAATAGCAGAGCCACGTATTTTGTGAAGATAAGAGATAAATCTTAATTGCCAAGATAAATTTTATGCTACACTTGAAGCCATGACGTATGATTCCACTTAATCTCCAACATTTATAAATCCATTAACAGATGAATATGTTTGAAATGTGCATTCTTTGTAGAAATCATTTGTAGATCTTGTGTATTTTACAATGACAATAGATTACAATGGATAGGTAAAATTGACATTGAGCAAAAATGGAAAGTAATGAAGGTTATTGGTTAAATAATATTAAACGCATCGTGTTGAGATGAGATTTAATTGTCTCCATTATAAAATTAATGGTCAATAAATTACATTTGAATATTTTCACTCAATTTAATAAATTACATATTTTCTATAGTATATGGTACACGTTATACAATTCATTTGAACCCGGACACTTTCAATGCAAACTTTAGTTAAAGTAAAGATAAATTATTTTCTTTCATCGGTGCAGCAGGTTATTTACAAATGTCAAAAATTTGCCTAAAATCACTGAAGACACTGAGATCTTCAGAACTTCCCCCTTCAATTCAAATAATGCAATACTGCTATGTACAATAGGCCATACGTAGATAATAGAAATCCTCTTTACACCAATCACTACGATGTGAAGTCACCACTATTGGATGAACCACTACACGATAAAGAACGACCAACGTTTTGACAACCGTTGTTCTTCAATATCTCCTCGCACTCCCTACTGCCACTTTCACGAGCATACCACAATGCCGTTCGACCACTACCATCAAGTAAGGTCACGTCAGCAAAATACTTAATTCAAAAAAAAGAAAGTTTTTTAAAAGATTCGACACATAATCATGCAGAGCATTTAAAGGCAGATCTATGATTTCAAATAAGATGAAAGATTTATATATGTTATTTACCGGATGGGAGGCCCCGTACATGAAAAATCTTTTCACGAGGTCTTAAAAGTGGTCCGAGGCCAAAAGAGAAGGGACGCTTTTGAGGCCAAGTAAAAATTTTTTCCATACGACTGACGTAAACGGTAAATAACATATTTATTTTTTCATTTTATAACGTAGAAATTCGCTTTGTAAAAAGGCCGATATGTTGCTTTTCTATAGTGAAATTACATTGTTTTTGTACAAAATTTACTTGTCTGGATAGTAAAATTTACTCTCGCTATTATAACTATCATCTGAATACACTTTGCTTTCTCGTTTCAAGTTTAAAAGTTTGCATTTCACTTTGTAAACAAATACATCGCGAACAATATATCATTTTTGGATCACGGTCAAGATATCGTAAAAAGCTGTCAGCTGCTAAAGCCAATCAGATTACGCGAAATCAAAAAAGATCGCTTCGCATGCATGTATATAAAAATAAATAAAATTATCAGAAAAAATAAATAAAAAGTTTTGTTAAGAAATTCGCTCTAAAACTTACCCAGATCAACAACAGAGTGATCACAAGATTACCCTTAGATGCAGAAATATGAAGAGAAGTTCTTATCAAATCGTCGTCTTCCCTTTCATTTACATCCTTTTTCTCTGCATGAGCCAGCAATAACATCACATCACTTAGATCTTCTTTTTGAACAGCTTCAATAAGACGCTATTTGAGAGAATAACAATCAATCACTAGGTGGTACCACACGCACCTTGGATGCTAAGTCGTAACCCGCATGTGCGTAGGGGATAATTTTGATTATTTACAATACAGTAAAAAGTAATGAGAAAATTTGACTGGTGAACAACTTGAAATGAAATGAACCAAATCAAATAAGCTTATTTAATGGCACGCAGAAAAGCATACGATAACCAAGTGGGCAAATGAGAAGCAACAAAAAATTCCGAAATATACCAGTCCAATAGAGAATTTTGATGTCGGCAATTGTCTGACGTATTCCTTGTTTACATATTTGGCTCTTATCCACCTCTCTTTATCTTCCCTAAAAAACATCAACATTTCTATGAAATAAAAGTATTGAAATAACTAAAAGTAATAAAATAACAAAGTGCAACACGACGATTGAAATATACGCTGTACACTGTATGAAAACTGTACGATTTCACTGTTCCTAAATTACGTAGCCTTGCTCAAATAACAAAAATTTAAGACTATTTCAAATGAAAGAAGTGGATAGCAAAAAGCACCTAGAGTATGAGAACCGTTAAAAAGCAAGCGTCCACCCCCCTTGATGACCTTTCCTCTATAAAGGGACCATCCCATGAGGTCATGGAGAGAGACATATACCTTGGTGAAGATGGTTGAGGCTTTGATGCAGATTGAGAACAGGCTTCCCATATACTGTTCGTTAAATTATTTCCTATTGACAACATTACAGCCCGAATTTCTGGCCTAAAAACAATGTTGTAAAAAAAGGTGTCGGTGATAAAAATGCCGTCCACTTATATTTTCAATATTTTCTCCTTACGGCCATTCATCCAAGTCCAAAGAACGAACTCTTGAAACATGAGTTCCAAGATTTCGATGGAATCCACAGCAAGCAATACATATCAATGCACCTAGATTCAGACTTGCCCAGTCGGGATCTGTCAAATATTCAAAAGGCCAATCTTAAATTACAAGTTTATAATAATGGTTGTGTTGTATAAGTCACACGAACAAAAGCTTCGGCGGTAAGATACAAGTAGCCGTTCTTTTTTATTGTTATTTCTTTGAATGCTGGCTAAAATTAAACAAAAACAACGTGACGACGACACAATTTCTTTGATTTCGTCATGTTTTTACGGTTGCGTCGTAAACTAACTTGTTTCAGGTACACTACAACTGAAATAACATATGACGTCTGGAAAAACTAAGCATTTACAAAATACTTCAATTTTGAACATAGTAAAAAAATATTAACGATGTATTAACAATCTTAACAAAAAAGAAATTAACTACTTACTAGGTTCCCCACAATCCGCACAAACATTGTTTCCTGGTACTAGTCGGATAGGCTGCAAATCACTTTCCGACGAAGAGTTACTATTCATCTAAACATGTATTAGAAAGAGGTTGCACACTTATATTTACTATTGAAGCATTAAATTAAACATGGTTTGATAGCAGCTAGAAGTTTTTCGTTCAAATCACACTGAAATTTATTGATACGGTAAACATGAAGTGGAAACAAGTGTGGCGAAGATTCATAGACTAGTAGATTTCATAGAGTGGAAATAAGTGCAGCGAAGATTCTTTGACTCGTAGATTTCATAAAGTGGAAACAAGTGAAGATTCATAGACTAGTAGATTTCATAGAGTGGAAATAAAAGATTCTTTGATTCCGAAACAAGTAGATTCATAGACTAGTAGATTTCATAGAGTGGAAATAAGTGCAGCGAAGATTCTTTGACTCGTAGATTTCATAAAGTGGAAACAAGTGAAGATTCATAGACTAGTAGATTTCATAGAGTGGAAATAAGTGCTGCGAAGATTCTTTGATTCGTAGATTTCATAAAGTGGAAACAAGTGAAGATTCATAGACTAGTAGATTTCATAGAGTGGAAATAAGTGCAGCGAAGATTCCTTGACACGTAGATTTCATAAAGTGGAAACAAGTGTTCGTAATAAAGTAAATGGTTTGAACCCGGGAGTATCGTTACATGTTTGTAAATGTAGATCGTCCAGGTTGGTATAGTCCTGAGAAGGACTGTTTTTGTTGTTGTTGACTGACGTTGCTTGCAAAACGTATGTAGTCGTTAGCAAGTTACCATTTACTTTATTACGATCATTTGGACGACAGAGCGAACAACTTGCTGACGACTACATACGTTTTGCAAGCAACGTCAGTCAACAACAACAAAAACAGTCCTTCTCAGGACTATACCAACCTGGACGATCTACATTTACAAACATGGAAACAAGTGTGGTGAAGATTCATAGACTAGTAGATTTCATAAAAACATACATACTTAAAGTAATACAAATGCTGCGGGACAAGTGACATGTGACTATTTATTTAATGCATTTTATTTAATGAATTTTAGATAATAGTTGAATAGAAAAACCAGGAAATATTATATATTACTTAATGATTGACTGACCTTATCCCTGCCACTGAAGTTTGACTGAAGACATGATAGAATTCGTTGTTCAATACTATCAACCCAGTTTTTTCTTTCCTGTAAGACACAATAACAATATATATATATAATCTACAAAGAACACCGGCTAAAGCCAAATGTTAAATTACCTCAAAGGATGACGCAGCAAAATTCCAAGATTTACCATCAAGTGATACAATTTTGAATTCGTAGTCATATGTTTGCCCATTTCTGGTGTCTGTATGTCAAAAGAAACTTTATTTAAAGAAAAACAACCAGCGATGGAAGTGCGTGTTAATGTAGGTACAACTGTGAACATGAAACAGAATGACTTATTTAGACTAGAATACCTTTCACATTCATAATCAGCCTCTCAAAATAATTAGATTTTGCAGTTCGTAAAAATTAGCCTTACGAACCTGTTTTTTCATTGGAAGCTATTGATTTTGTGGAACCGTTGCTCTTTATTCGGCGATGCCCCTTCTTCTTGACGCTCCCTGCCGGAAGAGTATTTGTCTCAAAGCGACTGTCAACACTTACTGAAGGCCACTTTCTCTCTTTGCCATCACTAGGTGTAGTCACAGGTGAAGTTGAAGGTGTAGTTTTTGAAGAACTAATGTATTGTGATGATTGCGTTGTTTGTACGGGATATGGACTGTTTCCATTCAATAAACTTTTCTGCAACTCTTCTGGAAAGTTGCTAAATTCGAGTTCACAAGATTGTGTATTTTTGTTAGTACGACGGTTTTGTGCACGTTTGCGTGGAATTGATTCACTTCTATTAATTGTTTGATTCTTTTTCGTTTTCGTCGTCGATTTAACATGAGGTACAGAGTGGTTGATACTATTATGGTTTTCCTCGACGCCATTTTCATGAAAAGGCAAAAAATCGTTTGATATCACCAAAGATCCGTTCTCTTTCACGTCACTTCCACGAAAACCATCTTCTGAGTTATTTTCTTTACTTCGTATTCCCGAAGTTTTACCTGTGTTACAAATAACTACATGGTTGGAACAGAAGTAAATAGTCCACCGTTTAAGACACTTTTAACGTTAGAGCCACTAAGTCACTGTGGCAATTTCTAAAAAATACTGGATTCCATGCTAGGCGAATTCAAACTAACTGTTGAAAAGACAGGTAAACATTTTCGAAAGATTGCACAATTGGAAAACACTGTTTGAAAAACCATTGAAAAACCACGTTAAACAAAACGTTTTCATACACGTGCTGAGGCATGTAAAAAATATCAAATAGTAAGTATACAGCTACTTTTCACATTTTCATAATTTACAATACTATCATTATTAGTTCATTTTAAAAATTTATTAGTCAATTTTTATAGCGAGAAACATTAACAAACTCTGGAAAAAAAGAATAACTGTGTGTGTTAGATAAAAATCTGTTACCTTGTAAGGTTGCAATGGGAGGAATTTCACCGGGAATTTTTACTGTACATTGTTTCAAAAATATTTCTTTTCCATGGACATTGGCAATGTAATCCTAAACGAAATAAATTCTATGTAACACTAAAATAATGAATTTTTCTAACCATTTAAGCTAAGATCACTTGAAACAATGCACAAGAAATACAACCGTTTGCAAGTGAAGGGCGGATCTATGAGATAGACGTATATGCCATGGCATGTTTTCTGATGACATGTCTTAAATTAAAAGTATTTCTGTTTATCTGTGATTTACTAATCTAAAAAAATACGCGTATGTTACGTATCTATGGCTTCAAAATAAAGCATTTGAGCATCGTTATTTGAGCACTTTACTAAATATAAAACATTCTGATTGGAGAGCATTCAGTTTTCATCATTTTCAATTCATTGTATCTTGTGTCATTGATATATATGTTAATAAATCCGAAGTCGTGCCATAGAAGTATAAATTTTGTAGCTACGTTAATAAACACAACTTCAATCTAGAAGTAGATATTAGCTACGTTAATAAATATTAAGTTATTCTACATATTGTTACTTACATGTAGAGAGGGATAATAAGTCAATATACCACCATCGCTTAAAACCACAAATTTCTTTTTCCATTCTTTATTAATCGAGTTTGTTGTTCTTTTCAGAAGGTTTCCCTTACATAAAAGTAAAAACTTTAGTATGTTTTCACGGCTACAAAACTATATGTATGGTTGAAATGCATTTGAAGTTTACGGAACTTATGCTTCCTAGACGATATAGAACTACAAAACCTCAGACAGTGTACATCTATATATTGTATATGTAATTGTTGGAACGCTTCAGTTTCGTTGCTATTACAAGAGTCATCAAATATCATGTTTGTTTTCAAAAATTTCACTTCTCAACAACATTGAAATTTGCCTAATTTATGTTAAAATAACTGCTATAAACAACGGAGATTTACAAATTGAAAAGTAATTCTATTTAATAACTGCGCAAAAACGAGCAACTTTTAAACAAGACTAAAATGCAATAAATGCTTTAAAATCATTTAGATAAACAGTCCTTTCAAAATATCTATTGCTGTAATGGAAACACCACACATTACAAAAACCCACAAACACAATCAAATATCTTCCTCATTACCTGTTTCACAGGAATATATCGCCCAAATCCAATTTCTTGGTCTCCATCCACATCGTCTTTAGGTTTTTCACTTTTCTGAAAATAAAAGACTCCATTACTTATCAAGGGTAGTTTGCACTAAGGGGTGTAAAGGATTAGAGGTCATAAGAGTCATAGAACGCGAACATAAAATATATTAACTTAATATTTAACTCAACGTACCGATCCAAATATAATAGTTCGCCTTCGGCTAGTTCTTGTTTTGGAGGAGGGTGTTGATGACGGACTAACTTTAGCCGTAGTTCGTGAACTGCCACCACTTTGAGTGGAGCTTACAGAAGTTGATCGCCCATCAGTAGCAGTTGGTAATATCGGGTCGTATGAGGTTAATACAGCAGATTCGATATTAGCCATCTTCTCAGAGGCTAAAAATATCGAAAAACGAAAGCATTAACTTAATAATGTTAGAGTGTTCTATGAAATTTCTGTAAAAATAATGAACGACAACATTTGGTAACCAGGTTTGTAAGTTCACTTTAATTTCAACTACATAGAACAACAGTGTAAAATAGTTAAAAATACTAAAATTAAGCCATCGCCTTTTAGGTAAGGTTGATGCTGTTTTTGGAGATTCAACACCACATCAAGATTCATACATTTATTAAAGATAAATTGCTACACAGAATTTATCTGGTGGGGAAAACGTGTTTGAAAAAATTTACATGTGAGCCAATGTAAAACGAACTGTAAGCTCGGTTAGATGAACAATTTAATTTAAGATGAAAAATTTTATATAACATGGTCACAAAAGTTCATGGATAATATTGTACGTCTGTGTGAAATTGGCAGACAGTTAACGCAACCTGATAAAACAATCATGAGAAATGAGTATATATATATATGCAATTTTGTGGAATACTCGAACATAGATCGTCTTGACCTATACTGCGCCTTGTTCAGGTCTTTAAGAATATTAAAGACGGATAAAATTGACACGCTTGATGCAAAAAAATTAGTCACCTCAAGACAAAAAGCGAATGAAATTAATAATATGTTTAAAACATAAAATAGAATTTGAGAGCATTAATTGTTACTTTAGTTAATTAATTAAATCATCAAAATCAATAAATTATTTGAATATCATTGCAACAGACAGCGACAAATGGATGCGAGGAGGACGTTAGGTCGGTATCTTTGAGTGGACAACAGTGGCTAAAAGACTTCCGAACAAGGAAGCAAAAATTGCTTCTTCAAGTGGTTTTTGTCATTAAACCAATCCAAATACTGTGATGAGGGTCGATTTATAAAAGGAAAAATTCCTTATAAATAGCTACAATGATAATAACCGATATTTTGTTTAAATATCGTAAATAGCCTTAAGACAAAGATAAATTATATACATATACGTAACTGGTAAAAGAATAATATTAGGAAAAGTGCTCAATACCGAAGTAGAGCTAATATTTATCAAAAACAACTTTTACTTAGCCATAAAATTTTATTCACTACCAATTTTCCATTCTAAAACTGTTGTATATTTATTTTATGTATAACAACTTTACTTATCAAGATATATAGTTGCTAAGAGACATAAAATGACGTACATTCCTAAGCAGAATTTGCATGACAAGTGAACGAGACCGACACGCAATCCGTACTCAAAACAAATCTCATTTTAAAGCTTTTACGAAAGTTTTGTAGTACAGGGCAAAAGAAGGGAAAATCTGCCAGCCAGTTAAAGCTGTTGTATTCTTTCAAATCCAGAGTAAAGAGAATTTATGTACGAGAAAAGTTGCGAAGAAAACACTCATTAAAAATTCCTCAACCTTCGCTACATCTATAAAGTCATGCAATTCTAGTGCTGTAAGGCATTTATACACGCATGTACTTCGATATTTTTAAGAATTATTCGTACAATTTAAAGTAACTTTATATCTCTTTTAATAGATCATTGACTTAACTGAAACTTGACACTATAAAAACAAAATTACTTATCAATTCCTTGATAGCAAGATTATGAAAACATATTTTGACAAATCGAGGTAACTCACTCGCTGAGTAAATCGCAAGTACAAATCAAACTCTTCAATGTCCAAAATGTATTTCAGTTTTAAGAAATGTTACATTTACAACTTTACATTTCAAATGCAAGGAGTCCTTGTCAAAATTTCCGCTAAGAAAGTAACTAAAATTAAAAGAATTGGCTTAAATTCAATAATATTTATAAAGTGAAATCAACGCATTAACCATGCCATTGAACGTTATAGAGGAGTTCTGAACTTGTGATTACTTGTTTCAGCGGGTGTTGACTAAGATCAGGGAGATTTAACCGGTTTAAAAACTAAGAAGGCTCTTCAATATAAAAAATAGGTATAAATAGTAAAAATACCGTCAATTCTTGGGGTCTTTGATTTAAGAATAGCTGCTTCAATATCTTCCCAGTTTGTAATAAGATCATACGATCCAGAGAGCTGAAAGCTTCGACGCATCATATTCTCAAATGTACGATATTCTAATAAAATACCCCTTCGAAATTTTCCTACATTTGTACTTTGTGAGTTTATGTCTCTCGTTTCATTCTTTGCTAGAAAGCCAGGCTCAGCCACTTGTTTAGCTTTTTCATTACAGTTGACGAGCTGTTCCGAAGCCTTCACGATAGGTAAACGGGACCTACTGCTTTCTCTTTTCGAATACTCGGAATTTTTCATCGTGAATACAGACAGAAAACAAAAGAAACGATTAGCCTTTCACGAAAAGCGCCTGCAGTCGAAAATATTATCCGCACTTTATATACGTACAAATCGCAAAAAGCGTACTGAGATACTTCTTCTAAACGTTCGTACTGGTTATCGTTGCTAAAATAAAAATTTCCGTTTATTTTTAAAAATTTATGTACGCCAAGAAGCTCATTTCTGAAAATATCAATACACTTTATTGATGCCTAATCATTTTAGACCCACCCAAACGATATCATGTTGAGCAGGTACTTAAAATATTGTTTCCCTGTTATCGTTGTGCACGGCTATGGAGAGGTACACGACCGTCTCTCAAAGTCTTCTTTTACAGTTGCTTTAAAAGAAGTCTTTACAAGCAAGGTCTTAAGTTACTACTGAAGTTAATCATTGTTCAAAGAAGATCGCCTAAAGACTTTTCTGCATAAAATGAAATTATTGCCCGAATTAGCAGGTAGCTGGTGGTACAAGCACACTACTTTTGTAGAAAGAACTGGGACGCTTCGTTACCCTCTATCTGTGTGGAAGAATTAAGCACTAGTGTCATCAAAGGTTTCAGTCAGTTCCTAAATTTGGGGCAATTTTCAACCAATTTAGGCATTCCGAACAAAAGACTTTCTGCTTTTTCTTTCATCATATAATAAGAACTTCGTGATTGAACTGAGTGCTACGTTTTACTGTATAATTTCCTAGTCTAAAAGTTATATACAAGAACCTAGAAAATCAACGATTCAAAATAACAATTTAGGGAAACTGCTTAAGCAAATGTAATGAAATTTTTGATGAAGAAAAGCTTGTACCAACATCTACGTAGCCTAAATATAAATATGTGTTTAGAATCAGATATACATGTTTAGTTCTATCAATTTGCTTAGTTTAAAAGCATTCAAAAAAGTGAAGTTATGAAATGTACTTTAAAATTTGTTGCCTGTCCTTGATTAAAAGTTTAACTCATATTCCTTGTCTGTCATTGAACACAACCTTAGCTCAAATTAGTTGTGCGTCCTAGAATACAAACTTAACTCAATTGTACGTCCTAGAATACAAACTTAACTCAATTGTGCGTCCTAGAATACAAACTTAACTCAATTGTGCGTCCTAGAATACAAACTTAACTCAATTGTGCGTCCTAGAATACAAACTTAACTCAATTGTGCGTCCTAGAATACAAACTTAACTCAATTGTGCGTCCTAGAATACAAACTTAACTCAATTGTGCGTCCTAGAATACAAACTTAACTCAATTGTGCGTCCTAGAATACAAACTTAATTCAATTGTGCGTCCTAGAATACAAACTTAACTCAATTGTGCGTCCTAGAATACAAACTTAACTCAATTGTGCGTCCTAGAATACAAACTTAACTCAATGTGCATTCTTGAATGAATCGTTTACTCAAATTCACTCATGATCCGAGGGACTAAAAATTTGTCTTTAGTTTAATGAGCTTTTCTTGTAGAAGGAAGGAAACAAAAAAAGACGAAGTTTTGGAACTGTAAAGTTTGGGTTTTAGTACGGGTTTATTTTCGCAGCTAAAGTACACAACACTCTAGCCTACGTAATACAAGTTAAAAGCTAAGAACAAAATGAAGACAAAACGCAGAATTTTGTAGCTATTATGAGAATATTTACTATTCACAAAAACTTACCCAATTGGAACATTTGGTTTATGCTTTCTCCAGTTTCAAGACAAACTTCAACGTAAGTACAGTTGTTTACATGGCTCAAGCGTCTGTTAATCTGACTTGAATAAGTAGGATTTATTGAACTCTGATTATTGTGCTCTAAAAAATAGTTTGAAAATATTTGGTACACAAATCTACGTACGTGTATAAAAATCTTCATTTTGATGTACATATCAAACATTTCACCGGTTTCCAAGCCCTTAGCTGACAAGCATTAATAAATATTTTACCTTTAATGCCAACCAAAAATACAGGAATGTCTGAAAAATCTCTGTAATCTGACATTCTGTTGTAGTACCCAGGTAGAACACTGGAACTGAGTTCATCATCAATGTTAAATACCAGAATAACACCATCTAACCAGTTCACAAACTTTAAATAAAATGCTTTAAATAAGTACATATTTGATTATGGATACTTAGGTCATAGGATATGCAACATGACACTACATTGATTATCAATAGAGAAAGTGCTCAGTGGTAAAATTGCATATAAATTCACGACAAATGACAATATTTTTCACTGGTCTACTAATGTACACATTAATAATGTCTATTCAACATTTGTATAAAAATATAAGCTTAGACAATATACTTATGGATAACTTGGAATCTTTTTGGTGGAAAGTTCCTACTCTTTGTATGATGTTTTGCTAACATGCAAGTTGCCTATCTGTTGTTGTTATTATTGCCACAATTTATTGAATGGTGACAAATTTGACAAAAGTTATGAGTAAGTACCTCATTGATTTTCTAAAAATTCACAAAATATGGAGTTGACTAGAGCCATACATAACACCTAAATTTTTGTTGATGCACAAATGAGGCTTCACTATAAATACTACCATTCCTGACAATTTATACACTACCTCAGAATCTGGGGAGCCAGTTTCATTCCTTATAAGCAGTAGATAACTTTGGCCATCCACTAAGACTTCTTTTTTATGACATCCATTCAATCTTTCCTCTTTTGGAATTTCTCCAGCAAGAAAACGGTGGACTAATGCTGATTTACCAGATGTAATACTACCAACAACACCCTGTAGAAAAAAAGCAATGAAATGAAAAACCATTTATTCTATAAAAATAAATTACATTTACAAGGTAATATGCACATTACATAATAAAAATTAAATGGCATATAGCCTATGCATCTGTAGATTTAAGAACATTATCATTATATTGTCTTTTGCAATGAGCTGACATACAAAAATACAAAGCAGGCTGACTATGCTACTAAAAAGAATGTATGAAATGAGGCAAAAAATGACCTAAAGTTGCAATTACTCCTCAAGAAAATAAGTATAATGGATACTAACCAACTTCAATTCACAATCTTGTGTTGGCTTGTTAGCACTAAATTCTGGGCTATGTTGAAAGCAATCTATGAAGGAAAATAAAAACAACAACAATTCAATGAAATTTCCTTATACTAACATGGGGAAGTAATTTTTTTTACAAAAGATAAACCAAGAGATGAAACATTATCCAATCTAAATAATTACGTACATCTAGATACAGTTTTTCAAGCTTATTACATATGTTTATTAAAATAAAAAATAGAAAATTAAGATAATGGGTTAAGCTCATATGTTATATAATGTGCTAAGAATCTTATCTTCAACAGCCTGCAAAGCCATAAAACTAAAAATTTCAAAAATGAAATGACTACAAAAGTCGTATCTGAAAATGAAAGAAATGTTATCAACATAACCAAATAGGTTTTTTTTGCACAACTATTGATGATTTTCAGCAAATCTATGATAAGCTGATATTAATTCATAATACTTGATTCATAATTCTTTCTCATGAGTATAATATTACACTAAAACAACTTCCTGGAGATTGTTTACTATTCATACATTGGAAATTGGAATACTCTCGAAAATAAACTCTTCAGAACAAGAGGCTTTCAAAGTTATTACTTACTACTTAAGACCTACGTAATAAAAAATTAATCGCGTTTTCTCATAAAATTATAACGACATACGTCTTTCTTACAAGAGTTAAACATGAACGAAATGATAGGTATTTTAAGAATGCTTTTATAACACAATAAATGTACTCCATCCTGTTTACATCGAAGCAAATAATTGACAATTTCATGGCTTCGTCATTTAGATACACACAATCAACAAACATTAAATAAATTTAAAAGGTTTGTTTATCGCTCAAGGAAAGAGTAATTCAAATAATTTTTAAGACTGAGCTCAGATATCCTCAGAATCCCATTCACTTTTACGTACGTAAATGAATGGATTTTGTGTGTCATTCAGCGTAAAACTGAATCTATTACAACCTGTATAACGGTTTTCTTTAAAACCGGAACAATCCAGAATAATTCAACAATATTCATCTGTTTAGCAAAATAAAATTGCAAAATCAGTATTAAAATGCAAAACATAAATACATCGACAGTTCAGAAACTTTTTTTAGATTTATTACAACCCGATCACATAAACCCTTAAAATGGCTACAAATCTGCCAAATGGCTGTATCCACATTTATCATATTTCATAACCTTTACTCAAGAAGATAGTCTTACTAATATTTGAGAAGTGTAGGGGAATTATATTGTACAACAATAAAGTGTCAATGAAAGACAGTCGTAGTTGCATGAAACAGTGTGGAGGGTATTTCCTTGTATAAACTTACCTTCAAGTTTATTGACCAACTTTCTCATACGAATTTTAACCGGAATATTGTCAATTTCTTGGAGAAGACCATGAAGATTATCCAAGGTTTTGTGAATGCTTTCAAATCTAGCGGCTTCGTTACGTATGGTAGAAGCCAAGGAAGGAATTTGTTCGGACATGGCTAATTCTTTGTCTAAGTTCTATATGTTTGACGACAGCTGTACGTCTCCCTACTCCTTTGTTTCAATATTCATTTGGCAAGCCATTGATCAAAGCAACAGCTGCCCGTATACGTATGCCTGAATGAATGTCCGGTGAAAACCTTCCGAAATGTCATTGTCCCTGCAATTTGATCAGCATATCTATTTATCAATGTTTTTACGAATGCGCCTGCTAATCTTTGACTGCGGTTTTACATATAACAATTTTAGAAAGGGAAGAAAGGGAGAGTTTTATTGCAAAGTGGAAAATAAACTCATATACACACGGTACAGATCCATTGAAAGACGTGACCTTTGCTGAAAATTGTATTGGAAATTAGAACATGGCCATTATACGATTTAAACGTGAATATAACAGAGGTTCATAAAGTAAATAAAAGTGATAGTTGACTTAAAAGTTGACCTTAGTCGTTACTATACAATAAGGTCGTGAGAAAAGTTGATTTGTTTTCTTGTCTCAAGTAAATCTTTCAAATCTGATCAAGAGATAATTATTTGCGATGTTTTCTTTATTGTCGTCTGCTTTCTGTTTTCTTTCCATGCCGATAATTTTCATGGCTTAAAAAAATGCAATTCTTCCGTAATTTTGATCTCATTATTTATAAATCAGCTTTCCATAGTACATCTCAGCACCAATCACCAATCATAGAATTGCAAATTTGAAAATAGTATTCTTGACACAATTATTAGTTAAATTAAAAGACGGACAGACATGAACCCAGTTTTAAAGTTTCATTTTACTTCTTAAAGAGATTTTTGCAGACAAATCGCGATCATTGCATGCGTTGCAGCGATTTTTTGAAGCTCTGACAGTTATTTCGCAAATCTTATCAATATTTGGCTGTATGCAATCTATGGACGAACTCTCATTCCTATTCACATTACCTGATGGGACAGAAAACCATTCTAAGACAACTTTTCTTTCCCACATGACAGTGATGGCACCATTTACTTTATGCTATATTCCTATGTTATGTTTTGTACGACATTTTACAACACTTATGCCTTGATAATTGTATCTAATACACACAAAATGTAAGATAAATATACATAAAAATACGGCCAAATTAGTACTCTTGTATTTTGCAACCCCCCAAACATCTATTTTTCTCCTAACCCCCCTGTTCACATGGCTTAACCAAACTTGCTGGCTGGCCGCACCCCTCAACGCAACATAGAATAGTTTGATATTGTGCTATCCAATGGTTACAAGCTAGCCTACACAGTCCATACTTTCATAATTTGAAAACGTTGTTGATGAAAAAGAATACATGTAAAGTACCGTTTGTATGTATAAAAATTATTCAATAACGGTTAAGTTATTATTTATAAGAAACTCAGGTAAATAGGATTCAGAACTCCATTATTCATACTACTAATAATTATATTAGACAGACATTTAATTGCAATCTGCATGTAGAGTTTTTACTTGAAATCATCAGCACTAAAAAGACCCTATAAAAGAAACAAGAGATAGATACGTAATATCGTGAATAAAAGGCGCATGTTAAAAAGTGAGGCAAAAACTTATTTTTACATGTATTTAACAAAACTTGCAAACAGCCGCATTTGTGGTGATTGCAACCACCACCAGTGAATTTGCCCATGTACTGTATCTTGTTGCGCACGTTTCGGTGTATAAGTTTGACAAACATTTTGATTCAAGTACGTACACCACGTACGACATAGTGTTGAATAAACAAATAATAAAACTAATGAAAACTTTAATCCAAGTTGATCATAAGTTTTTTCTCGTTTGTTAATTCACGCATTGTGTTCCTGCCACTTGGCAACATTTTTGAGAGCTTTCACCTACCTTAGCCCTTCTGAGAATGGAGTCTTTTGAAGGATCATATGGATGATGTTTTGATGGAATTTCTAGTACAGCAGGAACTGCTTGAGTATAGTTATCTAATATATGCCGGATTTCTTCAGCAATCTAAAAAAATGATACATTGTGTACTGTCCGAGTGCATAAGGATCAAAACCTGATGTCCAAAGACCTAAAAAATTACACAAAATTTATTGACTAAGAAGACTCACGACTTGATTTATCAGGATAATTGCAATATCGCTGCGATTTGTGAATGTCTTGAAGGTCTCCTCAATTTCCCCAACTGAGGTGTCTTAAACAAATAGAACAATAAAAGGATAAACTTATGGAAATGAAGTGATGCCCAACTTTAGGTTCTGTATAAAATATGAACGACCACACTACATCACTCTTTATGAGTAAACGTATAAAAGTTGTAACTTATCATATGAAACCCCTCTGTTCAAAATGTTTGCTTTGTTTATGCACGTGCGGGTGAAGTAGGTTTGAGGATAATTTTATATTTTTATGATTTCCTAAAAACCTTGTAATAATTGAAAAGTTGATTTGGTAGTCCTTGTAAAAAAATAAATTTATAAATTTATTCATTACTACACAATATAACATAAAACATGAGATATATTGTACGCACTTGACGAAAGATTGTATCTAACGCTCAACTCTGGTTTCTAAATACATCTTTCTCAATAGTCATGTGATTTTAACATACTCATTGTTAAATGTTTTGATTATGTCATTCAAATCGTCATTGCTCCCAACTAATATTTATTTATTTATTCACTGTTATTTTTAGTTACTTAAGTTTATACAGATTCATTCTCATCAATTAATATCTTCATTTGAAATGGAATATATAACCTGCATTTCCAGCCTGAAGATTCTTCAAAAATCTAAACATCAAAATGCACTACACTATACAACTCCATAGTGATTGATTAAGCGTTTTTCACCTTAATTCTTGCACAATATTCATTTTTTCATCTTTGAAGGTTTTTAAACTACAGTTTGTCTGCTGACATCATTGGTGTCAATCCTGCGATAATGGGGGGAGACCATATTCATATATTCAGATATGCCAGGCTGATTTTTTGAAAAGAAATAAGCCAGGCATAGCAGAATACATGAATATGGTCCCCCCCAATTAAGCACAGGATTGATGCAAATGGCTGACATATGATTTGCAAATTTGTAGATTAACAGGATTTAAATAACACTAAACAATACGATTTTCAACAAAATTGTGCTACCTTCAATTTTATCACAAAACTTATTTTGAAATTCCATACTTCTCTTAAAAATCCTAGACCTGAACTTGAACAAAAGTTCAAAAAACCGTAAACTGTTTCAAAAACCATATGCATTTGATTTGAGGTAATATCCTTGACTAAAAAAATTATAATTTCTATATTTAACAAGGAAAACCCAAGGCCTTAGCCGGAGGAATATTCACACATATTTTAGACAGGGATTTTTTAAAGTAGACAGGCAAAAAAATTCAAAACAGTCAATGGGCAAATTTATTCTTTTTCAGCTTTTCATGTTGTTAACAAATACAAATTAAAAAAAGAAAAAAGGCACTCAAACAGCATTTTCAGTTGCTATTTACTAGTTATTATTCTAGTAAATAGTTCATTGTATGCAAAATAAAAAAGAATTGCATCAAAAATTAAATATCTTTCTCATCAAGTCTGAAAATTGAAAGTTTGTGAACAAAGCTAATACTTATAAATACAAAGCATATCAAAATAAACCACATAAAATCAAGAACCAAGTTCTGCTTTGCAAGAATAACGAACATTCTAAGTAGTTCTAAGTATTTTTTGACAAACTCTCAATTATATTTGATGGAAATGTGGAACTTATATAATATGTAACATATTTTTACAAATGAAATCAACAAATCAAAGGTATGTATAAAGTATCAGTGCAAATAATATAGGTCAATATCAACAAGTATGTACATGAACCACATTAAACACTGTCCTTACTGACTGTTACTATTATTTACAGAAAAATACCAACGATTGCCAAGTTTTTCCAAACAACCAAATATTTGCCACTGCTTTTACTTAAACACTGGATTTAATGGAAATTTATATTGCTACGACACATATTCTACATACATATTTATGTCTTTGGGTGCTGACTTAAAAATAATATTTCTACTCTGAGTCAAATTATCATCGATGAAGAATTTTGTGAATCACTTTTAATGAAAATGACTCATGTATATATGAATCATGATACATTTACATTATGCAATAAAAGGTATGTATCATTATGACAATACATGCTGAAAATTGTGGAGCTTTTACATCTATTACAGTCTGCTTTCTTGTGTCACTTCAAATGATAATATAACTTCTTAAAGTAACACACATTACGATGTTGTCAATTTGTCATGGCAAAAAAATGAAGAAAATTAAACTCCCATTATCCCAGTACAAAGATTTGGATTCTTAAGAAAAACATTCAAAATCCAAATAGACAGAACATGATTTCTTAAAATACCGTATCCCAAAGAGCATCCTTTATGCAGCAAAACATTTCTCATTACAGTTTTACCTTTGGTAACAACGAAGAAATTTTTCTGTCGTTTATCGTTGATTTCTCCAATTCCTCCCAATAAGAAACCAGTGCAAGTATCCTAAGACAAGCAAAAACTTTATTTGAGTAATTATTTAAACAGTGGCATTGCTAGAGAGAAAAATTATTCTAACTTCGTCCCCAATCACTGCTAAAAGTCTTCCTTTAGACGCCAGAGCTCTCCCTCCACCCGTTTTGTTCGCCATTTTGAAAATCGTAAATGTAACACTCACGCATCATTCACGTGATTTACACGCGCACGCATTTAATTCTCGAGTGAGGTAATGTGAAGGGTACAGCGCAAAATACGCCGTTGGCGACCGACCACCTCTCTCCACTACAGTCAAGTCAGGAGGGAAGCTGTGAGATGAGATGAAGAAAAGAAAAATCGATAGAATATTTATAAAAAGAGATTATAAGTGGGGAGGTATCGCAGCTGGGGAAGTACAAGGAGAGGATATAAACTCTACTTTAGTAGAGAATCTAATAAATAAGATGGACAGGGGATTGCACTGATTTTAGTATCTCAAAAGTGGAAAGATAGTGTGCTGGAAGTGAGGGTCAACACCAGACATGTTGATGGTGAGAATGATACAGATAGAGAAAAGAAAGGTAGTATTAGCATACGACCCTTAGATGGGATGAGAAGAGAAAGAGAAAGAAGATGAACCATCTTCTTGAAGATTCGCATGACTATGAAGATGAAAAGCTCAAAATTGAAGGTGACCTTAGATGGACACGTGAGTAGGAAGAGTAATGGTTATGAAGGCGTACATCATAGCTATGGATCGAAAAGTGAAGAAGAGGGGAAATCTAAGACGTGGCTCAAAGACAAGAACTGTTTGTGCAACAAAAGGTATATAAAAAGAGAGAAACACCTCATATTTTGGAGGAGGAGACAAATAGTTCCAATATTTAAACCAGATTTGTGGATACTTGAAAAATTATTCAAGTAGTGAATCCATGCATTGTTAAAAAATTAAACAGTTCAGTTTAATGCTAGGAGAAATCAGAATGGATGCTATTTTCATCAACAGACAGTTTAAAAAGAACCGTAGTGAAGGTAACTTGTCAGTATTCTATCACTTCTTTGAGCTGCATTTTGCTGATATTTCCTGCAGCAAGCAAAGAACAACTGTAGGACAGACTTGTAACATGGCAAGAGATTTTGGAAAAGTATGAATTGAACGTCAATGTTAAAAAGACCGAGCTTCTGGTATGCTGTAAGAAATAGGATGAAAAAGTGACCATCAGAGACAGACATGGATAAGAATTAAACTAAGAAAATTGTTTCAAGTACCTGGAATAACCAATTGCTGATAAAGGAGGAAAGAAGCGTATAATATGTTTTGATAACTATCAAATGACATACTAGAAAAATTTATGACTTGAATTAAGAATAGGTACGCGTTGTGTACATATAGCATGTCATTAAAAACATCGCCAAAAATAATTTGAATTTGCTTACATTCCTGACCAACGTAACTTGCCACTCAAGTTTAGAGTAAATCAAAAAGTACTTTTAAGTTGTCTTTTACTGGAGATGTTCATGTTCTTGTTTTCTTATAATATCAACTCAATGCAGCATTTTAAAAAAGCGCAAGACAGGAATTTTTTTAAGACAAAAAGTTCCAATGGCTTGATTGTGAAGGGCTTAAAAGTCAAATATTATTTTGAATCGGTCACGTAGCATAACAGTCAGGCAAGTACACCACATGACCACTGACCACGTTTTAATTTTATCAAGTCATGCAAGCTAAAGACAAAAATTATAAACTAAAATTATAAACTGACATTTATTTCGCAATTGCTTCGTGCAGCGGATGTAGTTGGTGAAAAGTGCTGCCAAGTTCTTGGTAAAAATCTTTTTATACATTTAATGATGCTATTCTTTACACAATCCTTAATTCTCCGGATGCAGTCCGGAAGAACGTCTAGGTATTCTTTTTATTTGAAATTTTTCAGTATTCCAAATATGCATTGGCTTTGTTTTAAGATTTCCAAAGTATTTACACTCAATATATTTGGCATAACTGAAAGATTTCAATCGATGATCTTAACTCATTTAATGCAAATCAACCTACAAAATTTCACGCAACAAAATTACAAGCAATGTTCTCTCAAGGACTCACGAAGATACACAGTCAAACTCATATCAAGAACCTAAGAACGAAAACATATACGTGTCGATATCATGTTTCCATGACAACAACACTTACACATCAACAAGATACGAAAGGGCAATGTAATGATTGTACACTGTTCGATAAAACTATGTTTGACGTGTATGTACTATAACATAAACAATCTCACTATAAAGGTCGAATTCTACAGAATAACTACGAGTTAAGTGAAAAATCAATTCGTTGGTTATGCTTGTACCTAAATAACTTTATTCCTAAAATAAGACGGTGATGGAATGGCTTTAGAATACTAATATAACATCAGGAGACCAAATTGGATCGAAACACAACGGAAATGACAGCAGGAGCAGACAATTAAAGACAAAACACACGTTTGTTCTTTCCGGTCACCCACCTGCTTGCCGCAATGAAGCCTAACAGGTGGTCGAGAACATATACTGAAAACAGGTAATAAGCAGAACAGAATTCTCGAAGTATTAGGGTCGCCTGGACCAAGCCCTTGCGCTTATAAACTAAGGTTGGTTATAAGACTACAGAATAGTCCGGAAATTTATGGATTGCAATAGACGTATTGAGTCGGTCAATTTTTTTGGGACCCATATTAAATACATTGCTCTCACATGGCTGGGATCGATGTTGCTAAGATTTGGTATTCAAACAGGAACACGAAATGAGACTATGTCGTTGATGGAAAATGAAATCGAAAATGGAAGTATCCTAGAGTCGTTGTTTGTGCTTGGTTTATGTTTTACAGCGTGTACTGTATATTGTACGAATATACTGAGAAGATGTGAACAACACAATAAAGAAACATCAAAAATAAACGACCCAACATTGTTTGGATTAAGAGAGTACACACTGTCTGAACTGAAATATTTTGATGGATCGAAAGGTCCAATTTATATCGCACTAAATGGCAAAATATTTGATGTCACTAAAGATAAGAAGCACTATGATTGTAGCGGATGTTATAAAATTTTGGCAGGACGCGATGCTAGTCGCGCATTTGCAACTTTATCGTTTGATGTTAATTCATTGCGTTCAAAATACGATGACTTATCCGATTTAAATTATATACAGAAAAGTAACTTATATGAATGGGAAGTTATATATACAGAAAAATACACTGTCGTTGGCAAGATTGTGAGAGAACACAAGACAAAATCTTTGCAAGAAATGTCTATGAAATCTATAATAAACAATATCAAAGTATCGCAAAGTAAAATACATTCTATAGAGCAGTTGCCACTACCAGGAATATTAAAAAGAGACTTACGCAATTTTATGCGTGAACACATTGATGAATGAAAGGACGATTATAATAAATTGTTGTAGTTTTACTAACAAATATCGTTATGCATAATGTATTGAATATAATATTGTTTCTAGAGTAACCGAGTAGTTCTTCGTGTATTTTTATTAAAACGGCATACTTAGCTTAGTTTACTCTAAAGTAAAATTTAAATGGAAGAATTTAAAACTTCAAGTGTTCAAAAGATTGCACTTAACTGGTATTGTAATTTAAATAGCAAATTTGTGTTTGCCATTCTGGCCAAAAATTCGGAAATGGTTCGCCTTCGATAGTTTTCCATCACATCCGTTATGGACAAAGCGTTTGTCAATTCGTTGGCCGCAGTACAACTTCTTTATAATAACTATATACAAAGTATGTGAAAAACGTTGACAATTTCTAAAGATCAGTGATGTATTCAAGCCAGCAGTAAGTATAACACATACATTCCAAATATTTATTTCTAACGTACCTGCAGGCGAAATCATTTGCAAAATTTTCTCTCATTAATGAACACGCAGTATTCCAGGAGGTTGACCACAATTGAACTTTTTTGCGCAATATAAACTATCAAGCCAAGAAAAAGTGTTTTCTTTATTTCCCAACCCACTATTCACAAAAAAAAAACATCCCACATCAAAAACTACGGTAACCGATATGTTTGAGATTAAAATTAATGGACGGCCGATGTGCTTGATATTCGAGGTAAGGTCAGTAAGGTGTGAAGGATGGCCGATACAGTGTGAATGGTGGACGATGTGCTTGATATTGGAGGTAAGGTCAGTAAGGTGCGAAGGATGACCGGTATAGTGTGAAGGCTGGCCGATGTGCTTGATATTCGAGGTAAGGTCTGTAAGGTGTAAAGGATGGCCGATACAGTGTGAAGGCTGGCCGATGTGCTTGATATTCGAGGTAAGTTCTGCAAGGTTTAAAGGATGGCCGATACAGTGTGAAGGGTGGACGATGTGCTTGATATTCGAGGTAAGGTCAGTAAGGTATGAAGGATGGCCGATACAGTGTGAAGAGTGGACGATGTGCTTGATATTCGAGGTAAGGTCTGTAAGGTGTAAAGGATGGCCGATACAGTGTGAAGGCTGGCCGATGTGCTTGATATTCGAGGTAAGGTCTGTAAGGTTTAAAGGATGGCCGATACAGTGTGAAGGGTGGACGATGTGCTTGATATTCGAGGTAAGGTCTGTAAGGTGTAAAGGATGGCCGATACAGTCTGAAGGGTGGACGATGTGCTTGATATTCGAGGTAAGGTCTGTAAGGTTTAATGTACAGGCCGGGTTGATTCGAGGTATGCCGTTGTTTTTAAAACTAACACTGAGAAATTATCTAGTTATTTATAGGAATGATAAGAACTCAAAGTTGGTCAATTTTAGGCCGGTAAGTGTTTTGTTAAGGTTAGGAACAACGGAGCAACATCTTGTATGGAAAAATTCCTTCACAACAGTCATAATGGGGTGATGTTTAACTTTAATATATTTAAGTACATTATATGGTATGACATGTCAAGTTTGCTGAAAACTTGTATAAAAATGGAGTATTAATGTAACTGTCTTGAACTACATAGAACTAAAGTGATTTGTAGTTGACTATTTCAAATATTTGTTACGCAAAATGTTACACGAGCCGGCCACACGTTACAACTTAAATTTTTTGTCCCTGCGATATCAGGGATGGCGCCACAAAATTGAACTTAGGAGCCACGACTTATATTTACTAAATTTACTGCGTCTTACTTTGCCACAAGTTAGGATAAAATATATAAATGTTAGTAAAACGTTTAACGGGGAAAAAGTGGTGGGGCTCAAGCCTTGGCGCCGTGCCCGCATGTGTTGCGGTAAATTAAAGTGATTTGATCTAATTGGAATATCCGAGGCCAAAATTTGTCCTTGCAACGTGTAACTAAAGATGAAATTTGTACTCGCTGCAATTTTTCGCATAAAACAGACTTTAGCATTAAGACAATTCTTCTTAATTCAATTCAGGAGGTAGTTTTAAACCAACTTTGCTTGCAGTTTTTTCCACAGAATTTTCTCCACCTTTGTATTTCTCATGAAGTAACTAAAACATAAAAAAGTAACAACTATTTACTTATTAGTTATTGCTAAACAGCAGAGCCAATCAGTATTCTTTCATAATTTCGTTAAGGAACTGAGAATACTGTGTTTAAATGTGTTCAACTTTAGCGCTACCTTTGCTCCTTCGATACTTCTCAACAAGCATAAGTATGTTTCACCCAGATACTGAAGAGATTCCCCAGAATCCTCATTTTTATGAAGATCTTTATTAACACACAAGGACTTCACATAACTATATCCGTACTTGTTTCTATACATCGAAATCTAGTCAAAAAAGGAAAATGACTTTGATTTTCTACATTTTATTTTCATTAATCCTACAAGGAAATATGGAACAAATAATTTTATGACAGAATTGACAAATACTTTCAACAAAATTTTAGTGTATTTGTGCACACAGAAAGCGATGTAAAGTAACATGATACAAAAATCGATAATATACAAGCAATTTAATTCTGCCTCACAAATACTTATAAATTTAAACAAGAATGGATTAAACATTTAAAGTTTAAATAAACTTGCTGTTTGGATACCTCCTAGATTTGCCTATAAGGCATTCAAAGCACAAATATTTTTTGAGTTCGTCTAATTAGACCATCATGCATAACAGTAAATTCTAAATAAGATTTGGAAATAAAAATGCGAAATTGTACAGGATCCAATGAAAAAAATTTAAAATACTTTACATTGATCAGTGCAGGTCTGTTGAGTTACAGCTAAATTTTCATTCATTAAAGGATTTTGATTGACTGATATTAGAATTACTATCAAGTAAAACTTTATCAATTTTTCATTATGAAATCGAAAGAAAATCAATGTCATGAAGTACTAGAAGTACATAAAGGTTCTCTTATTCAATTCATATGAGTTCTAAACATTTGAGAAGTTATTTTCTATACTGTGAAAGCCATCAACTGCCATTGCTACATTGCAAGTTTTTCTCTCAACATGCCACAAACAAAACTGTTGTAATGGCCTAATCCAGAGTAACTGAGCAGTACTAGTGATTAGTGTGTGATACTTACGGGGAGAACCACCAACTATGTTCAAAAATATTGGTTGGATAAGAAAACTTTGAATCGCATGTAATGTTGAAGTTCTGCTGATGATTGTGTGGTAGGTTTTGGAAAAAAAATGATCCTTCAGATGTATGATTCAACAGTTTGCAGGACCAAATGATCCACTAAATTTGTTCATCCAACTGTTTAAACATAGTTAAAGGTGTTAGAATTCGTGTGTTATTGCTACGAAACAGAAACTCACTTTCAATTTGGTGACTGCTTGGGATTAAAAATGTATCCTTCAACAATCAGAAGTTTTGGAATCAGAACCACAAACTAGCTGGGTTTGATGGAATTAGGAATCTTGTTGATGAGCTAAGGCATCATCAAATCTTTTGTCTATTTTCTTTAAAAGTTTTTATGTAATACTAAAAATGGAAACATTTAGCATTGGTTCTAAGGAGACTATTCTCCATATCAACCCCTTCTACCTTACGATGTGTAAAAATATCACATACTAAACAGCTTGATTTAAAAATGAACAACAAGTGGGTGCCTCAAACAACATTCATGAGAAAGTATTGATTAGGGACAATTATTGTTATTAATGAATATTTAAAGAGTATAAATATGTCACAATATATATGTCTATATTTATAATACCAGAGCTGCAGCTGCTCCAGCTTTTGTAAAATATGTATAAAGTCAGTCTACAAATTGATAAGCAACAAAAAAGTATGTTAAGCTAAAATTGTGTGCTTTTCTCAGAAACTGGGGAGACAGAGGATGCTTTAACCCCATCCCATCAATAATTTTGTACCAAGTCAATTTAATTTTTTGTTTCCAGGTCTTCTACTTGCAAGTTGTAACCAACTTCTGCAGTTCCTGTGATCAATAGCCTCCCCCCATTTTGGTTCCCTGTTTCTATCAAATAAAGACAGTAAGTTCCAGAACATAGAGCCCTAGCTCCCAGTCTTTTGTGGAATGTTTAACACTGGATGTAATCCAAGATTGTGGGACAACATTGGTAAAAATAATGGGGTTGAGTTATGGTTCCTTCGGAATATATATATAGCCCTTGTCAAAATCACAATTAATTTTGATGATTCTATTTTTAAAGTGATTTTGGATTTTCAAGTGGTCTATTCATTCATCGTGGAACTGTGGTTGGTTCAGATTTTTATAAAATAAGTTTTAATAAGTTAACGTCACAAATTAAGTAACAATAAAAAGTGACGAGTGCCTTATTTATCGTAAAATGTGCCCAAGTCTCTCATATTTCCATACTGCATTCATTCTCGCACATTTAATAAAATACTAAAAACATACATTCACTTGTCCAGCAGTCTGTCGAAGAGCATAAAGTATTTCTTTATATAGATATATCGATTTTTTTTTTGACGCCATTAATCCCAAGGAAGCCACACAAAAGTTCACGAAAATTCCATAAGTCAAAACGGGCAAAAATGTGCTTTCATTTGAAGTATTTTGAAGAGTGAAATGTGAATTGTGAAGACATATTATATTCTACAAAACTACAAATTCACTAAGTAAACGGCAATATCTTGATTACTTCATGTTATAAAATAAATGTTCCTACATGGAGAGGGTAGTTTGGGCCTCTGGGAAGACAAGCAAGGAACTTGTCTTCAAGATAAGCAAGGGGAAGAGCACTATGATAGCGCTTCATTCCACGGCTTCGTAGCATTAGTATGTATAAAAAGACATTTTGTTATGCACATAATACCCACGACCAAACATTTTATTATAAATGTTTGAATCAGTTTGAATACGAACACAGAGCATTACCAGCATTACATTTGGTTGTGAAAATAAGTAAACAACGTAAAAAGACGAGAAAAGTTTTACTCTATAAAAGAAATTTTTAAAGATCAATATGAAAACAAACTTTTAAAAACAATTGGACCAAATAGAGTCATAACTGGTTTGTTGAAATTTGAAAACAGGTATGAATTCCAGACATGTAAATAGTTTAACATTTTCAGAATCCTGAGCCACAAATTATAACTAAAGACGTTTTTATGCATACTAATCCTAAAATAGCATCTTTTAAATAAATGGGATTCCAAGCAAGATCAGGACGAGAAGAAAATTTATATTTTGAATACCAGAATATTTACACTTGGGAGTTCACTATTTTTTTATCATGTTTGTAAACACCTTAATTATAATTTACTTTTGACGTAGGTCATGAATTGATAAAAGAAAAGGTTTCGTTGACAACTGATGTCAAAGTGGCGACATTCAGAAGAAAAACTCACTGCTGACCAAGTAGAATGAAATCAATAGCGCGTGTTTATCGTCAAAGAACGTCTTCTTATACGAGAAACTATTCACGAAATCATCGGAACAACTTATGGAAAGTGTTGCAACGTTTCTTCTCGAAAATGAAGTTAATGGCATCAGTTCGTTATCATGAAACGTGTTCATCCTGTATTTGCTCGATTACCCCAACCACGACGATGATCTACAAAGTATCATGTAGTTTTAAGCAAAAAGAAAATCATACATAAATACACAGCAGCAACATTCATTCATTCTAGTTAGTCAAAGTTTCATACCTAAAATATGTAATTTACAAGTAAACAGTTGTCTAGCCAAGTGAATTGAAATAAAACTTAACAAAAATATATTACCATCCTTCCAGTCATCCCATTCTCGATCCTTCGCCAATTTTTTCAAATATTCTTCATCCTCGGCGTCATCTGTTGTATTTTTTTCAAAATCCTTGGAGTTCTCGCTTTCCATTTGCTTCGATTTATCACTTGATCAAAACATAATCACGCAAATTAATTAAAATATAAAAATGCTGAAGTTTAATGGCAAACAATTCAATTTATAAAAGGACAACAACAATGGACAATATGACAACAAGTTTAACTTGAATCATGTTTGACTTCAACAGCACAATTAATCAAATACAACCTGTATTCTGTTACAATCTTTCCTTCTCGTAATTCTTTTTCAAAATATTCTTCTTGAGTCATAGTTGGTAAGCTAGGATAGCCTGGTCCAAACACTTTATTCTACAAATACAACTACATTTTTTTCATCTTGATTTTATTACTTATTCTACAAATACAAATTCATCTTGCTTTTTTAAAATTACATATAAATAACTAAGATGTAGGCAATATATAAAATACATTTAAAAAACAACAGATGCAGCTAGAGAGTTTGTTTAAAAGAACTACAAATGCAATTGACCTAGAATGACGTAGAATTACATTGAAGAACTACAAGATATAGGTGATAATAAAGTACATTGAAGAACTACAAGATATAAGTGATAATAAATTACATTGAAGAACTACAAGATATAGGTGATAATAAAGTACATTGAAGAACTATAAGATATTGGTAATGTAGAAATACATTGAAGAATTAAAAGATATAGGTGATAGATAGAAGTACCGGGGGGAACTATACAGGATTGAATTTGATAGCAGACAACTATCGATCGCAAACATTTCTCAAGTTATATAGAGATACGTAAAATTGCATAGTTAAAAATTTGAAATACCTGGATTATTTGTCTGGTTATAAGCACCGGCCTTGAAAATAACTACAAATATGAAAATGACTTTCATATATTTAGGCTCCAATATAAATACACGACAGAAATGTCTTATTTCAACATATGGGAAACACAGCTCCGTACGTAACTGGAGTATAGGATTAATATGATCTTTTATCGCTGTAGTCACATTTCACAGAAACTGGAGTGACAAATGGCGCAACTTTCGTATTTCTCATTTTGTGTGTGAAAAATATATTATATTCAAAGCAATTCTTTTATTTGTTCTACAGTCATCTGCAGTAACGACATCAAACTGACGTTATCAACATTAACATTTGCTTGACTAAAACATATGAAGAACAACATGACTTAAAGTAAAAAACATATTACCTTTTTTTCTTTTTCCTCCAAAACGTCAGTTTTTAACGTGGTGCTATCAATTTCCTTCATTTTAGCCATGTGTTCTAATATTTGCATTTCACTGTTTATGGCAGAAAGATTTTCAAAAGAACGATCAATCCAGTTTTCTAGTAACACAATTGTCAATTTCCTCTGAATCTCTTCTTCTTCATTCGATCCAGACCAACTTTCAAGTGCATTACTTATTTCCTTATGAACGAGTCATAACATTAAAATTCAAGCTAAATACATAGTCGTGAGGGACGGGGCGCAGCTGCCCCCCAAGAAAGTTTGAAGATTGAAAAGTTGGGCAAATTTTAAACTTTACTCAGGAACCTTCATTGTGAGTTAGGGAAAATATTTAATGCCCCCCCCCGAAAGTGACTGCTCCCGTACGCCTACGGATAAATAAACATATTAATAAACACTAATCACGATTTGCAGCATTTTACATGTTTATGTTGAAAGTGTTGCCTTGGGAACCAAAACATATACATATGTGTGTAGGGGAGGGTAATGATTTTAACTGGTGTGCGAAGTACTTGTCAAACTGAGCGTTATACATACGTACATTAATCTGTTTTTCTTGTTCTTTCATTCTTTTGTATCGTTTAATTTTAGCTTGTCTTTCAATTGCTAACTCTTCTAGACTCTTTTTAACATTGATGCACGACGTCACTGCAGATTGAATGTTTGCATCTCCATCCTGTAAACATATAAAATAAAAATAAACAAAGTTGTGAAATAAATAATTTTAACACCAACAAAACATGTACCTGTTTTATCAAATGATACATTTTGCATCTTTCCAAAAAATTCAAAAAATACACCTATAATACACGAAACGCATGAAATAAACATCTTTTAATATACATATCAGACATAAATGTAAAAAAGACATATCGAGACATGACTTTTCAGGGACGACGGAGCAAATTTATTTGGAAATTGCCATATTACACGTAAAGTGTAGCAGTACCAACCATTAACTTAGGACTCTCACGATTCAATAAATTATAAAAGTCATTAAAAGGGGATCAAAAAGAGGCTAAATTTGATTGAACAGATTTAGCAGAATACAGTTTGTTTTTAATGAAACCCTCGTTTGACCTTTCAATCAATTCTTACTCATAATTTCACAAAAAAATTTGCTAGTTCCCAATGAATTTTTATAGCCATTGCGAGTTTCTATGAGTTGAGTTCATATTATTGTCATTTATGAAAACAAAACAATCGCCAAGTACTTATAAATATGAATAAAGAATTACGAAAAATATAAAGTATAAAAAAGTACTAAAATAAGAGAGCAAAACTTTGTTATAAAATCTCGTGCATAATACCTTAGACATCATAACAACTTCCAGACGATTATCAAAACGAAGTTTAAGATATAGCTCCCCAAGTAATGCAGGCACTAAGAGATACCTTTAAAGATAGAAAATATTACTGGATATATGATTTTTTAGAGATTCACGTACAATACAAAAATTTAATTTTGCTGTTCTAGTTTTGTGTCCAACAGCTTATTGCTTAAATATTAAGCCCTAGTTCCTTGTCTTATTACTTTGTGATACTTAATAGTTTTGAACAAAATTAATAATGTTGAGCCCATCCACACAAACCACGAATTCAAAAGTGTACGGATTCGTTTAGCCGAAAACGCATCGATTGATGCGCGTCCAGCCGTCCACACTAATGTTTTCATTTCGTTTCCGACTGTCAAACAACCGAGGATCTTCAATGAAGGCATTCAGGAAAATGTTTAGCTTTTTTTACATGCTTGAGAAGACTTCTGGGAACAAATGTTCGTAAAATAAAACGCTTAGAAAAAAGTTATTGCGCAAGATTTATTTAAACAAAAGAACGTTACTGGATCCGCTTATATTACTGGTTGCACATTTTAAACATGGCATGATCATTGAAATATACCCAGCGTTTGTACTGACATAAGTCACCAGCTTGGTGAGCAATCAGAACAACGACAAATTGAATAAACGTATATTTGCGCTGCCCAAACATTACACACGAAAAAAAATTGTACGTAAATGACTTCGTCCAACACTCTCCCCTCTCTCCCCCCTCAAATGTTTTCTTCACAAAATTGATGAATCAAACTAGGAATCCAAGGATAGTGCCAAGTTTCAAAAAACACTGCCTTTTGACTCCTAGTTTGAGCAAAACATAAATATATATTAATAAATATTGTAAAATAAAAGTTTCTCTGGATTTTAAAAATGGTTTTTATTGAGTTTTCAACTTGGTGCTTCGAGCCTTCTTCAGAATCATTCAGAATCATTTTGAAGAAGGCTCGAAGCAACGAGTCGAAAGCTCAATAAAAATCATTTTTAAAAACTGGAGAAACTTTTATTTTACAACATTAATGCCTGGATTACCAATTTTCAAGACTATTAATAAATATATATTACACATTCACACAAAATGTTTTGAATGCATTTTTTATCGGCTATAGTGAGCAAGTGATAAAAATTTGGCTGTCTTTGTTTAAAAAAACTGAAGGAGGATTAATAAAATAGTTCTTGCTTTTCCTATCAATTAAAAAACTCACTGAATGCGTAGTGTACATTGTATTTTATTACTACGCAACTGCAAAATGTTGCTGGTACGATGTCAATGTAGGAGTTTCATCTTGAAAATACATAGTAGAGTTATGAGATCTCTGACTGCATTCTAGGTTTGCCGATCTTCAAAACAAGGGATGTATAATGTTATTTATTGATTGATAATGTCATGTTTACATGAAATTAAAACAAATATGTTTTTGAATAAATTAACTCTTAAGCTCATCATCCAATCAAACCTGTTTCCCCTATTATTGAGAAAATTACATGCAAGAACAAGAATTCTGCCACGAAGAAGCAGACGTTTACCATTCCCAATCAGGAAATAACAAGCGTCTGTGATGCAAGCTAGCAAAAGCTGCAGACCTTCAGCCATTGGCAGTCTGTCTTCAGTTTTCATCCAAGCTACACACTTTTTTAATAAATTTAGTTCAGTTTAATACAAGTGGGAACCTGCTGTGCTGAATTTTACAGCATGATTTTGGTGAGGCTCTTGTACATACGTATCATTGATAATTTTTGACATAAAAGTGATAAATGTGCTTCATTCTTTTCGCATTACAAAATTGCAATAATACAACATGTGTGCTGATTGGTCTATAGCTGAGTTTGCATAACCCATCCGATCTTAACCATTGGTGTTCAATAAATTAGATCAATTGACGAGAATTTGCAAATCAATCATGAATATACATGTTAGAGAAAATTGAAATGTTTGTTTTAAATTGTCTGTTTTGCATTACTTTTATTTTCTAAAAGAAATAAAAGATGTTCTTCATTTTCGCACTGGCCTATGTAACCACAATAAACATGTTCTATTTCTTAATTAGTTAATATTTTTTGAAAGAAAAAATACATTATAAATTTCATACCTAAGATTTGTGGTTGACACCTCATCGAGTTCTTCATTGTTACTGAACAAAACCAGATCATTAATCATTTCAATTGCTTTTCTAAAGCAATCGATCGATTCACAAATAGAATCCTAAATCAATTTAAAATGTTAACTTTGATACGTCAGCAAAACTTCAATGTAAACTTTAACATGTCCTGAATTCAAATATATATGTCCTAACCTGTATTTCCGTCGGGTTTCCAGGCATATCATTTCTTTCTATCATTTTAAATGTGTTGAAAGCGTGTTGGAACGTTTCTTTCAAATTTAATTCATTTAACTCTGCCATATTGTTTCAACAGTATTACGAGATACTTCATGCCACACACTATATAATGTCAGAGATAAACCATTAGTCCCCGGGGGGCAGAATGGTGAAAAATTGCCCAGAATGTGGTACAAGCAACAAATTTGGCACAGTGATAGCTTATGATCCTATCATATATGACGCACTGATCAATATTCGAAATGGCCCCAGCAAGATCACCCCAAAATGACCTTTCAGGAGGGTGGTTTTTACTTGACTGTAATAACAAAATTAACCATTCGCATATTATCTTATTTGCAAAAATCTTATGATTGTTTCAAGCTTTTCTTGCACATGAATAAATCCTTGCGAATTGCAATAAGCATTGGGGGTGGTAACGTGGTAGGCAAGCTGTTATTATCATTCATGAGCGTCGTTTAACCCTACATGACAGGCAAAACTTTGCAGTGTTGACATGGACGCAGTGCAACTCAAATGTCTCAGAAGATCTTTCTCATCTTCTAGAACTAACTTTATCAGTGATAACAAGGTCAGAACGAAACGAAAAGTGGTTATATTTACACGCCGTAAAATTACCAAAAAATATTATAGGATGAATAAAATACCACAAGATTCAAAGTCCACATCAGTTTCTTTCCATGTTTCACTTTTATAGTTCGTGGATCTTTTTAAAACAACTTGGCAATTTAAGGATAACTGTATCAATTTCTTTCCTCTTAGATGGAAAGTTCTTTGATTTCGCCATTTAGTTCCATATAACAGTAATTGAAGTTTAAAAAACAGGAGCTTTCAAAAGTTTTAAACAAAAAAGTTTCGAAACTAGTAAACTGCTAAAGATTGTATCGTTGAAATTTGATTCGCGCGTCAAGTGGCGACGCCAGAGCCATAATTGAGGAGGAGGAGGGGGGAATTCATATATGCCAGATATGTCATATTAAGTTCCTTTGAAATCTATTGTTTTCAGCGATTATAAAATACATTTATGATTATACACCCACCAACCCCCAATAACTGCCTAATGGCGCAACTGCGTACATAGATATTTTTAACCAAAATTTTAAAACAAATTATAAATATGTCTAAGAAAGCTTGATAAATTTATAGAAAGATCGCTGTACACATATAAGTTAATCCTATTACACAATTATAGGCAAATTGCATTTTTGAAAGGAAAGAATTATATAAGTAGCCTTGTTTCCATGTTTTCAGTCAACGGGACTCGTTTTACGAATGCAAACGATAGCTTGACATGATCTGACTCATTTCTCAACGGCAATTAGTTTATTTTGCACAGCAGTGGAAGTTTATTACAATTAGTGGAAAAACCCTTTGTGATGCCCTAGTTCATGCAAAAGACTGATAAGTGGAAATCAACCCCTGAAAGGATCTTTTAATTTTATTTCACTGGGATGAAATTCAAATATTTGTTAGCATGTCGTAAGCTACCTTTTAAAAAGTGGATTTACCATCTTGAGTCAATCCACTAAATCAAGTAGGTAGATATAACTAGTTTAACATAGTATGTAACGTATGTATAAATAAAGGGTTGCAAAAATTAACGTTTTTAAGGTGTATGACTATAGATGTTTGTCTAATATCAATATTATGATGCTTACTTCACACTGGAGTCGGCATTCATAGTCGTAATAGCGATGTCGATAATGAAACTGCTCTAAGTTTTGGTTTTCGTGCTTATGTGTTGGCGGGCTTGCCTGTGGAATTAGTTGTGTCACGGGGGGAGGGAGCTCATTGATCATCCCTTGAATTTTGCCCTTACTCACAATACAGCAAAGGTTTCTTGGACAGGTGCAATAAAAAATTCAAAACGTCAGTTTGCATACTTTAAAAAGACGATTTTTCTAACATTTCTTTTGAAAACAATGACTATTTAACCTAACATAAACGAACGGTGAAATTGAACACAAAACAAAAAATAGTCACAGGAAAATGGACAACAAAATTACTCTAAAGTTTAGTAAACATTCTTCAAAATTCTTCATAAAAATGTGCATGAAATCAAAGCAAGGCTGTTCATCTTTATTTCATTGTGAAATATTTACCATCCAGTGAGCTGTGTCTAAGTTTTATTTACCATAAAAAGCACACATCTCCAGCTTCTATCATATATTCTTTATCCAGGCCAGTATCAAATGGTGTCACATTAATAATTGGAAGCCTTTGTTTCATCTCTGTTCTTATTTTGAATATCGTCTTGTGCCATTTGCCGTCATTAACCTTTAAAGCAATTTTCAAAGAAATTTTAAATTTGCAGAATTGCGATTATGTGAAAAATTATGCTTCCAGGAAACTTATAATCCAGATGAAACTATGCCAACAGTTTTTCACATTCATATCATACAACAAACAGGTTTCAATATGTTACCTTGCAACCATCTTCAATCAAAGAAGGTCGATAATTTCGTGGACTGTTCATGTTGACATCAATTCCGTTTTCTCCCACCAGATGGATAGATTTGAGTTTACCATCAAAAGCCATCGAGTTTTTACAGTGATAAGTTATGTGTTGGCTAACAACAGTACTCAACAGCCGAAGGAACGATATTTGAACTTCATCGGTGTATTGAAACTATACAAAAATCAACATAATGATTATATTTGAATTTATAGTTGAAATGTTCAAATGGAAACCATATCATCTAGTTTTGGGATATGCGATCTTAAAGCGTTTATGTGTTTGAACACAAAGTTTTCTTCATCCTTCTTTAGCATTTTGTCATCAAAATTAACACGCTATTCATACAGATTGCAGCCAAATCATATCTTGCCCACAACGTGGTCAGATAGAAAATTTTTTAGTGCTATGTAACACTAAAGATGCTCACGTTCCCTGTGATCGTTATTTCTTTTTGATTTTTTTGGTAAAAGAACGATGCTGTATTTTCTAAAAGTTCGTAACTGAATAACAAGTTGGATTGATTTGCATATGATTGCTTCAAAATTAACATGTCGTTTGTTCCATCGCATAAAATCAAAATCTGCTTCGTAAATTTTGACTAAAATTACGTAGAACAGAAAGAATTCTTATTTATACAACTAACCTCTTCGTGGATATCTATTTTCTTGGCATTTGTGGGTTGAATACACGTCATTTGAAGGGTGAAATTACAACTAGCTTGCAGTGCATTTCCATGACTACCCCAATCTGGATCTATCCAATATACCCCTAAATATCAAAGAAGAATTTTGGTCAAACAATAGAGTTGAAAATAGTTATATGATTGAACAAACTATCGCATACCATCGGTAATATCAGGGTATTCAAGTTTCAAGTCTCGACAAGATCGTGCAGCAGTTAAAAGAGATTTTCCGTCCATTTTGTCAATAAGATCAAGAATGTTGTGGGTTGCCTTTGTCAATCCGCCGAAGTCATTAAGACCCATTTCATCGGGTAAAATATTACCTTCAGAACTAATCTCCTTTAACAAATAACCACATAGCAATATATCAAACTTAAAAATTTAATTTTTAACGCTTCTCAAAATTCATTGCATCATGCATTCATTGCAAAAAATCTTCGTTTAACATCCTTAAATTAGAAAGTATTCATTTAATTTTTTCTCAATAAACACAAAATACAGATTATAGATAGTTTTAAATCAAGCTTGCCTTTTTGCTAGAATAGTACCCAGGCCCTTTCTCAAAGTCCACTCGTTCGGCCGGCTCGGGCTGAAAACATAGCAGAGAGATGAGTACTGTCATTATTGTACATTTACGTTCTACAATTAGAACTAAAGCAAAGATCAACCAAGATGAAGACGTTTTGTCATTTAATATATTCTTACCCTTAAAAGCAAACCAGGTGGACCCTGTAGAAAAAAGACATAGGTGGTTAAAGATTATTTCAAATATATCTAGTATTTTATAAATCAGTTTTCTAAATCATAATTACGTAAAGATAACAGATTTTAGTATCTTCAAAAGTTTAGTTTCACCTTCAGTTTACGCGAGAAAAATTTTAACAGAATATATGAGTAGGTTGAAGAAGTGGTACACGATAATTGTATTGAGTTCATTAAAACAAATTGATCGAACCTACCTTTGGGCCAGGTGGGCCCGCATCCCCAGGTGGGCCCTAAACAATAATGATTAAACAAAACATAAGAATGCAAACAAATGAACATTTCACGAAAATTATATTGAGTTCTATATCATTCGACATCATGAAGTGCGCGTTTATTTCTACATTGCCACAACTGGAAAACTTGGTTTTCATAACAAAGAGGAATATTTATTAGAACTACTTGTCATTAATAGAACAGTTTATCTATGTTAGTGTTTCATTTAAAAACGACAAGTTACTCTTTTTAATGTTTTTATCGACAGAAATTTTAAAATAAATTTTGTGTCGCTACAATATGTATTTAATTTTATTATCTAAATCTTTGAAATGTATTAGGGCAACATGTTTATTGATTTTAACTAACCAAATCTTCAACATCGAAGCCATTCATATTGTTTATTTCTACATGTTTATGCTTCATCCATACACTTTACTCTACCCGGCTTCGCTACTCTCCATTGGCTCTAGTTCTACTCTTTCCAAACCTACACTTCGCTTACTCTCCATTGGCTCTAGTTCTACTCTTTCCAAACCTCTACACACGGCTTCGCTACTCTCCATTGGCTCTAGTTCTACTCTTTCCAAACCTCTACACACGGCTTCGCTACTCTCCATTGGCTCTAGTTCTACTCTTTCCAAACCTCTACACACGGCTTCGCTACTCTCCATTGGCTCTAGTTCTACTCTTTCCAAACCTCTACACACGGCTTCTACCTCCATTGGCTCTAGTTCTACTCTTTCCAAACCTCTACACACTTCGCTTCTCCATTGGCTCTAGTTCTACTCTTTCCAAACCTCTACACGGCTTCGCTACTCTCCATTGGCTCTAGTTCTACTCTTTCCAAACCTCTACACGACTTCGCTACCTCCATTGGCTCTAGTTCTACTCTTTCCAAACCTCTACACACGGCTTCGCTACCTCCATTGGCTCTAGTTCTACTCTTTCCAAACCTCTACACACGGCTTCGCTAACCTCCGTTGGCTCAAGTTCTACTCTTTCCAAAAAAATAAAACGATGTATTTTCTTACAGTTGGATGATTAACAATTTATGAAAGTGTCACTCACCGGACGACCCGTAGCACCAATTCGTCCAGCAGAACCGTCCTCACCAGGTGAACCACGACGTCCATCCAAACCCTGATCAAAATTATTAATCATTGTACACATTCATACCAAAAAATTCGTAACTTTTGTGAACAAAAATAAAAAAAAGTTATTAAACTTCATACAAACATGAAAAACGGCACAAAAGCTCAACATGTGAGCAATTTTTTTTTCCACAATATAGACGTAGTTCATTTTTGATATTCTTCATAATTGGCAGCTATAATTAGCTGTGTAATATACAATTGTAAGAATAGAGATTTGAAGCTTTTCAAACCCAGATTTCGTGGAAAGAGTGACATTCTGACATTTCATGCAATTATTACTTATAATAACTGAATTTTAGATTAACATGTGTCGAAAAAGTAAGTTATTCAGCAAAGTTAAGTCAACTAAAACAATATGTTATTGTACCGCCAAACCCGGTTCTCCGGGTGGACCACTTCTACCGGTAATACCCATCTGACCCTGTACAAAGAAACATACGATAAATTGTAATTCATTAAGAATAAATATTACATATATTTAGTGTATAACCGTATCTCCTGGAGGTCCAACATGACCTGGCAGTCCAGCAACGCCAGGATCTCCCTAAATGTAAACAAAACTATATTAGAGATTGTCTATAACGAAGAATAATATAATTACTTATGTGAATAACGAAAGATGATGATTTTGACTCTTGAAAATTACAAAAATTCTTCTCAAAACGACTTACAGGTGGTCCTTGTGGTCCCTGAGCACCAGGTGCACCAACGTCACCCTTTTGTCCCTTGTTACCATCATAACCATCTAAACCAGTTTTCCCAATTGCTCCTTGATCTCCCTGAAATGTAGAAGCTCAGTTCAAAATGTGAAAATTTTCATAATCAAAACACAAGATAAGTTCAAACGCATAAGTAAAATTCTACTTCTATTAAACAGGGCACAAAAAATGAATTAATTTTATCCTTAATACATTTATAAACAAAGTTTTTTTGCAGTTGTTACAGTTGTTTCAAAGTTACTTCTATGTTACAGAACACAAATAATATAAAAGAAAATAACAAACAACTTCACTATAATACTATTGTCAATTTTCTTACAAGTTTTTTTCATAAATAAAAGTGTAGAATTCATACCTCAGCTCCCTCAGCGCCAGCTTCACCTTTTTGTCCTTTGGGACCAAACAAGCCCTATGAAAGGAAGTGTAAAATACTAGTTAGAAAATGAAACGTTCATTTTAAATAACACAAGTTGTATCTCATTATGTACATAAAATTGTAAATTTTAAAAAACCATAGTGATATTTATCACAGGTATTTTCCTAAGGATATCTAAGCTCTATCCACGTTTTTTATTTTTCATCGAATAAAGTAAGCTTAACACTGCACGATGATTATTTTATAAAAAAGCTTTAGCTTCTAGTATTTCTTTTTAACATGGAAGAGAAACTTCTTTGGCATTCAGACTTCTAAAATTGTCTCATACTAACTATTTTCATGCTTTTTATGTTTTTACAACTATCTTTTTAATTAAAAACGAAAACATCACACCTGTGCACCAACTATGCCAGGTTCTCCAGCAAGACCAGAAGATCCCGGAGGACCTGCAGTGCCAGGTGGTCCAAGATTACCAGGAACTCCAGCGATTCCGGGAGGTCCCTAAATTATGATGAATTTTTAATTGTTTGGACAAAAAGAATAAAAATGTAACAGAAGCTTGAGCAATACTTTGCACTTCTTAAGAAGAACAGTGTAGATCAAAGTTAAAATTAAGGCTACATAGTGAAATATCCAGTAACGTCACCAGCTTAATAAGTCTGTCCGTGTGTGGGGGGGGGGAGGGGGGAGGTGAAAGCCGTAAAGGTAACATTCGAGTAACATTCCACCATTAGGCTCTTAGCCAATCACAATCGAGATTGCGTCAACATTGTATGATAATTGTAGCAAAATCCTAAACTTAATAATTTGTTAGTAAATACTTATTTCATAACTCATTTTATCTTTTATAAGTGATCATATTCACAAAACTGTTTTGATTTTGCTGAAGGTTTATCTTGATAAAAAATGCAGCAATAACATAAAAAGTTTATATTTCTATGAGATATTCAAGCAGAATAGAATCATACAAGATGACTTTCGTGAGGTAAACACTGTATTTTGAAGAGAGACCTAAATACAAAAAATAATTTGCTTTTTAACTCACTAACCCTCAAGCCAGGAGGTCCTGGTTCACCTTGCTCCGTGCTTTCTGTTCCATCAACGCCCTTTAAGATAGTTGGTATTATTTTTCTTAGAAACATAGTTTAAATATTTACGCTATAAAGTTATTAAAACTTGAACTAAGACAAGGAAAAAAAGTCCAAATCAGTCACATTAAACACTCAGTTAACTTGTACATTTTCATTGAAAAGTAGTTGTTGAAAATGAACATAGCATTGTGTCACTTTTTTCATGATCATCTTAAATGCTTACATTACAAACACATGGAACAATATTTCTTGTCAAAAAGCTACAGTTTACGTAGCGCTCTTTTTTTGTGTGAGTATGCTTGTAACAGATGTTGTGGGACAGGCCTACTTGAATCACACTGGGCTTATCAACAACACTATTTTAATATAATTATTTAATTATCCACGTTAATAAATGAACGAGCAACAGAGTGTTTAAAACTTATGCAGCAAACTTCAGAACTGATAAAATTTGTTGAAAGCTGGAATACATGCATGGAAAGATTTTATTTACGATATTATAATTGCTTTAGGATAAGAAAAACAAGACTAAGGTGTTTTGCAAATTACTACTCGCATTAAGTTTGGTCGAGCTTAATATTTTCATATAATTTCTGTAACGACGATAGTATACTTAGTTATTTGATAGCTGCAATGTAAAGCACGCATCAAAATTGTATAAAATCGACTTACTATCTCTCCATCAACACCATTTGCACCTCTATCACCTCTTCTACCTTCATAGCCCTGTGAGACAAAACATACAGAAAGTCTGGAAAGTTTTTTACCTTCCCCCGGCTAAGGAATTATTTCGTTTTTAACTATTAATTTTTTCAAACATAAGACAAATTAAAAGAAAAATGGGAAAATTTGTACGCGTAAATATACATCACAAAGACAGTTTTATTCAATTGTTTTATCAAAAGAAAAACGCAGCAAAGATGAATCGAGGAATTGGCTGCAATTTTCTTATCACACAAATGTTGTTGCTCTGAAATATCCACAAGGTGTATCAAAAGAGTTTACAGTTTTACAAACGTCGCTGGAACAATCAGAGCACAAAGTCCATAATAACCTTCTCCTTCAGAGAAAGTAGGTATATTGTAGAATTGCGGCAAATAGCAACCATTTTCATACAAAGGGTTTTATTCTTTTCATTTTTTGAGAAAGTTATTTGAAAAGTGTGTTTGGTAACACAATTCTCATCCTAACTAGCGATCCCAATGATAGCAGAAAGTTGCATTGAAAAATAAAACTTTGCTTATTTGAATATAATGCTTCAATGATGTTATCTTATCTTAATGTTTTAAAATGTTGTGCTTTAACTGACGCTCGATATTATGAGACTTTATGACTTCATTTTTGTCACTGAACGCAAATTTAACAAGAAATAGAAATGTTACATTAACTATGTTTCTTTCAAAAATCAAGAATCTACCTTCTCGCCCGAGCTGCCTGTCTGACCAACCTCACCACTTGCACCTTGTTCTCCCTGAAATACATTTGAAGAAAACGCAATTTACTGAATATTTTCTGTTAATTTATCTATTATTTAACTTGATTATATTAATTTATCTACTATTAAACTTGAAGCTCCACGCATTCATAATTCTAATAAAGAGAACACAGCGAACAAACCATTTATTATCTACGGGCAAACCTATCACCTTAAGTAAAGTAAACTAAAATCACAAACCGATTCTCCAGCTTTTCCAGTGGGACCGACTAGCCCTTGTGGTCCAGGGAATCCCTGCATAGATAATATATAACGTTAAATCGTTAAAATAGTGTAAAAATATTCGCAGATAGCAGTCTGACCCGCTAAATATTGCACCAGACAATAACAGTAAACACTAGTTTAAACAAACTTAAATGAAGAATGTAACCTTATCTATGATATACTTCATTTGTAATGATTTCTGTTCTTGCAGAAATAGACACGAAAACAACGATAACGTAGCTATCACGCAGGTAAGAATGACTTGATTAATTGCATGAAACACATATGGTACAATTGTAAAATTCACATTTGCTCAAATATATAAATAAGAAGTCAGTCACGATTTCGAGGAGGGGGAGAGTTAGAATAGTTAAAGTATAAAATCACAAATAAAAATAGTCTATAATTGATGCAGACGATTCAATGTTCTTTTTACGTCAATTAACCAAAAATATGCTATATAAATTTTACAAACCATAAGTCCTTTGGCCCCGGCTATGCCTTTCCTTCCAGCTTCACCTTGCTCACCCTGAATGTTATTATAATTGGTTAAAATGAAGTAAGCAGAATAAAAAAATTTTTATATGGTGCGTGACTTACTAAATCCCCAATGTCTCCATTTGCCCCTGGAGAGCCATCAAACCCAAGACTACCAGGAGGACCAGGCGGACCAGTTTTACCATTGGGACCAGGTTGACCACGATTTCCCTATGGTGATATTAATTTAACAAATTAAAACATGTGCGTTGAAGACAAAAACATTCAAAAGACTGTCTCGTTTCCAATATCATTGACTAAAACGTTCTTCATAGTGAAAATGAATAGTAAAAATCATTGACTAAAACGTTCTTCATAGTGAAAATGAATAGTAAAAATCATTGACTAAAACGTTCTTCATAGTGAAAATGAATAGTAAAATCATTGACTAAAACGTTCTTCATAGTGAAAATGAATAGTAAAATCATTGACTAAAACGTTCTTCATAGTGAAAATGAATAGTAAAATCATTGACTAAAACGTTCTTCATAGTGAAAATGAATAGTAAAAATCATTGACTAAAACGTTCTTCATAGTGAAAATGAATAGTAAAAATCATTGACTAAAACGTTCTTCATAGTGAAAATGAATAGTAAAATCATTGACTAAAACGTTCTTCATAGTGAAAATGAATAGTAAAAATCATTGACTAAAACGTTCTTCATAGTGAAAATGAATAGTAAAAATCATTGACTAAAACGTTCTTCATAGTGAAAATGAATAGTAAAAATCATTGACTAAAACGTTCTTCATAGTGAAAATGAATAGTAAAAATCATTGACTAAAACGTTCTTCATAGTGAAAATGAATAGTAAAAATCATTGACTAAAAACGTTCTTCATAGTGAAAATGAATAGTAAAAATCATTGACTAAAACGTTCTTCATAGTGAAAATGAATAGTAAAATCATTGACTAAAACGTTCTTCATAGTGAAAATGAATAGTAAAATCATTGACTAAAACGTTCTTCATAGTGAAAATGAATAGTAAAAATCATTGACTAAAACGTTCTTCATAGTGAAAATGAATAGTAAAAATCATTGACTAAAACGTTCTTCATAGTGAAAGTGAATAGTAAAAATCATTGACTAAAACGTTCTTCATAGTGAAAGTGAATAGTAAAAATCATTGACTAAAAACGTTCTTCATAGTGAAAATGAATAGTAAAAATCAAGCAACTTTCCACGAAAATAAATTATTAAAACCAAATCCCATTTGTGCATCACAATTACACAAATGTTGTCGCAAATATGAAGATTAAGAGTTTCCCGGTTTTTTTGTTTTTATGAGTTCATCTGATGTTTATACTAGCTTTTCCGAAAATTTTTTGAGCGCACTTTTACAATTTGCAGCCCTTCAATTAAAATATCTACAATTTTAATGAAAAAAACTTTGATTAACATCAGATTACCTTTGCTCCAGGGAGCCCATCTTCACCTGAAAGACCAGGCAATCCAGGCGACCCCTAATGTTTAATATTTTATAATCAACTAAAACATCAGCTACTTTAGCTAAATGTTTATACTATATGGTAGCTAAAGCACATATAACACAAAAAACATACGTAAACAAGTTCATGCGAATTAAAGCATAAAAATATAGAAAATCATTCATTCAGAAGTTACAACAACGTGTTGTACAAATAATGCTCAAAGACTAAAGATTCACGTACATGAGATCCATCAGTTTACAAAAGTAGTTAAAATAATCCTTGTTTTACGTCACATACCGCTGGTCCAGTGGGTCCTCGCTCGCCACGGCTTCCTAGCAAACCTGGAGGTCCCTAAGTAAAAATGAAATGACCCAATAAAAGCTACAGCCAAATATATGTTGACAAAACATGTTAACTAATGATAACAGCTGAAGAATACAATCTGTATTGCAAAGTGCCATTGACATGTCGCTGCACTCAAGGTTTTTTATCTTTTGAATGTTTTGTCCTTGATCATTGAAATCAAAAGATCATTCAGCCAAATAAATTTAAACTTAAAATCTTCACCATTAAACCAGAAGTCCCAGGCTCGCCATTGTTGCCTCTTTCGCCTTGTTCCCCCTTTAATAAACAATGAAGATTCGATAAAAAAACGAAAACGACTTTCTTTAAGGACGTATAAACAAAACATTTTTACCGGTCCTCCAGGAGTTCCAGCATTGCCTACATCGCCTTTGTAGCCTTTTTCTCCCTTCAAATGTTCAACAAAGTGAGTCATTGTGTTTTCAGTTAAATTAAAAAAGCAAGAAAAAAATAAAATGCATGTCAATTCACCTTAGTACCCTTCAAACCCCGTCCTCCCTTTGATCCAACAGGTCCTTGGATTCCCTACGAAAAATATTTGATTAAAGTATTCGATTATTTTCAAGCAAGAATATGCATATTGAAGAAAAGACAAAGCAATATGGTCCCATATCCGTAATCCACCACGTATTTTGCAATTTTTGGGCATATACTTTATATATTTGTGTCAATCTTTGGTGTTGTAGTTTTTGACAATTTTGATAAAAATGTTAATGAATTTACAGGTGCTCCAGGTTCTCCTTTATCACCAGGACCACCTCGAGTGCCAGCAGGACCCTGCAGTTGAAGATATGTGTTTATAATCGAGAGTTTGTATAGCATACTGGTTCAGTTAAAAAACCCTACTTGTTCCCCAATGTTTCCATCTTTCCCACGATCACCAATGTCACCACGATCACCCTGTTTTAAAATTTATGAAATATAATTATACAATTTCCAAATATCTGCACATCTAAATTTGACATTCTGCAAAATAAAAGAAATTTCACACTTTATTTCTTGCTGTATTCATGAAAAAGCGCATGCGCTACGCAGTAAATATAAAGGCAGGTGGAGAAAATTAGTATTTTAGTTGTAATGTTATTATTTATGAAATGTTATAAATCGTTCAAACAGCAAAAGCGTATAGTGTTTTGCGCTTAGTCATATGGACCAAATTAAAAAATTACGACTACTTTTTGAAAATAGAGGACAGTATTGAAATTTTTGTCTCTGCATGATAGAAATTTTTGCCTGTTTTTTTCCTACACTAAGCTTTTGCTTATTATATATTATCACATTGATCACTATAACAATACAGGCAGCCTTTATCAAGAAACATCATTGGCTACGCAAATAGCAACAAGCTCTTAAACTTGTAAGTGCTTCAATAATTCATTCCCTTCTATCCTTCTTACGTAAATCCAATGTAAGCATCTAAAATATGAGGAAAAAGATATTTCTATTCACCTTTGGACCAGGAGGACCCATTAGGCCTTGTCGACCTGGATTACCATTTCTTCCCTAGAAACAAAACAAAAATATATAAATAAATAAGATTTCATGATCATTTCATTGGATGTCATTGAATTCTTTTTGTAGTCGGAAAGTAAAGCCGTCTGCTTCAATATTGAAATGACACTTTGTGATAAAACAAGATCTGAGCGTGCTTGTTTAGAAATATGTCACATAAATCACAGAAAAAAATAAAATAATGTCAAGAGGAGTTAAAACCATATCTATAAAGTCATCGCTAAAAATACGTTTGTCAATCTTGTTTCACACGATGATCAAAAGAACATTAATTAACGAATATACATGGCATGTATTAAGTACAAAATTAAAAATTTACAGTTCTCCCGTTTCGTCCAGGTTTGCCTTCGAATCCAGTATTGCCTTTGTTTCCCTAAAAACATAAAAGAGAAGTAAAAAGTAAAGTTTAATGTTTAAACATGAAAGTTGTATTCGAAGAGAAGTTTTTGTCTTTAATTTTGATGATTTTTTTGGGAAATTGAAGAAACATATGACCATTTTTATTTCTGCTGTTTTAACGACGGTTATCCGTGTAATGTCGTTTAAACGTATTTCATTGCATTTGCAATATTACTGACATAAATGCTGCGTCATGTATGACTTTTGTACGACAAACTATCATAGGTTTAAGCTTTGTCAACTACATTTTCATAAACCTGATGTCATTATTTGTTAGAATAAAAAGATTGGCAGCTCATCACTGCACAATATGAATATAAACTTACCTTTGAACCTTTAGGTCCATTTTCTCCGGGCACACCAGGCGCACCAGGTGAACCCATTGTACCAGGTCGTCCCTGTAAACCAGACTCACCAGGAGGACCTTGAGGACCCTTTGAAAAAAATCAAAAACTCAATTAGCTACAACTTACAACAAAAAATAAAAGAAAAACTACAATTTTTGATATTTATGACCATCAATGCTACAATAGCAAGTCTATGTCGTGCAGTTTTTTCTAAATAAATAAACCAATTGACAATAAAAGAAACTTAAAGCCGGCGTTTATTACTTACAGGCAATCCATCCGCTCCAGGTTCTCCATCAGGACCACGCTTCCCAGGTTGGCCCTAATCACGTAATGTTTTGTTTGTTAATTGTTAGTGCAGGGTAGTTTTTATGGTATGTAGATTTGTGACAATAAATCAAGAATTGAAATTTATAAGCAGAGAATTGGAACGCAAAAGTGAATAAAAAATTAGCAAAGAAAAGTACACAAGATTATAGCCCACTAAACGGTTGACATCCATAACCTACACGGCATCCATTTTTTCATATAAATGCATAAGGCAAAAGAAAAGTACACAAGATTATAGCACACTAAACGGTTGACATCCATAACCTACACGGCATCCATTTTTTCATATAAATGCATAATGCAAAAGAAAAGTACACAAGATTATAGCACACTTAACGATTGACATCCATAACCTACACGGCATCCATTTTTTCATATAAATGCATAATGCAATGTTAACGTAAAACTAAAAGTTCTATAGAAAAGAAATAAGCGAAAAGTTTATGTTCAGTGTCTCATCCTTACCGAATGACCACGTGAGCCTGGTTGACCTGGTTCTCCAGTTCCTCCCTGTCATACACAAAAAATGTAGAAAAATGGTCATATTATGCAAAGTAATAAGTATCAACACCGTTAAAGAACAGCAGAGCAAGAAATTGAAACAATTTGATTTACAAACCTGTTCTCCTCTTTTACCAGGTTGGCCATACGGTCCTTGGTAGCCCTGTACATATAATATAACATAAAAGAAATGAGACAAAGCCAGATTAGAAATCAGAATTCCTATTACACTAAGAAACAGAAATCGCACACTTAGAACCAAAACAAGTAACTAGGGTAACCATTGGTAACTAGGATAACCATTGGTAACTAGGGTAACCATTGGTAACTAGGGTAGCCATTGGTAACTAGGGTAACCATTGGTAACTAGGGTAACCATTGGTAACTAGGGTAACCATTGGTAACTAGGGTAACCATTGGTAACTAGGGTAACCATTGGTAACTAGGGTAACCATTGGTAACTAGGGTAACCATGGTAACTAGGGTAATCATTGGTAACTAAGGTAAATATTGGTAACTAGGGTAACCATTGGTAACTAGGGTAACTATGGTAACTAGGGTAACCATTGGTAACTAAGGTAACCATTGGTAACTAGGGTAAATATTGGTAACTAGGGTAACCATTGGTAACTAGGGTAACCATTATCAAATAACCACTATCTTCCTACGTAATTCGAAAATGTTTTATAGTATTTTTATCATCAAAAATGTATTCATTTAGAAATATAAGATTTTTTTGCACGACTTTCCAAACTTTACATTTCCTCCTGGACTTACTCTGCATCTTGAACACTTTACCTTATTTCCTGTTAGACCCCCCGCACCTTCAACACTTTACCTTATTTCCTGTTAGACCCCACTTTCCTTACTTTACCTTATTTCCTGTTTCCTTCCACCTTTACCTTATTTCCTGTTAGACCTCCTTTCCCTTTACCTTATTTCCTGTTAGACCCCGCACCTTCAACACTTTACCTTATTTCCTGTTAGACCCCCGCACCTTCAACACTTTACCTTATTTCCTGTTAGACCCCCCACCTTCAACACTTTACCTTATTTCCTGTTAGACCCCCGCACCTTCAACACTTTACCTTATTTCCTGTTAGACCCCGCACCTTCAACACTTTACCTTATTTCCTGGTGGGCCCACTGCACCTTCAATACCTTGCTCTCCACGATCACCCTAAAAGACATGATTTATAGACATGATTTTAAATGTAAACACAATTTTTTTGTATAATGGACATTATATCAACATAATTAGAAATACGAGATTATATGCATGATTTATTCACGGTCAATTTTATTTAGCCCGTTCCAAATGTTACACTTTATATGAACCGAATGCGATTAAGACTTAAGTCAAATGAGGAATTTTATCTCATTTTCTTCTGTCTATAACGCATATGGCTCATGTAAAGTTCGCCGTTTGAAACAGGCCTAAGTTACTTCCAACACATAATTTGGAAGTTTTCATGACCACATTTGAAATTTTTTAAACACGTTTCTCAAATTGATTATAAAATTTTGTTTACAAAATTTAGAGATACAGTAAGATATACTTTATTGAAATTTATAGACCTTAGTGTAAGCACGACAAATACGGCAAGCTTTAGATAGTAGGTAAATCTTGAAACTCATTCCTAAATCTTCATTCATTCATATACATTGTACTAGCCAACAATAAGAATCCTTACATGCTCATCCACAAAAACAGCCTTGTTAAAAAAAACCTAGTCTTCGTTCGCAGTCAATAAAGGTTTATTGATGATACTGAACACAAAAATTGGTCCATTTCAACAACTCAGCCTAGACCTATTCTTCACACGATTCATTACAAAGCAGATTTATTGAAACAACTAACAGCTAACTTTGTTCAATCGATCAGTTCTTACAAATGGTTTGTTAAACTTTAATATTATTACATGTTTGTAAATGTAGATCGTCCAGGTTGGCATAGTCCTGAGAAGGACTGTTTTTGTTGTCGACTTGAAAAGTCAACAACAACAAAAACAGTCCCTCTCAGGACTATGCCAACCTGGACGATCTACATTTACAAACATGTAATGATACTCCCGGGTTCAAACCATTTACTTAATATTATTATCAATGGTTTATACATGAGTTACTCTGCTTATTTAGTTATGCTATGCAATTTATTCTGTATTCACTCATCGCAAAAACCATAGCTTTCTAATGACAAGTATACAGATAATGCTTAGAAATGTACATATTGCGGGCTGGCTATGCTTCTGGATGTGAGTATTTCTTAACCTGTTTCCCTTGTGGACCAACTTCACCTGGTAAACCTTGTTCACCATCTTCTCCCTATAGAAAGAATTTTAAAATATTAAGTGCAAAATACTTAACTCATATGGCAATGGTAGGAGAGAAAGGATCAAAGACATAAGATGGAAAGAACTTCAAACGAGCTGTTAAAAAGTATAGTCAGACTATTAGTTGCCTTCCTGTCTTGATCGATAACAGTAGAAGATAATTAATCAATAAAAAGTTTTTCAAACTCACACAAAAGGCGCCCTAGAACGTCAATTCAGGGTGAATTGGGGGTATTTATTCATACATTCAGTTGTTCCCTACTAATTTCATTTGAAAGTGAATTTCTTTCAACTGATTGCTTTATTTTGAAATATTTTAACAATAATCTTGCTATCAATGGTGAACTAAATGTGCATGATTTTTGTAAGTGAATAGTGGATTTTTAGAATACAGGCGTATCTATGTTTATGCGTCACTCTTTATATGGTAGGAAAACCCTTAGGTTGAAAATGATGATTTAAGAAGATTGAATAGTACCAATAATCTACCAAACAAACAACATCTTTTTCAGGAAAAGATGATCATTAAAATCCTATTGTGTAACCGACAATAAGTTTTTTATGTAACAATGAAACAAACTTACGTTAACACCATCAATACCAGGTGGTCCAGGAGGTCCAGAAGGTCCCTCATCACCCTAATAATAATAACTTTCATTACAATCATTTGACACAAAATCATTTGAAAAACATTTAGTCTCCCCTACATTTGAAAAAAATGCCAAAAAAAGTGGACACAAGATGAGAAACATTAGGTTTAAAATGTTAATTTTAATTTTATGATACTCTAAGTTTTTCATAATGAAAAACAGTGTCAATAATTTTATGCTGGAGAAACTGAGAAGGAAAATTCATCATTAAGTTAATTCAATCAAATCTATACTTACTGCTTCCCCCTTTATCCCATCGGGACCCATTTCCCCTGGAATACCAACAGAACCCTACGAAGAGCAATTAACAAAATGTTTTCATTCGTTCAGTTAAACCAGTTAGACGTAACTATAAACTTATTCATGAATAACGAGGATCTCACGTTGCTGTGCATGATTATTGAACAATAAAAATAAAAAGCATTTTTTAAACATGCTTTGTGCAAGCAATTGAAATGAGTGAAAAGTCAAAAACCGCAAAACAAAGTGAACTACACTGCTGACAAACTTTGCTTTACCGTTCCTCCCTTGGCTCCAGTAGAACCCGGTGGACCTTCAGCACCAGCCTGCCCAGGGACACCAGGAGGACCAACCGTACCTGGGTTACCAGTAATACCCTATGGGTGAAAAAACCCAAATTTCATTATGCTCACGTCTCATCACCAATACTTGATCTAAGACAATTATATACCTACCATACTGCCTGGTTTACCATCAAGGCCATTCATCCCAGGAGTGCCGGGAGGGCCCTAATAAAAATCGAGCCATAACAAAGCTTCATTGTTACAAATAATGACGTCATAAAACAACAATCTTTAATCTTCGATTTTGGACGAAAAGCGAAAAAGAACAAGGTTTCATGGAATAGTTTTCTACAAGGACTACATTATGTCGTTAAGTACTTAATTTAAAAATTAAATAACAAAGGGTAGTGAAACTAATCGTAAGTAGTAACTACAAACAGGTTTATGAGTCAGCCGTGCCGTGTTTATATACGTTGTTTCTAAAAGATTTACACTAGCTTACACGTAAACCTCTGACACCTTTTGAACCTTTTGAACCATCACGTCCCTGTTATGTAAAAACAAAATTTAAATCTTGAATAAGAGAAATCAACACGCAGATAAAACAAACTTTTAAAAACTCTTTTACACAAAATAAAAAAGGAAATGTTGTATTCTAGTGCCTCGAGAAATGCTTAAATTATTTTCCATAAATTTTAAATAATTGAATGTTGAGCACCCTCCATCCCATCCACACACAGACATTAAAAAAAAAGAAAATAGCTATATGCTTTTACCCTTGCACCTTTGGGTCCAACAGGACCTATAGCTCCTCGCGGTCCCGCATTACCCTAGAAAATGATAACAAACTAGAAAAATGTGCTCCAAATGTAATCAATTACTGTGAATACGTGTCAACAAACGATCCTAGGCTTTAAAAATTCTCATATTCTTCACTTACTTTAACCCCAGCAATACCAACACGTCCCTCGGGTCCATCAAATCCAACTTCACCCTGTATGCACACGAAAACACAAAGAAAATATTTAATAATTAATTTTTACCCATTATTGCATATCGTGCACTTACCTTAGGACCTGATGGGCCTGCTGGTCCTTGTCGACCAGGTCGCCCAGGTGGACCCTTTCAAAGAGAAATGTTTATATTAATATAAACTATTTTAGATATCGAGAATGAATTCAGAAACAGAAACCTTTATTTTGCTTTCATTTACTTACGGACTTTCCTGTGATGCCAGGATCACCTTGTGCACCTGGAGATCCAGGTTGTCCCTGTTTTAAATCATGCAAGTATTGAATAAAGAAAAATGGGCGACACATTTAAAATATATTGAAAATCTTAAAAACTCAAAAGAATAAGATCAATTGCTTAATTTGATGAGCATTACCATTGTGAAATTAAAAAGAACACCATCATAAAAAGATATAAATTTAATACTGAGTTTAAATAAAACGCAGCAAGACAACAGATCGGTTTGACTGAATTAAAATTGCTCGTTAAGAATTGCAGTTTGGCTCTCTTGAAGACAAGTTTATAAAAGGCTGTATTGTTCGCCAGTGGCGTACCAGAATCGTAGATTGGGGGGGGGGCACATATTCATATATGCATGTCTTAATACGTTGAAAACAATGGTTTTCAAAGGAACTGAATGCAGGCAGAACATAAATATATCAATATGTGCCCCCAATGAACGAGTCGGCTACGCCACTGAAATGTTAGCGGAATAAAGTCTGAGCCCGTGCAAGAATGGCTACAACGAGAATAGTCACTACGAGAAGAAGAATTACAGTTCTTTAAAGCATCAGACCTATTTTGAATGCATCGTTTGTGATAGGATGGTTCATGCCTTGTTGGCGATGCTAAACACAACAATGGATAAAGACGGTCAATTGTTCGCTGCTCTTAGAAAATATGATAAACTTGAAATGTTCTACAAAAATGTAATGAAACACACATACAAAGAAAAAGATAACTTTAAAGAGTAAGATGTTGCATATTCTGATCACAAATTAAGTTAAGATGAGTGAGTAAAAGGTTAAAGTCATCTATCACTCCTGAAGGTAAATAAAAGATTTGAGCATTTGCTAGGAATAGTGAACTATATTTACCAAAGTTCATATCAAACATGATATGGACTTTGAGCGGAATGAACATCATGATGGAGTAACAGCAAGTACAGATATAAAATTATAAGTGGAAACACCAAAATCTACAACATTAATCACCAAATGGAACTTACTCAAAATTGTGGAAATCAATCATATATTTCCATCACAAAGATGTTGGAAGAATTCAAAAAGAATTGCAGAAAACATTGAAAAACATAAGACAAGTGTTTGTTTGAGTGAGAATACCAAAGCAGCAAGACAATTCATGAATATGATAAAGCTATCAGTAATAGGGCATTAAGATATAAAACAAAAAAAATAATTTACTTTAACTAAGTGAAAAATAATGAACATAGAGTTATGGTGAACCTCACTTCCTAGTTTGTTTGACGAGAAAAGTGAATTTACTAAGGATGCAATACAATTTCTAAATATATTGGTACTTAAATACATTAGGTACTTACTATATTAGCACATACAATACCGCTCGCGTATATCCTAACATACGCTACGCGTATGGTACGCGTATCATATGCGTATGATGATGTACTTTGATACGCGTATGATACAGATATAATCTTCGTCTGATACGCGTAGCAAATACACTGATTATATATGCATGCGCATGCATCATTCAAGCTATTTATACATGAAGCATTTACCAGAGCTCTCATTTATAACTGCCAAAAAATGGATAAATGATGTCAGGAAAAAGGCTTTCACCTTATGCTAAGTAAAGAATTATTGTTCTGTGGAAGGAAGGGAGAATTTTTCCTGTGCAGCATGCATATATAAGCAATAGAGGCGATTTCAATTTCTTTAAATGATTCAATAAACATTCCCTATCAAATAAACGCCCTGCCTCTAATAGACACACTCACCCTACTTCAATTATATTAATATCATTACTATAGAGGGTTGTTGATTTGGCTGAGAAACCGTATATTTAATTATTGTTTTCTTTTTAGTTGTTTAAACTAATGCAATAAAAATGATCTAAACGCCCCTCTCTATTAAACGCTCCCCTGGAACCGCTCAGAACGCACAATATATTTGTATCCTACGCATTTGATACGGGTATCATACGCAAAAAAGTGTTAAGATACACGTGAGCGGCACTGTATATATTGCTACTCATGAGTATTAAATGATTATACTCATAAACATACCAGAATTCCTTTAGGTCCCACTGGACCTGAGCGACCTGGAGCACCATTACGACCCTATAAATTATAAAATATAAATGGTTTCTGCTTATGCAGTTCGCGTTGTAATCCTTTCTAAAAATAGATCACCACTATCCTTTGCTCAATTTTAGGAGTGGCTATAACTAAGACAATCAGTCAAAATAGTTAAGGTAATTAGCAGTATTTAAAACAGTTAGGTGTAGTTCACTGATGTCTTCATTTCTTCATTATGAAAAGACATCTTTAAACAACATATTTTCGCTCTAGTTAGGTAAGTACAGCCTTAGTAAGTTAGAAACCAACTCACAAATATTTCAGTTATGTAGTTTAATTGTTTGTCCTGTATTTGTTGTCTTAACATATTAATTGACGATAAATATAAATAAATGAAATACAATAATCATACACTATCGATCTAAGCGTTAATCATTCAGGATACATAAAACTTACTCTTTCCCCACGAGAACCAGCTGTGCCAGGCGGTCCGGGAGGTCCCTATATTTTCAAAGAAATTGATCATTGTCGCTCTCATTTTACATAAAAAATGATACATTTTGTCAAGAAAAAAACCCATAAAGCATCTTATTAATCCAAATGATGCTGTTTTAAATTTACATCTACTTATTTAGTTGTCCCTGTCCTGTATTTGATGCAAATGTCACTGAAAGAACTTTTCTTGTCGAACAATATTAATTTCGAATGTCCACTTCAACTCGTCTGGATTCTTTATGAAAACGGTCAAGTTTTACTAGGATGCCACTTTAAGAGTTTTCACGTAAAACTTTAACATACATTAACAATAAATATGAAATGACTGACGACAAATTGCCTAATTTACATGTCACAAAAGCCTTATTAAGTCATGGTATAGTTTCTGGTCTATATAAAGTCACAAAATCATAAGTTTATTAAAGGCGAATTATTTAAATAAAATGCTTCACAATTTTAAATTATGCAATGTTGACAAATTATGAATGGGGGCTGAGCCCCCTTACTTGACAAAGAATTCTAACAAAGTGGGCTGAGCTCCCCTGAGCCCCCCTGAGCCCCCCTGAGACCCTCTGAGCTCCCCTGAGCCCCCCTTCCCTTACAATACATCTCTGTGTGTATTCAGTACATTCAACATTATCGGAATATTGAGGACAGAGATAACAGGAAGCAGTTGGAGGGATTTTGTGTTATCTTACCGGATTTCCAGAGCTCCCTTGGTATCCAATCGGGCCAGGTAATCCAATAGCTCCCTAAAGTAGAAGCATATATTACGTTGATCTCATAAGGAAAAACATTTACTTGGGAAAGCGTTTGATCTATGTTCTAAAGGTAAATTTTACTTTTTAGACAAATTATAATTCTTCAAACCATTCATGGAAGCATACTCAGTCTTAAATGCAGGTAGCAATAAAACACGGAAAAATATTAACAGTAACTGGACATTATCACCAATTACAAAACGAGTACTTTATGTAAGTACTTATGTAAGTACATAACGTAAGTTACACATGCTTAAAATAAAGCTTGCGATTATGCAGTGCAGAAGTGCTAAAACTATTTGAAGCAATGGTTTTGATGTATTCCACTAAAGTAACTGGTATTTCTGGATGTACGTATAAAATGTCCTAAAACACAGAGTACGTAATAATCACTTAAGATGTAATGTTAAGATTGGGCGCCACAAAAAATAAAAAGAAATTATATTCTCTAGATTCATCTCACTCTATCTCCTTTAAATCCTGAACTTCCTTGCAATCCTTCAGCTCCACGAGCTCCCTTAGAACCTTTAACACCCCTGGAACCAGGGTCACCAGGCCGACCTTGTTGTCCACGATTTCCAGATGCACCAACTACTCCTTTCTCACCAGTTAATCCAGGCTTACCAGTCTCACCACGAAGACCAGGTGTCCCAACAGGACCCTACATAACCTCAATAGTATCAGCAAATGTAGACAGACAACAAAATATTTTTTACATTTTGCTTGGTTAAGTTGATACGAAAGAATGTGTCAGTGATGAACTGTTATTTTTCTAATAAAATAAAACTCACCTGTGCACCAGGAGGTCCAGAAGTACCCCCTTGACCATTTGGGCCCTACAAAAACCAATATCAGCAATTAAGATATACAATACTCTAAATATAATTTGATATCTTAAGTGGGAATCTCGATAAGGCAAATTGTTTGAACGCAGGGTTATCATTATATGCTTGTAGATGTTGATTGTCCAGGTTAAAGCAGTCTTTACAAGGACTATAATTATTGGCTGATGTTTCGCCATCCTTTGCGGTAATCGTCTCCTTGCAGTCAAGAACGTTTTCAATGGTTTTCATAAAATGAATTCAGAAATGCAATCCTTAACTTTTGCTTGAATCAGGATTCTGTATTTTTGTACAAAGTGATAAAGAAACGGCACTTAAAAAGCGCACGCTACATATTTATAAATAAATTGCTGTCTGTAAGTATTAAAAGTTAAAACCATTTTGTCAATCACGGGATAAAAATAAAAGCAAACAAATGAATAAAGGTTGTAACAAACACAAATTTGAAAGATAAAGGGCTCATAGAGCATGGGAGAAACAGAAACTTCTCCTAATGAAATCTTAAGCCATTACCAAGTACTGGCTTATATGAAATTGAGTTAACTGGAAGAGTTTATCTTTTGATATAACTTATTTTTCAAAATAATCATACCGTAGGTCCTTTACGTCCTTTTGAACCTTTAGAACCAGGTTGGCCTGGTTCACCCTAACAATAATAAGTATTCAAAAACAAACAATAAATAAACTACATTGGCGGGAAATGAGGTGAGAGTGGGGAGAAATGAGGAGGAGATGGGGAGATAAGGAGATAGTAAGGGAAATAAGAAGGGAGTGAAGGAGGGACAAGGAAGAAGTGGGGGGTTACCCAATATGATTGGCTAGATCCAACATTTTATTTGTTTATTTAAGATGAAACATCTCATACTATATTTTTTATTTTCTCATACGACAAATTTACTTGAATAATTTATATTCCTTTTCAACAAGTTTTCCAATAAACAAACCCTATGTTCGAGTAAACAAATAATCCTAATGCTCATATTTTAAGCTCTAAAGATGCTTTCAATGCATCTTAATATCCATCAGAGCACATAAACTTTAGTTATTACATAGATTTTAAGTCAACAAAAAACCTAGAGTGCCAAACTAAGGACTAGAATTTACACAAGACTTATATTTTCAAGCAAATTCCTCATGATTTATCAGTGATTAATAAAACTTACATCAGATCCATCTCTTCCATCATTACCAGGATCACCAGATTCACCCTACAATGAAAATATGACAAAATTATTTAAGATTAATTTAAATCAGTTTCTTCATGGTTGATGTCAGTTTCTTCAGAGAAACATGGCATTATACATGCTGCAGCAATACCTACTTCAGTGATATGTACTTCAGTGATACGTGTTTCAGGGATACGTGTTTCAGGGATACGTGTTTCAGTGATACGTGTTTCAGTGATACGTGTTTCAGTGATACGTGTTTCAGTGAAAAGTATTTCAGTGATACGTGTTTCAGTGATACGTGTTTCAGTGATACGTGCTTCAGTGATACGTGCTTCAGTGATACGTGTTTCGATGATACGTGTTTCGGTGATACGTGTTTCAGTGATACGTGTTTCAGTGATAAGTGTTTCAGTGATACGTGTTTCAGTGATACGTGTTTCAGTGATAGTGTTATACGTGTTTCAGTGATACGTGTTTCAGTGATATGTGTTTCGGTTATACGTGTTTCAGTGATACGTGTTTCAGTGATAAGTGTTTCAGTGATACATATTTAAGAGATACGTGCCGCAGTACACAGACTGACAATGTTGTAATTTTTAAAAGAATTTAAAAATTCTACTTACAACATCACCAGGCAAGCCTGTCTCTCCAGGGTCACCAGTAGGACCATTTTGCCCCTACATTAGAAAAAGTACTTCCTTGTAAAATAAACCCAATTTCTATTTTCAAATTTATCAAATATTTAGCAATTTCATAACGATAATAGCTGTACTGATTTATTACTGGAGACACGAAATAAAGACAAATAGGTACGCAGAGCGTACATGTGGGTAGCCACAGATACATAGATACAAATAAAAAGTAGATTAACAGCATAGTCGAAGATATATTATAAACATGAAACTTTGAAAAGTATTCTAGACTGCAAAAATGTGTCTTGAACTCTTTGTTGAGTGAAATAACCAAGTATCTAACCCTTTCTGAATCAGCGGAGTACATACAAAAAAATTAGGGTGTGTTTTAAGTTCTACGACTTGTGACGACTTTCTAGAGTCTACACATATTTCACAGAAAAAGCGTACAATCTTATCCAGACCGACTTTTTGTTCTCAAATATATTTCGGACGGACGTTTTGACATCTTTCACAAAGGATAGACACTGTTGTACTTGCCACATCCTTTTGTCGACGAACACCTTTTGTCAGACGCTCTTGCATTTATTACATGGCATGCGACTAAGCTCACGTGCTTTCATAGTTTGGTTGCAATAAATATGATTCCACACGAGTTTAGAAATATATTCATGGCAATTTTAACTGAAAACCATTTTTTTCGTACAAATACTAAATCGACAACAGCTTCTCGTTTAACACATATTTCTCACGTGTATAACAAGTGATATGTCGTTCACTCAAATTATAAATCAACACAGTCACACACGACTTGACTTGAATTTATGTACAATTGTGTAACATTTATACATAACACTTATATATTGTTAGGAAGAAGAAAATTCACAAAACTACAATTTCATCCCGACAAGCCTGACTCGTGATTTCTCACTCTTCTTTATGTTATCCCCTGAAGAGTGAGAATTCACGAAACAGGCTAGTCGGGACGGAATTGGAGTTTGGTGAATTTACTTCTTCCTAACAATATTTACGCTCTGCTCAAACGCATCGAGTACTGTTAATACGGAAAATCAAAAAACAAAACTTCCAAACACTTGAATATATATTGCTAGTTTTGGGGAAACCGGCTGTGCTGTTTTGTTGCAATTTTCTCCATAGTATTTTCAAAAAATTCTGTACTAATTACAAATAGTGTTGAAACGCGCAAAGGCTTCACAAATTGCAATTGAGCAGTGCAAGTATTTCGGATTTCATCGGATTTCTTGCTCATAGTTTGAATACCATTTGTAATTTATGTAATCTTCGAAAGGAAAACACATTAAATTGCATTTTAATTTAACACATCACAGAGAACTGTGACCAGTGAGAACGGAGCAATAGATTAAACACGCAGTTAGAAAACATATTCATTTTGAATCATTTGCTTTCTTCTTCACGTTAATTTACTCGCTAAATCACTGTGATCTGAGTGTACATAACTAAACTATGCGTCGTCATGCATCAAGTTTCATGTATTTTACAACCAATCGAAATATAATTGATATTTGCAATGGCTTGTAAAACTAACAATTTTTGATTATTTAAGGGTATAACCAATAACTAGTGGGTACAAGCTACCCACAAAAAGAGTGGATCAAGTTGGGTTCCCATATTGGAATAAACATAATCTATAACTGTTCTATACAGAATATGATTAAATCGAGCGAGCCTATCAACTAGATACGCCAGACTTGAACAAAATTTACACCATAAACCTATAAGGATACTTACACGATCACCTTTTACTCCTTGTATCCCTTGACGTCCTCGAGGACCTCTACTACCCTGTAAAGTTAAGATGAATTAAAAAAGAAATACACTTTTTTCAAACATTCAAGACCTTTACGTACTTGAGGCCCCACACCGCCACTTTCACCAGCACTTCCTGGTTGTCCATCATTTCCCTACGATAATACATATAAGTGTTGATGAACAAAAAAATAAAAAAAAGAAAAATCAATAGATGTAAACATCTAAGTGAGTATATGACTCATTAAACATTTTCAAAATCATCAAAATCATGAACACGAAAAACAAAGCCAGCATATTAACATACATGCACAAAAAGAAGGACAATATATCAGCAGTAACATAAGTTAAGTTCTTTTGTTCAAAGCAAGTAAATAAAAACTTAGTAAATGTTGACTATAGTCCCTTTAAAGTTTGCACTGAGCATTAATTAAATATGGAACACATGCAGAAACTTCTTTATCTAATATACTTACTCTACTACCAGGTGTACCCGAGCGACCCTTAATTCCTTTCACGCCAGGCTGCCCCTAAAATCGAGAAAATCATCCCCACATTTATTTTGAACATTATTTTCAAACATTTAACAGTACGTGTATTCATGAATCATGTCTCTACACATACCGGTTCTCCAATAGCACCAGTAACCCCAGGAGATCCAGGGTCACCTCTATCACCCTATATAAGAGATTCAACCATAGCACGAACCAAACATTAAAAGAAAAAAAACGAGCAGTGAAATTTTTTGGATGGTAAGTCTTGTAAACCAGTGAAAAACATGAAAAACAAAAACTTGACTGTACTCCGCTTTACTTATTTACAAAATCTCAGAGCATATCTCATTAGGCAGTGTAGAATTTGGTGTTAAAATATATATTAGGAAATCAAGATTATCAAAATTAGGAAACAACAGTTATCAGCTTGGGCGTGCTTGCAATAATGGAAGTGTTTTTAAAAGCTCGTATAAACTACATCAATCGTTCCAGACATCGCTATGAAATCTTAGTGCTTACAGTTCTATAGGCATAAGTGACTACCGCAGTAGTCAATTTGCTTAATGGTCAAAAATGATTTTATGCTGGTCATCTTTTGATTATCTTATTTTATTTGTAACCTTTTTAATTTCCGAAGTAATCTCCAATTTAATCTTCAAAGTAATTACAAAAAACAAAAATTTGCTACGGGAATTTTACGATAAAAAATGGGTGGAGCAGTCACGTGTGTCAGCATCTGTAAAGGGGGGGACCGCAGTCACGTGTGTCAGCATCTGTAAAGGGGGGGACCGCAGTCACGTGTGTCAGCATCTGTGGGACCGCAGTCACGTGTGTCAGCATCTGTGGGGACCGCAGTCACGTGTGTCAGCACCGCAGTCACGTGTGTAAGCAAGCTGCTAAAGGGGGGACGGCAGTCACGTGTGTCAGCAAGCTGTAAAGAGATGGGACCGCAGTCACGCGTGTCAGCAAGCTGTAAAGGGGACCGCAGTCACGTGTGTAAGCAAGCTGCAAAAGGGGGGACCGCAGTCACGTGTGTAAGCAAGCTGCAAAAGGAGGGACGGCAGTCACGTGTGTCAGCAAGCTGTAAAGGGGGAGGACCGCAGTCACGTGTGTAAGCAAGCTGTAAAAGGGGGGGACGGCAGTCACATGTGTCAGCAAGCTGTAAAGAGATGGGACCGCAGTCACGTGTGTCAGCAAGCTGCAAAGGGGGAGGACCGCAGTCACGTGTGTCCAGTAAGCTGTAAAACAGAACATTTTCTGGTCCAAATGAGAAAAATTATGGAACAATGACAGTGACCGTCATGTCTGTAGACAATCCAATATACAATATATAAGAAGATAACAAGTACTTACTTCACGACCTGGTGGACCAGGTTGTCCGGAAGGCCCTGGAGGACCCTAAAAATTAAAAATGATGCAGTTTGATTTGACATGTTAGATGAAAACATATATTGACAAACATACCTGAGGGCCAGGAGGACCTGGAACATAAACATATTGATTGGGACTTGGACCTTTACCTTGTGTGTCTTCTGGCTAAGATGGTGGACAATAAAAACACAAAATTATTTAAACCATTTTCTGTATTTTTCTAACAATCAACTTAAACCACTCACATCAGTGACAAGAAGACCAGGTCCAGGTAGACCAGGAGGTCCTGTAGCACCAGGTCTTCCACTCTCTCCCCTAATACCAGTTCTACCCTATGAATGAGAACTTTTTTATGTAAAACTTCATAACCATTATTGTACTAACGTATGTAACAATTATTGTACTTCAAACACTTAGTGCACTTAAATAACATACAACACAAAGAATCTCTGTACTTAAATAACATACAACACAAATAATCTCTGTACTTAAATAACATACAACACAAATAATCTCTGTACTTAAATAACATACAACACAAATAATCTCTGTACTTAAATAACATACAAGACAAATAATCTCTGTACTTAAATAACATACAAGACAAATAATCTCTGTACTTAAATAACATACAACACAAATAATCTCTGTACTTAAATAACATACAAGACAAATAATCTCTGTACTTAAATAACATACAACACAAATAATCTCTGTACTTAAATAACATACAACACAAATAATCTCTGTACTTAAATAACATACAACACAAATAATCTCTGTACTTAAATAACATACAACACAAATAATCTCTGTACCTAAATAACATACAACACAAATAATCTCTGATTAATTATATGTGAGAAACATCGGATCGATTAGCTTAGCTAAAGTCTTCTCATATTGGGAGCAAGGTTTATACAAGAAAACCTCATAAATTTCATCTTTCTCGATAAATACCGCGGAAACAAGGTTAAAACAAAGTTTATTGTATGTCATGAGACATCCGTACTTCAAAAAATCAGCAAACACATTTTATTATTTTCTTTTATTGCAATGTCTGCACATTGACGCAAGATACACAAAATTAATAAACTCTCGCTTTCCTAGTGTGCTTTCTTCGACTCGGATTCGATTATTCTTGAAAATTTGGTAACTTGCAAAAAATGATTTTAAGCCAATCAAAATAAGTTATTTCCGCAGAAGTTACGCTATAAGCCAATCAAAATAAGTTATTTCCGCAGAAGTTACGCTATAAGGCAATTAAAATAAGTTATTTCCGCAGAAGTTACGCTATAAGCCAATCAAAATAAGTTATTTCCGCAGAAGTTACGCTATAAGCCAATTAAAATAAGTTATTTCCGCAGAAGTTACGCTATAAGCCAATTAAAATAAGTTATTTCCGCAGAAGTTACGCTATAAGCCAATTAAAATAAGTTATTTCCGCAGAAGTTACGTTATAAGCCAATCAAAATAAGTTATTTCCGCAGAAGTTACGCTATAAGCCAATTAAAATAAGTTATTTCCGCAGAAGTTACGCTATAAGCCAATCAAAATAAGTTATTTCCGCAGAAGTTACGCTATAAGCCAATTAAAATAAGTTATTTCCGCAGAAGTTACGCTATAAGCCAATTAAAATAAGTTATTTCCGCAGAAGTTACGTTATAAGGCAATCAAAATAAGTTATTTCCGCAGAAGTTACGCTATAAGCCAATCAAAATAAGTTATTTCCGCAGAAGTTACGCTCGCCATACAATAAACAACACTTACTCTGTCACCAACCATACCACGATTTCCACGTTGACCGGGGGATCCTGGTGCACCCTAAATTATTCACATAAATTATAAAATATTACACATTTGGAACTTTTTGCAACATTTCACCTACTATTTACAAGGTTGAATTGAAAGAATTTAAATATTTTGAAAAGGCATCAAAATAGTTACAAAACGTGCAACAGAAAAAATGAATATCGACGCAATTACAGGAAACGACAGCAAGTAAACAATCTCATACCCGACTTCCCTTTTCGCCTTTCTGACCTTAACAAAAATAAAAAAATTTTTAAAAAATTTAGCTGAAAACGGAACATTAAATACCAACCTCATTACAAAACAAATAAGCATGATCTTAATTTCTCAACAGACTCATCATTTTGAAGCATTAGTACATGCAAATGCGAATATTAGTGTGATTTTTCACATTTTGAATGTAAAGGGTTTCACTTGAAAACTTTAATCTCACCCGCTGTGTAATTGAGACACGGATTGTTCTACATTGTACTTCATTGTACTACGTTATACTACATTGTACTACGTTAAATTGAGCATGTGATATTAAAGAAACACACTATACGTGAATGCATATAGTAAAGAAGTAGTTAAACAAACCTAAGCTACGTAAGTATTGAACTTTATGGGGAGCTGCTCAGTTATCAATAGTCAGTACAATATAGTGCATCAAGGGATAATTTAGGGATTTTACACTTGTAAAGCATTAATCTCAAAAGGACCCGTGAAGCATGAGCCATGTGGCAGAGTGTGCGGAAATACCCTCCCCAGTGAAATTTTAAAAATTGCAATTTTGTAAATGCCATTTTATGCATTTGTAGAGCAATTTAATATCAACCAAACAGACGTGTCATGGATTAAGCATTCTTACTTCAAGCGAGAAATATCTTATCCAAAATGAAATATTTGAAATACCAATAACAAAAAATGCTAAGGGGGAGTCAATTTTGTCTCAGCGCTCGGCCAACAAGAGGGCCTGGAAAGCTAAATGCCTGTCAGTGTGTGTGTGTTAAAATATGCCTTGTGGTAAACATTTCTCATGCATGCAAACAGAAAACAGGAAAGTAATGAATGAGTGAAAACTTACTTCCAAGGATAGTGCAATGTATAAAATAATCAGTACCTTTTTTGACTTGTAATTTGATTCAACCTTATATCAAATACGTAATTATTAATCAGAGCAACCCCTTAAAAGTTAATACTGCGCAAGTGCACATGTATATTAAACTTCCTTATACCCATTGCAACAGAGTTGTGTCCTTACCAATAAGAGGAGTAGTAGTTGTAGCTCTTGCTAACTCTGCCAAAGTGTCGTTACATCAAGCGGACCAGATGACAAAAGTTCAGGATAGTTACCATAAGATACAACCTCACGACCAAGTCTTGCAGCTTCAGTTCGAGCTGGGGTTCCAACAGTAACAGATACGACATCAATGTTAGGATTCGATCTTGTTATTCTACTCATGTCAGCAGATCCAGGAGATGATGCACCGTCGGACAAAAGAACAATAGCTTTATTTGCTCCACTACGAGCATTTCTATTTAACTGCCTTGCTGCATATTGTAAAGCAACGTCTTTACGATTACCTCCACCACCATGTGTCATTCTTTGTATCCCACTGTTTACAACAGATTTTGATACGCCACTTGAAAGCTGAACAACCGGCTTCGCATTATCGCTGTAGGTGAACATCCCCATTCGAGCACCATTAGCTCCAAAGCTCAACCCATTACTAAATCTTTCTGCAAATGATTTAATTTGAGAGAAAGACGTTCTTGTCTGATCTCCATCAGGAATGCCGAGTAAAATATCAGTTTTGCCTTCAAGTAACGAAGATGACCGTCTCACACCTGAAAATAGTGCGATTTGAATGAAGTTGTTTGCATAAAGCCTTGAGCAAATTCATTCGTTAGAGCATTCTTTTTCCTCAAAATGACATTGTTTGCCAGTGTTACTGGCAGATTTACAGGGTCTATAAAAAAAACTGAACAGTTTGGAAAACGTTGTTAAAGTCATCAAGCGCGCAAGATTGGAAAAAGCTTTGGTGGAAATAGTTAGTTGGACTTCCAATGGTTAATCTTACAGTAAAATTTTTACAAACAATAACCATTTTTAGAGGGAAAATTGTGTCACCGAGAACCACTTTTGAAATAACTTGAGCTCAAAAATGACGCAGCTAAAAAGCAATTTCGTGCGCAAGCTATTTCAAAAGTGGTTCTCGGTAGCACAATTTTCCCTCTAAAAATGGTGAACAATAAAGAAAAATTTACAGTCAGATGAGCCATTGGAAGTCCAACTAACTTTTGTAACAAAGATTTTTGCAGATCTTGTGCATTGATCACTTTAGGCACGTTTTCCTAAATGTTCGTTTTTTTATACACAATTTTTTTATACAGCATAACGGCGATTCATTCTTTGTCATATTTAATTTTCAAAATGACTTACGTCCAATTTTATTAGTAAGGTTTTATTCTTTGGATATCGATCCTAACCAGTTTTTACAATATAAAATTGAGCAGCCATAATTGAATTTTACTTACTAAGGATGCTTTTTAAGAAAATCAAAACATTTATACTTAAAACATAAAATTGAAACATACATATACTAAATTAAAACTATGAAATATTTTATAAATTAAAACCACTGTAATATTTTAATTTAAAATAACATCACATACCAGGTCTCACTGAAGAAACAACACTTCTTTGGAAACTGGCTCCTAGAGAATTAACATTCCTAGCTGGTAGGAAGAAATTTCTTTTTGGAGTGCTTGCAATGGCTTCCAAATTAGAACGAGAAGATCCAGCACCAATTGGTATGGGCATTATGGAAACACCTTCATAATTAAGACCTCTAGCAGCAAGTTCCAAATCTTCCTTCGATTCAGATGTTGAGCCCTCAGCACCAAACACAAAGTACTTGCTTGACGAGACTCGCCCACTTCCACCTGGACCAAACATTTCAGACGAAGCAAGTTGTAGGGCATTGGGAACATTTTGCGAACCCCTTCTAAAAGTCATACGATCAAGTCTTTGCTCCAACACAACTCTAGAATTTCCTTCTGAGAGTGGAAGGACAACTCTAGCATTACCACCATATTGAATAACACCAACATTTGTGTCGTTTGCTGATAAGGAGTACGAACTGCTCACTTCCTTTACAAATTCTTTGAACCTATTAAATCCATTTGAGCCAAGTCGTGTTGTTGATGGTACACCAAATACAAGATCAATTTTTCCTGTAATCTTATCTAAAAAATCACAGATAAAAAAAAAACAAAGCAAATTTTTATCCATTACAATGATGTAGTAAGTAAGACACTCACAGAATTTTAAAATATTTTGAAATAAAAGACATGTTTTATTCTGGCAGTTTCTGAGCTATGAAATTTAATGCTGGTCAATTAAGCTGATATCTAACCATCGTTGGATAAGTATCATGTACCTCTCATTTTTATAATAACAGTGAATAAAAAGTTCACACTTGTCTTTTGCTACAAGTTTTACTTAAAAATGGCATTTGTTGTACGAGAAGATAATCAATGAAAAGCTTGCTTGTAAAGAAACTCATGTCATTCTTCTTTGCTTATAATGACGCTTATAATGACGTTAGGGACACCGTTCCAAGTCAATTGAAACAAGTGATTTTATTTTCATACCGAATTCATTTGGAAATCATTTTTTAGATCACATCTGTTGCACATAATATAGAAAATAATATGTAATTCTTGAATTTCACACGAATGGAAATACAATTTGGAAATCATTGTTCACTTGGCTTATTCTGCCGCCATGTTTTTTTTTTGAATTGAAAAGAAATTTGTTTGGCTTTCACTGCTTTTCACCCAATCAGGTTACATTACATCCAAATACAACTTTCGAAAGGAAATTACAGCTTTTCCTAAAAGCAAGTACACATTTTCAAAGTGCAATTACAAGATAAACCCTACTTCAATCATCAACTCAGAGTTGAGAAATATCTCGAAGTATATTATCAACGATATATTATTACAACGATAAGATATGATTTTCTATCACCATTAATTAATTAAAAGTCGAGCTTCTCGAAAAACAAGTAAAAACGGTCGCTGTTATTTTTTAAAATGAATATTTACAATAATCGTTGTCTTGAGCGTGAATAAACAAAACGTGTTTGAAACAATTAGTTCATATACAGGAAGCCACATGAACGATATCAGCAATGTCTTTAGAAAAATATGTAATTGAACACGTTTATATAATAGAATAATAGACAAGGCTTTTTTATGTCTATGGTTCAGCTACATGTTTACATCCGTCAAGCATTTCAATGTTTTCTATGATAAATATTTTGTTTGACTGACCAAATGGTGCATTTCAGTCATCGAGACAATTGTGATGCTGCCTTTGTGTAAATTTATTTTCTAATAGAACAATGCTCAAACAAAAAGTTTAAATCACACAGGGGTCAATAAAAGTGTCATCTCAATCATCGTTCAGAAACAGCGGTACGTCAAGCAAACTAGATGTACAGCTGAAAAATTTCGTTGACATTGAACATTCATGATTCGTTATGAAATGAGTGAAATAAATCACTAAATTCAAAACATAATCTTAAAAACCTTTTAAGACTAAAAGAGACTGTTAAAATATAAAATGGATATTTTAAAATCATTATATGGGATGGCATGAAATGTTATTATAGAACAAGGCCTCATTCATAAGCATATCTGGTCATTATTGAAAATATATTTAATTTAAAATTGCTGTAGAAGTAACAAAAAATAGAAGGTAAAACATAATGCAGAAAAATAGCCATTACTTGGTATGCAACAATACTATGATTGTGTAATATATTTGCTTTAATCGACTTTGGTAATCAAATCTATGGTAGGAAATAACCACACAATAATACAGCACATATTTGTTTCAACTCGTTCAAAACAGTATTTTCAAGATACATATTTTAAAATTTCGATATTGATTTGCATAAAGTGCGAACTAAGCGCGCTACATTTATATGCATAGATCGTGTTTATAATAAACATATTTTTAAAAATATCCATTTTTGAACTTAATTTGCTAAGATTTTACAGTTAATATTTTGAAGAAATGCAAGAATCCTCGATTCAATACACAAGCATTATAGTATAATTACGCTTGCTTTACTGTATACCATTGGTTTGTTGGAAAATAAAAATTTAAATGTATGAAACATATATATATTGGACAAAACTTACCAGACTGTGATGCAGCTAATGAGATCGCAAATGTCAGAGCCGCAATGACATTGAAAATGCTCATTACTCAAAGCAAATTACACCAGAGACCCTTACTAAAAACACTACTATAAGAATCCAAAAAAATTAATCAATTGGCTGCTAGAGTTCTCGACATGCGTCAATGGGAGAATGACAACGGCACTGATATAAGTCTCCTACTCATGCGCGAAAACCTGACGCGCAGTATTAACTGAATGGAATTCAATAAAATGGATATAAAAACCGACAACTGCATTGATTGCGAATATAAACGATCAACGTACCCCTGCTGATATCTCAAAATACCGCAGTTAGGAAAACCATTACCCATTCATTGTAATAATAAAAATGTTTTGTCTTTGTCGGTATCATAAGAAATGAAATTCACAAAAAGTAAAGTAGAAAAATATACATAATTTAAAACTGGTTAACTTGTGTCTTTTCGTTTGTAGTAATGTTTTAAACGAAATTGTACGGCAGAAATATTTAGCTGTGTGCGGATGAATTTTACTGAGTTTTACGGCTTATGCAACCTTTTCTCACATATCAAGCATATTTGATAATTTTAGCCACGTGAGGCGAAAACTCACCGTATGCGCCGAATGTGTGCTAGTTGCTCACATATAACCAATTGAAGAACTAATAGTGATGCGTCCTTTAATCTCGCGAACAAACAGAAATGAAAAGGCTACCGCTACAAACGAATTGATTAGCGAGTACATGCTAGACAAATTTAAGTCATTGACAAACTTGTTGACGCCATGGCTAAACTATCACTGAGTGTTTGATGTAAGTTTGCCAGACTTTAAAATATAAAAGTATAAATTGCGCATGAATTAAGTAATTGCAAAGGAATTAAAGCAGACAAGTGACAAAATCTTTGGGATAAAACTATTTCCATGTCGACCGTTAAGACATACTTTATTCTCGACTTTATTCTCATAACATCATGAAATTTTTGAAGGATGTAGTTGAGCGAGTGAAAGCATAAATGGGTATTCGTTCATCACTTCGTTTGTAATCGATATTTTGCTGTTTGTTCACGAGTAAAAGGACCCTTCACTATTGGTTCTTTAATTGTTTATATGTGAGCAACTAGCTCACAGCCAGCGCATACGGTGAGTTTTTTGTCTCACGTGGCTAAAAATATCAAATATGCTTGATATGCGAGAAAAGGTTGTCTAAGCCGTAAAACTCAGTAAGATTTCTCCACACAAAGCGAGCTATCGCATGAGCTAACGGGCACGAGTAACTTTTAGCTCAGCTGACAGCTCTCGTGTGCTTCAGACTTTATCTTAGGAAATAGTGGTATAGTCAGCACCTCAGCGGTCCAGCTAGTTCCGCTCAGCAAGACAAAAAAGTATTCTTATTTTGCATTTTACTGTATAATTGTTCACGTTCTCCGTTGCTTGTTCAAACTTTATTATCGAGCAACTGACATTTACTTATGAACTCATTCTCAAACATTTCAACACAACACGCGCGTCTGCCAACTGTTTCGTCTGCAAGATTGAATTCACAGTTTTTCGTGCAAGAAATTTTGGTTTCTCTGTTGGGGTACAACGCCTGACAATTGCGTCTGGCGCATGCTGAAAAACGTCAATTTTTTCTGTGCTTTCTTTTTTTGTTTGAGGGTGTGATCCTCGATCTTTACGAAGCTAGTGACTGATTATCATAATACGTGAAGTCATGTTATGGGAGAGTATTGTACTGAGTTTGTTTTTACATTGTTCACTATTTATTTGTTGCACGTTCATACATTAATTAGCTTATTATTAGTGAAACCGTTTACTGTTTTATTTTATTGATGAATGACTGTTTCCTGTTGCATTTTTTGTGGATGAATATTTTTTGTTGATTTTATTGGTCGATAACTATTTTCTGTTGTGTTTTATTCTTTGGATAACTTCTCCTTCGGTATTTCATTGTTGGATAATTATTTTCTTTTGCATTCTATTGATAGATAAAAATTTTCTATTGCATTTAATTGGTGAATAACACTTTTCTGTTGTATTTTATTTGTCGATAACTATTTTCTCCTCAAATGACAGGAAATAATGTTCTTAAGTTTTTGCAATTTAAGAAACATGTACTCAATCCTTTTACAATTTTCAACATCTGACACATTCTCTATCGCTTTCTCCTAAATTGAAAATAAAAAAAAACACGATATACGATGCCATCGGCTCAAGTGAGAAACAGAAATTTTTGTCTATAGCTTTAGGAACGTGTCCACAGATAAAGAAACAAAGAAATTTGAAAGTCTTACCAATGCAAATGTTTACGACACATTACCTTTAAAACGAAGATAAAAATTTCTGGAAACGATCTGTGTACAACGAAAATACAGTAAACGTACTCGCTACGATGTTCAATATTTTCATTCCATTTTCAATTAATATTAGCGGCTAAGGTTCACAAAATTGATAGTTAAAATGTTAATTGTGGTATGTCTGACTAGATATACGCACAAATGTTTATAGTTATGCTGTACCACTATTGTTTGTATTGATGTAGAAATTCACCAGATTGAGCAGGTTCAGGATTTCAAAATTTTATTATTAATGAGACGTTCTAAGAAAAGTATTAAAGTTGGCGGAAGACGTTTGCACGAGGAAACCAAATGGCGAGCTTTTTCTTCAAATCTGACTTCAAGCATGTCTTAGATTTTCACTTTAAATTCATTTAGTATTATACTTCGGGCCACTTTGTCCTTTTTTACATTTACATGGAAAATTTAAATTTCAGTACATAAATATACACAAATATAATAATATTAAGCTATAAAGTTTCAATTTAACGAACAATTAAGCTTGTTTTTATACCTTGAAAAGATCTGTTGAATTTTGAAATGCTATTTTTTTACAGCTATACATAGCTACATTTTAAATGTTTCAAAAAACTTGAGTTTTGAGAATTTAGTGGTTTAGGATATCGGATAACAACGAATATATAGCTAATTCACTTGGTAAAGATCTATTTAATTCAGAATATTTATTTCTTTACGGATAAGACATATAGACAACGTTTTTTCCAAGATGAGCAAAGCTACATACATTTAAATCATGATTGACGAACCCACTTTGGAGTACAGATAACTACTGCGAGGGAACTTGTGCTTGTTTCTAACGCATTAGCAACGAATATTGCTTTTGAAACATCTTCAGTGATTAATGTTCTTAAGGCATATTTTGGTGAAAAGCCTGGTTTGTGTTCAAAGCTTATCCAATTGCTTAAATCAATAAATCCAAAATACCAAATTCAAATATTCATGCCTATGGGTATACTTTCTAAAAACAATAGATATTCGCAAATCATAATTGAATGAAAAGTACATTTTTAAATGGTATAAAATTTTAATGGTATAAACTAACTTTCGATTTCTAACTATCAATGTATGCACCGCCAGCAACAAATCGCAATAAAAAACCAGTTGCAAGTTGGTTTTTTCCACACAAATAACGAACAAATACAAGACATGTTATATTTCTAACAATTCTACACACACTGAAATGTACAGAAAATATAGTTTCAATTGTTATATTTATTCAACTAAGAAATTTTCGTTTTGTTTCTAGCCTGCATTTTTCACGTTCACACGAATGTTTCGCGAATAATCAGGCCCAGCTTTGTGTTGGGTAATTTACCATAAAAAGCACACATCTCCAGCTTCGATCATATATTCTTTATTGAAGCCAGTGTCGAATGGCGTCACATTGATAATAGGTAAACGTTGTTTCTGCTGAGTTTTAACTTCGAATATTGTCTTATGCCACACACCATCAGTAAGCTAAAATTAATCAAAAATAGAGTCAACCCAAGATTTCAAACGTCACATAACAAGCCAAAAAACTGATCTCATCACTCGACATCAGAAGCGTAGCCAGCAAGGAAGATTTAGTACTAGAGCCGGTTGCACGAAGCCTGGATAGCATTATCTATTGGATAGCAAGTTTTTTAAACTTTTATAAAACTTTTTAAAAAGCAAAGCGTATAAGATTCGAACTGAACAATCTCTGAAATAGGATATTGCTTTGAAGATTACGAAATTTCTTTGTTGTAAGAAAAATATAAACCCCTTTTTAACAAGTTTGAAAATTTTTGCTATCCAATGGATAACGCTATCCAAGCTTCGTGCAACCGGTCCATGATATGTAGATTTTAGAGCGCTATAATTATTCGTTTCTTTAAAAATCCAATGTTTTTGCAGTAAGCGAATAAAGAAAAAATGACATAACAGGACAAAATTTACGTATTGGCTAGGCCAGTAGTATAACCACATGCAAACAGAATGTACACGCAACTATGTAGTATGCCAACTGGTCACTCCACTAGTCAGATAAAAATAGTCAGATGACAAAACAAGCTGTATGAAGTCACCCTAAACAAGTTACCTACTAGTAGTACCGGAGGCCCGGCTATTTTTGCCTGCCGGAGGAGCCGGAGCTTGTTCATCTCCGACAAAATTCCAGCAGCAGTCGTTTGATAACATCAGATTTGTAATTAATCAAAACTGAAGTCCCACAAATAGTTACAAAACAAGTCACACTTATTCGTATAAACATCGAGAATGCCGAAGAAAGTATACAAACCTTACAACCATCTTCAATCAAAGTAGGTCTGTATTTTCGTGGACTATTCATGTGAATGTCAATTTCATTTTCTCCAATCAAGTTGATGGATTTAAGTTTACCATCAAAGGCCATCGAGTTTTTACAGTGATAAGTTATTCGTTGACGAACAGTACTACTCAACAACCGAAGGAAAGTCATTTGAACTTCTTCAGTGTATTGGAACTAAAATACGAGGATTCAAATTTCAGTGGGAAAGAAATTTTGTTGACAAATGACTAAATGAATTTCCATTGTATTTGAAAGGGGATCGCGATGGAAAGTATTTGTTCAACAATAAAAGTTCAGCAAAATATCGATATTGCCAACGTACCTCTTCATCATTATTCAGTCGTTTTGCATTCACAGACTTTACGCATGTTTCTTTCAAAGTGAAGTTGCAAGTTACTTGGAAGGCATTGCCATGGCTACCCCAGTCAGGATCGACCCAGTAAACACCTTGACGAAAAAATTGAAGGTAAACTTGGTGTAAGGAATAATATAGTAAGAATGGTATGAAGATACAAGATATTTTACAGTCCAGTAAATAAAAGTAAGAAATCATGGTTAGTATAAATACAAATGATCCAACAAAAAGAAACATGATAAAATTCATGCAAACAAAAACATACCATCGGTAATATCAGGGTATTCAAGTTTTAAGTCTCGACAAGATCGTGCAGCAGTTGCAGGAGATTTTCCGTCCATTTTGTCAATAAGTTCAAGAATTTCATGGGCTTCTTTTGTCAGTCCACCCATGTGAGTGGCATCCATTTCGTCGGGCAATTTATTTTCACTGCCAATATCCTATCAACAACAAATAAGTGAATTGGTAAAAAATTCTGTATAAAACTTGCTTCGTGTACGTATGTACGTAAGACTAAAGTTCGTGAATGTACAGACGTTTTTTTCAAAAAAATCGACAAGTAGCAATTAAAATTTATAGAGAATACTATCTTCATTTTTGTGATAAACAATTAAACCAGTGTACACTGATGACGATGAAAAACATGTCAAAGTTAAACAGTTTTTCTGCGTGACAGCAAAAAATCGAGACAACTATCCTCAAAACGCTTCGTAACTTTCTCTCTTAGACTCGTATATTTAGTTTATGTACCTAACTCCCACGTAATTATCTAACTCCCACGTAATTATCAAACCCAATTATTAATAACCACCTTATTATGAAACATCTACAAAAATATTGAAATAACTAAACTTCACATAAAAGTAGTTATTATGTGCAAATATGCGTCAACGCACCTGTTTGCTGGAATAATACCGAGGACCTTTTACTACATCGCTATTACTCTCTTGCTGTGATGTAAAAAAAAAACATAACAAAAATAGATTAGAAACAATGATATAATCTGTGTTATATGAAAGCGTTTTTCTTTAACAATAAATAGCAAGACAATCCATGCGAGTCATGTACGCATTAGATCTTAAATAAAGTTAATAAAAAAAGACAAAGGTTGATTTTCGGTATTTGTACTGCATAACACAAACCATTGATACCGGAAAAACATTTTGATAAAGTCACTTTAAGAAAAATAAAAATGCCGCTTTATGTTAAAAATGAACTCAATCAACATAATCTCTATATTCTAACGATGGAATGGTAAAATTTCAAAAGTCCATGAAATTGTATCAACATGACGGGTGAGTAACCGATTCATGCGTTAAATGTTGAAAATTCAATGTTCGTCTGTCTGAAAAAGTAAATAAACAATGCTAACAGCGCATCCAGTTGTGCCTGAGAAATAAATATCAATTATTTTTTATTTGTGAATGGCAAACAAGAGAGGTTTTTTTCCAAACAATTTGATTGGTTGCCTCAGCGGGCAGCTTTTTACGATATCTTGACCGTGGTCCAATAGTGACCTTTTTTCCGCAATGTATTTGTTTACAAAGTAAAATTAAAATTTTTAAAATTGATTTAAAAGCGATGTAAATTGTTCAACGAGAAAGCAAAGTGTACTCAGACGAAAGTTATCATAGCAAGAGTGAATTTTACTATCCCAAAGAAGTGAAATTGTAGAAAACAATCTAATTTTAGTCTCAACATCAAGCCGCATCGGTCAATTTCTTCATGATAAAAACTGAGACCTCGTGAAAATATTTTTTCCGTTCGAACCTCCCAGCCGGTAAATAACATATATGTACTAACCCTGATTAGAACACCAGGTGGACCCTAAATAGAATAAAACAATAGTCAAAATGATAAAAAACATAGACGGAGATTCCATATTCACATACGTTTACACAAAAACAACAAATCGCATATAACAAGTCTTTGCCAAAATATGATTTGTTTTCTTTGAAAAGTTCTTATGTCGAATCGTAAATACGTCATTAATTAAGCTCAGTATCCTAGCGGTAGACATGTACGAAAACTTTGAAACTTTACAAAAACAAAAAAAATTGCTGAATGATGTCCTGTCCAAGTTAATATGTAACTAAAAAAAACAGTAATTTTATACATACGGGTGGACCTCTTGGACCGGCGTCACCAGGTGGTCCCTTAAAGTAAGAGTGCATACTGTTATTGATTGTAAATGAAGAACAAAGGTAAAACCTTCAGAGTTTTTGTCAACTTACCGGTGGACCAGTTGAACCAGTTCTTCCAACAGGTCCATCAGCTCCAGGAGGACCCGTTCGTCCTTCAGGACCCTGGTCACGAAATAGTCAAGCAAAATTTTACATTCATGAAAGTTTAAGCCAAAAATTATGAGTAAAATTGAATTTACAACAGCCTAATATGATAAACTTACAGCAATACCAGGAGCTCCCGGCGGACCATTCTTTCCACTTTGACCAGGTGGTCCCTACACAAGACAACCATCAAATCATTGATATAAACACAAGTAACGGAATCTTCTTGAAATAAACTAAGCATAAAGAGGATATACTTTTCAACATTAAAAAAAATAAACAAATAAGATTAAATGCCATTAATGTTTAAACTTTTTGCTATAGAAACCTACACATCCGATTTATGTAAGCAAATATATAATAAAACCTTGAGGGTTTCAGAACAAAATGCAGCATCTTCGGAGCATTGTTTTTCTGTTTGTACGTAAGTAAATGCGATATATAATATCGTTGAAACTCAACAAACAATTCTTCCTGTTAGTCAGGGACGTCGCTACCGGGGTGGGTGGTTTGCAACCAAAAATTCAGGTGAAAATCATGTGGTAAATTAGTACCATACTAATATAAATTATCGTTAAAACAATCAATTTAGATAATTCCAACTTGAAACAGCTGCGTCGGTTGCCAGTCTTAAATTACTGGCATGTGATATGTGAGAGTGTGTATATTTTTGATTCCAGTTAAAATTTTAACATTTAAATTGACCATGAATATAAATTAGCAAAGAAACAATAGTTACAACACCTGTTTGAAAACCTGACAGTTGATATGTTGTACCTTGCTCAACGCATTGATTATGAACTTTGTAGAACATAGACAAAACATTGCATTATTTCGATTTTCGATTACTAAGCTTGAATTACCTACGCAATAAAATCTCAGGGGAACGATTAAATGACTGCATGATTCTTACTGCTAACCAGCGTGCTATCGACGTGCACAAGCTGGCAAAGAAATGGGCTGTTCTAAGGAACCGTAGAGTGCCTTTGTGAGCGGTTCCACCAAACAATTTGTGAAATGCAAATGTAATTACTATTTTAAGGACAGAAACCTGAAACGTTACTTATTACGCTAGGTTAAGGCATGCGTAAATAAGTCTGTACATTGCTTGTTTTTGTAAACTAAAAATTCTAATGGAATAAAATATTTTGAAACTGTTTATTCATTTTTTTAAAACTGAAAATTTTGAAGTCAATGTTTCCCAAATTCGGCCAAATGCTTATCAGGAAAAGCGAAAAATTAAAAAGTAAATTTAAAAAAATCTCAGGTAAATATTTATGACACCCCCCCCCAACATCAAGGTGTTCGCGACGTCCCTGCAGTTAGTAAAATGTCACTGACAAAAACTTAATAATTGCATTACTTTTATTGTTACGTAAAACAGGACATTTCGCGCAAGTTATTTTATATATCTTACGCCATTTGACTGTGTATAAAATTTTATTTAGTTTTACCGCGTCATCGAAGCCAACAAAGGTTTTTCTCATGCACCAAGACTTCTAGTAAGCATGCGCAAAGACGATTGTGACGAAAATTCAAACAATTAACAAGCAATTTTAATAAAACTGGTCACAATGCCTGTTACGTGCGTAATGTATATAAAAGTATGAGTTGTGTGAATTTCACCCTCTTGCTGCAACATTGTAAATTCAAACAAAAAACTCTGCATTAAAAACTAGCAAAACCTAAATTTTTTGTTTACTTACATCTTCTCCAGTAGGTCCAGGGAGACCAGAATTTCCGTTTTCACCAGGTGGACCCTAATTGATTATTACGTTTAAAAAGTAAATTGAGTAATTCAATGTACAGATAACATTATATGAAAACTTACAGGTGGTCCTTGTGGTCCTCGAACACCAGGTGCACCAACGTCACCCTTTGGTCCCTTGTCACCATCATCACCATCTATACCCGTTTCGCCAAGTGTTCCTTGATCTCCCTTGAATATATAAGTTTGGGTTTTAAATTGCCACTGGTTTAAAGACAATAAACGGGTTAGATTTTTCGTGCAGAATTACAGTGGTGTATGTATGGAAAAGCCAATTTTATTACAAGCAGTCAGCTTTAAGAAAGGTTAAAAATATGGCAATGTTTAACTGAGTTTCTACGTAACAGCAAAATACAAATAAAATTGACTAAAATATCATCAAAACTTCGTACCTCTGCGCCCTCAACACCAGCTTGACCTTTCTGTCCTTTGGGACCTTGTAAACCCTATAAAAGGCAACGCAAATAAGAGTTAGAAAAACCAAACTGTCATTTAAACTTGTGTTCAACCTCTTCCTAAATTTGAAAAGCCTTCTAAAAACAATCCTTACTCATATTTTTATTCATAAAAAACACTCTCGTGACTAGAAAATTTACCATCATACGATTATTCATAAAAAATTCATTTGAAAACTACAGTATAACTAAAATTGTAGTTGAGCATGAAAAGCACAGCGAAATACACTTAATCTGATTGAAACTAATGCTCTTTCTGTTCACTCCTTCGCTACAATAAATTCATTCCACTTTCATTAAAAGAATGATATTTAATCATAAATAAAAACAATCAAAAGGTGCGAAGCAAAAAGTACGTTATAGATACCTGGCTGCCGCCTTCACCCGCTGCTCCTTGTAAGCCCTCTTGTCCTTGAGGACCTTGAGCACCTGGTCCACCTATAGAACCTTGATTCCCTGGTGGTCCAGGTGGTCCCTGAAAAAATGTACAATTTTTTACATACTTACAAACAAGACAAAATACAAGAATCAATTTTCAGAAATACAAACATGAAAAACAAAAATAAATATGAATCAAGCAAGTTTCTATCACTACGCAAAATATCAACCAAAAATTTGCCAATAAGACTCCTCGAACTATTTTACAAAGCTTTTTCCTAATATATCATTAGTAGTAAAACTGTAAAATATTAACTGGAAGCACACTTTTCTAATAATTGGCAAAACGAATAACTCACGGGAATGCCTGCAGGCCCTGCTTCACCAGGTTCTTCGCTATTTTCTCCATCACTTCCCTATAGAAAAAAAGGGTCATAGAAATTATTGCATGCAAGAAATTAGACTTGTCATGTGACGTACAGGGCTATTGCAGCACAACCAGCTTACACAAGGTTTCCCTCATAGATGTAAATTTATATTGGATAATGACCATATGTAAAACAGATGAGTGTAAACATAAAATAATGCAATTAAATAACTTACATCTTCACCGTCCACACCATTAGGACCATTATCACCAGGTCGACCTGCATAACCCTAGGTGCGTTGGAAAGAGAAAAAATAAATTTATCAGTTATTTGCATAACTGAATATTTCTATATAGTAGCATGTGTAATTACACAATAAAAAAATTAATTTAAATGTCAGTCTATTCATATATTAAAGTAATGGCATAGTGTATTACCAATGTAACTATACCTATCACGACAATAAACAAGAAAAATTTACTTTTTTGACAGATTCACGAATAGATAATGAACAAAATTGAAAAACAGAAAAAGACAATAATCGCTGATAACAAATAACTTTATTTCTACCTTTTCACCATCAGCACCAGTTTTACCAAGAGATCCAGGAACTCCAGTTTCACCCTGCAAAAAAGAAAACAATTGCTCAGTGCATGTCAATTCTTAAACAATTAGGCAATGTGAAGCATTTAGATGTTTACCTTAGGTCCAGCTGGTCCTGTTGCCCCTTGCAAGCCTTGTGGGCCAGGAAATCCCTAGGAGTGGACCAAACAACACTTAAATGATTTTAAAATAAGTTTCGCGTTTCTTCGTTGAGAAATTACTAAACTTTGAAGACACTAGCTGGTTAAAAGCAAAAACTGGTCTTTTGCATATCTTTGTAGTTAAATCTTGGTTATGAAATTTGAACGTCGCGAAATGCTTTAAAAAATAATATCTGTATAGCTTGTACGGTTTACATCTTCATTATTCATACTAACCTGGGATCCTTTTCGACCAGGTTCACCAGGTGGGCCAGGTTCACCTGGTTCGCCCTAAAACAAGCACATTACAATAACTTAATCTAATGGTTCTTTGAATCTTATTGTAAGTTATTTTGTATTATAAGACTTAGGTTTCATTAAAAAACGTTTCGTGAAAAAATTTATACAATAAAATAAACATATTTTATGAAATGTTATGAAATATCCACAAGGATGGTAAACAGAAACTCACAACAGGACCAATTTCACCACTGGGTCCAGGAATTCCATCATAACCATTATTACCAGGAGGTCCAGGAGGACCGGTCTTACCATCAGGACCAGGTGGACCACGGTTTCCCTAATGAAAATGAAAATAATGAGTGAAAAAGTTCATACTATGTTTAAAACATTTAAATTCATGTAAATTAATACAAACTTTTATCACAAGCATTGTGACATCTGCATATTCTCATTAGTTATCTATTTGATTTTTCACGTGTCGATAATATTTTAGTTTGCCTTAACTTACTCCTAGACATTATAAATGTATAGAATAATAAGACAATATAGACCTTGGTTGAAAAATTCACACAAATTGAAGTTCTTCGATGGAAGTTAAAGATTTCTTATTTCTTGACTGCACGCGTATCCAACAGAAGCTTATGTAAAAAGCAATTTACGTGAATCAAGCAAAAATATATTTACCTTAGCTCCAGGTAATCCATCATCTCCAGCCAAACCAGGCAATCCAGGTGATCCCTATACATAACCACATACCGCTGAGTACATTATAACTAAAACATTTCTGACATTTCAATTGCAACAGCAGATAAAGCATACCGGTGCACCAATAGGACCTCGTTCACCGCGGGCTCCTTGGAGTCCTGGGGATCCCTGAAAACAAAGGTGAATTTAATTTTGAAACAACAGGTTTTTTGAGAATATAGAAGAAGGAACTTACAGGAATACCGTTTGATCCAGGATTACCAGCGTCACCTGCGTCACCTTGTTCTCCCTATGTGTTGAAATGGGCATAAGCAACAAAATATATACGTTTTGTAACTACCGGTTATTGCAATCTTGCGTGGTTTCATGCCGATATAAATGCACTCAATGACAATGAGCATCGGTTTTTGAGCAATAAAGTGAAGTTATTTTGGTTGATAATTTGTGTAACAGAATACATAAAGACATGAACAAAGACAGTTTGTATTTGAGTAGAATGTTTGGATTCAAAAATCATCTTCGACATGCAAGATAATTTACTCTACGCGTGTGTTGAAACAATGAAAGCTTCATTTATAGGAAACTACATTTCACCATTTGCGTACAAGTGACAAAAATAGTACAGCTAATAATATCTTTACAACGTACCTCACCACCAGGTGTACCAGCTCCTCCCATTTCTCCTTTATAACCTTTTTCTCCCTGCAACACACTTAGCAGATTAAAAACCCCATCATGAAAAAGTGGTCAACACTAAATGAGTTGCAACAACAAGTAGTAAACACTGAGTCGTGTACACTTTGTGTTCAACATCAAGTAGTAAACACTGAGTTGTGTACAGTTTGTGTTCAACATCAAGTAGTAAACACTGAGTCGTGTACACTTTGTGTTCAACATCAAGTAGTAAACACTGAGTTGTGTACAATTTGTGTTCAACATCAAGTAGTAAACACTGAGTCGTGTACACTTTGTGTTCAACATCAAGTAGTAAACATTGAGTCGTGTACACTTTGTGTTCAACATCAAGTAGTAAACATTGAGTCGTGTACACTTTGTGTTCAACATCAAGTAGTAAACATTGAGTCATGTACACTTTGTGTTCAACATCAAGTAGTAAACACTGAGTCGTGTACAATTTGTTTTCAACATCAAGTAGTAAACACTGAGTCGTGTACACTTTGTGATCAATATCATAGACTGAACTCTCTTGAATGATTAGTCTACATCAAGTAGTTAACACAACACACACCTTTGATCCCTTTTTACCACGCGCGCCTTTAGCACCAATAGGACCTTGAATACCCTAAATAAACAAAAAATTATCATAGACTTAAGTTTGTTTTTTTTTGTAGGAAAATAATTCATGTCAGCATAATAATTGATTAGAAAATCAGGAAAATATCATTTATGGTGCCGAGAATTATTATTCTTTAACCATAAATAAGTATGAAACATTCCTCTTTGATGTTCTTATAAATGTTTGTACACAAATTATTGTAAAATGTTGACTGTCAACGATTCAGATTATAATTACATATATACTTAAAACTAGAAAGAAAGAGTTAAAAATGAAAATGAACCAATCAGATTTTTTCTTAATTTGCATCTTACTAACTCTCAAATGTGTTGCGTACATAAATATTTCTCAACTTACAGGTGCACCACCTTCTCCTGCATTTCCAATAGGACCTTCAGGACCTGGTGGACCCTACAGCACATAACAATTATCATCATTGTGGCAGCACATCATATTCGGGGACGTATATATATCATCATGGTAATGTGATACATGTTAGAAATAAAATATTTTAACAGAAAAGATAAAACGTACTCTTGAACTGGGAGAACCGTCGGCTCCACGACTTCCAGGTTCACCAGAATCACCCTGTTATTTTGTAAATATATTTTAGGCAGGTTTGAAAAAAATATTTTTGCGCAAAACATGTGAAAGCCACCCAGATAATTCAAATACTTGAAAACATCTAACCTTGGGGCCACTTGGACCAGGACGTCCCTGAGCACCGGGGTTACCATTTCTACCCTACATGAAAAAATGCAATGTCCTGATAACATACATTGAACAATAATAGGCATTAAATTGTGAAGAAATGGGGAAAAATGCGCAGTAATTTTGTGGAGACATGTGGTATAGGAGACATGTAGTACTTTGTGGAGACATATGTAGTAGTTTGTGACATATGTAGTACTTTGTGGAGAGATATGTAGTAGTTTGTAGAGAGATATGTAGTACTTTGTAGAGACATGTGTAGTACTTTGTGGAGAGATATGTAGTAGTTTGTAGAGAGATATGTAGTACTTTGTAGAGACATGTGTAGTACTTTGTGGAGAGATATGTAGTAGTTTGTAGAGACATATGTAGTACTTTGAGGAGAGATATGTAGTAGTTTGTAGAGAGATATGTAGTAGTTTGTAGAGACATATGTAGTACTTTGTGGAGACATATGTGTAGTGCATTGTTCAGACCTGTCCATTGCATATAAGAGACATTGTGCTGAACATTGCAGAGTCACATGCAATACATTGTGGAATCATGTACTGTACATTGTGGAGTCATGTGCAATACATTGTACAGAAGTGTAGAGTATATTATGAAGAAACACTAAATGAAGAGTAAAAATAAAAAAATGGCTACGCATGATACAAAAATGTTTTGTTATTACTTACAGGTCGTCCATCACTACCAGGTTTCCCATTACGTCCAGGATTACCTTTAGAACCCTATTAAATGTTAATGTGGAAAAATTTACCATTTAACTTGAGTTGTGTAGGTCTAGGCGCTTAAACATATTTTGAACGTAATTTGACAGTTTCCTGCAATCATTGAAGCCTTTTAGTGTTTAATAAATATTGTTGTACGTGTGCGTTTAATGAACCTTTTGTAAAGCACTTCTCACAAAAAGAAATGAGAAGAAATCCAAGCAAAAATGTTTGCATTTCAAAGTGGTTCACTTTACGTATAATAATTTACAGAAGAACAGAAGAAAGAGACAGTAACACAAATTGTTTTTTATGACTTACCGTTTAACATTAATATAAGTAATATTAGTGACTAAGTGCTGTAAACGTTTGGTAAAAATTTATGTTCTCTTTGATTAAGATTACATCATATGCACGACCTTCATAGATTTCATATAATTCAATGCATTTGTATGAATATTATTATTTGAGGATAAATTCTTAAAGCAGAGCAGCTACAATACTTAATTCAGATATTGCACGCGTTTTTTATTTTAGTCAAGTTTTTTTAACAAAAATTTCAGTTTGTTTGTTTGAAAAAAACTGTTTGTAAAAATTTATAAAGTTTAAATAATAATCACCACAGTACGTAAATTTATAAAGAATTTAAATAATAATCACCACAGTACGTAAATTTATAAAGAATTTAAATAATAATCACCACAGTACGTAAATTTATAAAGAGTTTAAAAAATTAGAGTAAACATAATCATGAAATCATTTCTAAACTTAGTTTTAGCTTTTAACGATACCTTGGAACCTTTTTCTCCGTTATCACCAGGTAAACCAGGAGACCCGGGTGCCCCAAGGCTACCACGAAGGCCCATTAATCCAGCTGCCCCAGGTTGACCTTGTGCTCCCTGTCAGTACATGTGTATAAATACATTGATAAAAAGATTTTACAACGCTGTAGGAATATAATTCTTGAAATATGGTTTACCGGTTGACCATCAGATCCAGCCTCACCAACAGGACCTTGCTTACCAGGTGAACCCTATATGACATGTTATATAAGACGATTTAGTTGTTTCTAAGAAGAAGTGGTTATATACTCTGTTCATGTGTCATAGAACTTGCAACACCAATTTAGATAAAAAATGAAAGTAATTGGCTTCCTACCGGATGCCCAGCTGAACCTTGTTCTCCTGGTTCTCCAATAGCACCCTATTAATAAGAATATTAAATGTAAAGTTTAAGCAAAACACACATACGTAATGTATAACACAAACAGCACATTCGTCGTACATGAAATATGGAATATATTGTAAAATGTAATAGAAAGAAACATTACTCAATCAAATTTCAATCATTCTACCGTCATTTGTAATTTTCTTAACGACAGAATGAAAAACGAGTTTTCCAAAGAAGGACATTTTTTCAAAACAGATTTCTCTAATTGAGCAATATTTGCTCTATAAAGCAAAGTATGTAGAGCTCAATTTAGTAATTTAAGTGTTATTGACTAATAAAAACGACTTGCAAAAATACAAGAAACTGAAAAAAGTATAGTCAAGCCGATTCCTTGAAAAAAACACGCATGCGTGAATGTATTGGGTAAACTTTTCCACCAATCATCGTACTACAGTAATTTTTTTAGAAAAGTTGTAAACATAGGAGCGGCGAGAAAAGTCAACAAAAAGCAACTTTTACTATACATTGCTCCAATGATAATGAGGGCAACATTTATCTTTTTACTGAAGTAATGCTTCGTGAGAAGATATCTGTAATCACAAAACAAAAAAATACTCACTTGTTCACCACGCTCCCCTGGGTTGCCGTCAGGTCCTTGGTACCCCTAAAATACCAGTCAAAAAATGAGGAGCAATTAAGAATTTATTATTTTATTGTTTATAATAAAACAGAGATTAGAGAAGACCTTAATTTTTTTGGTCGCAAAATATTATGAGCACGACTGACGGCCATAATATTATATAAAATCGTTGGCCAAAATTTCAACTCGTCTTTACTGATAAATTTAACATAAAAGAGTTGTACGCGTTTCAATAAAAAGCGTGGACACTGACTGCAAGTTATTTTTAATTTTTTATCGAATTCCTTCTCAAAATAAATAAAAAACTGAATGATAAAAATTTTGCGAAAAATAGTTAAGAAAAGCCATCAATGATTATTAACAAACAATAAATACGTAAACAATAGCGCTGCACACCGGAGCCTTTGCACAACGTTGACATGAGACGGTAAAATGACAAAACGATGGGCGTTTAACGTAAACAATAGCGATACACACCGGAGCCTTTGCACAACGTTGACATGAGACGGTAAAATGACAAAACGATGGGCGTTTAACGTAAACAATAGCGATACACACCGGAGCCTTTGCACAACGTTGACATGAGACGGTAAAATGACAAAACGATGGGCGTTTAACGTAAACAATAGCGATGCACACCGGAGCCTTTGCACAACGTTGACATGAGACGGTAAAATGACAAAACGATGGGCGTTTTACATAATTTTTTGTCATCCCAAACAATAATGAACTCAATGGAAACACTGACTAACAAATTTATATACTAACTTTGTTGCCACCTGGACCAGGGGGCCCTTGAATACCTTGTTGACCACGAGCACCCTAACAACAAACATTAGACATCATAAATTACTTATTAAACATTTAGCAAAAAACTAAATTACATTAATTAAATATTTCATATAAATTGTAACCTTTTTCCGTCATTGTATTTTATGACAACTTTAATAGATATAATATTCCACAAAGGGTAGAATTCATATAATGTAAAATTGATTATCACATTTCTCTGCACGAGAAATTATTGCAGAAAGTTTTTCAACTTCATTTGGACGCAAAATTAATTTTCTATTTCAGCACATACGTAATTAATAACAGCTTAAAAATATAATAACTACCGTTCAAAAAAAAAGAGAAGACTTTGAATTCAGTTTTCTATTTTGTTTTAATGTAAAGTATATCAATTGTCCGTGCAGCTATCTTTTCCTTACATCAAGTAAATGGTTAGAACTCGAAGTATCGTTACATGTTTGTGGATGTAGATCGTCCAGGTTAGTAGAGTCTAAATCCACAAACATATCGCACTTGTCCTTGCAACTATCTTTTCCTTAGCGGACCATGTCAAGTGAATTAATCGTCAATAAACTCGTCCTTTCTCGAGTATAGCACTTTTCCTAAAGTCAAGTTTTGCAATTTTCCTTACAATTATCTTTTCCTTACATCAAGTATAACACTCGTCTTTACAATTATCTTTTCCTAAGGTCGCGTTTTGCACTCGTCAATTTTCCATACATCACGTTTTGTACTCACTCTTTAAGCTCAGCATTGTCCCCTCTATGTACTTACATACTTATTTTTTGCAGATAATGGCACCAGGTTCAACAAATCGTTAATAAAACATACAGGAAAAACCATACCTGAGCTCCTTGTGGGCCAATATCACCTGGCAAACCTTGTTCACCATCTTTTCCCTGAGAAAATAAAGATGTTTTGTACTCAACACTGTCTTTACGTTCAACTATGTACTGAACTTTATACTTACATCCTCACCATCAGCTCCTGGACGTCCCTGAGGGCCGGCAACACCTTGATCACCCTAAAAATACACACTAAATTGTTTAATTTTTTGTATATGTATAATAGTTAAATTCTGATAATATTAGATGGAAAATAGACATCAGTGAAAATATTGTAAATATAGTTGCTGAAGTGTACTCATTAGTCTTTCGAATCAATCTAAAAGGAAAACTTATAACTGCTAAGTATTGGATTATCTTACCTTTTCACCCTTTAAGCCGTCTGGTCCGGGATCACCAATAATACCACTTGCACCCTACGCAACAGATTTTTTTGCCTCAACGATTGAAAGGAATGTACAAATGCATGTAACAATAAATAGCTAGAGCCTTAGCTAACCATCTGGCCTTTAGGTCCTATGGGACCAGGTGGTCCTTGAGCTCCAGATTGGCCAGCAACACCAGGCGCTCCAACTTGACCTTGGCTACCTGCGGCACCCTAATAATATTGACATCAAGCAAAATAAATAAATACTTTGTTGTAAACATGACTCTTAAAAAGTTTCTAAGCATTACATTACCCTTCAAAATTTTAAAATAAAACAGTAAAAAGGAGGAAAATTTAGTACAATGTATGTAATTGAAAGTTCTTCGCGCCACGTTTCTTTCGCATATTTTTCCCACCAATTGATTTTACATTCGCGATTAAATGTATTTCATTATAAAGTCATTTCATAAAACTCACCACACTACCAGGTCTACCATCAACACCGTTCTGTCCAGAAGGTCCTGGTGGTCCCTGAATGGAATAAAACATCAACAAGCATATTAAAAAAAAAACAATCCTGCTTGCTACGTATAAGCTATATAATAGCATTGCACGTTTCAGCTGAGCAAATAATTTGGACTGCCGCCAACGAAATTAGTTTCTACGATATATGGTAAGTCGACAAGTGAAAAACTATAATTACCCTTGAGCCTTCGAGACCCTTGGGACCAGGAGCACCAGCTCTTCCCTAAATACATTATAAAATGAAAATATTGAGTGTCTCTTATTTACACTAAAATATATATACGAATAAATGGAATGAATGAATGAATTTTATAAATTGAATTAAACAAGATGATACGAATAAATAACCTTTAGTGGTACGAGTTTTTGTTTTTTTCATTATAATAAGTAGTTTTTTTTTTCATTATGTAGTTAAGCAACGATCTTAATCACTACGTCATTGCTTTCAACGATGACTACGTGTCTGATCATTCACTCTCTCAAACTTATCTCAGCACATTTCATTAGCTAATACAATGCTCTTTAATCACTACTTTCTCTCCTCAGCTGTTCATTATTTTCTTTGTACATTTTCAATAAAAAATAAATCTAGATTTTTTTGCTATCTTTTACTATTAGTCAATTGACTTTTTCAGTACAAATCACATCAAAATATTTGTCTTACCCTCAATCCCTTTGCTCCAACATCACCTCGCAAACCTTGAGCACCCTGCTCTCCCTGTGATGAAAAGCGAAAGATTATAAAATACATGAACACACACATGAATCTCTAGAAGATGATGATACAGAAAAATGTTTCATTTTGTGGTTAAACACGCAATCAGTGATGAATGGAAAGTTTCTTTTAACGATTTAAACAATTGTTAAACTAAAGGCAATGAGATACATAAATATCAAGAAAATAAATATAAATATAAACTTAACTGATACTTTAGTGCACATCACCTATTCACTCGTTTTTATTTATTTATAATTTATTTCTGTTATGTATCTATTATATATAATTTATTAGGTAATAATTTATTTCACTTTTTCAAAACATTTCGAGTGGAAATCATTTCTTATCGTTTGCGTTACGAATGCAAAACATACCTTGGCTCCAGCAGCTCCACTTGGTCCAACGGCACCTGGCAAACCAGCATCACCCTAATAATAAATAAAAACAAAAACATAATTTCTGCAGTAGTACGCCATAGTCATAATTTACAAAATAGTTGACATTTAGTCAGTTGTTTTGTTTTTTGTCAGTTTCTTTGTGAGTGTTTACCTTCTCTCCAGCAGGACCAGGATTACCTTGACGCCCAGCGCGACCTGGAGGACCCTAGAATATTGAATAAAGTATTCCAGTCGACAACAGAACAATAAGAAATAATCAATTTAAGAATCGATGTTCTGATTCTCTGTTAATGACTTTGAATTTATTTCTTTTAACAAGCAAAAGAGAAAATATTCCCAGCTTCTATATCATAAGAATAGGACAACTAAGTTTTGAGAAATTTTGACAACGTTATTTGAGACGCGTGGTTTGTCTTTAAAATTACAATTTAGAACGTAAACATTTTAGCTTATCCTCGAAAGTTCTCAAATTCAAATTCATTTATTCTAAAAATGAAGATCGTTTAAATTTACATTGCATTCAGATAAATTATAATACGTAAAATTCAATTGTAAAAAATGCAAGCTTTTTGCATTAAAGTTCGCTGACATTGAAACAAATTCAATAAAAAATCAATAGAAAAAGATTGTGAGCTAAACTTGACGCAAATAAGTACGTACATCAACATAACGGCCTTATCTCTACTTACAGATGGTCCGGAAAGACCAGGATCTCCAACTGCACCAGGTGGGCCAATATTTCCCTGCACACAATTAAAGTTAAGTCAAAAAGAAGCCATTATTATCTGTCATAATTGACCTTAGCACTCAGTCAATCAAGAATGTAGTTAGATTCAAGTGTTTCAATAACATCAACAGAGTTATCGTTATCATCATCAAAATAAAAATATAAAACGTACTTGATTTCCTTTCGGTCCAACAGGACCAGGAAGTCCGGAGCTGCCATCGCGACCCTAGAACAATGAAGAAAAATAATTTTACTCGCGCATTAGAAAGTTGTTAGAGACCTCTTTCACGATGCACATATAAACAAAGTTTTATAGATGAACAACAAAACAACAATTACATATACAGTCTTCTTACTAAATAAAGTAAATTACAACTAATAAATGCATTATCAAGGATTGTAACCACTATGTAAGAGTTAATATGCAATTTTCGTTCCCAAAACGACACAAATTTACTGTTTTTACTTTAAAAGAAATTTCATACCCTCTCTCCGCGTGCTCCTGGAGAACCTGGGGGTCCTGGGGGCCCCTAAGAATAGGAAAAATAATATTAGTAAGAGCAGGTAAATTAAAATGAAAAAAGACCAGAAATAAAGCAAGATATTTGTAAGAAATGAGACAGAAGAAATTTATATTTATGCATGTAAGGAAACTCGATTGGCAACAAATAAATAACCAATTTATTTTAAACACAGTCAATTGCAATGTGTCTAAAAATCAAAAATATGGTTGCAATAAATAACCATTACTCCACTGTATAGACATAGTCAATGATTTGCAATAAATAACCATTACTCCACTGTATAGATATAGTCAATGATTGTATAAAACCTGCACACACCTGATTACCAGAGCTTCCTTGATAACCTGTTGGTCCTGGTAGCCCAATTGCACCCTAGGAAATAATAAAATTACACACATAGTTTAAGCTCGTCAAAGAGAAAATATGCTGGTGTTTAATTTGAAATAAGATTGATGCCGTAATTTTAAATATAAGCTCGTTCACAAACGTCATTTATAGCGGTCAAACTGAAAAATTGAGGAATGACCTAAGCTTTGTTAGTTTTTCTGTCAAACTTTAATGTATTTGTGCGGCAGTTGAACAAAACAAAAACACGTATATGGTAAACAAAATTTTTCATGTCAATACTGTACATCCGTTCGTATTATTCACAATTATAGATGTTCATTGTAAACACTTCATATAAATACACGTCAATTGCATAAAACCAATGCAAGAGCTTTCAATTTGTGAATAAACAAACGATTGAAAATTTTTCAATGTAAATGTGTTAATGCTAACTATTTATTCAGTGCTTACTCTGTCTCCTTTTGGTCCAGGACCGCCTTGTAAACCTTCGGCGCCTGCAGCACCCTTAGAACCCTTAACTCCACGTGTACCAGGATCGCCAACTCGTCCTTGCTTGCCAGAACTTCCTTCCTGACCAACTTCACCTTTCTCACCAGGAGCACCAGGAGCACCAGCTCCTCCAGCCAGACCTGGAGCACCAGCAATACCCTATAACGTTATCTTATTAGCAAAAACATGGGAACTTCACACCAAGGAAACCCATTCAAATTAAAGTAGAATTGAACACACAGAAAACGGAAAAAAATGAAACAATGAATGCAAACAACTGACAAAAAATATGATTTAAATTAATGATAAACAGCGATAATCCTATCAAACAAGAATATGATAGTGCAGCTTACTTGTCCTCCAGGAGCGCCAGAAGTACCAGCTACACCGAGGGCACCCTTAAAGAAAATGAAAAAAGTATTGAAAAACTATTTAAGTATTGCATTGTCCACAGTTTTGAGGAATTTACAAAAAAAATTAAAACGAAAAAAATTACAGTGTGACAAATTATGTCATAAAAAGTTTCAAAACATCTATAAAAATTATGTCATTCCTTACATACAGACAATATTTCAGTGAAGGCCATATAATATATAATATACCTGTGGGCCCTTAGAGCCTCTCGCACCCTTAGCACCAGGTTGACCAGGCTCACCCTAAGAAAAAATTAATCAAAAATGAGTTTAATGTTAAGACAAATATGTATAAAAGAAAAAATTAATAACTTACAGGTTTACCATCTCTTCCATCTCTACCAGCATCACCTGCATCACCCTGAAGAGAGAAAGTAAATAAAATGATATAAATTTTCAGAAATTTTCCTTTAAAAAACAAGTTCTAAAGCATCATTTCTCCACGTATGTGAGATATTTAATAGGAACATGCTATTTAAAAACAGTCTGACTTTTTGAATAAATCACCATTACAATGGAATGTGAAATTTGCTCAAATTAGTCTTCTAAAAAAATCTTTTAATGACATATACATACAGTATCACCCACAGCACCCTCTTCTCCAGCTTCACCAACTTCTCCAGTAGCTCCCTACACAATAAAATACAGAAACCTGTGTCATTTTAAGGCACTTGTACGCTTGCAATGAGAAGTACACTGTAAGAACAAAATAGTCCAATTCAATGGTTGATCTATTTTTCATATGTACTTGTCTACACTTATGGTTAATAGTAACGCGATGCTTTTCACAAGAAAGTTGAAACAACAAGTTTGCCAACACTTACACGAGCACCCTTTGAACCTTGCACTCCCTGGCGACCTCTGTTACCAGGAAGACCCTAAAAGTAAGATAAAAACAGTTGTGCATCAAGGTCAAATAAACATATGTATGTCAAATAAACATATATATGTTAAATATACTATTATTTATGCAACATTCAATGGAAACTTTAAACATGTCTAGATAATTTTATTATCGTAGATATAATACAGCTTGACCATCAACACCGCCTTCACCAGGGGAACCATCCTCTCCAGCAGGGCCCTAGCATTGTTGTACAAGAAAAATACATTTGTAAAATAAGGTTTGATCTCCTCAATCAATAATTATTTACACGCTCGTCAACTTCACATAAGTCCTAGTTTTGATTTGGCGAACATTAGAGCAAACAAAGACAAAATAAAATAGAAGAATGCAACGGCGTAAGGTGAAACAATACCAAATTGCAAAAACATTCCTTTGTTTTTTGGCAATATGCTTTTTCTTTCGGCTATGACGTATGTTAACTTGAGTATACCACAAAAACATTATTGTTTAAATATAAAATAACTATGTCGAATGCATCGCATTCGAGGTCCGGCAGCTCCATTTGCACCTTTAACTCCCTTTAAACCAGGCTCACCCTGATAATTTTTAAACAATCATCAGGATAAAAATTTTGTTACTTGATCTACAGCATTAATTCACCAACGTCAAAAAATTGCACATTCATATATGTAAATAAGTGAACAGTTAAACACAACTATTTTCAGTCTTATCATTACTCAACGTACAGGATCTCCAACTGGACCTGGATTACCAGGATTACCATTGTCACCTCTAGAGCCCTTGAAAACATAAATAGAAAATGTTATAGATGTCAAAATAAACATTTGGACTTTACAGTAAATATTTGCTACTTCTGTATTATAATGTCATATGATAAAAAGGATGTCTAAACAAAAGACTTTTAATCCAATACATTAATAAAAAGCCCATAAAAATCTGCTTTAAAAGAAAGTTTCTGAGTACCAAATAGCAACAAATTCAAAGAGACATATTTAATTCAAAATGAGCTCACGAATATAAATAAATGAAAACAATTTAGCATATTAGCAAAAATAGGAACCATATATGTGAAGAAATGCCTATTTTATCTTATTTCAAATGATATCTTACACAAATAATGTTTATAATAGACATACCTCACGGCCAGGTTGTCCAGGTTGTCCAGGAGGACCTGAAGGTCCCTAAACATATTGAAATAGCAGTGTGTAAAAAAAAATGATACACATATTATTTTTGACATCAATTGCAAGATCTACATCGCTATACATTACATGCATGGTAAGCATATACATATATGGATTGTAATTACAAAAATTATCAACAACTTACTTGTGGTCCAGGAGGTCCTGGGACATTTACACTGGGAGAAGGTCCTTTACCACGGTTATCTTGTTCATTGTCATCAGGCTAAATATATTTATAATTATATCACTTTTCAAATCAGTTCACTAAACAGCAATGACACCAGTGTCATTTTTCATTCTTTTTATCATTAAAATGGAATGTAATTCAAAATAAGTAAATGACTACATGAAATTCTGCATGGATACAATACATACATAAATATCTGCATAGACATGAATTTTGTTATGGTGTAAAGAGACAATAAAGTAAATTATTTGAACCGGGAGTATCGTTACATGTTTGTGTAATTGTTCAGGTTGGTATAGTCCTGAGGAGGACTGTTTTGTTGTTGTTGAATGACATTTGACCAGTCATCTTCAGAGTCAAAAATGAGCTTTTCACTCTGAAGATGACTACCGCTAAGGTTGTTGAAACATCAGTCAAGAACAAAAAACAACAGTCCTTCTCAGGACTATACCAACCTGGACGATCTACATTTACAAACATGTGTAAAAAGACAGTTGTCTCATAACACAGGCAGTGTATTGTTTCAAAAGGGGAGGCTAAAGTAAAGTTATTGGTTGTGTCTATACACTGAATGACAAAAGGTACAAATATTATAATTTAGGACTGAAATTATTATTTTAAAATTTTAAAATAATAATTTTATAAGATATTAACAAGGTCATTATATACTTGTTCATTCACATCATTATTGTTGTCATGTAACTTAAAGTTCACTTGTTTACTCGATGTGAAATTAATGATAATTATTAAATTTCTCATAATTATATTAATAATATGATGATTTTGAATAGCAAATGCATATGAATAACTAATCATAATTCATTACTCAAAACCCCGGACAATTTATCATGTTATGTTGGTGATTAATAGAACAATCCAGATTTGATAGACAAAGCACCAAATCCTTCATTGAAATACATACATTTGGAAGTCCTCCGGCCGGAGGACCTGGTTGGCCAATTACACCGAGCTCCGGTTTCTCCAGGTGGACCATCAGGTCCCTAGAACAAATGAAAATAAGTTTATCACTCAAGACAAAAATGTTGAAAATTAAATATTTCTACTCTATGCAAAGCTCATTCATTCATTAATATTTCAATAAAGTTTCAATTTAATTTAAGTCTACAATTGCCATTGAGTATATAATCTATATATATAATTAGTGGCTATACTCTGTACACAATTTTGTTTAAATTGCCAAAGAAAACCTTATGTAGCTATGAATATGGAGATCAGTATGATTCTTACAAAACAATTTATGACAAAAAAATCACAGAAGTTAATTTAATATGAATGCTTTGAGTATTGACATTGTTTGTAAACATATAAAACGTATAAATTTTGTTCATTAATGTCATTTTATCATAGTAACAGCATAAAAACAAATGAATGTGAAGTTGCTATAACATTGTTGTAAATGAGTCAATTAATGCACAAAATGAACTTACACTATCTCCACTAGGACCTCGAGGTCCATTTCCTCCCTTTGAGCCAGGGGGTCCCTGTAAAAAATGATATCAAAATTAATTCTTGCAAGTTCCTTACCAAAGCAAAAAATGGATAAACTGCTTAGTTAGTGCTTTGCTTCATAAATCAATTCAACGTCCAAAGTAGAAGTCCTGCTTGGCATTTACAAGGTTTTAGGTTTTAACTATTCATTCATCAAATAAAAAGACTTCACTGAGTATAACTCTTGTCATTTTCTTCACATAAAACCATGAACTAAGACTTTTGACAAGCCCTACACACATTATGTTGATAATACCTGATCTCCCTTTTCCCCCTTTTCTCCTCGCCCTAAAATATAAATCAAATTCAAAGTTAAACAGGAGCAGAAATTAACACATGGAATGGCGGCGCATGCAATTAGCTACCAGGTTGCCTTGTTTATCGTGAATTTCCGTGACCGTGTTGTATGGTTGTTATTCACAATGTTATTATAATTTGAACACTCAGTAACAAAATAATAGATTTTTAATGAAACAATAACACTGACAAAATATTCTTTTCTATCGCACCAATAACATGGCTGTGTTGCAAGTCAAGAATTGGCAAGCAATAAACGTGCGCAGCATAAATCATTTATTTATACCATAAAGCAGTGCCTATGAGTAGTTCAACCTATGCTAAAAAGTAAACTATGTTATGTTCAATTATACTTTTAAAAAATGATGATCTTCAAATTTTTCTATCTTGTTTTTTAACAGCCACTAAAAAATGGAACTGAACAGGGACGCCGGAAACAGGGTGATCCCCCGACTGAGCCGAAGATATTTAGACTGAGCCGAAGTTAACACTTGTTGTTCAGAAGTGTCTTTAAGACACTATAGTAGAATTGAAGACTTAGCCCCCGCACGTCATATGCTGCTCTACCGTCCTTGCTGCAGAGCTAGGGCTCTTTGGCAGGCATGAACCCATACTTTTTTGATGGACAAGCAACTTATTCGTTAAAACCCATATGCTAAAACCCCCCAAGTCAATCCTATTTGATTATAAGAAAAGCTATCTGGTCTAAAAAGTGCATTTTTTATCGATATTAATTTTTTCTTAAACGACCATTTCATCCAAATGAAACACGTTGCATGTAGACGTTTTTGAGTTCTTCAGATGTTTTGGTAGAGTATTAAAAAACTTTTCTCTTCTTATATTGCTTCTTTTCTTTGCTTTTTTCATAATAAAAGTGATGGTTTTCATGTCTCGGCTATGCTGGTCGACTCATAACCAAATGCCAAATGTTGTATTGTTACTGTTAAGACTAATGTATGTCACTTTTTGTTTGCATTTTTGAGCAATAAAAGGAAAAATCCATAAACCATGTAAAAACATTTCAATATTCTACTAAAACCTCGAAACTTCGTATGAACTTTGCATGAAACTTTGCGTACGGATAAAACAGAACAAAAAAAAGAAAATCGCAACCATAGAATTTCACTTTATCCTCTATAGAACAGCAGAGTAAGATGTTTTCCACGTTATCAAATCAAATAATTAACAGAGACTTTAATCCTTTCATTCAACTGAGAAAATTGTATCAAAATTGTTACTGAGTGGAGTTATGTTTTTCGGTTTAAGTCTTTTCATTAACTTGTTGAGCACAATTATTGCTTAATCTAGCAAATTAAATGGAAAATACTTGTGCCTAAATGAAAAACAAGATTGCATTGGCACCAGTGAGAGAAATATGTCGAAAAGCAGACAATGAAAAAAGCAATGATTCAAGCTATGGCAACGTTTTCTATGTCACGATGTCTATGTCAACTGTCAAGTCTTAGAAAAAAAATAAAATCAAGCTTTATTTAAATGTCATCTCTATTTTGACTGATTGAAGTACGTATGTCAAACAATGAAAAACAATCGTGTCAAATGTTATGAAATATAACAACAATGACGGTCAAACTGTTTACTGAAAACGAGCCATAACTGGCATTTAAAGAAAAAGATTGTAAACTTTGTAAAGAATTGCGCAATATATTCTTTGCATGACTGTGAACAAGGTTGTTAGGTCAGCTGCGCTGTTTATTCATATTTAAAATTGATCATAAAACAAAGACAACGCTTGCTTTATGAGTATTGGGTATTTTTGGCATAAATTAATGAATATTCTTTACTGAAAATTTATATGACTAAAAAGAAACGTGATAAAGAAAAATGTAGTAGATATAGGTTACAGAATATGAATGCGAGCATAACTCTAACAAGGACGCATTCATGATTCTTATTTGCGCAAACAAAGGCGCATGGAAGCAAAAAGTATGTTTTCAAAATTCATCAATTTTTGCATGCAAACGCAACAAAAATTAAAGACTGTAATATAAAAAAGCCAAGTGATAAAGCGACAATTGTTAAATTCTTTACAATTTCGACATAAAATGGTTCGGTTTACTATTTAACAAAATTTCACAAATGAATGAATTTCACACATATAAATTGTTGACACATATTTCTGACTTCTTATAGCACAGAAATTTCGATATTACCTAGTGCTTACATTTTATGTGTTTAAATTTTCCATTAAATTACAAAATATGCTTTACTTTCGTTGTGCACTTGGCAAAAAATTCAGTCAGTATCATTCATTGTACGCAAACACGTACAATGATAGTATTTCTTTAATGTAATGAGAAGGTTTATTACAAATATAGGCTTAAAGCATGTTATTTTTGCTTTCACTAAGATTGCATTTCGCATCAGTGAAATGTCTTAAGAGGTAAAAAGTAATCTTACCAATTTGCGCGGTGGCCAAATTGACGGCAAATGCCAGCACCAATAAGGTACTTAGTATTTTCATTTCTTCAACTGGATGCCAAACTATTCCTCGATTTCTTATGAATTTTTAGGTGAATGGCGTTTAGAGGGACGACTAGCAACCAGATCGAATGCAAACGTGTGTGACTAGGGCCAAACACTGAAATCTGTTATGCAAAAGCAAGCAAGCTAATCGGTGTTTCCTATGAATGGCCGCGTTCAGACTACGTCCGACAGTCGGGGCGCTGACATGAACACGATATGAATAACAGCATTGTTCCGCCGCGCGAAAGAACCATGGTATTAAATATTATTAACTGGATCATATCACACTTTACGCATACTAGAAAATTTTACCTCCAAAATACGCTACATTATCAAATGCAGCACACTGATACATTATCTAAATATAATTTAAATTGTAAAATGGGTGAAAGTATCATCGTTTTGAAACGCCCAAGTTGTTGAGACACAAGATGTAGTTGAGCCAAATGAGCCGATTATTGTCTGTGATTACAAATGACATCTGTCTAACCCTGAACATATAAAGTTACCATGACCACAGACAACTATGTTCGTGATTTACTTTCATTTGTGTCAATGTTTGATATTCACTGTCAAAATAATCCAGCACAAGTTACACGGAAAAGGAATATTTGTATTGTGCGTGTGCATGATAAGTTTTCCATAGTTTACGGAGAATTTTTAGAAAATTGCAAAATGTTATTCAATTGAAAGGATATGATTATACTTATTAAAATCTTTGCCAGTTAGCATGAATAATACAAGTACAATCAACATGTGCTTTCTCTCACAGTAATTAGAAAGATAAAGTGGTTTCTTTATCAGAAACTCTATCTGTTTGCCCCATGCTTTTCATTTGCGTTAGTTCTAAAAATTGCTTGAAATTTTTAAACAAATGCAGATGGTCTCAGGGTAAACCATAATGGATTAAGACTTATAAAGTTCCAATAAATCTAGTTTTAAAATCTAGTAATAACTTCTATTGAAATCTCTGACAGAATATCCACGCCTTTGCAAATACTGATGTGTTTGACCATTTAGTGTCTTAAAATAAACAAAATATCTGCAGAAATTAGCTTAATCACAACGATGGAGAATTTCTGTGGCAAATTATGCCTTCTAAAACATGCAGTTGCAATTTACTCAAGCAAGAAGCTCTGCTACGTCTGCGAGTGTTTTTTCACATTTATTTGTGAAAGAATTCACAAAAGACTCGTAATCCTCTAACTGCATAAGCAATATATTTACAATTGGTAAAAGATGTTAGTGAAGACGATGGAGAACAAACTATTGCTTTTACATTCACAAACAAATGATAATCACAACGACAAGATGCTGCAAAACTGCGAGTTATAGGAAAGGTGTTTCGAAAGCGATAGTACTATGAAGAAAAATTTGCAACTTTTACATCGTCTTATAGATAAAAAGTAAAAGATTGCTGTAGGCAAAATAGAAAACGGGAAAAACTACTTCTCACAGACAAATCAAAGTGTGAAATCCTCAGTTGTATGTGTGAAGACATCGTGTTGAAAGATGGTCAAATCAATGTAAAGTCTACAATGGAACATGGTAATGCAAACATCCAAGTCTGGAGTTGTTTAATTAAGTTATGACAACGTCAGGAGTCTTCGCGGAACAAAAGGAAATATTGAAATAATCAATACTATTCTATTCTATAACATTAAGCAAGAAGTTATGTAGGGAACGATTTATCATATTACAAGATAATAAAGATGTATGGTAACAATGGGCGTAGGAAGAGGGGGACTGGAGGAACTTAAGCCAGTTTAAAGTATGTAATGGAGGACTTAGCATCCCTCTCGAAAAAATATGGGCAAACATTGTCAAAATCTAATACATCCTTATTGCTGTAACCTTTCCCTGAAGGACAAGTATGTGACGGAGTACCAAATGTGTCTAGTCAACTGAATGTTGTTGCAATCCCAATTCAAAGAGAAGATTGAAAGGCCTCTAGTGACATAATTCTCATTATGTAAACTTTGATAGACTTATGGTTATATGGCTAAAACACGATAATCCTACACTTCAACATTTGTGCAAGACTATATTGACTGTCAGAACTGCAACGATTGATGTGGATTTTTCCTTGTTAAGAAGAAACCAGAGCTCAATTTTGACCAGCAAAGTTTCAAAGTATTTTGCAAGGACTCCAAGAATAAAGCAGAAATGAACTTAAATTGCTTAAAAGGACAACTACCATTCAATGGACACCATTGATTGATTTAATGAAGAGCATTAACGAGTTTCTCAAATATTCAATTTTTGACATCATGTAAATTAGCAAGATCTGTGACTTTACAAACACATCTGCACTAATGTTTAGTGCCAATGACATAGGCCCATTCAGCCAGGGGCGAATTATTCAGTAGGCTAAGTAGGTTGAAGCCTACAGGCCCGCCTTTTCAAGAGGCTCATTATATTTAGACATAGTTTTCACCTTTTGCTTTTCGGGTCTAGCTAAATGTTCTAAAGTTCGACAATATACGCTGTTGGAATCTGTACCATCTGTTGTTTTAATACACGATACACAGAACTCATAAAGTAGTGAGTTTACCCCGTTCGAACTTTAAATTTTTTCCTTATTGTTTACACTAAGAGTTGCAAACAGAAGCTGGTAAAGGCAAAAGCAAGGGAGCATGAGGAACACAAATGTTTTTAGGAGACTGAACTTGTCAGGAAGAATACATATCACTTAAAGGCCCAAAATTTTGTCCTAGCCTATATATGCTCCGTAAATAATAATCCGCCACTGCATTCAGTTTGTATCCTTAGAGACTAAAAATGTACTTATCAGCAAGATTGGTTTCATTTCGAACACGTCTGTCATTGTCAATGCTTAATGAATCATAAACTTTTTCTTACCACTTTAAGAGTTCCAATGACATAGGCTTATTCAGTTTAAATTATTGGAAAGCGAAAACGTACATTTGTGTTAACGCGAAGCAAAAGCATCTTTATAGTGTTGTCCTTATTACCGACGCACAAAACTCAGATAGATCGTCTCAATCTAATTGACACTGCATGACAATACGTAACTGACAATGACCATAACCAATCCTTCTGGTTATTTGTAAAAGTTTTTTGTTTTAGGCATTATATTAATTGTACTTTACTAGTTGTTGTACTAATTGTAATCTGCGTATTAAAATGAAGTAGAATGGTAAAGTTTTCACATGCAGTTCATGCTTGCTCTGCATTTTGCACAAGACTCTAAAGTGTTTGAAAGCTGTAAAGGCGAGATAAAGCTTCAATGATCTATGTATATGAAGGCGACTACTCGTCAACTTCAGATACATTTTTTTTTTCATGTAATAATTCTTCCATTGATCGAATGGTTTCACAATGTGAAGAAATATCGATCCACAGTTTGGTCGTTACGTAAAGTACATAATTCTTTGTATCATATTCAATATAAGTTATATAACTGGGTAGTTAAAGGACCTAGTAATGTGCTAATTAATAAAATTTTCTCCTCATAAAAGCAAGCATAATTTGCAGAAAAAGTTTTAGTCAATTGTTCGATTTTAAAATTGTCAACATTAACATACAAATTGAAGGACAAATTTGTGTTGCTACAATTTTTGGGTTTTTCACAGTGGTCTATACTAAACAAAAATCAGGCTCGTAGCTAGAACTCGGGGAGGGGTGGAGGTGTATATTCATATGCTCAGTTTTGCCCAGCTAGTTTCTTTTGAAAACCAATCGTCACTTTCAAAAAACTCAGTCAGACGCGACCGTATGAATGAATATTTACTCCCACATTAACGTTCTAGCTACGGCCATAGCAAATATTTAGATGGTTTCAATTTCTTTATACATACGAGCCATCATCATTGAATCTTATTACTTAGATAGATTGGTAAAAGATTATTTTGTTTGTTTTAAATAGATTTTCACTCGATAATCAAAGTAAAGTAAACGGGAATAATTTTGTCGGTTTTTTCAGTTAGCCTCAAAACAAGTTTAAATTATTCAAAAAAGTGAGTTTCAACTTAATTTATACCCCCAAACAATTGCAGATTGGAAAGCCATGCTTAGAACACTCAATTTCAGAATAAACCACATGATCACATTATATTCTTTTTGTTGAATTGCATTAGAATCACACTTCTTTCAAAACAGAATCTCAAAGACCATCAAAGACGTTTAGAAATAATGATAAATGTTACATTATTTCATGTATTAATTTTGCGTTACTTGCCTTGTGATAATGCACGCTTACACGTTCTTGTGTTTCTCTCTAAATGTGCTTGACAGCAACGTTGACCAGGAGCACAGTCACCATCATCGTTACATGTATCTTCTGGCTCTAAACCAGTTGCTGGAGGTACTGGACATATCAATATCGAATCTACAAAATGAAAAATATTGCTGTATGTGTTTTCAACTATGTTTAGCATAGCAAATGACGCTGCGTTGCTAAACAAAAATAACTACATGGTAACAATTGTGCACACTCCCAATTATGAGCTCTCAAATCATAATTTCAAGAATTAATTTATAGAAAGAAATACGGGGCGGTTTCTTACTTTATCCAAAAATTTTCTCCCCTCCCTTTTTATTTCATTTCTTCTGGTTTGGTATTTATTCAAGTGCATGCTTGTAGCCGTTGGCGTTTGAAGAAGTTCTCAATACTCAATCTTGGAAAGTATAGCTATTATATTTTATTTATAAAACAATATTGTCATCCAATGATTTTACTAAATGTGCATAAAAAGCTTTACTATCAGTATGATTGTAAAAATCGTATCTATATAAATCGAACTGGTCTAATCTTATGCGGAGGCTACAAATTTGCAAAGTTCGTCTTGAAAACAAGGATTTGCATGATTTATACGTTGTTATTTTAGCTTGTAGATAAAGTAAAAGAGCAAGTTAATGAGATGGAATGATAAAGAAGTTTAAGTAAAACAGAGAATGTTGGATGTTTCACTCTTCCCTGACGAGGTTACATTTCACACTAACATGAAAAATCACCCTTAGAGAGAAGCAACAATAATAGCTGTTTACCTGGAAATTTTTCAGAAAGAAATCTGCATTAAATATTAAAATGGTGGAACTGTTTACATTGTCGACATGGACAGTCACATATAACAATTTTTATGATTTCTAACAATATTCAAAAAGTACAGTGCAAATGAAAAACTTATTTGATTTTTAATTGACATAATTTGCCAAATTTTTTTGTAAACAGCCACAAGACAGTGAAAAGGTAAGGAGAAGATGGCCTACTATGTAATACAAGTGTATCCCCTGAGAATGACGAGGCTAATTGTAGTCTTATGGGAATGTGAATCTAAAATCAATTACATTTAGTTTCAAAACACTTTTAATGTAATTAGATGGAAGCGCACCCAACACGACCGCAATGCCACTTGCGTGAACAAACTGCAGGTTAAAGTCCACATATAAATTTTCTTATTCTAGCTATCAAGAGATTCCCAGCACTGCATCTGAACATTTTCTTTTTAACTGAGGCATAGCAAAAATAGATCTGAAACTAACATTTAAAGCTTTTAATTTTAACCAAGAAGCATGCAGTCTCTTCATTCGACGCATAAGGGAAACATTACCTGCTGGAATATTACTATAATCCGTTTGATATTTCCAAAGTGAAATTTTTTTCGATTTCATCAGGCATTACATGAGTATATTTTTGCATTCGTTTCAGAAATGGAAAAATATTATATTTTTATTTCAAATGAAGGTAAATCTGATAATGTAGCCTCAATCTCGTGATTTTGATTTGCGTGACAAACGATTGTGGCTTATTTGTTATATAAATATACATGAAAGAAGACCTTCAGATTGGTGACTTAGCGCAATGGTGACACCTGCACTTTGGTACAAACTTATGGTTTATTGATATGTCATAAATATTTTGAATAAGACGACTGGGTTTATTTATTGTTTCATCTTCATATCTGCTGTAGCAATTCTGTATATAATATACATCACTTTTCCAGTAAGACACGCTTTAAATCGCATTAAATGCCGCCCGGAGAGATTACCCCATGGGCTGCAATAAAGCAAGCTTTTTCTTTTGAGTGGTCACATCAATTGGAAAATGTGAACCATCTGGAAAAAAGGCATACTCTCAGAAATGCACATGACACTTTGTTGAATATGAAGCAGATGTCGTTGTATACTGTTTCTGCCTAGACTCAGACTAAAACTAGTCGTTCGGAAAGAATGAAATATCTTGTCCATCATAACATATTGATGAAAACGACACCCAAAGGATTTGATTGTTTTAATCGTTTTTCACTAATTTACCAAATGTTAGATCAAACCTTTGACTATGCAAATCCTATGCATGCTGCCCAACTTGTGCGCGTGTAATCTAATATTTGGTACAGTCAAGATATCTTTCTGGGTGTAAAAATATGAAAATAGCTCAACATTCAAAAATTTTAACGAAAAAAAAACATTCAAACTTCTCAACAGTAAAGATACTTCGTGAGAAATAAAGGGAAAGAAACAAATTTGTTACAAAGAATGGTATAATTGTACGAAATATAGTGGATTCATTTTCAATTCTTCAATGTACTTCCGCTTTATTTCAGCCCCGTTCATGTACTTTCTAACATAAACTACGTTCCGTCAATGTTTTTGTTGCAACATCAATTTGATAATAACACGTCAGTAAATAGTTGACATTAAAATATGGCAAAATAAGGTTAATGTTTCACACATTTAAAAGATACATAAATTTACATAATGCGCACGACAAAACAATGGATGTATTGTATATTACCTTTGAACACTGGACACAAAACAAGTAATGCGCAACGAGTATAGCAGTTAGCTATTAAAGAGTAAAAGCATTTTTCAATGAAAATACGAACCTTGCGAGTATGTCTCCTTTATGGCAATAATGCACAAAATCAAAAATAAACCAAAGCGCGAATACATTCTTTCAAAAGTAACGTCTAGAATTTAATTTGACCATGAACTCTCGTGAGATGTTTCCAAATCTGATCTGGACAAATTACGCAGTTGATTTCAGTCAAAAATAAGTGATACTTTTGAACAACGCGTGATCTTCGGAGGGACGGAATAACAGCAAAAGCCTGTCTAAAGGTCTACTAAAATCCCCAGTGGCGCTGCAACTGTTATTGGATCTAGTCAAAAGCAACTATCAACGCTTCTTTGACTGTGAGGCTGTAAAATTATTTGTCCAACTGTCATAATGTCATTATGCATTTTCAACATAATTTAACGCGCACTCCTAATGGGATTTGAGTAACTTGACGTTTTATGGATACAACTAAAAGATTTCCCTCAAAAGCTTCATTGTTTTTCAAAATTAAAATGTCCTTAATTTAATATAAGGCTGAGATATTAAAATTTTTGTTTTTAAGAAGTTCCATCTTTTTAAAGTATTTTTATAATTTATATCATTATATGTAAATAACCATATTTTGATTCTCTAAATAAAATTGGGTGGTGTCATGATGTAAACATTCAAAACATAGATTTTCTTAAATTCAAAAACCAAAACAACGGAAAGCAAATATTTTCATCAAATGACAACTTGAATTTTTATAATAAATGAACAAAATATTTTTTATACATTTAGCGAACAAATGACGTAAAAGACAAAATTAGTTCAGCTCACATCTGCTGGAGAAGAAGCGTTAACAATACTGCCCTAAGTATTATCTCTTGTTTATTTGGATAATTTAATTTTGCTACATTGATTTGGCTTCACAAAATACTGTTAAGTAAAATTTCTGATACACAGAAACGCATTTTACAACAAAAGTAGCGTGTGCTTACCAGAGTGAGCTAAACAGCCTAGAGGCCCAAACTATATTTTGCCTTTTTACGTCATTTGCTTCGTCATCTGTGTAAAAATGATTTAGTAATCTGATACAAGTAATTTTATGAAAGTGTTATTTGAAATAATTTGCCCCCAAATTGGTTATTTGATATAACCAAATCTTTGCCTTGGAAAATAATTGGGTGATCATAACTAAGTATTATCAAGAGAATGAGAATGAAAGTATTTCTTCGTATTTATAGTTCGAATAAAGCAAACTGGAGGAGGAGACAGGACCTGCCGATCTAAAATCTTACTGCATATATGTAGTTGGGAATATTCCTATTAAAACGAAAAGATTTTATAGTCCTCGACAGTATGATTCAATTTGTGAAGAAAGCTACCCTAAGTAAATGCTAGCGCATTTATTGTTTTCATTATTTTTAATAAACCTTTATAAAAATGTTGTCATTATTTTTAATAAACCTTTATAAGAATGTTGTTCCAATGTATTCGGTGACCATTATTTAGTTGACAGTGTCGGGAAAGTGAATCATGTTTTGAATGTACATCTTAAGTGAAAATTATGACAAAAATTGATGTAAACTATGCTTGGATTGCACATGGAAGATATTTTTGTTATGTTTTCATAAATTTAAATTTGCCCCTCTTTTAAAACACGGCATAAAACCATCTCGGATTCATGGATGACGAATAAGATAAAAAAAAGTCAATGAACAATGGAGTTGCATATTACTAACTTCAATCAATCTTTATCTGCTCTTATTTTCAAAATTGACGCAGCTTTTCGCTCTCATTTTATCACAGTAGTATTAATGTTAAAAAGAAAGCATGACAGTGGAATAAAAGTAGATAAGGGTGTATTTCAGCAGATGGCTAAATTTTAAACAATATTTTATGACGTAGCATAGCATATACACTATCGACTGGCTATGGAAGTAGATGACTATGTATGATAGTAGTCAGTAGATGACTATGTAAAATAGTAGTCAGTAGATGACTATGTAGACAGTAGTCAGTAGATGACTACTGTTATATTTCAGAATATGGCAGTAAATGACAGGGTATGACAGTGGTTACGTTTCGTAAAGATACTCCATATGGTTTTATACTCTGTTGTATGTTACACTTGTGTGGGACTGGGGAAGTGTCTATTTCGCGCAAGTTTGTGTGGTGGTGACAGGTGGTCATCTTGGTCTATGGTCGTTTGGTCTGGTTACAGTGTAGAATGGTTGGTTTATGGTTATCCCTATTGTTTTTATGCTGCAAAGTATCTTGATTTTACGAAGATTTGATGTCGAAAAGTATCCATTTCCTTAGAATGGATTTTACATTTGATAATGTAAATAAAGGGCCAAATTATTTGTGTGCCACAAAAAGTTATTCGGGTGATAGTAAATTATCGCAAGAAATACGAAATGCAAGACTCAAAACCAAAATTTGTGCTTCAGACAAACATAAGAAGTATTCTGCCAAAAAAAACTGTCTAGGAAAGGCCGAGTCTGTTATGAATAAAACCAATTCAATGAATTTGAAAATATTTGAAGAAATGAATATTAGTTACATTCCTGCGTGTGTTTTAAAGCTATATTTCCAAATAGAGAGAGATGGTACAATTCCAATAAGTTGTGTTAAAACATCTAGACAAGAAGAAATAAATTCCACTTCAAATAACAAGACTAGGAGAACACAATATCAGTTGAAATCTCAATGTATTTCATCTATGACTATAAAAGGACATGAAAACCTGTCATGCAATGAAACAATAAATGTCACGAAATCTTCATCAGAAAAGTAAGTATTGCAGACACTCCACTCTTTACAATAGGTTTGATTGTAAAGGGTAATGAAATAACGGATTGGTTGTTATTGTGAGGATGCAACAGCACAATTCCTTTATCTTGCAACCTCAAGTTGTTATTTACTATCCATGTATGCAATATTCTGAAAGGTATGGAAATTGATTGATAGGGAAAATGGAGAAGTATTTGAATTTCAGGAAGATGAAGCACCTTCGATCATATGTCAGTCCTTGAGGAAGAAGTCGAAATATAGTAATCACAGTAAGTTTTGCTCAACTTTGGTGAAATAACTTCATTTATTACTGGTGTTTCAATCTTCATAGTTATTGTTTTCAATTCCAAAAGTGGTTTTTATTAAAAAATGATGCAATATTGTGCTTCATGTCTACAAACTATTTTTAGTTATTTAACTATTTTGGTCATACCTAATTTTAATTAAAGTTTGTCTATGTGTAGAAAACATCAGACAATCATCTTGAACATTGAACAGACAATATAGCAAATGAAAATAAATACAATGAAACTCATTTCATTTACTCTAGATAACAAAGCAAAACACATTGGTTCTATGGAGAAGGTTATTAGAAATCTCAATAGATATGAAAAACTGCAGTGTGATGTCTAATTTGCTGCTAATACAACTCAATAGTTTAATTTTATCAAGATAACCAGAATTTGTTATGTTCAATCTTGAGAATATGCCATATCATGAAAGATGTTTGGCTAGAATAGGGTTTCATAAACCAGAACATTATGGTGTGAAATTGTAGCTGGTCAACAGATAAAGTCCGACACACCTGAGCATTTGTCTGGGAAAATCTTTGTGTGACCAGTCATTATGACCAGCCATTTCAGTAAATCTGCCAGGAAACTTAAGATTTATTGGGATGTGTGAGCAAAAAAATATTTGGTTCATTATCTGATTGGTAAACCCTCCTATTGTTATATCATAACTTGGGGACAATGCAATTTGTAAGAATAAATTTATAGGCTGCTCCAAACAATATATGTACATACATTTTACTTAGATAAAAATGCTTGTTGTTGCAGTACATATCATTTAATCTGTTCATAATAGTTGAAGGCATTAATTATTCTACATCAAAATTGTTTGAAATTAATGTGTGCATTGGCATCTCATTCTTTGAAAAAATATTCGAAGATTTGAAGAAATATTTGGTTGAACTAATTTTTTATATATATTTATCTATTGTATGTGTAAATTGCTGCTGTATAACAGCATTGCAGTAAAAAAATCTGCGTAGGTTCCAGAGTGATATTCACCCATACAAACAGGAAATTTTGTATTAATTTGCCCAACATAAAATTCGAATTAAAGCTATTTTTTTAAAGAAATTATAGCGCAGAATGAAAGAGTTTTCGCGTCCTCTCTACTAAAGTTACATTTGCACACGCCAAGCTAGCATCATTAATTTCTCGATCGTTTAGACATTATCCACCTAAAGACTAAAGAGCGTCTCTAACAGAGAAAACACGAAAAAATTAAAAAAACACCAACGCGACCAAGACAGAAAACTCTTTGATCTCTGCGCTATGATTTCTTTAAAAAAATACTTTAATTCGAATTTTATGTTGGGCAATTGTTTTTCAATACGAATCCGTTCCCGCCTGGCAAGTCTCTCGCTAGGAAATTTTGTGATATGATGTAAAATACATTAAGGAATTAATATATTTGGCCGAAGTATGCATGACATCAGCATTTTTTAACCTCCATGCAGCTTAATGTTTGTCTTTTGGTTGGCAGAAAGTGCTTCTGGCATAAAAGTTTGCCTTGTTGAACATGGGAATCATTTATTACTTTTCATTCTGGTTTGGGTAAGCAAGCACCCATGTGAAGGTTCTCAGCCCTCAGGGTATTAAAATTTGAATGCTGATGGTCAAAGAGAAGGTTAATATGCCTGCATGCAAATAGTGAAAAGAAGGCACGCAAGTTTGACTGAGAAAAGAGACATTTAATATCTGATCTATGACAGGAAAAGCTGGCGAGTTGGTTGACCTGATGCTAAGGAAAAACGCTAAAGTAAACTATTCTACAGTAGAATTTCTGTTATAACCCAGCTTAAAAACGGAGTGGGAATTATCTGTAAGAAACTAATCAGGAATGAACCGGACGAAGTCAAAGACAAAGACTGATGTTTGTGAAGTCAGAAATTGAATGTTTCGTCATCTTTAATGTCATATGTGGTCCTCTGGTCCTGTCGCACATATTGAGTGTGATTTGAAAAAAACTACCTTAGAAGTAGATTAGTACTTACGAAAGGCAGAAAATACGTTGACATGTAAGAAAGGAAGGAGCAAATTTTTCAAATGTCAATCACATTTACATCAAAAATAGACGATGAATATCTAAAGATGAGTGACTCAGACTGCTTAGTTGTCAGTAGTGGTAGATGAGACGAAGAAAATGTAGCCTGAACCGCAGTGAACGGTATGATAGAGCAGAGAGAGTGTAGTCTTTTTAGGTAAGGAATTGTCTCGGAAAAGTGCTTAAAAGTTTTGACCATGTAGTTTAACAAGATTCTATATAGATAATAAAGGAACGGAGAAAGATACTGCCACAGATTCTCATTTGAAGAGCAATGAGAATGTGCAAATTGTAGCATAAAATTAATCAGTTACTCAAGAAAATTACGGTGAGAAATGGTGCGATCTAGACAAAGAAAAAGCAGCATGGTTTTGTACCAGATTGCGCAGTATTTACGTTTTTGCTGATTAGGAATTAAATTGCATTGTCGTTTGTTAATTTGAGAAAGCGTTTAACACAGGATGCCAAGAAAAACACTGCCTTATATTATGTCGAAGTCTGAAGGGAACAAAGTAACGAGTCACTCATCTAAAGAGGAAGAGGATGTGTTTAGGATGGATACTAAATTGCTCTAAGTATTTTCTCTAAGCCCATTTTTGTTCGCTGTATATTGGCAAGCTAAAAGTTAAGGTTAGACAGATCACCAGTGGCGTTTCACGTTTGTACAGTAACATAATGATCTGAAGATATTACAATGTACATTGATGGTAGAAAGAAACAAGAATGTAGTCTAAAGAGACGTGTGGAAAATACACAAGAGAACACCAGATCAAACAGTGAGGTTGGCATTAGAAATAAAGCAAGTAAAAGATTTCAGTTTCTTAGGAACAACAGTCTACGGACTTGGAAGATGTGCAAAGGTGCTAAAGAGTAAAGAAACATGTGTAGTAGGGAAATGTTGGAAACACTGACATGTTTACTAATTACCTGGACGAGGAATCTCATCCAAATTATTATATTTTATAAACGCGCAATATGTTGCCAAAAACATGGATCACGCAATACGTTGTACGGAAATTTTGGATAAAAATGTTAGCGGAGTTGCACAAGCTCATCCTAATAATAAATTTTCTCCACTACTGATTCCAACCAAAGCGATAAAGCACTAGTTGCACCACTAAAATACATCAACAGAACAATACAACGATAGAAAAGCAAAAACGTCGAAACGCGTTTACTTGAATCATACCCTATTGGCAAAAATTTGAGAAAAACAGCAAATAATAAGTCTTTATAGATATATATTGAGCTAAACAAAAATTGTTCACATTTTTTCATGTTTCCTTACACATATATACAGTTGGCTAGAACATGCAATAATCGAATCTTCTTGCAAATCTCTTGTGATGATTGCTTCCTCTTTACTTTCGAAATCAGATTCCTCGTCCTAAAGGAAAGACGTAAGTACTTATTTTTACATATCTTCGGCAACCCCATGAACAGTTCCCACTACTATATATCACCTGAGCCAACAAGCTTCCAAACATATCTTCAGCAGACTCCGTGTTATTAATGCATTGTTTTTGTATTGGTTTTGCTTGATTTTGTTTCAATGTTGGAACTTTCCTTTTCAAGTACTTTTTCTACCTCAATCCACGAATTACAATATCTGTCGTAAATATTAGAGCATTGCTTATGCACAAAATATGCAGATAGAAAGTTATAGAGAGAAATAAAAACATCTCTAACATTGTCACAGATATTACGAGTGGCGTAACAAAGTGTAGAGGAATTTGATATGCATTTGTAAAAACAAGCTTAAGAGATCAAGAGCAGGCCAAAAATATATTATTGAAAATTTGCTCAGCGCATCTACAAGCACCAATTTCAGAGCTCGCTCTGTCACGAATTATTTGAGAATCTGAGCATGCATTTTCAACTCCACAAACTCTCCAAGCTCATGGTAACGATCAACTGGATGTACTAGCACCAATTTCGAAGTAAATAGCATGCTTAGTACCAATTTAATAGAGAAATCATCTGCGCATGCGCTAAAGCATGCGCAATCAACTCGAGTGATTGTTCATAGTCATGACAACGATCAACTATATGTACTTGCACTACATTTGGGCAATTAGCTCACTTAGTCGCAAAATATCAAAGAAATCATCTGGGCATGCGCAGTAACGATGTCAATCATACCACAACTTTCGTAAGCCTTTAAATTTGTGTATATATATATATATAAAGCTAAAACTTCATATAGTAGATGTCAACTAGCAGTGGAAGCTGGGTGCGATATAGTATGCAGTGCCTTAGGGGCCCACACTTCGGTGGCGACCGCTCTCTCCCTGCGTACCACGGAGCAAAGCCTATCGCAGGCGATCTCGGGGTCTGATGGGCGGAAGCTTGCTATTGGCATTTCCCAAGTAGGATAGCGTGGAGGGGCCGAAATCTCCTACCGAAACGTTAACATGCGGCGTTCTAGTGCCTTGCGCTTAAAAAGGTATCTGGAAGCATGGACTGAAAACGGGGTTTTTTGCTTTCGAATTTTATCTTTTTTTTTTCATAAAACAAACTAGAACATCCAAGGATACTTCAAACGTTCAAACATTTCCTGCCGTTTTGACTTATAATTTAAACCAACTCTAAACATGTTTATACGTTTTTTACTTGTTACCTTATACAATGTAACTTTCTCATAACTCTCACGACAGCCTCCTTATACAATATCTCTCACATCATGACTGAAAACATCATGGGCTTCATGGAAAAAAGTAATTATCTATCACAAACGTCATACCCGTGTATCAATAACTGTATAGACAACGTTAAAATGTTATATCTATTTGTTGATTTGACAACAGGTTCCAGGCCCGGGCCAACAGGTCAATGAAGAACTCAATGGTGAGAAAGTTTCAGATTTGTTTTGTGATAAAACAGTATTACAATAAAAGGAAAGGTTTACAGAACAGAAGTAAGATCAGTGGTTATCCGTGAGACCATGTTGAAATTGTGTTGCAAAAAAGTATAAATGTGTATAATAGAAAAAGTCTAATAACATGGGATTAATGTATTATAATATATGCTTCCAAAGAAACTACCTCAATTTTTTATTGTAACATGTAATTATTTTCCTTTGTATATATTATAAATTTCATTATACACTCAACACGTGTTTGCCATAAGGTAAAAATTAGAAATTATATGTTATACATTGATTTTGACTACAATATATTGTGCACAATATAGTATGTATAAACAAAACAAATCGACGTAAAACTCTTGCATACGTAAACATGCTCAACACAAAATATTTATACACATTCTCTTCAAACTATAATTTCATCTTTTTCATCAAGTACGATGTCGCACAAAATCTCCAATTTATGTGTCGGACTCTTGCTGATGCTTCTTAAAAAATAACCAGGTTATTTTGCACGCCATTCTAAAAAAAATTAAACAAAATTGTAAATTATAACATGCTACTGGTGCATTTTTATTAAATCGTACTATCACAGTGGTACTTTTGTGGAAAGTTTGTGAGATATCGTCATATCGATGTAAGGAAAATTTTCTATTTAAATCACATATTTATTGAACAGAAATTTTAAAACGACAGTACACTATGACTGTAAAAATTAAAGCGTGACGTGTTGCATACGACAACTTCGATTATTACATTTATTGATGCTTGAAGTTTGATGTAAATTTTAGAATTTTTGTTTCATTGGCATTTTTAGTTACTTCACTAAACAAAGACAGGAGTTTTTGATGGTGTAAAAATAGTTGCACAACTTATTTTCACTTGTGTATCTAGCCCACACAAGTTTTGTCATACCATGTAAACTTCATATCATTAGCATGATTTATTCGTAAAAAAATCTATTGTTTTTACAGTGAGTGTATAACAAAATATTTAAGTATCACGACCACACTTGCAGGCTAAAATATTTCACACCGTCCCAGTATATCAGAAAACATTTACCTGACTTTCAAATGTTGTTGGTGAATTTGTCTGCATGCCTATACCGGAATTAGTAAAACTCCCGTTGTTGGACTCGACTGAAATAAGATAAATGAACAAAATCTTGAAAGAAATCTAATAAAAAAGTTTTATTTTCCTGCGCAATTTCGTCACCAAACTAAAGTTATCAATAAATGTTAGGAATACTTTATTGATGAATTTTTAAATCACATCAATGTGGCGGAAATATGGATTCATCCACGTGAATCAGTTGAGTAAAGATAAGTTTACCTTTGTTACCAGAATTCCTGTTTTTCTCCATAATACTTTGTTTTGATGGTGGAGGTGGTAATAGACCTGTAGATAAAGGTGCAGGTTTTGGTCGAGATACAGTTGCGTAAATGTGTTCATTCTGATCAACAGCATTTTGTTCTGACTGAGATACTTCACTATTGTTATCTATTTCAGCGAGTGGATCAAACATATTGTTGACATCATTCGACGAAACACCAGTTAAAGATCCCTTGCTTCCATACACGCCAAGGAGATCGCCATCATTTTTATGACTTTGTGCTGCATGGGACTCGGCTGCTGACATTTCAAATGGATTGGATGCAATACTAGGGGGTAATGGTCTGTGTTCCGTGGGGAACGGAGAGGGGCTTTGGATGTCAAAGGAGGATGACTCGAACACAGGTGCAGTCTTCTCGGCAAATGGATCAAATGTTTGTTGGTTGTTCTGAAAACATCAAACAATACTTTATGAAAAATATATGAATATATCGATAGTTTTTACATAGCTATCACATAGTTAATCACGTGATACGTACAAAAACCATAAGTGATAAAGTTTTTAAAAGACAGCACAGAAAACTATAATTACGTAATGTGTTTGACTTATTTCATTGATGTAATGTATCAATGGCAGTTATCGCAGCCAGCGTCAAAGATTGGAGACTTGGTTAACTTTTGAATACTTCATAATCATTCAAATGAAACACAATAGCAGCACTAGAATGAAACTGCCATAATACCGTTTTACATAACTAGTACCTACCTACACTTTTATTATTTATTTTTGAAACGCTTCTGCACGAATAAAGAAATTCATAGCACAGGTTATTCTCATATTCATATCATATAAAATTCACCTCATTTACTCGAGGTTTAGCAATGGATGCTAATGATGGTCGGGTATTCGTTGCTTGCTCTTTATTTATTTTTTCCAATTCTTCAAGTTTCTTTCTTAAGACTTCATTTTCCTTTTCTGCAGTTTCAACACGTTCTTTCATTTCATTGACATCGTTTCCTGCAACAGCCTGATTTTCTTTAAAACGTTTGTATGCCAATGTAAATGCTTGCCCAACAGCTAAGGTCAATTCTTCAGCCTATACACAATTAATAATTATTATTATTAGGTAGCTAATTTCATAAATCCTAAAACTAAAAGTTAAAAACATTCAATGGTGAAGTACAGTTGATAAAGCGCAAACCTGGGATGTTCTTTCCACCAGCCTTTCCCCATAAGGAAATAACAAATTATGAAACAAAGTAGCTAAACGATTTGAATCCTGGAATGTCGTTACATTTTGGCCGTAACCAGAAAGTTTAAATGGGGAGGGGGTAGTGCGAGGTGCAAACTTGAGACCTTTAGTTTCATCTTTCTGTTTGATTTGTAATTTGAATCAACCATAAAATGATTCTTACATCGAATTCTCTAGACCCGACCGCGCATGCTCAGAAATATTTTTTAATAGTTTTGTGCGGAGCAAGCTAGTAACTGAAAGTGCAGTTCAAGGAGATCAAATTGTTCGTTGCCATTCATATGAATTAGAACAACTGGTCAAGTGAATTGCGCATGCCCAGATGACTTCTATAATAATTTGTTACATTACATTTATAAGTAGGATATTACTGACGAACTTGCAAACATTCAGAAGAGATGAAATTGCTACTGTCAATCTCTATGCGTTTCAAATAGACTTACATACCTATCGAAATTTAAATTCTTATTGAAATGAACCAATAAAAGGGAAATAGGTACATGCACTTTAATTAAGACTGTAGAGAAACAAGCACATGATTGAATTCAATAACATGAGACGGTTTTTTTAATTGAGCAAAACAATTTCCCATTATTATATGCTGAAACTTTTGTCGGTCAAACACAGGTTTTTGTGTCTTTATTTGTTAATTTTGGGATTGTGTCCACTTGATAGAGGTTTCATTTACTATGAATTATAGGAGATTAAATTTCAGACTTTTTAAAGACTCTCTTAGTCTGCTTCACACATGTGTTAGACTTTATTAAACCATTTAAAAGCATCGTCAATCTTACATTTTTATCAGATTCAAGAATATAACAATGATGTTGAGACGATTCCTTATTCCTTGCAATAAAACCAAACAACTTCTTCGTAGCTTTATCATCAGAACAGTATGAGACCCTTTCCAATGGAAAGTTGTACAATGTAGTCTAAAACCAACAATACAAAAAAAAAGATATACATAAACTTATTTTTCAAGGTTTATGTAATACACAAAAGAGATACATAATTTATTTTTCAAGGTTTCAATACAAAACAAAGCAATACATAACTTATCTTTCATATTCATTAATGAACTACACATTCATGTGTTTTCAAATTAACCAGTTCCTTTTTTCTCTGACTGTATAGGTCAAGTGAGTAATAAAAGGTTTGACATATAGCATGTAAATAATTGTTTTTAAAACATCAAAAATGTTGTCAATTTATCAGTTAGCAGTGCATAATACATCCATGTTAATTTTTTGAAAAGATAACACATCCCATTTCCTACATTCTATGTTCCGACCAAAAATAAAATTGTAAATATATGGTACCTAGGGCAAACACTGCTGGAAGAAAGAAATACATACTTTTGTTTTTGTCTCTGTTAAAATCAGATTATCAATTGAAATACACAACTCCACTTTCTTTAGTTTGCTGGCCTTCAACCCTTCTTCACTCTTCTTCATGTCATTGGCAAACTTGAAAAAATATGGAACTTTACTACAACATGAATGACTGACTTTATAATTTATACTTTTCTTGCTGGCAAACTGATTACAGTAAAGAAATATATACATTTATAAGATGAAAATTTCCATTTGTATTTTACCTGTAATTTCTTTATAGTCTCTTTAATCATCTCTGAACCTTTTGATTGACTAACAGCCTGGTAACCCCAGAACTACAAAAATTTTAACAGGGAATATTAGCACAAAATATAGGTAACCACACAATGTGTAAAAAGAATTTTTCACTGATTTGCTGACAGTTATGAGTATGTCTATAGTTGCTGCGCTTTTCTCCAGAAGTAAATGTTGACAGGGAATTAAGAAAGGGTTAGGTTAAATGAACATATAAAGACTTTTTAGTAGGTACGAAACTAGAGTGGCTAGCCTTCAACAGAAATATAGAAAACATAAATACAATGAACGAAATTGGTTTCTGTTTTGAAATAAGTTTATGTACAGCTAATTCAACTTTATATCTTTGTTAAAATGAATACCATGGGAACTGTTAATTGTCAAAATTGTATATATTTTACTAATTTCCATTGTTTGTAATTTTATCAAATAAACCTGGTTACCAGGGCAGATTGCAATAAAGTGTCATCTACTAATGGTGTTTAATGATGATTATACATCAAATACATTACATAACACAATAATTTCGCCATGCATCTGTCGTCAGACAAACTTTGGTACATTCAAACGTAACACGTGCACAATTTATGTTTGCAATTAAAAATATTTTGATGACTAGAAAAAATGTGTTGACCTAATAACGAATTTTGCACAATATCAATACATTTTGTGAGATTCGACAATGATTTATATTCGGGCGGAATTATCGCGTTGCAATATTTGACATATGTTAAAATATTAGCAAATTACTAACCTTGCAACTGTATGTGACTTTCCCTTTTTCTACAGCCACACTAGTATGTCGCCATTTAATTTCTGAAATTAAAACGAATTTTGTTGACATTTAGATATGAACAAGTTAAATGTATCCTACGAGAATCATCGTACTCAACAATGTGTTCTTGAATACGCTCCAAGATGGACATCATCAAACAAAGGCTAAAATTTACAGCATAGAAAGTCATAAATGAATAACAAATACATAATTCCGTACCAGGTTGTTCGCTTTTTTTCTTGCTGGTTTTACCACGTTGCATTGCTTTTTCCATTGAAGAAATTAGCCGTTATTTTGATAAACGAACAATAAGTTGAAACCTCCCCACTGAGCTTCAAGTTCTTAAAAGTTGCGTGACACACACGCATGTCCCACCCGAATGATGTTTTTTTTTCATTTTCCATTGTTATAAATTTGCAAATTACCATGAAAGGTAATTCCCTTTAATTAAAGGTAATTGCTCTGCTACTTTGGTAAAATATTCACAATTCATTGTCATTTTTGAAATCAGAATGAATAATTTTTCTACAAAATTTGCCTTGAGGTGTAATTGTTTGTGCTGGCATCGTCACTGCCACCATATAATTATATACAATGTACTGTTATGCATTTTAAATTCACATGATGCTTAGTTAAAGACAGTGTCTCACAAACATTAATTATTTGGTGACAATTGAAATTAAACAGAGATGATTCTTAACAGGGTGTAGCCAGCGCTCAGTCTGTCATGCTTTGTAAGTTTTTGTGTTCAACCTTACTGCAAAAAATAGATTTCTAAACAAATGGATGACATTGCTCTGAAGTTTACATAGTAAAAACAATACTAGCAGAATTAGAAAAATTAGTGGAAGTAGATATTCCACAAAATAAAGCAGGCATACATTCAAACTTTCACTTTAATGAAAACAATAAAAGAATGGATGTAATAACCATAAATTTACATTTTTTAAACATTCTTTTGTGTAAAATAATTAACTTTAGCAAAAACATGATGGCCATCACATCGTCAGCTCCTAGAAAATATCCCAAACATTGTGAAGATCACAGACAGAAAATACTAAACTGGAACCATGGTTCTTATGTATTGGATCTATGGTTCTTATGTATTGGATCTATGGTTCTTATGTATTGGATCTATGGTTCTTATGTATTGGATCTATGGTTCTTATGTATTGGATCTATGATTCTTATGCACAGGATCTATGATTTTAATGTATGTGTTCGATCAATGGGTATGTCAGTACGTACATATTGGATCAATTTAGTTTACACCTTGCTCAAATTATAGTTATAATTTAAGCTTACCATGATTGCATTTACAATATCATTATTATTATTTTTCAATGCTTTCACAGCCTAAAGGACAAAAAAAACATTTTATTTTTTCAGGTGGAAAAATACAACATACACCAGAACTTGTGTATGCAATTTGCACACAAGAACTTGCAATCTGCACACAAAGGGGATCACCTCTTCTTTCAGACAGCTTTTACAAAGACCACTTGCAAATAGTGAAAAATGAATACAAGAAGGAAGTTGAAAACATGGCTGATACAACAAAAGGGAAAATATAGTTTGAAAGCTGGCATCTTTGTCAAAATGAAATTTTTATTTTGTAAATCCAAGAAAAATGTTATAAAAATATTGTGTAAATACTTCAGATGCAAAATTTTCATAATCTACTCTCAGGAAAAAAGACAAACAAATTTGATAAGATTTCTTTAATTTGTAATCATTTATCACTAGCAATTTTTTATGCTGGACAAAAAGGGGTGGTTGCATACACAGTTTCTGTGATAGATATCTTACCTTTGATCGAAACGCTTGCCTGTTGCATTACCAGTTCAATATCCTTTGTCTCTACACCAGTTTCATCAACCTAAGTAGTTAAAATTAATAAAATTATTAATCAGTTTTATGCATCGGACCAAATCAAAACTGACAGTGCACTTTGTAGTAATGATCATTAAATAATAAAAACTAATAATCAGTCACAAGACAATTGTGTTTATTATCTACAAATCAGCAGCAGACAGAACCCTTGCAGTTCCTGCAATTTCTTTGGCTGTGGAAGGTGGATTTTACATTATCTGACAATGGTCAGGATCTTATAGCTAAATAGTTTAGCTAAGGTTTGTTTTGTTGTCTTTTTCAGAGCAAAATTAATAAGCAAACTTCAGATTTTTTGGATGTAGCTAACATTAAATCTGACTGGAGAAACCAAGGAGACTGTTCTTTGGCAAAAAAACCCAACAAAAAACAACACAAACAATCAATAAATCATTCAAAGATTCAAGATAAAAAACGTTTACCTACCCTGGGTCTCAATTCTCAAATAACTTAATAAATAACATATATTTTAAGGCTTTAACAATAAGCCCTTAATAACCAAATAACCATCTTTACAGAGAAATAACGGACCAATGTTTTTTGTACAGACCGAGCCCATAGGGCAAGGTTTTTACAAGAAGACAAAGATCTGATATTTCTCAGTAAAGACCAGGAAAGCAAGGTTAGTAAAAGATTTATTATCTGGCATTATTTGACCTGAAACGAAGCTTGCTTTCTTTCTCATCCTTGCTATTTTTTACTGGGTGGCTTTTACTTTTCTAGTTTTCATGAATAAAAAATAAATTGTTTAAAATTGTATCATCTGGATAGTTAATCTGTTTTCCAAGTGTTTTTCTTTCAAATCACATTCGTAAATGATTTTTTGTTTCGTTTATTTTGCGTTTTGCTGTTTGCTTTACAAAGTTTGTTTACATGCAACTGTAAACAAACTTTGGACTTGATTACAAAAAATAATGGATGGGCAAAAAATTTTCTGAGCTAATCAAAGCATGCCATTTAGCCAGAAGTGACACTTGCCATATAATAATAAGAAATATTTAACACTATTCTCTATACCTCTTCATCATCACTTTCCCCCTGTTCTGCTGCTTCTTTTACTTCACTGATTTCTGACATCAGCTTTTCTGGTGCTTCAAATTTCTTTGCAGCCTAACCACAATATTCAAGAACACATTATAAAAAGAATTTCACCAGATAACCTATACTTGAACGATTTTCCTGAAAATTGTTGCTCCCATATCTCATAATCTTAAAACTCATAGGGCCACTTCTAGATCACAAAATCTGTCAAGAGAAATTGGTAACAGAATACATAGACAAACACATTTTACATGGAGGACAGAAGTATGTGAAACTAGATCTCACTCATTATATAATTTTTAATAACTGAGCACACACTACCACAAATACAGTACTGCTTAGAAGTAACTTAACACTGCGTTCGCATTCTATTTGCACTTCAAACGTGGCTTGAATGCCTCCTGAATGCATTCCAAGAAAATTTTGGGACATCTTCTGAACACACTCATTGTTGAAATAAACTCGGTATAATAGGGAAATTTCCATAACTAAACACTTGTGTAGATCGGATGCGCCAACAATGGGTTTTGATATGCTTTCCTCCTTAAGCCGAACACAATTGGAATGCAACTGGAGCGCTTTTCTGTAAACTTACTTTGAGCAGTACTGTAGTATTGAACTTGGCAAACTTTCAATTTTACCCTCATTTGTTCTGTTTGGGTTAGATCTTCAATCTAAATAATTAACAAAAAAATCACTGAAAATATTCATTGTATGATGATGTGCAACACTACATGTAATTTAATTTCTACATTCATTACAAACAATGATGTAGAAAATGTGAGATTGTTGTAAAAGTATCTCGACAAAATGAAAATCATGATGGGAAGAATATAAGTAGTCCAAGAAAACAACTTTTCAAAGGTTTTAAAAACTTACAATAATTATTCAAATGTCCCTCATTTCAGTATAGAAATAAAACAGTAACTATGGGTGGGGTGTTCAGTTTAAGAGATCAAAATTATCATTTAAATCCAAAAAAGGACAGCACACTGGTTGTGAGACAGTATAACACAGCCTTGTCTAGAGAAAATGAATTGAATGCAAATTACAAATTACCTTTGCTTCCCCAAAAACAATGTGAGTATCACCATTAGGACTTTTGTAAACATCTGGTTTGGCAATAACAAATAAAATATTCTTTGATTTTCTGATTGCAACACGAGTAACTCCAGTAACTGCTTTCAGTCCTAGTTTTTGTACAGCTTCTGAGCCTTCTTTTCACTTCGGCTTTGCTTTGCTTTACTCACAGTTTCCTCTTTTACACCAGCAGCAGCTGCCACCTCACTAACATTTTGGCTCACACCTTGAGCTTCTTCTAACTCGGGTATTTCATCATCACTATCAGTTTCAGTACCAGACCCAGCTGTTAAATATATGGATAATACAGGATTTTAAATGTCATCATTCATTACTACCATTACATTTATGGTTCTTCTTATGTACATATGGTGCTCTCATATCTCATAATCTCAAAATCATTAGGCCACTTTCCTCAAAATATGCACTTAAACTGGGGTTGGAGTACACATTACAACACAAATTTACAAAATGACAAATGACAAAGTTGAGTTTAAGTGCAAAATTTAAAGGACTTCCTTCAATTGCATGTTCAAATCATTGAGCACCTTCACTATTGGCCAATTACAAGAGTACAAACAATTGCCTTGCACACAATCCATTAAATGAAAGTGCAAGCAAGGCTTGAATGAAATATTTGCAATAAGATACTATACACACATTGGTTTTCGTGAATTATTTTGGATTTTAATGCAATTAAAATTAGCAGTCATAAAAATCACGGTTCTTTTGATCTTTATCCATCAAGGAATCATTAGTTGATTTAATAGTTTAAAGTAAAACTTTATAAAAGCTTTTGCACTTTAGATATATGAATCTCATGCTATTTCTGTCAGTCTCATAGTGAGTGTCAATAATAACATTGTCTTATACCAAATAGTAAAAATGAATATATTTGGCGAAGTTATGGAGAAGCCATTCTTGAACAAAGGAAACACTATGTACTGATGAAAAAAAGACACCTACAAGATATCTAATACACTTATAAGAGCAAAACTTTCGACCTTATAAGTCCATTAGATATCTAAAACAATGAATGTTTTGCCAAAGTTTTACATTCATGCCACAGCGACACCTGAGGGAGCAGAGAAGCCTTTCCCTAACCACCAGCACCACCCATAACTTTATAGACTATACAATTAAAAATTACAAACAAGTGAGACATGTAAACATCATGCTTCGGTCTCATTGAAACATCATGCAAGCCTATGAAGTGTCTAGATCGGTGAATTGATTTTGAAGTATTCACAAAATTTAAGCATGCCTATTAACGGTACATGTTTTCTTATACCAATCAGGCTTTTTTCATTTATTGAAGGGATACCTTCATTTTCTTCACCTGCAGCTTTTTCTACAGCAGGAGCAGTCATATTTCTTTCCGTTTGAAATAACTTCTTCAAGAAATATAAAATAAACACCACAGATCGATAGAGATTGGCAACAAGAAACCACAAGTCCTTATAAGTGTGATGGACGAACCTGGCTTTCTCACAATCAAATTTCGTAGTTCCATATAAAAAGCGATAAAATTCCTCAAATTTCCATTAAATTCCTTAAATTGATAAATTTACGACAAGCGTGGTCATGTTGCCACAAAAGCAGGTACGGCGCCAAAGGGAGGGCGTTGGTCCCCACTTTTCTCCAAGATAAAGTTTTTGCTAACATTCATTACTTTAGCCTAACACTTGAGGCAAAATAAGACGCAAGAAATTTAGTAATTTTAAGTCGTGGCCCCTCAGGTGCAAATTTTTGGCGCCGTTCCTGAAAAGTGTCTGTTTCTCTTTTCTTTGCTGTTTTTCAGTTTTTAACCTTTTATCATATTTATGTGCACAAAGCCACAAAAAATTCAACATAATTTATGTTATTTTGATGATGCTTTTATTCGTTTAAAGTAAACTAATTCAATGATGCAAAGAATCACATGATTTCATGATCTTATCATCAAAGAGCAATAAAGCTAGAAAAAAAAGGTTTGGATTTCTTATATCCTATTTATATGTTTTGAGTAAGGGTGTTTAGGTCTATGGGCGGGGAATTGTGTCAGTCGGCTTAGTTTGATTTCATTTGATACATTTTTTATTATTTGCTGCTTAAGTTAAGAAAATCATTTGTATTTAGACGAAACGGCTCATTTTAATTCAGTGTTACGTAAAGCAATCTTTAATTACAGTGTTACGTAAAGCATCCGGTCATTTACCTGAGCATCTGCACTGAATCTCACGATAAAAGTAAAACATTATTTCAAACATAAAGAGTTGTTCGTATTTATTTGGATCTGTTTATCCCAAAAGTCTAATAATTCTTATTGACTACGTATTTGTTGATTTTAAAGATTTTCATACTCGATAAGTTGATACTTCATAAACTGTAGAGTTTGTGATTTTAAATAAATCTGAAATATATTAATTACATTTTCTATGTCTGAGCCACATATTCAAACGTGCAACTTTTTCTTGATAAGTTTAAAGTTTTCTTAATTAATCTTCAATTTTTACTTGTACATTACAAAAATTACATGAATAAAGCACGTGACCAATATTCCTTAGGAAAAACATGAACGGACCAATAGATCTGCAGCATCGTTTCCAGGACTTCCTGTTATGAGAGCGATGCCAACTGGACCTGCTTTGACGCAAGATTGCCAAAATAATGTGCTCTATTTTTCCTGTTATCCTAATTAATTTCGATCCACAACACTGCTTCATAATAATAATCTTAACAAAATTTTATAATTTTCGTTTGTGTAGTAAACCAATAAATCTTTATAATTTTGACTCTTAATATGAATTTTTTGGTCACTGATTATACAGTTTATGTATAAAAAGTGAGAACATTGGTGTGATTTCCACGTATCAGCAAGATAGAAGGTAAATCTTTCGTCATCATCTCTAACCAGCTCATGTACAACGTGGGCTCAATTTTTTCACTTGGTACAGGCAACGTCATCACGATCAAAGTTGCATCTTTGCTATGTTCCATTAATAACTCGCCAAGCTTTATGTAACGTAAGCTTTTCTTCTTGTGTTCCCCATCCAAAGAATGTCCAGCAAGTTCTTCAAATTCAGTAATGCTAGATCCTTGTGGTTTTTCTGATATTCCATCAAACTCTATCACTGATGACACATCAATGCGAAACTTCTTTAACAAATTAACCATACGAATCTTAGCAACGGAAATTTCCCCTTCTTTTTGATGAGATTTTGGTGTGAAAACACGTAACTTACATTTCTTCCACAACCGATTAAGACTTAACAAGTATGGAATAAGAAGGGTAAGTCCTCCATCATCAAATAACCACCATACATCAATGGTTCCTTCACGTTTTTCCTTCTCGTATTGTCTAACTTCCGTGTCATCAAAACGCGATCGAAATATAGCAACTCCAAATTGCAGATCAAAGGCATTTTGTATTATTTTCACATAATTTTCGGTTGTTTTTGTTTCATGAAATGTTTTCCCAAGTTCCTTATCCAGGTCGTCCTCCAACATTTTTTTGCTTTCTTTATCCATCATAGGTTTCCAGTTTTTTTTAAAACCCATAAATACAGTGTTTGGTTTCATTTTACCCAGTCCTGTGCATTGTAGTAAACTCTCCACACCAACAGGAAACTCTTGGGCTTGAAACAAAATGAGGCCAATTTAATTTTCAATATAAAACTTTAAAATCCTTGCATTGTCATTACATTTAACGAGAGAAGTTACACAACATAAAACATAAAGAAATAGCTCACCTTTACAAACACAGTGAAAAGCTTTAATCTTATTTTCACGTAGCCAACTCATTGCTGCTGCCTTTTTCTCTCGTCTAATTTTTTCTTGCTTTTCCTCATCTTCATTTTCATTGAAAATTAAAGATGAAACTTCACCACATATCATCAAACCGTTATTTTTAGTGACGTTTGATACCAAGTGAACAAGCTCTTGATGTTGGTTATCTAATTCCTGTAATCTACAAAGCACAAGACATTGGGGCCGAAAATTCTTCACGTGATCATCAATTTCGTTGTACTGGTAACTCATAGAAAGTATAGTACGATAGGTGACCGCTTGAGCTGAGGAGCCCCAGTTTACCTAATGGTAAAAATAAAAGTCTTAAATTATGTAGGATCGTAACATGACACAAGTGGTATCGTCTTAATTTATCAACTAAGTAACGGTCCGATGTAAATAAGGCTGCATAAAATATTACAATAAATAGTTTTTTCATTTGGGACTACGGACTTGTTAAGATGTTAGGACATTGGCTGGTAAATCTTCTCCAATCCAATACGTGGAAATCTCTTGGCAATCAATCATTTATACAAGAAAGAATACACCAAATAATTAAAAAAGATTTGAGTTTTGGCAACAAGTCTATATGGAGTATGCTTTTTTCATAGTTTTTTTTTAAATTGTACGGTGGAATTGATTATCAACACAGAATGTTTTGTATCCAAAAAGAAAAAATAATTATTGTCATACATATGCTCAATACGTATGAAGCAAAAGATAATATAATGTAGTTTTACCTCTGGTTTTGAATACGATACGTATTTATATAAAGCCCCGATAGTGACAATTGTTATGAGAGCAGCCCACCATTGAATGAGGAACATAATGCCTATACATAAAAGGGCTCCAAACAAAGAAACCCATTTGTTATAATATTTAAACGATGGACGCCAACCGGGAGATCGACCAAGTGACGCTGCAAACACGGCGTAGTTGATAAGGGCGTAGGACATCAAGAAGAAGTTTGAAATGATAGGCGCAATAACATTGAGTTCAGCAATGGCGATAAATGCAGCTGCAATAAAGAAGACAAGAATATATGCTCGCCGTGGTTCGTTGTTAGGTCCACTACCTTCCGCAAAATACTTGATGTAAGGAAATATCTCGTCGTTACAAACAGCTTGAAAAACTTTTGGTGCTCCAACTAAACTTGCAAGTGCAGAAGATAAAGTTGCTGCAAAAATACCAACGATTACCAATGGCGCCCAGATGGAGATTTTCTGCATTACCTAAGATGTAAAAAGCAACGTTATAAACAAAGTGAAAGATTTGACAATAAGGTTTTTGATTTGTGATAGACATTTAAGAGGATTATTTCCATGGGTGAAGTTAAGGAAATATGACAAATAAAAAAAATAAAATCTTAGTTATATCAATCCTGATATCCCAGTAACGACATTAACTGAATACATCCAAAGTGTACATTACCTGAAAATCGTTATTTAGTCCATACTTGCATTCCATCATGGAACATGTCATTGTGTCGTTAATAATTCCTGTAGCATCCCGCAATGCACAAGATCCTGACATGATCCCTAAGAGTACATAAACTACCGCAGTTAGACCAATCGCAAGAAACGTTCCTTTAGGAATGGCTTTTTGAGCATCTCTCAAATCTCCAGAAATATTTACACCCGCTAAGATTCCGGTGGCTGCTGGAAAAAATACAGCAAACACAGAGACAAAATTTTCGCTGCCTGTATAGGAAGGAGAGAAGTTTTCACTAAATGCTGAGGAACTGGGACCAACGAAACCTTTAGACTTAGCATCATCATTCAAAGGACCAACAGCAAATCCAACTACCACGCTAAGCATTGCAATTAGAAGTAAAACAAGCAAAGCTAGTTGAGCCTTAAGAACCCAACCAAGACCAATCAATGTAAGACCAAGTAGTAGTACAACTGTTCCAAGACCAATGATTCTGGTGTCATTTATCAAATCAATCATGAGGGAATCATTTTCCTCCATTAAATACGTGACAGTTTCAGCAAAACCAACAACATACATAGCCACGGCAACTGCATTAGCCAATGAAAATATTAAACCAATGGAACCACCAAACTCAGGTCCCAAACTTCGTGAGATGAGATAGTATGCACCACCTATTTTGAAATAAATAAGACAGCAATGCAATGACAACAGAAATAACAAAGAAATCAATTAATCAATCACAAAGTATGCACAAGTACTTTTCTACTAGATTTCAATAGAAAAAAATGCCTTTGTTATGACTGAATATTACATTCTATGTTTTATTGATTATTCAATTTCTGAGAATGTTAGGTTCATAGTATTTTATATTGAACTCAAAATTATCATATGAAAGTATTTAGCTTAAATATCTCTAAAGTAGAAATTAACAGATTGCAACAACCAACTTAACATGTACATACTATTTGTTTAACAATCTTGTCAAGAAATCTTCACAAAACTTACCTCCTTTGATCTGTCCATTGGTGCATATAGCTGACATTGACGTGGAAGTCAATATAGTAACAAATGCTGATAGTAATATTATTACAGTTGCAAATCCTATTCCTGCCTGTCCCACAACCCAAGTTAAACGTAGAAATAACATAACACCCCAAATGTTAAGTAAACATGGCACAAGAACACCTTTAATCCAACCAAATTTTGCTTGGATAGGTCTGTCGTTAGTTTGAGTTTGTGCAGATTCATCACCAGGGACTTTTGACTACAAAGAAGAATCATAACTAATATTAAATATAGTTCTTCAACTAGTGCTCTAGTAGTTTGACAATTTACATAGAACCATATATATGATTAATATTCTAAATACTATATCCTCAAGAGAGTATTTTGACTGAATCCATATAAAGGCTCTTGAATGTATGTCATCCAGGTTAGTACAGTCCAGTGAAAAAAAATATTGTTACATGTTTGTAAATGTAGATCATCCAGGTTGGAAGATCATCCTGAGAAAGACTGTTTTGGTTGTTGTTGACTGACGTTTCGACAACCGTCAGTCGGTAGTCATCTTCAGAGTCAAATGAGAAGTAAACGTCAGGTTAGCCGTATTTGTTATCTGATTCTTATGTCATTGTATTGTGTGTACAGGAAATGTGTATTGTCATTGTGAATTAGTGTGAAGTGAAATATTTTTAGTTGTGAAGTGTGATTTAGGTGTGATATTTTTAGTTGTAATGCGTGGGTGTCAATTGTGCATTGTCACTGTGAATTAGTGTGAAGTGTAATATTTTTAGTTGATCGTTTGTTTGTATTGTGAATAAGTCGTTTGTAAGGTGTGGGTAATTGCTGTGATCTGTTCAGGGGGGTTTGTTCCAAGTTGGTATACCAACTTTCTAATGTAAGCCATTGTCTATAGTCAGTACTGTAAGTAATGCATTTTGCCAAGTCCCAGTCAATGTTGTGCTTTGTGATTCGGTGATGTTCGGCAATGTGATTAGTTTTGTCTTGTTGTAGGAACATCAAAAGTTGTTGGAACATCAGTCAACACCTTGACCAAAAATTCCTTCTCAAAAGTCATGACTATACAAACCTATGCTCTCTACATCTATACACATGTAACAATATTCCTGGTTTCAAACCATTCACGTTAAATCACATATGCTATATATATATATAATGTATTTACCATATATATAATGTATATATTTAATATATATATAATGTATATATATATAATGTATAATTTAGAAAAGTGGTTATCTTCTTGAAATGGAGCAATGCTTATTGAAATACTAATGTATAAATAAAAACAATTGATATACTGAAAACTACACCATTCTATAACTCTATTTCTTTTAGTGTATACAAGGCAGAAAATTTCGTGTGTTTAATGTTACTTCGTATATTCTACAAGCATTAAAAATGTACAGCTATAGTCCAGTATGCATGAAGTGATATAGGCAGAGCTAAATATCGTACGTTTGAATCAACAAAGAACTTTTTTATTAATCTTAAGTTTTAGAGAAATATAGCAATTAAATATTATTTATAACATGCAAACACAATGCCGGACTATTATTTCAATGCTTTTGTCAAACTTTTTTTTTAATTCTTTCAATTACGCAATGTGGTACAATAGAACTAAATATAAGGCAATACAAACCTCATTTTCTGGAGGGTTGTTAGAGTCGAAACCTTTCCTAAGTTCATATAAAGTTGGTCTAGCCTTTGCTTTAGGTTTCCCTTCTGAATGGGAATTCTCATTGCGATAAAATACTGTCATAGGAATAGCCTCATGAGTCTGATATCCAATAGTATTTTCCGCCGTGTTATGATGATTTCCATTATCCACTCCGTTCAACAGTTTTTCTTTTTCGTTAAGTTCATCTAGTGAAGAAACAGCAGTAACATCAAATCGTTTATTGCTTGATTGGTTCGATTCTTCTGCCATATTTATTTAGCGATAATCCACAGAGCCCTCTGATAATCCACACTGCAAATTTACATTTCATTGCACTTTCAGACTTTATAAGTAATCTTAAAATATAGGTACGCATCGCGTGCGTACACAAATATATCAACAAATTTGCATATGTAATTACTCAAATATACATGACGTATACAAAAAGCGGGGACTGATTTTGATGGAGGGGCAGTGGGTGTTAACTCCCGAAAATTCTTTAGCATCACCCCAAGAAAAACCCATAACTGGTGTTACGTACTGCGGCAATTAATATAAAAGTATTAGAGGCTATGAAATTGTACAACTAGACTAAGCAAAGGTAAAACTTCTCATTTCAAAGACAATGACATACTACATATTTTATACTACAGCCATTTGCAATTGACTTCTACCATGCGTGTTTATATTGAAACATTAAAATTTAAATATATTACTAAACGCGCATTCGCTTTCAAAATAACATAAAATTTCTTTAAATAAACAAGCTAATAACACTTTCTCACTCATATGTAAGCCTAAAAATCCACAACAGCCCGACGCCCTTGCAACTTAAGCTATGACAATGATGCACCCCCTTGTAAAATATGCTTCCATCCTGTCCAATGAGCATTGATCCGCCCCTGAAAAAAGACTTTAGAAGTTAATCAATTGTAATGCTTAATTCATCAATTCATTAATCTATTTCAATGTCTTATCATACTGAAGCATTTTGTGTATGTTTGGCTGTTAGTAGTTTTGCCACATTCCCAGATCTGAAGAAGAGAAATTTCTATACTTGTTACAAATAAAAGTAATACATGCACGTAGCAAAGCTGATAATATTTTATGCAACCGTTGGCTTTGCATAGTGATAGGCAGTTAAACTATGAAAATAGGTAAATTTCTAAAAGTCTTCTTTTTTGATACACTCTGTAATTTTGTATGTTAAGTCGTTTTCATAGGATAAATTGTGGAGTTCTGCAAGCCAAAAAACCTAAAAAATTATTAACTTTTTCCAAAATGTATTCCTCCGTGGTTTTCGAAAGCATTGGTATCAATAAGATAGATTGCATAATGGCAAAGCCTCATAGTTTTATTAGTCATAGAAGCTTTATCTTCAACGTTGTATTATTGTCGATTTCAGTTAACTTTTCAAATGGCGGTTGCCATGTTACTTTCTAATGTTGCCAACTATATTTCCAAATATGGAATATTCGATATAAACTTGTCAACTTGAGTTGACAAGTTGTGTACTTGAGTACTGAAGTTGTGAACTAAAGTTGCGAAGTACTGGCAAACGCGAAAGGTCTTTGTACCCTGTAGACATTTGGCAATGAATCCGTTCAGTAAGCAAGGAAAAGCTTTACCAATAGAAGTAAGAAATGAAATACTTGAAAGGTGGTTAAATAACCAGCGTTTGACAAACATTTTGAAACAACTAAATCTACCGTATAAGGCTATATCAAATATAATAGATCTATGGGTAGACACTGGTTCTACTGCACCTCGCTAGGGCGAACGTGATGTTCGAGCCACGCGTACAGATGACGTTATTGCATACGCTGAATATCTAAAAATTAATAAACCATCTATTTACGCAAAAGAGATTCAGCAACACCTAGAAAATATCAAAGTTTGCCTTCCAGCAAACATACCTAGCAGGTCATCCATTAGTAGAATTTTGAATAAAGATCTTGGTTACTCTTACAAGGTAATAAGTCAAATTCCTCGAGAGACAGAACGGCCGGACGTTATGGAGAAGTTAGAAGCTTACGTAGCAAATATTTCATTGATTGATTGCAACCGTAGGCATTTCTTTGATGAGTCGTCTGTAGTTGTTACGAGTGGCAACAGACGTTGAGGGCACAGTATGCAGGGTACTTCTGCATTTAAAATCCAACGATACTCTTCTAGTGCCACATTTACTGTAATTTTTTTACTTAATGTAAACGGCGTATCGCATTATAACACTCTTAGAGGGCCGTCAAACGAATTAGAATTGCTAAAGCTTTTCCTTGCTTACTGAACGGATTCATTGCCAAATATCTACAGGGTACAAAGACCTTTCGCGTTTGCTAGTACTTCGCAACTTTAGTTACAACTTCAGTACTCAAGTACACAACTTGTCAACTCAAGTTGACAAGTTCATATCGAATATTCCATATTTGGAAATGTAGTTGGCAACATTAGAAAGTAACTTGGCAACAGCCATTTGAAAAGTTACCTGAAATCGACAATAAACAGTAATTGTTATGTAAAAACAGTAAGTTAGAGTAAAAGTGTACAGCATGTATCATGGATGTATTATGTGTGAAGCTTTACTCAAACTAAACTGCTAAGAATTAATGATTCTCTTGAGAAGCTTGAGAAGCTTGACGCATAAACCTATAAATACTTGAGTTCTATTTTATGCATGTCCCCGAACAAAAGTAAATTTTTATCTTTTTTATTTAAATTACTAAAGATTGTATTTTAAAAATAGTTTGAATTTACTACTACGTGATGTAAACAGAGGAATACTTTAGCCAAGCAATGTGAGAATGTTCTATTTTTTTCCCCTTCACGTACAGCTCCACATCAAGGTTTATTGTGCTCGGAATATAAACTTTATCGATACAACAGAACGAACGCATGTTCATAAAAAACTATTGAAACTGGCTTTTATACATAGGATTTTAATTGCAATCAACAATGGAATTCTTTCACTAAAAAGAAAGAGGCTTCATCATCAATATTTATTAGACTATACGCAAATTAATAATGATTCAGAATGCATATCACTTGGAAGGAGTCGTTGACATGATATATGACCTTATTCCAAAAACAGCTTTCGTTCAAACTTTATATTTTCATCATCATTTTATCATCATCAATTTTTAGTACAACCGTTGAGCACAAAATATTCATATTAACGATTATAACGTAAATAAAAGTTAGAAATGATCGATTGACTTAAAGTTGTGCGTAGTTGCCAAGTTCACAATATACAATATGTTCATCTCTTTCATGAATTTAATATTTCGATAATTTTCTTGCATGCCATTCGAATATCCAAACTATTAACTATGTTGTAATTTTGACGAGTGCTCATAGATTGGCCACTGCTGTCAACGGGCATTACAAATAAGCACGTCAAATATTACTACGTTCGTTTTCAACATTTGGCAGCATTCAAAAAGTTTTTGTTGAGTAAATAGCTATCTTATAGGTCTCTTCATACTTGTAACGTATAATACCATTGCTGATACTTATGGTGGTTCTAATGTAAGTTAAAAATCATATACGACATTTCGGGTAATTGACTAAACCGTTTATCTTACTATCAATGGTAATATCCTTTAAAAAATAAAACATCAAACTAAAACTATGCAACGTTGATCCACAGTAAAGCCCAGCCAAATAATCATCTAAAGAAATCAACTGGGCAAAAAACTCTCTTCTATCCAAATAATCGCTTGCTTCCTATAATGGGTATAATCGCTTGGCTCGTGCCTTTTCGTTGAGAGGCAGCTGAGAAAATTGAAATTATTAGATAGAAAGCGAGCTTCAATTTCCAAACATGATGCAGCTCCTGATTCAATTCTGCTTCTTGCGATCAATGTTTTAATGCTAGGAATAAACGATAACTCATCTTTAAAGTTTCAACCAAAATTTTAATACCATCGGAAATATCCAGTGCATAAAAATCTTAAAGGTAGAATACACATTTACTATTCTACGAATTAGAAAAGTTCAAAACAGAAATTGTTCACAATCTATGTATAAAAAGTGAGAACATTGGTGTGATTTCCACGTATCAACAAGATAGGAGGTAGATCTTTCGTCATCATCTCTAACCAGCTCATGTACAACGTGGGCTCAATTGTTTCACTTGGAACAGGCAACGTCATCACGATCAAAGTTGCATCTTTGCTAAGTATTTTCATCAACTCTCCAAGTCTAGTAAAACGATAAGAATACTTCTTCTGTTCTCCATCTGCGGAATGACCTGCCAGGTCCTTGAAGGCTTTCATATTTTCATCGCTAGGTTTGTCGTAGATCCCCTTGAATTCTTCAACGCAAGATACATCAATACGAAACATTTTTAGAAGATTCACCATGCGAATTTTACTAGAACTGATCGATGATTCTTTGCTGTTGCCTCTGGAGTAAATACACGTAGTTTACAACGTTTCCAAAATCGGGAGTGACTTAACAAGTATGGAATAAGAAGTGTAAGTCCTCCATCATCAAATAACCACCATACATCAATCGTTCCTTCACGTTGTTCGTTCAATATACGCATTCCTTTCATTTCTTTATCGAAGTTTGTACGAAGAATGGCTACACCGAAATTATGATCAAAAGCGTCTTGGATAATATTCACATAATTTTTTGTTGTTTTGTTTCTTCCATTGTGATTTTGCATCATTTGACGTTTCCTCAACAATTGATTCTCGCCAATTTGTCTTGTAGCCCAAAAACAAAGTGTTGGGTCTCATTTTCCCAAGGCCTGTGCACTCCATAAGACATTTCACACCTTGACGAAGGTTGCATGCTGAGAAAATTGAAAGCATTTTCATATAAAATGTATTTTTACAACCACAAATATTGCAAAATAACTTTAAATTGATAATATTAACATAAAATACAAAAAGATAAAAAGATATTAAGCCGTAAGTGAAAAAACAGTCATAAAAATTCATCACAATCAAAAAAGATACTGGCGATTCAACTGATGTAAAAAAATGGCAAAAATTTAAATACAAAACAAATCACCATTGAAAGGCCAATATGCAGTTCTTTAATGAGAAAGTAGAAAAAAACTGACATACGTCAGTGATGCAAATGTGTAATGTGGAAGTCAAAACAACAGAGTTACGCGATCATTTCTCACATTCCGAATTAGAACATACCTGTAGCAATAGTATGAAATGATTTGATCTTATTATGTGTGAGCCAAGCATTAACATTCTCATAATCAATATGATGTTTACTAATGGTGCTTTCATCTTTAACTTGACCACAAATCATCAAGCCTATGTTCTTAGTGAAATGGGACACCAAATATAACATATCACTTTGATCATCTAAGGAATCCATGAGGACGAGGCACTGAGGGCGAAAGTTTTTCACGTGATCAGCTACAGCATTAAATTGATAGCTCATTGCCAATATCGTTCTGTAGGTAACTGCCTGAGTAGAGGAGCCCCAATTTACCTGAAAACAACAAAAACAGCATCATAAATACTTAACGATAAAAACAGTATTGGTGTCTTTTCTTTTGAGAACACCAAAGACTTTGAGATGAGCTGGAAAAAATCAGGTATGGGCTGTTTGTGTATTTATACCTGTGGTTTTGAATACGATACGTATTTATATAAAGCCCCAATAATGACAATTGTTATGAGAGCAGCCCACCATTGAATGAGGAACATAATGCCTATACATAAAAGGGCTCCAAACAAAGAAACCCATTTGTTATAATATTTAAACGATGGACGCCAACCGGGAGATCGACCAAGTGACGCTGCAAACACGGCGTAGTTGATAAGGGCGTAGGACATCAAGAAGAAGTTTGAAATGATAGGCGCAATAACATTGAGTTCAGCAATGGCGATAAATGCAGCTGCAATAAAGAAGACGAGAATATATGCTCGTCGTGGTTCGTTGTTAGGTCCACTACCTTTCGCAAAATACTTGATGTAAGGAAATATCTCGTCTTTACAAACAGCTTGAAAAACTTTTGGTGCTCCAACTAAACTTGCAAGTGCAGAAGATAAAGTTGCTGCAAAAATACCAACGATTACCAATGGCGCCCAGATGGAGATTTTCTGCATTACCTAAGAATATAAGGGGAAATATTTGGTTTCTCAGATTTTTGGCAAAAACATCAAGAATTAGAAAATTCGTGGATAAGCATTTCTTATGCAATATAAATTGTTAAAAGTCATGCCCCAGCATCGGTTTTGTTCAAAATGGTTAAATCACACGTACCTGATAGTCATTATTCAAACCATATTTGCATTCAGTAATAGCGCAAGTCATCGTATCGTTAACAAATCCTGTCGCATCCCGCAAAGTACATGACCCTGCCAATATTCCCAAAAGCACATAAGCAATTCCGGTAATTCCAATCGCAAGAAATGTTCCTTTAGGAATGGCTTTTTGAGCATCTCTCAAATCTCCAGAAATATTTACACCCGCTAAGATTCCGGTGGCTGCTGGGAAAACACAGCAAATACCGAAAAGAAATTCTCCGCTCGTGTAACCAGAAAGAGATTTTCACGAAGCAATGACGAACTACGACCAACGAAACCCTTAGACTTGATATCAGTGGTGAGAGGACCAGCAAAAAATCCAACTACCACGCTAAGCATTGCAATTAGAAGTAAAACAAGCAAAGCTAGTTGAGCCTTAAGAACCCAACCAAGACCAATCAATGTAAGACCAAGTAGTAGTACAACTGTTCCAAGACCAATGATTCTGGTGTCATTTATCAAATCAATCATGAGGGAATCATTTTCCTGCATTAAATAAGAGACAGTTTCAGCAAAACCAACAACATACATTGCCACGGCAACTGCATTAGCTAATGAAAATATTAAACCAATGGAACCACCAAACTCAGGTCCCAAACTTCGTGAGATGAGATAGTATGCACCACCTATGATGAAAAAGTGAAAAATAGTTACTTTCTAGAAAATAACACGGATAAGAAAAAGGGGATTATTGTACAAAACGAGGAAAAATTTCAGTGTTGGTAATTTAATGGATTGTGGTCTAAATTAAATATTTCTATGAGAAAGAACCCAAGATTTTAGAAATTTGCTAAAACGAAGTAGATCACGGTGAATTTTGAGTTAAAATAGTTAATTTATTTTAATCAGCAAATTTATACATTACAGCGAAGAATATATAAGCCAGACTTTGTATAAATTATCACAGCTTTTAATACCTCCTTTGATCTGTCCATTAGTACAAATAGCTGACATAGATATGGATGTCAATGTCGTGACAAAAGCTGAAAGCAGAATTATAACTGTAGAAAATGCTACGCCTGCTTGGCCGACTACCCAGGTTAAACGAAGAAAGAGCATAACACCCCAGATATTCAACAAACATGGCACGAGCACGCCTTTTATCCATCCAAATTTTGTGGCTGGTTTTGTTGATTTGCAGTCTATTTTTCCAACTTCGATATCTTCACTTGGAAATTCTTCGGTCTTAAAATAATTTATCGATTAAAAATTCATTACTTTGTAGTTACGTTAAAACATAATGAACTGTAATACTGGTTACATTTCATATAAACACAATATAAATTCTTTCGGCAAACTTATGTCATCCTCAGTAGATACATTGTCAGTGAGTAATGAGTTAGTCATCTTTTTATATTTTATTGGTATATGATACGTTTTTGGTATACTTTAGCTATTCAGTGCGTGACTAGTCAAAGGTTGGCCAGTCGCTATCATTTGCAAAGTTTTGGATAGCACAAGAGCATGACGGTCAGTACCGTGACACGCCTTTTTTATAAGTAGGATACACATTATGCCGAGGGAAGACAATTTAGATCCACAAATATTCAAAGTTACTTCACCCAGATCACAAGACTCGCTCAATATCATTTCTACACAAACTCAAACTAGCTTTACTTTTCTTGTTCATATAAATTCTCTAGAAATTTTACCAAGCTGCACGGAATTTAGACTCTTCTAGGCTGTCGTGCGATTAGGCCCTAGGTAATTAAGTTTGAACGTTGTCGCTGATTTTATTTTCAAATAATCATTGGTAAATTCCGTTGTTAAAATATACTTTATGGAGCTGCCAACGATAACAGTTACCATGCCTGATAAATGCATGAAATATGAAAAAAAAAACACAGGAAACAAAAAAGTGGAACAGTTGCATCATGTGCGGGCATTCATTGTTAACGGTAATGCGCAAAACAACGAACTTAAAAACCTTACATACTTTACTTTGCGAATCATTATCCGTGTCACCATTCGTTTCAAAGTTCTTTCTCAACTGATCGAGTGTTGGTCGAGATTTAATGGAGTTTTTACCACCGGGAAAATGGCGTTTCGAAGAATCGTTTCGGTAAAAAAATGTCATTGGAATAGCTTCATGGGTGCCATTATCCTCAACAATATCGTCACCTATGCTAGGGGCAATGGATGACTGTGTAATATTGTTTCCGATTTTTCCTTGAAACGTTTCGTTTTTAGGTAAAACCTGAAATATTTAGATGCAGTCACTTACAAAAAATTCCTGTTGAAATGAAATGGGACATTTCTGAGTTTTTTTTGTTTTACCTGTGAAACATTAAATCTTTGATTCGGTAAACTTTCGCCTTCAAGATTTATTGCTAAATTATCCATTTCAGCTGAAATAATGAAAAATGAACAAATAAATGGTTATCAATTTCCATCGTTTTTCAATATTTAAGATCAGTTAGTAAATTACCTGTAATCTAGCTTTTGATAGTGAATTTTTTGCCTTCAAATCAAAACGTAGCGACAATTTATTGAAGTGCTCGACTTGCTAGCAAAAAAAAAACGTTAAGAAATTATTTGGCTGAAGTCCAAAAACATATTTTCAACGGAGTGGTGGTAGCCATGTAACATAAAAATTACCATTGAAACTTTACTTACCTTGAATAAGATGTTCTACGACAAATACTTGCGACAATAGAGAGAAAATATACCAAACCGATTTCAGACTTTTCATTGAATATTATATCGTGGTATTAGATGATGTATACAATATTAAAATTAGGTATTTTGAAAACACAGCGATATTAAGCAACAACATGCTTTACTGCACGATTATGAAGTTACATAGTATATACACGTACAACTAATGCATATAGTCAGCAACTCTAAAAATTCAAAGCCAACCAAAGTAAAACATATTTCGGGTTTTGATTAAAATTGGTTATCTGGCTGGTCGCAACAATATGTTTACCTGTGAAAGCTTCTTTTCAAGAAGAGCTTTGATATCCGCCAAACCAAATAATAAATCGATAACTTGTAAAACGAACTCAATACAAATTCAATAAATTTCCTAAACACCAGCAAGCGTCTCAAATTCAAAACGAAAAAATGTAGCAGACAAAACCTAACAATCAATACACATAGCTGATATAACTAAGATTTTATACCGACTGACTTAGTAACCTGCGTGCTGACGTGCAGTAGTTATTACATAGATGGACACGCAAGCTTTCAATATGCCTTCAATATAAAAGAGGCGGTCAAACGACTATCTTAATCGCACTCGCGTCTGAACTTTGCTGATCAACACAAAATCATGGCCTCATGGCCATTCGTTCTTCATATGAATTACAGAACGAAGGCAAAAGCAATTGGATCAGAGAAACGCACACGTTAAGCTATATATTACCTACTAAAATACGTTCAAAAACTGCTGGTTTTTTATATGTTAAAAATCGCTTGATTGTCCTGGCGAAAAACAAGGAAACACCTCTTAAACATGATTGCTAGTTTCAATAATTGGCTGGTTTTTCTTAACTGTGCGAAATCCAGCGAAACCTTGTTAGTTCATTCATTCTAACATAAAACTATGCAACACGTGTCAAACCATAAAACTGAAAATTATAACAAATGCAGGCAACATTTAATTGTAAGTCTACAAAAAACAACAAAAAATATTTGCAAAAAACACTGTACGACTAGAACAGGAAGATGCAACACAGAAATGATCAATGTACCTGTAGCTGTAGCAAACAAGTTGGGTAAATCAGTCACTTCTCATATAATGATCTTAGTTCCAAATTCAGGCAGGCAGCCAGTTCGAAACAGCACGCAAATGTTCACTACACACGAAAGACGTTTAATAACGTAAAGTAACAACTGAAGATTACTTCGGAATAAAAATTTCCCAAATAATTTTTCGCTAGTATATTGTGTCAGAGAAAATCACTTATTCTTCAGTCGTTGAAATGCTTAAAGCTTCACACATTAGACCCACCCACGTAAGAATGGCATTGTCGTTTTTTCACCACCGAAGTTGAATCAACCAATCTCTTTTGAAATAAAAACGGCAAAGCTAATTAGCTACAGCGACCATCGTTAGCTGTTGTTTTGAGTCTTTCCTGTTCTAGCAAACAAACCAAGTGTGACTAACGATTTACTTAAAATTCTGATTTTTATTCCATTTTTTTCAAAAAAAAAATATTAAACGCTACATTCTTTAATCTTCGTCTTCAGAGTCGGTTTCTACAAAAATATTGAAAATCTATCAGTTCAAAGGAATCTATTTAAAGCACGGAATGACTACTGCACATCCGATCACAAATGTAATAAGGACAGTTGATGGCCTGTAAACAGTTATTATTTCCATAATCTATTGTGTCTCTTCAGTAGTTAAAGCAAATCAGGCTGACAGTTGACACGTTTTCTGATTAAACTATCGATAAGAGGAAACAACTTTGTCATTATTTGTTGACGTATATTAAGACATACAATAGGAGATATGCATACATGTTAAGTCTTTCTTATCGCAGAAAAAGTCTGCTTCATAAAACCTGGAAGGCCTTCAGTTGACAAACAGTTGGAAGCTTTTTACTGAATGCTTTAATAGTAATCACCAGTGAGTTCAATACAACTACCTTCTTCAGCATTTTGAAGCCATTCAACCATTTTCTTCATCTGTTCCAAGAATACACTTTTTCCTTTGGCAATGTGTCCGTCTTTATACCATTTAAGTACGGTGTCTTCGCTTAAAACATCCACTGAAAATATAGAAAACAAATTTTATCATAATTGCACTATCTAAAGGCAGAGTATAGGGATTAGGGAACAAACAGTAGAGCTATTTTATTGATATTTTTTGTTCATTACAACGCATGTGATTACAATAAATCGCAGTAAGTAATCAAAGTAAATATACAGGATTAAGTTAAACAGCACAGTTGGTCTCACAGTTGTAATGTAATCTAGGTACGATTCTCTACAGCCTCAAAGTCAAATTCACTTAAATTCACTTGTTCTTCAGGCAAGCGATAGCTTGTGCACCGCGTAAGCCACAGACAGTTACGCCGGAATATAAATTTACTTACCAAAGTGGAATTATTTATCTTAATACTGACAAAATGTCTGAACTTTCCGCATGTAAAATTTGTAAACAACTTAAATCGCTGCTGCATTCATTTTTTGTGTACTAAAGATAATAACGTAACATTATATAGCACGCATTTCATACAGATTATGTTCTTTGTTAAATTATTTAAGTCGTAACCAATGACCTATAACAATTTACAATAACTTTCAACTTCCAGTGGAAGGAATTCAATAAATTTATAAAATTCATATGTATACATAGTGGTCTGTGATTTGGCAGAGAAATGTCTAAGAGCTGTGGTCTAAAACAGTTTGAATCAATAGAAAAAAACTTGCTTAACCTAGCTTAGCTTGTTGAAAACGGTTGAGCAATGACCGTTGTACTTGATATTTACAACAAAAATTTAAAATCATTGACAATGATAAAACAATGCAAATAAACACAGTGCTTCCATTTCGAAGAAATCTATCTCATGGCATATCTTGATTGTCACTTACTTTTGTAGAGAAGGAGGATTATCTTTTGAAAAACTTTCATGAAATTCATGTTTTCATAGCAGAATTCCTAAAACATAATAAAGAAAATCACAAAAATGGCAACGAACATTGTGTTAATCATATATTGAGCAGAGTGCAAGAATGACAAGAGCATCCATTCAAGTCATGGAAAATAAGAATACAATTTTGGCAACGAACATTGTAATTATCATATATTGAGAAGAGTGCAAGAATGACAAGAGCATCCATTCAAGTCATGGAAAATAAGAATACAATTTTGGCAACGAACATTGTAATTATCATATATTGAGAAGAGTGCAAGAATGACAAGAGCATCCATTCAAGTCATGGAAAATAAGAATACAATTTTGGCAACGAACATTGTATTAATCATATATTGAGAAGAGTGCAAGAATGACAAGAGCATCCATTCAAGTCATGGAAAATAAGAATACAATTTAATAAATTTATTAAAATGTCCACGGTTATTTCTGTTGTCATCGGTTTTAAAATCTCTATGGTTAGCTTTACGTACAAAGTTTGAATGTCCATAGTTATCTTGTTTTCATAATGTATGTCCATAATTATCTTGTTTTCATAATGTATGTCCACAGTTATCTTGTTTTCATAATGTATGTCCATAGTTGTCTTGTTTTCATAATGTATGTCCATAGTTGTCTTGTTTTCATAATGTATGTCCATAGTTGTCTTGTTTTCATAATGTATGTCCATAGTTGTCTTGTTTTCATAATGTATGTCCATAGTTATCTTGTTTTCATAATGTATGTCCATAATTATCTTGTTTTCATAATGTATGTCCACAGTTATCTTGTTTTCATAATGTATGTCCATAGTTGTCTTGTTTTCATAATGTATGTCCATAGTTGTCTTGTTTTCATAATGTATGTCCATAGTTGTCTTGTTTTCATAATGTATGTCCATAGTTGTCTTGTTTTCATAATGTATGTCCATAGTTGTCTTGTTTTCATAATGTATGTCCATAGTTATCTTGTTTTCATAATGTATGTCCATAGTTGTCTTGTTTTCATAATGTATGTCCATAGTTATCTTGTTTTCATAATGTATGTCCATAGTTGTCTTGTTTTCATAATGTATGTCCATAGTTGTCTTGTTTTCATAATGTATGTCCATAGTTGTCTTGTTTTCATAATGTATGTCCATAGTTGTCTTGTTTTCATAATGTATGTCCATAGTTGTCTTGTTTTCATAATGTATGTCCATAGTTGTCTTGTTTTCATAATGTATGTCCATAGTTGTCTTGTTTTCATAATGTATGTCCATAGTTGTCTTGTTTTCATAATGTATGTCCATAGTTGTCTTGTTTTCATAATGTATGTCCATAGTTGTCTTGTTTTCATAATGTATGTCCATAGTTGTCTTTTTGTCTACTGTAACGGACGGTGAGTTTCGACGCCGTGTCCGCAGTTGTCATTGTAGAAACGTATATTTAAAAATACATTACTTAAAAAAAGATTAAGACAGGCAACACGAATCTTTCGTCTACACACGAGTGTTTATCACACAAACTAAATATCCCAGAACACACCAAAGTCTTCAACCAACTTCTGACTGGCTTCAATTTTTGGCTAAATTTCTAACAGCAACAAGATGCTTTTCCTCTTTTCGCTTTTTTTAATGTTTGAATTTTCTTGCTTTGCACCCGTCAATTTTAAATAAAAAATTTTGAGCAGCCGGATTATATAACAAAACTAGTTTTTGTATACCATTTCATTTATTGTCCCCACAGCTGTGAGACGTACATATTACCTTGAACATGTTAAAACATATGTCATATAAACTTGGGCAGTAACTACTGTACGTATAATTTTTATAAATAAAACGTATATAATCGAAAAACCGTAGAACCTTTTAGCTAGATTGGGTTGATGTTTAACTATGTTGTCAAAGGTCCGGACTTTTGCAAACTTGACGCATTTTGAGCGTACACAAACTTATAACGATACTAAAGTGTAAAATTTTGATCAAAATTAAAAACTAATGAACATGAAATATTGCAAAATAAATTTTATTCTCACCTGAATTTTTACCATCAATTTCAATTCTGTTGCAGGAGTTTTGGCGAGTGCAGCAAGCAACGGAGCATAGATCTAAATATAAGACACCATACGCGATGTCACTGCATGAAATTACTACTGGACTGTTACTGAGCAAAAGTTTTTGGTCATCTCTTAAATGACCTTTTATCAGTGGAAATGTTGTACTTAATGTACAATCAACATTTGTGCAATTATGAAACAACTAACAACGTATTCCGGTAAGTATTTACTACAAAGTTTCATTGTATTTAATACAAGTACCGCAATTAGGGATTGCTGCTGAACATCGATGCAACCAGACATGTCTTTTAAGGACATTAAACCATGTCATTTTCAAATACGCCAGTTTTAGTTCTTTTGGCTCTGGGCAAGGCTTAGACCTTTTAACTTTTATGTTATTATTTTCCAAAGATACTTGATTGAAAACAAGATGCTCTAGATGGTATAGAGCTCCTTAGACAAAAATTCTTCTCTTGAAAAATTGATTCATCTGAAAACAGCACTTTTCCCAATAGTCCACCATTATAGTCTCATCACCCCTTACATTAACCGCATCCTCTTCGGCTTTTCCCCAAAACCGTCATCTGTTGTGCTTGAAAATACTTCTTTTCTAATGATATCTTTTTTGTTTAGAGTCTTTATCTTCTCTTTTCGTTGTTGCTTGAGAACAACCCTATCTATTCTGGTCTTTTAAAAATCCCATGTTTTTCGCTTTCTTCGAAATTTCTTTAACAGAACAGACTTATCTTCTACTTTTTGCGGCAATAACATGCTTCATTCCTCCGTTTATACAACAATTGCGGTTGATTCTTACACAGTAACTTGTCAGAATGTCTTGAGAAATAATGCAATACTATATAATTGCTTCTGGTATTTATGTAAGTACGTGTAAGAGCCGTCTTCACATATATACATTCTATTTTGACAGACAAATAAAATCGTACTTAATTCATTAAAGTTGAGAAAATCATGATGAACACCGAAACATCAGGTATGACCTAAAAAGTTTGTATATGCAGTACTGTATAACATGCATAAATGGTCATGTTTCAATGTCAGCATAATGCGTCAAAGGAAATAAGCTCTTTTAATCTTAAAACAGAATGTTTAATGTTGATCAAAGTTAATACGATTACATCGACAATTCCAACAGAAAATGAAGACGTCAAAATTTAAGTAAAAATACAAAATTCAACGTAGCAAGTTCATCACATAACCATAACTGCAGTTCAGTCGAGTAAAATGATCAAAAGTATTGAGCATATGTTAGTAAGAAAAAAGCAAGGCCATTGACAATGATTGAAGGAAGTACGCACAATCAGAAAGTTGTTATGTTTCCAACTTTGAGATGGAAAGAATAAATCAAAGTCACAAAGCAGGCTGGTTTTTACCATAATCATTAACGAACTTTGCAATGGAAAAAAAACAGGTTTAGTCAAGAGGTTTAATGGTTTTTACCATAATCATTTACGAACTTTGCAATGGAAAAAAAAACAGGTTTAGTCAAGAGGTTTACTGGTTTCTACCATAGTCCATAATGAATGAAAGAAAAAGCATAGTAACAAAGAACGTACGTACGTTTCTATGTATGTAACATTAAGGAAAGCAGCAAAACAAATAATTACTCAATCAATCAACGCGAGTCATTCGATTTCATCTATGTACAAACCAAAATAATTGTACACGCAGTTATGGAAAACTCATATACTTAGCTAAATTTGAAAATTTTTTCTCGTTAAAAACAATATAACGTATTGTGTAAATCATATCCTACCTTGAGATGTCTGAGAGCTTGATCCGCAACTAAATCTTCTTTTTTGTTCCATTCAACAGAAGACATTAATGCTTTCCAAGTCTTAAAATAGAAACGCAACCAAGTTAAACTACCTACGTATTAACTTATGTCATATCAGCGGAGGTGGGATATACAGTAACGAGTTGGAGGAAAGGGCTTGGGCTATTCAGGAACGAAGGTTCATTTAATAACTTACCAAAACAACAACCTGATCTTCAGTCAGTTTGCCTTTTTCTTTGAGCTCATGACAGTTGGCAACAATCTTAACGAAAATCAAACTGAGCAAATCAATACCAACAAGACTGTAATATTTCTGTACAAACATGAAGATCGTGGATGCAACTATAACTTTCTCTCTCACAAGTACGGTATAACAATTAATAAAACAGAATAATGATTTTTGTCAGAAATCAAAACGAAAAGAATGTTCTTACTTCTTTGACTGGCTTCTTCGTCTCTATCATCTCAGATAGTTGCGACTTAAATTTTTTGGAACCAGCGTGCTGCTGAGCTTTCTATAGGAAACACGAAAAGATAATTTAAATGAGTTACCAGGACTAATAGTAAGGACATACGATAAAATCATTAGTAAAACTTCCCAGGACTATCAGCAAAAAACACATATTCTGATCGTGTAAACAACGTTCAATTTTCTCAGAAGATTTTTAACAGAAGATTTTGTCAGCGTATAGATTATTGACAAAATCTTCAGTTATAATTGAAAATGGCATTTGTAGAATACGAATAACTTCAGTGGAGTGAATGTAATTCATATATATTGTTGAAACAATTGAAACGTTCTACTTTAGCCTCGTTATCAGTCTTTCAAACAAATACGTACTCCAGTGCACAAAGCCTTTCAAACAAATACGTACCCCAGTGTACACAGCCTTTCACATAAAAACCTCAGTGTACACAGCCTTTTCAACAAATATCCCAGTGTACACAGCCTTTCACACAATACCCCAGTGTGTACATACATACGCAGAATACTTTGAATCTCAGATTTTTGATATTTTTTTTGTGACGATAAACATTGTTTCAAATATTTTCCAAAACATTGGTAAACTGGATAAGAGAAATAATCAAGTCAACAATTGCAATGATCTACAGGGAATGTACCGAAAACATTATGATCAGTCAGCTCACACTATGTCGTTTCATGTTCCTGAGCACTTATTGGACAGTACGATTTCACACGTGACAATTAGCAATTCGGAAGACCTCAATTTTTCGAGGAGAGCTAAAGTCTTTTTATTGAATTCACTGACATGAAAATAACATATTACCTAGTTTGAACAAATACGCAACAAAAAATTGCTCTTACCTGAAATTCAACAAGCTTTGGCAGTCCGGCTGCGATAAAGTGTTTTTCAAACTGTTCATTTGTTCTTTTATTTGAAGGGAAATATTGCTATTGAACACGGAACAACTTTACATGTAAATATTGAAGATAACTGCTACAGAAGGTGTTACTGTACGCATGCGCACGATAACTCACCAACAATTTATCATCAATTTCATTCTTTTTCAGTGAGCTAATAATGCTCGAGGAATCTTTTTTCTCCTTAAACCACACTTGAAACAATCTTGTGATAAATTGAAGAGACAAGCCTAATATAGGAAAGAAAAAAGTGCTAATTAGTACCGCAGTTGTTTTCATATGTTAAACATTCGCCAAGAAAAATGCGTCATATGTACGTCTGTTAAGGTTTTATGCAATCGATTTATAAATAGAAATACATTCCTTGATTCATATGCAATGTTTGTCACGCGCGCTATCTCGCGTGACTCCACACGTATATGTATGGTCTTAAAAAAAGACTGTCAAGACCATACGTACGTGGAAGTCACGCGAGATAGCGCGCGTGGCATATGAATCAAGGAATGTATTTACTATTTACATAAATCGATTGCATAAAAAACCTAAACTTATTTCTGGGCCGCCTATGCATGTATCATATTTAAAACGCCTTTCTTGATAGAATACGTATATATTGGATTAGCAGAACATTGTCAGTTATACATAATGTAAATTGGATTTTTGACTTTACATATATCCATTTCCATTTTTTCTTAACCAAATTGTAATCCTAACGAATTTGAATATAATCATTTTCTAACAATCTTTAAAATAAAAATACGTATTCTTTAAAAGTACATAGCCAAATATGAAAAATAACGCAGTTTCAACAGCTCCAAATGAGGAGTATCATGTTTTGAGCTGCTGAAACTCAACATGTATGGAAAAATTAATGATGTGCAGCATTAACTGACTTCGTTACATTTTACACTCACATCAAAATAACTCACACTGACTACGTATCTTCATTAGCTAAACCATACAAACTTTTAAGCAACAAAAATTCTGGACATACCTTCCTTCACTAAATGCTCATTAATTAATTTCTGCAAGAATGTTCCTTGTGTCATATCTGTAAATTCAAACAAGCATAAATAAGTTAATTTTCTTACCAAATTCTTACAAAATACCAAATCTAGGCCTGAACAAGGGTAAAATTCATTATAAATATTAAGGGATAGGTTGGTTTATATTTACTTCATATGTGAAAAGACGTGCACAGTGACAAGTCAGAAAGTAAGCAAACTATTCCTTGCACAAAATTATACTAACCAAATAAAAAACACTGATCAACTTATTTCACTTACTATTTGCCAAAATCATGGCATACACAGTTGCAAGTTTCATTCGCTGTTCTTCTGTAAAACCTTTCATGAAAACAATGATCTAGAAAATATTAATAAACATATTTGATGAAATAAAATGTATCAGCAATTGATGAGTCGGATTAGGATCTCAGTGTAGGATGAATACAAATGAAGGACTAGATGTTTAGAACTAAACTTTTCAAGATTTTAGTTTGGAATGCTTGCGAATTATTATGCTTTATGCAGCAGGTACATTCATTCCACAAGTGGAAATTAACTAAAGGCAACTTTGCCATCGGATTATCAGTTTATCACTGTAATCACTAACACCTTAAAAAGAAGCAAGTTTTGAATTATTCCACCTTCTATGTACGTATTGAAATGCCAAATTTAAGACACAATCAATGGCTTTCTTGTGCATAATACCTTGTTTAACACATCATCAAATGCTTTTTGAAGGTACTTGAACCTTCTCATAAGTTTTTGATACATCTAAAAACACAAAAAAGTTCAGGAAAAATGCTAACCATATTTCCAATAAAATGACTGACAAAACATAAACAATGTCAGAAATGTTACCTGGACATGAGACTTCAAAGTCTCTGAATCTTCATTCGCTTCAAATACACATATTGTTGTTTTTGGTTTCTCTCCCTCAGCAATAATGGTGCCACCAGGAGCTATAAGATAGTAAATACATAAAGATAAGAATTCGTGCATACTAATTGTGATTACAAACTTATTCCACATGAATCTCTTTTAAATATAATTTTAAAGTAAAAATAAAATTAAAATGCTTATATTTCACAAACCTAACAATCCACCAGCAATGAGTATCTCAAAGAGCTGTTCACCATAAGCATGATAATTCAACTTATTACCAGGATTGTCTAAGAATGCTGAAACCTACATACAAATAACAGAAAGGCATTTACACAGTGAAATTCGAGTTTAAAAAATGTCATTTGTACACAACACTTTACTGCTTAAGAATCATCTTACATTGTCCAAGTGAATGCATTTAAAGAAGAGGGGATTAGTTTGAAAGAAACATGCCTCAAAAATACATTTTTTGCCAAAATTGACAGAAATTCATAGAGTGTGTGATATTAAAACTAAATTGTTTCTGTCACATATCACATTTTTTTTTGCTGCTAATAAAGATCTCATTCCATGATGGCTCAAATTTAAAATTGCACAATATGTAAATTATTGGATATAACACAGCAAAATTTATGCCAAGTAGTAAATGTGAGGTAGGAAATACTAATTTAAGTTAGCAATGTGCAAATGTAGAAACCAGATTCTCATAATTTTGGTTGGCAAATTGAAAATGTATTCAAGATTTCATATAAAATTACCATTGCACTTCATTTGTTATTAAAAAACTCATATAATAGGTTATCATTTACATTTATTTGGACACAAAGTGTTGGTCATAAATAAAGTCTTACATTTTCAAAATTATTTCCAGATTTTTCCAGACCGACAATAACAGAATCACGAAATCCTATGGGATCGTTTTTCTTTTCGTCTATAAATTGATAACCATCAAATTTGTAAGTATACTTCAGGGTCTAAATGATCACTAAACACTGAGGATTAGTGAAATTTACCAACAAATTTTACCAAAAAGTGCTAAACAAGAATTGGAATTTTTTAGAAACTTGTTTTGTCATATTCCATTATAATTAAAATTACTTGGTAATTTACAAAACACAAATGCTGCACTTAGGATAAGCATTCATCTCAGATTCAATACAATTACCTCTCTTGCGGGTCTTGATCCGCTGTCCTCCAAGAGTTGGTTTGGTATTCTTTTGATTCATACAATTATCTAAAATATCAAAACAACTCTTTTTTCAACCAAGTAATTTCTATTTATAACAACTAGTGTGTTACTTTTTTATACAACAGCATAAAGCTTGATCAAAAGTATAAATATTTTGTTGCCTTACAAGTCATATGTATGTTAAATCCAATCAAATTATAAATTAGTCAGTGAGCTCATTATCATAAGACAAAATATGAATTTCAAATACACTTTAAACAAAATAGAAATATGAAATTAAAGTAAAGAATAGAGTAATTTTTTTGATTTTATTTTTTATATTTACATTAACCAATTTCTAATATAAGCATCTCTTTCTTGGCCTGAATCTTTCAAGAGAAAAAGAACTATTGCCTTTCCAGAAGACATATACTTCAAAATGAATTTTGATTGAGTACTCCACAAACATGTTCATGAAATAATCATCATTTTTTATGATTCAACAAAAAGATTGTTTTTGTGGCAAAGGTTTCCATTTAGAGTCAAATTCATAAACATTATTTGCATTCTTGAGTATATGGAGCTCTTGCACACTTGGTTACATACTGTTGCCTTATCTATCTGTCTTAAACAATTATTGATTTTTCATCATATAATTCTGTGCACATGCATATGTTGAAGGTTGATGTAGCATTGAATTAGCAATGGCCTGAAGAATTGTGTTATACTCACTTGCCATACCAAAACATTTTATGTTGAAATTACAGCTACGAGACGTATAAACATACATATGTCCTTTATCACTTACAGTATGGGCATATTCCAATTAAAATACTTACATCAATAAGCTAGCTAGTGTATAAATCTCATTATTCTTATATTCTTATACTTTCCATATAACTAGTAAGGGGTACATACTTGTACTAGTGATTATACAATGTTTGAAGTACAATATATTATAAACTATTGGTTTATTGGAATTGGATCATGTATTATTTAATGGTGCTTTATGAAAAAGTATAAGTACATAGCTGCTATGACTTTGACTACTATTAAAACAGTTGTTATTATTTCATGCTTTTATCACTTATTAAAGTTCATGAACTCAACATTTTAAAATTATTGAAAATCTTTGGGATGGAGAGTGCATTCTATTCCATCTGATAAAATAATTTCGCTTCAGCTGTAAAATAATACATCAAGTCATCAAGTCAACAATCACATTTGTTGTTTTAGCCAAAATAATTTATATACTACAGTTTATTTTTCTTAATTTAGATTTCTTTTAAAGGCAATATTAAAATTATAACTTCCCTAAAAAGATTTGTATTCATAGAAATATTATAAAATTGATTACATACGAAAGAATGAGGAACATAAAAAATACTTGATAAACAAAATAACGATTTACACGTAAATTATCTCTAAAAACATAATCAAAATGTGACCAAACCCAGTTTCAGTCTGAATTATAAATCGCACATAAATGAAATTATGGCTTTATGAATAACGCGTGTGCTAAAGCGTCATCCTTCCCTTTTTATAAAATTGTGTAAGTGAAATCAAAAATGGTAACTGTATTCCATCAAAAAAACTTGCCTATATTACCAAAGGTCTTTGACACAACGCTTTCCTTGTACAAATGAGTTTTTAGTAGATTTAAACATGCTTTAAAACTCGCTTTAAAACATTCAATACATTTGAAAGAGTTCAACTCAGTACGTTTAAATATCACGTTATACCTTTCACAACAGCAAGATAATTTTTGGCGTGGATGTTTTTAGCGTGATTTTACGCGATTTCCAAAGTGAATGTGCTACTTTCCCTAGTTGAATGGAAGTGGAAAGAAAAGCACTGAGTAATTAAACACATTGCAATTTCCGGCTTAGATTTACCCCCGGAAATATTTTAAGTAATACGTATTTCCGGGGGTAAAAACTAAAAGAGTAAGCGCCCCCCTGAAATATGAATCACTCATTTTGCATTCAGTTACGTAGAATTAGAAACTTAGAATTGCAAATCTAACGTCCAACGTTGAAAGCTTTATTAAAAGACGCTCTATATCAAGAAAAAAGAGAATATAGACTATGCATTGAAAGGAAAATGGTTGATGTTCGGGAACGTTTTGAGGCTGCTGTTAATGTTATTCAATCTTTGCCAAAATCAGGTAGGTATGTCTGTGAGCTATCTAGTTTCTGATGGCACTTTGATTTTGACCATCAGCTATAAAATCTAATACAAAGGTGTACAAAGAATACATCTTTAAAATCAGCTATTGGTCAAAGCGTCATGTAATCATTTTTAGCATTCTAGTTAATGGAAGTCAAAAGAAATTATAGAATCTCAATCTCAATTTCAAATTCAAAATAATACCTTCAAATCAAAATTGCTATCTAGTGTTGGTAGAATGTGTGAAAAATGTTTAAATACTTTTTTACACGTTGAAATATCGTGTAGAAGACATTTGACAGGTCTATTTTCAACATGTTATTGTGTCATTTATTAATTTCAAATATTTGTTTAGGATCTTTCCAACCATCTAATGAATTGATGTTAAAAGTAAGATATGTTTAACACAACCACATCTGTACATTGTGGTATCACTATTGCTTTATTTGTTTGTTGGCTAATACCTTTAATTGGAGTAAGACTGTTATATTTGTGTACATCTCAATAACAAAATCTTTCATGGTTCTCTGAAGTATGTATATTTCAGAAAAATTGTTATAAATTCCTGTGCAATTATCATTACTAAGATTGAATTTTACTTTTTTACAAAATAAATATCTTTGAATGACTTTTCTATACATGTTGCTAATTACTAATTCATAGTTTTATGGTTACTACAAGCAAGCAAAGGAAGGTCCTTGCACGATCCTAAACCATCTTTTTGGGATGTTGTTAGGAAGGCAAAATGGTGTGTATAATCTTTATGAGCACACAATTTGCACTTAAGAAAACCAAATACCCATATAAGAGGAAATTTTTTTGATTTAGGGAGGCATGGTCCAAACTTGGTGATACAAGCAAAGAAGAAGCAATGAATTCATATGTTCATCAACTTAAAGAAGTACATATTCCTATTTCAACCTTCATAGGCCACGTATTTAGTTTAGTTTATAGGATTTTATGACAACATAATTATCAATTATATGAATAGGTATAGCTTCTGTGTATAGTAAATTTTTGTTTCTACATTTTTATGTTGTTTCTTCCAGGTAATCCAAAACATGCCAGAAACAGATACAGCTTCAGAATTTGTTTATGCTCTTGAACCATTCTATAAATTAGCTTACAAAAATGGCGAAGTTGTTCCACCTATTTTCAATATGTTCAATAAAAAACAAAACAATTATGTTCCATCTTGTAAAATAAATGGACATGCAACCCTAGTGAAAGATAATACTCATAAACTAAGTAAGCATAACACTAGTCACGAACCCACCATTCAGGAGATAAAGTTTCATACCACCAACGGAAAAGTGGAAAATAATCATGATCGTACTGAGTCTAATATTACGAGTGATGATGTTGATATAGAAGGTATTTAAATGACTATTTACGCCAGTGGTTATAGAGTTGCTTGTGTTGACTAAAAGTCCACTTTTACTCTTGCAAAAGTCTGAAAACAAAGAATTTTGTTGCGTCTTTTTACAACCACATTATGCATTACCAAACAACTTTTTTTCACGAAGAAGACGATTTACGAATAGCATGATGACATGCATGCCTTTTGTAGGGATATTTAATTTTTTTTTGTTCTGTAGTAACATCAAATTTTCCTGTCGACTTAAAAGTTAAAACGAATACCTATAATGGTGATAGTAGCCATCAAAAAAGATCACAGTGAAGATGACGATGATGATTTATTTTGTGATTCACTTGGTCCGGAATCAATTGAAGAAATTTTGGTAACTTCTTGAGATCCTATATTATATGTTTGATATTTGCCATTTTAGATGGATGTAAATATGACCATAGAATATCTTATACAGCTAACTACCACTACAATCTTTCAAGCGTTTTGTTCACTGTAATATGGTAAATGATTCCAATCAAATGTCCAGAAAACATTCATTTTAATGTCTGGTCGTTTTCTATAGTTAAATGACCAAGAGGACAATGGCAATTCATTCGTAGCAGACTCAGCGCCTGATGATATAATTCAACTTAGTGATAGAAATCGTTCAAGTATTTCCGATGTCGAAGTTCTTGAACAGTTTAATCACAAGAAAAATGGCAGTGACGATTCAAGTAGTCCTCATTCTGACAAGATAGTCCATGTTCATTTTAAAGATCTTGAACCATCTCAAGAAGCAAAAGATTGTTCCCTTTCAGAGATTAGAGTCAAACACAAGATAAAGGAATGTGTTGTGCAACCTGGTCATCGCGAAGGAAGTTCTTCTGGTGTTGATGATTGTAGAAGTGTCTCAAGAGGCCTACCTTCAGGAGGAAAACATACTCAAAGGAATGGTGGGGCTTTTTAATTTTCTAGTTGTGTACGAACCACGCCGTATGCAAATCTGTAGAGGCAAAAGTTTTTTTGTTAATGAACGCTTAAATATGTCTTAATGACAAATAAGTATGTTGTCTTTGTTTACGTCTTTCACAAACACAGCACTTGGAATTTGGACTGTATAACAGCAACGTTGATAGTTTTGTGTTCATTTGGATCATGATTCTATTTGTTTTAGATCTTTAGATGCGTTGTTTTATTTTCTCACGATTTAACTATGATGATTTGTTTATAAAACATACAAACTTTATATTCCCCGCTATACGTATGGGAGACACATTCAAAGATTTTCGTTCTTTATGTTTTAGCGCAATATTCAGAAAGATCTGTTCTGAGATATGAACAAAGATATCGTAGAAGAAGTCAGGAAAGTGATAGCGATGAAAGCCCTGCGAGATCAGATCCTAATTCAAGTAGTGAAAAGATGAGATGGCAATTGATAAAATAGCAGAACTTCTTATGCAAATTAAAGAGGACATGAAAAATACTTGACCGTTTGAAGAGACTTGAGGTATCAATTCAACAAACTCGTTGGGTATGTATGTATATTTCATGATTTTTGCTGATTATATGAAATATTCACTTGCATAATTATTTTAACTTTCAGTCATGGCTTCAAGATTACCAACCATCCAAAGCATTTGTTTTTCTTCTTCTTTGGCCATTCGTTGTTAACTTTCTTTTCAACTTTCTACGACGAAGGTAAGGAATGAATTATGTCATTCAGTCATCCACCTTTTCGTCTTTGGTGCTCTGAGATGATTCACTCAAATTTTTTTGCACGCTAAGCTTTCGCTCCCTTCCCTTACTTCTATGTTTGCCATAAAAACTTGACATTCTAGCAAATAAAATGTCGAATAAATGAATTTAAGTTTAACAAGGTAAACTAGACTTTAATGTATGCTTGATGACTCTAAATTTTCTTGCCTAATACATTAATTCCCCACACTTCAAACACTCCTGAATTAGTACGTCCCCGTATTCCTTTTTTTTTGTGATGTAGTAATGAACTAGCGAAACTCTCAGTGAAATCTTATTACGCACAATAAGAAGACTTAATAAGAAGTCTTAATATCAGACGTGCAAGAAATGATTGAGAACGTTTTAGTTTTTTAATCAAAATACAAATATCAAGTTTCTTTGGCACTTTAAATAAAATGTTTCATCATGGATGCACTTTATTATGAATCAGATTATCAAAGAAATACACGAAGTAATGACATGTTTTAACATGAAGTGCATGACGAATAAGTCAATTGATTTTGGATGGTGCCATCAGGAGGTATATTGGGAAGACGACGTGTGGATCGTTAAATGCGGCCTGAGGACTAACAAGTGGATATTTACGTGAAAGATATAATGGGAATTTAATAGAACCAGAGTAATTTTACAGGAATTCTATTTTGTATATATTGGTGATATAAAGTAAACTGTCAAAATTATGAATTTCAAAGTATATGAACGATTATATAAAACATTATTACCTTCTAGTATTTTAATAAATCTAGATAGAAACAGCTTTTAATAAATAAATCAACAATATCCAAATCTCCTTGATAGATTTTAATTATACTTTCGGATGTCATTAAAAAAGCTATGAACTTTCATGGCCGTAGCTTGATCTAAACTGCAATCCATAAGTTGTTGTATCGATGCTTTTGCGATGTTTGAGATACTTCGACAACCTTGATGGAGCACAAAGCAATCGTGGAAATAATTAAGGAAAAAATTTTTTGATAGAATTATTTAGAAAAGCTTTAGTTTCATTCCAAGAACTCCATTCTTTGATCTGTCGTGACAATTTCTCGTTCCTGTTTGTTCTATATAAGATCGTGCAGAATAGTGTTCAGTGTTAGTATACTTGGTTTCGAGCATTGATTCTTGCTAATTATAGCGTTTTGGCACTCCTTGAACAGAAATATGGGCTTACAGCAAGAGAATAAAGCCTAAAATATTTCCTGGTTTTGGCAAAGTTGTTCGGTACTTGCACGAGTATCGCTTCCAACAACATTTTAATTTTTGTGTTAGACTGTTAGACATGTATTCTCTACTGCCTTAAAGTTTTGGATTTGATTAAATTCCTTTTTTTGGATTTGAATTTACTTTCTACAGCGATTTAAGAAAGAAAATTTCGTTAAGGATACCATGGCAACTCAGGCCAATTGTTGATAGTATATCCAAAACAACTTCTTCTGAAATCGAAGACATGATGAGATTTCTTAATCTTGATTTCAACAATGTTGAGGTAGGTTTTGACGACACCTTTGTAAATAAAAATGTCTGCTTAACGGGTACGAATATTTGTTCAGAAAAATGTTTGATTTGCCATGTAATTCTCAAATGCTCAAATTAATGAAATATAATTTGTGCATGAGAAAAGAAATATATAAATTAATCAGCTTATTTTCTATGTTTTGCAATGTTTTTTTCTGATTGCTTGAACTATTGGCAAGAAAATACAAAGTACAGATGGTACCGACTTCCTTAAATTGATCGAAATTATTTTTAAAAAGCAGTGTCATAAAGTGCTGTAACACAAAATATCGTCATAATATTTAACAAAATCGAATGGTCAGTTATATAGCAAGCAAAGTTGTTTGGGATAAGTTAGTCTTCAGCAAAGTCAAAAAATATCAAATAAATTGTATTACAAATTTATAAAAGTAGAATAAATAATATTATGACAAACATTGTTTCACCGTTACGATAATCATCAGGTGAATGAAAACAATAAAACTATAGCTCCGTTAATCGCGACTTGTCTGCTGACGTACATCATTCAATTTATTAAACTGTCAAGCGCGTTTAAAACTTTGCGCGGAAAACTTATTTCTTTGTCGACATTTAGCGAACATCTTCGACATTTTGTTTAATAGTCTCTCATTATTGTATTCCATGATCTTTAAATTTTCTTCTACACACAAGCAGTAAGATTTCCCTCCTGCTTTGTATGCAGATGCGCATTTAATTAAAAACCATTTGATGGTGAATGGTTGATTTTTTTCCTTGAGTTCCCATACATGTTTGGAAAGGTCCGTTTCATTTCTGTACTGGCAGTGGCGTAAAGATTTTCTGTGGTTATCGTATCCATATATTATTATTAAATTGTTTTTTATATATAAAGTATAAATTATATGAAGAACATGATAAAGTTTTGACCCATCATTTTCAATCTAAATTTTTGATAGAGTTCATTCTTTTAAGATTGATTTCGGTTTTTAAAAGAGCATACAAATTTTTTTAAAAAATTTTATCAAGCAACTTACCTTAGCAATATGTAACATAAACGACACGCATTCTTTGTAATTATGCGCTGGATAGTAAGTCAAATGATAGGTACACAAACTGAAACATAATGTTTTGTAGCTAAATTAAAAAAATATGTCAACAAATATATTTGATAGCTACAACTATGATAAACCTTTCGTCTATACGATCTATACTGTCGTGTTTTATTATTTCGTTTCAACATAGGATAAAAACAGTTGCATTTTTGCACTTAAATTCAAATCCATTAGTGATTTATGTTAAGTTTTTATTGCATGAAAAAGTACAAAGACGAAAAGTTTAAAGTTTTCTCAACTTGAGAGGTCGTCTAATAAAAAGCGATTAACAAACATCGAAGAAGCCAAGAAAATGGAACACAAACTTTTATGTAAAACAATCTTAGTTTGGTGTGTTGTGTTAAGATATTAGCAGACTAAAATCGATTATTGTCATACAAATACGACGATTATGCTTCAATATACAAGCACACTATATGACTATAAGGCGTCGTTAATGTCATACCTTTTTTGTAAATTAGATAAAACGACCAGATCCTTTCCTTCTACTACCGCTGACGTTAGTATGACAAAACAATTTCGATGAATTTGACCAAATTTAGAAACTCTATTTGAAACGACAAAGAAAACGAATTGAAGAGGGAGAAATAATACTTATGTACTCTTAAAAATAGAATACTGCAGCTGGGTAGGTGTCTTTCTCAATAATAAATGTTATTAAAAAACTCAAATTGATTTATCGAAAAAATTAGCTGGCAATAACTTTTATAGAGTACCTTTCAAATACTTCAGCATCAAGAACAACGGGATGACTTTGTTTTAGAATATCGTCACTTGCTATAATCAGAAAAGCTACAGCTGACTTCGGAAATATTACAGAGTTTCCCACAACACTTTCAGAAACTAGAAAAAAACAAAACTATTTACAAACTATATAAAAATACACCACTGATGTTATTTCCCCTTATATATTTTTTTTACTTCGAACTCTGTGAGAAGTATTCAAAAGTGTGAATACATCAGTTCTCCTAAGCAAAGGGTGCATAATGACTGGGACTTTTTCGTCGATTTTAGGAACTTTGTTGTCGTTAATATTCACCTCCATTTTCAAGCTTCACATTTTCGACGAACCATATTCATTCCCAGGCTCAGGACTCAAGATTTAGCCACGCGGACATAGTAGCAATCAATGAAAAGTCAAACTTAAAACAATGTGGAAAAATCATTGAAATTTCTTTGTGTCAAATTTTCAATACAAACTAGTGAAAAAACCCCATATGTCGGTTGATAGTTCCTCATTCATGCCGTTGTGGCCATGTTTTAACATGGGCGTACGGGCTGGGAGGCAGACGAAGCCTATGGCCGCACCCAAAACTTAGACATTCGGGCATTTTGGCATAACACCATGTGTCGTTCGGGCAATTAATAAAAGGCTAAACGACGTAAATTGATAAGCAATTATTGGATGAGGTTGGGCATGATATCAAGGATCATTTAGACCGATGTCATTGCTGGGTGCGATATAGTATGAAGTTGCTTAGGGGCCCAGACTTCGGTCGCGACCGTACTCTCCCTGCGTACCCCGAGCAAAGCCTATCGCAGGCGATCTCGGGGTCTGATGGGCGGAAGCTTGCTATTGCATCTCACAAGTAGGATAGCGTGGAGGGGCCGAAATCTCCTACCGAAATGTTAACATGCGGCGTTCCAGTGCCTTACCCTTAAGAAGGCATCGGGAAGCATGGACCAAAAACGGGTTTTTTTGCTTTCGACATTTATCTTTTCGTTCATCTCATAAAAAAAACTAGAACATCCAAGGATACTACAAAGGTTTAAATAACTTCAGCCTTCTTAATTTATAACTAAGCCAACTATTTTTACTTTTTACCTTTTACAATGTAACTTTCTCATAACTCTCTCGTGATGAACGAGAGCCTCCTTATTCAATATAACTCTTTCATCATGAACATAAGCATCCATGGGTTTCATGGAAAAAAGGGGTTATCTACTTTTTTTAATAGTTTTTACAAAGATAACATTTAATAAGCTCTGCAACTTGTATCGTCTAAATTGAACCTCGCTTTGAACCCTTATGTTATAAAATTTTGATAAATAATTTCACAGTAAATTTCTTTTTACTTAACAATATTTTCATGATTCAATCTAGAAAGTAACTTCACTTCTCCTGGAATTTTGCGATTAAACAGTACACTTTTTGGATTCAAAGGACTTCTTTGGATCGCATAGAGACAGCCGTACAATTTATTACATAATCGCATAATCTATGCATTTCGTTGTATGAAACCATCCTACCAAAGAATATCCAGATCTGATTTTAGCTGCATTGAGCGAAGAAAATTAAAGAAATTTTTTCACTTTCTTTGTATGATATTTCTGATTCGATAAATCACGAGATTCCAGATGGGATTCATGACTGCCTTTGAATACAATTAACACGTACTCTTAATAAGACAATGTTTTATGTTTTCATTTAGCGTCATCGTAATTTCATACATTTAAATTTATAGCTATAGTTTAAAATTCCATATTTAGGTATACAACTTGTGAAATGAATGTGAAAAGCCAGTTTAGGGAGATTTTATGCATCAGTAATAATATTTAGGTATACAACTTGTGAAATGAATGTGAAAAGCCAGTTTAGGGAGATTTTATGCATCAGTAATAATAATAGTGATTGGTGATTATAAGACAGCGAAAGCAACATTTAATAAAAATAACAGTTCAAAAATTTGTATGGCTTGCTTTTGTTGTGCTTTATCCAGCTGGAATCCGTTCTGAATATTCTTAAGTTACGCCGAAAATAAATCAGAGAATATCAAAGAAATCGTCTGGGCTTGTGCAGTAACGATGTCAATCATACCACAACTTTTGTAAGCCTTTGAATTTATGTATATATATATAAAGCTGAAATTTCATTTTGTAGATGTCCAGTAGCAGTGGAAGCTTGGTGCGATAAAGTATGCAGTGGCTTAACACGTGCGCATCAGTGCGCTATAGTCGCGCGACCAAAGCTAATTCACAGTGTGTTTCAGTCAATGGTTTCAGCCATTACAGAAATTTTTACGCGCCTGACTTTCGTTTTTGCTAGTTTTTGCACAACGGAAAAGCGAATTTCGCAACATGTTCTCGTGAAAAAAATGTACTTTTGCAAAATTTCGAGCGTTTTTAGCAAAAATTGCGATGTTTTTGTTAATATATCGTATTTTCTCAACATTTGCCAAGATCTCTGGTGCGCAATACAAACTTTCCAGTCGGTTGCGTATTATTACTTTTTTTTACAACTAAATCTCAAACAATCGTATATCGTTTTTTATTTCATTTTCTATGAGCACACGGCAATCGGGCAAAGAAGTGTGGTGCCCTCCTAAACAAGAGTAGGCTCGTTCGCCCATGCATGTTTATTTATCAAATTGATACTTTTTCAAAGTATGCAACTATACAAAGCATATCAACTCCATCAATAAAAGTATAACTGGAGTAATCAAGGAACACTTACTGGATGCCAGCAAATTCATAACAGTCCAGATAAAGCGAAGCTTGTATGACTTGTCCCTACCATAGGTTCCAGTATAGACGTTTCACTTTTTCAAGATTTACAAAATTTGGAGACTGAAATTCACAACGCACAACTAAAGTAGAAATAGCAGCAATACATAAACCAAACAATAATGAACATCAAATTTACTGTAGAAGTGTAATGATCATAGAGTTTATTTCTCTAAATGATTCATCAAAAGTTGTTTATTATTCTCCCGAAGATTCTCCCCTCGCAGCTACAGGCTATATCTTCAGAATCAGTCCTTCTATATTACATTCATTCATCCACTTTTCATGTAACAAAAATACACCTGCGTTTCTTCAATTTGCACGCAGATTTTTGGAGGTACTCTATAACGTACTCACCAATCTTCAATATCTTGTTGAAAACATTATCATTTTTTTGGAAGATATTAATGATTGAGTTAGCTACAATTCTTACTTTTCAGTCGTGTAAATCGTTCTTAACGTTCACAATGCCTTAAGTGAAGATTAATGGCATAATATAAGAGTTAAAAGATAAATTTAGGAAAATTAAAATATAAATTCAAAAGAATCTTAGTTCATCATATCTACAATATGAGCAAGAAAGAATTCAATCTTTAAGATTTGAGATATAGCTTTTCTTCTGTGGTTTTTTTAAGTGAATTGAAATTACAAAATAACCTATTGTCATGCAATTTGCAGCCACATTCATACACTTGCCCGAGAGCCAAAATCTCCAACCAAAACGTTACATGTGACGCTCTGGCGCTCAATTAAAGTCTCAAGTCTCGTGAGGTAGAGTTAAACTGTATTTTCTTATTTGTTTTCTCGTTTTATCCAAAAAATAAAATAACAGGTGATTCACAGCTTCTAACACTTTATAAAAGGCTATTTGTAAGCTAGGATTGCCTTTTCTCTAAAAAAAATTACCCCAATCTTTGAACAATATAAAGGCTTCATCAGCATATCTGTAAATAAAAAGTTCTAAGGTGATATTTTGAACGTTTATGATTAAATATTATCATATTATAGGGAACAAATGTGTAAAGAAATCATGATAATTGAAGGAGCCTTTATAAATGAAACCACGACTGAATGTGCGATTATAACTGCAATTTCCCCCAAGCAGATTAGCCAGTTTTCAAGTATAAAAATAGCAATATTTTAATTTACTTTCACGCGAGACACTACACAATTTAATCATTAGTTTGTCATATTTCCATGACACTTTCATCCACTGTTCTTTCATTTTTCTTGTAAAATTTTCCTTCAGTTTTCTCAGAATGGTTTTCGTCATTCTTGTCTTCTTCTACTTCATGCTCACTTTCGTCATTCGGCTTTTCGTAGAACATATGAACAGAAAAAATACCTTACACGAGACACTGAGCTTGGAAGCTCTTACTGTTTGATATTACTTGCTAATGATAATCTAATTTTGATAAAATAAAAGTAAAGACTGCTCAAAAGTTTTTGGAAAAAATTATGAATATGGCACTTTTGCCTTTTGATCTCATTTACTCACAGATTCATCACATTCATTACAGAACCAAGAGTAACCTTTAGGTTTTGGATTGCTCTAAAAAATACCAATAAACGAATAATCTCATCAGCTCTAAGTTTAAAATATTTTCACGAGGTCAAGATATCTTAAAAGCTGTCTGCTGCTGCAGCCAATCAGATTGCAGGAAATATAAAAATATCACTTTGCATGCATAAATAAAAGATAATAAGTAATATTAAAAAAGCTGAACAAACACACTGGTCCCAGTCCCCTCTTCGAGAAAAGCATGTCGTATTTTCCTTAAGGTTTAAACTATTAAAAATAGTACAATAGTACAAATAATCATGTTAGATAAAGTATTATAGAATACAGAGACATACGTACGTACAAAAACAAACTCAGCATAATTAAGAAGCTTCGAGATATAACAATACTACGACTACACACTTTACTATGTCACCATCATTAACAGCATCCCTGTGATTAATAGGAAGATGCCGAGATGGCCTAACTAAGGTGTAAATTTTCAACTCTCCAATCACTGGAGTACTAAATGCAATTGAGTATGAATATTTAAATGAAAAGAAGCAACGAAATGGCTGTTTTTTGCGGCAAATATCTACTAGTTATAACTACATTTTTGCCTCCTTAGTTCGAACCACACGAAACAAACAAAAAAACGTATAGATTGTTAAAAATCCGAGTACCTTTGCTGGTGGGTCAAGACAACCAAAATGAAAACAGTTCTTGCATTCATCACATCTTAACATTCAACAAACAAAATTTTAAAAATAATGAAAGGCGATTTATGTAAACTTGTATTGCTACATAGAAAAGAAGAGAAAAAGAATGAAATCTCATACATACATCACAATATTTGAACTGTCTCCAATTTTCCCACATATTTTACAGTTGCTTTTCACATCTTCTGATTTCTTTTTCCGCCCCTTGTTTATCTTCTAAAAATACACACTTTTTTCATGTAAGTACAAATTTATTTAGAGAAATTCCTAGTTTAGATATACTTTTGAGCTCGCTTCAATCATAAAGGGTTCGTGCAAATGATTGAAAATTTTAAATCATCGCTGTACCACAGAATAGACATACAACACAAGGCCCACTCGGCTAAAATCGTGGCGTATTTTTTCACTACGCATGCGTGACTTCCCAGCAAGATACTTTCACAAAATCAATATGGAATAAGTATTGCATGAGAATGTTAGTTTACTAATAATTCACGTTTAAAGCAAACGTTTGCCGAAATTTTTATAAAAAGTTATTATCTTAGGAAGGAGATAAGGTTCCAAGCTTTTGTAGTGCAAAACGATATATTTGTAAAAACATCTATATTTTCTATTGCGATCTAGCGGAAGTATCTTGCTGGAAGGCGCGTGACCTTTAGAATTTGCTTCAGAAAAGTTGGGGACACGAACATCAAAGGTTCCGACACGAGTAGACCTTCTGTTAAGATATCTATTCCGTGGCTGTGCATTAAACAAATTAAATCTACAATGAGCAAAATCTAAGTTCCGATTGAAAACATTTCAGGTTAATCCTTACAAACAGAACATCTTAAAGATTCCTTTAAAACCTACTTCTGCAAAATTAAATAACTTTTACTGTAAGAAATTGCAACTGCACCATGACCTTTCCATATTTTTTGTAAATGAACTTGTAGGAAATATTCATAAGTAAATTCCAGAAAAAGGCTGAATTATACATAATGACGTAAACGTATGCTCAAATAAAACATAGCTACGAGTGATGTATTGCAAAACAAATTCGCATACGCCAGAGAAGAGTATGTTCAGCCATGTATAATGCTATGTTCAATATTCACCAAGTAGTCAAGCAAAATACCAAAATAAAAGCATGAATGTTAAACTTACCGGTTTTTCTGGCTTGGGTTCCTCAATTCTTCGTTGTCGTTTAACCGGTTTTGTTGCTGTTTGCTTTTTAACACGTTTTATTTTTTTCTTTGTTGTTTCATTGCTCTATACAATAAAACGAAAAATAATTCTCATTGACTTTACAAGTGGATCAAACATTCGCATCTGAAGATCTTAATTCTCTGAATATTGTTCTAGTATATATTTTAACCAATGGTGTAAACACTCACATCTTTTCCTGGTGTAAATTTTGAAGGCTCTTTGATGCTTCGTTTTGGCGACTCTGCAAAAGTGACGTGCTGTTATTCAGGTCAATTTTTGTTTCGTCATTTTCACTGCTACTGCTATCACACTCCGTACATTGCCTAAAAAATATTTATCTTTCTTAGATGACACAAAACATAGCTACTCGGAAAAAAACATCCATCTTTGATTTAATTTTTGAGATAAAAGAGACGACATATTTCGAATTCAAATTCATCATCAGTCTTAATAATCTATGATTAAGGAAATCTTTACACAACACAGACTTCTACAAACTAACCAATATTGATTGGTGAAAATGATAATGTATTCATAAATAAAAATAATTATTACAAAATAGTTTCAATGACAGAATAATAAATAGCGGTGTACTTATAGTACGTACCAAAGTAGTGTACTTGATTTCTTTGGCATTCTGGTCAATGGTGGGTCAACACAAGCAAGATGATAAAACTTATTACAAGTGTCACATTCCACAATCAAATGTTGGTTCTCTGTTTTCTGACATTTTGAGCATCTACACAGGAAAACTCAGTTTTACTGCATATAAGAGGTATAAATTTACTCTAATAACAAACAGAACAAAACACGAAACCACGAACAACTAAAATGTGACTCTATAACTGTCTTTTTACTTAAGCAAGATGAATTCAAATATATTACTTATGAAGAAGGTTGTCTGTTGCAAATAATAATGATAAGCATTAACAATCAGCAAAGAAGGTGTGAATGAATAGCAGTACAATTGATGTATGTCCACGGCGGATCCATTTTAAAATACGATAGAGCAAATCTCACTGGGAATATTTTAGTCCTAATATTTTTTTAGGAGTTTTCAAGCAGCAGCGTTGTTAAAAAATCTAATTTGAAGCGAGCTTCTATACTTTATTTTGTCTTACTCAAGATCCAGCACTGAGTATGCCGCATGTTGTGAACATTTATGGATAGCAAATTCTATACTTTATTTTGTCCTATTCAAGATCCATCACTGAGTATGCCGCATGTTGTGAACATTAATGGATAGCAAATTCTACACTTTATTTTGTCCTATTCAAGATCCATCACTGAGTATGCCGCATGTTGTGAACATGAATGGATAGCAAATTCTATACTTTATTTTGTCCTATTCAAGATCCATCACTGAGTATGCCGCATGTTGTGAACATTAATGGATAGCAAATTCGATGGTCATTGAATTATTGATGATGCACTTACACATTAACTTTCCACTCCTGTTTTGGTGGATCGTGTTCTTTTTTGGCTTCAATTGCTTTCAATACAGCAGGTAATTCTAGCTTCTAAAATAAAAATAACTTCTAGCATCAGAGTGAAAAAGCATTAAAGTGAAAAAACCATCCATATATTAATAACAAAAATTTCAGAGTGAAAATGACAAAACAAGAAAGTGAACTTGGTAAGGCTTGGCCGGGGGCATGAAGGAAGTACATGTTCAACTTATGATATAGTTGGGGTAGTTTTAGTTTTATTTAACATTTGACTTAGGAAGACGAAATCATTTCAACTTTTCTTACCTTTCCCATGAGTTGACAAAGAAATTTGTGCAACCCAAAACATTTCTTTTTGATTTCTTCAGTCTGTGGTGCAAGTTCCTTTGCATTCTGAGAAAGCTTTTAATTAAGATTATATTACGTCAGGTACAACTAAAAATTTTCTTTTGATCAAGCAAGCCAGGTCCAATACATTTGTTCAACAATAGCATTAAGTATACAAGTGGATAACAGACGATTGTGGCAAAATTCAACATAAAAATGAATAATATCTGAAGGATTGTTTGGGTGTTATATCTAATGAAAATTTGTACATGTACTGACAAACCTGTTCGTATTTTGTTCTCAAACGCCGTTCTTCCTCTTGTAATTTTTTATTGTTCACTGTCAATTCTTCTAACGTTTTTTTCATATTGTTCATTCGGTTACCGCGGTCTACATCGAAAGTATAGCCTGGATTTGTACGTTGTTATAAATATAGAAAGGTCATTATACAGAAATATTAAATACCAACAAAAAAACAAAACGATGTGAAGAGAAACTGTCTCAACTAAGTTGGTATAATAAAGGTTTTCCTTTAGTTAAATCAATTCAAATTCAAATCTTGGGAATTACCAGGAATTACCATCTTAACATATGAAAATGTGAAATTCAATTGTTGCATTGACTTTCTGCTTCATCGCTGAGCAAACACATCAATTAATAATTTGATTCACAATTTCCCAAATAAAATTTGGTATTGAAAAGAAGATAAAAGAAGAAAAGCACGCATTTATCTAAAACATATAGGGGATATATATTTACAGTACCGTAAAAATAGTTGACATATTCGATAGTTAAAGCTGGTTTAATATGCCATTTTCTTCTCGGTCTATTCATACCAAACTGAAAAAAGATATACTACAATGTTATCAAACAGTAAAGTTTCACTCAAATAAATCGTTTTTTACATGAGGGTTAAGAAAATAATATCAATAATAAAACTAATATAAAAACTTTAAAATTACATTGATGTATCCAGTACAACCATAGCATCGTAATAATAAGCATGCATGTATACATACTTTAATACAAATAATCCTGTACAGGAATTCTAAAATTCATCAAAAAATTCCTATCGTTCATTTCACAAGTACGTTAAAATACCCCCGTGTAGATCGGTCGATCATATTTTAAATAAATAACAAAAAAAAATACTTCAGTAAAAAGAAACTGCATAAAATGATAACAAATGGACAATAAGCAACCACATACTTGAGAGAAGAACATCCACATAATATTTGTTTTTAAATTATTGTAAATAGAGGTTTTCATTACTTTATAGAAATCAACCTGCTATAGGAATATCATATCGAGCACATGGATTCTCCCAAAAATAAAACCGTATAATGCAGAAATAAATTCAGGAATACCGTATTTTCATGTTTGTCAATGATAAATCTGTGTTGATTAATGAATTATGAATTATGTTGATTTTTTTGCACATTATCGTCTTTAAAGGACTACAACCAAACTGAAAACTAAAGGTTAATTGAAACCAGCTTTTAAATAATTTTGAATAATATAAAACAAAAAAATTCCGATAATAGACATCTAGTTTTCCTGATATTCAAGATAATTCAAAAGTTTGAACACGGAGTAAGTAATATTTCATTTGTCTGACAATGTCTTCGGAATAAAGACAAAATATTACCTATACTCTGTGTCTAAATTGTATTATCTTGAATATCAAGAAAACAGAATGTCTATATTCGGAATACGTATGTTTTATTTTGAATTATTTAAAATAGTCTGCTTGTCCTGGTTACTAATGATTTTGTATTACCTGATTAGACACGTGACCCAGGAGTTCAGCCTTTTTTAATAAATGACGTAACACTAAATATACAAAAATGTTTAAAAATTCACACAAAATCCTAGAAGCAATATAATGTGAAATTCGCACTTGATTTCATTATACGTAAGTCGCATTTCAAAAGGAAGAATTTCATAATGAAAATTTACCTGACGGGCATGTAAGTATGGAACGAGCAACTTTTATCTTTGGAGCTAAAAGTAAAACACATGTTAGAGTCCAAAGAATGAACTGAAAGATCAGTCAAAGAAAATATAACTCTTCATGCCACTATGAAGGACAAAAACGACTAATCTACGCACATGTAAAATTATGTAATGAGTATGAAAAATTGATCACATTAATTGATAACAAATATGGCCACAGGAACTACTTTGATCGTTCCTTTTATATCATCAACGTATTTTCATCAACCTTATTCTTTACCAGGTGGAATAGCTCTTTGTGCTTTTCGTCTCAAATACATTTGTCTTGCAGCTTGTAATGATTGATCAACTCTTTCCTTAACAATGTGCATTAATCAATTATTGAACAAGAAAGGTCCTTTGTATTGTGCAAAATGCTGCTTTTATCTTCAACAGGTAAAAAGAAAACAGATGAATTATTTGAGGATTCAAAAAGCAAGTTGGTAAGGACTGGAATGGATTTGAGGAAGTGCATCATAAAGATATTGTTTATGAGAACGTTATAAAGAGAGAGAGAGGAAATATTTGACAATCTTGGTACAAAGAAAAAAATTATTGAGAAAAACATGCTATGAGAAGAACGTTGAACATCTTATTACACGTACGTAGCATAAGAATCATTCAATTGGATTACATGTTGGTAAAGCAAAATTATATGAAGAGCTTGACATACTGTGAAGTTACTCCATTGACATAAGGTAAACCGAAATAATACAGGTATACGTACAATACTTGCTGTAAACATTTAACTATATTAACATTTACCTTGTACTTCTGACTAACTTCCTTTTTTTTGAACTTTTTTACAGAAGACAAGTACGTTAAATAAGCTTGGCGCTAAAAATTAACAAAATATCGTAAGGTATTAATTCCTAACACTACAAATACTATGCCTTGAACAGAATTGTTGCAAATTGTATTCGTAGGCTTTATCATATTTTTCAGTGAATCATGTAAACGTCTAGCGTGTAAAAATTATATTGGATTGAGTCAAATAAGATTGAGAAGATACGTAGCTACTTTAAATTAAATTATCAATCTACGTAATCTAGTGGCTTTAGGTTCAAATCGAGCGCTGTGATTAATGATCTCGTTGAACATATATGTATACCTTTCTCTTTGCAATGGATTTGTCTAAATGAAGTTTACAATGAGCATATAGCGGATCAGCAACATCCTAAAACAATAAAACTTAAAGTCCAAAAAAATCAACATGGTCAGAAAATGATGATAACGAACTAACGATCTAAGCTTATAACTAAAAACCTTCGCATACTTTAAAACATTTTCTTTTTGGTAATTATTATAAATAAGCGCTTTGCAGAAATACATAAAGAAGGCAAAGCATAAAGAACAGATTTCGTGTAGGTTTTAAAAAGACAAGCTAAGCTCTACAAGTCTTAGAAAAAATACCTCATCGTCTTCGCCGGGCAATTCTGACAATAAACCAGCTTTCAGAGCGCTAAATAAGTGAAATGTTTTTTTACTGTTGAGGCCTAAATGATAAAATGTTTATTGAAATACCATGATGCATGAAAAAATGTTTTACAAAGTCCAGCATCACATCCAATACACACTCCAGTTCGACTTAAATTGACGTCTTCACAAAGTTCACATTCCTTAAAAAAATAATGTCTTAACATAAATCGATTATGTAAATTGTAGATCCATGCCAAAGTAACCAACACGTTTCCTTATTTAACCCACTGTTCGTTTATCTAATAGGGGCCTTGGATTGCGTAATTTACTGAAACATTTAAAAATATCACTCAGAAGGCAAAAGTTTGAAAATGAACAGAGAAATCAAGAAAAATAAAGCGCTAATTGACAGATAACAAAGTTTTGTTTTAGAAAAGAAAGCAAACGTATCTTAATACATTCGTTAAACTTACGTACTATCCAGACACTGCGCCGCTTTGGAAAATCAATATATTATCATTTAAATCAATGACATAACGAACAAACCTTCGCCCCCCATTTTGAGATGGGTATATCATCCAACACAATTCCCTCAAGTTTATCAGGAACATCAAACGTGATACCAGGAGTGTAAAGAGCGCACACAAGATGAACCCATCTAAACCAAAAGGTGTACGCGTAAATGAATACAGTTAAAACAAAGTAAGTTTCAAGATTCAAATCAAGCCGTTGTGCTTTTTACAAGTGAAACTGAAAAATTAAGCCAGACAGCAAAAAAAGGAACAATATAACGAGGTTGACAATGTTTTTACAAATCGAGGATGTTTCAAGTCAACAAGGACAAATTAGGCTGTCATACGTTTTTCGCAATAAACTGAAAAACCATAAACACACTGTAGGATGCAGTTTGTTAGGAAGCTAATAGGGAAAAAAGTTTTTCACATTGCAATCAACAAATGCATCAAAATTTTTAGCTATCTTCATTTTAAAGTAAATGGTTTGAACCCAGGATTATCGTTACATGTTTGTTGATGTAGATCGTCCAGGTTAGTAGAGTCCTGAGAAGGACTGATGGTATTGATGTTGAATGACGTTTCGACAACCTTATAAACACCAATCAACATCAACAGTCCTTCTCAAGACTCTACTAGATCTCCTTTTCTTGTCAAATCAATATCCACTTACTGTCCATGCAAAGTTTCTTTAAAAATTCCATCACGATTTGGACAAAGCTCACATTCCTATTGTTAAGAAAAGTTGTACAAAATATAACCATAGTAACAGAGAAAAAACGATTAGAATTATATATGCATGCAAATTATATATGCATGCAAATAATTCATATGAACATAAAATGAAGTTACTCGGAATACGTTCATGGATTCAAAAGCATCAAAATACCAGAATTGACAAAGTTGGAAGTAAGTCAGAAATTTATAAAAGCAACGAAAAGTCTAAAACTTCGTGAAAATGGCACATTGTTTTTATGACATTTTTTTCCTGTAATCATGAAGAATAATACTGCTAAATAGCTGTGTTTGATATTTGTCAAGCTAGGAAACAATGTTATGCAACAACTTTATGGTATAAAGTAAATAGCCAAAGTAAAGCTGGTTTTTGTTGAGCACAAAGAAAGTGAAATATAGAACAGTCACCAGAAGTGAATTCTTTAACTGGCTAAAGACACCAAGATAACAGCGAAGATGAACTTTTCTATTTAACAAACACACCAGGAAAACTATGTAGATGAACTTTACAAATGAACAAAAACACCACGACAAATATGAAAATTCCATTCAACAAAAACACCAAGACAACAGTGTAGATGAACTTTTTTACAGGTTAAACAAACAATGGGAGCAACTGAGTTCAAATAACGAATGGCGCCTATTGATAGTGTGACAAGAAGTCATGCAGAAGTCATTGAAAGTCGTCGTGCCTGCTTCTGTGACTATTCAGTGATTATACTCATATTTCAAAAACAAAGAAAGAAAAGTTAAGTGTAATGTCAAAACAAATAGATATAATGACTTTTTAACAAAAAATCGTCGTCTAAAAATGTGGTTTGGTTCGACTGTCCGCTATTTTGACATGAGCCTGTAAGTGGAGAGGTCACTTTTGATAAAACCAAACAAGTCGAGATGGACTCCTTTCTAACAGCTCTTCGATAGTTCACACGATGAAAGGATATTTTAACATGTATCGATCACAGTCCTTTCATAAAATTTTTTAGCTAAATTTTACACTTACCGGAGATTGTCCACTTTTACAAGCGTCACAAAACCATGGTTCAGTGGCAGACTCAGAATCGGACGACTTATTTGAATCATTATCATCAGTATCAATACCATAACAGCCTAAATCAAGAAAAAAACAATGAAAGGTAAGAATTACAGTTTCCTTTGATATAAGTTCTTCAACGAGTTTTTTTTTATATTTAAATGAAATATTTTAAATTATTTAAAACCTGTAGGAGCAAACAATCTAGTTTGAAGACCAACTGAATGATTGATAGTTAAACTACAAATAACACTGATCAACTTATCATTTATTGGAAAGAGCAAAATTCTCAACATTCTTCGAGTGCATTGTTGGATCACAAGAAAAATGCACATTTGTAATAAATGTAGTTCTAAAACTCTTTTTAATATAAATAATCAATGTTTAACCTAATGTTTTACTAGTTCACACTCGTTTTTAAGCAATCACAGTGCTTTCTGTTGGAAAATTTTAGAATATTTTAAAATCTTTTCCATTCAATAATCTTACTTTCATGTACACTTATTCCACAATGATCACATTCAACAATTTCATCGTCATCATCACTATTATAAAATAAGAAGATACGTAATAATACCATGCTTGACAATACAACAATACAGCAATGCAGAGTACTTTTTATAGGACAGCATAATGTAGTTTCTTACTTGTTATCTTCCAAGCAAATACCACAGATAAGGAATTTTAACGAATCGTCACGTTTTGGTGAAGATTTATCCTTTGAAAATTACATATGTAAGTATTAAAATAAGTTCATACGCCTATTTATTGGAGGAGAGACAGTTGCCAAGAAATATTTATTGGTTCAAGAGTTAGTTTCAGGACGAATGAGGAAAAAGAAAATACACGTTTTACTTCATAGGTACATGTACGTGTTTACAAGATTGTAAAACGCTCTTTGAAAGGATTTTTGAAATCGAAAATTATTCACAGCAGAATATGACAATTCAAACGATTTTGAAGAAGGGAGAAATCGTTCTACGGGTTCTACGTATGTACTTAGCTACTCCTTTAACTTTCACGACATTGTCAAGACGGTTTTCTAACTTGTTTACTAAATAAGACATTAAATTTCAGTGTGCAATCGATTTTACAAAAAATGAAGACAATGGAATGATCCACAGTAAATCAATATTTTAAATTTTACACTAGAAAAGATGTTCTTAACACATCTTTTGTCAAATACTTCAACTCAAAAGTTTCTTACAAGGCAAAGTTTTTGACGAAACTGAAATCAAAGCCCCTTGTGATGGTAATAAAATATACAGACACAGTGTTAAGGGAACAAAAAGCATTGAAGTCATAGGAAAGCAAAATTCCCTCAATAAAACCTTGAATGTGTTGTTTCTCTCAAGGGTATATCAATGGTCAGTTAAGCAGTAGATTAAAATAGTCATACATCAGCAAGTGGAATATCTAAAACTCTTACAGAAAGAACTATGATGTATGTAATCAAACATTTTAACTAAGTGCATATGCTAAAAAATAGCATGATGACAAAATACAAATTACTGGTATACTTGTGAAAAAAACTTACAACATTGTCTCCACTTTTTGACATGCTCTTGTTTGAATCTTCTAGTTTTTCAAACATGTTCGTAATTGTCGTTGATGGACCATTCCTGGTCCCTTCAACGTGGTCAACACTATCTTCATCACATGTTTCAGTCTTATCTTCCTCATCACTTGAACTTTGATCGCTACTATGAGGCATTGTGGACTCATTTTGATTGTCTTCATCACTTTCACTAGCACTTTCTGCAAAAACAGTAAATATGAACATAGGAAATAGAATAAGAAACACATAATCAAGCAATGTCATTATTAACATTATTAGACACTATGACAGTAATACTTTACTGGTAACATACCACCATCTTTATTTGTCAATTAAGGTTAAAACAACCAATTGTTAAATTTTATGTCAAGCACATGTGCAATAACAAAGTTTTCCAGGATAAGTCTAAGACAAGTTAAAGTTCTTTAATGTCAAGAAAAAAGCTTTGTTTCAATGTCAGAAATAAGGATTGCATAGCTGGGTATGAAACAAAGTTAACAAATATTAATAGGTTAAATAGTGCTTTTCCCTCTTTAACTTTTACCTTCTTCATCATCACTTCCCATCTCAAAATCCTCGTCATCATCACTTCCATCACCATAAGAGAGAGCAAGTTCAAGGAGATCATTGTTTTCAGCAGGTTTTATTTTTCTCTTATTTGGACCACGCTTTACTAAAGGAGCAGTTTATTTTGATACTAAAGATGACATTACACACAAAATATGCTATGTTTTGGAAATTTGAAACACCACAGAACTGCTTGTCTGGTGTATAGATTTTCAACTTCTGACAAGTTCCAACTCCATTTGATTAAGATTATTTAAGTGTTGCATACTACCTATGAAGTGGAAATCTTGAATATTAAAAGAGAATAAGCTTTATCCTTTTAGCAATACTGCTGCAATAGTGATCAACTGATCATGTTGCATGTTACCACAGACGCCTCACGTATATCATACATAACTCACAGATAAATCGACCCTTTGAAAATGGGTATTCATAAAAGCTAGTTACACAATACGGCATTTATAAATACAGTATATATTCAAATGAATCGAGTCGCTTTGCACTTACAAATAGCATTTAAAAGGTTTGCACGTTCGTCTTCCATATTATTTTTACTATATACTATATTTTGGTTGAACTACGTCATGTAAGCAGCGACATACTGACTTTAAAGGCTGAAACACACTAGGCAGTCGCTTTAGTTGCGCGTCTAAAACTACCGCTTTGCGTGGTTACTAAGCTAGTAGCGTAGTCGCGTCTACGGTGGCCCACAAGTACAAGCACACTTACACATAACAGCATACGCGCACAAATTCGAGGATGCACACTTACACATAACAGCATACGCGCACAAATCGAGGATGCACACTTACGCATAACAGCATACGCGCACAAATTCGAGGATGCACTTACGCATAACAGCATACGCGCACAAATTCGAGTGGCCCACATACAAGCACACTTACACATAACAGCATACGCCCACAAAAATTCGAATACTAACAAACGTAAGTTCAAAATTAAAAAGGAAAAGCCGGCAGTCTATTACTTGACATTTCTTTCCGCTGCTAAACACTACCTTTAAAGACTTATGGAAGATATCATTCGCAACTATTTTACTAAAAACTACACGTATGATACAATTCTACAGCTATTACAAAAATATCATGGAATTCGCATCTCTAGAAGTACTTTGCTGAATAAGCTTAAGCTTTATGGATTGCAACGACGTGGAAATACCGTTGATAAAGACCACGTAAGAAGATGCATTGTTCGAGAACTAGATGGAAGTCAGGGGCGGATCCAGGGTGGTGCAACTGATGCGAGTGCATCAGTCATAAAATTGAATATTTCACAACATTATAACTTACAATCAATACGAGCAAAATGCCAGAAATATATCAGATTGGAACGTTTATAGTTTCTAAATGCTTTAAATACCTTAACACTGACAATATATTGACAACAGATGTACATTGATCATTGAGAAATATTGTTAAAAGCCTTCGTAGATTGTTTACATGTGAGTATCATATTGATTACAGCCGCATTATTAAAAAATGCGTCGCTAAATATGGCGTTTTTATGTGTCGACATTTTTGGCGAAAATTTGTTTCATCATCCAGCTACACTGAGCTGAATTTGTACTACTACGTCACGGTGGCTAGATAGTGAATCACTACGTCACGGTGGGGAAAAAGTGCACCAGTTGGTGCAACAGTCCCGAGTCTCTTTGGCCGAGTGAACCACCTAAACGTCACGAATTTCATTGTTTTTTAGCCTACGTCACGGTGGGAAATCGCTGCTGACTGTTGCACTTAAGCCCACGAACACCAAAATTTCATTCTGACTGGTGCACTTGAGCCAGCGTTATAAATCTTCAAACCTTCAAAATTATAATTACATGACTATGGCATTTGGCTTATTTATATCTTGAAGTCATCATGGCTGAAAGTAGGCATATATACGATCTTGGCTCATTGATTCAAGACAGTAAAACCAGCGAGATTTCTTCTGTAAGAAAGGATTATGAAGGAAAAGTCTCTGCTGCCATTCCGACTAAAACAGACCTGTTTCGGAAAGGAAAGCTGGCGAGAAATCTTAACGCAGAGTTGCTTATCCCTAAGCATATGGGAGATAATTATGGGCTTTAAAGTAAGTAGCTTGAAGTGCTTACTGCTTACTATGCTTGACATTGTAATGCATAGCTATAGGTCTATACTTGTATTTCTGTAATGCTTATGGCTTACTCTCTTTAATGTTAGGAATATGATGGGAAGGGGCACATGGGGTGTTTATTCCCTGTTGCATTTATTTAAATTTCAAAGCATCCTGACCTGCATTAATCTATAAATGGAAATTTACTGTATTGTATTTTACAATGTCAATTTTCAAACTTCATGTCCAATATTGTTGGCTCAATGAAATTTAGCCAGTAGTATAATGCAATGCTCTGGATTTATGCCATAACTAGTGTGCACATAATTATGCATGTTGTTGTGCCAAGTTTATAAATTGTCATGTAACATAAGATCACAAAACATTTTATTCACTACTACATGTTTGAATTTGGGTAATCCTGCATTTATACTGGAGATTTCTTCGATTAAAGTCACTGGTAGAAGTCTCTACATACTTCCTGGAGAAATCTCCACTCTAATTGTGCTCACATGGATATTGTGATTTCAAAGTTACTTAATATACATAAAAATACAGGAGAGATAATTTAATATGACATTACTTCAGGATATTTCATAGATTTATAAATATTCCATGTAATATGTTGTAATATGTGCTCAATGTGACAGACAGAGAGGGCACATTTTTCATACATTTTGCTTGTTTATAAATACAAACTTTCTGAGCTATACAATGTGTTGAATGTAAGAGCTATGCTGGACCAACCATGTTATTCATTAGAGTTTTTCATTTTCAAATTGCATGCCTAATATTGTCAATTCCCTGAAATTTAGCAAAGCAAACTGTAATTACATATTATTTCAGCCACAACAATTCCTTATTATTTCTTCCATGCCTAGCTTGATAATGACTTTCATATGAAGTTGAAATATTGCTTTGAATCTTCTCTGTTGCTGTTATAACTAAAATCTTGAGTTTACAAGATGATGTTTTTTTGATTGTATGCTCTCATTTACAATCATGCACAGTGTGCCAAATTTCTAAATTTACCATAAAACATTATGATCACAAAAGGGTTGGTACACAGCAAAGCATTTTATTTACATAGATATGATGTTACTGTATTGTCTTTATATGATTATTATTATCTCAAAATTACCCACTATACATAAAGATATTAGAGCAACAGTTCTATATTGTAATTCTTTAACATATTTCATTGTATATTACATCACCATATTTTATTTTTGCATATGTGCATATGTGTATCCTGATCCTTATGTATAGAAGTCCTCACCATTGCTATTTGATTAAAGCTAGAGGGCACATAGTATTAGCTATTAGGTAATGACTTATACTCCCCTTGAAAGCTGGTCTGATGAATTTGGTTGAGAAAGTATAGCACTGGCATTACCATGCTTAGATTCAATTATCTAAAATAATATTTATGGATTGTTAAAGGCAACCCAAAAAATTACACTTTAAGGCTTGATGAATGTTCCCCTAAAAGGCTTTTCTTTATCAACATAGAGTCAATAGTGATTTTATTCAATAGACTTTCTAATTTTATTGCTTGTAGAACTAGATAGGTGATGGTAACTGCATGAACATTTCTTTGCTATGCCCACGTGATCTTTTCTGCTGTTGGAGGAGTGATATTATCAATGAAAGAAGAAGAATAACATTTATCATTACTTGTTGCCTGCCTTTGGTAACGATGATTACATCATGAACATTTCTTTGCTATGTCTAATGATTCTTTCTGCTGTTGGAGGAGTGATATCAATGAAAGAAGAAGAATAACATTTATCATTACTTGTTGCCTGCCTTTGGTACGATGATTACATCGTGAACATTTCTTTGCTATGTCTACGTATCTTTTTCTGTTGTTGTTGGACGAGTGGTATCAAGAGTGATTAATGGTCAAAAACTTGTGCTTCATTTGTGAGATATAAAAGGTTTCTTTGCGTTTCACGACAAAAAATGCGCCATGCTTCTACCTTTTTTAAATCACTCGTGGATTGGAATGATACCTTCCTGATTGTAAGTTTTGGCGAAGGTATGAAACTTGATAAATCTGAAAGTAGTAATGAAAATGTTTAAAGGTTAGTAGAATTTTAGATTTTATATCATTGAAATTTGCGAAATGTTTACAAACTAAGTAAAGCCAAGTTTTTTTTAAATTCTGTTGTCAAAACGCAGGAAATCGCATTTCCGACGGTCTAAAATATAAAATTTTCCGGGGGTATCTTCCCAGACCCCCTACAGAGCTAGCGCCTTTGGCGCTTGCAGTGGTGCATCAGTCACGAAAATTGCTGGATCCGCCCCTGATGGAAGTGGTAAATTATTGGGCTATAGAGCCATGTGGAGACGATTGCAGTCAAAATATGGCTTGCAAGTTCCTCGTTTGGTTGCTCAAACCACCCTTCAAGAAGTGGATCCAGAGGGATCGAAATGGAGACGGGCTAACCGTCTTCGTAGAAGAGCTTACATGAATCCGGGGCCAAATTATTGCTGGCATGCCGATGGTTACGACAAACTTAAACCGTATGGTTTCCCCATCCATGGGTATATAGATGGATTTAGCAGGAAAATACTGTGGTTAAATATAGTTCCTTCAAATAATGATCCCCGCGTAGTGGGCAGGCTATTTTACGACTGCATATCTAATATGCAACTCTGTCCTAAAATTCTTAGAACAGATAGGGGAACAGAAAATGGGATTATGGCATCAGCCCAGTGTTTCTTACGCCGAGATGGTACGGACACACATTCTGACGTCAATGCTCATCAATATAGATCATCACACAGCAATCAGCGAATAGAAGCATGGTGGGCCATGTTACGTCGCTCGTGGGCCTCGTGGTGGATGAATTTTTTTAAGGATTTGATAGCTAAAGGGGTTTTAGACACAAGCAACGTACTTCAACTTGAATGTCTATGGTTTTGCTTTAGTCCTGTCTTAAAAAAAGGACTTGACCAAATCAAGGAATCGTGGAACAGTCACTATGTACGCAAATCCAGGTTTTACACTCATGCGGGGATCCCTGATCAGCTTTACCTTCTACCTGAAGCAGTTGGAGCTGAAGATTTTCAGAAACAATATGACGACGAAGATCTTATAGAGATTTACAATTCAGTTAATGTGTCGACAGAAAAGGTCTCTACATATCAAAAATACTTCTCGTATAGTGCTGGTGTGTTACAAATAGGACAGATCCAGACATGGAGAGAAGCTTTAATGGCATATGAAAGACTTCTAGAAGCAGCTTAAAGCAAATAGCAATGAACAAAACATATTTAACATTAATAACTCAAAACGATAACGTATATGGTAATCTTATAAAGAAATAAGATAATTTCATATTCAGGGAAGGTCCATAACCTCCATCTTCATATGACACCACATCATTGTCCATAAAATCTTTTTTAACAAAAGTGAACTAAAAAAAGTGTTTCTACAATGTAAAACACAATATAATATGTCATAATAGTGTGCTAAAACATGTGATAGAACTTTCATACAATGTCAAACGACCAGGCACTTTTTTCTCTTAGGATCGACGAAAACTCCTCTACAAGTTCATTATAAAATTGATAAGTGCTGGGAATCTCTAGCAATGGTCCACATGTGTGCTACAGGACGACGTTGTAAACCATTAAGTTCTGTAAATGACACTTTTAACTTTTGACCTTCTAAAATGATATCAGAACCTGTGGTAAATTGAAGGAACGCGGTTACGTTGCCACCTAGAGACTTTATATAGCGCACCAAATGATCAAATGCATTTCTTGTGCCTCATTTTCGGGAGGCATCTAGAATTTTCAAAACCTTTTGGACGTGGGTTTTCTTTCTTGGTAAAAGCAAAGAATGCTTGCAACATCTTGAAACGCAGGATGACTTTTCAATGATTGCAATATTGTTGCCCAACAATTGGAAACGTATCAGTCTTTGGATAAGTTCTTGGTGAGCTAATTGGCATAATATATCTTCAATATTTTCTTCTGTGGGATTGAGATAGCACTTGTAGCTTCCTCAAAATTTCAAGTAAGTCTTCATTTTTACATATCTGTGATCGATTTTTCATTAAGTTATCAACCACTTCTCTCTCGTCTTCAGCCATATACTCCATGAAAGAGTTTAACAGCACTTCACAAGAAACACTGTCTTCACCATGGAGAGTACATGCAACAAAAGCTGAACACAATGTAATGGGGAACACTCCTTCTTTGCAGTAGCCATACAACATGATTCTAGCCACTGCCTCCCATTCCAGCTTTTGATAATCATGACGAATGGCTGGCACCTTGGTAGATGCTCCAATAGATAATGACTGATAAAAAAGGTGCCAAAACTCTGTAAGAAGATCACGTGCAACACCTCTTCCTTCTCCCTCCTCAAACATACCTCTTGCATCAACTACTTTAAAAAATATAGTAGATTTCAATACATTTGGATTATAAAATTCTGTTATCATATCTTTCAAAAGGGTTGTGCGATGGATTAGCAGATCTAGCACATGCAATTGTTCCTCGGGTAAATTAACTTGAGCTGGTTGTACAAGATTTGGCTCTGGTTCAATAATATCTAGTAGGGATTCAGTTACATCTAAAAAATAAATTTAAAATACAAAAACAATGAAATATACAAAATGTATAGGATACATATGTAACAACTCATTAGTTATACCTGCATCCTGAAAAATTTGCAGGCATTTCACCTGGTTCCATAATGATTTGCTCAACTGAAAATGAATCAACCTGAAAGGAAACAGCTTCCACACAACTATTATCAACATTAACAACATTGCTTGGAACAGGATTTGTTTGAACATGGCTGGCCTCCACTAGACTAGCTTTTGCAAGACTAGCTGGAACAGCATTGGTATGAGCATGATTAACTTCCACAAAATTATCTGGTGTTGCATTGACTTGTTGAGAATTTCCCAGTTCACATATAATTTGTGAAGAATTTTCTTGCACAGAATTATCTTCAAAAACATCAGCAGTATCTGGAACAACCGTTTCCTTGAGGTCTTCAGTCAAATCATTGGCTACTAAATTTAGAATATAACATAATTACTAACCCTACAAACAAATTCTTTTGAAGGTTTAATGTTAGTTGCAAGATAATTATTCTAAGGCATTTTTTAACTTTTATGTACTAGGGCATTTTTCGCATTTTGCTCTGTGCTTGCCCCAGTAGTGAACCTTTATTCACCAGTAAAATACAGTCAATAGGCCCATTCAACTCTGGGAAGCTCAGAAATGTTGCTTCAATAAAATGTGACTGCTTTTTGATTATTTATTGCATGACATATCAGTTTTCAATACAGCCAGTGTTTGTCTTGTGCAATGCCCCTAATGCTCACTCCAGCAGTCTAAATGCAAAAAAAATACCCGGACTTATTTTGAACTCAGTGTTTACCTTCAAAATCAAGCATTTTGCAAATGTACAAATTTACTCGACTGTATGACGTCCAAGTTCATTTATACATTTTTCCACAGAGAATTTTTCACTGCTTCCTGGAATATTTCCCACGATATCCATATCAGGGTAAAGTAAAAGCCACTCAGTTTCATTATGATCTCTGAGATGTCTGTTGTGGGCAAGCTGTTTCTGAACTCCGGCATTCTTTACAGGAACTAATGTATCTGATTTTCGAACATCAACAGGAAGTAAAGAAGATCTTCTTATTTTAAGTCTTTTACCGTCGAGTTCAATTATTCCAATCTTTATCTACAACACAAAATTGAGTTTCATTAACCAAATTTGTATAATTGGCATAATCATAACATTGAATACACATACCTTCACTACTTCATCTTTCTTCTCCTTTTTTTTTATTTGACTAAATCGTTCATTTGACTTCCTTTTTCTAATAGTTTGAAAGGTAGACGAACTACCAGCGCGGTGGGAATTTCCTAGTTGATCGCCACGATCAGTGCAAGGATTGGCGACTGCGTTCTTCTTTATGTACTCTTCGAAAGTTAACGGTTGTTGACTAGAGGCCGAAGGTTTAATTTCTGATACACTTGCACCACAGTTCTCGCAAAAATTTGCATTTTCATCCTTTTCTTTTCCACAATGTGGACAAAACATCGTTGGGTTATTGACTTATTGCTATTGTGAACATGTGAATCATGAAATATTTCTCGCCGGCAATCTTTTCGGTTTTTGCAGCCCGATTTTACGAAGCGTCATGTAATAAGCCATGAATGTGAATATTTATTTGTGCGCGTATGCTGTTACGTAAGTGTGCATCCTCGAATTTGTGGGCGTATGCTGTTATGTGTAAGTGTTTGTACTTGTGGGCCACTCGAATTTGTGCGCGTATGCTGTTATGCGTAAGTGTGCATCCTCGAATTTGTGCGCGTATGCTGTTATGTGTAAGTGTGCATCCTCGAATTAGTGCGCGTATGCTGTTATGTGTAAGTGTGCTTGTACTTGTGGGCCACCGTACGCGTCAGCTAGTCGCTTTGAAAGTTCAACATGTTGAACTTTTGACTTTGGTCGCTTCAGTCGCTTTACACTGATTGGCCAATAGATACATTTTAACTTCCTAAATGCATATCATATTTCCTGTCATAAGCATCATACGAAATTTATAGATTATACCTTGGAAAACGAAGGCAATATATAGTGAATTCACACTGGAATCTTTCAGTTTTTATATGACTTATCAAATAGGGACAATAGGAGCTACAAACTGGAACCCTAATGTACAAAAATAAGAATAAGATTATCCACGATATACGCGTAATGGGCTATGATCATATTGGCGTGTTTTAACTGACTTGTTCTCTTTTCTCCCCATAGTAGTGTGTACTGAGTAAATATTCATATATTAGTAGCTATAATAAAGGCCAAAATAAAAAGTTTAAGTGATATCTGTGTTTGTAACAAACTAAAATTACCGCCATGTTCAATAGACGCCACGGTAAATGTCGCGATGGTCGCTGCATGTGTGTTTCTAGCGTTCAAGGGACTGACGCGTGCGCATCAATTCGCTTTGGACGCGCGACTGAAGCGACTGCCCAGTGTGTTTCAGCCTTAAGACTTAAGGCAGGCAAAGGTTACCGACGCGAGTTGACCTTCTATGTATTCTCTATTCTATGCTCCTACCTTCAAACATCTTCCAATAGCCGCCGCCACATCTGCTATTTAACAGTTGTTACTAATATACAAATTTGCGTAGCAATTATCGTATCGCATATATGCATCATCTCTTCTTTTTTCAAAGAAAGGACAAATAGAACAAGGCCAACTTTTCACAAAAGTATTTTACATTTTAAGAGGAGCATAAATCTCCGCCCAAGTAAAGTAGCATCGGAAAAAGCTGCACTCAAATTTGAATGTCATTGGTTTTCTTTGGTTGGCTGCAATTTACTCAAACTTGTCTCAATCAGCCTGTCTTAATCCCAGACACAATTTACATCAAGGTACAATTGTACATCCTACAATTTATGGCTAAAACAATAGAGAACAGAGACTTTAAAAAAAAGAAAGGAATTGCACATTATCATTCCTCAACGTTATCTTACTCTTCCTGCTTACCAACAACAGCCATCTTGAATGAATTTACTATTGATATTCTATGGATATAAAGATCACATAATATAAATATAACAAAATGAGACTCCAAGAGTGTATAAAAAGAGAACATGAGGCTTTTTGAAGTGCGAAAGAGAGCTGAGAGTGGCCTGGATTTAACATTTGACAATTTCTGCTGATGATTCTCAACATTCCTTCGTCGTTCATGCAAAAATTAACGTTAATGTAAAAGAAAATCATGTACATTTTTTTAAACTAAAGAGATTGAAATATTTACAAACATCAATAGAGACTATAATAATATAAAGACAAATACAGTATTTAGTATTTGCGTTCTCAAATTTCATTGAAAGTAAACAAACAATTTTAAAGAAATGGATCTCAAAAAAATACAATGTTAATTTATCAAAAGACATGTCTATGAATAATGAAGTATTCAAGTTCACACAGCTAAAACATCTTTTGGGCTGAAAACTTCTGTTTTGGTTACATTTCTACATATATATATAGGACTACATTTTTTTCATGGAACAAAACCGTCCCTAAAAACAAAACACCAAATTAGGTCAATATTATATTTATACTAAATCCATCGATTTTTCAATCGATTAAGTATTTACAAAATTATACAAATATTTGTTTTAAAAATGACTCGTCATTCCATCGCAACAGTAAAATATTTTCGACGTGACCACGTATTTATGGACATTTGACGCAATCTTTTTTCTATTTTTACAAAACATCTGAAAGTAAGAAAGAATCAAGGTATTTTGCATGTTTAATTCCATCACATTGAATCAACAAAAACTGTAGACATAAAAAATGGCAAGTTAAGATAGTTCTCATTTCGCAACTAAACTAATCTTAGAAAATGGTTAAAGCCATTCGGCCAATCAGCATCCTGTATTTTGATGTTCTATATCTCATAGTGACTAAAATTCATGAATTGCTGTTGCCTATAAAAAGGTGCCTATAAAATGCATAGATGGAGTGAAAACAATGGAGAACAATTGCTTATTGGTATTCTCTAAATCTCAATATTATACTGTATATAGAGAGTACTAGTTTAGATATTGTGTTATTATAGTTCAATTCTATATTACAGTATTCTCCAAATAGAAAATACTAATGAAGTTAAATAAACATCCTCGTGACTTTGGACATGTTCGCATAAGATATAAACTCACTCGGGCTAAAGGCTCGGAACTCTAAATCCCGTAGAACACACGTGATCATGCTTTCACCTTTACATCTTCATAATCGAATTTTCAGTTTTATTCACAATATACAAAATAAACATATTTTGTATATTCATAATATACAAAATAAACACAAAAATTATGAGAAGTAAAAATACCGTGGATAGTCGATGTTCAATCGGAATCTCTGTTGATTTCCAACCATCTTTTTTCGAAAAACTGTCGTAATCTTTTGCCTGCTTGTCCAATCTTAGTTAAATAAAAAAAAGAAATTACATCTACTATTGCATGCATAAAGAGTGCACAGCCTTTTGGCTAGACTTTCCGCTTAAAATTATTTTACATCAATTTTATGTACTCATATAAAATTTAAAACATATGATACTATAAATAACAATTCTCGTTTAATAAAGAAAACATAAAGCAACATTGTCCAACATTGCATTGTTATGGAAAACCGTATCGTGCGTATTAATCCTTGTTTACAAGGTACATTTTATTTTTATCTTTGAACGAGTTCTTTCGTGCATCCAATTTATCATTCATGTATTTAAGCATAGTCTGCCATGGCTTTAATTGTGGTCTTCTAAACACTGTCGAGTTTTAAATACAAGTATGTAAAGAACGATTTTTCATTTACTAAAGCTTCGAAAGCGGCGTATAATATAGAAACTGAGAGTGTTTTTACACTACAAAACATACGTGAAACAATAAGAAACCTTTATACAACAGACACGCTACAAACAACTGGGTCATATAGTCCTGTGCTGTCCGTTGTATGAAAGTTCCACTGTTTTTCTTATCATAACATCCTTCTTTGAAAACAAGTAAATTCTCAAAAAAAACTAAAAAAACGTAATATGTCTTTTTAACTAAGTAAGAGGTCAATGAAAAAGTTTTCTTTTAAATGACACGAGACATTTGTACTTGAAAAAAACATGCATTTTATTATTTTTTGAGATTTTTGCATTTTAGAATCGTGACATACATAACTGAACACACTATACAAGTGTTCCCCACGCATATGCATTATTGTTTCACAAAACATCACGTTTGCTTAAGGAGATGAAAACGGACTTTTTCCATATATTGAAATTAATTATAACCATGCATACTTACTTCTGATTCATCTTCATTATAATGGTTACAATTATCAAATATAAGACGAGTGTCCGCTGCAAAGTCCTCCCGTGATGTGTACCTAGAACAATAAGACAAAGTTTACTATTCTATTGCATTAGGTACGACAAATCTGTGAAAATCTCAAGTTAAAAAAAGGTGAGAAATACCATACAGGATTAATAAGATTTGCTTTTATATGTAAAACATCCTTGACAGAAAGCGTTTCAAGTTACTTACTGAAAATCTCTTAACTTGACTTTCATTGTGTGAAAGTCCATTGGTGACAGGATTATTGTGTAATATTCAGGAAACTAGGAAAAAAACACTCAATTATAGATATTAGCAGATAGATATTTTAATCAAACAATAAGTGAATATTTCTAAAATAATTTATACACAATGGAGCATATCTTCTGTTATAAATGACTTCATTACAAACATTAAAAAATAGTTTTATCTTTCTCGAAGCATTTCACCTGTTTCGGATTTACAGGAACTAAAAATGGCCAAGCTTCTTCGTGCTTTTCCATTTCAGCAAGAATCATACGACAAGGCGCCATATCTTTAGAACATTGTTTTCTGTTAAGATGTCTTGATTCATCAATTGTAGAAAGATTTTGTTTGTCAACTTTTGCATCTTTTTCATCTTGAAGATGTTTTTTTCGCTTTCTGCTAGTTGTGGACGCACGACTTCGTGATTTTGACTGAAACATATATGTTACATGAAGTTTTATGTTGCTCAATGTTCACACACGTAACAACAGTAAGAATTCGACTACAACAAACTGAGCTACACAAACATAATCTTAACATTATCTTAAACCAACAGTATTTATATAATTTAGTTTAAATCAGTGTTTTAATGAGATCCATGAATTTGATTTAAATTCTTGCATACAATCACAACTCGTTAACGTTCTTGACAGACCAAGCAGTGCAGTAAATTGTACAATATATAATTACAGTTAAATACGTAGCCAAGCAGAATCAACTATTTCATATTATCAACATCCTCCTTGACTTTATGTCTGAAAACTAACCTTGACCTTCTTGCAATTAGGACAAGACCAACAGCGAGGTATTCTGAAAAAAAGCCAAAGAACAAATGAAATATCTTCACATATCATTGTGCTTGTAAACAACAATATAACTGTTTTTAACACTATAGTTTTTATATCCAAGATGTCATGAGTGTCGGATATTGAGGTGCTAAGTAGCCGCGTTACAAGTCAATGAAGTTTACTGCAAACTGAGGTCGAAAAAAATGATGCACAAGAAATAAAAATATAAAATTTCAATTTCTCCCATAGCATTTTTCATTATTTACCGACTAGAATTTTCAAGAAATTAAGAATTATACCCAGCTATTTAGCGTTACGGCTTTGGACAGCCCGGGAGTACCTAACTGCCAATTTACAGAGGAATATAAAGCGCATTAAACCCTGTCTTGATTGATGCATTGATTGATTCATTAAAAGGTGTATCATCCGTTCTACGATGTTCTATTTTTCTCCACAAATTTAAAATCATCAACGGTCAAAGTCGCCGATCAACAAATACTCGTCTTATTTAAATTATAATTTATCAGTGCTGGTGGAGTACAATCCCATGTTCAAATTACGTGCTCGAGTTTGATTTTAGATGAGGTATCTTACTTTGAAAGAGGTGGATCAACACACTGTGGATGGTAGTTTCTAGGACACTGTGTGCAACGAAGAAGTCTTTCTTGTGTTCCACGACACGTAAAGCAGCAACTTTTACCGGTAGCCTAAGGTAAAAATTTAAAAATCCCAAATCATGTTTTCGAAATCATAAGATAGTCAGGTAGTACACATAGAGTTTTGGCCACTACAAGAAAATACACTTCATTACACTTTCTTACGACTTAGTTTAATATCTGTATAACTTACCATAATGATACAGTCTGTACAATACCAATCTCCCTGGGGAATCTCGTCAAATTTCGGCTGAAAAAAAAGATTTTATCATGGTACCGATATTTTCAACAACACAACTCTAAAAGTAATAAATGGCCATTTTTTTTGTGTACGAGATTTTCTCTCAACAACTGAAGGAGGAAAATGATGGATGATGTTACAATTTATTACCTGACAACAGTATGTGTGATAACCACGATCACATCCGTCACAAAGTAACAGAAGTTCTTCGTTGTCACCTTTACGACACATCTGACAAAACTTTAAGAAAAAAAAGTTATCTCAAGGAAACAATTTCTACCCTGTACAATCTACAGATTAATCACTAAACAAACATGAGATGTGTGCCCCCAAATATCCAAATTTATCCTATTTATGTCTAATCTAACCCCATATCACACTACGTAAATACAACTGCTACGTATACGTACGTACATAAAACATGATGATGGTTCTCGACATAAAGATTTAGGAAACTTACAACTTTCATTATTGATTTTTCCCAAGCGATACAATCATTCAGCAACATTAAGCACATATATAACTGAGCAGGCGTACGACTGGCAGAGACAGTTTCTCGCCACAACTTTAAAGCAGGCGTGACGATTTCTTCTTTCTCACTTCAAAAACAAACAAAAACTGGGTTGTGAAATATTCAATTCTGGACTCAAAGGAACGTTTAAAATTTTTGCAGTATTTTTAAAGCAAAATTTTGAGTAAAAAATATAACTTTAAAAGTATACCTGGGGGCTTGAGACCCTGCTTCAGCAGTCTGTTCTTCGTTTTTATTGACGGGTCCATTGCTCAATTTTGACGGAATTTGCAATTTGCTACTCAAAAGAAAAACAAAACTAGTCAGCGTTTTCTCGTTTCCGTCATTATAAATCTTGCCAGTAGCACAGCACGCCGAAAACTTTACAACGTACGTTTTACATGTGCAAACAATACATGGAATCATTTGATCCATGTTTAAAAAAGTCAATATAATGTCACATCATGACACTTTGTGCATTAACAGACATTTTGTTTGAATAAAAAGATATTCGAATATTCCTTTATTACGAGACTTCTAATAAGTTGAACAAATCAACAAAAATAACACTCGTAAAAATGTCCACCACAATGACTGCAGACGTTACAAGCATTTTCTTGTACTAAAACATACTCATTTCGTAATGGTGATTTCAAATATCTTCGCTCAATTCCAGCTTCAAGAGACGCAAGTCGAGTAATGGCAATCGTCAGTGGCAGTCCACATAAATTTTCAGGTTTACTTCCATCTGCAATTTCATATGGAAAAAACGTTTAGTTTTAATGGAGGAGTCAGGAGAAATTAAGGTAATTGCGTAGGTGATCAATCCAGTTCAACAAATAGCTCAGAATTGTTTGCGTCAACAAAACCACTTCAATGAACAATGAAAACAAATAAACATGATACTACCTGATTTAACAGTGTATGTCAGTGTTTGTGATGCTTTTGGCGGTAGTTTCCATCCCTGTAATAATGAAAAATAAACAATTTTACATCTCTAGCATATAAGTAGCTATAAGAGCCTTATTTTCCTGTTAAATACAGATATTGCTATGAGCATAGTGACGCATTTCGTTTTTCATAAACTTCTTTGATTATTGCGATCCTTTGATATAATAATAGGTAAGTATACGTAGCTCGTAGCTAGATTTTTACCTTCACTTGTAAACTTGCTGCAAATATTTTCTCCTCCAATTCTTCGACCTCTATAAGGATATTTTTATTAGCAGCAAACGCTTGATCAGGAAACCAATCATCAGTAAAGTCCATTTCCATGTCTTGCTCGTCCGTTTTTTTAGCTTCGTCTTCCTCATCAACATCAGTCGATACTACAGCGTAAACGGTCAAAAATAAAAAAAAATAACCAATTACAATCTTAAACCCGTAAATAAATCATAAAATATCAGAATACTAAATATGAAATCTTTATAAAAGTATCTACGAAAGTAAAAATGATGCCAACAATAAGTTAAATGGATGAAACACAAAAAAAACTTACATCGGTACTCTTGCTTCGTAAATAAATGTTGTGTATAATCATTAAATTTCAAAATATTTTTTTGTAAACTTTTTTCTCGAATGCCTCTTTGATGTAATGTTTTCGAGAGATCCTTTAATAGTCGTTGATCAGTGACTCTCCACCAACCAGTTTTCATATCTGACAATTAAAGAAAAAGTAATGCCTTTTAAAAAGACCTCCTTTCCCAAAATCATCACAGAAAAACACAAGGTTTCTCAATCACACCATTTTCAGGACGAATTCAGAAATATCCAAATAATTTTTGATTTATGGAGCTGGAAATCAAAAACCTCTTCGTAAATTTCAGATATAAATGTTGCTAAACATTGTACAACTTAAAATACAGGTAAAACGAACAACTGTATATTTAATTGATAAGCGTTTTCCAGTGACTGTGCAACAATCATTGAATTCCTATTAATACCATTTTAACTGTCTCTTATAATCGAAAGGATGAGGACAATTAACATATAATACGTATAAGAATTCAAAGTACGTAGATGTGTGACACCGTCATTTCCATACTAAATTTTAAAATAATTCCTCTCGACAAGTTTCCTTATATTGCTATGGGAATATTTTATCGGGATTATTTTATGTGACAGTAGACATGTCAAGTTAAATGTTGAACAACACAAACCTTGTGGTACAGGTGCTGGATCTTGTCTCAGAGACTCCATCACACTACGTCGTACTTCTTCAAGTGTTAATGGTCGTGGTAATGAAGACAAATGATAACAATGTTGGGGTGCTTCACTGAAAATACTTTCCTGTATTACCGGCCGTGATGAACCAGATAACAAGCCACCTTCAACAGACTTGGTTTGCTTAGGAGGTCTACCAGGCCGTCTTGGACTATTGCTATCTAACATCACACGTTGTGAATATAAACTAGGCATCCAGCAATTCGTTATGGTGCCTTTATCACAAGGTTCCCTCGGTAAAAGATTGAACCATGGCCCACTTTGACCTTCCATTATCATTCCTCCCATGTTACAGTTGCCATCTTCATACTCAGAGCCCGATGGATGAGATGATGTATAACTAACATGGTTCTTAATTGCACGTACTGGGGTTGTGTCCGACATATCATTGCCATATTTCCCATGTTGCATTAACAACCTCATTGAAAAAGAATCATCACATGATCCGTTTCCATGGTTACTTTTTGACTGTCCTACAAAATCACTTGTTGGTGACTTCATTTCTTCAAGATGCTGACTAAAACCTGGACTGAACACACCAGGTCTGCCTGCATTCTTAGTTTCTGTAATGGAATGAACATCCCCCAACTTTGAAAAATCAAAATTTTCCAACCCAGTCTCGCCACTGTCATTTCCTTCAATATATAAACTACCACCGTAGGGTAGAACCCAGTACATTCGTCGAAAACGATCCTGTCCCAAGTACAGAGCTCGCAGCGAATGAGAAGACGCAAAGAGCTTAGCACGAAACTGAACTTGTTTCTAAAACAAAGAAAAGACGGTATAACCTTCAAAATTGAAATTTAGATATAAAACTTACGCAGGTATATGTTTTGAAAGCAAAGCAAATTGTAAGTATATTTATAAACAAAGGAAAATATTTGGTGCCAGGCATACAAAATTTTTTCCTTGGATATTCAATTTTAGTCAGTTCAATCATTGTTAATTTAGTTTGTTTAATACCCCCTTTATAACTTTTATATATAAATAACGTAGTAAAGATGACACGATAGCTCTAGACTACATGAATATAAACAAAATACTTGAATCTCGTATGAAATGCTATCTTGCCTTTTCTAGACGTCTAATCCGTGATTCAAATTCTTCCAATGTTTGTGGTTCTGGTTTTTCCTGTGCAAAAAGACAATTATTTGTATTTAGTATTTTATGCACGATCGTCTACACGGTCAAACACGTAAAACATCACACAACGACATTGCCTGGTATGCAAAAAAAAACTTGAATAACATCATTAGTTTCTTCCAAACAAAACCTGTGAAGACTTTGATTGTTGATCCGCGAGTGAAAATTGATTATTAAACTTTCAAAGGTACTTATTGGCATCAAAAAATAAAATATGTTAACTTATTAAATGGCTATGAGGAATAAGTAATGACAAACCTCGTCACCAGATTCATCATCAGTATCATCATCATCATCTTCGTGAGCAGCTTCATCTTCTTCACCACCACCAACATCATCTTCTTCTTCATCTTCGTCATATTCTTCTTCTTCAACTTCATCTTCGTCATCCTCTTCATCACTGCCCTCACTTCCCTCATCATCCAAAGTTTTTCGTTTATGTTCTTTATCGTTTGTTGTTGATGCAGCTCTAGCAACAGAGTTAGTAGTTTTTTTACCGCCACTTTTTTTTTCTTCAGCTGCAGCCGATGTTTTGGGAGGAATCTTGCTCTCGGGGAACTTTTGCTGTTGCTTTGCTTTCAGTCTGGTTAAATACAAAAGACAAACAAGAATTACGTATGGAGAGAATGTTCATGTATGTTTACAGTGATAAACTATGATTAAGTATGGAGAGAATGTTCATGTATGTCTACAGCGATAAACTATGATTAAGTATGGGGAGAATGTTCATGAACGTTTACAGCGATCAACCATGATTAAGTATGGGGAGAATGTTCATGAATGTTTACAGCGATCAACCATGATTAAGTATGGGAGAATGTTCATGAATGTTTACAGCGATAAACTATGATTAAGTATGGAGAGAATGTTCATGTATGTTTACAGCGATCAACTATGATTAAGTATGGGGAGAATGTTCATGAATGTTTACAGCGATAAACTATGATTAAGTATGGAGAGAATGTTCATGTATGTTTACAGCGATCAACTATGATTAAGTATGGGGAGAATGTTCATGAATGTTTAGTGCGATCAACTATGGTTAAGTATAGAGAGAATGTTCATGAATGTTTACAGCGATCAACCATGATTAAGTATGGGGAGAATGTTCATGAATGTTTACAGCGATCAACCATGATTAAAATGATAAAAATTAGTCAAAATGCTCGAATGTGTTCATAGCATGTAACTCATGTACTTAATAAGGCAAACATTCATATATATATTAACGAATATACATACATATGAACATTAGCACAGCTCAATTATCCAAGAAACATAAAATAACATACTTTCTTAAGTTGCCCTCCGCGATCCATTTATTGTGTCGCAACGATGACATATACTCGATCTTATTTTCGATTTCTCGACAAATAGTTCGTCCACACAGCAACTCGTTACATATAAAAGCCAAAGAAGCAGCTCTTTGCGAAGGACTTAATGCAGTAAAAGGTTTATCAGTGAGAGCATCTGATATCTATAAATATGAAGAATACCAGGGTTGTACGTGATAATTTATTATCTCTTTATTTAAAGTTATTTCGTATATTTGCTTAATAAAATTGACATTGACTCTTTCATGTGCTCTTAAATCACAGGCTTAAAGCTTCATTCCCATGCAGCCATATTTTGGCTTTAGTTGATGTTGGGCGACTATCAGGCCGGAGCACACCTCTAGGTGCATGTTAAATATACATTGTAGTAGATGAATGCAATAGTAATATTAAAAATAAATATATAACGAATAGAATAACGTGCATAAAACCAAGCGAGATCGCATAGAGCCGACAGCCACTGTGAACTGTTGGGTACAACATTAGACCCATGACTGAGACTATAGAGTGAAAAAATGAAACATGGGTACGTACAATGTAACCATATATGAATAATTTATTATAAAAAATGCGTTGATCCGTGCAAAATGCTTCCCTATGTTCCAAGTGTTGAAATTATTTAATCAGGTGAGACTGTCTAAGCTCATCAGAGCGGATATGTTAATAAAAATTACCAAGTAAGGTCACACTATACGGGTAGCTTTTCCATTAATTTACCATCAATCATTTGCCTCATTACGCACATGGTGGAATGCAAAAATGGAAGCTAGACGTACGTAGACAAATACATACAGTTACTACAGTAACCACAAGCAATTTCAGGCAAATTCCTTTTTTTCCGATTATAGTTTGGTTTTTACTCCTCAGACAAGTTGGCAATATCTTGCGTGATTACGTCATTCTACATGATCAATTTACGTATTACGACAGCTCGGGTGTCAACGTCACCAAAATGAAAATTTTAAAATCTACCTACGTATATTTGTAATGTCAGATTACATTGGAGATTACATTTTGTTATTTTATTTAGCAGACGTTGACACCTGAGGAGTAGTCTGCCGAAATGAATCGTGTCTTACGTCAGCCAACATGATCAATTTATACCTCGTTTGGTTCAGCGTTTCGTGCGAGAATAAATAACCTCAATATTTCAGAGACATTGTGTTCATTTAGTTCTACTTGATCAAGTTTCACTCCTAGTGCTGTTTCCGCCTAAAACGACAATAAAATAAAGTTTTCAAACTTAAATCATCTGACATTTGCTGATTGAATCAAGTCAATACAATCAGTCTAACTCAATAATATTGACAATTTCTTAAAATCCTTCAACTCACACAAGGTCCTTCGACACCTGGATCATCAAGTGCAGCTAACAGCAACGTTTGACATAAAGGAGTAATAACATCTTCATCATTTTCATTTAGTAATGATGCTTGAATATCACACATGCTTGGTACTTCATTCTCAAAATCTGAAGCAATTTATAAACAAATATTTAGACAAGTCAATGTATTTCAGAAAGAATAGTCTTGTGTAATGCAAGAAACAAGTAAAAAAATACAATTGAGAATAATCAACACGAGATTATAGTAAAGCATACCAATATCCAAGGCTTGGGAAAAATTATGGAGAAATTCTTGGACCATACATAGATCTGCAAAAGCATTTCCAGTTATTTTAAGATCTTTTACTCTTGTTAGTTCAGGTAGAGGCTACAAGAGAAAATTGCACAATGAACGTTAGCTAGAACCAGTGGATAAAGACGTATCCACCAGCCACCCTGATTAAGTCATAAATATTTGAACCTTAGCGTCCCTCAAAACCATATCTTCAACGGGTTTTTTCAGTTCGCGAGACAAAATCATTTCCCTTCGTTTTTGCTCCTGCAGCAAAACAACAAAATTTAATATATAGCTAAAAAATGCAACAAAACACAAAATTTTACAAATTTATAAAATACCAATTTCCTCTCTTTAACAAGTTTCTTTGCTCTTCGTTTTTCTTCTTTAAGACGTTCCTTTTCCTGAAATTTTACCATGTCATCCAGTAAGAGAAAGGAGGTTAATTATGTCTTCTCCAACCAGTTATTATAGAATAAGGGTTAATCTACACTTTCACAGGTCGCCCACCAATAATTTAGTACATTCAACCTAATTTTAAGATGAATTTTCACCTTATAGACATTTTAGTATCCTAAACTCACTCGGACAACAAATGTGAAAGACATCAAAATTATCAGAAAAATGGAGTTTGTCCTCAGGCTAACAGAACTAAGTTTGAACTAAGAACCAAAATTACTTTATTCAACTAGAGTTGACTAAAAATATGTTGCTCTTTGTACTTTTACGAATGCAAGTCATTTTCATGAATTGATACATCATCATAAAGGTTTTGCAGATCTTGCGCGCTGATAACTTTAACATCATTTTCCTTACATGTTTGTAGATCGTCCAATAGTCCTGAGAAGGACTGTTTTGTTGTTGACTGACGTTTCGACAACCTTAGCGGTAGTCATCTTCAGAGTCAAACAAGTCAGAGTCATTTTGACTCTGAAGATGACTACAGCTAAGGTTGTCGAAACGTCCGTCAACAACAACAAAAACAGTCCTTCTCAGGACTATACCAACCTGGACGATCCACATTTACAAACATGTAACGATACTCCCGGGTTCAAACCATTTACAACATTTTCCTTAATGTTCAGTTTTTTTATACACCCTGTAAAGCGCACAAATTCAATTCCAAATTACCTGAGCTTTAAGGAGAACAGCCTGCTGTTTTCTTAATTCTCTTTCCTGAGCAGAAAGTTTAAAACAAAAACTAAAACATTGGTAGAAGGTTGATGAAAACATAATTTAATACAACAAACAATTGTTTTGAGTTAAAAAACAATGTACAGTAAGTCAATATGAAAAAATGCACCACGCATACCTTTGCCTTTCTCATTGCTTCGTAATACCTAGCATTAGCAACATCTTCTTTTTTCTTTTTCCTTGCCTAAATAAAATTCAAGAATATTTAAAGTTCGTATTAAAAAAAACAATTACCCAAAATAAAATTCTAAGTAAGAAATTATAATTCAACAAAAGTAACGTAAGTGTAGTGATTTGTCTTACTAAATGGCTGTAATTACTTAGAATTTTATGTTTGGCAATTGTTTTTTAATACGCATGACTCCGTTTCCTGCCTGGCAAGTCACTCACTGTATTTAAAGTTATAAAATCACGCACTTGAGCATCCATAAATCGCTTAAACATAAAGGAAAACACCAGATGAAAACGGGGGGAAGCTTTCAATTTTATGTTAGTTCTTATCCATACAAACAATTAACAGTTAAATTGATTTCTCTCAATGCATTTACGCAACTATGTGTCACCACAATAGAACAAACAACCATACTTCAATAATTTGTTGAGCTTTGACCTCTTTTTCCATCTTCTGCTTTTCCAGTTTTTGAATTTTTTGCTTAAAGTTAAAAAAGAAGAGAAAATCAAAACAAGAGCAGTAATATAAGTAATTATTTTGTTATAATACCTCCTCTTTTGACCGCTTTTTTTGTTCTGCAAGCATACGGGCTGTTGTAAACAAAAAATATATCACATGACTAAACAGCTTGCAATGACTAACCAACATCCATAACCCACATTTCTACCTCTAAAATTGCTACTCAGGAATTTCGAAAAAATTGAAGTGTGCATTACGTATATCAGATTCTACGCTTTTCAAACAACTTCGGTTGAATAGATTTTAAATGACGGCATCAAAAGGCAGTTTGATATTTTCACATGACTTTACTAAACATTTCAAAATAGCTTTATTATAAAAAAATTTGTACTAAAATTAAACAACAGACCTCAGGGTTATGTTTTGTTTATAAACATAAATTATTTTTGTTACGACAATTTTTCCCAATCTACACAGAGAGATATTTCTAAGACAGCAAAATTTTGCTGACTTAAAAATTTGGACTTTCTAGGCCAGTGACTTTTGGAAAAATTTTTCTGTGGTGTACGAAGGTATACGAAGGTATACGAAATATGTACGTACGAGCACCTTAAGGATCTTACCTCGTTCTTTCTTTGCATGTTTGGCTGCCTGAAGCATTTCTTGTTTCTCAAGCTTTTGCTGCAATTTTTCTTGTGCTATATTCAAGAAAGACATCATTTCTCAAATGTTTAAACAACGTACCTCTTTACATACATGTTAAAGTAAATACCTTTACGCAGTTTCGCTTGTTTTGCAGCTTCAACAGCAGCCTGTCGTTCAAGTCGACGATGCATTTTTGCCTCCGCAACTTTCTTTGCATTTTCTATGGTAGAGTTGAAGTGAGAGTAGATATTATGTATTAACAATAATATCATGTATGAACAATGACATCATAAATGAACAATGACATCATATATGAACAATAACATTATGTATGCACAATGACATCATAAATGAACAATGACATCATAAATGAACAATGACATCATAAATGAACAATGACATCATAAATGAACAATGACATCATATATGAACAATGACATCATATATGAACAATGACATCATAAATGAACAATGACATCATAAATGAACAATGACATCATAAATGAACAATGACATCATATATGAACAATAACATTATGTATGCACAAAAAGATCAAGTATGCATCATGTAATGCATAATAAACATTAACTACGTAATGCACCTTGCTCGTATGCAATTACATAAAGTATATACTTCACTCCAAGTATACATAGTCATGAAATTAAAGATCGTTTGACGCTAAATAAAATATACCTTGCTGTTCTTTTTTCTTTTCTTTACGTGAACTCATTTTCGCCAATCTTTGTTCTTGTTTGTGCTGTTCGTTCCTCTTTCGCTCTTGTACTTCTTCCTCTGTTAAAGCACGAAACTCGTTTCCCTAAAAGTTCAAATAGAAAGTTCCGTATAATAATAATACCATTTTAATCATTTGTGTCTCTTCGTTCACCGTCAGGTAATGTATCAGAACAATCAAATTTGATGAAATTAAAACATATCTGTAACAATGGCCGAGTTTTAACTTACTTGAGTGCATTCCAAAAATTCACCAAGATGAAGTTTCATGCTAAAACTGAAATGCGTCAAATCCAGATCTGTAATACCATTCTTTTCAATATACTGCAAGAAAAATGATCATTAATCTTTAACATAAATAAACGCAATCCTCTCATCTGCAGCATGCTTACATGGCTGCATACACTCGAACATGACTGTACAATAACTACATAAAACATGTTCAGCTGCATAAATTCAAACATGACTGTACAATAACTACGTACATAAAACATGTTCAGCTACATAAATTCAAGATAACTGTACAATAAATAAGTAAAGCATATCTAACAAAAAAAATTTGAAGATGACTATACAACAACTACGTACATAAAACATGTTCAGCTACATACATTCCAGCATGACTGTACAATAACTACATAAAACATATTCAGCTACATACACTCAAGACAACTGTACAATAACTACGTAAAGCATACCTAACTAAACAAATTTGACCATAGCTATACAATAACTTTGAAGATGTACGTAAAGCAATTGCATTACAATGGACACAGGAGTAAATATTTATGTAGCATTTGCCATCTTGTGTTATGTAACAGTTGATATTCAAAGCATACCTTCTTTACATCTGGATATGTTCGTATTTTCTTGCCACAAGGGGCAAAATAGTAAACATCTCCTCGCAAAGTGCCACTACCACTACTGGTTTGTCGTAACTTTGTTTGACGTCTCCACCTAGAAGATGGTAAACGAGAAAATAAATAAGTTATACCTTTATAAGCGAGAAAAACAGATTCTTAATTGTACAAGTTTGTTCCTCCGTAAAACAACTAATTGTGCGTAATTTATATTAATTTTCCATCATTTCAAGAATGACAAATCAATCAAAATGGTGCAGCAAAAAAAAGTTCGACAATTTAAAAATGTCCAGAAAACTATCATTTCAGGAAAAGTTTGCTAAAATGCCATTCACGTCAAACTTGTTGTTTGTTCAAATTTAATTCTTTATTGTTAGTTACGTCATTAATAATAAGAGTTAGTTACGTCATTCAAACAATCATTCAAGCTTGTAATCATTCTTAAGGTACGTACGGACGTCCATGAAAATGAACTGAAACACACAAACGTCCAATTTGGACACGTTGCGCGCTGAACTCAAAATTTCTAAAATTTTGGTTTAAGGCACAACAGACTTCAAACTTTCACCTAATCGAATTGAATAAAATTTCAAACCTTTCTTTTCTAAGCACAAGCGGTTGAAATTGAGGCTTTTACAAACAGGACTCCGGGTTTTCGAGAATAATTTTTTGATTGTTTTTACTTTTAAATAAACCAGACGACGCCAAAACACATAAACGTTGCTTCATTTTGGAGAAATTTTAATGAAATGACGGTTCTCTGGATTCTTAGACTGTCTAACTATTATTCATACCCTTTTTCCAAAGGAATTTTCATCAATTCTTCATCAATGACCACCACACGTCTTTTGCGAGGTGGACCTATGGGATAAACAGTCTACGTATGTACCAAAGAAATACTTTAGTTCTCGACCATTATAAGATAGTGTAGATAGAGAGTTAATAACGGAGTATACGACATAAAGATGAACTAAACAACTGGTGTTTTCTACAATATCGAAAGAACATTTTCTTTAGTATAAATTAATTTTTACGATGAAACCTTTCGAGATAGCCATAATAGGTTTTTTACAAGAAGATCAAAAAAAACTTTGCAGACCCATCAAAAAAATTTCAAGTTTAAGCAATGAATACAAAAACAAAATCTCACACACCCGAATCAGCATTAGATTTTCTTTTGCTTGATGAATAATCACTATCCTGATTCCCATCGTTGCTGTCTCCATCATCATCATCTTCATCATCATCATCACTATCATCGCTAGCTTCACTTGCACTCTCTATATCACTTTCCGAACTTTCTTCAGCATGCTGAAACTCAAGATGCAATCATTTATACATTTAAGTTAATCCTAAAAAATACCGAAGCCAGCATCAACTTCAGCTTATGTATACCATTGATTTGCATTAGTCAAAATTTCAGATTTCATGTTGAAATCGCAATTAGATATGGGTACTTAGTTTAAGAGTCAGCAGTCAGTTAACATTAAACAAATCAATTAATGAGCAGTCAATCAATTAATGAGCCAGTCAAAACATAAAGTTGTTTACAATATTGTCATGTCATAATGACATACGTTGGTCATATTGTAAGGAGAATTGCTGACTTTAAAAATTTTAAAAATTGGCACTCATCAGCTGAAAAATTCTTCAAAACTTCCAATCTTTCATAAGAATCGACACATGGCAAACATGCTTTATTTCTTGAACACATAAGAAAAATAGTCAAGATACATAATAAAAAAATTAATGCCATGTAGCCACACAAATTGCAACAGGCATGGCCGAAAAACAATTACATCACAGAAAAATTCTTCTGGGAAAAAGGAAACACTGAAATGGTAGAAAAAGAACATGCTTTTTGTACTGTAAAAAATACCTGTTGTACAACTTGTTGCACCTGTTTCTGTAGGGACTGCATTCCAGGTTGATCAGGTTGCTTTTTTACTTTAACAGAAACTTCTTTGTTTTCATCATTACCATCCTCACTAATTGTATCATCTACACTATCTGTATCAGTACCAGAATCACCATCATCACCATCAGTAGTGTCATCATCACTGCTAGTACCTTTCTCACCACTAACCGCAGCTGGAGCTCGAAATCTCTCAATCAATGGAGGCTTACAACCAGTAGATTTGGTTTGTTGTTTTAAATTTGAACTGAGTGGCTCCTCGGCCATTTTGCTCTCAACAGTTGACTTATGCAGCATAGTTGGTGAAAAGTGAGAAGAAGATGAGGACAAGGGTGAAACTGGATTATTTATCATGCTAACATCTTGCTTTTGTAAATCCTTCTGAGACATGTCTTTATTATGATTCTCAGGATTTGTTGCAGCATGAGCAGTGGAGGAAGATTTTCTTCTGCTTTTGACACTCAAAGAAGTTGAAGATGGTCCTTTCTTAACATCACATTCTATTCTGTCAATATTTTGAATAGCATTGATGTCTGGTTGGGTGGTGCAAGGTTTTTCATATTGCTGTTTTTGTGGAATCTTCTGCTGAGATCTACCATGAGAAATATTTTGAAGAGAATTGCGAGGCATGTGAGGATGTTGAGCTTCACTTATCAACAATGGTACATTTTCTGATGACATAGAAACAGCTTGAGATACATGAAGATGAGGTGTATTATCTTGTTGGGATACAAATGGATGAGAATTTATAACAGGTTTCATCATCTTTGAATGGGTTGACATTGATGATGAGACATTTTGTTGTTCTTTAGACAACATTGGTGGTGTTGTCAATCTAGATTCAGTCATTTCAATTCTGTTATCTTCAGGGATATAGTTGATGCCATGGTGAATATTTGTTGATGTTGAAGTAGCAATGTTGTGTCGTCATTTGATATAGAAGCACCGCTTAATTGAGTGTCATTGGTTATTGATGGAATATTAAATTTAGGATCATTTGCTAGAGAAGGAATGTTAAAAGCACTTTCACCAGGAAGTGAAGGTATTTTCATAGGTTGTACATTTGGTATCCCAGGAACTTTAAGGTGAGAGTCATTAGATAATCCAAGCAAATTTACCCTAGAGCTGTTTGACAAAACAGCTGTATCGTGACGAGTCTCGTTGGAGATGACAGGAACATTGAGACATGTGTCAGATGGCGGTATAACAGAAACTTTGAGTCTTGAATCATTGGAGCTGTGGTTATCCAAATACTTACTTGGCTTCATACATTTAACAGAAGTACTGTCAGAAAAACTTGTAGAATGGTTATTTGTCATTCCCATTGCACTACGTTCTTTGTCAACAGACTCTTGTATTTGCTTTTGTTGTCGATCTGCAAACCGTTGTTGATGTATATCTTGCCATGGTGAATATCCATTACCACTAATGTCCATCATTAAACTATGACTTCCACCAAGACGATCATCCCATGTTAAAGGTCTTTCCTTTCCCATAGCTGGCAAAGCATGCAAAGTATGTGTGGGTTCAGGGAAGAAACGAGGAGATGGCTAATAGTAACTGCTCGCTGGTGGCCCATTCAAAAAATCAAAATTGCGATAGGTTGGAGCAGGATTATGATATGTAACACTTTCATGAGGCCTCAAGTGTTCTTGTTCATGAGATAGCCACATCAATTGATTTCCAAAAATATCACTGCTGTTCATAGTTTGAGGACGAGAACTAATTGGGGATTGCCTCCACCAAGAAGCGGATGTACCAGAGGTTGGGCTTCTTTGTATCCTGGGACTTGTAGCCATTAGAGGATCATGTGTCAAGCTTGAAGTAAAGTCATGATGATGAGAATTAACTGAAGGGTAGTTTGCATGTCTTCCAATTACAGAAAATGCAGATGGAATTTGAGGAAGTCCATATCTATGTTCATGGGACAAAGGAGGAGATTGTAGAATTGAAGGTTGCCCTATTTCAAAGAAAAAAGTAATATCTTAATGAAGCAAAGCCTATTTTCTATGTTCTAAGTAAAACACAACAATGTTTGTACTAAGGCACACAAAGCAACACTTGATGAGAAATAATTCTCTTACCAATCATTGCAGAATCAAAGAATGACCTAGATGTATGCAATGGACTCTGTGAAGGCACATCATTTGGTTCCATATTTTCTACAACGATATATTATGAACCCTGTTGACACTCAATTGACGGCTATGCGGCTTCGTTTGTTGAACAAGGAAACACAAGCAATGACATCAGTTCGCTTAAATACATAAAAAATCGACCATAGATGAAATCTAAAAGAAAATAAATGTTGTAGTAAACTAAGAAATTGCACAGTCGCTCTAAACGCCACAATTTTTTGCAAAAAATGAACACGTAACACCACGCTTCGTAAACATACCAATCTAACGGAGCAGTTTGACGAAAGACGGTTCACAAAGTTCGAGTATGTCGTGTTCACAAAAATTCAAGAATTGTGCGTAAGAAACGAAATAGTCCCACAAAATACAGGAGGTAAACAATATTATTATACATATAAGATATTACTTAATGTCGTACCTTGAATGAGCAGCTTCTCCCGTCGAATTTTACGTTTTTATCTTTGTATACTCGAGTATAAAACCGGCCATTTTGTATGTCGTTAACTTTCTTGATTTTGTATGTTTCAAATTGTACCAAGAAATTCAGAGACGTGCTTCAAATAACTCCACAGTCCAGGTATAAACACTACGTTTTATAAAACACCAGATATTCCACGGCTTGCACCAGCGATGGCAAGGTGATTAACGAAATAAATTTTTGGATTTGCTTCGATAAACTAGCTTTAGGAATCGTTTAGTAATGATATTGGGAAAGAAAGGGCGAAAGGATAGCATAAAGCGCATGTGGTATGGTGACGTCACAAAAATTGTAAAACAATGCCCCCGTGAAATTATCAAAATTTATTATTTTGCAAACATTTAACTTCTTTACGATATAATCCATCAACTATTTTTGTGCGTTGCTTGTCATTCGTTTAAATTTCATATAATTATTTTCACATACAGCATTGTAGTATTTTAAAACAGAACAAATCGAAGTTCATACAAATTGACACATAACACGAATCATTTTATAAAATAATGCATGTTTCATTCGACAAAGATTAAAGAGAAATTTTTCATACTTGCAACTCTAGTGTATAAATACTAACTTAATCTAACAACATAGCACAAAGTTCGCCTGATGTTTAATTGTTGGGCAACTTTAGCTGTTGAGATTTGGGTATAACAACCGCGATGGCGACAAATGCGAAAGGACGCAATTAAATATTGAGATAAGGCTTCGAGAAGTGTTGGGTCCCAGCGAATTCTCAACTCCTAATAAAAATATAATTTCACTGCAGCGCTTGCACATTCTGCTGAAATAAAACTTTGGGGAAAATGTATCAACAAAAATGACTCTCAGATAGAAAATTAATGATTTTTCTTGGAATTTCCTTCTCGCGTGATTGTCGAACCTGTCATAATTGGAATTAGCACTTGCCTGCCTCCTCCCCTGCAATACAACAGCCATCCCAACTTTGGCCGTGCAATTTGTACACTGCCAATGTCAGGGGTTTTACTTTATACTAGAAAATCGAATTTGTGAACAACATTGTTGAAACCTGTCACGCATAACATAAGATTTAACAATACAAACTTGTTTCCCGAGGCGGCAAATTTGTTATGGTTTAATATGCAATCTACATCTGTCAATTTTCTTGATGTAGCCAATACACCAAATAATTTGGTGTACATTAACCATATTTTTTCTAATACATACAGATACTTCATATACATTTATATTTTTCGATACCAATCTAGACTGCTTTGAAATTGAATAATACATTTTAATTTGTTTAGTAAAAAAACCTGTTCGATTCTGGCTGTTCTCGATTACCAAAAGCTCCATGTAGTTTATTTGTAATAAAAAACTCACAGGTAGCTCTATTTTTTGCTGCTTTTCCACGTTTTATTCATTAGCTAATAATTCATATGCTTACTAATTTTAACTTAACAAACCTCTCCAAAGTATTTTAGTTAACTAAACCAGGTTTGGAAATGAATGACTTATTCAAAACTAAATCAAAACAAGTTGAAACTCAGATTGGCGAAATAAGAGCGAAACAAAGAAAGTCATACAGAAGAGAAAAATTAAACTAAAACATTTTTTACGCTTCCATCAAGATTAAAAGTCTTGTAACAAAGCTAAAACTCAATGAAACTATTTTAGTCTTACCGCATGATATCATAAAGTGTTTTGACATAAAGAATAAAGATTTCTAGCAGTGGGAATCCTGATATTCCTCAACAAACCAGTGAATTTTTTTATAGAATATTAAAGCAACATGGACTTTTACGAGTCCATTTTTCTGGCTTATTTGAAACTGATGTGCCAACTTTGAGTAGCCTAGAGATGTTTTGAAAAAAATTTCACCATGTACAATGCAAAGCAAGCCAACATTGGTGAACAATGCAGCTGCAATCTATCAGGAAATAGAAAATTTCGAATCTTTGATGCGCACGGTGTTGACACGAGTTTCTAACCAGCAACTATATAATATGTAACAACGAGCAATAAAGAAATGGATAAATGGTTGGTGTAGAAAGAAAGAGTGACTGAATAATATCCAGATATTTTCATTAAAAATAACTTTGGTATTAGACTTGACAGGTATTAGCCTTGCAATGTTAGCCAGTTTAGGAGAAAATCTGATCTGACCAAAGCAAACGAAGCATGCTGAGTTTCGTCAAACCTGGAACCACAATATGAGCACATAAATATGAGCATTGAAGAAGAGTTTTTCAGTTATTTGATATGAAAAGAACATTGCACACGGAGGGATAAATTTCAGTTTGTCATTAATATTTCCTCATGTCAAGCTTGTTGACATCATTGGCTTGGCCAGCCCGCTTATTTGCTAAGCCATTTTTTGTGCTCTCTCAAAATGAAAACAGCAAATATAAGAAATTCACATAGCAGGACCAAAACTTGCGGACAGGTGACGCTACTAAATGAGATCCTCCTGGACTTTACAAAAGATTTGAATTTTTTTACAGATGCAATTTCCGTATTCTGTTGGAAAGCGTCCACAATGACGTATTCGTTGTAGGACTGTCAACAGAAATTTGGGGAGTTGTTTTTCAGGTAAACGGATTTTTTCAAAGATAATTTTCAACGAACCTCTTGTCGTTAGGGCTCTTAGCGTGAAAATCAACTTTAAATGTTTTGCTTGATGTAGTGCAACATATTAAACAAATATTTGTCGCCTCAACATGTTTTAAATAATTTCAGGAGAGAGAATAGTCAGAATACTTTATCTTAGCGGCAGCGGATGATATATAGGACCTTTTTACTGCAGCAGTCTTATGAGGCAGTCGTTCTTTAAACTTTCTTCTCCTCTGATAAAATGGTTTGTTCAGGTTTTGAGACCGTTCATATTATTATCGTTTTCAGCGAGTGGAAAGGCTCACAAGGACTTCACACTTTTAGGAAACATGATTACATAAATGATATTTGGTTTTTGATTGGATATCAAATATCCCTTCCTTTTTAAACGCTGGTTAATACTAGTGCCGCACTGCTATTGTTTTTGGGTGATTTTATCTGTGAAAGTCAATAATCTTACACAAATACAGGGACCTTGAAAGATTGATGGCTCATATTCATATATTCATATGTTGATTCCTTATCACAACTGATTTCAACAGAAACTAATAAGGTAGAACATGAATATATGAATATTGCTCCCCTTTATTATCGCTGTTCTGGTGTCCCTGCACAAACACGATAGAAACCCTTAACAAGTGCTGTTTTGCTTTACCGAGCGAAATACAGTGTGTAGATCGACAAAAATCAGGAAAAACAAATTTATGCTGGCCATTCTTTTCCCATGAAAAAAGCAAATATTACGCTCGTGAGGCTAAATTATGCCAAAAATTATGTTAGCATAATCGGGAATGCTCTACTTGTTGTAACTGGTGAACACACAAAGTAGTGAAAACTACACCAGGAAGTGGTACAAAGTATCAAAGTGTGCTCACAAATGTTGTGTTCAATCAAATTTTGGACACATCAAGTACAGAAGTAGTGAGAGATATTGTCAATTTCCTTAACCATGTCATGTTAATCCATCTCCTTTGACATACAGCCATTCTCACCCCCCAATAGATAGACTTTGCGAGAACAGCCTAAAACTAAAGTTACTGTGCAATTAATGGTAACAAAATATGGAAAAATTTTTTATCATCCCGACATTACGATAAATCTCAAGTTTGAATCGTTTATCGGTAGAGACGTTCATCGAACCGGAAAATTTTCCGAAAATGACTTAGCATTTCTGTAAAGAATAATGGATAATGGCAATAAAGTATACATACCTCGAACGTTACCATGTTTCGCACTAAAATCTCACATTAAAAAACCATTTCTAGAAGACAGTTTAAGTATTGCTTCACAACGCGCCATCATTGTTTGAGATTTGGGATAAGTTCAGCCCACCTCCTCACTTGCTGAGCACCACTTTTTGAAATGACTTTTGCAAGCTAAAGTTTCACGTGTCGAAGAAGGCAAGTGTTCGTGCATTTAATGATAATTTATTAATTTTACTTATATTAAATTATTATCAACATTTATTTAAAGCTGCAAAGGCATTACAGCATTATAACAGCGTACCATTGAAATACATTGAATAAGGTACCCGAGTAATTAAGTCAGCGTTAAAGCCTAAAGTGCAAAAATTTTTCTCCAATGTAATGCCACAAGTCAAAAAATATATTATTATATTGAAATGTTAACTTTGTCAAATAAGATCATGAGAACGTGCAATATCTGAGACGGCATTACACGCTAAAAAGCAATATTACACCTTTCAAAAACCGTTCTTTGACTTCTTTCTGTCTTAGACGAAGCAGAAATCCAACTTTAGAATGCAGGTAAATGCCAGTTGTCTGTTTTAACTTGACAACGTTGAAAAGCTATAGCTTTGATTTTTGATTGAAACTTTTTGGAATTACCGTCATTACCAAATATTTTCTTTGTTATTAACAGAACACCTACAGTTGGAGTTTCTCATGCATTAAAGGGAAGGCTTCGGCATCCATTTGTGCATTTCCTGTCTGTCGAAGTGTTTGTGTCGTGTAACGCAATATGTTTTTACAAGAAATGAATATTTGTTGCATTGGAATTCTAACCGCATCATTGTGCTTATTTTTGGCAAACAGTGTTGAAGGTAAAATTTTATATTTCAACGCAAAGGTAAACATAAAATAGATAGTGTGAGAACCTAATTCATTTATTATACTCTGTTAGGTGGTCAGTATGGACAGGGTATTGTGAGTGGGGATTTGACACGTATATTCAAAGCAATAGAGAAAAGCGCTCAACATCAAAGCAAAAGATTCTCCAAAAGTATAGGTCGTACGTTGAATGTATTGTTTCATGCATGTAAGCAAACGTAATTATTTCTGTTAAATATCGTAAGTTTAATTTTAAATAGTTGCTCGTAAACATTTTGCAATATGTTGACTCGTATGCATTTTGGAATAGCTAAAACGGAACTTGAAGATTCGACTCCTAATCCTTGCGAGATGTATCCATGCTTCGTCGCTGCTTCCTGTGAAGCAGAGGAAGAAAATGTGTTTGCAAGAAAGGATATTTCAGCCCTGAAGAATTTCAAGGGAATGCCACGGTATAAAAACTTACAGTTAAAGCCGGATGTTGTTTTCCTTGAATATTTTTGCAACATACCTGTCAATTTAGCAATATTCAATCGTTGATTTCATACGCAATTTGCTCTAGAAACTTCTGACTTTCTTACGCTGAAGTACCAAATACTTTCTTGTAGAAATAAAGCTAAGAGGCAAACAGGTTTCAGTTTAGAAATTCTGTGGTCATATAACTTATAATTAGGCGGTCGTTATGCTTGTTTTTCAAAGAGAAACCTTTAAACTTATAAACTGTTTTTGACATGCCTCAGCCTATTCCTCCACACTATTTGTCTCTTGTCTCTGTTACATTGAACTAAAATACATGGAACGCTACCTGTAATAGAAAGCCTTAATAATTTTTTAAAGCCAGATGTTACACCCAGACACGCGAGATTGCACCCAGACACGCGTGTAGTCAATCAATTTTCACTCCGCGAGAGAATCTCGAAACACTACACCCGCGTGTCTGGGTGTAATCTCGCTTGTCTGGGAGTGAAAATTTGTTATAATTTTAATGCTGAGGGGCGCACAATCGCAATAAAGTAGAACATTTCGGAACGTCTGTTATATTTCTATATCTGGACATGTATAAAACACGTATAGAACACGTATGGAAAAAAATTATAAAACACATATGAAAATTATCGTGCCTATTAAATGCTTTCAAATCATGTCCTTTCATTGATGAAATAAAAACAAATTCTTTAAATTTATATCGAAATTTAACATCAGAAACTTCGTACTTCATTGATCGAAAAAAAGTTTGCTGGGATATTAACTTCGAGCCTTCCAAATTTACAGTAGCTATCTGCAGAATGCTAAAAAGGATAATGATGGTAGGTTAGTCTCGTGCTATATCAGTCCTTAGTCTTCAGACAAATTGTGGTCATTTGTTTTAAGCATAAAAATTGTTTGATGATCGTTTGGACGACGTTTTGCCAAATAAAACACTGTAATGTAGCTAGTGTTTAACTTGCATAGAGTGAAGTAATCATGTGTTTCCTTTTCTTTGATAGAGTCATTATGCTACAGCTCTCCATGTTTAAACGGAGGTTCGTGTATTAGTAAAGGAAATGGTACCACGTGCAACTGTGTAGTTGGTTTTGAGGGAGACTCTTGTGAAAAAGAAGGTACTAAAAAAGTAATCAGTTTTTCCATGAGCTGTCCACAGATAAGACGTACAAATAATCACGTACAACTTTATATATCTTTTGCGATTTGTATTGTGAATATGTATACATTTTTACGCATTTTAAATAGTTGTTCCCTGTATAATCGATCCAGCAGAACAGTTTCAAGGTAAATCATATCAATTATTCTATCCATGCTTCGACATACGACTAAAACTTTAACGTTAGTGTTTTGTTTTACGTCTTTTTTATAGATGGGGTATGTGAAGCAAACACGTGTGAAGCATCAAGCAAAGGTATAACATCGAAGAAAATTTACTATAATAATATACTAGTTACATGTAAGTATTATTTCAGAGAAAAATTTTGGTTATTTAAGTCAACTAAGCTGAAGTTAGCAGCTCTAGAAAAAACACGTAGCTGTAAACAAATGTGCTGTGTACGAAATATGCTGTGTACGAACAATCTTATCTTTTCCTGCCCGCAGAAATACCAATACAAGAAACCAATGCGTGCGAAAGACCCATCGGTATGTGCTTATTTAGGATACTTCTGAAACTTGCTGCTTTCATCCGAATTAATTTTTGTTGTATATTCAATGACAGATGATAGGAGATGCAAATACAAACGGGAAAACGGTAAATTCATTGATAATTAAAATGTAGTCATTTTTTTTCATCAAAAAGAAAGTTTACAAAAATAAACTCGCTTTTGTATCTAATCAGAAAATGAGACAATTTAGCTATAAGAGTAACAGAGTTTGCAGTTTTCCATTTACATGTAAAAAGTTTGTTAATGGTTCGAAACTTTTTGATCGAAATGAGCAGGGACATTGCCTGGAAAATGTCCTTTGATGTTATCAACAATGCAATGTTATCCATAATACTAGAGAACGTTTAGAGCTTCAGACGTGGCTGAAGATAGAAGATAAAAATATTGGCTGAGTCCTTCCTGTTATCGGCATATATGCTCTTTTAATTACATTTGCTTTTCTTTCGCTTCCCCTGTGCAAAAAATAACAAATACGACGTACGAATCGTCTTGTCGACGGATTAGACGTTTTCATGGTAGCTAGTGTTTAATCAAATGAAGAATTGTACTATGTATTTACAGAAGGTGCTTTATATATCCCTGTATATTACATCATTTATAATTTTCAATATTTTCAGAGTGCCAAAATTATGGTAAAATGATCTGCTTCAGAAGTAATAATACGTGTGGCTCTCGCTGTGAATGTGAACCTGGGTTCACAGGAAGTAATTGTGAAAATATAAAAGATAAAGGTATCTAAATTGTTACTAAAAAGCGACCCAGTGTAGAATTCAGTTGCATTAGAATGACATTTAATGCATAAGAATATGCCAATCACCTCACATAAAAACAATCACTGTTATTTTGTCCAACTATATAGATGGATTAACATGTGAAAATAATGGGGTGAAAGAAGGAACGAAATGTAACTGCAAGAATACAGATTATACTGGCGTCCGATGTCAGCTGCGAAGTAAGAAATGAAGCATACATAATCATGTATCATTGTTTTGTAACTGAATATTTCTTCAGCACATATCTTTTGCTCATGAATTTTGTTTCTATAATTTGTCGTTCGACATCATTCCACTATTTTACTACTGTCTTCGTTTCAAAAAAAATACATCGACGAACTAGTGAAATTTTTTACAGAATATCAAAGCTACATGCATTATTTTACAGAATATCAAAGCTACATGCATTATTTTACAGAATATCAAAGCTGTATGCATTATTTTACAGAATATCAAAGCTACATGCATTTTCCACGAGTCCATTTTTCTGGCTTGTTTAAAGCTGATGTGCCAACTGTGAACAACTTGATAGAGAATTTTGATACGGAAAATTTCGGCGTGCACAATGCAGAGCAAACCAACAATGGTAAACAAGGCAGTTGGAATCCACCAGGAAGTGGAAACTTTCGAATATTCAACGCAAGAGTCACACGAGTTTGTAACAGCGAAGGAAATTGTCATAGCAATTCGACACAAGATAACATGGTTGGTGCAGAAATAAAAGGTGAATATAACATCAATAGATAGTTTTTGAATTTTGTATTATGGACATGTGATTGTCCCGAGTACTATTTTTATTATTCTTTATTAGATATTTTACTGTAGGTTATGACAAAGGTTGTACTAAAATATCTTATCAAAAGTAATCGGTTGGTCTGGCTTTCTTTTGGCTTATACAATATGTTCATACAATATGTCTATGACGTTGACTGTCCGTTTGAAGTCTTCAAAACAAAATTATGCTTCATTTTCATTTTGTTGCACTGACTCTCTAAGGCCGAAACGTCCTTTTTATGGATCTTATAAAGCGCTCGCATATAGTGCATACTCTAGCTAGGCTATGGTCTGACAATATTCTGGAAGGTAATCTCAACTGCTGTCCTAGAGAAATTCCAGAGTCTCTAAAAGAAAGACTTGCTTTATGACCAATCACCAAATGAAAGACTCAATTAAGGAGACAACTTTCTAAATACTAAGGATAAACCTACAAGGAAAAATCAACTTGTTTTGAAATGATATAAGTATATAAGATATGACACGACCGGTTGAGTTTACCAGTAGCATAACACATGATGCAAAGTTTACTTTTTGGGGAGATTTTTTTGTGTTTGCAAAACAAAAAATAATGCACTTCAATTGTTTTACAGATGGAGATTTCCGTGCCGTGCCGAAAATGGCCGACATTGACGTAATCGTTGAAGGATTGACAACAGAAATTTGGGGACTAGTTTTTCACGTCAGCGGTTTTTTTAAAGGGAATTTTCAACCGACCTCCTGTCGTTATGTCTGGAAAAAACGCAGAGTAGTGGAAAGTACTCCTGGAAGCGGTACAAAGTATCAAAGTGTGCTCACAAATGTTGTATTCAGTAATAATTTGGACACATCACAATCAGAAGTAGGGAAGGAAATGAAAAATTTGTTAAATAGCAAACGAGAATTGTCAATCTCCTTCAACCTCGACATGTTTGATAAAACAATAGGGGGGCGTGATTTTTCATATGGTCGATTGGTAGGAGCCATTGGCATATCAGGAGAAGATTCGCCTCCTTATTTTACCTTAGGACGTCTTCTAGAACCTGTTTTCTCTGACAAACAGAATAACACGAACGTTTCGTTCACTCCTTTCACTTTTGAAAAAAGCAAAGCAAAACTTTTTATGGACTTTGGTAATAGTTTGCAGATTGATCGTGATGGAGACATTTTGGAATCTTTGATCGGGAAACTAGGGATTGGATATGTAAAAACAGGTCGTTGGTTTCCATCATGGTTTCCATGTTTATGGTGTCCAGTTGAATGGATAGCAGATTTGAATGTTGAACGATCTACATATGAAAATAACTCAGGAATTGTTGAAGTCAATGTTGGCAGCGCGTATTTAGACACTATTGAAAACGTCCAAATGGTATTGCTTAAGGTATAAATTTGAAAAAGTCACATAAATAAGGACATTTTATTCACGTAACAAATCCCGATAGATTAATTATTATAACGTGCTTCAAAATAAACTAAAACAATTCTTTGTTGGATTACTCAAATTTCAAAATATCTTACTGAATATTCCACACAACTTACCTTCAACTCTTATGACACAAGAATGATGAACGAACCATGAAACTAAACAATTTTTCTCTACCAAATGGTCATAGGTAAACCTGTTTATAATATTTCAATTTTTTTCAGAAAAACAATGACGGCTGTCCGACAGTCTTATTGCGAGAAGGACAAAATGGTATCAACATACAGCCATTCTCAAGATGGACTTTGCGAGAACAGCCTAAGACTAACGTTACTGTGCAATTGATGATAACACAGTATGGAAAAATTTAATGATTCCGACATTGCGACAAATCTCAAGTTTGAATCGTTCGACGTTTCAGGCAAGCCGAAACATCCAAGCGGAAACATTTCCGAAAATGATATTTCTGTAAAGAATAATGGCAATAAAGTGGACGTTACTCTAACGTTACCAGACCCAAAGCATGTTCGAAAGTATAAAGATGGCCAGGTCTATGCACTATATTATTATTACATTAACAAGCCTTGCTTAGAGAACAATGAGTCAGAAACAGATGTGTTTTTACAACGCGCCATCCTTGTTTTTGTATGGGATGTGTTCATTCCTCCTAAAGAGACAGAAATCACGTGGGTATCACATGTAAAACCAATTTTTACGCTCTATGCGAACCTGTTCCCTGTAATGACGATCAATTTTATGAATTTGGGAAATTATTTTGAGGTAAAGAAGCACAGTCATCGTATAAGGAAAACCATGATGCTTCCATTTGATGATCCAAATTTCATGCCAGTAACTCGTGACTTATCACCATGCAAAACGAAAATGATTGTTGATTGGTTGAATACAACTGAGAAACATTATATCAATCCAAATATCACTGAGCAACCAATTACTATAGATACATTAAAAAGATTACTGCAGACTGCATTACAGTTAGAGCACGCCACAATTCCTCCTTATCTTAGTGGTTATTTATCAATCAAAAATGGACAGAACCAAGAAGTAAAAAATATTCTTCGCGATGTTTTACTTGATGAAATGTATCATTTAGCTCAAGTCTCCAATCTAATCAATGCTGTAGGAGGAAGACCAAACCTACTTCAGCCAGATTTCATTCTCTCTTATCCTGGATACCTTCCAGGGGGGTGCAATCCTCATGTACCTATTACCATCAATAAAATATCCCTCCACCAGATTCAAAATGTGTACATGGAAATCGAGAAGCCCTTTCACGAGCTCGAGGAAAATGGGATCATGGAACTTATTAAAGATGTGAATAAAACCAGGCTAGTAAAGCCTAAAACCGATAATGAATGTGAGACAAATATGACAGATTTGTTCAAAAAATATGAAAACGCAGTAACAAATCATAACACAATCGGTGAATTATACACGGCAATCATATATGTTTTCATGTTTCTATCAAACTGTGGCAACGATAGCAAAATATTTGACAACAAATTGACAACTCAGCTTTCTCAAGACGACATTTTCCCGATTAATTCGACTGGAAATACAACAGAAAAAGTTGAAAAACTGTACAAAGTAACAGACTTGAATAGTGCTCTTGAAGCTATACACATGATAACAGATCAAGGAGAAGGAGCATCTCCATGTAATCCATTGCAAGTCGATGTTGAAAAAGATAAACATTTGTCACATTATTATGCATTTTCCTCCATTGTGAACAAGCGTTACGTCAAGAAGATAAACTTAAGCAACATTACAGTGCGCCCAAACCATACAGCTGAAGACAATAAGGTAATGAGAAAAGTTGACGTTTTCTTTGTTGCAATGTTTGAATAAATACGGCCAATGAAATGCCGTTTTTCGAATCCCATGATGCTTGTAGATTTGAAAATTTTGAGAAAAGCTGTCGGTTTTACATAACAACGTTAGTGTGACAAATACATGTAAACAAGAAAATTAAGAGAACAGTTAAGAAAAAAGAAAATATTTCCCCATTCAAAAAGTACCAGACTATTGACTACATTCAGCAAACATTTACGTGTTGGACAGTCACCCAAATTGAGATATCGATTAAGAAAATATTTAAAGTATGTTTAAGTCCACAGAAACTTAAAACATGCACTAACAAGCAATGAAATTAATTTAGTCTTGGTAAATGTGAATGTAGAGAAAGTTTGCTTTCTTGCATAACTACATCGAAACAGGAGGAGCGAAACATAACTGTCCCCTTTCCTTAGCCACCCAGTTTAGTCGTTGATCATATATATATATATATATATGATGTATAAAAATAAAAGATTCTCCAGGATTATATGAAATGATTTTTATTGAGCTTTCGACTTGTTGCTTCGAGCCTTCATCAGAATGAGGAAATATTATTTACACTTGCTTTTAGCTTGTAGACGCTTAGAGCGCCTAATTGGATTAGCGGGTGGATTAATGTGATTGGATGGGGTGAAATACGTTGCCATGGGTTTTGGTGTATTGTGAATATGATCGGTGTTAATATTATTAGAGTATTATGTTTGTAGTTCTTTTGTACTTTTTCTTTAGTTGTGAGTATATGATGGGTATGTCGATATGTCTGTTTATTGTGTCGTTATCCCCACTGTACCAATCCAAGTTACTTAACCATTATAGTCCCCGTTATTGAATGTTATGCTCTTTACTATAAAAGACTACTCACTCAATTAAATTACCTTTTCTGAGACAAACGGAAACTGTTGAACAAGTGTTAAGCATTTTGGGAAACTTTCGTGTTTATAAAATTTTTTCTATTTCTAAATACAGGGTTGCCAAGGGAATTTTGATTATTTGGGTAAACACTTACGATTTTTCAAAGAAGGTGTCTGGCCGGTAGTGAATGACCCAAAAATGTCAAAATACAAAAAGGATGGTCCAGCTTACAGATTGTCTAAGGAATTTAATGAAGTGTACGTCAGACTTTTGGGCTCATTGCAAAATGCTTTCGATGGAAATGTAGAAAAGTTTGATGAATCGTTTGGCCTTATGAAAACTTTGATAGTTATTGGTGAACATCTTGTGCAAACACCAATCAATGAAAAAGACGATCCAAACGTTGGGCCAAATGCTGGGCCTACATACAGAAATGATAATTAACTTTACATTAGATTACAGGTCTTGATAATTAACTTTACATTAGAATACAGGTCTTGATATTTAACTTTACATTAGAATACAGGTCTTGATAATTAACTTTACATTAGAATACAGGTCTTGATATTTAACTTTACATTAGAATACAGGTCTTGATAATTAACTTTATATTAGAATACAGGTCTTGATAATTAACTTTACATTAGAATACAGGTCTTGATAATTAACTTTACATTAGAATACAGGTCTTGATAATTAACTTTACATTAGAATACAGGTCTTGATAATTAACTTTACATTAGAGTACAAGTCTTGATGTTAGTTTGCAATAAATACGGTATGAATTTCATTAGTTTCCTCAGATGTTTACAGTAAATTTAGCTTGTAATGCAAACAAAAACTTAGTTTTGAAAGATACGAGAGTATTGCAATAAAAATGAATATTGAATAACATGGTTAGCAGTTGCGAATTATAGTTGTCACATAGCATAATATCTAGATTTTAGTTCATATAAAAGTTAATTTGCTAATTAACTTGCTGTTCACTGGTAGGTATACTTCACACAGTCACTTGCTGCCCTATCAAGTATGTACTTTATGTTTTCTACATCTTTTCCTTTTTAAAGGAGGTGGTTATAATCCTGTTTCTCTATTTTTAACAGTCCTTGGCACCTTTCTCGTTAGTCGTTGGTCCTTAATCCTTATGGTCGTGTTCCTTCTTATCCTGTTTTTCTCCATCTGTGAATCTTAGTATTCTACACTTTCTTTGCGATTGCCTTTCCTAGCAGTCACGTTACGTTCCTCTTTTACGATTTTAACTTTTGCGGTGATATTCTGTCACCGATAAAGTTCTCTGCTATGGAGTATATTGCCGTCTTATACAGTTTTTCAAATGTATGATAACAAAAAACTAAGCGAGCAAATGAATGTGATCCTAATAAACTGGAAATACATCTTGCATTCTCCCTTGGGTAATTAAGATCAGCATTTTATGTCAAACAAAAGACTGGAAAAAGAGATGGCTAGAATATAGAATATTCGTTCACTCGCTTTCCACTTATATAATGCCTCGTTCTTTATACTTCTTCTTTATATTGACCATTAAGTGATACTAAATGATACTAAATGATACTGGATAAGTAATAATTGAGAACTAAATGATATTTTAGTTTAAATTAACAATTATATTTTATTATGTATGCGGTATCCTTGAATTTGTAAGAGTGCCTTTGAAAATGGACGGGTATTCTATAATTGCTCCAAAGAGTTTTCACTCTTAGCGTATCACTCATGCCATCATATATGCACAAAAACCGTCACTCAAGCTGTTGAAAGAAAAAACAACTTTGCACATCCGTGCGTCAAACTTAATTTTCCATCAAGTTTTCTGAGCTTTCCATACTTCGTAAAAATCTTCATTTAATGAGGTTATGACTACTTTATCAAAATGCGACCATCTGTTGATATGATATTTTTTCATAATACTTAGCTACATTTGATGTTACATGAAAATTTTTTTCAAAAAATCACATTGAACCTCCTTTGTGTCACCTCAATAAGTCGAAATAGAAATCAATAACTTATAAATATAGAGAGGTACATTATAAATAATGATATTTACATTTTTTTATTTTCTACCTAATTTATAAAAAGTGCAGACGAAAGACATGTGTATATTACAGATGTGTAAATTATTTAATATAATGGCTGCAACCTTTTGAAAGTATAAATGTTAAAAATGTTTTCATGAATATTTTGTTACTTAAACATCTTCTTTAGTTTCTTTCTACCTTTGTATGAAGTTGTTATCCCAAGATAAACTGTTCTTCTTAGGTAAAAGGCTTTCCGAATCAGTTATATTAACAGACATTGAAATTTCTTTGATAACATTACTAGTCCCACTAGAGCCCAGTTCCTTGAATGGTACAATCACTTCACCGAAAATTTTTTGACTGTTAAGACACTCGTATCTGTAAACTTCAAAACAAAGAGCTTGCAAACTTAACATTGAGTATTCAACATCAAATTCATAAATCTCATTGTAGTTAGGATTCAAAGTTTGCCGTCGCAGTTTGGAAGTGAAAACTTGTGTATTACTTGGAAGAAGACGAGTTTTGACAAAAGAGTCCATTGGTAAGTCATTTCCATTCAAATAATCACGACCATGATGTAATTTGACCACCAACATTGACCTGTTGTACAGAATATAAATGTTTACCTTCATTGATTTTTAACCTTTGAAATAAAGGTATGAAAGAAAATATAGTTACAGAAAAAATATCAAAGAAAAAATATTAAATATTAAAATTTTAAGAGCTTGTTTGTACAAAAAGTTGTTTACTTTTCCATTTCATTGTTGTATTCGTAACTGAATGAAAACTTTAATCGACCTTTTACCACATCACCAGTCTGTGAAAAAAGACAAATTTTTCTTAAATTCAACGTTGTTTTTGAAAATATGGCAATCATGAAAACCTCAATGCAGGTTTCCATTCAGTATCTTCTCATTACTTTTTTTTTAATGCTCGCATTCAAGTGGAAATATTACTTACGTGTTTCGGAAGAACGTCTTGTTGAAATTCATTTGTGGTCGATGTAAGAAAAGGTTCAAGTTCGTGCATAGGATACCAAAAGCTCGTAACTTTTTGAAGTTTTTGCTACTGAAAAGAAATCTTTTGTCGCTATCACTTCCTCCAAGGATGTTTTGTATTTGTTGTATGACTATCGTGAGATGTGATGACAATCGAGGGACATTTATGATTCTGATAATTTTTTGTACAGGAGAAAGGCCAAAAATGTGAAAATAATTATAGCCAAAACAATCGGGACAACGATGAACACCAAGTTTGACGTCATGAATATACGGGATTTTTTCACCGTTTTCAACTACATGGCGCCAGCTAGTGATCTTGTAACAAAAATTTGAAAAAGTTAATGGAGTTACTGCTGATGTTCACTACTAAATATTTGAAAAGTTTATTAAAGTAAAATTATAGACAGTTTGATCAAACATTGTTAGACAAGAAGAAAACAAGCTATGACATATTTGCCAAATAGATATTTATGATTGAATTTGAATGTATCATGAAGGACAAAGCAGTTTATTTTTCGTCTTCATTTCTTTCTTAAACAGGTAAAGCTCTCAACGTATTCTGTAAACGAATTCATACGCTACATGTTTATTTTATTCCATAGAACTTTTTAGTTTTTGACACAGCTACTTTAGTTAACTACTTCAGTTCATAACTTTCTTATTCCGTATACAATAAATAAGCAATCAGACAATAAAAGAATATGAGAAATGTATGATTTACGTTGCAAATGAATAAATATTAGTCTTATGGCTTACTCTTAACATTCAGTGAATAAACTGTGAATGGTTTGAGCCCGGGAGTATCGTTACATGTTTGTGGATGTCGATCATCCAGGTTAGAAGAGTCCTGAGAAGGACCGTTGTTCTTAATGTTGACTGACATTTCGACAACCTTAGCGGTAGTCATCTTCAGAGTCAAATGAGGAGTAAAGGTCAGGAGCAAACGTTGACATTCACAAAGCTCCTTTAGTATTGATGAAATACAAAGATACTTCATAAACGTTTTACAAACTAGAAGCTCCAACTGATCGACTTTTGACCATATAAGCCGCATGGAACAAGGAAAACAAAACAGATAAACAATAAACATGTTTGCAGATTTTGTAGCAAAGAAAGAATATAAATTTACGGACAAAAGTTATTTCATTAAAACCTTTACCGCTCACAAGCAGCAATAGCTTGTCTGAACAAGTTTGTCGCAATAAAATTCACAAAAGAACATATTATTTTTGTAGAGGAAATTAGTTCGTTTGTGGAGAAGCAAATTCCCGTGACTATATAAGCATGTCAATTTGTTAGAAATCAATGGTATGTATAAAGAATACCGGACATTAGGCTACACTCCTACTCCCAGAAGTCAATTGAACAACAAGCCAAAAAGTTATCCATTTATACAAATTATTCGTTCCATACATCGATCGATCATGTAGAAATTTTGATTCTAATTATTCTCTGTAAATTTAATGCATGCATTTGTCACGGACATTAATTCATTCAATCAACATAAATACAAAATAAAAATAATTTGTCTTCTATTTCACATAACTGTGCTAAAGACATTGCTACATACCAAGTTTTTCCTCAGCAATCAATGCTACAAGTCTCTAGTTACTTCCTCGAATGAAAACCAGAACTTTCACAAGACATCGAAGGCGTAGGAGTTTATTTATTTTGGTTTGGTCAAAATATAAATTGTTTAAGTCTTTCAGATCATGAAACGCTAAGAAAATTTTGTGTTTATATATGACACAAGTTACCTTAGATGGTTATAATAAATTCCTTTCCATTTTATACAATGGTTTTTACATTTGAGGTCATTCATGCAAAACAAGATATGCTTTGTAATTATGGCGAAGAATTTTAAACTCGTTGATTCATAAGTCATAACTATCATGTTCATAAGTATGACGCTAGACAAAATGGAAAAATAATTGGCCAATGTTTCATTTAGCTTTCATATTAGCAGAATAAAGAGGAATATATTGCGCTTTTAAACGGATCAAATTTTTATCTAAAAGCTAGAGATTTCAGATGTTTTTACAGAAACAACAGATCGTGGGCGTTCTTTAAAACTTTGCAAGTAATGGAGGGCTTATATATACTTATATTTTAAGCCTATTTGACAAGTTTTAACTTCCTACATCGTTTTAATTTTTGTTATTCTATCGGCGATACTTACCGCCTCATGTATCAACTCATGTTTCGACATCCTTTGTCAAAAGGTTGTTGAATCTGAAGATCACTACTTCTGAGGCTGTCAAAACCTCAGTTATTACCAATATCAACATCAATACCAACACCAACACCAATACCAACACCATCACCAACACCAACACCACACCATCACCAACACCAACACCAACACCAGCACTTAGATAACCAGAACATGTACAATCTGCATCTAAAAACTGTTTAGGTTGATTACACAGAACAACTACAAGCATGGAATGCAATTACGTTAGGAGACTCGGAGTACGGATGAAAAATTATTTTTTGCTTTTATGATTTTATGATTTCCTGATTTCCGCGATTTATATGTTGTGCTGTAGTATTAATACTACATAAAGTAACGCATTAAAAACAAAACCGGATAACACGGAAGTTGTGTTTAGATTCTATTTCAATTTCACAAGCCAAGAAGTTACCTCAAAAATATGGCTTTTGTATGGAACAAACAATGTGAAGTTATTGCGTTTGTATGGAACAAACAATGTGAAGTTACTCTGGCTCTTTGAACTATTGAACTCTTTGTAAAGTCGACTTGGACTCAAGTGAAATCTAGGTAAGTATAAGAGCAAATCACTTAGTTAATTTGGTGTGAGTAATGTTTCTGAACAAAACGATATTTAATATGAAATGCATGTTGAAATACAGAGGAATTTAGATGTCTACATTGTTAAATTAATTCTATTCCTCTGATGTTTAATAAAGTTGGTGATATTTGATAAACAATGATCGATATTGAAATTATTCAAACAGCGTACCGACGTACGCCGTACAGTACAAACATTGCAAAGTACTTAGTATTTCACACATATACATCGTACACATTATTTCTGACCTCAATTTTTCATTGCAAAGTTTAATTTTCATCTTATATAATTTCAAACTCAATATCAAAGTCCGCGACTGAGCGACATGTTTCAAAAATAGACAATAGACGATTCCACTAGACCGAGTAGAGTCTCAAATTTCTAGGCAAGCTGATACACATGCACTTTAAGGACGAGAATTCGAGAAACAGCATGCAATAAATTGACTTGTTGCCACAAATTATGTATTTTTATAAGCACAAAGTCTATCTTATTGTTCGTATGAATTGAAAACCATGGCCTGTCTCCCGTTCAAAGTGTCTATGAGCTCAAGCAATTAAGTCAATTAACCAAACACAAAGAAGTTGCAAATCAATGCTGAATATATTTTAGTGAAAAAATTACATTTGTCTGTTATCGTATTTGCGCTTGCTTATGCAAACCTCTAAGACTTTAATGAGAACTCTCGAGCTGATGTAACCCTCGACTTTGGTCTCGGGCTTGCACTGATCTCCTCTCGAGTTTTCTCAAAGGTCTCCTCGGTTTGCATAAGCCCGTGCAAACACAGTAAACATCTTTTATTTCTTAACTGTACAATACAATTTTGTGCAAGTTTGACGTCAGTGATCAACATAAGTAAAATGTATAAAACTGAAACTGAAAAAAAAGTTTATTAAAGAACATAAATCCAAGTTCTGTAAAGAAATATTTTTAATCAGCCATGCACCAAAGCACATTTAGTGCGCGGTGATGAGTTGAGTGTTATTTTTTAAGAAAAGTCCATTACGCGATTCTGAAATGTTTACACTCGATGAGGTTTATTAAAATTACTTTCACCTTTTTCTTTGGAAAAGTTGACTAAAAATACTTGCAAAAACTGGTGTGTTTTTTAAATTTCATTGACAAATCTTGGTGTACTTATAGTTTATTTTCTGTCAATGTGCCTAAAGCTATAAAACAATTCAATCATGTGCAAAGTACAAAACAAGTTTTTTACCCAAAGTATAAAACATGTTTTACAAACGTAACAGCCATAAATAACTTTTGTTTTATGATGGCTTTTGTTTTTTCTTAATTAATAATTTTCATAAACCTATAAACAAGTTACGTACAATCAAAAATTTTATGTAAAGTTTACATGATTATTATACGAACTATAAAACGCCTCGTTCCAAAGAGTATTTGCCTTTCCGCAATATATTTATTCAGTTTCAAATTTCTCCAAATTTCTATCGTAGGTCCTGATGATTGATGTCTTCGTTTCATCCGTCAGAATGTATGTCAGATGAATTTAAATTTTGCGGTGACTTGGAAAAAATTTGGATTGGCCAACATAATGAAAAACAAAAGTTGCTCCATAATAATAAACATGGACTCAAGTCATATAATAACAATTCTCGTTGGTTTATTGGAGCGTATAACAGAGTAAACTTTGCAACAATGTGCTATAATTACTGTGTGACGTTGAATGGTGGCTATAATTTGACGAAAGCCAGTAGACTTTTATGTTTTGGAGGTGATTTCTCTAGGATTGGCGCGACATTTTCTTGTCTCTTACTATTTTTGTTGTTTATGATGCCATTCGTTGCAGTTTTGCCAGTTTTCTTGCCATTAAGCTCGTCGAAAAAACGATATTTGCTCCTGTCAACTGCAGGGGTAGAATTTCTATTGCTTCTTTGGCATTTATATTGCCTTTGTGTGATTAAGTTTAGAATCTTGAAAAAATGGACAAATGCTTGGTTTACATTTTCTGTCAACGCAGATAGATGGCAGGATCACAGAATGAGCTCGAACTACCACACATTCTTTATAGAAGGGAAACTACGATGTATGGACGTTTCTGTTTCGGATCTTTATCGACTGAATTCTGGCTTAGATGAAGTGACTCCAACAGAACGAGAAGAACTTGCAAGTGTTGTCGAACAGCACAGGCTTAATCAAGCTGTTGTTTTAATGTATTCAAAAAAATTTATCAGAGAATTTATTTCGTGTTCCATGCTACAGATTTTTGCACTTGCATTACTTTCAATTACTTCACTCTCTGTTCTTCTATGGAGGACTTTAGTAGAGTTTGCCGTGTAAACATAATTACAAGGCAATTTTTGCTCGATAGATTAGGTCTATCACATCTGTAGATACTGTTGGTAAAAGATCTATATACACATACAGCTATAGTGATGGTGAAAGAAACTACACATACAGACATGGTGATGGCGAAAATACTAAACTACTATTTTGTTATAATTATTGTGTGGCAAATGCAAATAACTTATGTATGTATAATAAATTTAAGCAAAATGTTTCCGCGCACGTTGTTTAAGTATTGGTGCTCTATTACCAAAACCATACTTGAATCGTGAATCTTGGGTCTATTCAAATCGTGGTGTTAGTAATTTAGTTGAGAAAGACTCGAAGAGAAAAAATAATTTATATGCCTTACATCACGACAATTTCAAAAAATAAAGGAAAAAACACACTCCAAAAAACAGCATCGTGTAAACTCAAGATTCGATTTATAAAAGCAAGAGACAAGATTCAATTTTGTAAGGCATAACCTTACATATTTTACTTAATTTTGAGCAGAGATATTTGCTCACCCACGAAGTTAATTCCACATGCCTCATGTTTATTGATGAATGCATGCATAGTCGTTTCTACCAGTTTGGCTTACTTTAATCTTTCCTTTATTAGAAGAGTGTGATAACTCAAGTCTATATATATACCTTGCACATTTCTTCTGAGGTTTTAAAACATGTAGCTACTCTCTTTGATGAACGGCTATAAACGATAGCATTTGATATCAAACTACTTAATATGTTTGCATCTATATATATATTTTTTTAAATGTATGAAATTTGCAAATTGCAGTTTGAAACAACCTTCATTAAAAATCAATTCTCACGGAGTTCTAAAAGTTCGACGGTGGGCTGTATGGGAGCAATATACCGAGTGATTTGTGTTTAATGACAAAAAAGTTACCTCGAGGGCTCGTCAATGAAATGGAAAACTTGACGAAAAAAAAGGAACATGTGGAGATCAATATATGATACAAGAGTGTAAGGAAAATATACATTTTAAATACAGGTAATAGACGAATGAAAGTTGGTATGAATTCAAACGTATCTATCTTTTCCGTTTTGCCTTGAACTCCAAAAAATTGCTCAAAACAAAACATTCGCCAATGAAATTTAACTCTCATCATCATCAAATTCTTGCGATCTCCTTAATGCAATGTTTTAAGTAAAAGATGATGAAATATTTACATACTAACAACCGATACATCAATGCAAGTATACATTAGTATAGTTAGGATAACATGACGGCGGAAGGAGACATTTAAACATTCATTTGATTTGATGGCTTTTGCCTTATAAAAACAACACAAACATTGAATTAAATGCGTGGTAGCTTACAAATACAATTTACATTATTCTAAATCGACCCAGAATGTTTGTGGAGGAAATTAGCTGCACATGGCTGAAAGATACTTTCAAAATTGGTCTGTTGATATTAAAGTGGTTAAACAATAAGAGTATGCAAATAAGTGTATACATAAATTCATCAAAAATTACACACATTTTACCAAGCATCACATATTTCAGGTAACGCTTTTCTATTATCAGTTGATAGACAGCATAAGTTCTATTTAGCATATTCCTATCTTGGCACACGTACATTTTATTTGTTCCTGGTTTTATCGTTTGTTGCCTACAAGTTTTATGATTTATTTAATGTGCTGTCTCGTCTTCATCCTGCAACAGTTGTTGTCACATAAAACATGTACGATGAATTTAAGTTGCTGAATGTCGCATTTGCTCGTGGTACAACTTCAAGAAATCGAGTGATATCTTTGACACAAACAAGCAGCATACATATGACACGCAAAAGCAAATAGCCAAAGTACCTGAATATTAAGTAAGAAATTGCTTGATACGATGTATTAAGCTCTCAATACTTTTATAAGTCGTAAATGTATTTTGCAACCAAACAGACAATTGTTGTGATTACGTGCAGGAAATGAATGATATGCCAAACTTGTGATACTTTTCATAAAGTTCTTTTGTCAGTTGAAATTCATGCTATACTTAATGGTGACCATCTTTCATAATCTCCACAACAGACATTTTTCTTTAACGAACAAAACTTCATTAAATGCTCGACGTGTTTAATACATTTTGTTCTTTCATTTGATTTAGAGAGAAATTGGAAGTCGACAACATTGCAACGTCACGCGTAACCTGTTTTCATAAAATGAACTTAAGACATTTTATATATCATCAAACATTAGGTTGCTACCTTTACCTGCAGTTAAATTTTTAAAATACTTCTCCAGTTTGCTATCTTTTATAAGGAAGACCTTGCAATGGCTTATTATAAATTATTGGTGTATTAGATCACTTTCAAAAGGCTGCAATTACCATTATGTGAAAATTATTCATGAATGAAAACTTTGCATATTTCATTGCACTGTACAAAATCATTAGCTGAAACATGTTTCACAAAAATCTATGACTTCATTAATTGAATACATGCACTCTGTATAATATAGTCAGAACAAATTAAAATTCAAAATACATTCAGAGTTAACAAAAAGTTAATAGTATTGAGACTAAAACACTAAACAAGACATGAGCTGAATAAGATATGTTTAAATTGTTATTTATATTGTAACGTTAATGCTTCACTACAATATGCTCAATTTTTTTTGTCTGGCGTAAGTATGTAAACATTTTTCTCTATCTGTTAAGATAATGAACAAAGTAAACGTCAAGCTTTTAGCGAGTTTTTTGACATATTACACCTGCATTTTATTTCACTTTTTTACCTTTGAACACTAGGTAGGAACATGCATATCATAATTTGATACTTTTAAATACCTTTCATAGTATTATTTATTACTATATACTCAATTAAAGATTTGACCTCTTGAAGTTAAACTTTCAACTGTGGATGAGGAGAATTTTTTAATACTTAACGTTGAGACTAAACTGCATTTTGTTTAAATACATTAACTTCATATAATTTACCGAACTTAACAGTTTTCTTGATTTTCAAGTCATGAATTTTTTACGTATTAATGGATTTTATAATGCTAAATAAACAGAACAACTTTCGAAACAAAAACTGTCATTTGGAGATGTTATACTTTTTGTTGCAGACACAAACTGTAATAAAAGAAGGATTTTAATGATTATTTAATGGCTTGGGCAACGACATGCACTATACATTCAGCTCTATAACATTCACTTCTCAAAACGTTTAGTCCTGTGTAATGTTTTTATTTCGGCCGTTTGTAATTGATCAGCTTAATTAAATGTTTGGTTAAATGCTATATCAAAGGACGAAATCACAGAAAAGAAGATAAGTATTCTATAAGGTCTTCATACCATGTCAATCACAAACACTTGTGTAAACTACGACATCCTCTTATAAACATAAAGTCATAAAAGTTTACCATTGTTCACTCGCACTAGCTAGCCATTATTTGAAGAGTAAAGTCATATTAAGCTTGCGCGTAGTGAGTCAAAGTTAGCTTCTAATCCAGAGAAAGAGTAAGAAATGAGCAAAGTAACTTCGAGGAGAATTCGCTCTTTTTTTATTAAAGATATATTAGAACACAGAAACTCACCGGCAAGAGAAAGTGATGACAATTTTTTGTCTGAACACCCACAGCTTAAAAAAATAACCAAGCTAACATCCTATAGAAATCTTCGCATCAACCATGAACCTTTTATGGAATCGTGCAATACAGGTAATGTGAATTTTCAGTGTTTTATTTGACAGAAAATTGTCGCACATGCCGAGATATTTTGATCGCACTACTGAACAGGTAAAAGACTTAAAAAATGCTAATGTATCATGAGTTGAAAACATAATCATCTCATTCTTGAAAAAGAGAAAAAGTGAATGAAAAAGGGTTTGGCAATAGCAAAGACAGTTCATTCTTGACTTGCAGGCATTGTATCGAGATTTACCATCATGCACGTCTATGTGCAATGCGTGATGCCCACAAATAGCAATGATAATATATTCAACCAGCGACAATGGTTGAATTGAAATAAGTACGATATGAATTGCATATGATGTTACGATTAATAATATAAATGAAACGAGTTAAAATTGAATGTAAACACAAGTATTGCTAAGGTTTTACTTGGTAGCTAAATTATGGAACTACGTGTATAGTTGTATATTCCACAAAATAAACACAGCATTTCAGGAATCATAATAAACCAATTGCAGCTGCATGCATTAAACTTCTAAAACATGATAATCTTTGTAAAACCACCTCATAAAATCATGTACGTCCTCAATAATCCACAACAATAAGTTTATTAGTCATGACTTGTAGCAGCTCGATCAATAGTTAGTTCAGTTACATCATAATTATGCAGCTTTAAGTAAAAATCGCGCATTAAAGGAGCAATTCCTAAAATAAAACATTAGGATTAAAAATCATACGTTTAATTTGTAAAATGGTTGGCCGTTTTGATGTGCTTACACAATATGATATGCATTCTCCTTTACAAATAAAAGTGCTTAAATATTGCTATAAATGTTTTTCTTGCGGTGAAATTTTAAAATAAAACAAACCTTTTTTATGAAAAAAAAACTTTTTTCCAGCCACATTATGATTGTAAGATACTTAGCAAAACATTTTATCGCTTTCATCTGAATACATTTCGTCAGGAAGTAGGATTTACATACTGTTTTCAATAAGTAAAACACAGAGCCAAAATTTGATTGGTTCAATGGATAACGATAGTTTTTGAAGCATTTTTCAAGATTGTAATGTTAAGAAAACACCTCCAGTATACAAAGCAAACTCATGCAAGGCGGCACTGGGACTGCGCCATGAAATTGAATCTTGGGAAGATACGACTTATATTTACTAAACTTACTGCGTCTTACTTTGCCCAAGTTAGGCTATGATATATAAATGTTAGCAAAAACGGGAGGTTGAAGCCCACCTCCCGTCCCCCTTTAGTGCCGTGCATGCGGCAAAAGCGGCGGAAGAATGATATTTGGCAAATATTCATGTAAGCATGTTCTACTGTATTAGTTTATATTGAAATCAGTTTTGACTACAGATTTTACCATATGACTATATGAATATATATTGCCCCACCCCCCCCCCAAGTATCAATCTTCGTTCGCCCTTGTTGTGGTCTGTTAGAGGTGGGCAATTTTAAAAAAAATTATTTATTTCAGTTTTAGAGTGTTGTGACTTCCCAATTTTGACTTGGTATCATTCATACAAAAGTACTTCGATGAAGACTACGCCATTTTACTATTCTTGTTTTTCTGCTGATGGTAACTCAAAGCCATTGAGAGAAACAATGAAAAGTAAGTCACATGATAAAAATGTCATTGTTAAAAATATTTCAAAACAAAAGAACAAGTTAAAGCCATGATCACGAAACTTTGATGTTTTCGGTAATTCCTGCTATTTTATATCAACGATACAATTTGAACTATAATCCTGTTGTATGTACTTCATAAGATTTTGCTTCTTCCATAAACGCAAACCTTGTTAATGGCAATGAATAGGAACTGACGTATTGTGCAATGAGTATATTAATACGTAATGCAGTGATCATGTGCAAGAACTTGCTTGCAACAATTTTATTCATCACAATTCTCCATTATCTGATGACAATTACAAAAGATTTGACTTTTCTATCATAAACATATTTTCAATCCTGAAATTACTTATTATAAGACAATAAACAGTTAATGGTGTTAAAGTAGAGAAATGCCGGTAGAGAATAACAAGGAACTGGCAAATGTGAACTTCACATCTTGTGACTTGTCTATAGTTGGAGCTAATCAGAACACTTTCATAGAAAATTTCTTACAAGAGACAGAAGCAACTACAGTAACTTAATATGCTTTTGGAAATATTTGGAAGACAGATTACAGAAGCTTAACGCATTTATAAGGAAACGTTTATTTTGTTCAATAAATTTATGATATATCTCGTGCTGTATTGTAATATAATTTGTGCTATGTTGTGATGCAACTTGTGATGTGTTGAAATAAAACTCGTGCAGTCTTGTGATAAAACTCGTGCTGTCTTGTGATAAAACTCGTGCTGTCTTGTGATAAAACTCGTGCTGTCTTGTGATAATACTCGTGCTGTTTTGTGATAAAACTCGTGCTACATTGTGATATAGTTCGTGATATGTTGTGATATATTGAAGCATGAGTATGAAAATGGCTTTTCCACGTAGGCGTTGCTTATATGGATGCACAAGTTTTGTATTCACGAGTGAAGCAGCAAAAATCGAAAAGACCATGGACTCGAGCTGTTTTTTCTAACCTGCAAAGGAAAGGTCTTGAAAAACGCTTCCAAGTTCAGAAATATCTGAACAAAGTTGATCGACACCAATTGGCCTCAATGTTGGGTCTTTCTGATAACCAAGTCAAAGTTTGGTTTCAAAACAGAAGAATGAAATGGCGTCAAGAGGAGCACTCCGTTAAAGAATCAGAGAGGTGTGAAAACTTCAAACAAAGATCGTGAATTATCACTTAAAACAGCAGCTAGAGTTTATTGATAAAAGTCAAGAACAAAAACAAATATTAAGCATCTTTTGCAAAATATGATATTTTTAGAGTAAAACTTTGTACAAAAGCATAAAAGACTTCGTTGTAACCTATTGAAACTCCTCAATATAATGATCTAGAAGAAAAATCGAGTTATTCTTTCGGGCAATGCAGAAATTCTCAGAAGTAGAGTATGACTGAGATAAATTCTACATTTGTGGGTTATATTTTGATTATATTCTTTTAGTTCTCAAATGAATTATCGTGAAGAGCAAGCTGCAAGGTAAACATGTTTTTGAGAAACCCAAATATCCAAGAGTGTACAGTTTATTTATAGAGTCATCAACCGTCCACCAGATGTTGTCTCGCTAATGCAGCTCAAGGCAACGAATAAATTTGACGTCTTGTTACAACATGCTGTTCACGAGGGCTCTGCTATTCACGTCTTACTTGAATATAAAGTAATAAGCATTTTTCTGAACATAAAACTCAATGAAACATTGAAATTTGGAACTGAAAATCTCATATAAAATTTATCATGATAAAAATAATATATTAAGCTAAAAATTTGAGGAATGAAAACGCGGATTTTAGCTAGAGTCAATACATGTCAACCACAGCGTTTAGACATATATCAAATTTTTTGATTTATATGAACTTTCATTGTTTACGTTTTAACTAGAACGTTTGTAGAAATTTCCTAGTAATTTGAATATGATCATGGTCTAAAACGGAATAAGGCTGATACTCAAGCCAAGGGAAATTTTGCATGCATGTATAAAAGTCCGCATCTTTGGTGTTCGCGTACTTTACTGTTCGCGTATTATAAAAGAAAGTTATGTTCTACATGCCAATATAATAATCACAATATGTACACACAATTGCATAACTTTATGATGAGTTAAAAGCATAAGAAAAATTTTAAAATTATAATTCTAGCTTTAGCTCAAGTTAAAATGAAATTGTAGCGAGAGACTTGCCGAGCGGAAATCGAATTCGTGTGATAAAAATTAATGCCCAACATAAAGTTTTAATTAGAGCCATAGAAATAGACCAAAAAAAATTGTAAAATTGAAACGAAACGTCACAATAAATTCAAGTTTACAATTTTTTTTGGTCTATTTCTATGGCTCTAATTAAAACTTTATGTTGGACATTAATTTTCATTACATAAAATGAAATTTTGTGTTAAAAATTCAATTCCGTTTAAAAAGTGTAGTTTAACGCTTCAGTAATGAATTAATTTTTGTTATTGAAAAACTTTTTTGCCCTCTATTTTGCATACACGTCTTTCAACCAATCAGATTTGAGCAACTGTTCATCTTATTATCAAAAGAAAAACAGCACAACAACAACCAAATAAAAATTCAGAATATGAACGTGTACAATAAAACTACAATAACGTGAACAGTTCGGGTTTATCCAGTTGTCGGAGGATGCTGACTGCCTGTTGAAGACATATATCCTGCAGAATAACCACTTGTATCTGGAAAACTTTGAGTGTTGTAGGCAGTAGGTTGAATGAGAGGACCAGTAAATTGCTGCGGGTAGTTCTGCATCGGAGGACGTTTTGGAATGACAGGCATTCCAGGTCGCTGTGTACCATATTGCATACCTTGTGGAAGAGATTGGTTCATAGTATAACCTGATGATGATGATTGGCCGGAAGGTGTTGAATACATGACAGGGGAAGGCATGATTGGTCTATTCACGTTACCAGACACTCCACCAGCAGGATAGTTAGTTGATGGCATATACATAGGTAAAGAAGATTGAGTTGATGCTGGTAAATTACCAGGATGTACGGTTGTTGATAAAGGAGATTGAGCACGTGGTGAAGTAGTCATACGGACGTTACTTCCTGGAGAATTGTTTCCACCAAGAGAAGGTTGACCTCTTGATGATTGTTGTACACGTTGTGGAGCAAGCTGAGGTTGGTTTAAATGTTTCTGAGGAAGTTGAGTGTTGGCCAATTGCTGTTGTTGTTGTGTTTGCACTTGTTGTTTCGGTAAAATAGGTTGTTGATGAAAGACGGACTGGCGTTGTTGTTGTTGTTGTTGTTGTTGTTGTTGTTGCATCTGTTGCATTTTCTGCAATTGTTGCATATGCAAGTGTTGCATTTGTTGAAGTGGAATTTGCTGTTGCACTGACTGCTGGGAAGTAGGAGGAGGCGTTGGCTGTTTTGCAGGCTGTGCAGGTAGTTGCTCGTGTTGTCCTTCAACAGATTGTTTTAATGAATGCGATGGTTGAGGTACAGGTGAGGAAACAAGTGATGCATTTGGTGTGGTTCGACCTTGAGAGCCAACAGATGAAGGTGAAGGTCCAACCGAAGGCGGATTAGATCCAGTAGCTTGCCTTTCAACTGTGATGATGTAACAATGATCACAAGAAATTTAGTTACTGTACAATATCACTACAAGATTTTAGAAAAAATTTGAGTGAAACGATTAAGCTGACCAGATCAGAAATTCATCTTAAATTCTTTAGGTCTCCACTCATTTACTCAGTAAAATAGCATCATTTGATCGTTTAAAATGTGCTAAGGTCTTCTTCAGTTGCGAGAGTAGACAATGTCATAACTTTTCTTACCTAGCGTAGGGACTCTCACTGGTTGTGTAGGATGTGTCAGTAGACAATGTCATAACTTTTCTTACCTAGCGTAGGGACTCTCACTGGTTGTGTAGGTTGTGTCAGTAGACAATGTCATAACTTTTCTTACCTGGTGTAGGGACTCTCACTGGTTGTGTAGGTTGCGGTGATTCGCTTGAAGTTGTTACTTGAGTAGCTTGAGGTGGAGCAATTGATTCAGTAGTAACATTAGCCACCTGACTTGCACGTGCTCTCATTTCAGCAAGCTTTAACTGTTCTTGATGAAACTGTTGTTTCTCCACCAAAAGTTGCTGCCGTTGGTATTCCAACTGTATAAGGGATATAATGGTCACAGTTATAGCGTGTACGTCTTTTAAATTGTTTTTGATGCTTAAATTCTTTATTATAAATTATGTTATAAAAGGATGAACTCAGTATAATAGATGAACAACACAAGAAAGAAATTGCGTGGAACACGAAATATGAATCTGGTCACAAGAAAATCAATAACTCGACAATTGAATAAACCAACCACTCGACTATTGAATTAATCATCTGTAAGTATAAAGTAAATGGTTTGAACCCGGGAGTATCGTTATATGTTTGTAAATGATGATCGTCTAGGTTAATAAAGTCCTGAGAAGGACTGTTTTTGTTGTTGTTGTTGACTGACGTTTCGACAACCTTAGCGGTAGTCATCTTCAGAGTCAAAATAGCGGTAGTCATCTTCAGCCTTAGCGGTAGTCATCTTTAGAGTCTTATAATCTAAGATAAAGTATTTACTGCATATGGTAAAGACACTGTAATGAAAACATCTCAAAACATTTCATGTTTGTAAATGATCGTCCAGGTTAAAAAGCGGTAGTCATCTTCAGTCAAAACTCTGAAGATAACTACCGCCAAGGTTGTCGAAACGTCAGTCAACAACAACAAAAACAGTCCTTCTCAGGACTTTATTAACCTGGACGATCATCATTTACAAACATATATCATCTGTAAGTATGTAAAGTACGATATTATCTTTGAAATTTCCTAGCAAAAGAAATTTCGTACAGAACAGAAAGATGAAAAATTTTCACTATCAGAAAAAACCCATTAATGATTTTTTGTCTAGCTACTTACAGTTTCTCGTTCTCTGTCCATGATGGTTTCCAGTTCTTCAAAATGCCGAAGCTTGATTTCCAGTTTTTTCATCTGAGTTTCAACAAGTAAAGCAACAAGGGATTTGATTTTGCGTTCTTCAACTTGAGCCAAATGCTAAAATTATATTTTACTATGAACATGAAATAACATTCTTTCTTTTATAATGTATTTATAAATTTGCACAAGCTAAAAATGCCCTTTCCGTAGTGGCTTATTCATAAGATTGCAAGATATATGAGAAAATTACAACAATCTTCCCAATATAAAGTGTAAAAGCGATTTATGAATGAAATATCATTATTATAAACCAGTTTCATAGAATCAAAAGATCATGTATAGTTCTTATCAAAAGGCAGTGCGAATAAACTGGTCTCCATAGTAACAATACCTAAAGATGAGCAGTGACAACAAACATCCTACAAAAAATTAACCTTAGATTTTACAGCAGCTGCAGCTAAAGCAGCCGCCGCTGCCGTCGCCATATTCTCCTTGTTGATCTCTTGATTCTCAGATAATGCTCCAGTATCTTTCGATTCAGAGTTCGCCTCCCCCTATATTGTCAAAATATTACTGTTAATTTTCTGAAGTTAAAACGTCATAAATTGAAGATTCGCCTCCCCTGTATTGTCAAAATAGTCTTGTTAATTCTCTGAAGTTAAAACGTCATAAATTGAAGATTCGCCTCCCCCTGTACTGCCAAAACAGTCATGTTAATCTCTGAAGTTAAAACGTCATAAAATAAAAATAAACTATAAAAATTTTGGACATCAATATTTAGCAAAATGTCTAATTAGTTTAAACTTATGTCATCTATACACACCTTAACTGTAGACGTCTTTTCTTCTTTACTATTATCCTTCTGTATTGGCTCAACTGTAAAACATTTATTTAGACCATTTAGATTTTCTATTTTGTCTATAATATAGTGATTCATTTCAACAGTCACTGGTCTTCATAGTCTTCATCACCATATTTCATAAATATCGAAATATGGTTTGTTTCTTCATTTTAAACAAAATATGTGCTAAATCACATTAAATTCACATGAATCTTAGAGTAAATTTTTTTAATTGAGAACTTTATTTTTTATCAGATCTTCAGGGCAAGAATTTTGAATGAGCATACACCAACCTGGTTCCTTTCCTTCCACTTTTAATTCACTTTCCATTTCCTCCACCGCTTTTTTAACCCGTGCTTCCAGTACGTTCATAGGAATTTCCTTTTTCATTAGACCAAACTCATCTGGAACCAAAAGAAATTAATCAATCAAGAACAAAACAACGTATAGCAAAAATTTCCAGTGATTGTTTTGGAAAATTAAATTTATTCAACAACAAACAAAATCAAGTAGATTTCTCTTAATTACATAGAGCAGCTTTAGCAACCTCGCTTGCCACATACTGTTCAACAATGGATGACCATTGGACTAACCTAAAGCAGCTTTAGCAGTCGCGCTTGCAACATATAGTTCAACAATGGATGACCATTGGACTTACCTAAAGCAGCTTTAGCCGCCGCGCTTGCCACACGCGGATCAACAATGGAAGCAAGAAAAGCAACAGTTGACATGACCGGGTTTCCTTGCTGACTAAATGGTATTGGTTGATAGGCTAACGGACCTTGAAAATATAAACCAAAAAATTCAAAAGAGATCAATTGTGTTATGCATTAACAAATCGACACGCTAACTTGATTATAACATTTCAAAAAAAAATATTAAATATTCAAACCTAATGCCCCAGTTGACTCCTCCAAAAACGGATCCTCAATAGGAAGACGCAAAAAATGCAAAATACATTCATCTTGTGTCCGTGAGCTTACGTGTTCTGCAACTTTATTCCAGTCATCTTTAAACATCTCAAGTCCCTTTAACAAAAACCCAATACAGATAATTTGTGTTTTTGTGTTTCGTCAAACAAAATGCAATTGTTTTAGACAGTGTTCATTCTTGCAGAGAACAAATTTTACCCTTCAATTTTAACTAGTCTAAACAAGTATTTGACAAAAAACCGCTGCGCTGATTAAATCTTCTTTGCTAAAACCACAGGGCGGTTCATGGTGATCCATGAGTTTCTTTTCACAATTTATCAGTGAATAAAAATGTCTCTCATCATGCAGTTTAATATTTCACATAAAGAAGAAAGCAACACTTATTTGAAGCGGCTTTTATTTCTTGTAATTTGTCTAAAAATTTTGCATTATTAAAAGAATAGGCCAATACCTCGAGTAAACGTAAGGTTTCATGATCAGTCCATTCTTTTGTAGCAGTTGCAGCCTATAAAAATCGTTCAACAACATTAAAAAAATGTGAGAAACTGCATACTCTACAGTATATAAAAATGCATGTGATCTCCATGTATTGACCTAGGTCCTGTTTACTTTATACAAGATTTCTATTAGAGCACGGTAAATTTTCTTTCTAAAAGGCAGTTAAAACTTTCAATGTCAAAAACACAATTAATTAGACTAAATGTACAACCTTATGATAAGCAGTCACTCCAAACTATTGTACGTATAGACATTTAAGGCAAATGAAGATGTCGTGATGAGCGAATTTAGTATTTTATAAAAGAAGCATTAATGACAAGAAAGGCATTTCTTAATAATATTAACGAAGATCGGAAAATATATAACATCCTTTATCCTTTATGTAAACAAGAAATTTTTCCTTCATGTAAAACAAAGTTACGATCAAGTGTTGCTACAGACGTAAGTTCGCTGAACATTGCTCAGTGACGTCATAGAACAGTTTTCAATGAAAATTTAGCAAAATCTGACATTGAACTATTTCAATTATATGACTTCATAATTCATTTCATACCTTTTGGCTTTTTTTCGAAAGATATTGATCAGTTCTCAATCTAGAAGTACGTAATGTTTATCTGTTTACAATGAAAAAATCCAATAAAGGGAAACAAAAAACCATCTATATAAAAATATATATTAAACTTTCCTTACCCAAAGTTAGTGAGATCATTCTTTACTGCTGGCTTTGGAATCATTTCTTCTTTGGATTGAAACATTCGATCACTTGGCGCATTCTAAAAAAAATAAATTAAATCGACAATTAGCTACGTACAGTTCTTTGTAACTTTTCAACCATAATATTGTCATGATTATCTTCTCTAAATGAAGTATTATGCAACACAGTACATTCTGTTACCTGAGATCGTGGATGTGGCAAAGGTTGCACTCCAGCTGGAGTGTCAGCCAAAATATGAAAATGTGAGGTGGAAGGAGGTCCCATAGGAGTAGGACGACTGTCAGCGTCCACTTGATAATTCACTAATCCCCATTGTTCAAGAAAAGCATGAACCCTAAAACGAACTTCACCTTTACTTTGATGTAAAAGATATAAAATAAAAACACTCAGACAGTTTTAAAGCCTATGAAAAATCAAAAGTTACGCAGGTAGTCAAAAGCTCTTCGTTGAAGAAAGCAGTCTATCCAGCCGCAGAATAAATAGTTAAATTTTCAAAGCGTCTAAAACCTGGCTATATTAAACCTCTGTTAAAAAATACATTCTCACATATTCTACTTTCATTGTCATAACATTGACCCTGCTGTTTGTAAGTCATAGATACTGTTTCGTTAAACTCAAATAGGAAAATAAAATATGAAATGTGCGTAAACTTCTATTTGAAAACTGATGTACTTTCTATTTGATTATTATAAATACACTTTTCTCGATAGATGTGAATTTAATAATCATCACAGTTCCAGTGAAATTATCAGATTTTGCAACTAGATGCCAAACAACAATTCCAATTTATCTGTATATATTGTATTTATACACTGTATAACATCGAAGATGCTAAGCTCAATTGCTCGAACATCAAAAATTCAAAAACAAACAGCAAATTAAATGTTATTACTTTAAATTCACTTTTTCTTTTGAAAATGCATCTTCGATGACACGAAATATCTCAATCGGTAAAAATTTTATTGAGGCTACTGGTCAGCGCTGTGAACACACCAAAAATGAATAACACAATTTTCAAAAACGTATGCTAGTGAACACGTTTGTAAAATTACCGTAATATGGAGCAAACATCGCCAGCTAGATTTCGTCGACAGGCTGTTGCTGTAAGATAATCTGTAGGATTTAATCGATATGAATCGATCATAAAGTTGCGATATGCTAAATATCTATAAAAAATTCAGCAAAATAAAACATGTAAAATACAAGTAGCAGCTTTAACATGTTTTGAGTGATCAATGAAATTTAATTTTAGAAATTTACAAAACTGCATACGTACATCTCTGGTGTTTTGGATTTATTTTTGCCGTTAAAAAATTCAGGAAGTGCCCTTCTTTCAATGGCATGGATGCTACATAATACACAAAACAATTATTAATTGTGCACCTAAGTAAATCAAAATTGTAAAATACATAACTTTTTCACTCGTGTTGAAAAAATCTACAACACAACCAGCAAGAAATCAAAGAAATATGAGGCGTGGGTTTTAACCAGCAAGAAATCAAAGGAATACGAGGCGTGGGTTTTACTACATTTTACAAAAAATAAACTATGTATTCCATCATTTGCTATATCATAAAAACACAAATGTTGACTGTTTCAAATAAATGAAAAACCAATTTTTCAGTTTCAATACAAACTCCCTAAAATCCTTTTGGGAGAAAAAGCAGGAAGAACAAGCAAATGGTCCACTGATTATTTAACATTTTTTCACCTATTATAATCAAACCATGATGAATAACTTGGAACAATAACATGGTGACTTTGTTCTGTTAAATGTTCATCATAACTTGTAGGATCTTCAAACATTTCCTCAGGTTTGCTGCCGTCTTGAGCGGATCCTGGAGATCCTGGCGCTGAATCTGGACCCTATAATTCAGGAAGAAAATTTGCGATAAAGAGATTCGTTCATAAGAACCATTTTATAATAACGGTCATTACTGACGTAGGCAGTCCGTTAATCAAGTCCTGCTGAGTTAATTTTTCTGTGTTCAAATAAAGTGGGATGAAAATATTTTTGTCTACACTGTATCAACACTGATTAAAAGTAAATAATTCCTTAATTCTCATTGGTCCAAGTACAGAAGTAATTTTACTGACAATTGTTTCTTTATCTTCATCTTCTTCCTCGTGTGTTTTAGGTGGAGCTGATGGAAAAAAATAGTTAACATGACGCTTTATTATTTTATGAATCATTTTAAGTAAGATATGACGCAAAAACATATAACTACATATATGTACATATGTATATATACGTAAATACAATTATTTATTTACCTAAAATATCCATCATAACCCCATCCTGAACTGGTGTCGAGTCTGGATCTTTGTTCTTTACAGCTGAATATAAAAGTACACACTGACTACTCAACAAGATTTGTCTAAGCGAAATTTTCAGTATATAAATCGAATAAAAAATTACCAAGGGCTTATTGCATGCAGTAAAACACACGACACACGTAGTTTAAACTTACCTTCCGAAGTAGGTAAACTAACTTCTTCCACCTAAAATAAATCAAAAAATACAGAGCTTTTTCAAAATGTGTTGCACACGTACAAACAGTCTTAATTGAATTTCCCAGACAAAAGATGTGTTCACCATCGTAATTGTTTGAGAAGTTGCATAAAGAAAGTAAGAAATTTTCATAATGTGTGGAGAAGAATTTGAGATAACCTTTGCAGCATAAAGTAAAGAATAAAACAATTTTAAAACTACGTACAACAGGTACAGGTGGAGGATCTGGCAACTCTTGAGTAATGTCTTCTTCTATTTCTTTCTCACTATAAAATACGAATTCTCCTGAGCGATCTTAACGACGTTCAAAGTGTGAACGAAGAAGGTGATTACATGATTAAATGAAAATGCGCATGACATGACAAGAAAGAATTCGCTCCTCACAAAAATAATAAAGTATTCATAAATATAGGATACTTGTACTATATAGTACACAAATTCTGTACTAGATTTTAGTCTATAGCAACAATATTCTCCCTCAAAAGAAGAATGTACGTAGCTATATAGATATTCCATGTTATTTGACAACACACCTTTCAATGTCCTTGTCAACTTTGTTATTCACGAGTGCAGGAACAATACTGAAACAGGTTTACGTACATGCTTTAAAATGTTGTCAAAAATGTTTCAACGTTAAATTATTATCATCTACGTATCTTTTAAAAATTGGAGACTCCAGCAAAGAAAATTTTTCGTCGTACCTTTTTTTAGGATTCGGTTTTTTCTTCCTCGCAGATTCCGGTGATGGAGATCTTTTCCTTTTCTTTTCTTTTCCTTTCAAGTAAGTATTTGAATTATTACTGCAGTGTTAATACTGTCTACAGACGTTGCTCAACATTAAACATATAAACAGTTAGTTTCAATAATTCATTATCAAATTTGTAAGCACTACAAAGTGATTATTTTGCAATTTACGTACGTACAACTGACCTTCAGGACTAGATGGTATCTGTAAAACAAATAGATAAGAGATTTATACACAAAAATATGAAATCAGTATAGAGTCTATACAGCTATTGGTTGAGACGACTATTTTCTAACACAGAATAAATTAGTATATGATTCACAACCTCATCATCTTTGTTTCCTCCACCTCTCAAGCTTTTGCGTCTTTTTCGAACTAAAAATAAACTTAGAGTTAGTGAGCTCATCTCATAACTTCGTGTGGTCACAAAAACAAAATAAAGGAAATTGTTGCTGAAAAAAAACAAGATTGCTGCTGTTGTATTTATTATTTGAGAGCAAAAAACGTCTCGATTTCTGAACATATTAAATCACCTTCAGCAGAAACACCTTCTTTGATTGTTCCTTCAATCTAAAATCAACACAAAATCCTGTTTTCAAAGACATTGATTTCAAAACTATTTCGTAAATGATAACTGACGAAGAAAAAGATTCAAAATCAAATGACGTCCCTGCCATACTTAGAAAAACAGCACAAGTTTTCATAAACATATATTTGATTTAATTTTTACCAAATCTGACATTTCATAATCTTCTTCATTCATCCATTCATTGAATAGATCGAGATCAATCAGCCATCTACCGTTAACCTTTTTAATGTATAATCAAAAGAATAACCAACACAAAGTAACATTTCTTTCGAAATTACATGCCGTCTCACTAACCTCCCATTGCCCGTGATGTAGTGGTTGGGGTTCAGGTTCATCACTTACATCTCCAGTTGAAACCCAGGTGTCATAACTACAATAACACAGTTTCAGAATTACATGGGGAAGTTTTGGTATTAAAGAAGAGAAATGAGTTATTTGACCAAGTCAAAATGAATGTTAACGTATAACAGGTTAAACAAAAACAGTAATAATTAACCCAAGCTTACAGTAGTTCAAAATAACAAACAACATGTATAACCTGTCAGGATAATACCACCAATGAACTAAGACCTTTTCATCTTTCTTTTCAATTGGACGCAACCATTCATCTGCAAGAAATCAACACAATATACAGTTAGTGTATTGAACAAATCAAAATCCCAAAGGAAGCCTATTTTTATAACTGAGGAACTACTTTAAAAAACACAGACAATGTTGATGAGTAAGTTTGATCACAAACATTTGAAAAACAACATATTCTTCTTAAGAAAAGAGCACGTCAACAAAATTCAGTTAATAAACATCAATTTTAACACGATTAGTTATGGCTGACAATTTATGTATGCAAAAACTTCAATTGTTAATACATATGAATAATACAAGTGAATATGATAGTAGGAGTAGGACAAAAAAGGTTGTGTGGGAGTGAGTGGTTGTGTCACCCACCAGCTTTTGTGAAATAAGTAAAAAAGTTGATCTAAACCTAATAGAAGACAAAAAAAGTTGGTTCAGCTAAAATTATTAGCTTTTCTATCAAATAAAGACACTATAAAGTCGGTCTCAGTAAGTAGAATTACCGTGGGTCTGATGTGTAGTTGTGTAGCTAGCCCACAAGTTTGTTCATGCAATGTAAATATTTATAATGAGAAATTTCCATAGCACAACCAAATTTGCAGTCTGGCTATGCCACTGGATGTGTGCCATTGAAAAGTTCATTGATGTATGATCTCACTGTCTAGTACTGAACTTTGTAGTACAAATAACTGGATGTGTGCCATTGAAAAGTTTATTGATGTAAGATCTCACTGTCTAGTACTGACCTTTGTAGTACAAATAACTGTATGTGTGCCATTGAAAAGTTTATTGATGTAAGACCTCACTGTCTAGTACTGACCTTTGTAGTACAAATAACTGGATGTGTGCCATTGAAAAGTTTATTGATGTAAGATCTCACTGTCTAGTACTGACCTTTGTAGTACAAATAACTGGATGTGTGCCATTGAAAAGTTTATTGGTGTAAGATTTCACTGTCTAGTACTGAACTTTGTAGTACAAATAACTGGATGTGTGCCATTGCAAAGTTTATTGGTGTAAGATCTCACTGTCTAGTACTGAACATACAAAGTCACTAATGCAATGATTGGAGGAATTTCATTGTACAACAAGTTTGTACAAAGTCCAAATAATGTGGATAAACAAATGCTGAGATGATCAAAAACAATGAATCCGAATCCTTACATTAAATATCAAAACCACTTTTACATATATGTATAGTTTTAAACAATTTACCATCCTGACATGGTTGAGGTATTGGAAAGACAACATGAGTAGCAGATTCCTTGTCTTCAACAACAGATCCCTACAAGAAATATTAATGTGCTATTTTACTCTACTGTATGTTCATACTATCAAAATAATTAATTTGCAACAAGAAACTTGTTGAGAACATTTCCTGTACTTTAAATTAACTACCAGTATAAGTATTTATTTCAGCTAACATCGTTTGCCAGAACCACTTTATCTTCGAACAACGAATCAACCAGTTGTGTTTTACTAAAGCAGTAACTGTTACCAATAGTATAGCAATTAAAGCCATGCATATACCCACTTATAATCATATTCAACTAACGTAAGTAGTAATATTTATGTATAAAATTAATTTCTCTTTTGAGTGATATTACACTAAAGATGATCTATCTACTAATGGAAGCAAGATCTACAACATTGTTTATTAATCAGATACTTACATTATGTTTTTTCAAAATGTCTTTTAGTTTAGCCATTGTTTTTTGATCAATTTCAGGCATAAGATAGACATTTGGCATTGTAAGAAAATTCTCCTGATTAAATAAAAGACAAAGTTTGCAGTTCACCTACATACACACTGACCATTATTATTTTACCAAATAAATATCATCGCAAGTAGTAATGTGTGATTATTTATTTTTATACCTGTATTGTAAAATTTCACTAACACTTACGTACTGAAAATTCCATCATAATTATAAGATGATTTTAAAGCCTCTCTCATTGTGTAGGAGTGTGAGTACACTTTTAGAACAGGAGTGTTCACTTTTTACCTCTTTTAATGTCTTTTCAATGTTCAAAAACAGCTCAACATTTCTGTCCATCCTTGATGGTGATTGGAAATCAAATCTTCTCCTATGGCAATGTGATAAATCAAACAATGATATTTTTATTCTCATATTTTTACTACAAGTCTGATACAAATAGTCAATATTTGCCAAAAAGGTTTGTATTAAAAATGCTCGTCACCTTTCGGAAATCGTTATTAAAATTAAGAGCAATTTATAGTTGTAAAGCTGGCACTTGTAAAAGTGATACATATTTTTTGCATCAATTTGTAAAAGTTAGTGTGGTACAGACAACATTGAATTTCAACAATTCAAAAAATACACAAATGCTTTATTGATGCAATAAGTAATCTTTAATACACTTGTTTTATGAAAATAAAACAAACAAACAAACAACATTTGTATACCGGCCAGTATTAATCCCCGCCAGGGGGGTTAACCGGTCCATGAACTTTTCTACGCCAAATGTCTCTATCTCTCGCCATATCTCTCCTTATACCCATCGCCTTCATATCACTGTTCACAGCATCCATCCATCTCTTTCTCGGTCTACCTCGTTTGCGGACTCCATCAACATTCATATGCAACGTTCTACGAATTTCAGCACTTTCTTCCCTCCTTTCCACATGCCAAACCACCTTAAACGCTGGCGCCTTACCCAATTCTCCATACACTAAACACCAACTCTTTCTCTAATCTCTTCACTTCGAATCCTATCCATCAACGTTACACCACACATCATCCTAAGCATTCTCCTTTCCTTCGACGCCAATCTTCTCAGGTCCTCTGCTTTCGGCGCCCAACACTCTGCTCCATATCCCAAAACACTTCTAACACATGCCTTGTACAATTCTCCCTTCTGCTTCAACGAAGTTGACTTTCCGCACAACATTCCCGACAACTCTCTAAAACTCCACCACGCTGCTTGAACTCTGTTCCTCACTGCTTGCTCGCACCCTCCACCATCATTTAACACATTGCCCAGATATTTAAACTCCAATACACCTTCCAAACTCACATCACCCAGTTCAAACCGTACTGGGTAACTACCATCACCCAGTTTAAACCGTTTTTTATTTATGAAAATAAATCATGTGAATAAAATTGCACAGAAATTATAGGTACAACCTTCTCTATTTGAATGTAAAAGTTTGACATACACCATCAAAAGCCACATTTATAGCAAGTTGGTGCAGATTCTGAATTATAAAAAAACTGCCTCATCTCCCCCCTACCCCTTCCAATTTATTTTGCAATTTGCAATTTTTCAAACCCATAATTCATGGAATTAAGTCTAATTTTACTTGATAGCAATGAACTAGCCGCAAGATCTTGTAAAATAAAAAACTGAATACATATTTATCACTAACCACCCTTGTTCTGTTTTTGTTTTGAAAACTGTGGATAGAATATGACACAATGAACCTCCAAAACTGTAGTCAAGGAACAACTTTATCTATGAAAAACAATTCTTATTCAAAACTAATGAAAATCAGATACTTCAATCAGAAGTAGAATTAGTAATAATTTGTTGATGAACTAACCACAGCAGTTATATCAAAAAGCCAGAAATGCTTAATTACACTTACTGGGAGTTTGCACAGTAGACGCTTGGTTCCATTAATCCCAAAGTTTTCCTAAAATTACAACAGTTATGAAAAATAGGTAGACTAATTAGGATGGCCAACATTTAAGACAAATTCATATATACCTCCTGAAATTGAAGCAACTGTCCAGTGAGGGTTGCCAAAATTTTATTTGTTGGTGGTTCAGCTTGAACATACTGCAATATTAACAAGGTTTTAAGTATTTACATTTATACCATTATATCATATAATTAACATAAAACTTGATGGTGTTTTAATCAACATATATACTTTTTCTGACCTTTTTGCAGTTCTTCAATAAATATTGTTTAACTGGTTCAAAAAGTTCACAAACAGATGGCGACTCGTAATATTTCCAGTCTGGTCCACCATCTTTTTTCCTAACCGCCATCCTTCAAGAACTAAGTGACAAAGAAACAAAAACAACAGACAACGTGCAACTAATTCTTTATAAACAATGCGATACCACTCAACCAAGAACTCGTACTCTGCCGAGATTCTCACCTCAACCGCTTCTTTTAATCCTCACTCCCCCCTGTTTTTTACCAACTCATGAGAGAGAGCTTATGATTTATGCATATGAAATTATCGTTATTGTAAGTGATACGAATCATATTTCTCTTAAAGATACTTGTGAAATTTTTATTTTTCGAAAGATTGTTATTTATTCAATAATAATTATTGAGTTAAAATTCTCTTCTCGCATGCTGAAATTGAGTGGACTCATGATTTTCCGGAGGGGTTAATTAATACGTGGAAAGTCGCTAGAAACTTTCGTGAATAAGCATTCTTATTAGCTTTCGTTTTGTTTATATTCAGACATATACGTAATTTTATTCAATTTTATGAAGGACTTTCACGATGGCAGCAACGAACTGGCTCTGTGTTCCTTTGAAACGTTCGTCAAGTAGCGATATTGATTTTAAAAAACCTTTAGAGAAGTTTATAAAGTCGACGTTTTCTAAAGAAACTTACGATGAAATTAAAGATAACATCATCGAGCTTAATAAGCTACGAATAAATGCTGTTAACCGCTCACCAGAGAAACATCAAACTTCCTTAGATACTTTATTGAGGTATTTTTCAAAGTAGTGAATTATATAAAAAAAAATCACGAAAAAAAAAAAATTTATACCATATTTCATTCAATTTATATTTTTGCAATTTATTTCATATTCCGTGTTCAAAATTTTGTATCATTGTAACATTGTTGACGGTACAGTTTTGCTTGACTTACTCCACCTCGTAACTACAGCAGTTTAATTTGTAAAAACAAATTTTTTGGACGATAAAATTATGTTGGATCAATTTTGTTATTTAAAATTTAGAATTATTTAGAATTATTTTGTAAATTTTTTAATTTAGATTTATTTTTTAAGCTTTTTCTTTTTCTCTAGGTACTATGATCAACTTGTCAGCATGGAAAGTAAACTTCCTATTTCAGAAAATCAGGTAGATATGTTATATATATATATACAGGAGCGTAGCCAGCCCGCAAGTTTGGTCGTGCTATCTAAATTTTTCTGTGTTCACTCACTGTAAAAACAATAGATTTCTAAAGAAATGAATAGCACGACCAAATTAGCAGTCTCGCTACGCCACTGTATTTATATATATATATATACGTACCCCAGTAGTGACAGCAAACACTTGTCCATTTTATTTCATTTTATATACGTATATATATTTCCAGTTATTCCCTGACTGGCAAAGCGTTGGCTGCTTGGATTTTGCTTATTAGACAAACTAGTGGCACTCTTTTTACTCTAGCTTGTTGCTTGTCTTACATCATACACACATCATTAACAATTAATCAGATTACTCCTCAATGTTTTCTTCAGTACTTACTATACCTTGTCATCTTACTTATAAAACTTGTTGCATCTGATTCAATGGGGTTGATTTACTGGGGTGGGGAGGTGCACATCCCTGGTATGTATCCTTGGCAAGGGGAATTGTAGTGGTGTCAATTCTCTAATGAAACATAAATGAATTGTACACGTTTCAAACAACTAAAAAGAAATTTTGATATTTGTTTGTTCTAGCAGACTTCCAAAATAATATGTATATCATAATGTAGATACCCAAAGTGTACATCAAAATTTAATGCAAACTAAAACTCCTTACAAAATCATACTGAATCCATTCCATCCAGTTTTCTTTTGTCGATGTTGACTTCATTTCAATATCCACTTACATATTGTATGTGTGCATGTAGACTTTCCATCAGTAGAATGATTTGCTGAATTTTTTTTAGATACGTATTACATTTTCATGGCATAATGCCTTTGATAAAAGCTCATGGTTATCTAGCGATAAAGCAGGTATTATTAAGTGCAATTTCTTCAATGTTAATGTCCAAATGAGAAAAGAATACCATGCTTTAATTTTTGTTTTGTTTCTTTTACAGCATTGGCTAGTGCATCATATGAAAAAATCTGTTTGCTTTTTAATATTGGTGCACTTCAAAGTCAAATTGCAGGTTCTCAAAACTTGACATCGGATGATGGTCTAAAATCTTCTGCTAAATATTTTCAGGTTGACTTTATTGATTTAAGCCTCAAAAAGATATGCAACTAAATGTCAAATAATGTTAGCATCATTTTAGTTGTCATATTAACAATATGGTTTTCGTGTGTACTACCTAAGTACCCACATGTACTACCTAAGAATCCGCATGTACTTCAAAACATTCGTATTTGCTAATGTTTTTATACTTTTTTAATGGAAAGGCTTCAAGTGGTACATTTCAAATGATAAAAGATCAAGTTTTTAGTGTTCTTCATCAAATTCCCACATCCGATCTATCTGTGGAATGTTTGACTGCACTCTCAGCTTTAATGCTAGCACAGGCTCAAGAAGCATTTTGCCTTAAAGCCATTCAAGGTAGATGTTGTTCATACCAATTATAAAAGTTGTTTAGTTGTTTCAAATTACCATGATCCCAATGCTTTTTATCATTTAAATAGGACGTAAAAAGCTCCATTAATAAGTTCCAAAAATTTTTTGATTAATTGATTTATTTTGAAACTTTTGTGTTTGTTTATAATTTTATTTAAATGTTGTTATATGATAATCATTATCCATATTATTGACCATACAGAATTTGTAAAAAGTTTACATTTTTACAAATTGTACGTAAATTTGATCATTTTAAAACGTTTTTGCCCTGTTATCATCGTTTTCGTTGTAAACTAGGGTTTATTTGTTTTGATTTTAGATAAAATGAAGGATTCGGTAATTGCCAAACTTGCATCACAAACCTCAGATTTTTACAGCAATGCTCTCCAAGCGACCAGTGTAACTACATCACGACAAATTTTCGAGAAGGTGCTAATATTTTCTGTTCTTAGGTACAATCGTATAATGATTTTCATCAATGATGGATTTTGTAGAAAGGTGCTAATTTTTCTAAAAAATACCAGTATGTCAAACAATTAAGCAAAAACAACTGTAATCATCGTCAAACCAAAATCTATTACCAGCGGACAAATTTATGAAGTACTTATAGTTGTATGTTTTATTAGGTTTAAATGAAGTACGCTTTTAAAAATCTTCCAATCATAAATACGTAATAGAACATGGTATGACATGGTATGGCAACATGTAGTCAACGAAATGTAATATGAAATAGACCACCAGCCCTCCCTCCCTAGCGACTATTTTGTGATCATTTCAATTTATATGACGCATGCGTTACTTATGTAGGATTGGATGGGGATGATTTCAGGAAAAAAGTTATTTTATAGCTATTGCTGAGTATCATCAAGCATCTGTCGTAAAAGATAAAGGATCATATGGTGAACAAGTTTCTCGACTTAAGGTATGAGCGTTGCTATGGAAGACTTTTAGTTATTTAGGTTTTTCTGGAGTCAGCGAGACGTAAAATGATTATAGGTATTGAAATGAGTCATTTTATCTGTTAAAACCTACAGCATTTTACTCAATTCATCTTATGTGATTATACTCTTCAAAAATTGTACACGTAATATTCCTGTGTTGAAGTTTACAAGGAAAATGTTTGAAAAGTTCTTGTACGTACTTCTATATCCACGCCATTACTTACGTGTGTTGTGTTTCAAAACTTGTGACTTATTGCTGATAAAATTAGGAAGATTTTTACGTAGACTCTGAAATTTATTCCAAATACTTAAAGCACGAAACAATTCAAGACTGAGCTACTTCCGTAAAATGTAAAAATCCTACATTGAAGCAAATCCCACTTTGAGTAAATCCTTGTACGTAACTAGTCTGACGTTTACCGAGATTGATCAGTGCTACCCGAAATGGTTACATATACGTATGAGCATTTATGAACATATATGAACATGCATGCTGTACACTGAGATCCCAAACTTTCTAGGTGGCAGTAGATTGTATTGCAGAAGCAGTTCGTGTGAGTCAAGGAACTATGAATGTTCAGGTATAAAAGAACGGAATTTTTTATAATCATTTCAGAGAATGTACCTCAAGCATTTATATATTGTGCATTTGTTGTTTTAAAGAGCATACCATAAAGTTTTTTGTGGTGTTAGTCAGAATTTTCATAAGTGCAATTGCTGTAAAAAACAGTTCTGTATGTTTTAGACTTGGTCTGAGAAAATCAACCGTGCTCACCATGAAGCAAAAAAAGACAACGATTTTATATATCATGACCAAGAACCACGACGTGACATGCTACAGCCTATTGGTCGTGCTACTGTGGCGAAATCCGTACCTCTTGGAAATCATCCTGTAACGAGCAATTTTAAAGATATTTTCGAGAAATTGATACCAACCGCTGTTCATCAAGCATTGCAGGCATTTGAATCGAGACAAGCGGAAATAACGAATATTGAAGTTGGACGCTCGAGAACTGCGACGAATGAATTAAAGAGGTATGAAACTTATTTTATAAAGGAAACTAAAAGCTGGCCGTGTTTTGAGACATGTACGTAACTGTGAAAAAGCAAAAAATGCTTATTTTAGCACACACTAAGGCACTGAATACTATAATGTGATCCAAGCTATGGGATAATTAATGTAGTCATAACGTAAGGATGGTAAACAATCATTATAATCATATCAGATTCATGTCTGGGTATTTGTTGTTATTTTAACAAATAGCAGAAAAGTTGTTCTTACAAACTCACGGAACTGATTTTTTATTCTTATTTATTTATATCTGATTGCTTCAAAATTCTGGTCCATAAATACCTGCAAATTTTACAAAGAAATCCAAATTTTATACTTTTTTTAAGTGTGCATAAGTTTTTTTGATCACAGTTTGCAGTTAACTTCATGCAATTGCAGCTAGCTGTTAGCTAGAATCTCAACATCCGGCAATCATCAGAATGCAAAATAGAATTAACGTGAAGTATATGAGCTCTGTACATCATACTAATGTGAAATACCAATCAGTCTAGGATTAATACACAAAGTCATGGCTTTATACATCTTCTATTTTTTTTTTGTTCTAAGATCTCATCAGAATCAATAGTTGTATTTTTGACTTCAATAACATTTCGCACATCAGTTTTTTAGCATCATTGAATTTACCCGCTGCAATCGAAGATCTTTCTGGTGAGCAAGTGCCAAAGTCTGTTCTGGAGAAAGCAAGCTCGGTGCGTGAACAAGGAGGTCTCGCTACTATTGACCAACAGTTGCAAAATTTGCCTGATCTTTTAGATCGAAACCGCGAAATCTTAGACGAGGTACGTTGAAATCTATTTTTGCTTTTGTTACGTAGGTACTTGTGATTTTACAATGATAGTATTATTCATGTTACAATAATAGTGTCAGTGAAGTTATATACAATCATGATATGTACATTTATTCTCAGGCCGTTCGTTTACTCGATGAAGAAGAAAGACAAGATACTCAGATGAGAGAACATTTTAAAGATAAATGGACGCCAAAGCCATCGGCAGAACTAACAGCTAACCTAAGACAAGAATGTGCCAAATATCAGGCAATCGTCAAAAATGCTACAAATGCTGATAAAGTTGTAAAAGAAAATTACAATAACCATAAGAATGCCATGGAATTCCTATCAAAAACAGACGTAAGTAATGGCTGAAATTTTGAATTTCTATCATTGATTTGGTAGTATTTGTATAAAGATGAGAACACTGCATTCATAACTATAACAGAACTCTTTACAGTCGTTTCGACTTTAAACCCGAAATTGTTTGATTAAAAAAAGTTGCATTCTTTCATTTTTATAATTGATCAAATTATTCGTAAATTAAAGTGTTTCCTTAAATACGTGTGTTAGTCAATCTTTGAAATAATTTATGTAGAACTTGTTGATCTTGAATCCGTACAAATATTACTCATTTATTCATGCATTTACTATTTAGGATATAATAGCCAACAGTTTACCTAAAGTTCAGACATCCGGTAAACAAGCAAGTCCAGTGGTTTTAGAACTGAGGCAACTTCTGGAGGAAGCTGAGACCATTAAAGCCGAACGTGAAGTTATTGAAGGTGAATTCACCTCACCTTCACAGGACATGGGTAAGAATTTTCCTTTTATTACCATCTCACCTTCACAAGACATGAGACATGGGTAAGATTTCCCTTATTACCATCTCACCTTCACAAGACATGGGTAAGATTTCCCTTATTACCATCTCACCTTCACAAGACATGGGTAAGAATTTTCCCTAATTACCATCTCACCTTCACAGGACATGGGTAAGATCTCACCTTCACAGGACTTATTACCATCTCACCTTCCCAAGACATGGGTAAGATTTTCCTAATTACCATCTCACCTTCACAGGACATGGGTAAGATTTCCCTTATTACCATCTCACCTTCCCAAGACATGGGTAAGAATTCCCTTATTACCATCTCACCTTCAAAAGACATGGGTAAGATTTCCCTTATTACCATCTCACCTTCACAAGACATGGGTAAGAATTTTGCCAATGACCATCTCTTCAAAGTTTATTGATACGCACTCTAACAATAGTAAATAATTTTGTGTTAATTTCTTCTCTCAAAGAAAAAATGTAGAACATCATGTCATATTTTGCTTTAATTTCTATAGTTGAGGCATGGGTATTTTTTTATTACTTTTCTAAAATTTCACCCAAAATCTATACAATGATCCCGATCCGAAAATAGTATAATTAATCATCAGAACCTCGCACTTCTTTGGAAACCAACGCGAAATTCACTTCAATTTTCTGCAAAGAATAAAATTTAAAATGTGTTTTTAATGTTCGTAGCTTTGGAACAAATCTAAATTAGTTCACAAACACGTTATATGTTGAATATAAACTACTTTATGTAAGTTAATTTTTCTTCATTTAGCGGCGAAATTTCTTAGTGCTCTAGCTGCAGATGGTACAATTACTGATCTCGAAGGAATAACTTCAAATGGCTTAGAAGAAAAGTACAATCCGCTAAGACAACAAGTTGAAAATTCCTTGGAACGGCAACAAGCATTGATTGCCAAAATAAAGGTACAATTTTACAGGTTGCGAATAACTATTGGTAACATGTAGGTCCGAGAATATCTCTTTAATCCGTAACTAAAGGACAGATTTTAGATATCCATTTTTGTAGTACATAAACAGTGACAGTGACCTTTTTGTAACTTTAATTTTGTTTCGCTTTTGATTAATTTTTGCTTTTCAGGAAGTCAATGATCAATTCGTGATTGAAAAGACGTCTGGTCAAACTGCAAGCGAGAGAGAAAAAATGCTAAAAGATTTGGCAGCTGCTTACGATGTTTACACTGAGCTTACATCCAATTTGAAGGAAGGAACCAAAGTAAGTATATATTCACCATGCATGTACGGAAAAACATGAATATATGAATAAACTTTCCCTCGCTTATCGAGCTGGCGACGCCACTGTGCATGTATAACATTGTACAAAATGCATGTACAAAACTGTAAAACATGCATGTATAACATTGTACAACATGCATGTACAAAACTGTAAAACATGCATGTATAACATTGTACAACATGCATGTACAAAACTGTAAAACATGCATGTATAACATTGTACAACATGCATGTACAAAACATGCAACATGCATGTATAAAACATGCATGTATAACATTGTACAAAATGCATGTACAAAACTGTAAAACATGCATGTATAACATTGTACAACATGCATGTACAAAACTGTAAAACATGCATGTATAACATTGTACAACATGCATGTACAAAACTGTAAAACATGCATGTATAATATTAAACACTATACTGTACCTTTAGCTATAATATTTTTTCGACTCGAAGTTTTTTTCCTGATTTCATAGAACACTGTTTGCAGCCCATATTCTTCCATGATTTTTCGTTGACACCCAAAAAACTAAGATTCTCATGTTTTATTTTTTTCAGTTTTATAACGATCTAACTGAAATTCTTCTGAAGTATCAAAGCAAAATATCAGATCTTGTTTTTGCACGTAAAACTGAAAAAGAAGACCTTTCTAGGTGAGAAATGAAAATTTGTATGGTGCATTTATGTGTAGTTATTTAATCCTACTATAAATATAATCCAATCTGATTTATGTAAGAATTAAAGTCACGTGTCTAATATATACTTTGTCACTTTAGAGAATTACAACAGTCTCTAGCCAATAGTCCGGTTGATCCAGTTCCTAATGCACCTAAACATCACGAAGGTATTTTTACTACATGCTTTAGTGGTAGTATAGTATACAATATACCTGTCTGACACGTATTTAATACTTTGACATTTTTTTAATCTTTTAGCTCAAGCTAGCCCCACTCCACCCGCACGCCCTACTCCACCTTCACGTCCTTCAAGACCTCCTCGTAAAATGGACGCCCCTGAAACAACAGTATCACAACCACCTGTTCCATCACAAGTCGCTAGCACTCCTCCTCCTCAATACCCAGCCTCAGGTTATCCCCAATCCACTCCTCCAACTGCACCATTTCCAAGCCCCCCTGGTGGATATCAGCCTATATCACCAACAGGATATCAACAATACCCAAATTATGCTCCACCAGGAGGTATTGCATCCATTGTTCCTGGTTATCCAGGTTATCAATATCCTGGTGCTTTACCTCCTACGTGGCACTATCATGGTCAAGGTCAGGTGTTTCCACAACAGCCTCCACAAAATTACCCATACCAAGGCTATCCGTACCAAGGGCCACCTGGTGGTTATCCTAGCCACTAACATGTTTTTCATGCCAATTTTCTTTATATATTATCAGGTCTATCTATTGATATTTCATAGTAAAATTGAATCGGAAAAATAGATGAGTTCATGTGTGATCAATTATAAAATGTTTTAAACATCTATTCCTGAAAATACAAATAAATTTCATAGAAAGTGTTAACAATTAAAACTTTGAAAGATTGAAAGCTTAGAAACATATAAAATAAATATTCCTTGAGATCATGTATATGACGACGTTACTTTGGATTTCCATCTTTGTTAACTTAACAATGACATTTTATTATTACATATTGTTTATTATACGAAAAATTGTTTTGGGAGTCACAACATGAAGAAAAAAGAACTTAACTTTATTAATTTGTATTTCACATAATTTACAATCATTACATCAATCGTTGGCATTGATTGAAATGTATGTTAGTTGGTATTAAACTTAATGGGTAAGTTAAATTAATCTCAGACATTGACAAAAAATAAACTTGTTTTTAAAACAACTTTTTAAAGTGTGTTACCTTTATTTTGACGACTCAGACGAAACTGATAAAATAAAAAAGACACAGAAGAAATAACAAAAAATTGGCTTAAACCTCAGAGCGGTGAGAAACTATTGCAATTAATTTTTTCTTGGGTGATAAACCTTGCTTATACGTTCCTTGTTCTCCTCAAATACTGGAGAAATTGTTTATCTTTCGTGAAACCTAAATTTACGATCATTTTTGTGTTGGCCTCGAAGGAATTGAAACCATTGAATTGAAACACATTTTTTCACTTAAAACCGATAATTCGTTTTATACAAAAGATGGCTCGCCCAATCAACAACGAAGAATATAAAATGACAATGCTTTGTTCAAGTATTTAAGTAGAGCAGATGTGTTGAGTTCATTTTATATTTCTGACAAAAATAACATTTCAGCCGACAAGAACTTATAGCGAATCATATTCTTGGAAAACAAGATTATTTAAATTTTAGGTTTTTGATGTCAAATCAATGTCATTTTTATAACAGATTTTTATTAACACACTTAGAGTTAAAGGGGCCCAGTTGCTAATTTATCATATGAATGAAAATAATAATAAATAAAATTGCTTTACGTAAGTCAAATTTTCACGAGATTAATGGTAAATCAATAAAAACATGTTTATTACTAGGCAGTATTTTTGCTAAAGCTAAGGACTATGAGTGGGACACCTATTTGAGCAGTTGTTAGAATACAAAATTGTACAAAAGCACCTAAATTTCAACTGCTGCTTTATACGAATTAAATTGGATGAAGAGCAGCAGAGAAAATATTTAAGGGAAACGTACTCCTAAACACCCTTAAACCCATGAATACAGGCATTGTTATTTTTTTAGATAAAATTGTTCAAATCTTTTTCACTTTAAAAATTTTTGCGTAAGGTGCATTATGAAGTTTTTCATAGTGAATGATTGGTTCATTTTCTAAAGCATTTCATGGTGCATTATTGGGGAATTTTATGAAGTATTTCATGGTGAATTATTGGTGCATTTTATGAAGTATTTCATGGTGCATTATGAAGTTTTTCATAATGAACTATTGGTTCATTTTCTAAAGTATTTCATGGTGAATTATTGGTGCATTTTATGAAGTATTTCATGGTGCATTTTATGAAGTATTTCATGGTGATGGTGTGTAACCTAAATGAGAGTGTTAGTGGTGATAACGGACATTTCATTTGTCTTTTAGGCAAACATCTTGACAATAAATATTCTCACTTCATAGTCAAGGCCGAAGAAGAGAGCGAGAAAGAGGGGGGGATGAAGGTATATTCTTAAGGTTTCATCTTGAGGCGTTCACATATTTTGTGTGCTTGTTTTGAGCGTTTTATCTCTGTGTCAGATGTGTTTATTTAAAATTGGATATTTTCAGGAACAATGATCGTGTCCCACAAATGATAAATAAAGAACCTTGATAAATGGACATCGTACTAAATCTTACAATAAACTATATTTTAATATTAGACAACCAGTCGATGTATAAATTATGTTAGGACTCGTGAGCTCTAACATCGTCAATTTTCAATATCATTTTAACCAATTGAGTAGCCAGACTAATTTGCTGCTTCTTGCCAATTAGAGTTTCAATCACATGTTGTTCTCGCATATCTAAAAAAAATTAACGAACATCAAAAATGTAACAGAAAAATATTAGTGTGAAAAATTCATTACCTACGTACATCACAAGTGTTAAAACAATTAAACAAACCCTTATGCCTAAGCAAAAGTAACTACACTTAAACTGCATCGAAATTTAACATCTAAAATCCCAAGTATTACTTTCTTCTATATTAATGCCATATTTGCTATACATTGCTTCAACTTCAAGCAAAAATTACATCTTCTTCAGACTGGTTAACATACTTTTTCACCAAATTTGTAAGTGATGTCATACATGCAGTATCTATTTACTTACCGTTTGAGCCAGTGCTCATACAATCCATGCCAAGTCTTGGATTATTCTCACTCACTTGACGAGATTTTATGTCGGCAACAGTTTGAATTGGATTGTAACCAGAATTTTCAGCTAACGATAAAGGTATAGCTTCCAAAGCCTCACTAAATGATCTCATTGCATATTGTTCCAGTGTGGAAATCTAATAATCAGTTTTTAAGTCAACTCGTACAAATACCTTCTCATGTTCTGTAGTACGTAAAAACTAAGTCGTTATTTTTATTGCGCAATTTAATGTCCTCATTGACGCAATTTAAGTATAAAACTAGGTACGTAAACGTACAAGGGTAACACAAACTTAATTAAAGCAATTGCAAATGAGAATATGTCAGCAAAATGATTGATGAATACAGTTCAAATAATGTTTTATCAATTAAATGTCGCAAACATCAAACTTCAATAAAATATCAAGTTCTAATTAGGGTAAAAAACAAAATGTTTTCCTTCTTAAGAAAGGTGAACTGTCAAGCATTTGAGCATTATACACAACATCACGAACACAAAAAATCTCAAAAAAAAAACAGTCATGCGTATCCGTAACATAACTACGTACTGTACTTACCTTATCAGCACGTTCGCCAACTTTCAAGGAGCAAGCTAACTCAGCAGCACCACCACCATAAACAATACGATTGTCACGAACAAGATTTCGAACAACACACAAAGCATCATGGATACTTCGCTTGGCTTCCTCGATTATCTGACAAGTAAAAGAAAAACTTTACTAACGGAAAATAATCGAGAAAAATGTAAAACCAATTTATACATATTTGGATAAGATCTTAATGCACACAGGTTAAAAGCTAAAGATAATTAAATACGCGATTGTGAAAAGAACATTCTTAACTATTAACGACGTCTTTACCATTTTATTTCCACCTCTGATAAAAATCGTAACAGCTCGAGTATTCTTGCATTCCTCAATAACCAACATGTGATCTTTGGTTGTTCCAAACGACAGTTCTCTAACAATACCTGCATTTCCTAACTTCTCTGTTGTCAACTCAGAGAATCGAGGAACGATTCTTCCACCCGTTGCTATAGCTATTAACTAAAAATAAAAGTTGAAAATGCTCAACATACAAAGTTGTTTGTTAAACATACAAAGATGAAAGTTCTAAACCTACAATAACTAAGGCATAAATAAATGTGATAAAAAGCCATATCAAATATGAATATCACATCAACATACGACAAATAAATATACGTAACGTACATACATAAGTGGTATTTAGAACGTGATATTAGTGGATACCACATCAACCACACATATCCGGGAAGTGGCTACATGAAAAAACACAAAATTCAAACCTCTATTTCTGGACCACCAACCCATCTCACTGCCGGTAACTCATTTTGCAGTAAGAGATGATTTGCTTCATCATCAAATCCCCACTGACAAAGGGCAATGTTAGCTCCCGTATCTTTAATTTGTTTGATCATTTCACTAAATGTTTTCTTTTCATATTCACGCAGTTTATGGTAATCTTCAACTGACGTCACGTCAAGTTTGTGCTTTGTCTTTGGCTTTGGAGGCTCAAATGGACATGTTAATATTGCAATTTTTGCATCTTTTATAACCTAAAAGATTAGAAAATCAGTTAAAAGAAATGAAAAACACGAAGAGAAACCTTTGATAATCCAAAATGAACCACCTTTGGCATTTGAGGATGACTCATATCTTTATCAACAAGTACTCCTTTGACTAGCATTGTATCATCTAGTTTTCCACCGACTTTTCCAGTAACTTTAATCAATTCAAAATCAACATCTTTTCTTTCAAGATCGGCTACAGACAACACAGCTTCAACTGCTATTTCAGCCATCTGCTGTTGACAACGACTCACTCTGAAGTGTGGAAAAAATTTCATATTTGTTACTAGACTAAATGATGAAATTGTTGCCATTAATTTTTATACTTGCATTTGTCAACCAAAAGTCAAACGCAGAGTTGTGTAATCATTTGGATTGTTATTGGAACATGTCGCAAGGAACATGAAGAAATAACAATCGTAAATGTAATGGCATATTTATAATATAGCATGGTGTCTGGTCAAACAAAACATAATATGTTATGCAGGAATTCAGCCATGCAGTTGTATTGGATAAATACTGAAATGGTTCACACCATACATATATATAACTATAGATAATAATTCTTACAGACAAATAGCAAAGATTATGCTAGAATGATAACCACTTATTTATAATTAGAAAATATTTATATCATTATGCTTCATTTGTGGATAAAATTAGGATTACCTAATAGAGTAATTCATAAAAAAGACTTTAAATTCAATAGGAAAAATAAATTATACATTTTTGATCCTAATGTTGTCTTTGCTGTCTCTATCAACAAATCTTTTGAATCTTTTTCAATGAGAAAACTCTCGCTAATCTTATCAAGCTCTTCAGAAGCAATCTGTGCAGCCAATTCATAGCCATCAGCAATTCTGATAGGATGTATACCACGATCAAGTAGTTGTTCAGCTTGCTCAAGAAGTGCACCAGCTAAAACTATAAAAAATACAATTATAAATAAATTCCTGGTTGTAAGTACATTTAAAGTTCCTTTTTTTGAAAGGAATTATAATTTGCAGTAAAATGTATCATAGACGGACTTTGTGGGAATAAGTGGGCTTTCTCATTAGCTAATCCTCCATGGCACCACCATAGTAAAAATTAGAAAATCTATTTATGACAAGTTTTATGAAACCAATGTGCAAATTAGCAGTGTGCAAACTAACAGTGTGCAATTTACACATCGTTTCGGCTAGAATGAAAACAAATCCACATCACTTTTTCAAACATCATGCAAAAAACTTCTTTATTGATTGCTACCACATAAATGGAAAAATTTTTAAGCTTAATCTTTACTTTATAAATGAGTGCACTGCATAACATTAAAATCTTCGGCCATGTGGACACAATGTCATTAAATTCAAAGATGTTGTCACTTTGAGACTGGGAAGTCTGTCAACAGTCAACATACATGGTGCTTATATGGATGCTTATGACAATAGGGGTGTAATACATTATTGTCAATTTTTGCATTTGCGTCGTTTTGATTGTACAGTGTTACATACTGTTTTTGAAATCATAGCTAATTTGAGTATTTTCGATAAAATCAGGAAACATTTTCATTTTGATTCTTAAAAGAAGACACAAAAAACTTAAATATGCCAAATTTGAAAAATAAACTAAATGGAATTTTGATTTTAAATAAACCTGATGTGAGAAAAAGAAGCCAAACTGGCAACCTTGATCAGCCATACTTTTTGCTTTTACATATTGCTTTTAATGTGACATAAATATGATGTTTTTTAGCATAAGTAAACATCAAGGATGCTACTGTTAATAATCAGAAGGCAAAAGTATATTTGGTGTTTTTCTTCTAACTTTTGTCTTTCTTGATATCTTTGCCGAAAGATTGTAGCTACCAGAAAAGTTAATACAGTACAAATTTCTCTCATACATTCGTAATTGGATCAGGGTTGTAAAGAAAAACACTGTCGTAAATCATATGAATTTGTGCATGTTTAAAAATATTAATTTAGCATTTAGCACTGTATAATAATTGACCTAATATCGATTTGATTATGCCTCTAAAGAAACATTTTTGTCAAAAAAATTTCACATCGTTTTTTCTCAACTAATTTGCACACTGGAAACAATTTATGTACCTGTCATGAAGACAGTCTTTCAAATTGTATAATTATTGTGATCAATACTTTAATCTAATTTCTACTTTTGTTGCTCAAATGATTGACATTTGAACATGATAAATTGATTGCCCCCTGTGCACATGGAAGAATGTGCAAGCAAGGCATTTCTTTTTTGATAGTGGTATTTAACAAAAATATTTGAATCAGTACTATTACAGTAGCATTCAATGTCTAGTGTCTCATCTTTCCAATATAATAATAACACCATCTTTAAAATATACGACAAATTTCTTTATAGCAAACATGTTTGAGCATACTTTATGCCATCTTCAGTGTGAAGTGAATAAATATAGGAAGTTTACATGATAATATGTTATAGTGATAAAGCGGAAGTATCGAATAGTTATGAATAATTATTTACAGTTGAATAAGGTGTTATAAAATGTTTGTGTTAGGTTTTATCGAAAAAAAAATTACAAAGAAAATGAATAATATCTGATAAAGTAGTAATTGCTATTTACAGGTCAAAGATAGTGTTAAGATGTTGTATTTGTTTGTTGAGGTTAGGTTTACGCTTATTGATATAAAGGGCTTCTTTGAGTTTAAGGAGCACTGTCTAAGATACGGAAACATGATTGTGTGTAATTGTTTTTGCAGTGTGGTGATGAGAGTAAGTGTCTAAAGTGTCTGAATTCTGAATATGTGTGAGTTTTTGTCCATGGTTGTGTGTTCTTTATCACAAAAACATATTATCATGTAAACTTCCTATATTTATTCACTTTGCACTGAAGATGGCATAAAGTATGCCGAAACATGTTTGCTACAAAGAAATTTGTTGTAAATTTTAAATCTTATAAACATTGTGCTCTTATGAAATTATGGAAATGCCATATTTGTACATACCAACCACTCCTGTAGTTCCATCCCCAATTTCATCATCCTGTGATTTAGATAACTGTACCATCAATTTAGCAATCTGATGTTCAACTTCCATTTGGCTGAGAATTGTTGCACCATCATTAGTAATGGTCACATCACCATCACTGCTAACAAGCATCTTATCCATGCCTAAAAAATATGACCACAAAAGTTCCTCAGAAAAATTGCAACATGTAGTAAGTACAGCAACCATACATTAAGTAGCAATCCATCATGGCAATTACTGAAAAAGTGATTATTCTGACAAAACAGAATAATGTCATAAAAAATGAACAAAAATATCACAAAAGCATTACAATTTACAAGTACAAAATACTTGAAACTGGTTTTTAACATACTTCTTTGGGTTGAAGACATAACAAAATTACATAGACAATGTGTTTTAGATGATAAAAATATAACAACATAAAAACCAACATAAAGGCCAACATAAAAAACAATATTTTCATCAAAAGGTTTTGTGCAAGTGTTCACTATAATGCTCAGCTCTGAGTCAGCTCTGAAGTACATTATACATATTAGTCTGTAAAAAGAATACACACCATTTGGTCCCAACGACGTTTTTAAAGTGTTGGCAACTGTTTTTGCCGCAAGAATATGAGACTAGAAATGAAACAAGTGTATTATGAGTACAAATAAGCTTATTGTTCACATGTGATTGAAAACCTACCTTTTGTGCATCAAGGCCGGTCAAACGTCTCTTTTTTTCTTGCTCTTTAAGGATAATGAATGGTCTACCAAATTCATCAAATGCAATGGCTTGCGGTGCATTCATTTTGTAATAAAAATTGAAGTAAAAAAGCTGCAATTAGAGACGATTGCTTTAGATTGAAAAAGTATCTACGAGTGGAACACCATCTTACCCTCGCAGCTTGCCCCACGCGTTTGTATTTGTCACTTTAGAATTTGTGAAAGACTTCATGTAATCAATTTGAAAAATTTGAAAATATCAGTGTAAATATTCAATAGTGTAAAATAGGTACGCTAACGCTGGCAGATTGTAGCCGTGAAAATAAAATATTGCACAGCTCGACATATTACTAGAGAAGGAAGTACTGTACGACTCGATGAAATAGTTGAAATAAAATAACAACTACCCGTGAAATCTCTTTAAATCACTGACCTTACATATCAAGGGCCAGTTGCACAAAGCCTGGATAGCGTTTCCATTGGATAGCAATTTTTTTAAACTTTTATAAAACCTTTTACAAGCAAAAATATAAGATTTGAATTGAGCAATCGCTAAAATAAAACATTGTTTCGAAGGTCACGAAATTTCTTTGTCGTATAAAAAATATAAACACCTTTTTACAAGTTTGAAAATTTTTGCTATCCAATGGATAACGCTATCCGGGCTTCGTGCAACAGGCCCCAGGTTTCAAATTTATTCATTTACTTGTCAAATTTTGTCCAGTGACACCAAAGTGTATAGCTAGTATTGCAGCAAAAATGCTCATCATAATCTTAGTATTCAAAGACCTTTACAAGCAAACTTATTCATTCCAAATTAAACCTCACACAATTTTCTTCAAATCATTTTTAAGTTCTGATGATAAATTTCTATACTGCTGTTAAGATATTCGGATTTCCGATTATTAACTGAATGACATCTAACAAAGTAAAACTAAATATACGTAAAAGCAGCTTTTTCAAAACAAATATCAACTCTACAATACAATGCATTTGTGTCACTGTCAAAAATGGAGTTATTGTGCATAATGAAACAGTACGCAATCAGGGGTGGCTACTGAGGTGTATGACAACCACCTTCTCTATTCTTATGTTGTTTCAACTGGGTGTCCAACTATTTGACTTGAATGTTTAAAAATGACAATAGCCACAAAAACAACCAGAAGCTTTCAGACATTAACCAGATTTTACATTTATAATTCAGATATTAGTGAACAGAGACTTGGCTGACCGTGGGTGTCAGGGTGTTTTTGAGGTGTGGGTGTACCTTATAGTAAGGACATCCACAAAGTTAGCTTTTTGCTTGAATTTTTATAAATGTGCACCAAATATGGGCACCAGGAACAACTAAATTTTAAATGGTTTAAACATTGACGAAATCAGCAAGTCATTTGTATGTAATGAAACACAACAAAGGCATTTTGAAGGATTTTTGTAATATTTGCTCAAAAAAAAAACTGATTGAAAATAACTAGAATATGAAACACTAAAACAGAGACTACGTCGCAGTGACAAATTTAAAATTGTTTTAAAAAGGGCTAATACCATGGTGAATGGGAAAAATCATAACGCAATAGCTCTTAGAAGAACTGTTTAGAATTAAAAGGCTGTTTGTGTTCTGGTTTTAAGAACTATTGCGTTATTAATTTTACCATTCACCATGATACTGGTCCTTTTTAAAACAATTTTTAATATGAAACAATTTCATTACTATTATAAGTTTCTTGCGTTATGACATATGGCGAATATGGAACATGCACAACTCTTGAAACTTTTCAAATATAATCTTTCCATGATGTGTACAACCGGATTTAGTAATTCTTTTATCTCATACTCGGTGCATGTTAAGCTGAATGTTTTGGATACTCTAGTCTTAAATAATCAATCATAAAATAAATCAAATATTTTTTAACATAAATACAAATTTGTAATCTTGTAAATTCAATAGTAAATCAATTCACTAGACTGTAATTATTGATTTATTAAATGTTCAATCCATCAATCAAGAAAATGCTTAATATACTTGCATCTAAGCTGTGCAGACATAAATTTATAAAAGAGAACGAAGTGCATTACAAGACTTGCAAGTCAACAACAAATATGTCGACAACATATGCGTTGTCCCAAGCAAAGTTTTATCAAAATAAATACAAACAATTCCTTAAAAGTCCGTGTTAAATAAGTGTATCTAACAAATATGTCAAATTAATGACAGCAATATTTTATGAGGACCAAGTCATCATGTCTGCGTTATACAATATCTTTTATAAACATACAAGAGCACTTTTTGTTTTCATAAGTAGGTATGCGTCACATTAACTTTCATCAGGAAATATTCTTATCCAGATTCAAGAGCATCTTTTTGTTTTCAAAAGTTAGGAATGCACACATTAACATTCATCAGGAAACTTTCTTGCCTAATTTAGAAAACATACCCAATTATCAGTCCCACATATGTAAGTGACTCTTGTAATCTTATGATAATCAATTGAAATACATGTAATGTTGCTGTCATCAGTTTATTGTGGTACGTTAACTATTGTGAGAAGCAATAAAGCATGTTTTTTAAAAAAAAGACGATGGGGAAACAAATATGGCTGAACATTACTAACAAAATATTCTACGGAGCACAATGTTGCATGATAAGTATAGCATTAATTGCTTCATTTAGTGATAAAACATGCTTGGCTAAAGCTTCGGATTGTGAGGCGTTAACAATATCAACGTGCCGGAAATTGGGTTATGACTCGATTTTACTACCTAACAGATTTAACCATAAAACACAAAAAGAAGTTGCTTCGGCATTGGATGAATTTACTCCATTCATTGAAGCAGGTTGTTCACAATATTTTCGTTTTTTCTTGTGTTCCCTTTATGCTCCTGTTTGTGATAATGGTGAAGTATTGCAACCATGTCGATCCATGTGTGAAAATGTAACGAGGCATTGTTCACAGTTGATGAATGAGTTTGGAATTCAGCTACAAGAGAAAATCAAATGTGACACATTACCCACGATATGTGATAGACATCAATCATGTTTATCATCGACAAACATGTCTTTGATCGCAGTTAAAAATTTCACCACTTCTTTAGGATGTAAACAGCGCGATTCCCAAGCCACAGCAATGTCATACACATTAAGCAACAGTTACAATTTGCCACTTGTGCAAGTAACTCTGGAAAATAAGCCACTGTCCAATGTCATTATAACAAACAGTACAATTAAAAATTCAAAGATGTATCAGACGCGAGTATCTTTAATTTTGCTTAGGCAAAGCAATTCAAGCTATTTCGACATAGACAAAAGCAATATAAATTTGATGAAATTCAGCAAGACCAAAGTATCTCATTTTATTGTTAAAAGAACAAACATTGCCTTGTGTCGAATAGAAAAATCTGTATTGCGTAATTTTACATGTTCAAACATGATGTTCAAGTCGCTTTTTCTCGAAAAATCTGTGGCATCTCACATAAGTCTAAAGAGTACAAATTTAAAATCAATTACTATGTTTAATACGAAACTATCGTACTTTGATCTTAAAAGCAGCACTGTGAATACGTTATCTTTCTTCAATATCAATGGAAGCTACTTAGAAATAGCAAATGTTCACATAAATTTACTGTCATTTGTCAACTGTGAAATAGAATACCTGAAAATACAAAATTCCGTTGTGGAACTCTTGAGACAGACAAACACGAAAATCATGCATTCTTCATCGTTCGATTCGGTGAAAAAGCTCATTATATCAACAAAGAATGAAAATTCGGATGGCCACCAGCCAACTGCACGTAAGTAAAGCATACATTATGTACAATGGCGCCGATAGGATTTTATTTTGGGGGGAGCAAAACACCCCAAAACACATACATACGCACTGTTTTATATGACTGATTTTTTCAAGCTACAGATATTGAGACCAAAGTCATCGGGAATATTAGGTGGGGCACTCGCCCCCCGCCCCCAAGCCGGTGCTTCTGACTATGCAATGAAGCAAACTAGTTGCCCACAGTCCTCATTTCCAATTTTCTGTAATAACAATTTAACTAATTATTATACTATTTAGCTTCAAATCAAGGGCTGTCAACACAAACAACAAAATTAAAGACTTCAAGTCATAATACTTCAAATAGTTCGTCAACTTCCTCAAGTTCAATAACATTTGTCATAATTGGATTATCAACAGGAGGAAGCCTGTTCATCCTTGCAGTTATCATAATGTGTTGCATTTGTTGTAAGAAACCCAAAGAGGCGTGTACTACTCATTGTGTGACTGATCAGAAAAATCGGAGTCTTCCAAAGTTACCTCATTTTGATGATGATGAAACCTATACAAAACTTGACGACAACAGATTTAATGTCGATTTTATAAACTACCAATCTTTATATCAAGAAGGCCAGCAGGTAGTTGGAGTAGGCAAAGTCGATCGTTTTTCCAAAGGATTTTACGAGAACTATTCATTATCTGGTAAATATGAAAATCCCAAGCAGGTTCAAAGAGACGCACAAAGTGGTAGTATAGTGGTGAACCCTACTCTGAAAACTATGTTATTCCAATGCCTAATGACCGGAGCGAAATATCATGATGTATTCATTTACCGTGAATGTTGTATCATTTTGAGACATTCATTTTAGTTTATAATTTATATCGTATGTGCTGTAACTGTTTTTAATTTATCAGTAATATTAATGTTGTCACGGAACCATGTCAAAAGTCGGCTCGAATTTACTAAGAAATTTTCAACATCTGAATAAAATGTGATAAAAGCGCAAACACGTGTTTTGAATGCACATAATCAAAATTTATAATCTTAAAATGCTAAAAAATCAACAACTTTTCTTTACAAGAGTCCGTTACCGAGTATCATCTGTTTCTCTTTTTGTCACATACAATAATCTTTTTACCATTCCCAATTATCGGGTTGGTTAACAATTGAATTACATAGTTCTTCTCCTAGGTTTTATGAATTTTTGAAAAATCACATTGCAAGTCGCAATAGGTGATGTGTTCTAATGCTTGGAAATGTTTATACAAGAATGCACTGAAGACGTTATTCATGCAGTAAAATATATCTTTCTTTGATTGAAGACAAGATGACAAAGTGGGTGCAATTGAAGTTATTGAGTTTTACAATGTATGTTGTGGATGTGGAGAATCTGGTCATGTCGTTACAGAGTGTAAGTCCCTTTCAAATCGTCGTAATCAAACTCCTTTCTTCGTAATCTTTACCATCTACGTACAGGTAGACCGTCGTCCTGATATTTAAAATGAGCTTAGAAATTGACTTTCGTTGCATACATGAAGAAAGTAATGATTTTTTTTATATAGGCTCATAGAAAATAACGCAAACAAAAGTAATCAACGAGATCCCAGGCGACAAGCGGGCAGAATAAGCAGAAATTTCTGTTTTATTCACGATGACGTCGTTGATAGTTAATCGAAACCCAAGAGTTTAGTGGAAATTTCAAAATTTCTCACTACCATCAACGCATTGACGAACGGAAGAATTAATTATAGAGATTTATGCAAAAACAACAAAAGAGAAAACCCAACTCCGATTTCTTGTTCATGATAAAATGTGCATGGCCTAAAAACAACATGGTCACGATTGCTTCGTGATCATCAAAACAGTTCATATCCATCACCTGACCCCTGCATAATTCCTGAACGTTGCCATGGTTACATTCAACCACCAGTTGACCAATGTCTAGTGTCGAATGTATGGTCTGAGCAAAAGTTACTCTGCTTATTGACTGCTAATTTTTCACCATTTGAGTTTTTTATTCTTCTTGTGATCCAAATAATCATCATTTTTGAAATAGGATATTTCAGTTTCATGATCTTGAAAATCATAAATTGACCAATTGATGGCAAGAAAAAAATTCAATTTGAGTCATTTTATTTCACCAACCTACACCATTACATCGCAATGACTGAGCATCATTTAAAATCAATTTTAAATCATCTTCCATATTCATCAGGGATCATTTGTCTGAAAAACAGAGTGATTAAAAACTTGATATAATTTGAAACAACATAACATAAAAATTAAATGCAATAAACGAACAAAATTCTTTAGCATAGCCGGTTTTTAAGTTTTATTTAGAACTGCTTTGTATATTTCAGAAGTACATAACATTATCTTCTTCATTTCTATAGATATCCATTGTTACAACAGTGAGCATTCAAAGAAAAATCTGTATAGCACAAGGAAATTAGCAGAATGGTTGCACTACTTACTTACAACACAGTGTATCTTAGATTTAATGAATTGGTCAATGCTACCTTCTTTATGTACTTTTTACATTTTAATAGTTCTGTCAGCTAATATCAACTTTTAAACCTTCCATAAAACATATCCAAGTATATACATGGTTTATATATATTCAGGTATATTTATGGTTCTTGAAAAATTATCCCTTGAGTTCTTGTTCTCACTTAAACACTTTAATAGTTTGGTGCTGAGTAAAAACAATCATGGCAACTTGAGCCAGATTTTCAAGCAACCTACTTTAAATCTGTGAGCTTTACATTCTATTTTCAAGGTATCTAGAGAAGCAAAAACAACAATTTTCAGCAATGAGGTGGGAGAACTTTTAATTTTTCAAATTAAAAAGTTTATTAGTATTACATAAATGACATCCATGAAATGACTCTAGTGTATGCTGCCCAGGAGAATTTTTAAAACTAATTCTGTCACATTAAGTTCCTTTAAAACTCATTGTTTTGTACAGAACATAAAATGTGTACATGAATACAAGCCTCCCCCTCACCAAATATTGCTGTTGCACTATGCCCATGTTCTTACATTAATGATGTACTCAGTAGAAAAATGATCTTATTGGACAAAGCACATTGACTAGTACAAAATTTTGGTACACAGTTTACATGGTATGCAACTAGCATTTTATAAAAACAAATAAATTTTAAATATTACCAAAGGGAAAGTTCTTAAATGGAGGTGGCAAGAATGTACTCTTCTTAATTTCTAGAAAACAAAATAATCATTTACAAGGCTGTGAATTAATTTAACATGAATATTAATAGTTCTTTCGCAGCAAACTGCAAGAGTCACAAGTTATACTTATGGGACAACAAGAAGTCACAAGTTAAACTTATGGGACAAGCCCAGAAGTCACAAGTTATGCAGTTATGCTTATAAGATCACAAGTTATATTTATGTTTGGTCAAATAATTATAAGATTTTCCACCTTGACTTATCAATGCCTTAAAATCGTCAACTGAGATATCCAAATCAACATTTTGTAACACAATGTTTTTCATATTCCTGTATTCAAAAGATCTAATTAAACGAACAGTAACAGTCACCATTTTCAGCTTTCACCAGCTTTCTATATAATTTACATTTTTTGGCAAATACTTCGTGAAATACCATGTGACGAATGAACCTTGATTCAACCTTCTACATCACGCATTCTTGATATTTTTACTTTATGTAATAAAGATTTTAAAACATGAAGTTCTGATCTCGTTTCTTGGCGACGGGGGCACCAGCACATTGACAACTGGTGACAACAGGTGACACTACGAAGTTCATCCTTAATGACGTATGTCCGTTTGAAGTGGGGAGTTGACAAAGCCAGTCGGAAATTATTTATAAGAAAGTCATTTGGTGGTAAATAGGTGAACAATCATGACTCGTCGTCATTCGTGATTTTAAAAAAATGTACAGATGGCATGGACAAAAACATAGTTGGTGTGCTCAAGCAGTCTCAGTCTTGATAATTTTTCAAATTGATTTTGATCATATGCCATTTTGATGAGCTTCTTGTATAGTACACAACGGCAATGCCTGAGACCAAAATACATTTAATGACTGGTACATACAGTCATCTCAGTAGTCATCTGTTGTTAACCCTGTATTTCGTAAACCAGAACTATGCTCTAACATGACAAAGGGATTTAGGGAAGAATACACAACTTGAAATATCAACCAAACAATTGGCTTTCAATTAAGTTTATCAAATCATAGTTTTGAATAGCTTTGATGAATTATCTAGTACAAGATTCAACTATATAGAACATTATATACAAGTCCAAACAATATCTCTTACATAGCTTCTAACACAGACAATATCTCATAAATTTTAATGGTATCAACTCAGCACTGTGTGAAACTAGCTTTCAAATATTTGTACCAAAAAAGCTATTATCTGAGCATTTTGGATGATATGTGCATTCTTATTCAAAACTGTGCTCAAAACACAAGTTGATATTATTGAAAAGCTGATGAAGTAGGGTGAACAAGCATGCTAATGAAAGAATGAAACACAAGATACATATTATAAATTATATATGTGACTATTTACAAGAATACATAATATAACAAGACAACACTGTATACTTTGCCTCATAATTAATCTCCTTTATGACAATAAAGATCTTTTAAAGCTTTAAGTTCTTCAATTAATGTCTTATTCTGGTTCTCCAACACAGCTACTCTGTTCTCTAAGCATTTCACATACTCTTTCTTCTTCCTTCGACACTCCTTAGCTGCTTCTCTGCAATTGAAAATTTTCACATTCAAATTTGGTACCATGTCAAAAAATTTGAAAAACTTGAACAGTTTATTACTTATAAAAATGATTATTACCTATTCTTTAGCAAACGCATCTCACGTTTTCTTGCAGCATCCTCAGAACCCAAGGATGACGATTGAAGGTTTGAGCTCGGACTAAGCACAACAGCCGCACCAGGAGATAAAGAACCACGGACTGCATATGTTTGACTTGTTGGTATAGCATATACAGTAGCACCATTATTGATACCCTTGAAACATGGTTTAAAATATTTAGATAACTGAAAACCAAAAAAGCACAATTGTATTTACTATGCAAAATATCACATATGTAGGAATAAAACCATTTCCAGCTGAAAATATAATGCTGAATTTGTTTTTTGCTTTATGTAGGAATAACCCAATCTTCTTCCACTTCAAAGTCATTTCTTTCATTAGAAACATTACTCACACTCAAAAACAATCTTGTTTTATAAATGATCTTATCTTATTAATAATCTTATCTTATTAATACCATTTGGTTATTCACCTCGACATCTCCTGGTGCTGCAGCATAAATGTACTGTCCCTCTTGACCATTTTGTCCTGTTGGATACTGCACAATTGTAGCAGATTGTCCCGATATGGGAACAGTTTGAAGGGATGCATTAGAAAATGCACCTTGTGTGGTTATTTGAATTCCTTGAGGAATGGTCACTGTCTGAGTTGATGCTTGATCACCAATGACATTACCTGGAATGGTAGCAACTCTTGCCATTACTTGACCATTTTCATCCTCTACCTTTATTGATCCATCAGAAATGTCATCATATATTTTTCTGCAATAAGGCACATGTCAATACAATTGTAAATTTACAATACAACAGTTATTGCAACTAATAAATACAGTTTACTCCTAATATTAATCAATTTTAAACTTCAATTAACTAAGGACATTCACAACGTCTATATTCAGTCTAATAACATTCTATGACCAACACTTTGTTTTGATTCACTTTTCTCTTAGTTACAAGAGCAAATGTATATAAAATAGTCAAACTAGCAATATATCATAGTCTGGCATGTTTGCTAAATATCTAATCAATAAGCAAGGCCACAAGTAATACAAATATTCTGAAATGTAATTATTCCAGTCAAAATTCCCCGCGATTAAGATTTTCAAAGATCAAAAAACGTGATTCAAAATCAATAAATATGTATGAAAGAAGATCTCGAAAGCTCTGGTGAGTTCAATAAATAGAAGAAACATAACTATTTAAACAAAAATTGAGATGCGTTTCAGAGCTAACCTTTTGACGTCTACATTACAAGAAAGATGCAGGGCAATATAACATTTCTTCACACTACTTTCTATGAATAATCAATATTGAGTATAAGAAACGTGTACTGCAGTGTACATAAGCATTTTCATATTTGCTAGTTTGACAAAGAGTTTGCAAACAACTTTTTGTGCGTTTATCCTCTAAGGATGAGATATTTTGCCAAATGGTGAGCCAGTATTAAAGCCGTTGACATTCGAAGGAAGTCGTTCAATTTTCCAAAAATAAATCCGAACCAACCTTTTCGGACTAGTGCCAGCCACAGTCATATTGCTGTCTTTTGCCGTTTTGAGGGAAACCATGCGGAATTTACGAATAACGTATGGATCAAAAGTCCCCAAGACAATAATTTCGTTTTGAATAGAGAATTCCGTGCAAAAGCAACGTATATTTGGTCAACGGATACCAAAATTATTCATATTGCGTCATTACATGCGTCATACGAAAACATGTTGAGTGCATGAAACAATCAACAGTTCGAGCTTAAAAAATATGCTTTCGCTTTGAATTGTTCCTAATATCGGAAATACGAATAAACCTTTACCTATACGAAGGTCTCCGTGATAGAATATCGCGTCGCTTTTTTCCTTCTTCGTCTAGGTCGTCATCTTGAGTAATTACACCTTGAAATTGAATGGCTTGTGGTATTTGTTGAATTTGCTGAGCCGATGATGTCGTTGTCTGAATAACCGAAGCTTGAGCTGGTTGAATGACAGAAACGGCAGTCTGTGAAAATTGTTGTGGCGATTGAACTACAGTGGCTTGCACAATACTAGACGTTCCCTGTTGTGTGTCTTGTGCAGTCGCAAATTGTTCTTGTTGTCCGACATTTTGCGAACTCTCTGCCTCTGAGACATTTCCATTTGTTGTAGGAGGTGTTTCTATTTGATCCATAGCCTTATCATTAAATAGAATTGTTAAGCCCAACGAGAGAACAAAATTTTGGAAGATACTATTATTTCTGCGGGCTGTAGTTATCATGGTGAGATAACAAAGGCTGTGGGATTTAAGAATCATTTAGGCAAAAATACAAGTGTACAGACTCATAGCTAGTTCATTTGGCTACAACAATATGTTCGAAGACACTTAAAACAAAATTTTAATCGAGTATTAGTGACTTAGTTCGATATATTTTGAAAGAAATTGCATAGATAAAGAAGAAGAGTAAACTTTTTATTCTACGTCACAGTTCTACGTCACCTTATTTTCTGTCCTTTCCACAGAGTTGTTGGGTCAATCACTTTCAAATCGTTCTTTCCCACGTATTTAGCGTCACACGCGTCACTTTCAGAAACGACAATAACAAAACAATGCGGGGTGCACTCCACCAAATTGTAGGGCTTTACTTATGATGACGTCATTCCAATATTGTTGTCACGTACAACGAAGAAGGTCAAATTGAGATCTTTTTTCCTCTTTAGTAAAATAATTTTGTGTTTCTACTTACAATATTGAAAAAAATATCGACCTTTTCATTGGAGTATGTTTCCTAACATACTTCGTAAAATTATCCGCAGGTAATGGCATTGAATGAAAATGAAGCAAATATGACGTCAAATCTTTTTTTGCATCGCCTTGTTTTCATTTGCTTATTAACTTTTTCAAGCAATCTTCGAATACGCGTTTGTTCGTTGTTGCATTGAAATTGGAGTTGTAAAATTGGCAATGAATAGAGAGTGGGGATGGGGCAAAATAATGGTCCACCATAGATTTGTAATACACTGAATAAATTTCGTGTTGCTTGCGTACTGGCTGTTGACAAAATTTGATCACCTGCTTTTAAACGATAGAAGTAAAAAAGTTCTGATTGAGTTCAAAATATTAAGATGCTGTTGCAAGGTGCAAACGGCTTTTTGGCAAAAGGTCAATTTTAAAAATTTGACAGGAAATTTACGACTAATTCATTCTATAACAAAATAAAAAATCAACTCACTTCTCTTCACCCACCACCCTTCCATTGACAATTTTTAGAATTTTTTTTAGAATATTTCAAAAGCCAACATTACCAACCACGCAGCCCCATATCGGATGTTTTTAACAAAGGATTTTCAAATTCTCCTTATTTACAATGCAAATATCATCAACATGGCGAACATTCCATTGTTCTCTCACTCCCAGGGAAATGGTTGCACACCACCTATAGAGAGGATGAATGACTAACATACTATCATAAATGACGAAGAAAATTTAAATACAATTATGTCAGTAGGTTGGACACGGCATATTTTGATATGAAAAGAGAATTCATTAAAGGTTGAACATGTATAAAAATACTTAAGTTAATCAACTACTTCTGAGAGAACTATAACTGTAAGCAAATACATTAAAATATAAGCAATGAGAGGTTTGAGTTCTTTTGGGACACCGTATACAGCTTGTGTAAAAGAATTGCAACCATATAATTTGCATTGCCGACTCTTCCACTTTATATCCTCACGGAATTTCAAAATACATGCCAATTCCTTCCGTTTAGTAAATGAGAATGACGCATTTGACATTCATTACTTAGAAATAATCAGTTTGATTACGAATGACTCAACCAACACACAGAGCATTGTGAAAAATTGTGCTAGTGAAAAGTCTTAACATGGAGTAAGAAAATCGATTGTGGATTAATTGCTTATGAATCAAGGAATAAACGTCTGGTCATTGCACTAAACCAAGACATTTAAATGAGACCTATTTGTGCATGTAGGAACTAAATAAACATTTAAAAATAATTAGTCAGTGGAACTAGTGTTATCCACAGTACTGCCCAAATCACCGCCACAACAATGATATTAAATTAACGATATTTACTGGGCACTTAATTGCCTTACTACATATAATACACACATCTGTACACGTCATCAGACTGGTCTTTTAAGGGCGTGAGTTTTGCAAGTTCCATCTAAACTGTTGCTGGTGTGAATGCGATGATTGAGTCATCTGTTGGTGTTGAATTCGAAAGAAAATCTTTCCACCGTCAATATAATTACTCTCATATTTTGCCAGATTAATATAGTTAGGCTAATTTTTCTTTATGAAGAATAAGGCAATTTTTCTTTATGAAGAATAAGGCTATTTTTTTTATGAAGAATAAGGCAAATTTTTCTTTATGAAGAATAAGGCTAATTTTTCTTTATGAAGAAATTGGCTAATTTTTCTTTATGAAGAATAAGGCTAATTTTTCTTTATGGAGAATAAGGCTAATTTTTCTTTATGAAGAATAAGGCAAACTTTTCTTTATGAAATATAAGGCAAATTTTTCTTTATGAAGAATAATCTCAAGCGAAACTCTGCACAAAAAGCTATACCAAAAGCTCCGACGAGTAAACATGTGCGTTGAATCGTATTAACTTAAGTAACTTATAAATTTCACCATGTGGTTTTCTCATACACTTACAAATGATCTTTCCTGATCGTTCTTTTCCATTTAATTTCAAAGTATACCTTGTTTATAAAGCACAAGTGTGCATGGAGTCTACCGTTTAACTACGTACTTCAGGATCTACGGTTTGTGTTAAATGTAAGTCCTCTTGTAGTTGGGATAGTTTAAGCACAAAAACATTTATAACATAAACCGCAAACAGGGACGTCGCTATCGGGGGTGTGTGGGGGGTGTAGAAACCCCTCAATAGCAAATTGAAACAAAAAACAAAAAAATCGGATAACAAAACATATAACAAAATATTAATATCTGTTTTCCCTCAACTATAATCATAAGATGGCAAAACATTTTCGAAGCTGTTCGAAGTGTAAAGTGGTCAGTTATGATTAAGTGATCATATAAACACAGAAAATCATACGCTTTGCATTTTATGCAATAATTATACATCCCTCGAAGAATTAATTGTACCATACCAAGCACTTATCTTGCTTAGAAACGTGATGAAAATGATAAAATTACCAGCATTCATAATATAGCTTTAAAAAATAAAGTATCGTAGTCGTCAACGTACTTGAGAAAAGCAGAACTGCATGTTCAATCTTGTGCCTCATGCCTCAAATTGATTGATGCCTCAAATCCAGGACTTGATCAACCAAGTTGGAGATGAGACGTTTGCTACGGGCCTTGCGCTTATGAAGGAAGGCCTTGCGTTTGACTTTGCTACGCCATTTTTAGGGAAAATTACGTCCATTCTCCCATAAAACATGTCTTTTAGAATTGTAGCGCTGGGCTGTTATGTGATGCTGTACACACTATTGATTCAACGACAGAGTCAGGGAAGACATACGACCTTGCGAGCTGCCTTTTCTTCAAGAAATCGTAATAAGCGATTGTTTCTTTAGAAATCCTTACAACCTTTGCATCCTCTGATAAATCTTTTGGTAAAGAAGCCAGTTGGTGGCTGTTGTCTCTAGGTATATGACAGCGATATCTTTCTGGGTATGGAGTCAATTGAATAACACCTTTACTGTCTATTTGTTGCCAAGTAGTGAATAATTATTTTCATGCAATATTGTACCTTTTTAAGTACCCGGATTAGCACTTTTGTTCACAAAATTTTGGTATTTGAAGTTAAAAGCAGAAAAAACAATTCTAAAATTTTTAGGGCCTCGATTCAAAGGTTTTAGCAGAGGAGGAGGGTGAAGGCTTCGCGCTGACAATCTACCACGGGCCTCGCACAATGCTCATCCGGCCCTCCTCGAATACATTTAAAAAAATAAATTAGTTATTCCTTGTTGAAGTTGTAGTCGTAATATTTCCATGTTTGCTGCAGTAAAATCCACATTTGATGAAGGCATACAAAAATTAAATTTTAATGTATATGTTAAAATTAAACGCCATTAGAATTCACTTTCCCTCGCATTTTGACAAAGCAAGTGTCGACTTTTCTATGAAAATAGCTGACCATCTTATGACGTTTACAATTGACTAGAAAGTATTCACAGACTACACTCACGTCACTTCACCAATCTGAGTCGCATAGGTTAAGTTCTAGATTATTAGACATTTTTGATGATAAAGTTTGTCCTGGAGTGTGACCTTACACGTGGTTTGTTGCATTCAAGTTTTCTTCATTCGGTTCAGTTAAGTGCTTGACTTAAGGTGCTTGACTTATCGGTCAAGTTAAGTGCTTGAAATTATGTAATATAAGTAAAATCTGGTGCCTATACAATTATGGATTATGATTAGGCTTGCAACTATCTCAAAAAAACATAAAGTAGAGCCCTTCAATTTAGGTGATGTATCAATCATCCTAAACAACAGATCCCTTTCAAACGATATCCCCCGCATTCATATCAGTTACGAAAATTTATAAATGGGATAATAAACATCTATGGATCTTCAGGTACAACTCAGTTGTACCGTACAAGTTATTATAGCACATAGAACATACATGCCATTCTGGAAAGTTGAATATTTAAAGACAACTGTAAAGTGTTTCTGTAAGATTGTTATAAATAACCCCCAAGCAAGCTGTAAGCATTCCACGAGCACCAAGAATATAAATAATACAAAATAATCACAGATTATCATTTATAAGCCAGTAAAACAAATAGACCTTGTAAATGAACTATTTTTATTTTCATTTTTTGACTTGCAATTTCCTCTGTGGAAAGATCTGTACATTATAGAATCTATATTGACAGTATCTTTCATATTTTTTCATTCTCTGTTTTGATATTGCTGCACCTTAGCGCCAAGATTCGCGATGACCAACGTTGCTTTGAAATCGACCATTTTTCATTCCTCTCTTTCTGTTACTGTTTGACAAGTTGTTTCGTAATGTAGCTCGGTTTTGGCGTCGCAACTGCTTGTTTGTCACGTGGACAGTATTTACTTTACGCACGTGTTTTTCTCGTGATTTGATCGTTGAAGTAGCGCAACATGAAACAGGAGACTTGGGGGCAAGGATGTTATCAGCGGAAAAGTTGGTAATTCTTGTTTTCCAACAATGAAGCTTTTCACCAATCAGAAAATGCAACAACAGAAGAGAGTTAAGTATTTTTTCTACTCTCTTCCTTGTTTTTCTTATTCTCGAGTGCAATGATTCAGCTGCATTGTCTTCAGAACGAGTCGTTGATGAAACAGAGTAATCCTCAATAGCCTTTCCTTTGTTCTCTTCTTGCAGTTCTTTGCAAGAGATTAAGAACACGTTAAAATAACTGAGGTATCCACGATACCTCTTCATGTTCTTGCATTCTGATCCATTCAATAAATTTGTAGACAGGTTCTGAGATGTCCGGCTCTCAAGTGCTCTTTGATCATCATAAGGTAAAATGGAAAATTTCATCCATAATTCTTTCTTTCTGTGGTTTCTGAACCCATCAACGTGCGGTTGTAAGACAATACGATTAAATGAATGGCGATCATTTGCACAATTTACTTGAAATCCTTTGATCAACACAACAAAACTTTGTTCGCAAAGTGAGGTCTGTTTATCGAAGGTACTGTGACGAGGAACTTGTGCAAAATCACAGAATCGTTTGGATGCTTTTCTTTCCGATAAGTTTTCAAAAAGTTGCAACAGGTCAGCACGCTTTTGAATGTGAGGTCTTTTGCAAGCGGCAATACGTTTTTCCACGTGACGGTGTTTCGTTGGACGTATTTGATTGGTTGTAAAAACTTTGGAAGATGCATGTAGCGTGGCTTCAGATGGTGCAGAAATACCGGTTGTCTTAAACAAGCGCATTGGAATCTTATTTATTTCTTTAACACCACGGTGATTTGAATTCCTTTAGTAGATAACAGAAATGGGAAAAATGCATTCTTATTTAGGCTGTAGCTACTTCTATTCTATAATTTCTATTATTTAACTTTTACACAAAAATAGTTTTTTCAAAGAGAAATCAGTTTTCACATTGTTAGGTTTTCTTAAAGAACTGAGTGAGATAGATTAGCAAAAAGAATATTTATAATAAATTGTAGTTTAGCGACGTGTAGGATGGAAACTTGCGGGCTGACAACGCTCCAGTAGACAGCAAAACGCAAAAATATCGTCTCATCCATACCTGACTGCCTTTCGTTTGCGCCCAGCGAGTCTTCTTTCCTTTTGCAAACTTTCAATGGTATTGTTTTGTCCAAGCAAGTTTTTGTTCTTACTTTTAACATCAACCACGACATATTCCAACAACAAATCTTCTTTCGTTGAATTCTCCTTATAGTGGACAAGTATCCAATCATCATCCTGATCGATCGTTTCTTCGAAAGCAAACTCGTTCTCAGTCCGGCAGTCGTTTCTCATCTGGCTTCTTGTTTGAAAGCATGATTGGAAATAACTGAGCGCCATCATGATCTTAATCCACTTAAAGGGCAGCTTCACGAAATAATTGTCGTCAATACGTTACTTAAAAAGTAGCATTTGTGACGTTATTTAATTGTGTGGAGTATAAGAAAACTAACAGTCCAAACCTAGTTATCATCACAGCAGAGGTTTACAAAGAGGGAAAACCGAAGACGTTTTTTATTATACCTTATTCGTAAAAGAACTTTTCAGCCGACAATTAAAAGAAACATAATACAAAAAACATAATCAAAATAACATTATCTTGTAAGCTCAAGATTCGAATTATAAAATATTTTGATTAATTTCCAGTTCCTATTTTTGCTTCATATACATTGAAAACTAGCATGAACATAACTTTAAGATATAAATCTGCGTTTTACTTCATATATACATGTTTAAAAAATTACAACCGTTATCGGGCTTAGATAAAACATTTATCAGAACTTTTACAAGGTCAAACGTCCCGTCTACGCTTACCACGTGACCGCTATCGGGCTTAGATAAAACATTTATCAGAACTTTTACAGGGTCAAACGTCCCGTCTACGCTTACCACGTGACCGCTATGGGCTTAGATAAAACATTTATCAGAACTTTTACAGGGTCAAACGTCCCGTCTACGCTTACCACGTGAATTATCATGATTAGACCTGAAACTACTGTTGTTATCATTAGATGAAGTACTGTCATGTCGAGGTTTTCGCCTCCTAACCTCATGTCGCTGCTCTCTTGAATGGTCTTTCTTAGATGAAGTATATTTATTTTCATTATCATTATCACTTTTCTTACGTCGTTTACTATGATGCATAGTAATTTCTTTGGTCTTATCATTACAATCACTTTGATAATCGCTAGACCCCGATCCACTGTTATATTTTCTTCTGTTGTCATTTTTCCTCTTTTCCTCCTTAGATGATTTCTTAGATTTCTTTGTTTTGTGTTTCTTCTTCGTCTTCCTAGGTATCAATTTACACAATTTGCATTTGCAGATGATTTGGATAATATAACATCACAGGATTAGCTAACTATTTTGTTTTCGAAAAATGTAGACAAATCAAGCCAACATGAGGTTATAGCAAACTGATCAAGAAACGCAATCTTAGCTAGAACTTCGGTAGATAAAGTAAATAACTACTCCACTGCATTTATCACAAACCTTCGGCTTTTGAAAAGTAAAGAAGTTAGTTTAAACTTTTTACATCTTAATGTCTTAAGTAAATAACGCAAAAGCTTTTCTATAAAGAACATTTATTCTACATACGCATACAGACGAAAATAATTTTCATAAAGTATGCAAAAAATATAAACATAGATAGAAACTTAGTCATTTCACTTGTAAAACAGATATTTGCAAAACTTACTTTTTAACTGACTCGTCACTTTTGTCGTCCTCATATTTCACATTACTGATAGTCTTTTTCTTCATATCCTACAAAGTATAAATTATATAAAATTATATTATATAAAAAAGAAAAGATTTGAAACTACATTGACTTAATCAGATGTATTTTACTTATTTAATTATGAATCAGCTTAGTTTCAACCAAAATATACTTTTTGGTATAAAAAGTTGTTGCCGCGTGTGGATGGTTTGAACAATAAATTAATTTCAACCCCCACGCATTTTCCAATTTACGTAGCCAGTTTTGCCAACAAAACAACTTTAGAGTTAACTGCTTCATAGAAAGTCTGTGTTAAAGTCATGTAATCAATCAATCATCCACGATTGGTTTTACAATGAACTACATGCACAAGAATCTCTAAGCATGGGTAAGGTTTAACGACATTATACTGTCACACAAACCTGCACTTTGTTAACTGGCTCTTTGATGAAACCTTCATTAGAGAAGTTTGTATCCATCATTGCAGCTCGTGAACTAAAAAAAAATCACAAAATGATCAAACATTCTCACCTCTCCCAACATTCTCACCTTTCCCGCCGTAGCTACATGAAAGCTATATGATTAAAAATATCATTTATTATCCTTAAGTCCAACAGTTAATGACTAAATTTATCTGCATACTTCTCTTTTTTCATACAAGATACATTGTGCATCACATATATATTCTTATTCACAAGCCTAACCTTCCAAATCCCATTCCTTCAACTCTTTCCACATTTCCCGAATCTCGTTCTGTTTGACCTCGTTTTAAAGTTTCGGTAATCTCCTACGTACATAAAATCAAAACATTTTCAAAAGTCTTTTGGGCAAAAACATTGAAAATCCTTACAACATACAGTCCTAAATAAAACGTCTATGCATTAAACGGATTTTGGAAACTTTTTTGTTCACAAATCTTGCAATAACTATCAATAATTATTTTCCATTGACAAACATACATAACAGAGGGTCGCTGAATAAAAAGAGCCTGTATAAGTTCTTGTGTTAAAAAGCCAAAGGGAAAAATTGCACATGCGCAGTATGAGCAATATGAGCAAAACTAAGTATGTTCACAATTAATGTTGCAAAAATTTCTAGATTGAATTCTATCAAGTTTGACTCACTGGTTGGACATGAGGAAAAATATGACAAAGAGTAACAAAAAAAGCACCAAAAATAAAGTTGCAAGAAATTATCAATGTATAATTATAAACTCTCAAAAAACTCGATGTTCTCACTAAAAGAAAAAGGATTGGAGAAAGACAATCTGGTTCTCTCGACAACAATGAATAACAGCTACAAGAGAAGAGAAATGATGCAAAGCCTTTGTTGTCTTGGCAAACACAACACCAATTGCTGAGTTGGTAAAAGAGTCAAACACATTCTTCATGAAATGAAGTACATATGAAATGCAAAATAAAAACAACAAGTTAACCATTAGCAAATCATATAATATTGATTGCTTCATACCTGTTTTGTTAGAGAACTTTTCCTTTTTTTCATTGTGCCAAATCCACTAAAAAAACCACTTTATCATCAATTTCAAAATCTATATCATGGTCACAGGGAGGTGGACAGACTGATAAACTTTCACAATAAACAAAAAAGAAAATATATCAGAATACATCAAAGAAAACAGATAAATACATACAGAGCTGCCATCATAGCCTCCTCCTCCAATTGCTTTATTTTACTTTTTTCCTACAAATTCATAATAGCAAAGACATATACATATACAAAAGTGGGTAAAATTGAGCTGGTGTTTGAGGTTATAGAGAAGTCTTTCGTAAATGAAAAATTTTTATCATAAAAACTGATGATAGAAAAATATAAAAATACAAAACAAGACAAAACTCATTGACATTAAATGTTTCTATACTTTTTCCTGGCTAGTAAAAAAATTTTCACACATCTGCACAAGCTTACAAGAAAGTATAAATAATACTCTTATCGCCTACCGTTTGCTGTTGTTTTATCTTGGCCTCTTTATCTTTGGTGTACCTAAGCAATTATTAAAGTTCCACAATTTACTTGGCAGAGTTTTGATGATTCCATTACATAAATAGATAGTCAATAACATTCAATGGCTTCCCTAAGCTGCGTTTCACTTCATTAGCACAAGGTGACATCAGTTTTGATGCAAAATACACTTCAGAGGCGGGTTGCACAAAGACTGAATGGCCTTATCCACTGGACAGTAATATTTTTGAACGCTTCAAAAATCTTTTAAATAGGAAAAATCAACAATTTGTACTGTACAAGCAACGAAATACAATATCAGTTCTAGACTTATAAAATTTCATCATCGCATAAAAAATTACTTTTTTCACAAGTTTTAAAAAAATACTATCCAATGAATAACACTATCCACGATTTGTGCAACCGGCCTCAGTGCTATAAGAGAGTCCACAAAGACTGTATTTATTTACCAGGTCAAATCCTTTCCTTTCTGCCATCTTCCAACTGGAGCCATTAGAGAATGTCCTAAAACAATTGTGAAACAGTAGAAAGTTGTCTACACATTTTGCACGTCTTCATTGAAATCAATATAGTTATAACAAAATTTGTCCAATACGAAAACACAATGTGCTCAGGTGTTGAACCAGGTCATGAGTCTCATGACTATGAGCTAGAACACCTAAACTAATTTTCATTTTCTGTCAAATATCTGCTTTAACGTTTCACTTTTAGAAACAGTTGGAACACAAATTTTCACATAAAATTGATGATTTTACAACATTAATGTTTTACGCATAGGGATTTCATGAAAAGCAATCTTACGTTACCTAAATAGTTCTCTCTGTGTTTATCAGTTTTTACAGTGTCCCATTCAAACTGATCTTTACCACCACGAACTCCACCACGCGATGGATTATGCATTTTATTTAATGATTAATTCTACTTGATTTCAGCACCAAATGCTTCAATTTCTTTGTTGTTTAATAAAATTGTACAAAAAAAACAGTGTTTGACAGTGTTTATATCACAACATTACAATGAATTGTGTGCCTGCGAACAACAGCCTTGTGTTAAGTGTTTACTTTATGTCATACAATTATTCAGAAGTATCAAAAGTTTGTTTGCAGTTGAGGAATTTGGAATGGGTAACACAGACAAATGAGAATGATAATTCTCTGTTCTCATCCAAAATGGTTATTTGAGACATTTTTCTCTGGTTAATACTTGGCTACGTTTCACAACAGAGAACATTTTATGCTCTCTGAGTTGAAGCGGTTTGATTTCATTATTCATTCCTGTTGTCTAGTGCCCTTTTTAACTTTGAAATTTTAGATACTACATATTAAGGTTTTTCAAATATTTTCAACATGTTTCCGTTATTTTATATAGCCTTATCTTATGTACAAGCAGAGGGCAACATGAGGGACAGGCTATAAAAAAAATAAATAAAGAACTTTTTTGAAATGAATCCCAATTCGAATAAAATGATTATAATCCAATCAAGATAACTTTCCTTTCCTTTTTCTCACAAGTGTTTCAAGATTTAAATTCAAGTTTTAATCATATTCCAATTGGGAAAAAAAACCATTTTCACCAAATGTATTTTCAATAAAACTATTTGAATTATTTTTTGAACTGATTCACAATATGTTATTATTGCAGCGTCATGGTTAGAGATAGAGCAGTAATCGTGTATGAAATATAGACCAAACTAGAATGTGTTTTTTTTTCAGCACCACTAAACCACAATTAATTCTTAGACAACAATGTGTGTAAAAATATATTTGAGTGTTGTTTTTGCGTAGGATGGCGTCGCATGCCGCCTGTTGTCTTTAATCACATTGTCTTGGTGACAGAGTCCAGCGTTACTTAGTAAAACATTATTATTGAAAATCACCATTAATTTGTTTTCCAATTTCTATACAGTCATTGTACAATTCCTTCAATACTAAAATATTCTATCCTTGATAATGAAATATCGGTTTATTTTGACTTCTAGAAATAAGCTTTCATATTCCATCTGCTCCAGTTATATGACATAAAATCAGAAGTGTACTGCCAGCATTTTAATAAGAGAGTTCTATATATTATACCACTACCAATACCATACATAAATTTTAAAAAGGCGTGCTGAGTCCCCATAAGACCTTCCTCTAATACACCTCTGCAAAAAATACACGCCAATTATTGAATTTTACGCAGTTATTTGCGATGAATTCAGTGCATTCGAAGCGAAGAGCGTCTCCCCCCTTAGAGACTATTCATTTCTAAAATAATGAAGCAAAAGATAAAGCGATTTCCACAAACGAGTCTGGATTATAAATAGTTGGCCGAAAGAAAACTGTTGATATTTTGGATCTCGATTTTCATTATTATGTAAATAAAAAGAGCCAAAAAAATAGCAAAAATAGTTTTCTTCACACGTTTACCATCCATTTTAATGTTCCAAAGCCCTTGAGTCGTGCATGACATTAGTCCAGATTTAAAATAATATTTATCGAAAACCACACTAAGGCTACAAATCAAGCTTCAGCCCTGTTGCTACTTTCCTCTAACGTATATTCTTGTGGACAGCATTCATTTGCATTGCGTAGGTAAAAAATTTGAGTAGGATATAATGTTAAACACAAGACACTATGACAGCGACAATTATCAGGCTATTCGTGCGTATCTTCCAGAATGAACCACGAAACTGTGTGTAAACAACTGATCAACTAACATATTAAGAACCACTGTTGGCAAATCTCAATGACAATTGCCAAACATTAGAAATACGATGTGACTGGTATAACTATAATATATGTCTTCAGTTCTTACTGTGTATACAAAATGTGTTGTGTAGCTTTTAGGTCTTAAGATTAATCCAAAGGTTTATTCGGTTCAATGGAAGACGCAATTTAATGAAAGCATCAAAACAAATATTCAACTTTCGATTCTAGATTTTGTAGAACAAGCAAAGATTAATCTAGACACGCAGACACATAGCCTGCATTTTAGTCTGTGCTGGAGACTAGGAGACCCAGTGATGCGGGGTCATGTGGTGATTGTGGTCTTCATCAATGATGCATAAATAAATATTTGGAGACGCTTTCTCGAACTACTTGTTAGCTTTTGCTTGCAGAAATTATTTAATTACTTTAGGACTGATATCTGAAAATATAACTGCTTGATTAATTTATCTGTTACATCATTTTGATATGAGCAAAGATCTGAATGTAGGCCATGTTCAATTATTATCCACAACTCTTCCAATCGATAACATGAAAATGTGAAGCATGCAAATGGAACAGTGCCTGCCTCTTTTTCAAATTGTTTAGCATGCGTTGCTTCGCAAAAATCTTTGACATTTCGCGGCTCATCTCTCAACAAAAAAGTGTTTGTTGAAAAAATTTTCGGGAGAGACCAAATATGTGTGCAAATATTTGAAACCAGTGTAAATATCTGTCAAAAGTTGATGTCAGTAGTAATCTCTGAAAAAATGTTAAGACAAAAATCGTCTTTCCCTTTCATTTGCCACTATTTTTAAAAATTCAACACATGCTTACATAAATTTGTTATTTGTTGAAAGGAATCAAAATCATCAAATGCATCTAAAAGCGAGAGAGGAGTCCCTAATTTAAAGCTGTCGGAGGATTAAAACGTAAATCATTCTAAAAACGATTTCTAAATAACTATACATATAATAGAAACTAATATAAATAAAGTTACTTAAAATGTTGTTTTTCGAACTTTTTGAACACCTCTGACGATGCTAAGTCCAATGTACCAACCAACTTTGTAATCCTCTCTGTTACTCTTTGTATTTATTTATCATTTTATCACTTTAGCTACATTGCCAAGACAACATTTCCTAATCCTGTAAGCCATAATCCAAGTTATATAAATAGATGTGTGGATAAGTATATATTTTCCTTTCATCACGAATGTGTTATTCTGAACCGACGATCGCTGGTATCTACAAACAAGGGCTGGTATGCCACATAAGTATTTGACGGACATATCACTTTTATTGATATCCTGATTATCGGTGACATTAGCCAAGTTTACCTTCAAAAGCAAGACTATATGTATACACACCATACAACTAGCTGTTCTTTTCAAAAGTTAAACTTAAATAATTTGATGCCAACTTTGTCTTCGAAAGGCTTCTATAGACTAACAGATTGATGAAACAATTTATAATTATCCAACGGCTGAAAGAAATGCACCTGTACAACTTAATGTTCATAAATAGATAGCAACATTTCTATTAAGGGCGTTGATATTAAGCGCTTGTCATAATCCTTTGTATTTAGGACGTTGGAAGGGACACAGAAAAATTCAGACCGCGTCAGATATTTCAATAATGTCAGGAAAGATGGAGTCGTTAAATTAAATTAGTGTTTTTTTTCTTCATAAACTATTGACAAATATATTTTGAAATTGTTCAGCTCTTTATTACTGCATTTTTAAATCTTGTTCTACATAAAAAAATCCGATAAAACTTTACAATAATTCATAATTTCAGTGGCACAAAACGTTTTCGTGTTACTTACAAATTTTATTACATAGCTACCTGTACTGTCTCGGAAGTCGTTCTCTTTGATCTTGTGAGATCGGCCGATGGCCCGATGATGTGGAGGTCAAACAGACGTCGAAGGAGGTAAAACGGTGGAATAAAGCCGTAAAATTTAAGTGTCGCTGTAATATTTTCACATTTGCTAAACTGTTTTGGAGAGGCTCTACTTATATATACATATGGTATAAAATATACAAAGAATATAAAAAGCATTTCTTTTAGCCAAACTTCAAAAAGTGGGGACCATTTGTAGAAATGACACATGTATGTAACCTTCACTTTTCAGGTCTTATATACTATTTTATGGGTTTGCTTTGCTAACATTAAAAGTTATGTTTACTAAAATTCATTAAAGAAACGTTTCAGAGTTAGGCACAAAATAAATTAATCAAATAGGCGATGTCAAATATTACAAAAACAGTTTTAATCTCTGTTTCCTTATGTGCATGAAAGTTTTTTTAGCCAAAAATCTGAATGGTATTTTTGACTGAGTGTGGTCGAAACCGTTGCTCGTTGGAAAATTTGGTATTTACCTACAGCATAGCCAGTTCTATAAGTCAACGAAAAAGCAGTGGATAGGAAGGATTTGAAATTAAAACTGGACTACTTAAAGTATTATCCGTAGCAGAATGTATATTTTATTTGTGTTGTCATAGGGGCTTTGAAGACAAGACCAAAGGTAGTTAGAAATTTGATGCGTAATTTCACTACTTGAATATTACACACAAGTAAAGACATAGTAACAGTGATATAGAACAGTGATATCAATATATGTATAATGTAGCTAATAGCTTTATCGAAATATCACAGTGTTGACGATTGCGAACACAAAGTATTCTTCTGTTGCTGACTGGAAAAAGTCAATGCATAACTATAAGAAAACAATGTTTCTTTTTTAAAACACTAGCTTATTTACTAGCTAGTTTTCTGTCTGGCAAAAACTAGAAAGTGAATTTGTTTTCCTACGTAGGTTAACCACTTAACCGCAAATATAAGGCGTCGTATGACTCGTATCGACTCAGTTTGTAATCCGATCCAAAATATTGGCAACGTTAAACTCAAGTGTAAATTGTAAAATGTAAATTGTAAATGTCTTGTTTTTGTCTAATGTTATTGATTTGAATCAGATGCGCGATTTCTTCAAACCATATTGCCGACAAAGTATTTTTGCTTTTCATATTGTGAAACTGACTTATAATTAAAACATGAACTTTTTCTCGGGAAATTGAAAATGCTTCATATTGGTTGTGGTAGAAGTGCGGAGCCATTAATATTTATTCATGTAATGATTTCAGAATTCAAACAATGATTTCTTTGATAAAAAACACAATTTACCTCAAAAATAAAATGCAAACGTCATTGCGTTAATAGCATGGTTTGTCGTAAAATGTGTGAGTTTAATTTCAGGAAACATGAAAAATCACAAAATTTTCACTTGTGCTTCAATAAATGTGTTGCAATAAAGACATTGTGACACCCACAATTAATAAATACGAAAGGTTGTCTCACAAATAGCAAACCTATGGTGTTAAACACAATAATCAACTTATGTACGGCAAAAACAAGTCGAAATCAAGAGTCTCTGCAATAGAAAAATATTTGCACGCGGATAACCTGAAAATCCCATGATAAACCATCAGTTTCTTCATTTGACGTCTTTGCAATTTTATATTGACGTAATAAGAAGAAAATAATTTCTGACAAGAAGATAGAAAGAAGATATGACGATGACGATTGGTAAATAGCTCAAACATGTTTACAAAGCAAATAAAATCATTCGGTTGACCTTCGGTTGACAAAACACGGATACTATACAAAATTTAAGACCAACTATGAGTACTAGAATTAAAATCATGATCAAAAGTAAATTCTAATGCACGAGTTTTGGAAAGCAACATGCCTATATTGAGAAGACAATTGTCGCTGCGGAAAGTCATTGAACTAATGTCCAGAAGTTGTGGCGGCTTCATGTTGCCATTTGAAGATCTAGCATCCTCTGTGTAAAAACTGTCTTTTGTGTTTCTCTCTTTGATACTTTAATTATTATTGGCAAACACGGTTTATCAACTCCAAATTTTATGTTTCTATGCAATTAACGTGCTCTAGCATGCGAATTGTCATAAATCTTTATGACTTGAAATTAACTTTACTACAGTCTTGGGTTGAACATCTGTGTGTAATGCTTAAGAATCAAGCTGTTCTGACGTTTTTTATTTCAATAACAAATGTTTTAAAACGAAGTAAATATATTATTAATGACATATATGCATTGTTATAATGAGCTTTGTAAACGCACACATTCTCCATAACTAAAATTGACATATGAAAGAGAACTAAGAACTTTTCTCATAAGGTAAAAATTAAATAAATTTCGGCTTTGTTAAAGACAGGATTCAGGAAACAAAAAAAGAGAATCGCATAAAGCGTCTTTTATACAATGAAACGGAAACGGCAGAAATTATGTAATTAACATATTTGCATTTTATGTTCGACGTATATTCAATAAGAGACTTCAATACTTCCCCCAATTTCCCCACTGCAATTACAAAGTTAACCTGCTGGCATTGCTGTAGCAAGATAAACAAATAGAATAACACTGAATAATTCGAATTAATCTCTAGAATATTCGAGAAATTCGCCATTGTCGAATATACTAGAATACACATCGCAGCCATAATGCATGCAGAAACACTTAGGTTATGAGTGTCTACGTCAGGGAAAAATTTGCTTTCTTTTCTCGAACAAACTATCACAAATTGAAATCATTCTTAATTTTGTTCATATCGTCACTTTGCAAGTAACACCTTGACTTTTAACGCCAGAATATGATGTAAAAATTATTGGCTTATCATATCTCCATTGAAACGTATTGTCATGGCAACAAAGTCATTATAATACTCGTTTGTGTCAAACAATGATGGGCGCATGGGCTTTGATGTCATCTCCGCTTTGGTGACTGGACGAGGAGTTGGGCTGGGGGTATATATTGATCGCGAGAGCCGAGTTGATAAACAGTTAGCACAAGCACTTGTTGGAAACGCTAGTGGGTCTCGACAAATAGTCAGAAGAAAGGAAGTTTGCAAAGACTTTTACACAGAAATGGGTTCACATCACTCGTTAAATCGTAAAGAAAGTATCAAGGATTATGGAATAGTGCAAGGCACTCATAAGGACAAGTTGTTAAACAATAATGATACACAACATGTTCTTCCTATTACGGGTATTATTGGAAAGGAGAATGTAATATTATCGCATCAAGACGTGAATTTGGCAACTGCTTATCTTCACAAATACGCTCACGTTAGCAAGCGAAGAATGAAAACGATGTTAAAACCAATCGCCTCGAAGACTGTGAACAACACAAGCGAGGCTAGAGTTTTAAAACCCGCCCAAACGAACTCGACTCTTGTACCTGTTATAAACTGCACGCCAAACACAAACAACACAATCAATCGTGATGCAAAGTCAGAGTTGACCTCGTCGCATTTTACAATGAAATGTCTTGCAACATTCGTGTGCGCGCGTTATATACGCGCATTGCCACATTTGTCGATCATCGATGTTATAACTTGGATGAACAATGTAGACCGCGCTCTTACTCTTTCTGGATGGCAAGATCACGCTTTTTTAACTACGCCTAATGTCACATTTATTTTCATGCTTGCAAAGATTCTTTACCAAGACGTATACAGTCTATTAATCAATTGAAAGCCGAACTTTTGACAATTTTGTACATGGCGTTCACCTACGGAGGTCCTGAAATAAGTTATCCTCTGAAACCATTTCTTTGCAATAAAGCAGGGAGAGCAGAGTTTTGGAGTCGTTGTGTATCTATCACGAACAATCTTAGTCAAAGCATGTTGAAAATACACAAAGACACACATTTTTACGAAGAAATTCAATTGGAGCTTGCTACATATGGTTGTTTTTTACGAAAGACGAGAAGAATCTGAGCAGATATGAATTATACATAATTAGACAAACGAGACTCTTTATCGTCAAATATTGTATTTCCACTTGTGATGGCCATGAAGAAATGTCACGCGAAATCTTCGTCAAATCTTTGGTCTGAGTGGGTAGTTCAGACTCAGTGGTTTGTCTCCTGAACTATGTCAACAAATAATTCACTCGAAGCCCAACCAAACATGCCTTTTCAAGATTAGCATTCATTCTAGAAATATAAAACGTGCGACAGAAGTAAGAACAGAATGCGTTATATTTAAAGAGAAAAATACAAACATTTTTATGATTCTCCTCATGTGTAAATATGTATTATTGAAAATAGTTATGTAATAGTACTACGACCTATTTTTAATGTAAATAGTCATTATATGCGAGATTTATTTATCGAAATTGTATATTTCAATAGCCGGGAGCCGTGACCTGGGATAAACATCACGCGGCAATCTAAAAGTTAATAAATTTTTTCAATACTCTCCAAACGTTGTTTTCCGGTCAATGTGCTTTGTTGCGATGCAAGTTGCTCGCCAGCTGTTCAAAACGGAATGTGATATTTTACAGATTCATCATTCAACTGAACTTAGCTGCAAGCAAGGACGAATTATGGAATACAAACGAGTAATTTTCTGTAAAATTATTTAAACGACCAACTTTCAAATAGTAAAAAATTACATTAAATCAGTTTCATTGATGTCGAAATTGCCCCGGTCAGTATTTCATATTTATTCATTCACATTCATTTATATATTTACTAAACTGTTATCTTATGGTAGTTTGAAAGACATTGGAGAATTTAACAGACAAATAAACATGTATCCTCAAACTAGACATGAATACTCAGGAAAATCACATATGCAATATTGGTTTTGGTTGGAACAAGTTTCCTATTAATTTGCTTCCCTGTCTACAGCGACCAAAACACTTAATATTTGATAACTTTCTATCGGTGAAGCTTATTCACTCCTTCTATGGAGAAATATACACAACCAGAAGCCAATATTTTCAACGCCAGATTCTAACCTTCCTCACGTCCGTGTTCAAAAGGTAGTGCAAGTATGCGACCAGGAAAACCCTTTAAATATTATTTTAAGCAAAGAATGTTTTATCTTTATAGCAGCTCTAGATCTTCTGAAATGGCTATGTGATAGTAATTTGCTAAAATTTCAAGAAACTTCATCAATATCCCAAGCTAAAAAGTCTGTTAAAGACATAGTTCAGGAAGAGGGACACCTAACTAAAGTTAAAGAATTATAATGTTCCCTTAACAAAATAAAAAAAACATCTGGGATGACAAGTGTACCATTGATCTTTTTATCTAGCACTAATCTTCTTATCTTTTGAGTTAAATCTAATTATTATTCTTTATAGAAGTGATAACGAACAGATCGCAGAGCAATTTCAAATTATTCACCTGACATAACAAAAAACTTTGTTAAAAATAATTCCAGCTGATTGTTGTTCATTATACATAACAAGAGGGCTTGTTTTTAAATAGCAATACCTTAGCCAGATATTGCATTTCACAAATATTTATACGCTATGAAAATTGGCAGTTTTCAAGTATGAATGCAATGGACCGAACAGTTGGTATTTTGTTATTATGTAATATTGAGGGTTTTTGACATAAAGAAAAACAGCAAATTAACATTGTTTTAACACTTGGTGGGAATTATGTGGGTTATTAGTCGATAAATGTTGAATTTTAGAACGATTTATGTGTTAAATTTAATGTTTAAATTGTTATCATTCTATCATTTTCTATTGGCCAACTTTACTGTTTGCACAGAGACAGGATTTTCACCCTCGGAAAGGCGTAGATGACTTTAATATGACTTTAAGTATGCTGCTTACAGCTTACGCAATCTAGTTTGTGAAGACTTCTTATCCTGTTGAACAAAGTAGCGAATGACCACAGATCTAATGACTGACGAATTTCATCATTGTTGGATAGGAAGTATTTCTGATTGTTAGAGACAACGGAAAGGAAAAGAGGTGACTGACATTACGACATAACGCCACCTCCTAATATCGTCATTGACTTAACCTGCTGACGACATCAAGGTCAAATTCTTCCTTGATTATAATCTTTATTGAGCTATAACCTTTTCTTCATATAAAGTAATTTTGATAATGAAATTAGAAACACAGTAGAAACACAATACTGATGTTGTAAAATGGTAATAAAGGAAAAGTGAAGCTTAAAACGGTTATATACAGAAATATCATTTTTACTTCGAGTTGAAGTTGCAACTGTTGCATGCACTAAGTTCACCATACATCACTTGTGTCTTCACCATCAATATCACGGAGTTATACAATCTAAGAAAATGCCTTTTCAACTACGCCTAATATCACATTTATTTTCATGCTTGCAAGAAATTCTTTACCAAAACATATACAGTTTATTAATCAACTGAGTGCCGAACTTTTGACAATTTTGTACATGGCGTTCACTTACGGAGGTGCTGAAATAAGTTATCCTCTGAAACCATTTCTTTGCAATAAAGCAGGGAGAGCAGAGTTTTGGAGTCGTTGTGTATCTATCACGAACAATCTTAGTCAAAGCATGTTGAAAATACACAAAGACACACATTTTTAAGAAGAAATTCAATTGGAGCTTGCTACATATGGTTGTTTTTTACGAAAGACGAGAAGAATCTGAGCAGATATGAATTATACATAATTAGACAAACGAGACTCTTTATCGTCTAATAGTGTATTTCCACTTGTGATGGCCATGAAGAAATGTCATGCAAAATCTTCGTCAAATCTTTGGTCTGAGTGGGTAGTTCAGACCTCAGTGGTTTGTCTCCTGAACTATGTCAACAAACAATTCACTCGAAGCCCGACAAAACATGCCTTTTCAAGATTAGCATTCATTCTAGAAATATAAAACGTGCGACAGAAGTGAGAACAGAATTAATGCGTTAAATTTAAAGAGGAAAATACAAACACTTTTATGATTCCTCCTCATCGTGCATTCGTAAATGTATGTATTATTGAAAATAGTTATGTAAAACTAATATGACCTATGTCAATGTAAATAGTCGTTATAAACAAGATTTGTTTATGACAAGTTTACCATTATTCTTCTTATCTAGCACTAATCTTCTTATCTTTTGAGTTAATTCTAATTATTCTTCTTTATAGAAGTGATAACGAACATATTGCAGAGCAATTTGAAATTATTCACCTGACATATAACAAACAACTTTCTTAAAATGATTCCAGCTGATAGTTGTTGATTATACACAACAAGGGGCTTGTTTTTAAATAGTAATACTTTAGCCAGATATTGCATTTCACAAATATTTATGCTATGAAAATTGGCAGTTTTGAAGAATGAATTCAATGGACCAAACAGTTGGTATTTTGTTATTATGTAACATTGAGGGTTTTTGACGTAAAAAAACAGCAAATTAACATTGTTTTAACACTTGGTGGGAATTATGTGGGTTGTTAGTCGATAAATGCTGAATTTTAGAACGATTTATGTGTTAAATTTAATGTTTAAATTGTTATCATTCTATCATTTTCTATTGCCCAACTTTACTGTTTGCACAGAGACAGGATTTTCACCCCAGAAAGGCGTTTTAGATGATTTTAGTAAGTTGCTTTATTTATTACTAATCTTCTTATCTTTCGAGTTAATTCTAATAAGTATGTTTTATAAAAGTGATAACGAACAGATCGTAGAGCAATTTTAAATTATTTACCTGACATATAACAAAGGACTTTCTTAAAAATATTTCCAGCTGATTGTTGTTGATTATACACAACAAGGGGCTTGTTTTTAAATAGCAATACTTTAGCCAGATATTGCATTTCACAAATATTTATGCTATGAAAATTGGCAGTTTTAAAAGAATTCAATGGAACTAACAGTTGGTATTTTTTATTATGTAATATTGAGGTTTTGACGTAAAAAACAGCAAATTAACATTGTTTTAACACTTGGTGGGAATTATGTGGGTTTTAGTCGATAAATGTTGAATTTTAGAACGATTTATGTGCTAAATTTAATGTTTAAATTGTTATCGTTCTATCATTTTCTCTTTTCCAACTCATTGCACAGAGACAGGATTTTCACCCTCGGAAAGACGTAGATGACTTTAATACGACTTTAAGTATGTTGCTTACGGCTTACGTAATCTAGTTTTTGAGGACTTCTTATCCTGTTGAACAAAGTAGCGAATAGAGAATTTCATGATTGTTGGTTAAGAAGTATTTCTGATTGTTAGAGACAACGGAAAGGAAAAGAGGTGACTGACATTACGACATAACGCCACCTCCAAATATCGTCATTGACTTAACCTGCTGACCACACATCAAGGTCAAGTTCTTCATTGATTATAATCTTTATTGAGCTATAACTTTTTTCTCATAAAAAGTAATTGTTATAATGGAATTATAAATAAGGTAGCGAAGAATATTCAAACTAAAACGAAATATAATACGGTTTGTATGTTTAAATTAAGACAAAATAAACCATTTATAATTATAGAAACAATATTTAGTGTGGCTGAATGTCCCTGTTCAATAAATAAAAATCATGCTAAAGAGTCTAAGTTTATCATGATTTCTGATATTCTGTTTGTTGAATTTCAAACCTTAGGAACTTTATATTTATAATTTACAAGACCATCAGTTGACATTTGTGCGTGTACTTATCATTCTAGCTCGTCGTCTCCATTGATAACGACTGTTTTCAATCGATAAACATTGAATCAAGCTCTGTCAGATATACATACACGAGTTTAGCGGTCTATCCAAAACGAGCTTGGTAAACTCGTTTTTTCAAAATTTATGTGGCAGACATTTGTTGGAATTATTCTTGTCTTTTCAAACCAAATTAATACAGTAAAATAAAGACAACACAATACTAATAAAGAATAAGTGAAGCATAAAGTAATGAATATATACAGAAATTGCAACTGTTGCATACACTAACTGCACATACATCACTAGTGTCTTCAACATCAGTACCACGGACTACTACAATCTACAATTATGCGTCAACTAATGTTTAACTGACGGCTCTAAAATATAAATCGCTAAAATTGTACGGATTTTACCAGAGTAATTTCAACTGGGCTGTCAACAGCTTGATTTTAAGTCTTGCTCACAATATCTGTTGCTGATAAGGAATTAAGTCTCTTGCTTCTGTGCTTTGCACTTTTTTATGAGCTACTCTCTCTTCAGTAAATGAATTATTAGATGCTTTAAGTCACGAGCGGTTTTTAGTTGAGAGCATTTTGTTGTACGTGGCCTTCAAACTGATGTGAGCATAAATCAGACCTTTTCAAATATTTGGAGGAGGGGGGGGGTAGGATGTCGGAGAATGAATTAATTAACTTGAAAGTTGAAAGGTTGAGTTTGACGAGGCAATATGAAAGTATGGGGTAGTATGAACATGGTTTGTGATTGGCTATGAATATCGAAATAGAAAATGGAGAAAACAAGTAAATTATTTAGGAGACACACAATATTCATATTCGATAGGGAGTTACTATATGAGCTTTTGATAGCATCAAAATTATCGCGAAGTACTTTTCATCGCATTTTACTAAAATTCAAAATAAACGGAGCATTGGTTTTTGGAAAGATGTCAAAATATCAAGTAAAAATCTTAGAAAATGATGAAAAAAGGAAAACATAGTCGTTGGATAAATTATCCTGAGGGACCAGGTATTTTCCCCATTATCTATCGATTGTTTATGGTTATCGTTACAAATTATATCATGAACATTTGAGCTTATTTTCATTGAACTGAATAGTTGTTATTGTTATTTTTTCATTATTTATTAAGTTTATATTAATTCATACTTTTCTTGCAGTTTTGTTTTTCAGTTTGACAACAACTTTTTGATTAAATTAACCTTAATGTGAAATCTGATTGCTGGGGCCTATCATTCAAATCATAAATCTGCTAAATAACTCACAATTTTGAGCATAATCCCTAGGAACGACGTTTGTTTTGACAGAAACAATTGAACGAGTACGACTCTCGACGACCAAACGGTATAACCGTTTCAGGTTTGTGCAAATCATTAGAAGCAATTATTTTCTAAAAATATCCAATGCATGAAAATTAGCAGATCCAAAAAATGGTCTTTCAATGACCATACCATTCACCTAAGGTATGATTTATCTTCTGTCACTGAGTATGCTTCTTGAATTGTTTTTTACAGTTCCAATTTTTAAGGAGAGTCCAGCTTCTTATACGATAAAACAAGGATATGCTTTGATTCTTCACAATCGGCATTTCCCCAAAGGACAATTGCCAGATCGCGTTGGCTCAGAAAAGGATGTCAAAGCAATAAAAGAATTTTGTCAACAAGCATGCTTGCATATCAACGATACTGACCGTGAAACTGAGAATCTGACAGCATCAGAAATGGACAGTCTTTGCGACGAGATAGCCAAACGAAGCTTCAGTCGCTATGATGGATTTGTTTGCTTCATATTGAGCCATGGAAATGAAGCTGGAATCTTTGGAACAGATGACAACATAATAAGCGTTCAAGAAATCGTGTCAAAGTTCAAAGATTGCAATGGTCTTGCTGGGAAACCAAAATTGTTCTTCATCCAAGCTTGCAGAGGACTAAATAAAGATAATGGGACTTTGATTGATGCAGACAACATAGCTCCTACACCTAGTATTCCACTGCGGTTACCAACTGAGTGTGACGTTCTTGTTGCTCATTCCACTGTAGAGGGGTATGTGTCTTACAGAAGCAGAGCGTCTGGTTCTTGGTTTATCCATAGCTTAATAAAAGAACTATATAACCACGCACATGACATGCACATTATGGATATTTTGACATTAGTAAATAGGAGCGTTTCCGGTTACTTCACGCTAGATGGGATGAAACAAATGCCTTGTCAGTTAACAACACTGACAAAATTTGTTTATTTTAAATATCCAACACCATTATCGTAGAACTTGGTTGGATCTAAAAGTGTTTGATTTTATTTAAAACACAACTATTTTTGTTAATTTTCATTTATTAGTAAAATTAAGACTTTATATACGAGTAACATTCTGTAATACTGGACTGTTTCAATAATTAATAAAAGATAAGTATTAAAGTTTAAAACTTGTTGCAAAAGAAAATTAATGCCAGGATAATTCGCATGAATAATTTCACATGAAAAAACTATTTATTTACAATGACTCCAGAAAAACACAAACCACCTTTTCTGTACAAATATCAATGAAAACTTTCCATACATGATCTACCAGTGAATGCTTTATTTCATATAAATAAGGAGCTATCTTATGTACTAGCGTTAAATATCTGAGTGTACCAAATAATGGTAATATTTTTCATATTTCAGTCCCATTCATTGGCATTGAGAAGACAAATATAATTCAACAACATTAAACTATGGTTTAGATTATCTTCCATGCCAAAGCAGTTGCAAAAAACCCAGATAATGGGAGACATAACGTTACTACAGAAATCTACCAAAGTAAGCCCCACTGTTGTCATTATTTGGTATTTAGTTTAAGAAGTTAAATATCCAAGATTAATTACAGACAACAACAATCAACCAAGACTATAATACGAAATACTTTAAAGAAAGTAATACCCAATGAGCTGGTAAGGACATTGACCATGATTACCAACCAAACAACTGCAGTAAATAGAAAGTATTTATCCGCCTGGAAGATGCTTGCAGTCACAATGTTGGCACAATAGCATTATACTTGATCTTTGATAGGAATTAAAGTTTCTTTTGACAAAGCCTGCAGTATAACTAGTATATTTGTTACTGTGTCTGATGACGACAAACTTGATGAAAATCGTAGATTAGTCATGACCACGAAATACCATAGTAAAAAAAATGCGCGAGATGACAAATCGAGAGTTAGAGCATTGCAACAATCGTGTAGATTTCTGTCTTATGCACGCAGGCACTAAAACGGGATAAGTAACAAGGATAGAATAAAAATTATGTAAAAAAAAAGCCAAGAGAAAAATTGTTCACACTTTAATAACGTTTTACTTCAAAAGAGATATTTTTAAAACTAAAAAGTACTTTTAGGAATTTTCAAAATTTGTTCTCCTACGCTTGATGGTTTAGTTCCATAGTAACAAGTTACATAAATAATTACTTAAAACGTTCACTAAAAAGTAAAATAAATGCTTTCAAACAAAGCATATTTAATGTGTGTAAGTCGAAACCGAAGGTCGTGTCTTGAAAATGAAACGAAGGCAACAGAGCAAAATTACCTTTTTCAACTTCCATTAATACAAGATGTACCACAATATGAAAATAGGTCACAATTTTCAAAACAATTTAGTTTAAATTATTCTAGAGAAATTGCACGAAATATTTACGAAAGACAAACACACGTAAAACACAATTAATGCATTTAAAATTATGTCTAAATGATTATATTCTTCTATTTTGTCGTTTAGACAACGGCCTTAAAATATTGGCCCGAATAAATCGAAATATAAAAACTATCACAAAATATTTTCTATCAATAAATTGAATTATTATTACTTAATTCCTGTCGAAAAATTAAATTGGGTTTGCTAAAATATTATTTTACAATTTCTAAATGAAATAACCTATTGTACTGCCTGCAGTATTAAATCATGATTTCCACTCTTCTTGAAATTTGGGAATTTTATATTTGGTGTTGGATGAACGAGAATCGTTTTACTTTTTCCACCAAGAACGCAATCAATTTCACTCACAACTTTTACCATTGGCGTTTCCTTTTTTGCCCTTAAAAATGTTTAAACTTTTTTACACTTCAAATATTTAATAATTCGCATTAAATTTCTATGGGTACAATGAATAACAATGATAAACACTCTACCTACATTCTAATCTCAGCGAATCATAAATCTCATACGTACACTGACGTAACCAGCCTGCTTAATTGCTCCTGTATGTTAATTTTTCTGTGCTCATTCATTGCAAAAACAATATATAAAATGAGAAATATTTATTCCTTACTTTCTAATGCTCTGAAACGCGACAGCCAAAGCTTCAGTCACGCGATCTTCTTTTTGAGAATTAAAGAAACACATGACAAGATCATTTCCTGGATACTTAATCACCAACAACTGATCAATCCCTGATGTCAATGATATGCCAGTTGACTTAAGGCAATAAAATTTCTCAATTAAAAATTTCACTTTTTCTATCATTTTCAAGTTTCTACTTTGTCGCATATTGCCGCAACAAAAACATGGTCAGTAGCTACATACCTCGTAATATCCTAATCTTTTTAAAACTTTGTACTTTTGGTTCAGTTTTAGAATACAAGAATCCGTAAAAAGAATAATTCTATCAGACACTTGACTGTGAAGATTGACCTAGAATGTAACATAAATTTTAGGTATAAGCCCTATATTACACCTTTTATTACACAGTCCATTTTAATACATAACACTTTGAGTGAAAAAGTATTTTTTAAAAAAACTGATGTTTCAATATTTAAATGTTATTACAAACATGTGATTGATCTCGAGAAATAATTTCCACAATTAGCTACATTTTTGAGACGTATTTGCACGTTAAATTTGTCCAAATATTTTTGTCGAAATAAAGCATTCAATAGATTGATGATATCTACCGATTTCGTGGTGATACACAAAAATCCATTTTTAAGAAATACATCATCAGTAAGATGTTATGTAACAGCATTTTCTTTTTAAAGTTCGTATATGTGGTCATGCAACAGGCTTAATACCCAACATTGAAAAATTTTGGCTGATTGCAAACTTAAAATTGAAACATTCAACAAAGAACAATGCTGGTCAGCGGTAAAAAGGAAGTACTTGGTATAGCGCAAATTATAAAAATTTGAATCATCACCTGCACCATTACCCCAACTTAAGTGATCTACCCAGAAAGCCACTTTAACTTGACAAAAGCTAAACTGCCCATTGAAACATTTGAGAATACCTTCTTTGCATGTGAAGAAAACAAAATTTGGCGAAACTGATATTTAACTTTGTATGTTTCCATCAAAAAGCTGAATCTATCAGCGGTTCTATTTTCATTATTCTAAATGAAAGAAAAAATTAACCGCATAAACACAAATTAAATAAGAAATGGTTTCGTTTTTGACTTTTATCCAATTTAAACGAACTAAAATAAAAGCAACAAAAATTATTTCATGATTACAATCTAATGACTTAGCCAAAAAAAAAGACTCCAAGAGAATAAAATAAGCAACACTGATACACTATAGAAGAGACTTACCAAGGACATGTAATCGCCTTTCCAACGTCGTCGACATCCCCATTCTCGTCGTCTTCCATCAAGAGCTTCTGCTGCGGAAGCCTTCAAATGAACTTCTTTTCGTTCAGCTTTGGGTATTTTTGATATTATCATCCATGCACGCCATCTAAATCATTTTTTATATAAGGTGAGAAATGCAAATGGTAAAGCCGTAAAAATATGAAAACACTTCGCTCAATGTTTAAATAAAAAAATGAGAAAAAAAGTCGAACTTTAACTATTTGAAACCAATTGATTAAATAGATTTCAAAATGAAACTTTTTCGAGAGATGAGTCGAGATATGAGCAAGAATATAATAAATACACTGTCAGAAAAATAAGGATCTCAGTCCCACCCCCCGTTCCACGAGAAAAATACTATTTAACATTAACATTTGTCTGCAATGAAATGTTTACGTTCATTGATATCCATGTGGGGTAAATCTCATAGTAAAAGCAACGTTTTAATTTTAGATTTGATCTTACCTTTGGTGGACAACCACAAGTTGATTAATAAATACAGCCACAGACTTTGGCGGGGGTGGCCAAGATACACTTTTGCCGAGATCAGGCATTGAGCGAACGTTTCTGCAATAAAAATATTTACTATGGTCAAAATTACAGAAGCAAAAAGCAATGAAAGAAATCAACATTGACAATCTAAATACTGGGTTTTCACTTTCTTTATCGTAATATAAAAAAAAGAAAGTTAAACTTCAGCTTAACAATATAATATATATTTAATAAAACCTAAATCAATACCAGTGACGCAAGCAGCCCGCAAGTTTAAAGTGCTATATGTAAATTTCAGATCGTAAACATTTTATTTTTCTTTACAAATCTATTGTTAATTTTTACAATCAATGAACAGCGAAATATTTACGTATAAAGATCAAACTTGCAGGATGGCAAAGCCACCGATAGATATTCTTACACTATAGGTAAATTTTGTGGTTCCACAATTAAGACTTCACTTGTTATACATATAAATGTTATTGAAACTACAGGAAAGATAAAGCACACTATCTTACCCGAAGGACTTGATGACTTTATTTAGATAAACTTTCATCTTCCAATGTCGATAACAAGCGATAATAGTCCTCTTTGCCCGTAGTTTCTTTACGTATCGCCTCGCAAGGCCACCACGAATATTCTTGAAGAAATAAAGATATGAGAGATAAATCATAACGTTTAATGACTTCAATAAAAACATTTTACTAACCCTTTGAAGAAGAAGAACAATTTGAGGTATTTTTGTACTTCTCATATCTTCTAAAGTAGTTATACTTTGAGGAGTGCGAATAAAAATTTTCGTTTTGCCATATTCTGCATCGCTATCAAGCGACACATCTTTAAGCAACGCTTTAACACCATCTTTTCATTGCCTCGATAGTTTGGCCAGGTACTGGAGCAGATCATTTTATATCTAAACGGGTAATAGAATGAAGAACCCCACGAAAAAGATAACTTTTAAAAAAGGTGTTCTATTCTCACACAAGACAAAAACTAAAGGAGAAAAATAAATGTTTATAGAACGAGAAGAAATATGATGAACTCAAAATAATTCAAAAAAGAACCTCACCGTGATAAAAATTTTGAATACAACTGCCTGTAAGCAAAGCCAGCTCGTCGAACTCGGACATTTTCCAACAAACCAAGGTAGCCAACCTACGTAAACATTGTGAAGAAAACTTATGATGAATTTTCATTTGAGCATTCACATTGAACATACCTAGCTAAATCAAGAAATTATAAAATAAACGTGTTCAACAAGACGTTAAATCTTGTTTGTTTAATATATGTAGTAATTGATATGAATTAACATACTGAAGTTTATGAAATTTCATGTTTTATGAATCAATCAACCGCTTCCCATATCTTGTCAAAAATTTCCATAAGGACAAAATATTGAGTTATTTTCACGAAAAATTTCTTTGCAAAATTAACCTTTTTTTTACCTCGCAAACTTACGATTGACCTACTTGATGTTTTACTCGATTTTCATCAAACATGGACGCAGACTTGATATCGTTTGGTTTAATGCAACGAACATAATGTGGCTCCTGGAAAATCAATTGAAACATAAACACAAAGTCAACAGAATACTTTTGTAGTTTCAATGAAATACTGAAAAATAGTTCGCGTGGAACATTTTTGTGTGCAAGGGGAGAAAGATAAAACCAAAATCCTTTCACACAACAATTTATTTAAACCTTCAACCTTATGAGGTAAAGATAAATATTCTCTGACATTGTGACATAAAATTTTGCTGTAACAAAGGCAGAAAGGCAAAAACTTTTTTTCTCAACTTAACCAACTTATCACCATTTCCCATTTTTTTAAAATTAACAGAAACAACAAGCCTTCTAATTTTTGATAAAGCCAGTCACATTGAAGACCATAACGAACTTAAGACTTTGACACCCCATCCCACTAACTGCAGAAATTAAAACGCTTTCTTATGTACGTGTTCCAAAACGTTTTCAGAGATAAAAACACATTTAAACAGCTTCCTCATGTTAAAGGAGAACGATTGATGGAAAACTTGATGAATAAAAGTGATCTGTTAAAGAAACCATGAACTTAAAACCTAGTGGGTATATGGCTGAACAATAACATTTACGTGGTTTAAGTTACCGAAGAACCAAAAAAAATACATTAATTACCTTAATCAAGTTAATTACGTTAATTACCTTAATCATCAAGTTTTCTACTAAAGCGATCATGGAATTTTTGAAAAGTGTAGCCACTGTTGGAGGTCTCTTTGTAACCTGGTGAATATTCGATACTTTTTTATTGTTTCATTTTTGTCACGTTAACGTAGATTTATATTTAAGATGAAATAAAACAAAATACTCCAATAAAAGTTATTTATGTGACAATGGACATATCTCGCTAGGTCACGTTTGATCACAATATTACATCATCAACTTAAATGACAATATAATTTTCTGGTGTACATGTTTCAATAATGATTTGCGATATCAAGAAAACTAAAATAAAATACCTTTGTAACTGCTTCTTTTCCTTCAGGCCACATTTGTTTTAGGGCCGACTGATTGCTATTACGAATAATAAAGAATTTCAAGTGTTGTTTGAAACGTCAAAATGTTTTTACTAAAATCAAAAAATACCAGTTGAACAAAAGTCTCTTGAAATCCTGGAAGAGCGTGTCCTTATTTTTATCCAAAAATCCGTTTACATTGTATCTAAGCAAATGATTATTAACAAACTTTTAAAAAAGTTAAAAACTTGTGATGTGAAAACGTTTTAATGTATAAAAACGTAACTTACATCACATCACCAGCGTAATGTTGAATTTTAAAATCTTGATTATGAACAAGACTTTTATTCGACGGTTGAGTCTACATGGAGAACAAAATATGTATTTAAGGAAAAAAGGATTCAGCATACAGAGCATTGCAGGAATGTAAGTACCTGTCTACTAGAATAATGTTCATGACCTTTAAGTTTTGATCCATCGTATGCAAGATCATCTATAACAACGTAATTCATGACAGTTCAAATGTTTTTCTCAGCTGCAATAAATACAATTTGTACAGATAAAACTTATAAATTAAATTATTCATGATTAAGCACTTCTAAAGCATATAATTCAAATATATTTAGCTACAATACGAGTTTATTAAGCTTTCTGTATTTAAATCATGCAGAATAAGTTACTGCGTGTAGTTAAATGTCACGTAGAAAGCAATTTTACGTTAAATCGGGACTGATTTCTTCAAATTTGTTTAAAAAACAATATTGTATTTCTTCGAAACTATCCTCAGGTGTAAACAATTTTCCACCGTAGTTCATTATGATGATGCTCGCAATCATAAATTATAAAACCACACGTTAAGAAAAAAGAAACTAAGAATTTAAAAGTGAAATGCAAACTCTATAGTAATTGGCATCATCTATTAACAACTGACTCTGACGTATAAGGTCACGTGACTCTGACGTATAAGGTCACGTGACAACAGTGGTTCTAACATATGAGGTCACGTGAATCATGAAAATCAACAAACACATACTTCATCTGTGACCTTTCCAACACTGATAATGGCTTCGTCCATTATCGATATAATACCTTTATGATTTAATTCGACCAAATCGCAAATTATTTTGTTGTTGAAGTATTTAACCTGCAAGAAGATAGGATATACTGTGTGTTATTTATCTAAGCAATACGAAGATTAGTTAAAACTCCCGGTGGGGGTGGGGACTCTTTATTGTAATGTTGAAAGACGTAATAAAGAAGCACTGTATGAAGTAGAAACGAAATTTCAAGTTTTAATAAAATCATCCGTATCGTAGATTGTAACTAAGTACGTAAGGAATGTTAGTATTATTTAGTAATGTTTAAATGAACAATAAATTTTCGACTCTTTCACAAAGTCGCATCTTATAAGGTTTGCTTTGTTAGCTTTTATTTTGTTACCTCAACCCATTCAATTCCTTCTTTTTTGTATTCTTCTTGTTCTTGTTTGAGAACCAACTCAATAAAAAGTTGTTGTAGTTTTTCATTACAATAATTGATGCAAAACTGTTCAAAACCATTCACTTCAAAGATTTCAAAGCCATAAATATCAAGAACACCAATGACAGTGCACTTTCCATGACGGATATCCTTAACTTCAACGGCGTTGTTGATCTTTTTAACTATCCATGAAAACAGTCTATCGTACATTGCCTATTGTTCAATAAAACAAATGAAAAACATTGTCAAAAACAATAAAAGATAATAAAAAAAAGTTAGTAAATAAAGTTATAAATAAAACTTTCACGAAAATACGAGACTTAACGTGGTTATATAGAAAATCTATTATATAATATATTAATTTCGAAAAATACATTATCCACAACAATCTAAAACAGTTTCCCTCAATAAATCTCCCTTTAAATTCTCTTGTCCTCTCCTCCTTTGGTACAAAATCATCCCTGAATGTCCTAACTGTTCTCCTCCCTCAATACAAAATCATCCCTGAATGTCCTTACTCTCCTCCTCCTCGGTACAAAATCATCCCTGAATGTCCTACCTTGCATAATGCATCACGTCCATAATAAGCTTCATCAACAGAATGCCCTTTTTCCATGATCTCACCTCGAGCGGCAACAATACGATACAGCAATGCCTTCTTTATTTCTTCAACTGTTGAATTTAACAACTTGGCAAGGGTAGACAGTAATCCTTTATCTTCAGTCATCACTTCGTCATTTTCCATACGAAAATCTAAGTTACCCTAAACAAACAACAATTTTTCATATTTATCATTCACGTGCATTAAAATAAAAGCTTTAATGTCCAAAATCATCCAATGTACCAAATGAATAATTGCAGCAACCAGCTTCCATACAGTATCACGTTCTCTGTCACTAAATCCAATCATTTTCATAGCTTTATTCACCACATCATAATCTTTCTTATCGTCGATTGTGTTAACCTTAGATTACAAACAAAGTTACATGGCGTTAGAGTTTGCACATGAAAGGAAATTAAATCGAAAATAACATGATATAACTTACTGAATTGCTTTCACCCTGGTTGATGTAATGATATTTAGAAGCATCTCGAACAAGACCATACGATCTCAATGTTTCTTCACTTGCACCATAAATCAACTAAAGTCAAGTACACAAAATATTAAACATTATAAAAAAATTTATCACTGATGATGTTCTGTTTTGTACAAGTATGTGTGTTCAACATATACTTATAGGAGATTATAGAAAAATTTACTACAGATGGCGTGTTTTCGTTTTGTACAAGTATGTGTGTTCAACATATTCTTAAAAGAGAATGAAAATTTTTAATTCATGTTTGTATACCTGATAAAATGAATGAAAATTTCTTTCTCCTTTTTGTTGTTTTATAACCCTAGACTAAAGAAACCATATTTCCAGTATAAGGTGAAAGCTAAATAAACTTAATCCAATAAGATTACAATAAAACATTGCAGATTAGACGATAATGTCATAACCCCCTTTTTATGAAAAAGAAACGACTACAGTTTAAAGCTGCATGTAATAAAAATTTTCCAACCAAACAACGATGAAGTGAAACAGAGCTAAATTTGTAAACAAATTTTTCTTCATATATCTAAAGGACAATCAAAGAGGAGATGTATAAAAACAACTACAAGGGCGACACGGAGATAGGTACATTGAAACAGGAGGACAAAGATTGAGGCAAATGATTTGCAGAGATACGATGCAAAACGGGGTAGTTTAAAATTTTACTCTTACAACACAAAATTACTACATTCGAGCGGTTATGTCACTACCATGCACATTTAAGTGAAAACAATTTATATCTTCGCCACAAAAATCAAAATCAAATCAAATATGTTTGAGCACTGTTCAAATGAACTCATGTCATACTTATTATGAATAAATGAATTTTAGATATTAGTACATGTAAATACCTTTTCAAGCAAATAGTTATTAATGTGTCCACCAACTGGATCGCCTTTGAAATCAAAATTTATATCCATGTACTTTCCAAAACGACTTGAGTTATCATTTCGATTTGTCTTTGCATTTCCAAAAGCTTCAAGTAACGGATTAGACTGTAGCAATAAGCTCGTTACTCTACACGAAAGAAAATCAATTTTACTGAGCGACGCTTACTAGTGATTTTCAACAAATGCTCAACCAGACCATAAGGTGGAAGATATTTTTAAAGAATAGCAGCGATAGTGGAATGTACCTTTCAACCTCTTGTTGTTTGCTAACATTTGTAACTGCTGTAATATATCTCATGATGATTTTAGAAGCTTCTGTTTTTCCTGAACCACTTTCACCTGTAGCAAAAACATGTTGATAACATCAAGAAACAAACTTGCGCATTTTTTATACAAAATACGTATGATAAATATTAAATTTAATTTTACTTCAGTTAAAGTCAAGCATATGAAGTCATTTTCATTATTTTTCAACATTTTCACACCAGTTTTTCTGTGATTACGTCTGTAAAAGCTGCAGGAACAAACGAGTAGCTATATTGTGGTAATTTTTTTCGCATTGATCAAAAGATACGTAACAACGGTTTATTTTGAACTCACTCACACCTCAAAATTTCAATAAAAGCGAGCTTACAGATTATGAAATGTCAAGTTTAAACTTAAACGAATAAAAAAGAAAAGCTACGCTAAACAAAAAACAACCTGCATTCAGGTAGTCAGTACACGTGCATGGCATTGACGCAACCCCACCCTCTCTATGGTGAATCACAACTTAAACATTTTCTAGTCAGAAAAAAAATCCTCCAATCAGTTTTTTTCCCTTGCCTCAACTAAGGCACTTCTTAGGCCCATTTCAAACGTGGGACTATAAATGAGCTAAATGCATTTACGACAAAAGAAAATGAGATAAAATTACACATTGACTTTTGTTTTATACACGCTCGGTTCATGTAATTTAAAGGGTTTAATACAAGGAAAACAAAAATTATAGTGTATTTTTTTGTAGTTGTTGTAGTGTTGTTTGACAATCCTCTCGTCATGGTGATTATCTCACATAGTCAAGCATCTTTTCCTACGACAGCATGCACTTCCTATCACACCGTATCCTTCCTACAACAGCGTGTCTTTCCTACCACACCGTGTCCTTCTTATCACAACATACCCTTTCTACAACACCAACGCCTTTTCTAACGGTACTACATCATCAACTTCCTGCCACAGCGTGTCTTTCCTACCACACCGTGTCCTTCTTATCACAACATATACCCTTTCTACAACACCAACGCCTTTTCTAACGGTAGTACATCGTCAACTTCCTGCCACAGCGTGTCTTTCCTACCACACCGTGTCCTTCTTATCACAACATACCCTTTCTACAACACCAACGCCTTTTCTAACGGTAGTACATCATCAACTTCCTGCCACAGCGTGTCTTTTCTACCACACCGTGTCCCTCTTATCACAACATACCCTTACTACAACACCAACGCCTTTTCTACCGGTAGTACATCGTCAACTTCCAGCCACAGCGCGCCTTTCCTACCACACCCAATGATCACACCGTGCCCTTACTATCACAACGTATCCTTACTACCAAACTAAGGCACTTTTTACCAGTAATACATCGTAACCTTTCCTACCACAACATACCCTTACTACTGATTACCTATAAAGCAGCACTCTGTGAACAACTCACTATTTCTGCTGACCTTCTGCATTCTTCTTTCTTTGGAAAGAATATCATTGATGCTTTTCTGCTGTGAGTAAGGTCTTTAAGTGGTGGTGGCAGCATATTTTTCCATGAAACATGCAGTAGTTTGAATGCTTATTTTCTGTTATAACTGTGAGCTACAACATTGCAAATTTTTCAGCTGCACCAGCATATCATTCATATTAAAATGGATATGTGAAACTTGTAAAAGTTACCAAAACATATTCTACATAACATTTCTTATCAAATTTCAACATGGCTACAATTAAAGAAAACTGTACCAAAACAAAAATTATGGAAATAGTTAATGTGGAAAAAACAGTTTGCTAAAGATTCTAAATGAAGTTTACAATACTGAACAATACATGTTGTCAGCATGCTGTAATTTACAAATAGAAACACAGCATGCTTGCTCAAAAATGATAATTTATTCTCAAACAATTTTCGCTTTAGACAAAGATTTTCCACCATTTCTGATTGAACAGCTAATTATAAAGCCTTATTGAAAGTCTTAATGAATTATATAAGACTGCTTTCTTAGATCTCACAAAGGCTTTTGATAAAGTGAAATCAGTATGAAAGATTGCTAGGAGTATGGAATGATGACTTTAAATGAACTAAATCACATCATGTTAAAAATTAAACAATGTGTAAGATGTAGAATTAAATCCCAATCAATCACCTGCCAAGGATAGGATACAGTGGGGACAATATGGGACAATTGTCTATTGTTTCATATTGTATGTACATATAGTTTATATTGTTATCATATTCATTGTATGTAATTTAGCAGTAAGTTTTATAAAGAACATTGTTACTTGTCTGAAGAATCATTAAATATGTTTATCTTATATTCTATAATGTAACTGGAGATGCTATTTCTTCTAATCTATCATTTGTAGAAAATAAGCCATAAACATTAAAAGTAGAAGTAAGTTAAAGAAAATGAAAACAAAACCATGACACAGTCACACAGTGATTATTGATAGAATAGTTTCCAACCATGCATACTATTACAACAAGATAAATATTCAATGGCACTCAGCAAGAGGTTTAATGTGTCTCCATACAATTGCTTCTGTCATCATGAACAGAAGAATAACCAACTTTAAATGAGAATACAAATCAAGGGTAATGTTGCCAACACTGAACTATTAGCAGAATACATTTTAAAAAGTGACGGTAATTTAAGGCCACGACAATGTGTTGTAAATGATCATAGATGCAAAAATATGTTAATAATGGCCTCCCTTTGACAGAATAATGAAACAATTTATGTATGATATGAAATAGAATACATCATGACTGTTTGCTGAAAAGATTGTATCAAAAAGTCATTTTTATCCAGTACACTTTACATGGCAAATGGCGGATCGTACAAGTCACAATGTCGAAGTAAAATTTATGAAGCAAGTGGTCAATTAAAGCCATCTTTGTCAAGATGGCTTTACGTCTATCATGACAAAGATTTCTCTCAAAGAAAAAATGCATGTCCATTTCGTGGCAAACAGCAGAAATGCTAAAGTGAAAGTGGCATGTTTTCGTGATATTTGATGACGTTCTTGATATGATATCAAAATCACGCTGGGTTTTTTGACATGAATATGCGGTTTGAGCCACAGGAATTTTGTGTGAATAGTAAAATACGTATGGAATAGGTTATACCATATACCCGCCAAATCATTTTGCTTTCAAACAACAAACATTAAGTCATAATTTGAGCTCGCTCATTAGGATATAGTTACCTGAGATGACAATGCATGTGTCTTTGCTTTTTCTTTTCATGCTGATATAAGCTGCATCGGCTATGGCAAATATATGAGGCGGTCTTTCGTACAGTTCTCTTCCAGAATAATCAGCAATTTTATCTTTGCCGTAAATATCCAATGTTTTGTACGGATTTACTGACACAAGAACTTCACCAATATATGTATATATTCTTTCTTTTTTGTATCGTAATTCTAAGTTTGCCATGAAGGCATTCATTTCAATCTCATCAAGAAGAACGAAGTCTTCTTTGCCATACATTGCTCCTTCGCGAAAGGACGCCATCTTTGGTAAGTGTGTAAAACAGAACTGAAATTATACAGTAAGTTCTTGTGAATAAAACTTTACTTGTTGATGATTAGGTTCTCCGACACGACGGGAGACGATTGACATGTCATATATGTCAATATTTAACCAAAACTTCACAGTTCACCAGTGTTCACACCACACACTTTACATAACGTCGTGATTGGTTTAAAGGCACTTACTTTACTGTAATTATCGTGGTCTGAATTATTTCCTAAATTGGAAAATGCATACAAAATAAGGGTAATTATTCGAGTAGTCGATACTGGTTATGTATAAGTATCGATAAGTATCATCAATCTGTAAAACGCCCATATATATTTAAGCGACATTTTTATTATGATGGTCATAAATATTGCTCATATTTGGAAGTAGCAAAATATGTAATTAATTTGGGTAGGGAGATGATTTTGGTAGAGTGTGTTTGATAATGAGGTAACTAGGTAACGTTTTCTGAAGACAAGACAAAGGCCCAACTTGCAAACCAATGGACAACAGCCAAACATTCGGATTAATTGTGAAAACCAACAATCTTTGCAAAGATTGTTGTATCGTTTCTATTCGTATAAAATAAAGAACAAATAATTTTCGATCATAACACATCTTGGTGATATGTACGTTTATGACCATTCAAATGTTGTTGGCTTGAGCTTTATAACTATTTTAACTTACGAAAGAAAAAGAGAAGGTAAGTAGGTCGAGGGGGAGGCAAAAACACTTTAACAGCTAGAGGCAAGGATAATTTAAATTTTCAATGTTAAATTTGCTTATCGTTTCAATTTTTTCAAAACAGATACAAAAATACATGAATAGAAAAAACAACCCCTTCTAGACTTATCAGGTTAAAATACTACATTACTGCTTACAATACTGCTACATTTCTAATCTGATTGACTGGGTTCATGCTATATTATTGACAATTTTCTCAGCACATGGGAGACAATTTAACGATACTACATGATTGCTAAATCTGAATATTAACTCCCTCTCCCGTTGTTTCTGCTCGACAATTCTTGCTCTCATATCCCTAAATGATAAAACTTTGGCAGTATTGAATATTTATTAAAGTGGAACAGTATACATACTACAGTATAGTTCGTAACTTAGTATACTACACAGTTAGTAACAAACAGACTAACATTAACCACATGTCTGCTATAAAAATCATATAGATTTACATGGAATAAGAACATTATAGATTAAACTATATAGCTCGAAAGCTCAATAAAATTATTTATAAAATGCAGAGAAACTTTCATTTCTAAACAGATTAAACTATGTATTATATTTGCTTAAAGTGACAAAGAAATAATAAGTAAAAATTTTCATCTTGGGCGATGTACCAAATTATAATCATTCCACTGCGGATCGTACACTTAACTACTAAACAATAATTAAACTACAAAAATTGGCTGATAATTTCCTTTATAAAAACAAAACTAATATCGTGAAATTTCGCCCGCTGTTACATACAATCAATTTGCAAGAATGGAAAGGATTCCGCACGCTGCTTAATTTGTTTAAAAAAGTTAGGTACTTAAAATAATAATTGAAAGCAGGACTGCAGGCATTCTACTCAATTTAACATCAATGACAACTTTTAAACACAAATTAATGAGCCGAAATGCACGACAAAAGCCGTTTCGCTGTAAAATATATAAATTACATTTTAATATAAATGTAATCGACAATAGTCACAAAATATAGCTTTATTGTTCAAACCAAACTTAACTTTCAGGTGATAATTACTAAGAACGAACAGGAAGTCCACCCATTAAAAGATGATTGGTCCTAATGGAACGTCTACATCAGAATCTGAACTATTTTCATTTTCATATTCGTCACAAGAATCTTCATCATCACTATCACTATCATCATCACTAACGCTCTCATCTTCCTCAGATTCATCATCTTCCGTCTCAGATTGAGAATGATCACTTTCATTCTCTTCACCGCTCTCATCAGAAGTAAATTGTTCTGACGAATATAAAAACAAGAAAATGCAAAATACAATGTAAAAATAACGAACAATCAAAACTAAATTTAAGTTCAAAACGAGATAAAAATTTACTCTTGCTTAAATAAAGAAAAAAAGGCCAAAGGTTTGAGACTTTGAAGGCACGAAATAAACTCTACGTTATATTAAGTTCAGATATGCAGCCATTCTTACCTTCGTTAATTTTTTCCACAAGAACACTTTGATATTCAACACATACTTCATCGGAAGGATCAACACTCAAGACTACAATAAAACAATATTTTTGTGTCAAAAGAACGTTTGTGGGTTTATGTGAATTTAGACGCCCATATTGCTGGCAAAAATATGAGTTTTGATATAAAGCTAAAAAACTTTTTTCCATCGAAGGATAAATAAATAGTTGCAATGACATGTATGTTTCTGCATGATTTTATGTCCCAAGCATCTTTATTTCTGGTGAAGTTCTTTAAAAAATAACTTTTATTGCTAAAATCTTCGAAGAGTTATCTTTTGAATAACCTTTTATCCACGATTTGCAAAAAATAAAATGCTATGCACATCTCTCAATGAAACTTTTTTTTGACTGTATATATCTTTGTGCGTCACAAGTTAAAACTTTGAATTCGTAATTCAACTTTATCCATGGGCGTACTAGGCAGGGGGGGGAGGACGCGGGACGCCCCCCAAAAATTGCTTGGCTGACAATGCCAGTCGGGCGATATTTGCTAGAAAGTTGGGTAAATTAGGAATGTTGCTTTTTCTTTTCATGCTGATATAAGCTGCATCGGCTATGGCAAATATATGAGGCGGTCTTTCGTACAGTTCTCTTCCAGAATAATCGGCAATTTTATCTTTAATTAATTAAATGAGATATGATCTTCGCACTTTAGCTGGACAATTAAAGCAATCGTCTCAGGACCTGAAAAAATCAGGTGACTCAACGGGATTCGAACCCATGACCTCTGCGGTGCCGGTGCAGTGCTCTGACCAACTGAGCTATGAAGTCACACAGTGGTGATCAGGTCAATATTGTTGGGCTCATGTTTTCTCGTGAAATGAATGTCATATGAATGTTTTATGCAGTGCGGTGTTTGAAATTAAATGAGATATGATCTTCGCACTTTAGCTGGACAATTTAAGCAATCGTCTCAGGACCTGAAAAAATCAGGTGACTCAACGGGATTCGAACCCATGACCTCTGCGGTGACTCAACGGGATTCGAAGGTCATGGGTTCGAATCCCGTTGAGTCACCTGATTTTTTCAGGTCCTAAGACGATTGCTTAAATTGTCCAGCTAAAGTGCGAAGATCATATCTCATTTAATTTCAAACACCGCACTGCATAAAACATTCATAATTATATCTTTGCCGTAAATATCCAATGTTTTGTACGGATTCACTGATACAAGAACTTCACCAATATATGTATATATTCTTTCCTTTTTGTATCGTAATTCTAAGTTTGTCATGAAGGCATTCATTTCAATCTCATCTAGAAGAACGAAGTCTTCTTTGCCATACATTGCTCCTTCGCGAAAGGACGCCATCTTTGGTAAGTGTCTAAAACAGAACTGAAATTATACAGTTACTTCTTGTGAATGAAACTTTACTTGTTGATTAGGTTCTCCTACACTACGGGAGACGATTGATATGTCATATATGTCAATATTTAACCACAACTTCACAGTTAACACCACACACTTTACATAAATTTAAATAACGTCGTGATTGGTTTAAACTTGAAAGGCACTTTACAGTAATCATTGTGGTCTGAAATATTTCCTAAATTGGAAATTACACACACAAAAAGGGTAATTTATTCGAGTAGTAAATAGTAGACTCAATACTGGCCATGTAAAACCAAAACGCACAGCTACATCATGCAACAGACTAAAAAATTTTTATTATAATGGTCAAAAATATTGCCCATAATTAGAAAGAGCATATATGTAATTTATTAGAGTGTTTATATTTGTATATGTATCTTTCGCAATTAAGTGTAGCATAATTTAGCAAACATCAGTAATTATGGAAAAAAATATTTGGATTGTTGGCAAGACCACTGGGCAAGACTTCTAAACTTGTAAGTTCTAGAAGTCTGAAAAGAAGCACCAAAACTGAAAAGGGTTACAGACCTACAGTGTTACAGAATGTTCAATTTCAATTTTTATATGGTATGTGATAACGACTTCATAAGTTAAAATCAGTTAACATGTGATGTACAAATTTTTTATGCTTTGTATTTGAGAGAAAATTTGTATGCCTTGTAACTTTTAACATCATTAATGAAAATTTTTAGCTTATTTAGAGTACATTAGCATAAATTGTAAGTGCTTTAAAAGTTTGGAGACAGTGAAGATTGAATTGAAGATAACATGCACTTAGACCATCAAACTAGGGTGTATCACAAAAAACTATAATGCAACTTCAAACGATTTGGAATGTATAAAGTATACATTCATAAGATAGTTGCACTTTTCAATATCTTTTGACAGCATCAATGATTTGACGAAGACCCATTGCTTTTTTGATCAACGGTAGGATGGAATGATATTCCATTTGCCACAGGTCCTCTTAAGTTAAAACTTACTACAAAGAAAACTTTTGCATCTTTATCAAAGTCCTTACCAACCGTTCCAATTTCAGCATACTTTCCAACGTACAGTTTGATATCACCCTCTAACAACTCTATCTTGGTTGATTTTTTCTTGCCTTCGACACGGACACGTAATCTACCTGAACATTCTCTTAATTTGCGGCGTGAATCTGCCATCCAGAAATTCTTTACAACATCAGAATTCTCGACATTGTAAGATGGTACATCACTTAAAACGGCCTGGTGACTGATGAGCTGAGACATACCATTGCCATGCTTTTTCAAAAAATGAAGAGGTTGATTTCTACGACAGTGACCACGAGAAGAATCTTTAAGCTTCTCCCACAAACTCTTATACTTAGCAAAAAAGCCACTTGGACCATGTCCATTTAAGATTTGCACAAACGCTATAACCATACTATAGTAATAAACCATGGGGTCAGAAACGTCTGGTTGATCTAACCAATCACAACACACTTTCCATCCTTGTTCCAATTTATAAGTCTTTGACGGACTGTGGCCTAGAAGACATAACTGCAGAAAATGTGGAGCGAAAGTAAAATCTTTTTGAGACAAAATCATGTCTTCCAAGAGTTTCATAAGTTCTTTCATATCGTCGTTCGTAAATGAGGGTACATCTCGATAGTATAAGGACAAAAGAATTCTGGTTCTAACACGCTTCGATTCCTTCCAACTAATTGGAGATAATCTTGGGCTAAAATCAAGATTCAGCAAATGTTCAGAGATGTTGCGACGGCGATTACGGTGTCGAAGAATACCTGGTTGAACTGCATTTATTAGTGATATAGAAAGTTCGTTGGCACGATCACGTATTTCGTCAGCATCAGCAATTATAGTCACTGACAAAACAATTTTATTAACAATTTCTAGGAGATAAAAACAATCACCAATACAAGTGCGAAAAAACGAAGGCGCTTGGTTGATGATAAATTTGACAGCTTCTTCTGCATCACTATTATGATTTTCAATAATCCATTCAATACATATAATCCAAACTTCTACTTCTCCAAGAAGTGGCGATGGTAAAGTTGGAGGGAAGTCTCTTGCAGCACGGAATGCAAGAAGAGCTTTTTCTGCCATATTTTCAAGATGTTCAATGTCCTTCACTTTTTTTTGATGGAACATGTACTTAAGTTCAAGAGAATGAACGACACCTTTGCTGTCCTGGATACTCTTCACTCTGCCATAAGTTTCGGACAATTTTATACCAGCAGCAACAATTTCCTCGGCTTCTTTAAATCTGGGCGGTCTCATTTTAGCGTAATAACGAGCAGCAAGACCATATGCTCTTGGATCAGGAATAATTTCGGCAGCTTTGCGAAGGGCAGAGGCCGCTTTTTTTGCATTATTCTTTTTTAACTCTGCGATAAGAACAGAAAAGCGAAGTTTTCTGTTGCCACCTCGGTTGAAAAGAAACAAATCGCAGTAAAGAGCAACATACTTTTTTATGTTTGGTACATTGCAATTCAGAAAATCGAATACGTATTTGTACAACTTTATCTTCTTTGACTCAAGATATTTTTCAAAAAGTAGAGTGGCAACAACATGATGTTGTAGGGTATAGTTCGTAAGTGCTTCTTCAGGCTCTTGCCTTCGTTGACCTTCCAAGACATACCTTAATCGCTCCGAATCACTGTTCCTTCGGTGGGCAGCTGCGTTTTGTCTTTTCTTCTGCAGAACCATAAGATTTAGTAGGTTGTGCGAAAAGCAGTTTTTGATATCTTCATACGTAACATAAACTCCTTTGTTTATTGACAGTTGAGATTCAAATACTTCGTACAAGAGCGTCGCAGGGGTGGGTTGTTCAGCGTAAAGCTGTAAAAATGCAACAAATGCCGCAATGTCTTTTTCAAGCTCATTCAGCTCTTTCAGAGTGTTAGCAATTATCTCTTCTAGCTTCTCACGGAATTCAGTGATCATTGAAAGTAAAGGGAAGTGAAATACGCGTCGAGCATTGTTCAGTTTTGTAAAATCGGGATTGTTTATTTCTTTGAACTTATCTTTAAATTCGCGAAGGTCACTCTGAGTTTTGTCTAAGCAAGCATCAACATGAAAAACCTGACGAACATGGGCATTATTATTGGGTTTTGCTCCTCGATGGCATTCGAGAATTATAGCTTTTTTGCCACGGTTGTTGAGAGTCCGTACGACGCGATTGCTTAATGCATGTATTCTCCACTGACAATGACCATCAATCAAAATGACTGGCGGTGTCCCACATTGATCTTCTATAAACGAAATCCGCGACGACAGTTCACCTATAAAGTTAGAGTCTTCGTCAAACTCAGCCTGAGTTGATAATCGGACGGAGGCACAAGGGAATGAATCGTGAAGATCCCAAAGCACCCTTCTTGCAATTGTTGATCCACCAGTACCAGGAGGGTGGGCAATTTGAACAATTCCACTTTGCTTTATCATTTGATTTAACATACGTTGGATATATACCATTATATCCATCTCAATTTTGCGCTTGGCATCATGGGTGAAAAACAGACTAAGAAACGAAATAAGATTGCCAGACAAAAAACTTCTTCGATGTTCTTCTTCATTTTCTTTTGATTCTTTTTCATCGCCATTGACACAAATGTATTCGTTTTGACAATTAATGTAAAACAACTCTAAGTACTCATTAATGTAGACGTAATCTTTTTGTGAAAATGGAGCACGTACTCCTGACTGGAAACATGGCATTTGGTACTTTAAAGGTTCTTCACCAACGTTCAAAAGGCTTCTAACACCATTCTTTACTTCTGTAGAAGACAATTGAAAGTTTTCAACTTGTTTTAAGAAGGTTAAAGGTTTCGTTAAATTTCCAATGAATGCAAAAGATAAATCCACACGAGAAAAACTTTCTTTGAAACGCCTAAGAGTGACTTCTATGAAAGGAAATGTAGTTGGAGAAATAGGTAAAACAAGACATCTGATTGGTTTGTGTACATCAAACATATCACCAAACGCACAACAAGCAAAAAACATCGTTATACTATTCACGGAATTTTGTTCCCAAATGTGAAATGGTTTCGGCTTATTATCTTCAGCATCATCTGTACGACCATTTGCGAACAACCACTGCGTTTTTTTTATATCAAATTGCTTTGACAATCCATGAATTCCTATTTTGGCCAATAAAGATGAAATTTCTCCTGGAGTGTACATAGATAAGAACTGCATGAGGCAGGCTTGTGAGTTAAATATGTTATACAAACCACCATCTTCCGAGCTGGGATTAAAGTCGACTACCACTTTCCAAGGAACCGCTGCAAGAACCTTAAAGTTCTCGAGATCTTCTCTCGAGATAACATCAGCAAATAATACAAATTGAGTTTGAGAAGTATTAAATTCATTCATCTGAGAGCAGAGCTTGAGCCAATCATCCCACTGTGGAGTGGATTTAAGGTCTTCGCAATCTTTTTCTTTTGATTTCGAGCTTGCTTCAACCATAGTTATGATATCTTTATGACAATCGGCCAATGTTCGGAAAGCAATTTCTTCCAAGAATGACTGACGATAGTACTCAAGGCTTCTTTCAGTCCAATCTGTTGAAAAAATCTTTTTACTAAGTCTTTGTTATGCGTTCTAATTCTTAGTTTAACAATTCGTAAAAATATGCAAGATGAAAAAGGCAACGTTAATAGAGAACAGTACATTGTAGGGGAAAGCATTGGGAATGACGTGATTTTGAGCGGAAAAAGGTATGACTATAGAAGATCAAGCTTGGTGTTTTCTACATCTAAGAGTCAAATACATACACGAGTAAAAGTTACCTGTTAGTGTTTTGTTGATTTCTTCCTCTGAAGCTCCAATTGCAACAAGATTAAACTTGAGCTGTTCCCAATTTTTTTTGAAATCTTCATCGCTCATTTTTACATTGCTTGCGTGTGCGATGTACAGGTTTCTCATTTCCTGTATATCACGCAATGTAAAATCAACACCCTTACGGCTCACTTCATTAGAGCAGACTGTTGAAAATCTGAGAACATTAACAAGAAGTGATACATCCCACTCTTCAATGTTTCCCTTATAGAACTGAGTCTCTTGATGTTTTTGTAGCTTAAGCGCACCTTTCTTCAAAGCACTTGCGTCACTTGGCTGATTACTCCAGTTTTTATGAATGGATAAGAATAATTGACGTAAAGCTGAGGCTCCGACACCCATCATTAATCGAATAAGTCGAGCAAAGTTCCTCCTAAATACAAACATTTACTACTTAAACTTACCGAAAACGTAAACACTAAAAGTTTTGAAAAATAAATAGGAATAAATGTTTTCTTACTCTTCTCTAACTTTTCCATCAGTCACTTCGCTGTCAATACAATAATTAGCTGCACCTATAACAATAAAAACATCAAACATAGTTTTTTGTATCATCAAACATGAAACATATACTAAGCTATTCGAAAATTTACTCTTAACATATTAGGCCGAGAAACAAACCCAAAAATGGTACAAACGCAGGTATATGACTGCCTAGTGTGTTTCAGGCTTTAGTGCACAAACAGACGCTGAAATATAACACCACAGCTGTCTTTACTTTTAACACAATAATCAGGAGTGAAGAATAAGCGTAAATTAAGGTTGTGTGTAAAGAAATGACGATTCAGCAGCAAATGGCCACTTGCGTCGATTATATAAAGGGATTCCTGTCAAATGAAAGCAACATAGTACGTGAATTCTCAGATTTTGTGAAAGAACATTTTCCTGATGCTGGAGGATTTAATACTATCACCATCGAATGTTTATGCCGACCGAAAGCATGTCATAAAAGATGTATCATTATAGACGTAATGGTTGAACAAGCAGTACAAGTAGTACATACGGTATGAAATTTTGATCTAAAAATGTTTTATCCACGAAAAAGTTTGGAAATCTTACTCAACTGTTATTTCTCAAGTGAACCTACATTTATTGAAGATTATCTAGCGTGGTATGATACAGAAGAAAATCCGCATTTTCATTTGCTTTCATTTGAAATGGCAATGAAACCTCATTAAACAACACTTAATTTGCAATTATAGAAAAATGTAATTTCGACAAAAAGTTGAATTCAAAAATTGGTTTCGTCTAACACCAAAAAACGAAAAACAAAATTTGAATGAAAAACGAAAAGCGAATCTTGGATTCGATTTTTAATTTTAGCGTAAAACGCACGGCGAAATGGTGCACGCATTTATTTCACACCCACCATTATAAGTATCTTGAACTTCTAATTCAGCGAATTTTAAGTTTGCCAGTTCTTTCGAAGTGCCGTTTTTTACATTAACTAAATAATGCTGTCTGAAAATGTTATATAACCTACCTACTTCTTGTATTTGCTCCTCACGCTTATATTCATTTGTTTCATTTTCAACTGAGCTTTCAGCACCAAATTCTCTGTTGCTCACATCTTGGGAAAAATCCACAATACATAAGTATCTTGAACTTCTAATTCAGTGAATTTTAAGTTTACCAGTTCTTTCGAAGTTCCGTTTTTTACATTAACTTAATAATGCTGTTTGAAAATGTTATATTACCTACCTACTTGTATTTGCTCCTCACGCTTATATTCATTTGTTTCATTTTCAACTGAGCTTTCAGCACCAAATTCTCTGTTGCTCACATCTTGGGAAAAATCCACAATACATAAGTCTACATTATTCACTCTGTAACATATAGTTACATTGCTTCATCTTCCCAAGCAACTACTTGCAAAAACCATAAAACCGCCACAAGGGCCAATTTATATGAAATCTGTAACTGACTATTGTTTGTAGACAAAATTATAATAGCCCACGAAGGTTTCTCATACAGTTTTCTGAAAAGGACTATTATTTACTTGTTGAAATTCACAAATTTATATTTCGTGTCTTCCATGCATATTATATCAGGACTTATCTGTAAAGTAAAGCAAATGTTTACTTTACCAGGAGAGTAGCCAGCCTCTGTTAATCCGTAATTATCAGATGAATCATTTTCATTAGAAGCTGTATTTGAACCAGAAAATTGTGACAAGCGTCTCTGTCTTTCCTTTCTTTTTTTCCTTTTAGAACTTCCAGACTTCGGCATTCTTTTTTTTGAAAACAGGACACACAATATACTAGAATAAAAAGGTACATTCAGTCCCAAGCCTGGACAAATACAGAGGATTGCGTCAGGAGAGAGAGAAAAAAAGAGTATCAATATTAATTACAACATTAATTAATTAACAAAAAGCAATTTTTTTTAACATTATAACGTATTGAAACAGAAAACGATTTCAATAAAACTAATAATTTTTTTCTAACATGGCAATGATGGCAGCATGTACTTTGTGTCATGTTTTCCAGTAGCATACATGTAGGAATATGAAACCCCTAGTAGGAAATTTGACAATTTTGAACTGTATGTATTTAGAGAATGAGCAGCGAACACATTACTGCTGAATATGTAAAATAATTTTAGGTTTTTATCTTTCCAACAACCGTGCCAAACAAAGGGAATACAATTATACGATGACTTCTATGATCGGTTAAATGATACGAAAAAAGATTGATTTCATGTAAAATGATTTATACAGATTGATAATGCAAAGAAAGAAGTCGATATGGAAAGGATGTGCTACACTAATAGGTTAGAGTTATCAAAGACAGAAATGGAAATGTATTGATAGACACTGGAAATATGATAAGATGCCAAGAGTACTCAAATAGTTGATGGATGAGGACAATGAGAGCTAAGAGTGGAGGAGATGTGCAAGTTCTAGACCAAGAGTTTGCAAACTTTTGATGTTGGAAAAAGAGAAGTTAAAATAGTATTACACAAGGAATCAGCCTTGAGCCCTTAATTTTGCTTGTTTGCAAATGACAGGGTAAATGGCATGAAGCAAAGTGTCATGTGTGCTGCATGATAAAAGAGTATCAGCAAGAGTACGATTTGCAAGACCAGTGTTTTGAGACAATTGCAATAAAGAAAAGGCAGGAGGAAGAGCCGGAAGCTGCAGAGATGAAGATGCTGAGGTTCTTTTCAGGAGTGACCCAATTAGACGGAATCAGGAGTAAATCAGAGGTACACTAAAGCATAGGTCTATTGGTATTGCAGAGAATTCTTACATGATTTGGTCATGCACATAGGAGAGATAATGAATACATAGGTAGGATGTGCTGGGTTTAGAACTGCCAGTTAAAAGGCTTAGAGGAAGATCAAATAGGAAATATAATGATTTATGAAAAAAAGACATGTAAATAGGTAGTTTGTGACAAAAAGGAGAGAAGCAAAAGAAGAGAGAGTGCTATCAGTTTTCATTTTCACATGAATCAAAATCAGTTAAGGCACTGACAATTACACTGACATCAGTTAACATTAATCTATATTTAAGAGAAAGCTACAGTACAGCTCCAGAATTTTTGTCTACTTGATAACAGTTAATTTCTCGAACATTCCCAATAAAAGTTCTCAGCCAACTATAATAAGTAAAAAAAACTTGTTTTGAAAAAAAGTGCTGAACTCGATTTTCACGTGATGTTTTTATCCTGGGTAGCCGAGATTTGACGAAGCATTAAATGTTTTCGCAAATTGAAACGATTCAATATTCGTCAGGTAATAAATATACTTGAGTATTTTTAATACAGAAATGCAAACAACATGCAAAATGATAACAAATAATTTGTATCAGCTTCACGAATTACAACAGGAAATTGAAGGGCGTATAACAAAAAGCTTTTACTACAACTCAAGTATTTGCGACTTTAATATTTCAATGTTCACGTCACGCAGGATTCAGCTAGCTACAAAGCCTCATTTAAACAACTTAACAGTTGAGAAATTAACAAAAAATATTTCCCAGCCCTGTGCTTATGGTTGGGTTGTCTAACGTAAGGCAATAACGAAATGTTGCTATTTGCCGAATGCGAATGTTTTCAGTCATGTGAAAAGCGGAATTACGTTAAATGGCAATACATTATTTTTTATACAGATTCAACAATTTTAAATTATTTCAAGTACTTTCAAAAGTTGCAACAAATATACTCAACCAGAAATATAGAATTACGTAAACATGTAGATTAAAGAGAACTATTGGCAGGAAACGTTCGATTCAGTTGCGTGTTCTTGCAAATTTTTAGTATACTTACCTTTCATTTAAATAATTATAACACTCTGCTTAATATGGTGATAATGATGGATATCAAATTTAAAAAAAGAGCAAGAAAGCAAAACTTTCTAACTTGGACCAGAGCCCTCTATAGTATAAGAGTTGGGACCAATGATCTACCCAGAGGATTGGGTATAAGTCATTGGTTGGGACATCTATTGTTATCCGTTTAGCTTACGTTGATTGGGCAATATTGATCACCTGATCAATTTCCGCCATTTTGGTTCCTAGTTTTGAAATTTTAGCTTGTGTTTATATAGCAATTGCTGCTAGTAATACAGTATTTTGAGATAATATTGCGTTTTTTTATGGATAAGTGTGTAATAACTGATTGTTGAAGGCTACTAAATGTCATTACATATCGCATAAATCGAGGATTACGAGAAAAAAGGAAAGAAATGCCTTTACGTCGAACTTACGAAATTTGATTGCGTATGGTGATTGTTGTGCTGAACTGCTTTTGATATAAGGTTCAATTAACTGACTCAAGTAGAGAAACATTTTTGGGCCAAATAACATTGCAAAGTTCGTGCTGATGCAGTTTCAATAGTTTTCTTACTCCAAAGCTTGTTTTTTAATCGAAGATGATTTCTCATTATGTTCTGAAATTGGTCAATCTACAAACCTCTCAATTCTCAGCCACTTCCATACTAAAACAACTACACCAAATCACAGAAACTCTTACGATTTTCCATGTTGTATTTTGTATTTTTAGTTCATCATTTAAAAATGAAGTAATTATAATTAGGATATTCAATGAAATTGAGTACAATATATTTTTGGTATTGAATTGTACAAATGTACCCTACTTCCATAGCTCAAAGTAGAACATTACTTCTCTTCTAGACTTGTTGATGATATTTTAATTGTAGGTTTTGGTTTATAAGATCACAGAGGCATATCTCCATAATTTCAGCTATTTGGGCTTTATAATGTATATTACAACTGTTGCTGCCTTTCTCATATATATTAAAATATTGCTGGCTTTCTCATATATATTTAGGTGCTGCTAGCTTTTTGATATATATATTTCACTGGCAATACAAGGCATAGAATTTGAACAAACGGGGCTGAGCTCCCTCCAACACACCCCTGTTTGATCATTAAACACATATAGAAGTTTTGTCATTCCTCAACCAATAAATTTAACTCTTTGCTAAATTAAAGATTGGATCAGACTCATATGCTGTATAAAAGACTACAAACAGTAGCACTTATAGCAAACAGACTGTTCTTCAACAACAGAAATGTTTCATATTATAGAAATAATATATTCATTTTAAAGAAATGCTTCACCAAAATTTTCAGCAGAATCCCTAACAAACTTTATTAGAAATAAACTTTAATACTTTATAAAGTGATAAAGGCGAAATAACTTCATATACAGGAATAAAACGTTTAAGGTCAAATGCATCTTGGTCAAATCATTGCATATTTCAATAACTAAAAAGTAAAAAAGTCTGTCATTTTCTGCTGAGCAAGAAAATTTTGTGATCTTTCAGAATAAAAAATATCATGCTTGGATTAAATTGGGGGGGATAAACCACTCACTACCATTAAATTGTTACAAATCTTGAACACAAATCTCTCCGGACCAAATCTGCATGATTACTATGATTCAAAGATTCGAACAAAGTCTTGTCCAAGTATTTGATAACACTGATGCCATGATAACATTGCCGCTTGCCACCAAGCTTAAAGATCTTGAAAACTTGTTACAGAGTTGGAACATAAGCCGAGAAAACACGTTCACGTACGAAAAATACTTCTTACAATGGGTCACGATCAATTTGAAGCACGAACTAGTAAACCGCAAACGAAGATCAAACCAATGAAATTAAATCAGGTCTGCCGCAAATCGTTAAAAAAACGCAAAGAGCTTGCTATTATTCCTAACATATTTGATACTACCATGGAATAAGCTTAAATTGCTTTCTTCTTTTGCATATAAACCCAATTTCCAATAGTATTATTATAGTTTCACTTTGCAAGTAGGAACCAAAATGGCGGCTCCGCGCTCGCCCCAGACCGTTTGTCCCAACTCTTATACTATAGAGGGCTCTGACTTGGACAACTCACATCCCTTCGTTTCGACTTCCAGTTCCTGGTAAAATAATTTATTCCAAGAATAATGTATCTTGATTGAAAGGGGAGTCCAAAAACAACATGTCATTCAGGGCTCATCATTTCACAAGGTAATGCGTTTTTTATTTTGCTAAAATTTTGACAGTTTTAAAGAATCTGGACAAAAGTAAACTATTCATTGGTAATATTTTTATTAGTAATACATTTTTCAAACTTTAAAAATTTTCTGTAAAGTTTGTGTTTATATTCAAGTAACCATTAAAGTGGTTGTAACTATTGTTGGCAATAAGTAGTTACAAGTTTTCCTGTGCGAAGAGCAGAGGCGAATTTTTACAGTGATTGAACCCATAATAGAGTAAAAAACAGGCTGGCTTCGTAACTGAGGAGGAGGGTGCGTTCTCTCCTGATATGAAGGGAAGCCTGTTTGTACATTGCATTCATTTTCTATCTTCAATACTCAAGCCACTCGCGTGACTCATCGTGCTTCTTAAAATAAGAAGTAATAGAAGTCAAGATTTAGAAAAATTTCTCATAAGGCTTGGTAGAAAGCTACTGAGTAGATTAATTCATAATTGTCACAAGCATTGACAATGAGACAGAGCTGGTCTTTGGTTGTACTAAAATGTTGCTGACATACGTAAGTTGCATGTACGGTGATGTATACGACAATCAAAAAGCTACACAACACTAGTTGACGCACGATAAACAATAGAATCTATTGGGAGGAAAGATAAACACACATACTATTGGGCATTTAGCAGTCAATCGTAAAAAGTACAGTATAGTAAAGATCATTGACAGTTATAACTGTCAGGTGATAATTACTAAGAACGAACAGGAAGTCCACCCATTAAAAGATTGATTGGTCCTAATGGAACGTCTACATCAGAATCTGAACTATTTTCATTTTCATATTCGTCGCAAGAATCTTCATCATCATCACTATCACTATCATCATCACTATTGCTCTCATCTTCCTCAGATTCATCATCTTCCGTCTCAGATTGAGAATGATCACTTTCATTCTCTTTACCGCTCTCATCACAAGTAAATTGTTCTGACGAATATAAAAACAAGAAAATGCAAAATACAATGTAAAAATAACGAACAATAAAAACTAAATTTAAGTTCAAAACGAGATAAAAATTTATTCTTGCTCAAATAAAGAAAAAATGGCCATAGGTTTGAGACTTTGAAGGCACGAAATAAACCCATCTATACTCTACGTTATATTAAGTTCAGATATGCAGCCATTCTTACCTTCATTAATTTTTTCCACAAGAACATTTTGATATTCAACACGTACTTCATCGGAAGGATCAACACTCAAGACTACAATAAAACAATATTTTTGTGTCAAAAGAACTTTTGTGGGTTTATGTAAATTTAGACGCCCATATTGCTGGCAAAAATATGAGTTTTGATATAAAGCTAAAAAAATTTTTTCCATCGAAGGATAAATAAATAGCTGCAATGACATGTATGTTTCTGCATGATTTTATGTCCCAAGCATCTTTATTTCTGGTAAAGTTCTTTAAAAAATAACTTTTGTTGCTAAAATCTTCGAAGAGTTATCTTTTGAATAACCTTTTATCCACAATTTGCAAAAAATGAAATACAAATGAAATGCTATGCACATCTCTCAATGAAACTTTTTTTGACTGTATATATCTTTGTGCGTCACAAGTTAAAACTATGAATTCGTAATTCAACTTTATCCATGGGCGTACTAGGCAGGGGGGGGGAGGACGCGGCACACCTCCCCAAAAAAATGTTTGGCTGACAATGCCAGTCGGGCGATGTTTGCTAGAAAGTTGGGTAAATTAGGAATGTTGCTTTTTCTTTTCATGCTGATATAAGCTGCATCGGCTATGGCAAATATATGAGGCGATCTTTCGTACAACTCTCTTCCAGAATAATCGGCAATTTTATCTTTGCCGTAAATATCCAATGTTTTGTACGGATTCACTGACACAAGAACTTCACCAATATATGTATATATTCTTTCTTTTTTGTATCGTAATTCTAAGTTTGCCATGAAGGCATTCATTTCAATCTCATCAAGAAGAACGAAGTCTTCTTTGCCATACATTGCTCCTTCGCGAAAGGACGCTATCTTTGGTAAGTGTGTAAAACAGAACTGAAATTATACAGTTCTTGTGAATAAAACTTTACTTGTTGATGATTAGGTTCTCCGACACGACGGGAGACGATTGACATGTCATATATGTTAATATTTAACCAAAACTTCACAGTTAACACCACACACTTTACATAAATAAGTAACGTCGTGATTGGTTTAAACTTGAAAGGCATTTTACAGTAATCATTGTGGTCTGATATATTTCCTAAATTGGAAAATGCATAAAAAATAATGGTAATTTATTCGAGTAATCAATACTAGACTCAATACTGGCCATGTAAAACCAAACGCACTGCTACATCATGCAACAGACTAAAAAATTTTTATTACAATGGTCAAAAATATTGCCCATAATTAGAAAGAGCATATATGTAATTTATTAGTGTTTATATTTGTATATGTATCTTTCGCAATTAAGTGTAGCATAATTTAGTAAACATCAGTAATTATGGAAAAAAATATTTGGATTGTTGGCAAGACCACTGGGCAAGACTTCTAAACTTGTAAGTTCTAGAAGTCTGAAAAGAAGCACCAAAAACTGAAAAGGGTTACAGACCTACAGTGTTACAGAATGTTCAATTTCAATTTTTACATATGTGATAACGACTTCATAAGTTAAAATCAGTTAACATGTGATGTACAAATTTTTTATGCTTTGTATTTGAGAGAAAATTTGTATGCCTTGTAACTTTTAACATCATTAATGAAAATTTTTAGCTTATTTAGAGTACATTAGCATAAATTGTAAGTGCTTTAAAAGTTTGGAGAAAGTGAAGATTGAATTGAAGATAACACGCACTTAGACCATCAAACTAGGGTGTATCACAAAAAACTAATGCAACTTCAAACGATTTGGAATGTATAAAGTATACATTCATAAGATAGTTGCACTTTTCAATATCTTTTGACAGCCTCAATGATTTGACGAAGACCCATTGCTTTTTTGATCAACGGTAGGATGGAATGATATTCCATTTGCCACAGGTCCTCTTAAGTTAAAACTTACTACAAAGAAAACTTTCGCATCTTTATCAAAGTCCTTACCAACCGTTCCTATTTCAGCATACTTTCCAACGTACAGTTCGATATCACCCTCTAACAACTCTATTTTGGTTGATTTTTTCATGCCTTCGACACGGACACGTAATCTACCTGAACATTCTCTTAATTTGCGGCGTGAATCAGCCATCCAGAAATTCTTTACAACATCAGAATTCTCGGCATTGTAAGACGGTACATCACTTAAAAGAGCCTGGTGACTGATGAGCTGAGACATACCACTGCCATGCTTTTTCAAAAAATGAAGAGGTTGGTTTCTACGACAGTGACCACGAGAAGAATCTTTAAGCTTCTCCCACAAACTCTTATACTTAGCAAAAAAGCCACTTGGACCATGTCCATTTAAGATTTGCACAAACGCTATAACCATACTATAGTAATAAACCATGGGGTCAGAAACGTCTGGTTGATCTAACCAATCACAACACACTTTCCATCCTTGTTCCAATTTATAAGTCTTTGACGGATTGTGGCCCAGAAGACATAACTGCAGAAAATGTGGAGCAAAAGTAAAATCTTTTTGAGACAAAATCATGTCTTCCAAGAGTTTCATAAGTTCTTTCATATCGTCGTTCTTAAATGATGGTACATCTCGATAGTATAAGGACAAAAGAATTCTGGTTCTAACACGCTTCGATTCCTTCCAACTAATTGGAGGTAATCTTGGGCTAAAATCAAGATTCAGCAAATGTTCAGAGATGTTGCGGCGGCGATTACGGTATCGAAGAATACCTGGTTGAACTGCTTTTATTAGTGATATACGAAATTCGTTGGCACGATCACGTATTTCGTCAGCATCAGCAATTATAGTCACTGACAAAACAATTTTATCAACAATTTCTAGGAGATAAAAACAATCACCAATACAAGTGCGAAAAAACGGAGGCGCTTGGTTGATGATAAATTTGACAGCCTCTTCCGCATCACCATTATGATTTCCAATAATCCATTGAATACATATAATCCAAACTCCTACTTCTCCAATAAGTGGCGATGCAAAGGTTGGAGGGAAGTCTCTTGCAGCACGGAATGCAAGAAGGGCTTTATCTGCCATATTTTCAAGATGTTCAATGTCCTTCACTTTTTTTTGATGGAACATATACTTAAGTTCAAGAGAATGAACGACACCTTTGCTGTCCTGGATACTCTTCACTCTGCCATAAGTTTCGGACAATTTTATACCAGCAGCAACAAGTTCCTCGGCTTCTTTAAATCTGGGCGGTCTCATTTTAGCGTAATAACGAGCAGCATGACCATATGCTCTTGGATCAGGAATAATTTCGGCGGCTTTGCGAAGGGCAGAGGCCGCTTGTTTTGCATTATTCTTTTTTAACTCTGCGATAAGAACAGAAAAGCGAAGTTTTCTGTTGCCACCTCGGTTGAAAAGAAACAAATCGCAGTAAAGGGCAACATACTTTTTTATGTTTGGTACATTGCAATTCAGAAATTCGAATACGTATTTGTACAACGTTATCTTCTTTGACTCAAGATATTTTTCAAAAAGTATAGTGGCAACAACATGATGTTGTAGGGTATAGTTCGTAAGTGCTTCTTCAGGCTCTTGCCTTCGTTGACCTTCCAAGACATACCTTAATCGCTCCGAATCACTGTTCCTTCGGTGGGCAGCTGCGTTTTGTCTTTTCTTCTGCAGAACCATAAGATTTAGTAGGTTGTGCGAAAAGCAGTTTTTGATATCTTCATACGTAACATAAACTCCTTTGTTTATTGACAGTTGAGATTCAAATACTTCGTACAAGAGCGTCGCAGGGGTGGGTTGTTCAGCGTAAAGCTGTAAAAATGCAACAAATGCCGCAATGTCTTTTTCAAGATCATTCAGCTCATTCAGAGTGTCAGCAACTATCTCTTCTAGCTTCTCACGGAATTCAGTGATCATTGAAAGTAAAGGGAAGTGAAATACGCGTCGAGCATTGTTCAGTTTTGTAAAATCGAGATTGTTTATTTCTTTGAACTTATCTTTAAATTCGCGAAGGTCACTTTGAGTTTCCTCTAAGCAAGCATCAACATGAAAAACCTGATGAACATCGGCATTATCATTGGGTTTTGCTCCTCGATGGCATTCGAGAATTATAGCTTTTTTGCCACGGCTGTTGAGAGTCCGTACGACGCGATTGCTCAATGCATGTATTCTCCACTGACGGTGACCATCAATCAAAATGACTGGTGGTGTCCCACATTGATCTTCTATAAACGAAATCCGCGACGAAAGTTCACCTATAAAGTTAGAGTCTTCGTCAAACTCAGCCTGAGTTGATAATCGGACGGAGGCACAAGGGAATGAATCGTGAAGATTCCAAAGCACCCTTCTTGCAATTGTTGATCCACCAGTACCAGGAGGGTGGGCAATTTGAACAATTCCACTTTGCTTTATCATTTGATTTAACATACGTTGGATATGTACCATTATATCCATCTCAATTTTGCGCTTGGCATCATGGGTAAAAAACAAACTAAGAAACGAAATAAGATTGCCAGACAAAAAACTTCTTCGATGTTCTTCTTCATTTTCTTTTGATTCTTTTTCATCGCCATTGGCACAAATGTATTCGTTTTGACAATCAATGTAAAACAACTCTAAGTACTCATTAATGTAGACGTAATCTTTTTGTGAAAATGGAGCACGCACTCCTGACTGGAAACATGGCATTTCGTACTTTAAAGGTTCTTCACCAACGTTCAAAAAGCTTCTAACGCCATTCTTTACTTCTGTAGAAGACAATTGAAAGTTTTCAACTTGTTTTAAGAAGGTTAAAGGTTTCGTTAAATTTCCAATGAATGCAAAAGATAAATCCACACGAGAAAAACTTTCTTTGAAACGCCTAAGAGTGACTTCTATGAAAGGAAATGTAGTTGGAGAAATAGGTAAAACAAGACATCTGATTGGTTTGTGTACATCAAACATATCACTAAACGCACAACAAGCAAAAAACATCGTTATACTATTCACGGAATTTTGTTCCCAAATGTGAAATGGTTTTGGCTTATTATCTTCAGCATCATCTGTACGACCATTTGCGAACAACCACTGCGTTTTTTTTATATCAAATTGCTTTGACAATCCCTGAATTCCTATTTTGGCCAATAAAGATGAAATTTCTCCCGGAGTGAACGCAGATAAGAACTGCATGAGGCAGGCTTGTGAGTTGAATATGTTATACAAACCATCATCTTCCGAGCTGGGATTAAAGTCGACTACCACTTTCCACGGAACCGCTGCAAGAACCTTAAAGTTCTCGAGATCTTTTCGAGACATAACATCAGCAAACAATACAAACTGAGTTTGAGAAGAATTAAATTCATTCATCTGAGAGCAGAGCTTGAGCCAATCATCCCACTGTGGAGTGGATTTAAGGTCTTCGCAATCTTTTTCTTTTGATTTCGAGCTTGCTTCAACCATAGTTATGATATCTTTATGACAATCATCGGCCAATGTTCGGAAAGCAATTTCTTCCAAGAATGACTGACGATAGTACTCAAGGCTTCTTTCAGTCCAATCTGTTTAAAAAATCTTTTTACTAAGTCTTTGCTATGCGTTCTAATTCTTAGTTTAACAATTCGTAAAAATATGCAAGATGAAAAAGGCAACGTTAATAGAGAACAGTACATTGTAGGGGATAGCATTGGTAATGACGTGATTTTGAGAGGAAAAAGGTATGACTATAGAAGATCAAGCTTGGTGTTTTCTACATGTAAACGTCAAATATATACACGAATAAAAGTTACCTGTTAGTGTTTTGTTGATTTCTTCCTCTGAAGCTCCAATTGCAACAAGATTAAGCTTGAGCTTTTCCCAATGTTTTTTGAAATCTTCATCGCTCATTTTCTCATTGTTTGCGTGTGCGATGTACAGGTTTCTCATTTCCTGTATATCACGCAATGTAAAATCAACACCCTTACGGCTCACTTCATTAGAGCAGACTGTTGAAAATCTGAGAACACTAACAAGAAGTGATACATCCCACTCTTCAATGTTTCCCTTATAGAACTGAGTCTCTTGATGTTTTTGTAGCTTAAGAGCACCTTTCTTCAAAGCACTTGCGTCACTTGGCTGATTACTCCAGTTTTTATGAATGGATAAGAATAATTGACGTAAAGTTGAGGCTCCGACACCCATCAATAATCGAATAAGTCGAGCAAAGTTCCTCCTAAATACAAACATCTACTTCTTAAACTTACCGGAAACGTAAACACTAAAAGTTTTGAAAAATAAATAGGAATAAATGTTTTCTTACTCTTCTCTAACTTTTCCATCAGTCACTTCGCTGTCAATACAATTATTAGCTGCACCTATAACAATAAAAACATCAAATATAGCTTTTTGTAACATCAAACATGAAACATATACTAAGCTATTCGAAAATTTACTCTTAACATATTAGGCCGAGAAACAAACCCAAAAATGGTACCAACGCAGGTATATGACTGCCTAGTGTGTTTGAGGCTTTAGTGCACAAACAGACGCTGAAATATAACACCATAGCTGTCTTTACTTTTAACACAATAATCAGGAGTGAAGAATAAGCGTAAATTAAGGTTGTATGTAAAGAAATGACGATTCAGCAGCAAAATGGCCACTTGCGTCGATTATATAAAGGATTTCTGTCAAATGAAAGCAACATAGTACGTGAATTCTCAGATTTTGTGAAAGAACATTTTCCTGATGCTGGAGGATTCAATACTATCACCATCGAATGTTTATGCCGACCGAAAGCATGTCATAAAAGATGTATCATTACAAACGAAATGCTTGAACAAGCAGTACAAGTAGTACATACGGTATGATGAAATTTTGATCTAAAAATGTTTTATCCACGAAAAAGTTTGGAAATCTTACTCAACTATTATTTCTCAAGTGAACCTACATTTATTGAAGATTATCTAGCGTGGTATGATACAGAAGAAAATCCGCACTTTCACTTGTTTCATTTGAAATGGCAATGAAACCCCATTAAACAACACTTAACTTCCAATGATAGAAAAATGTAATTTCGACAAAAAGTTGAATTCAAAAATTGGTTTCGTCTAACACCAAAAAACAAGAAACAAAATTTGAATGAAAAACGAAAAGCGAATCTTGGATTCGATTTTTAATTTTAGCGTAAAACGAACGGCGAAATGGTGCACGCATTTATTTCACACCCACCATTATAAGTATCTTGAACTTCTCAATCAGTGAATTTTAAGTTTGCTAGTTCTTTCGAAGTTCCGTTTTTTACATTAACTTAATAATGCTGTCTGAAAATGCTATATTACCTACCTACTTCTTGTATTTGCTCCTCACGCTTATATTCATTTGTTTCATTTTCAACTGAGCTTTCAGCACCACATTCTCTGTTGCTCACATCTTGGGAAAAATCTACAATACATAAGTTTACATTATTCACTCTGTAACACATAGTTACATTGCTTCATCTTCCCAAGCATCTACTTGTAAAAACCATAAAACCGCCACAAGGGCCAATTTATATGAAATCTGTAACTGACTATTGTTTGTAGACAAAATTATAATAGCTCACGAAGGTTTCTCATACAGTTTTCCTAAAAGGACTATTATTTATTTGTTGAAATTCACAAATTTATATCTCGTGTCTTCCATGCATATTATATCAGGGACTTATCTGTAAAGTAAAGCAAATGTTTACTTTACCAAGAGAGTAGCCAGCTTCTGTTAAGCCGTAATTATCAGATGAATCATTTTCATTAGAAGCTGTATTTGAACCAGAAACTTGTGACAAGCGTCTCTGTCTTTCCTTTCTTTTTTTCCTTTTAGTACTTCCAGACGTCGGCATTCTTATTCTTTTTTTTGAAAACAGGACACACAATATACTAGAATAAAAAGGTACATTCAGTCCCAAGCCTGGACAAATACAGAGGATTGCGTAAGGAGAGAGAGAAAAAAGAGTATCGATATTAATTACAACATTAATTAATTAACAAAAAGCAAATTATAATGTAAATTATAATTGAAACAGAAAAAGATTTCAATAAAACTAATAATTTTTTTCTAACATTTCAATGATGGCAGCATGTACTTTGTGTCATGTTTTCCAGTAGCATACATGTAGGAATATGAAACCCCTAGTAGGAAATTTGACAATTTTGAACTGTATTTAGAGAATGAGCAGCGAACACATTACTGCTGAATATGTAAAATAATTTTAGGTTTTTATCTTTCCAACAACCGTGCCAGCCAAACAAAGGGAATACAATTATACGATGACTTCTATGATTGGTTAAATGATACGAAAAAAGATTGATTTCATGTAAAATGATTTATACAGATTAGTAATGCAAAGAAAGAAGTCGATATGGAAAGGATGTGCTACACTAATAGGTTAGAGTTATCAAAGACAGAAATGGAAATGTATTGATAGACACTGGAAATATGATAAGATGCCAAGAATACTCAAATAGTTGATGGATGAGGACAATGAGAGCTAAGAGTGAAAGAGATGTGCAAGTTGTAGACCAAGAGTTTGCAAACTTTTGATGTTGGAAAAAGAGAAGTTAAAATAGGATTACACAAGGAATCAGCCTTGAGCCCTTAATTTTGCTTGTTTGCAAATGACAGGGTAGATAGCATAAAGCAAAATGTCATGTGTGCTGAATGATAAAAGAGTATCAGCAAGAGTAAGATTTGCAAGACTAGTGTTTTGAGACAATTGCAATAAGAAAAAGACAGGAGGAAGAGCCGGAGGCTGCAGAGATGAAGATACTGAGGTTCTTTTTAGGAGTGACCCAATTAGATGGAATCAGGAGTAAATCAGAGGTACACTAAAGCATAGGTCTATTGGTATTGCAGAGAATTCTTAGATGATTTGGTCATGCACATAGGAGAGATAATAAATACATAGGTAGTATGTGCTGGGTTTAGAACTGCTAGCTGAAAGGCTTATAGGAAGATCAAATAGGAGATATAGTGATTTATGATAAAAGACATGTAAATAGGTAGTTTGCAACAAAAAGAAGAGAGAGTGGTATCAGTTTTCATTTTCACATGAATCAAAATCAATTAAGACACTGAAAATTACACTGACATCAGTTAACATTAATCTATATTTATAAGAAAGCTACAGTACAGCTCCAGAATTTTTGTCTACTTGATAACAATTAATTTCTCAAACATGTCCCATAAAAGTTCTCAGGTAACTATAATAAGTAAAAAAATCTTGTTATGTTAAACAGTGCTGAACTCGATTTTCACGTGATGTTTGTACCTAAACAATTTATCGCTAAAAATTTTCCAATAATTAAGTAAAATGTTCTATAGTTCAATAATTGTGTTTAAGGGGAAAAATTGAAAGTCGATTACTTGACCCCGGGTAGCCGAGATTTGACGAAACGTTAAATGTTTTCGCAAATTGAAACGATTCACTATTTCTCAGGTAATAAATACACTTGAGTATTTTTAATACAGAAATGCAAACAATATGCAAAATGATAACAAGTAATTTGTATCAGCTGCACGAATTACAACAGGAAATTGAAGGGCGTATAACAAAAAGCTTTTGCTACAACTCAAGTATTTGCGACTTTAATATTTCAATGTTATGATTCAAATTAATTTCACGTCACGCAGAATTCAGCAAGCAACACAGCCTCATTTTAACAACTTAACAGTTGAGAAATTAACAAAAAATATTTCCCAGCCCTGTGCTTATGGTTGTGTTGTCTAACGTAAGACGAAATGTTGCTATTTGCCGAATGCCGATGATTTCAGTCATGTGAAAAGCGGAATTACGTTAAATGGCAATACATTATTTTTTATACAGATTCAACAATTTTAAATTATTTCAAGTACTTTCAAAAGTTGCAAAAAATATACTCAACCAGAAATATAGAATTACGTAAACATGTAAATTAAAGAGAACTATTGGCAGGAAACGTTCGATTCAGTTGCGTGTTCTTGCAAATTTTTAGTGCACTTACCTTTCATTAAAATAATTATAACACTCTGCTTAATATTGTGATAATGATGGATATAAAATTTAAAAAAAGAGCAAGAAAGCAAAACTTTCTAACTTAGACATCTCACATCTCTTCGTTTCGACTTTCAGTTCCTGGTAAAATAATTTATTCCAAGAATAAAGTAATCTTGATTGAAAGGGGAGTCCAAAAACAACATGTCATTCAGGGCTCATCATTTCACAAGGTAATGCGTTTTTTATTTTGCTAAAATTTTGACAGTTTTAAAGAATCTGGACAAAAGTAAACTATTCATTGGTAATATTTTTATTAGTAATACATTTTTCAAACTTTAAAAATTTTCTGTAAAGTTTGTGTTTATATTCAAGTAACCATTAAAGTGGTTGTAACTATTGTTGGCAATAAGTAGTTACAAGTTTTCCTGTGCGAAGAGCAGAGGCGAATTTTTACAGTGATTGAACCCATAATAGATTAAAAAACAGGCTGGCTTCGTAGCTGGGGAGGAGGGTGCGTTCTCCCCTGATATGAAAAAAAGCCTGTTTGTACATTGCATTCATTTTCTATCTTCAACACTCAAGCCACTCGCGTGACTCATCGTGCTTCTTAAAATAAGAAGTAATAGAAGTCAAGATTCAGAAAAATTTCGCATAAGGTTTGGTAGAAAGCTGCTGAGTAGATTCATTCATAATTGTCACAAGCATTGACAATGAGACAGAGCTGGTCTTTGGTTGTACTAAAATGTTGCTGACATACGTAAGTTGCATGTACTGTGATGTAAACCACACTCAAAAAGCTACACAACACTAGTTGACGCACGATAAACAAAAGAATCTATTGGGAGGAAAGATAAACACACATACTATTGGGCATTTAGCAGTCAATCGTAAAAAGTACAGTGTAGTAAAGATCATTGACAGTTATAACTGTCAGGTGATAATTACTAAGAACGAACAGGAAGTCCACCCATTAAAAGATTGATTGGTCCTAATGGAACGTCTTCATCAGAATCTGAACTATTTTCATTTTCATATTCGTCACAAGAATCTTCATCATCATCACTATCACTATCATCATCACTATCGCTCTCATCTTCCTCAGATTCATCATCTTCCGTCTCAGATTCAGAATGATCACTTTCATTCTCTTTACCGCTCTCATCAGAAGTAAATTGTTCTGACGAATATAAAAACAAGAAAATGCAAAATGCAATGTAAAAATAACGAATAAAAACTAAATTTAAGTTCAAAACGAGATAAAAATTTATTCTTGCTTAAATAAAGAAAAAATGGCAAAGGTTTGAGACTTTGAAGGCACGAAATAAACCCATCTATACTCTACGTTATATTAAGTTCAGATATGCAGCCATTCTTACCTTCGTTAATTTTTTCGACAAGAACATTTTGATATTCAACACATACTTCATCGGAAGGATCAACAGTCAAGACTACAATAAAACAATATTTTTGTGTCAAAAGAACGTTTGTGGGTTTATGTGAATTTAGACGCCCATATTGCTGGCAAAAATATGAGTTTTGATATAAAGCTAAAAAATTTTTTTCCATCGAAGGATAAAAAAATAGTTGCAATGACATGTATGTTTCTGCATGTTTTCATGTCCCAAGCAACTTTATTTCAGTTATTCTTTAAAGAATAACTTTTATAGCTAAAATCTTTAAAGAATTATCTTTTGAATAACCTTTTATCCACATTTTGCAAAAAATGAAATGCAAATAAAATGCTATGCACATCTCTCAATGACTTTTTTTAGACTGTATATATCTTTGCTTGTGCGTCACAAGTTAAAACTTTGAATTCGTAATTCAACTTTATCCATGGGCGTACTAGGCAGGGAAACGCGGCACCCCAAAAAATGTTTGGCTGACAAAGCCAGTCGGGCGATATTTGCTAGAAAGTTGGGTAAATTAGGAATGTTCCGACCGCCCCCCCTAACAAATGTTGACCAGTAAGCCCATGACTTTATATTAAAATCCCACAGATTATTATTTTTTGGAAGTTCGCGGAAGTTTTGCATTTATTTCACAATTTATAACGATGAAATCATGAAAGGCTTTCATTTCAAGTGTAAAAACTCGGCAACAGAAATCCAAACTTTACAACTATGAAATCATGAAAGGCTTTCATCTCAAATGTACAAAAACTCGGTAACAGAAATCCAAACTTTACAACTGTTTCATGATACCAGCACACAATTACACGAAAATTGTTATTTTTCTTACTTTCATTACAAAGTACAAGAGCCTTTTCGTAGTTCTTTGCCATGATACAACTTAAGAACTGCAATCAAATGAATTAATTTTATTCATTATCCACTACGATACAATACAAAAGATATCTTAAAATGCATCATGACAATAAAAAAAGTAAAGACAAAGTCGTAATTGAAACCTACAATGATTACTTTCTACGCGAAATCGATCGTTACTCTTCTTAATCAAAGCAAGAAGATAGAGGTAATTACGGTTAAAAACAAAAAGAAAATCATGTATAGCATCCTGTAGAGGTCTATATTGTAGAATTGGTGGTAGATCTAGAGATTAATATATATTATCCTGCTGAAGTCTTTTAAAGTCCATGCCTTCAAATTAAAGCATCTTAAAAAGACCTATTAGTTATTACAAGGCCTACCTCCGCCTTCAATTCTATTGGGAGGTCTTTGCTTGTATTGTTGACAAGAGAAACATGGTTTTCTTCACGAGGTCTTAATAGGTCTTTCTGATCTTCAATTATAGCATCTGTTTTTATGGAAGTAGAAGAAATCTTTAAGTTTCTTTGATCTTCTTCGTATTTGGATTCTGCAAGAGCAGGACAACACTAACTTTGATATCTACATTTAGAAGGTAAATATCCCTATGTTTTGTATGCAGTAGACCAACTCTTAGGTGATATTGTACAACTCGTTCAGAAAAACATCATAAATCATAACGCATTTAATAGCGCTATAAACCAGAGTTGTCATGTATTTCGCTAGACCACAAAGCCAGGTCAAAAAAATACAGTAAAAATTGTCAATGATAAAGTAAAAACTTCCATAGCTATTTTAAATAAGATGTACAGCAAGAGCATATCTTCATGCAGTACAGCGATTTTGAAAATGCCTGCTTTCTCTCGCAGAAGTATAAGTCTGTAGTCAAAATCTTTGCATCATTCAAACAAAAGTTGCAAATTTCATTGTCATAATGTTTGGAAAACCAGTGAAATACTGGTACCGCCACAGGAACAAAAAGCCTACACTGACATGCGTTAGTGTCTTCTTTAAACTAAACATCATATCATGTATGGTGCGACATGTTCATCCATTCATTAAACAAAAAATAAAAGAAAAAAAATTTCCAATAGGAAAATAGAATTCTTCAATATTTTCAAATTTCAATGATTTTCGGACATGTACACTTTCTACTAGAGCTTAGGCTTTAACAGAAGCTGGAGTTTTCTATTTACATATTTACATGCAACATTAGTGTTTCTTCCCTTGCTTAGTGGGTTTTTCATCCTCATTTTGTTTATTACCAGTCTTGTATGATATTCTGGGATCAAATGTGTACTAATCTTATAGTCACACTGCAACAAAACCTTCTTTATTATTGCTTTTGTCAAATAAAAAAAAAAATGCTATGCAATGCAAAGCAAATACAATATTTTGTTACTGCAGTTATTAAAAAATAAATTAACAGTGAATAATCAGTGTTGTACTTGTGGTACTTTCCTCCGTGATTTTAGTATTCTCATTCAAATTGTACCTACCAATACAAAGTCTTCCACCAGCACTGTTGCTCCTTTCAAAAGAGTTGAGTTTTCTTTGCACTCTTTCAGCACTGCCATGTCTTATGTAATGCTTTATAGGAACTTCAGCTTGCACATTGAATTGAACATTACTGTTTTCTGAGATAAATATAAATTTTACATAACAATAACAATGAAACTGAAGTTAAATATATAACCAAACAATGAATAAATATGTTTTCACAGGCATGGAAATCTAGACAAACGTTTCAGTTCAAAGTTGTTCTTTTCATAAAGTACTTGTTTTAACCTTTTCCTGTGACCAATAGCCCAAATCTGTATTCATTTATGATCACCAGAAATTGGCAAAACTCTTCGAATATTTGAATATTCAACCAAATATTTACTACAGTTTTAGCACAAAAGTCAGGTATCAATAGAAATCACTAATGCTAGAATGTACATATAACAGATATAATGTATAAAAGTGTTTTTGCAACAAAGAGATTATAGAGGATGTTTATTCTAATGTGCATCATCAGATATTTTTAAAATTTAGATTGTATATTAGGTTTAGCAAGAAAAATTTATTGAAAAAAATGTTGTTTGTAAAATTACTACTAAAAGTCGTATATCTCACCTGGTGGCAATACTAGAAGCTTGTTTGATGTCTATATAAGAAGAAAAGTTACCTTAAAACTTACAAAGTGTACTAAAAAAAGTCGGAAATTGTTACTTACTCATTATTTTCTGTCTTGTTAGGTTAATTTAAAGTTTAAAACTAAACTGACAGAATATAACTGAAATCTCAAATCACTGAAATAATGACATACCTTTTTTTTTACCTTGCAAAAGGTGGTGAGATAGGTCTAAATACATAATGAAAATTTAACAGTGAATAAAATCATTATAAATTATGTTTAATTTCAAAAAAACAGGGACATTCACCTTGAATGAGTTGGATTATCCGCCAGTAACATTATTGATGGACTATTTTGAAAAAGATCTTGCAGATACTCACTATGTATTCAAATTCAAACATCTTTACAGTATAATTTCTGTTTTACAACAATCACCTGCCACTTCAAGAATATACAAAACGTCGTTTTACTTAAATTCATTGACTTCTCAAAACCACATTCTGCTTCCCTTTCTATTTGTTTCTCTTGCATACAAAAACTTTAATTTTGAAACCATTAGAAACAAAACAAATTACGTAATAACATATCCCAAAGTGCAACGTGGCACAAATTATGCAAATTTTCATGAGAAAATTAAAGTTTAAAACATTTGATTTAAATTTAAAGTATGCTGTATGATTTTGGATATTTTGTCTCACAGAAGTTGGAATTTTCCACATTTTAGTCGTTTGGTTGAACATAGCTAAAATTTAATAATCGGTGGCAAAAAATTACCTTTAAAATTTCAAAAAATTAACACATGAGTGAAGCCAGACATCATATTTTTGCATAAAATTTATTCAAATCGCTTTTCCGAGATGGGATAATGAGGTACCATAAAGTATAGAAGGCATCTTATTTTACAAAAAAAGAATTCCAAGGATCGACTCGAGCGAATTTACCGTTGTTGATAATTTTTTATTCAATTGCAATATTTCAGAAGTTCAAAAAACTACGAATAAGGCCTTAACATTATAAAATATATGTGAAATGCAAAGTATTGACATTTTCAAGCGAGCCTGAATTCTAATTGATGGCTACTCAACAATTTTGTTCTTGTTTTGGAAAGTTACGGCCGAAGTACAAGAGAAAGGTCGATCAGATTTTTCCAAGAGACGCTAATGATGGGTTAGATAAATCCAACATGGATAAACTGATATTTTACGCTATTTCGTCGTCAGAAAAACTCGATAGAATCGGAGCTTACGTAGCTAAAAAATTGGAAAGTTATGTTTATTGGAGACGTAATGATTTTGCCGTCATTACAATGGAAGCGATGGAACAGCTATTGTCTGCTTGTCATGCCTCTGATATAAATTTATTTGTGGCAAGTTTTTTGAAGATGGTTCAAGTACTGCTTGAAAGTGATGAAATTGCATTACAAATCCGAGCCACTGAGTCATTTGTCATATACGCCAACATTGAAGAAGATATCCCATCGTACCACAGGGAATACGACTTTTTTGTATCCAAATTCTGTGAATTGTGCCACCGTGATATTGAAAGTGCTGACCAGAACAACAAAATAAAGATGGCTGGTCTTCGTGGCCTTCAAGGCATCTTTCGCAAAACTGTCTCAGATAACCTACAGTTTAATATTTGGGATGAAGCTTTCATGGGAAAGATAATGCCATCTTTACTACATGTTTTAGAAAATGGGGATAGGCCTCAATGTTTTTCTGATCAGGACTCTTCACCATTGGAAAACAAGCCATTTGGTTTTGCAAAGACAATATTGCATGACATTGTTAGCGAAGCAAGTTTTGGTAATGTACGAGCTGGAATTGAACCTGTTTTGTTTCACCTAGATTCTGCTGGTTTATGGGTACCAAGTAATTTTGCAATTCAATGTTTTAAAATTATATTGTATTCAGTCCAGAACCAATACTCCTATCTTGTAATTCAAATGCTACTCAACCACCTGAACAAACATACTAACAGTTCATTAGAAATGAAAACAAACTTAGTTGAAGTAATTTCATCATCAGTGGCAATTGCTAGTGCTGAGTCCATGGGTGCTTCAATTTTAGAGGTATTTAACACATTGTTGCAGCATCTTCGAATCAGTGTAGATGCCCATGGTGAAAGGAGTAGTTCTCAGGAAGCATTTGAACAAGCTATCATCAAAACTGTTGGTGCTTTTGCCAAAGTTTTACCTGACTACCAGAAGTCTGAAATCATGATGTTTATTGTTGCAAAGCTTCAACTTGGTATAGAAAATTTGGATGTATATTCTGACCAAACAAGTCAGCTGATGCAAAATGATATTCATAAAGAATCACTGCAAGAAATGTATTTGCTTTGTCTGTTGAAAGTTGCTAGAGTCTATGATTCCAAAGAACTTTCAAGAACATTTCCTGACACTTTGCTTGATGCCCTTCTTAAAGTTACCGTATCAAGGAACATAAGAATAAGCAAACTGTCACATGAGGTACTACAAACTCTCCTAGACAGACATGATAACCTCTTGAAACTGAGTGTTGAAAGTTTATCCAAAACAATTGAAGAAAATGATATCATAGTGAAAGAATCTAACAAAACAGATTCAGTCTTCTTTCAAAAGAAGAAAGATGGACTATTTTGGCATATTTATGAGAGTTTTTCAAATCCAAGCAACAGTCGAGAGAATATCCTTGTTCTTTATAAAACATTAGTTTTACTTGCAATTGAAATCAATGATCATGAAACATTGATAGAGATTATTCGTTTTGTACTTAGTCTTCAATTGGTCAACGAAGAGAGCACATTGACGCCAGTAAAAGCTGCAATTCATGCTGTAGTTTGTTGTCTTCTTAATTTCATTGCTGAACTAATGGATCTTAGCAACCTTAAAGAGGTAATTGCCACTTGTATTAAGCTTCGGAAGGAAAATAAGTTCCTCCTTCCACAATACGCATTTAGCGAAGCAGAGGTGGAGTTTTCAACTCAAGAATTACCTATCAGTTTGTTAATTTCTTCGCAAGATGTAAGTAAAGCACTTATGGAAGATGGCTTTGAGATAAATCTACTGTCGTCTCCATATATTCCTCAACCGGTATCAGAATTGCCAATTCGGCAATTATATGAACGAACGCAATCATTGCGTTCGGAAACAGGCTCAGTTTCTTCTGCAGAAGGCGCAACTATTACAGAGGAAGTTACATTCGAGTTGCTGAAAGAGGTTTTGTACACAACAGATGGTCCATCAATTGATGATGAGCCAATCTTAACCAATCATTCGACATTCAATGATATTGCAGCGATCGCGGACGGTCGTTCTCGTGAATATAATGTAAAAATTGACGATGTTTTGGAAGTATCTGGTTTGTTATTCGAAGAAGAGAGGTTTGAAAATGCACCAAGTATGTCGTCATTACCTGGAGAGGATAATTATGAAATGAATTTTTCTGATAAATACGTGTATTAGACGGAGATGATGATTCTTCACTCAAAACATTTTGCTACTGTGCTATGCGTCTTTTCATGCTTTAATTTGCAGTGAAACAAATTTAAGCATCTGTAATTAGGAATCAATGCAATTAATTTACTATTAGAAAAATGTGAAGCTTGAATGTTGTTGACCAATAAATTATTTGATGCGAACGGAAAGTATACGTAATGTTGTCGTCTTAGCCCACATAATCTAGTCACTCATTTTAACCTATCTAACGAGCTCATAAGAAACATGGTACAAAGTAAGAACATTGAATACAGCACACTAGAAAGTTGACTGGCACACGTAAATTTTTCATTTCTATTTACTCGTACTTCGTAACATAAATATCAAATAATTTACAATTTATATGGGATTAAAAAACGTGCGTTGTTTTTTAAAAAAAGTTTTTACAAGCTTACAGAGAATCGTTATTTCACAAATATTGTTGAATTGACTTAATGTAAGTTGAATGCAGTTACGGAATTTTTGAATTAGTCATTTGAAATTATGCTTGACAAGGGAGGGCGTTTGGTTTTTGGCAATTGAATGTACCAGGCATAATACCACCTCTGTCGCTGCCACGCACAAAACGTATAATCTTTCTTTTCTTCTCTGAGTTTAATAACGTATCAAAATAATCAATTGCTTTAGTCAGACATATTTGTTGCTCTTCTGTGGTGCTGCTTAACACATCAGGCTCATAGGATTGTTCATTAGTTGAGCAAGAGTCGCTTTCTTCTTCGCTCTCAGATTCCTCATCTCCGAATACGTTGGACTTTTTCAGCAAAGCTCGACTCATTAATCCGTGTGTTGCAATCTGTTTGCCAAGTCCTAAGTTAAATTTCACTGTTCCTTTTTCGCGGCCAGATGAGAGTTTGAAGTGAAAAGATTTTCCGGTGTTTTTGCATTAGATATTTTACCAAAATAAGGTGTTGAATAAGGTGGTGGTGGTAGAGGTGGGGGAGGCTCACATGGTAAAGGTGGCGGAGGTAATTTAGGAAGTGGAGGCGAATGGGAAATAATTGAATTAGATTTTCTATCTTGTGCAACAGGTTGTGATGCAAACGTAGATTTAAATGCAGCTGGAGAAAACTTCAACGATACATCACCACTAAAATAAAAGAAATATGTATGCATTACTTTGTGAATGATTAAACATAAACTGAAGAATACTACTCTGACGACCACTCTGAAGATGACTACCGTTAAGGTTGTCGAAACGTCAGTCAACAACAACAAAAACAGTCCTTCTCAGGACTATATCAACCTGGACGATCTACATCTACAAACATGTAACGATACTCCCGGGTTCAAACCATTTACTTTAAACATAAACTGTTGTTTTATATCGCAAGAAGATAAAAACGCACAAACCCCGAAATAGCCACACTTTTACCAACATCAGAACCGATTTGTCTTCCTTTTCTTCGACGATTTTCTGTAAAATAACACCACTCGTTAGTATTGATAAGATATATTTATAACACACCAACGAAACGAGATATATATTCTAGAGTAAAATAAACAACGGTCTACTGTTCGGGAATAGATCACATTATGGTTACTGGTTATCAAGTATTTGTTGAAAAACTCCAGACTTGATTGCAAAAGTTATTTTTAGACTACGGAGTAAAATATCATGCAATCACCCATACTATACAATGCAATCATCCATACTATACAATGCAATCCCCCATATTATACAATGCAATCACCCATACTATACAATTCAATCATCCATACTATACAATGCAATCCCCCATATTATACAATTCAATCACCCATACTATACAATTCAATCACCCATACTATATGATCACCTATGTATACATAACCTTACTATGTATAGCTATACTACACAAAGACAGAAACAATGTCGTTTGCAAAAACTTACGGTGTGAATTTCTTGCAAACTCTCTTCCCTTTAAATCTTTTAATCTCTAGTAAAGTCAACACCAAACGATGTTAGAAGAATCTATTACTACAATCCCCAAACAATATAAACCCAAAATGTCTAGGATTTCTTTTTTTGTTACGCAACTTCTTGTCAACCTACTCGTGTATGAAGTATGTCTGGTGCCATTAATAAAAGACAATTCAAAATTGATAAAATGAATTTTGTACAAAATATTCATTTCCTTGTCTAAAATACGCGAATAAAGAGAAAAACATTATACCTGTCTATGTGCATGATCATATGAGTTTACATGATTATCGTACTCTTTGTATTTGAAATATTGTTTGTCGCATAATTCACAATAAAAACTCTCTTTAAGATTTTTCAAGCTTTCTTCGATAGTTTTCTCTTTCTCTTGTGTTTTCTAAAAACGAATTATGGTTCTAGTTTAGTACAAGTAGTGTTCACCCGAAGAAAATTGCAAAAGTCGCAGCTTTTTCATTCATTCGTAAATAATCCATGTACTATTTTGCCACATCAAAACAACACTACACTTTCTTGAATGTCTGTTTGAAATTCCATTTATAATATGATAAAGGTATATTATCAGGCTCTGGGGATTGGTACTTAATTGTTCAAGAGGAAGGTGAATAGTATTTCTAAAACTTTCTAAAAACAGATAACGGCTGCATTGACATCAGAACGTAAAATCAATAAATAAAAGTGTCCGTTTCATGTGACAACAGTAAACTAAAATCTTTACAAAGAAATTAGCTACATATTTATTGAGCATCGATAAATAGTACTATTTATTTAATCAGAAAACATACCTGATACTTCATCTTTAATTCATCAGTTTCCTCTTTTTCTGCTTCCAATATTCGACGTTTGTTAGATGCCTCATTAGCATGATCAAGCTAGCAAAGAATTAATCAATATGATGGAAGAATTGGTTAAATGAAAACAAGCTATGTAAAGCTGCTTATCATCAATCATAATGGGTAAAATTGACGAGCATATATAATACATAATTTTCATTACAGTAGCTTATTAGCAAATTCCAGAGAATATTTACGTACCTCCATTGTAAGTCTTCCAAGACACAAGAAATCCTCTTTTATGACCATTGGTACAGGGTTTAACCTGCCTATAATTTTTTTTCAAAATAAGAAAAATCCCTTTACATACGTATCTTGATCAATTCTTAAACAGTATACAAAGAAATCCTTCCCACATATAAAACCCCTTTGTTCATGTTTTGCAAAATATACGTATAAGCACGCTTTCGAACATTCTTTAAAATCAAGTCAAAGAAATAGAGCCATGATTTATTTAATTTGAACATCACAACTGAAAAAGTTGACAAGAAAAAAAACATGTTATAACCACATGTCCTAGTGAGAGTTTTAAAAACAGAAGTGGCCTTAAGAAAATAGAGATGTTCATTTCATAGACAAAGAAACTAGTATGTTAGAATTTAAGTAACCTCCAGAGCATAAAATTGAAACTCCGGAAGAAATCTATTTCTGAAACAATTTATGAATAGTTCATGCCCATATAAATCACCTTGTTTGTTTCGGCCCAGCCCTGTTCCAGACTTCCAACCAAGTTTCAAGGCAAGTTGGTAACCCACATTTTCCTACACAGAGGGATGACAGACATTTCGGGCAGTACTAGCCAAGACAAGGCCAAAGAAATAATATTAGAATCAGATATTATAATATTATGACAGCAACCCAATCAATAAAACAAATCAGATGCATAAGTAATGCTGTTCTATAGATTATATAATTATGAATTATGATATGCAATCACCAAATGATATTTCGGACAAACAAACTGTTACGTACTAAGCCCTGTCATAATGACTAAGCAAACCTTTATGATTGTTCCTAAATGAAGTATGATCTTCTCAATGAGTATGTCTCCTTAAAGTTGTTTTACCTCCACCTCACATGCCATGTATTAAGGAGAAACTATTCAAGATCTTAGTCTTACTTGACACATTGAAATACCTCTGAAATATGCTCATCAAGTGAAGATTTTTTGTCAATATCTAAGTCATGAGTCGTATCAAACTCAGCTGGAATGTTGGCAATCTGATGAAAGAAAAAAATTACATTAACATGTTGACTATAGACTGTAAAAACTATACAACAAAATGAACCATTTTCTGCTGAACCAAGCTTCTGTTTATTTCTAGAAAAAACTTAACAGTTAATCCATCATATACTAAAAACACAAAGCTGAAAGGCTTTGTTTATCAATGTTTATCAATAAATTTCATTATACATGTGTAAGTTTTCCAGCACTTAACCCCCTTGCCCTTATTAAGGTGGGCCAACAGTGCCTTTAATAATAATGTCTCACTTGCACTTTATTTCCTGTTTAAGAAAGTTAAGATTGCATCATGGTAAATTGAATGAAAACGGACAAGTTGAGTTTGAAATGATTATAAGCATTATTTAAACAATTTTATAATTAATATTTGGTTGTCTTGCCTTGTCTTTTTTATTAACATTTAACATGCCATTCAAAGAATACAATGGACAGAGTTTGAATTACTACATTGAGCACCAAAGCAAAACAGGAAATTTGTGATTTCAATTTTGTATATGGCAAAAGGTTAGTCTTTGTTTTAAGCTGGTATAAATTTTTTTGTTTTTGTTTTGCCCTGCTGTTTGTCTGGCATCCCTGATTTCATTGGGCCCTTTTATTTCACTTAGAATCTTATAAGTCATAACTTATGTTATCTTCGCTTTTAGGCGAGTTTCAATCTGAGTTTGAGTGGCTTTGTTCAACTCTTAGTTTTATAAAGATATTTGCTAAGACAAAACTTTAAATATCTTTTGTATCAAGGCTGCTTACAATATCAGAAAATATAGTAGTAAATATACAAAAACATTTCAAAAATTATCTTTATTTACATATGTTTTTAAACTATAAAAGATGAGAAATTTAAGAGGAACTGTGGAACCTTTAAAATAAATTTGAAATTGGTTGGTGCTTAGACAAAATGATATAATTATATGACATCAAATTAAACAGGTATACATACTTATAACTTAATTCCAAAGCAATCATTCGAGAATCATCATAATATGAATATAAAAATGTTCATATTATACTTATAACTGACAGACGAATTTTTTTTAACCCCCTTACTGCACTCGTTTATTTCATTTAACATGATGAATTTGCCTACCTCATACGGCCGATCTTCGTTGAATCTAGAAAAAGTAGCCATCTATTCTATTTGTGCTCTTCAGAATTTACGTTGTTGGAAATGTATGGCAGAAAGTAGATGAAGCAATTATTGGCAAAGTACATAGCACTTTGTACGCACAATACAAGTACAAGGCATCTGGATCATTGATAATTGAATTTTATAGAAAACTGCATGTGCTCGATATGAGTTTCAACAATTTCAGCGAAGGAAGTGGCAGCATTAAATTCTATAATATCTTTAGCGACTTTCTTATTCTTTGTCGTTGCCAAAACCAAAAAATAAACTTATTGAAAGAACTGCCTTATTTCCGCTGAGATTTATCGAAAATGACTGCTTTGCAGAAGATTTCACAATTTCTCACTCCCCCCTTGAAAAAAGGTGAAGGAAGGGTGAGAAAGAGTGAAGAAGGGGTTGGCATTTGGTAAGCAATTTTGTGATGAAAATCAAGGTAAAAACAAAAAATTCAGAAATCTCTTTCACCTCTGCGTTAACGCTACAAAAAAATCGAAAAAACTCGCTAGATCCCAATGCAGTGATATTCAAAAGAAAAAATTCTCTCAAAAGGTTTAAACTTCGCATTACCACCAAAGAATTAAGCCTGTGTGGTTTTCTTACACCCTTCGAAATCGAAAAACTCTTTAGACAACTGAATAAAGAACCAATTAAGGCTTCATCAAGAAATGATTTCTTTAATTTCTTTGTGGAAATCACACCCAGATCGCTAAATTCTTTGTCCCAATGCTTAATCCACTCATGACAAGCCCTCTCATCATCAAAGACTTCTTCCCTTTCATTCAAGAACTCTAAAACAGCAAGATCAACTCAGGCTGTGTGTTATGGCAAATTTTGCAGAACAATCACCATGCCCTACCACATCCAGCATCTCATCCCATATTAACATATTAGGTCACATGGCTTCCTTTGACGACTTCACTATAATCTCTTCTTCACTCTATATCCCTGATTTAATGATACACGAAAATCTCCAAACTCGCACCCACACTGAATTAAAGTGAATATCCTAGGCAGTTCCATGTTTCATCCACCCACTCGACCTTTTTTAAGTATCACATAACGTTTAGCGTTCATTTGCACCATCTGTATCTTCACTCACACTTTTTGTCTTGATCAATACACGAAAGCAAAAATTCTCTCTTCTAAGATTATTTTTTGACTAAAATTGAATAACCTAAACATCAGCATATTTGCATATGAGACCTTTGTCCTTAGATTTGAGGAAGTAGGAAACATTCTTGACATTAGTTGGTCAGGCAACATACTTGATTTTCTCCAGTCATTGCGTAACTGTATTTTCCAGATTTAACATCAAAAGATGTCAAGTAATAGCAACAAGAAGTCAAAGACTGTTCATTTTATTCGTCATGGCGAATCAACTTGGAATGTATGTCGACGACAATTGAAATTGAATGATTTACCGCAGGGTGAGAGGCCAGTGCTTGTCGATGCTCCACTTTCATTCAAAGGAATGCAGCAAACAAACACCTTGAAAGAAACGTTATCAAACCTTAAACCAGAAGTCGCAATTACTTCACCCTTCACAAGAACGTTACAAACGTGCTTGGGTTCCTATGGCTCAGAAAATGTTGTTATCACACCACTCTGTCGTGAGTTTATGGCTGCATCATCCGATAACATTGGTCTACCCGCAAGTTGTCTGAAAGAAATCTTTCCTTGCTTTGATTTCTCTGATCTGGAAGAAACCTGGTGGTACATTCAAGATAATATTAAATCGCAATCGAAGGCTGTGAATCTACTCACCGAAGGCAAGCTGCAAGTCGAGGATCAAGACGTATTCGCAGCAAGAGCAAAGAAATTTTATGAATTTTTGCACAACAGACAAGAGCGAAGTATTGCCGTTTTCTCGCACAATGATTTTCTCATGTTTTTCTTAGAAAAATATTTTGGAGTAACCACAGCCCACATATCTAACGGAGAAGTTTATTCACTGGAATTTCCAGAATCATAATTGAACTGCAGTCAATCAAGACTGAAAGACTTTGTTGCAGGCACATACAATACATCAATTTATAATAATTCCACACCATTGCACTATAAAATCATTAATATTCCTCTCGTGAAAATTTACAATAACGTTTTGAAGTATTGCTGAAATTCTGTTTCTGCATAAATGAAACTTTGGCCCTGCTTACACAACTATGGCTTTGGAAGTTGTCAAATGTCATTTTGTTTATGCAATGCCATATTGGAATAATAGTTACATAACAACAATATATGTCTTTCAAATTCTGTCAAACTAGTAAAAATTTCAAGATGATCATTTATCATTGATGTTAATTGTCCACCAAATATTTTCTATACCATGAATTCGCCCTCTCCACAAAAAAGCTCCAACTCCTTGAGTTTAATGTAATGTAGCTTTGGTAAGCATGTAATTAGCACTTTGTTGAATGAGTATAACTAAGTAGTTACTCAATCAATAAAATACAATATAACTGATTAGTTTTGTTTATTTTTTAAGATGAGAATGCTTTATATTTTGTTACTTAAATATTGTGAATTACTTTCACAAAATAACAAATTGAGAAAAGAGGAAAAGTATGAACACATTGTCACTCAAGGACTATTTCATAACATATTGTACAATTGCTTTTAAGAATTATCATGGTTTACCTAATTTAGTAAATACATTAAAGAAATCCATCAAAATTCTCAATTAGCTTGGTAAATTAAGGCATCTCTACAGAATATACTTCAGTATTTTCAAGATGGCTTTTAGAACACTGAAAATACTTTGCAAGAAATTTGCATAGGAAGTCACTGTGGGCGTATACTGCTATACTCTTCTCCGGTCTTTTCAGAAGAAAATCATAAAATTTTTCCATTCTTTGAGTTAGGAAGTCACTACTTTCATGCTCAAGCTTTCCTTCAGCAACATAACTGACAGCTTCCTTTTGACTGGTAACACCATCCTGGGTGAACCACCATATCTCATCCAGGGCAGAAAAGTCAAACATAGGATACAGGCCTTTTAGGCAGCTGGCAGGCAAACCAATATCGTCACAAGACTCCATGCATTCACCACAAAGTGGAGTAATAATTACATTTTCCGAGCCATACGACAAAAGACAAGTCTGCAGTGTTCTCGTGTACGGTGAAGAGAGTGCAATTTCAGGTTTCAAGTTTTTATTGACATATTCTTTTAAACGCTTTCCTTGCTGAATACCTTCATATGTTAATCCTGGATTAGGAATGACGACTGGGAGTACATGAACACCCAAACTTCGACGAAGTGCATTGCATATCGATTCTGCATGGCGAATAAAATGTACTTTCTTCTTTCCAACTGTTTTCGTTTGTGTCGCCATAATTGATAATTTTAATGAAAATACTGGCGGTCCAACTGTATAATATTGTAATATGTTTGTGGACAATAGGATTATGTGTGGAGTAAGGCAATATATAATTCAACCACACTTCGATATGTTTAAAGTATTAATTTGAAAACTGTTAGTACTTCTACTTCCTTCAAAAGTCACACACGTGTTTAACATATATGACGTATGACTTACCATGGCTTACCGACTTACCTGAGAGAGAAAATCACTTTGAACTACCTGGATTAGGATTATCCTAATCCAAATAAAACTCGCTCAAAACTATATGGTTGCCGAGGATTAATCATTGAAGAGCATTGAAATGCCATTTAAGAAATAAAAGATGTTTACTGTGTTTGCACGGGCTTATGCAAGCCGAGGAGAACGTTGGGAAAACTCCAGAGCAGATCAGTGCAAACCTGAGACCGAAGGTCGAGGGTTGCACCAGCTCGAGAGTTCGCACAAACGTCTCCGAGGTTTGCATAAGCCAGTTCAAACATGAAAAACATCTTTTATTTCTTTTATAAAATAAAATAATGCGAAAAAAACAACTATTTCAATTTTTTCTCGAAAATGTATTCATGATCGATTTGCAAATTCTCTTTGAGTGATTGATTGTTTTGATTGATTTGATTGGTTGAGCTCAGATGTGCTTTGCACAGGCTAATGCAAACACAGCTCTAGACCAATCAGCGCACGCGTTTCATTGTGTTTATTTTATAATTAATTCTATTTCATTTCTTTTGTTGCAGAGAAGATGAACAATAATATACAATCTTCGTATCCCAATCAAGTATGTTAAAGTCCAACTAGACTTGAAAAGCTGGACTAACTACATTCATGAATTAAGCAATTTAAAATTTGAATACGGTGCTTGAAACATCATATCTTGTTCACCAGCATTTTCTCTCATGATGACGTTGGTGCACTTGATTATGGTCTATTTTGTTTTTTTCATCAAATTGGCGGTCGTACACAAGTTTTTCTCTGTTTGTCATGTCCATAGAAGATTTAAATGGTATATTGATAAGGGGTATCAAAGAATCCAAAAAATGACCGCGATAAAATGATCCAAAAGCAGTTGTTCAACATTCGTAAGATATTAGAAAACCTAGAAATTAGATTTCAGGATTCAACTTACATGATTCTGCCTATGTATCCTTCAAGAATTCCTAATTAATACCTTAATAGTTATCCATTGCACCTGCCTACAAGAGTATTTCAATGGTTTAGTAATTTCCATTGAGCAAAACGAGAAGTACCAGGACACTAAGGAAGATGAGGAATGAAGAACAATAAGATGAGGAAGACATCATAATATATATACACATGTTATTATTCATATGAGCTACTAATAGTTAAACCAAATCGTCAGTGTAAATCACGGCATCAACACAAACAAATAATTATTATACAAGTAATCTCACAGTTGTTCACATTTATAGCAATAAAAAATACAGTCTATGAATGTGCTTCTGGTGAAGATATTATATACTTGTTTATAAATATGCTTGCTACGTCATTTACATGTTTTGATAAAAAATTGATATAGAAAATTTACAAAGTGAAAAGTGTATAAAGTATTTTTGAAACTATCCCGTAAAGCAATCGGTAATAAATGATTGCAATTATTACAACCCTATTTCTTATAATATTTACAGAAACACCCTACTGCAGTTAAGTAATAATAAATGACTGCAGACTCAAAAGTGCAAAAGACAACCAGGTTTTAGGCTATTAGCAAGTTAGAGATAGCTATATAACACATAAATCTTGCTAAATTAAATCATGTATCACACTTGTTATCATTTTCTCATTGTCTTTTGTATTTTCAAGCTGCTTTCTTCCAACGAACTCTTTAGCCAAAAGCGTATCACGAGAGCGGCTAAATGATTGTTGCGAGCACTCGTACAAGAAATGATCAAGGTATGTTGAAGGTTTATATGATTGAACATCAATTATTGGCTGCGCTATCGATGTACTTG